CCCCCCCCCCCCCCCCCCCCCCCCCCCCCCCCCCCCCCCCCCCCCCCCCCCCCCCCCCCCCCCCCCCCCCCCCCCCCCCCCCCCCCCCCCCCCCCCCCCCCCCCCCCCCCCCCCCCCCCACGAATCGTGTCCCGGAAGAAATTACTGTATGTCCGCAAAATCAAAGCATAGCAATGTCTCACTGTTTTTTTGGTGATGATCATCATTACATTTCACATGCACACTTCGTTGTGTAGGTTAGGTTAAGTAACGAATCTTCTAGTTTCGACAACAATTCATTAAGTTGTTGGAATACATAATATGTGTGTATAGAAGGGGGCATTGTTATTTTTCATGAGAGCTGATTCATACGGATCCAAAATCTGAATTCCAAAAATGAAACCTATAGTCATGAAAGATTGGGTATGTTTTGTGTCGGTAAAATCCATACACATTAACGTTTAAGTGGAACAGCAATCTGCATCCCTAAACCATTTTGACGCAGTTGTAAGGATTAAAGAAGTATTGAGTATACTGAGAATAAATGCTTTGATTTTTCTGTGGTGTAACAGGTGATGATTGCAAAAAAAAATTTAACATGGCCCTTCTGAGTTTACTGTATAATATAAAACAAAAATCTAACAACAAACAAATCCCCACCAGATGACCTTAAGTTGTATTTTCATGTTCTCGATCCCATCACGAGTAAGGTTTAGCAATGACCTCATTATATAAAGGAAATACCACCTTTACCAGGTATTCCGGTAATGATTTTGTGGCCGGATTTCCCCAGATTTCGCACCATTTGGACTCAAGCTTCTCGTACCATAGCGTTGGCATATGTTAACGTGTTATAGGATTTGTCATCGGTATTCCCATAACAGACATACCCTATTCGAGCTATGGTGATGAAAACTTATCATATGTTATGCTGTGTTTGGTCCGTGTGTGGTCTCGTGAAAAACCGTCATACCAGTAGCCGTATGACTATTTCATCATCAAAAAAATAAATAAAATACAAAACACGAAATGATTGTTCATCTTTTTTTTTTCCTTTTAACTCTTCAAGTAAAGGCAGGGCGGTTCTATACAGAGAAGGCTCCTCCCCCCGCATTAAAGTTGTAGAAAAACAACATATAAATACCTGTGGAGACGCCGCACTACATCTAATTCATAGTTGTGGCGTTTTCCCCTCTTGTATATTTCGTTTGATCAATACTTACGGTATATTATTACTCGCTTACAAAGAATAGAGAATAGATTCGAGTGATCTCTCTTGGGTTTATTATAGACTCTATTTTTTCTCGTTTACTTCAGCACATTATTAGCTTTTATTCGAATTCCTTAGACACTTGTTGACTTGAGTCATGAAGTTAATACTACCTTTGATCTCAGCTTGTACTTTGGTACTGAGTTTATCCATTCCAACATCTCCTTATTATTTGGCTCAACAAAAGGCGCTTACCATCCCTCAATGGGTTGGTAAGTTTTGGAATAGTGTATTCTTATCTGAAGCTTCCAATGAAGCAATCATGAGAGCCGATTTTGGTTCTTGGTTAGATCAACAACGTAACATTAGTTTCCAGGGTATCTTAAACAACATTGGCGGGGTCTCATCTTTGTTAGACCCTAAGGAGGTATATGATGGTGTTGTTATCGCCTCCCCATCAAAATATATGCCCAATTACTTTTACCAATGGACCAGAGATGCTGCATTAACGATAAAGTCCTTGATCGATTACTTGGATGATACTAGAGTGAGTTCAGATGTTGCAGAAGTACAGAAAACTGTGGAAGATTATATTTCCAATAATTATATTTTACAAAGATTAGATAATCCTAGTGGTACCTTTGGCGATGATGATAAATCAGGTTTGGGTGAGCCAAAATTCCACCCAAATAATACTGCATTTGAAGAAAACTGGGGTAGACCTCAACGTGATGGACCTGGTTTAAGAGTCACCACTATCTGTGCATATCTTGAATTAATTGATAAATATCAAGTACCATTTATTCACTTGAAATCTGGTAAGGATGTTTATACTGAAATCGTGAAACCAGATTTGGTTTATATTATAAAGAACTGGAATAGAAATGGGTTTGATTTATGGGAAGAAATCAATGCTCAACATTTTTTCACTTCATTAACTCAATTAAGGGCTTTGATAGATGGGTCAAAATTGGCTAAGAAGTACGAACCTCAAGATTCTGGTTTTATTGAAGAATTGAAGAATACTTTTAATGATGTTCGGAAGTATGTTGAATGGGAAGGTGGATTTATCAAATCTAATGTTCCCTACGTCATTGAAACTCCATCTTTATTATCACTGGGTAAGAGATCAGGATTAAACATTGCAAGTTTGTTGGCAAGTTTACATACTCATGACCTTGCAAGTAAGGATTATGATAATATTCCGTATGATGTTGATCATAATTTGGTATTGAGTACCTTACGCCTTTTGATTACTGATATGAAATTTAGATACCCTATCAACCGCAAACATATTGGAGTCAATAATGTCGGTGTTGCATTGGGTAGATACCCAGAGGATATTTATGATGGTTATGGTACCAGTGAAGGTAATCCTTGGTTTATATCAACTGCCACAGCATCTGAATTGATATTGCGGTTGATATATAAATTGGAAACTGGTCGCATGAATATTGTTATTGATGAATTGAATTCAGATTTTTTCAAACAATTTGTTGATTATTTAGAGGCTGGCCAGACCATAGTGTATGGATCCCTGGATTATTTAGAGTTGATTGATCAATTGATCAAATACTCCGATTCCTTTTTACAAATTGTCAAGGATCATGTTGATAACGAGGGCCATATTAGTGAACAATTTAACCGTTACCACGGTTTTATGCAAGGTGCGACTGATTTGACTTGGTCCTATTCTGCAGTTTGGAATGCTTTGAGATGGAGAGAGAAGGTTTTCAGATTATTAAACCCTTCTAAGTTGTAAATTGAGAACATGAATCAAAGACTGGGTATATGATTGAGTGCACGCTTGGTTCTTTTTGCATAGAATGGGCTAGTTGTGAAATTTTGGAGATGAAAGTATTCCCGTTCTAATTCCTTCCTTTATGCTGAGTTAAACGATAGAACAGAATTCATTAATCAATGGTTGAGTAATTTTTCTGGTTACCTTTATGTTCTTGGCACTATCGTTTTATGTGCTATGATTTTACTTCTGAGTGATATACTTTTTGCTAGATTTATTTTATGAGATTGATGATCCTTTTTTTTATTACGTTAGAGAGTTTGACGAATAATGTGTGATGATATTTAATTAGTTTGAATATTTAGATTTAATACTAGATTTCGAGTTTGCTTAACACTTTAGTTTTAGAATATGCTGTTGTGTTTGTGTCATTACCCCAGGTTTTACGTGATCTCATCGGATCAAAGCTGTATACCTAAATTTCACTTGAGACCCTTACATGCACTCTTCTTAGGTTGTCGAAGTGAACAATCGTAGAACAATGTCTCCTTTCGGTGTTAGGTTTCGAGGTAATATGATTCAACCACTACTTGAGTGAAACGAACCGTATAGAATATATTGGATCATAAGTTTGATACCCACTGCTGAACTAAATAACATCGTATAACATATAAACCGTATAATTATAAGCATCTTTCTATGCATAAGAATCTTGCACTTACGAAGACGTGCATTCTCCATACCCAATTGCTATTTTTAAGGTGGGGTCGATGAAATTCATTCATGTCAATTCTTTATTATGACTGCACACATTACGCAAAAGTTTTATGCACGGAAATTCACTTATCTAAATTGTTTATAGTTTCAAAGATCGTTATGTTCTTAAAAGTGGTGTTATGACGAGCATAACATTTGTCTGACCTATCAAATAACTCTTCTATCTCTTCTTTTTCAAAGCGCACAATGGAGTCTTTTGAATCATAGAATTGGTCATTTATAAGTTCTGTTTCCTTAGTTGTAGCAAGCTGTGGAAATTCTTCGAATTGGAATGACCTGGATAAATTAATTAAATCTTTGACTTTCTCACTGTGACTTTTTTCATCCTTTTCTTTTTCAAGTATTCGTTGAAGTTGCTTAAACTTGAATTGACCTAATTGAATAACCAACTTCTCTAGGAATCGTTTGCTGCAACTTCGACTAATCAATATTTCTTCAATTGTTCCTCTGGTTATAAGTCTGTATATTTTGCAAGGTTTTGTTTGTCCAATTCTGTGAACTCGATCAATAGCTTGTAAATCCACTTGAGGATTCCAATCACTATCAAACAACACAACACTATCCCCACTAACTAAATTTAACCCTAACCCACCTGCTCGTGTCAGTAATAAGAAAACCATAGTATTCGGATCCTTTTGGAAACTGGTAATTTCTTCATCACGAACTTCATGCGAAATAGATCCATCAAGTCTTGAACATTTGATTGCCTGTTTTATGGTAAGCCAATCTTGAATTAAATCAAGAGTCCTAGTAAACTGTGAAAAAATAAGTACTTTATGCCCATTAGGTAAAAGATTATTTAACAATGTTTCAAGCACTTGAAATTTAGCTGAATTTTCTACCATTAAATCAAGAAATGGGATATCATTATTACTGTTATCAGTTTCACCTTCAGTTTCAAGAAAAGGGTCATAATAAACATATGGCGAATTACAAATAGTTCTTAATTGGATCATAAGATTTTGTAACTTTATCCTTTTGATATTATGAACGCAACTCTCATAAACTGTCTCCATAATTTGATTAATGCCATCCTCATCATTCTTTGAAATCTTCTGTTTTCGGATTGGAAAATGCATTTGTGGTGCGTCCTCTTCAAATTCATCGTCTGAATCTGGTTCTTTATAAGCAACTACCTCATTTCTAGTTGATAATGTGGGGGACTCATTTGAAAGTTCAGGAATTTTCGATGATATGAAGTCAAGAATCTCTTTAGGTTCAATGTGTGAGTAATTTAGTTTCATATGCTGCTTGAAGTTCAATATAACCAAACACTGAAACAATCGATTATTCATGGCTTCATGATATATTAGGTTTTGGAACTTCGTCATGGGGGTATATATAAGATATTCCTTTTTAGGAGGGAGATTCAATATAACTTCACTTTTCAACCTTCGAAGTATAAAAGGTTTTAAAATTGTATGCAAATTTTCCACTAATGCTGCTTGAACTAATTGTTTATTTTGCTGAAGATTTTCAGCATCTTCCTCTGATTCTGCATTTTTAGCGAAGAAATCATCGAAATTAAACCATTGTTGAAACAAATCCAAATCATGAAAAATACTCGGTAATATAAAATTTAATAATGACCATAATTCATCTAGATTATTCTGCAATGGAGTTCCAGTTATAAGCAATCGGTTCTCAATATTTAACTTTTTGAGAAACTTAATCAATTGACAATGTGCATTCTTCAATCTATGACCTTCGTCAATAATCAAATAGTTCCAAGAACATCGACTTAATTTGTTGAAATCTCTAATGGAAATTTCATAACTTGTTAACACGATATTATACTTTTCAAATTTGGTCATTCGTTTCCTGGCCTCTTTAGATCCAATATATTTCATTGCTGTAAGGTCTGGAGCGAATTTTTTGATTTCATTATACCAGTTGGATACTGTTGAAAGAGGAGCAACTACTAGAAAGGGACCCTTGATGCCTTGCTCTATAAGAAATGAAAGGAATGAAATACATTGAATTGTTTTCCCTAATCCCATCTCATCAGCAAGAATACCATTCAATCCATTTTCATAGAGAGTGATGAGCCATTCTAGACCATCCAACTGATAATCTTTAAGCACACATCCAGTAATCAACTTCGGCTGCAGTGTTGATACGTTATCTATAGAAATAGGATTCGCAATATCTTCAAAAGTGGTTGAGGTGGTTTGTATCAGCGTTGACAGAGATCTAGTGGAACGAGTCGAGACACCCGATAACATGGATATGATATCTGATGATTTCTTTGGCTTCTTATCATTTGTGGGCTTTGTTGAACGCGTTGCTCTACGTTTTGACGGTGAAGAGATTTGGTTCTTCTCAGTTTCCTTACCGGATTGTTTGTCATTTTTATCCTTTTCTCTTCTCTCTTTGGCTTTTGATTCCAAATTATCAAGAATATCTTTTGCAATAATTTGAGAATATACTTGAGACTTCTGAATTAATTTTTTCAATTTTCCCAACTTTTGTGTTGAAGTGATATCATCATAGGCACTTGAATTTTTCAGCTCATCTTGCGGAAGTAAACGAACCCACTCTTCTTCCTTTTCTTCAAGAGTCATGTTTGCTTCATTGAAGGTGCAACACGTTAAAATGGTGACAGGCCAAACTGATTAACGCGTATATTGAAGGTACAAAATCAAAGGATCAGACGGTTTACGACATCGCGACATTGGAACCCACCATTAGAATGTCTTAAGCACGTGATATGGAATAATAATAGTAATCTAAACTTAGCTTACCAATAAAAAGCAATCAATTTGAACAACAACTAACTTTCTCTCTACTGTACATAGTGATAACAGACATTGGTGACGTCAACTATTATTTTAGGAGTGTTGGGACTATCGGATTGCTTTGTGTTTTATTTGTTTCAAGCTGTTATTTTGACGTAAGAACAATTCTAATTCAAAGTAAGCAACTGACTTTCAATTCAACAACTTAAAGTTACATCGTTATTCCTTTACGTTATGCACAGTCCCTATCAATACATGAATTCTTGTATAGAGGCGGAAGCATACTTCTTCTGAAGCTAAATCATAACCTCATCGCACAAGCTTCCCAAAACGGTAAGATGATCGATTACGTACCCCTGGCTGCATCAATGGGAATGAGGTGCACAAAACCTTCGAACCAACAAATGCACATAGTTTTACATTCATAAAGGGTATTTGCAGAAGACTACCATATTGGAATGGAAATAATATCGGCCCGTTTTCTTCCAGGCTCTGCCCGTATTATGAATAAGATATGAGATAGATAATAAAAAATATTATTATAATACATGGGTAATATAATGCACTACGTTGCATTAGTTAATATAAGCGATTTTCAACAAACATAAGATACTGAGTGAGTGTGGGATAATTGAAGACGAACCTACTCATGTAGAATATGTAACACTGTAATATTTATGGGTTCCGTAATCTTTGGCATTTTTTGTTTCGTAATTTGAATTGCTGACGATTGTTAATTGCTGTTAAAATACCACAGTCCAGTTGTTGTCTTTAACACCGGCGAGGATAATTATTACATTGCGCAGGTGCGTCGTTGACATCACTAATTGAGGTAACAGAATGGTGCGTGGTTAAGGTGATTTCAGCCCACCAATTTACACAACAAAAAATCTGGCAGATATATTGCATCGCCGACGCATTAATACGTAGTACACTAAATTGAGAGGGGGAGGTGGTATATATCAAGGTGTATATCCTTTACCTCCAATGCATTTTTTTTCATTTCGAAAGAGAATGGAAAGCTACTTCCAACTTGTCATTCGTGAATCTTCTTATACCTTTGGCAAAACTCTTGATTTCTCTTTGTCGGTGTCTAATAGACTCAAATTCAATAGTAATAATATACACTATAGTCGTTACCGACGTTATCATACTTCACATTTGTTCAAATTGTCGTCTTCAATTGGCTCAACTGTTGTGATAAGGAAGCCCACCTCCAACGCAATTACTACACCAAAAAACTTTTTACGTCCAATAACTTCAAGCACTTTAGCAATGGGTAGAGAAAATATAATCCACTATCAGATTGAACATGAACATGAGACTGATCTCACCAAGAATCAAAAAGATATAGAAGAAATTGAAACTCGTTTCTTAAGATTACATCCAGAAGAGAAACCGACTTCAGAACCTACGGGTAGAAAGACTACGGAAAAGAAAGCTCTTTTAAGATCTCATTCCAAACATGATAACTTCCCCTTTACATTAGGTAGAGACCTGACTCTCGAAGACTACCTTCACAATAATAAATTTTATGTGGACTCAATAAAACATAATTATGCAGATCAAATCTTTGATTTAAACGGGAAGGGTCAAGCTCCGCATACACTTTGGATCGGATGTTCTGATTCCAGAGCAGGTGAATCTTGTTTGGCTACTTTACCGGGTGAAGTGTTCACTCATAGAAATATTGCTAATATTGTGAATGCCAATGACTTATCATCTCAAGGTGTTATTCAATTTGCTGTTGACGTATTAAAAGTTAAGAAAATTATTGTATGTGGTCATACTGATTGTGGCGGCGTATGGGCTTCCTTATCTTCCAAACGTATTGGAGGTGTATTAGACTTGTGGTTAAACCCCGTGAGACATATTAGAGCTCAGAATTTGAAGCTTCTTAATGAATATAACCACGATCCAAAAGCTAAGGCCAAAAAATTAGCTGAACTTAATGTGATTTCTTCTGTTCTCGCCTTGAAAAGACACCCATCTGCATCTGCAGCTTTGAAAAAGGGTCAAATTGAAGTTTGGGGTATGATGTACGATGTTGGTACCGGGTACTTGACACCTGTAGAAATCCCAACTGATGAATTTGAGGACTTGTTTCTTATTCATGATGATGAACCTGACGAAGAAGACTTCAACCCTCATTAGGTGAAGTATGGGCAGTTAAAAGGCGATAAAGCAACTTTCGCACTGGATGTATATAGAAACTGATGGAGATTAAATACGGAATTACAATACAGATCAATTGATACTATTACTATCAAATATAACTTTTAAATATTACTGTAAGATTCAATCTAATGATTAATGTAAATGATTCCGATGATCACTGTAGATTAGTTGTATTACGTTTATTAGTATTTAATAGGCTGAACTTTAACCACTAAGACCTTACCTTAATTATATAACCTAGGTTGATTCCCATTTCAAGTTGAAAACCCCATCTGGTTGTTCGAAAGTATCAATAGCTTGAAATACTTCTTCAATAGTGTTTGCAACCCTTAAGATCTCACCGTTTTTAACTGAAACAAATTCAGATGTGATGCAATCATTGATAAACTTTAAAAAGTTATCGTAGAAACCATTCATGTTGAAGATCACAATGGGCTTCTTGTGAATATTCAATTGGAACCAAGTAGTAACTTCCATCAATTCTTCCAAAGTACCATATCCACCTGGCAAAGCAATGAAGAAATCACTTTCTTCACCCATCATTCTCTTTCTAGTGTGCATATCCTTAACTAAGGTGGTCTTACCATACTCTTTTGAATCAGGAATTGGCGTACTACCATCATGGTTATCAATACCTTCCTTCAACTTAGCGTTCAATTCCTTATCATCCACACGTTCTTTATTAATTAAAGCATCAGGGATAATACCATGAACATAACCTCCATTGGTGGCACATCCACGTGCAACAGATCCCATCAAACCAGTACTACCACCACCATAAACAAGACCCCAATTCCGTTCAGCCATTTGCTTACCCAATTCAGATGCTTGTTCAGCATAAGTTTCATCCTTTCCAAAGGATGATCCACAAAAGACACAAGCTTTCTTAACTGGCTGAGTCATAATGAATAGCTATTATTATTTGAAAGATATAGGTTAAAAGATTTGAAGCAGAAACGCAGATTACTTTAAGTAGGATGTATTTGTTTTTTTAAGTCCACCCTTATTTGATTTGTCACTGTAAAATGCTAATATAAATTAATGCGGTTGACTTTTAATGGCAAAGGTTAGGTTTATATATTCGTTGGTCACAGTAGATTGAGTATGATTTTGTTTCACTTTCAATGTCGGTGAGTTTCACTCAAGTGTTTCGCGGATACTCCGTCGGAAATTCCGGGACACACCTAATCACACTAAATAAAGTTATCTTTCGTACTAAAAGACAAACATAGGTTCCGATGGACCTCAAAGGGTTGTCTGATAGGAGATGGGGTAATACATAAGTATCGGATCAAGGTCCGTAACTTGTAAAGACTTTTGTCTATCAAAACCAGTAGAAACTGTTTACGTTTTTGCAATATTCTTCATTAGTCTCGTTTCATGGTTCAGATGTTTACAGTCTTTACGCTGCTTGGAATTAGAAGTGGAATCCAGTGAAACGACTATTAATAAGTCCTATATTTGATTCTTGCCAAAGAGTGTATCTATGTCCTATAAGTAATGAAATTCAAGTGTATGTAAGAGTGAAGATGAATCACCTAACTAAAGGAAAATATAATGCTTCTATCATTGACTTTGTACAACTCTAATTTGAATCCAGCAGTGGTCAATAGTGGAATAGGGACGTAGTGATTGCAAGAGGAGTTAATGGGGTGGGTTGTTACAATATGCCAATGATAGCAGAGAAAGGATTCCCCTTCAGAAGTAATTATGGAGTATTATTACGTAATGCTAGCTAAAGCCGTAAGGTTCATGCTTCTTCCAGGCTTCAATTGCCCGGGAATTGTGTGGGGGTACTAACCGTTTAATCACTTGTTTCCATTTAGAGTAGAAGACGAGCTTAGTCGCAAATTGGAGTTCCTTCGCTTGTATCCTGATTAGAACAATTACTTTGATGAGGTCCCAAAATGGAACTAAGCGCATTAGCATTTTAATGGACAATAAAAATAGACTCTATTGTAAGTGGGGTAACCTAAACCAAGATGGTATAAAAGGATGCTTATGCCTAATATCAGAAATTCTGTAATGGAAAGAAGTAACAAATTCATATATATTAACATGACAACAACAACTACTAAAGGGTATAAATTGGGAGCAAGAGGTGCACACAATATTTCATATGGAGGTCAACATCCACATCTGCTCCCTAAATTCACTAGTAAGAAAGATGAAAGAAACCATGTTTTAGAACATCTTTGTGGAGCGTTTAGGGTATTTGCACGTAGAGGGTTTGATGAAGGTGAAGCAGGTCATATTTCGGTTAGAGATCCCATCAATCCCAATACCTTCTGGATGAATCCTTTAGGGATTCATTTTCAATTTATGATACCACTGGATTTGGTGCACATAGATATAACTACTGGGGAATTTTTAAATGATGGTAGTAAGAAGCCAATCAATAAGGCAGGGTTGATGATTCATTCTAATATATATAAACATAGAACTGAAGTGAAAAGCATTAGCCATGCTCATTCTGTGTATGGAAAGCTGTTTTCCGCATTTGGAAGAGAATTGGATATGATTAATCAAGACGTTTGCATTTTCTACAAGAGGCAATGCGTTTTTAAAAACTTTGGAGGTGTAGCTCTTGAAAGCGATGAAGGAACAGAAATTGCTTTTGCAAGTCAAGGTAAGGCTGCCGTGATCTTACAGAATCATGGATTACTTACAGTGGGTGAAACAGTTGACGAAGCTGCTTATTTATTCTGTCTTTTGGAAAAATCATGTCAGATCCAACTTTTGGTAGACAGTTGCAATGTGAAACAAAAGCCCCATATTATTCCTGAAGATGTTGCTGAATATAGTGGATACGTAGTTAATGATCCAGAAACTATGTATGCTTCATTCCAACCAGATTATGAAAGAGAAGTGAGGTTGTCACAAGGTGAGTTTTTGATCACAAGATAAGGACTACGGATTGTTCATCGCACGACCTTCCAATTTAGGACAATTAAATACGCGTAATTTTATACGACTACACGAAGGACTAAACAAAGCCGACATGAGATCCACTTACCCACATTTGGCTGTTTCTGTCATGGTACACGTAAATATGGCTTGTTGTTACTTCTTTCGTACAAATTAAATGAGCTAATAGGGGGGGGGGGGTGGAAAGTAATGATAAAATGAACCGGCAAGTCCTCCTTTCTTTTTCTAGATACACACCATAACCATCGTTCTCTACATCATCGTTACCTACCTCATCACCATGAATGATCCAGAATACGCCATACAACGTCTGCAGCTGATCAAATTGAAAAAGAATAGACTGATACTATTAGATCAACTAGATGAATTAGATTTCACATTACATGATGATGATCACAAGCCACCCCCAGATGATTATGACACTACAGATGCTTCATCATCCCATGATGAAATTTCCTTGAGTACTCAGAACACCGATCCAAACTTTCAACCAGATTGTTTCAAATCGCAGGGACTCATACGACATTCCCTAACTCCAATGAAAGTACACCACGACCTTGATTGTCAAATAGAAAATGCCCTGATGACACTCTCAATACTAAATGAAATCATTGACATCGATATGGCGGTCATTGAAAACCAGTTGGTATCTTTAGTTGAAGATATGCAACTGTGTAAAGCATATAACACTCACGTAGTTGAGAAACCTTTTGAAAAGGTATTCACTCTACGTTGTTACAAGGTATTAGAACGATCATAATATCTACTAATTATTTAATTATTAATAATGACTTTCACGACATATCTAATAAGTAGTATCACCGTTTTGAATTTTCCCGAGGTTCTAATTCTAACGACATTTCGTATTGTTCCTCATTCCCAGGACAATTTGCAAACCAAACGTCCAAGTACTTTTGTATCTCATTTACTTCCACAAGGTTATAACCAACAATCTTAAACCTGTCGATACCACTAATGATTTCATAGGTTTTGAATCGTTTCCCGAAATTCAAGATTCTTGTTCTGTTCATCAAGTAATCTGGGTTCCCATGATATACAAATGTCAAATCACTCAAGTAGACACCGAAAAATGGAACACAACTATCACTACCAATGAATTTCAACATATCACGATACTCATTGAAATTTCTGGATGAATTCATTAAAGTGTTCATGCTGTTTAATTTAGCAATGAAATCGGGTGATACCAACTTCCATGTTTTCTTTAACCGATGCACAGGTGAAGAAGATAACGCAGATATGATGGCCGTCATCGATGAAAAGTTGTTAAAAGAGCGACATTTTTCAGCAACAAGAATAAAGTATCGAATAATTTGAACTCTTCTTTTTAAATCTGACTTCCTTAAAATCATAAAGGAAACAAAGTTGGTTAATTGGTTCAGTCCCTTAATAAACATGGTTATGGGTTCAAATCCTTCAAGGGGTAATCCGGACTTCTTACCCCAAATCTTTGCAGTTAAATGGAATTTCGTGATCTTGCTATAAGTTTTGAATTCTCTTAAGGTTAATTGTCTAGCCAACTCAATGTAATCGATATCCAATAATTTCAACTTCTTAAGCGCCTTCTCCTTTATTAAAGGAGCAGGTGGCTTAACATTGGCATTCAATACAGGTTCACGTTCAACGCAAACGACTTCACCACGCAATACCCTCTCGATATCATTGGAAATTGTCTTCCCCACAGAATATGACCGAACAGCCGGAGATTCACAAAAGGCCAACCAACGACGTAACAAGCCTTCATTATGATATGATTTCAGCCAATGCTTCTCTAATAATGATTTCATGATATTCATCACTCGAAGTCTGATAGGTCCTTGCTTTTTAGTGGACCAAGCATTGAATTCATCGTAACTTAAACCTTCAGGAGCTTCAAGATTGAAACGATTGATAAGAAGTTGGATTAATTCACTAAGTGGCATCATTGTAGCAAAAGTAAATAAAAAGGCACTATTGAAACTAGTGTCAATGGATTGATGATGAGTTAAGTGAGCCACAAGTGCTTCCTTAGTACCACCTTTAATATTACCTTTAATGTCGAAAAGTAAATCGTACTCTTCATCTCCTTCCAAATACCATGGAACATCATCGCCTTTCTTCTGTCCTTGATAGTAAGAATTATCCTCCGCAACTTTGTCAGCAGCATTGGTGTTATTCATCTCTGTTAAAAGCAATTGAACGTTGAAATCATCATGCATCACTCTTGTGGCATAATTAAGAATCAGCTCTCTTTCTTCAATTAATGATTTAATAGCTCTTAACAAGACATCAGTAAATTGTACCACCTCATTCAATGTTTCATTCATAACTGCATCAGATTCCAAATTTATATGGTTTCCTGCCTGAGCTTTCAGTTGTTGCACCAATATATTCAGTAAAATAATTGCAGATCTTTCCAGGGGTATTCTTTGAGCTTCTCGGTAATAATAAAGTGGTTCTTCTTCCTTCATGCCTTTGAATACCTCAGGATCATTAAGAGTAATAGATTGGGTGTTCAACACAACACTAGAAAGTAAATTATGCAATTCCTGTTTCAATTGGAAAAATTCTAAGACGACAGGGTAATCAAACGTGAGATTACTTTTGAAACTTTCATATGCTCTAGAGATGTTCTCTGTACTGGTACTAGCAGTTGTACTTAAATTACCTCCACTATCTCCACGCTTAAGGGTATCAATAGGAGTATTAACCGGCGTGCCCACGGGTGAAGGTGAATTAGTTAACGGTTCAGAAGTAAGAGAAGTATCAAAACTTGGTATAATTGGATCTTGGGTGGTGGTAGTGGTTTTCGGTTTTGGTCGTTCATTATATTTTCTTATCAAACAGAACACAGTGAAATCAAAGGATTCAATAGTATCCACCATGGAACTTGCATGATGGAGAATCTTATAAACCAATTTGAGAATATGGGTGTTTCTTTCATTCTTAAGCTCACTGTTGAAATACATGTGCTGAACAGATGGGTCTAAGTACTTGTTGATTTCAGACACAAGAGTTATGATTTCATTGCTTGTATTCCGAACGATTTCATACGCTGAATTGTCAATAATAATTTTTGAATGAAATCGATTCTTTAACTCATTCCCACTGGCATTGAGATTGGGATTAGTACTTGAAAAGAATGGATTGCACCAATTACCACCATTGAATTCATTCTTGATGAATCTAGGGTAAAGTTGGGGTAAAAGATTATATCTGTCCACAGAATCGTCATCGTCTTCAATATTTTTGTTCTCCTTTGTTGGGTTCCTGGAAACATTTTCTGCATAAGGATGATGTACTCCTCCTTCTTCCATACTTTCATTGGTATCAATTCTGGATACCAGACTTACTTCTGCAGACAGACTAAGTCTTGTACTTCCTGACTGCCTATTTCCATATTTAAAAGGGTGAGAATCACCTTCACTCTCATTCATATCCGAACCATCATAGTAGGACTGTTTGATTTTTTTATCTCGAGAAAGACGAAGAAAGATCCGTATCAATGAATTCAAATTATGCTTGAAGGTATCGATTGTCCAATCAATCAATTCAACGTAGCTTGGTGACTCCTTCTCAATTACTGCTGGAGGAGGAGTTACAACTGAATTCCTTAAATTATCCTCTCTGGTACTCTTTGTTAAGTCAGTTGCAATTGACAGATGATTCGAATCAATTCCTGTTGATTTATTTAATTTAAATAAATCCACAGAGAACATTGGGGCGTCACTGGTTTCAGGATTGAAATGCATAACACTTAAATGTAAAATTCCATTGACATAAATTTGAGCAAAACTGGTTAATAATCGTTTCAACTTACATCTAATGGCTTTATCATATTTGGTTTCTCGAAAGTCATCTTGAATCAATCTTGATGCATTCAATACTAGTGAAAGGATTTTATTCAAACTTGTGTAGTGAGTGTTGAACAATATTTTATTCTTGTCCTTGATTGTCTTTTGAAGTAAATCTAACAAATAATTTGCTTGATCTTTTAATTCTGTCCAGGTGGAAACATCTGATGCATGTTTGTAGAACATTGAATCCAATGCAAATAAAGGCTGCAGAAAATGATGATACAACGCGGATGAGTTGCTGTGTAATGAAGACATTGTAGAATCTCTTTTCATTGATCCCTGACTTACTTGCCTATTCCCATTGGTGTTGAAGAAGGAACTATCGTTTGTGATTACTTCTATATCGGAAATTGAACCAGTTGGAATGACTTCCGTATTCTGTAATGCTTCATACGATGGTAAATCAATATCATCTGCCTTCACTCCTGGGAATTTCGAATGAGAATGATGAAGTGAACGAGCACCCTTGGGAGAGCTTCCTAAATCGTTATGAGATGATGATAATGAGATTCTTAACAGTAACATAGGCAATGAATCACAATACAAATTCAATTGTTCATTATAATAAACCAAGTTACCACTTGTAGTATATTTGGAAACATACGTTATCAATTTCCCAGTTCGTTTGATGTATTCATTGGCAACTTTTTCAACTTCATTAGTTGGGGTCATTATAATTTGTCTTTCATCTAATGCAATCAGATCTCCTCCTGTTGTTATAGTTCCTTGTGAAACTACCAGTGAATTATGTTGAACATTTGGTGATGCAACCAACGACACTGAAGCCCAAGGAGCCTTGTTAGAAGTTGTACTATCGTGAGAAGTAGTATTGTTTGCATTCGACATAACCAATGAGTTTTCAGAACTTGCAAAACTGACCACGGAATTCTTTCTGGTGGAATTGGTAGGGGTATTGGAGTTTGTATCCATAATTGATTTTTGTAAAAGACTAGCGTAACTAGGCATCACTACATTAGCAGCAGTATTTTGTGCTGTTAATGAATCCCATTCTTTATGAGATTTCAACTCTTTGATCACTGGCTGTACATAATTGACCGAACGGACATATGTCAGTGGGAACCAACCTCTTAAAACTTGGCCATCTAAGTCAACAACCACTCCGTCCCACCAGCCAGTGGCAGATTTGGAGAGCACATAAACAGTATCACCGAGATTTAATGGAAGATGTGTAGTTTGAGTACCGGGGAAATCATAAAGGGCAATAACTGTATCTAAATATTTTACATTTGACGCCAACTTTGGTTTCAGAGTTAATGGTGAATCTTCAAATGAATCTTTTGAACCCAGAGAGGGCATGAAATCAGGCGCCACTTCTTCCATATGGATTGAAGGAGAATCTTGGATAGGATTAATAATTAAAAATGGAAACAAATGGAGCCACAGGTACAAAATCAATTGAGAGGGCAAAACTTTCTAGAAACAAAAAACAATAACCTATAAATAATATGAAGCGCTTTTAAAGCTTGTTTGAAAGGATTTGGTAATGTAATTCAGTTTCTGACTGTTGATAATGGAGAAAAAAAAAGGAGGCTGATCGAAATTATGATTCCCCTACAACAATTGGGGATCCAATAAAACACACTGTAACGGCCAAAGTTTAGACACAACGGTTATTCTCAGGCCTTTTTACCGAGATACGATGGATGGTAAGTTACAATCACCAAACGCCCCAATTTTTTACGACATACGATTAAGAAATGTCGTTCCCAAGGACGACAAAGTGGTATTCGCGAACAGGTTACGGATCAATGTTAAATAAGCACGCACTACAGAAATATAAAGGGCTGGAAGGGTGCTTTTATTATGACGTAGAAAAGCTTACATAAGGGTAAGTCAAAGACCAACAAGCCTATATAAGTATAGGAGTCGAATAATTAACAGCTTGAGTTTGTGTATTCGTATTAAGTGTATTTGTATAACTTAAGTAAAGTTGGAATGCCTCTGCTTTTGTTGATGAGAAAGTACACGGAAAGACTTTATCGGTTCATGGTTACACAGAGGAATTTCAAAGGAAACTATATAAGGTGAACTTCACCAGCTGTGAAGAGATTCAAGCGTAGATATATTCGAAACATTCATGTGACTACTGAAGTATTTCTTTCCAGTTGAATACTGTTAACTTCGGGTTAAAAAGAATATAAAGAGTCTCTATATTACCAATATTGTTTCCATAGTAAACCAATTCCCGTAGTCAATCATAATCTAGTATATCGCTGCAGGGGGCGACCATTTTGCACTTTATATAAGCAATAGACAATGCATGGAAAATTATCCGTTTTGGGAAAACAATGTAAATTCTCACAATAAAATGCCCCAATGGAGAACCCTTAACCAGTGAACTGGTTATAACAAGACCATCATTCCTTTGAATGCATTTATGAGATCTTGCAGTTATATATTGGATGGATTAGTGATATCACCACTTATACCGAGTCAATCAATTATAACTGTGCCTCGAATCTGAACTCTGCAGACGTTTCTAAGAAGGTTTTCTGTGGACTAATGGATAACCTTACATCTAGTTAAGGTGGGTTACTACTATCACAGGCCCATGGTGCATATAGGAATAGGAATTTTTGTGTGTATGAACACCCTGCTTGATAAGATTGTTAAACAGTCAATTTCCACGGACACGGTGCCTTTCATGTAATTGGCACTGTAGATATAAGACAGTTTGATCCATGAAAATGGATACACTAGTATGGGCGGACTCATTCTCCGCAACGATTATGTAACCAAGAAAAATTGCAAGTCTCAACGTACACTACTACCAAACAGAGCGCTCTATTTATCTAATTCTTGAGGCGTACTACATCGTAACCAAATCATTACTAGAATCGTTCTAAACCTTAAGAGAAGATCGTGTTGTTGATACTATTTTTTCTTGTATAACTCATACCGAATCATACATCCTCCTCAATTGATTCGTTATCATATTAGGTAATCAGTTTGAATTATCAGATTATTGTATTCACTTAGCCCATAATGTAGCATAGCCTCGTTCTTCGCGTTATCTGCAAGAGCACCTAACATCATCGCAACCAATACAATTTAGCATTTCTGTAGCATACAGTAACTCGAGATTCTCTGGTTAGAGGCGGTGGCTAGTCGAGGGAGAAGAATGCTGTATATGGATTGAAGTAATACCATACATGTCACTATTAGAGCTTCACTATGTAGTTTGATATACTTGTCATTAACTAGTAGCTCATCACCAATTTGGACGGAAATACAACGGAAATACAATTACTTGATGGAATTAAAAGGCATTATCTGATACTCATTAGATGCAGGAATCTACAAATATGTATGTGAAACTTACTTCTCTTTATTCAAATCGATAGGATTTTACTTAGCATATAATCCCACAGACAGATCGATTGTAGCAGCCACTTTAATCAATGTAACCTACGGTAACTTGTACTGCGGCGAAGGCTGTGTATTTTATGTTAGCCTTGAGGTCACAAGGAGTAGGGATTCCATAAGGTATCTCACAGTGCGTGCGGCGCAATTAAGTTCAAAATGGATTCTTCATTAGGTTCCGTTTAGCCTATTGTATATTCAGGATTGAATTTTGTATGGGGGAGTTGTGAGACTAGTATAAATTTCATTCCACTGCCTCGTTCTGTATCATCATTTGGGAATTTATTCAATGAATGACCACCAAAGACTTTATATGTTTAAATATTATTAATCTTTTTTATTTTTGCCTTCCATTAGGTTTCCAGTGAACATATATTCCTATCCATAGTTGCGAAAATCTTGGGCCATCATCTCTTCAAGTCTTTAATTATATCATTATTGCTACCATGGCAAATAATGAGCATTCTCAAGGCTCAGATACTTTGGAAGTACCAAATAGATCAAAATTAGATATTCCACTGCGTACCAATATTAATGATAATGGTGGAAATATAAGTGATGTTTCAAGTGTATCTTCAGATACTCCCTTGCAAAAGGGATTCTATGAAATATGTCCACGAGAATTAAGTCAACTCCATGATCCTAAATCAATTGCTAGATTGTATAATTTAGGTGGATTAGATCATTTGGTATATGACTTACTAAACAGTTCGACATCTCATGGTATTCAAGATCGTGATGAGGAAAATGATATACAACCAAGAAAACTTCAGTTTGGTGAGAATGTTTTACCTACAAGAAAACCAAAATCATTTATAAGATTATGCTGGGAAGCTATGCATGATAAGGTTTTAATCCTTTTATCCATAGCTGCTGTAATCTCTCTAGCTCTTGGACTATATGAAACTTTTGGTCAAGGTACTGTATACGACGACGAAGGCTTACCGTTACCCAAATTGGATTGGGTAGAAGGGGTGGCCATCATAACAGCAGTTATCATTGTCGTCATTGTGGGTGCTGCTAATGATTGGCAAAAGGAAAGACAATTTGCAAAGTTAAATGCTAAAAAGGAAGATCGAGAAGTTGTCGTTATTAGAAATGGCTCTCAGAAATATATTTCCATATTTGACTTATTGGTTGGTGATTTAATCAACTTACAAACTGGTGATGTGATCCCTGTTGATGCTATTTTAGTTTCTGGTGAAATTGAATGTGACGAGTCTTCAATTACTGGGGAATCAAATACTGTTCGTAAATGGCCTGCTCAAGATTGTCTTCATCATTATGAACGACAATTACCAACTACTGAAGATTTGGGGTCAACAGAAATAAAATTTAAAGATCCGTATATGATATCAGGTTCAAAAGTACTTGGTGGTTATGGTAATGCCATCGCCACAGCTGTTGGTCCTAATTCTATGCATGGTAGAACTATGATGGCTTTAGATGTGGAAGCAGAAGTAACTCCAATGCAAGCTCGTTTGGATGCTCTTGCCGAAGGTATTTCAAGATATGGGTTCCTTGCAGCTTTGATTTTATTTGTGGTTTTATTGATTAGATATGGTGTTCATATTGCTCCAAATGGTTCTTTCCATGACTTACCTGCAACAGAGAAGGGTAAGAAGTTTATTGATATTTTAATTACTGCTGTGACAATTGTGGTTGTTGCCGTACCTGAAGGTTTACCTCTTGCTGTTACTTTGGCTTTAGCGTTTGCAACTACTAGAATGGCTCAAAATGGTAATTTGGTTAGAGTCTTAAAATCCTGTGAAATCATGGGTGGTGCAACGGCAATTTGCTCAGATAAAACAGGAACTTTAACGGAAAATAAAATGCGTATTGTTAGAGCTTATTTCAATAAGGATTTCTTCTTCGATTCCAGATCAGATGCACTTTCAACCGTCACTAACCTCCCTGGTGGACTTAAAGACGTTATTGCTGCAAATATAACCTTGAACTCGACTGCATTTGAAAATGAAAAGTTTGATGAATCCATATATAATAAGGCTAGAGAAAAGCCCAAGCCAAAATCATTGATCTCTACTTTAATTTCCAATATACGAGGTCAACAAAAAGCACATTCTCAGACTGCTTTAGGTGTTGAGTCTGAACCTTATTTGGGTAACAAAACTGAATCTGCTTTACTTATTTTTGCCAGGGAATCAATGAATCTTTTCAAGCTGCAAAGTCTTGAGTCTATTCGTACTCAAAATCGTCCAGAAATCGTTCAAACTATACCTTTTGAATCTTCTCGTAAATGGGCTGGTATCATTGTTAAGTTGGGTCCAGGTAAAGGTTTCCGGTTTTATATCAAAGGTGCAGCTGAAATTGTATTCAAACAATGTGGGTATGAAACAACTACTAATCATAAACTCGACAGATCTGATAGAGAACGGGTATTATGCAAAATTGATGAATATGGTATTGATGCCCTTAGAGCAATCATGTTAGCCCATCGTGACTTTTCCCATTTGAAATCTTGGCCACCCACTGAAATTGCTGATGAAAATAATCCTCGGGAAGCAGATCCTAAGCTTTTATTCAATGCTTCTCATTCTGCATTTCAAGAACGGAGCTTGATTTTGGATATGCTCGTAGGTATTCAAGATCCTGTCAAAGAAGATGTCCCTGAAGCAGTTTTACAATGTAAGAAGGCTGGAGTTTCTGTTCGTATGGTCACTGGTGATAATTTGCGTACTGCCAAATCCATTTCAAAGAATTGTAATATCCTTGTTGCTCCGGATTTGGATAATGAATTTGCATGTATGGAAGGTCCAGTGTTTCGTGAATTACTGTTGAAGGAAAGACAAAGAATTGTACCTAATTTGAAGGTGTTGGCAAGATCATCTCCTGAAGACAAAAGAATATTGGTTGATACTTTAAGAAAATTAGGTGAAGTTGTTGCTGTTACTGGTGATGGTACTAATGATGCCCCTGCATTGAAATTGGCTGATGTTGGGTTTTCTATGGGTATTGCTGGTACCGAAGTTGCACGTGAAGCTTCCGATATTATTCTAATGACTGATGATTTCACTGATATTGTTCAAGCCATCAAATGGGGTAGAACAGTTGCAACTTCCATCAAGAAGTTTATTCAATTTCAATTAACAGTGAACATTACTGCTTGTGTGCTTACATTTGTTTCAGCTGTTGCATCATCGGATGGGCATTCAGTTTTAACAGCTGTCCAATTGCTTTGGGTTAATTTGATTATGGACACTTTAGCTGCTTTGGCATTAGCAACAGATAAACCAGACGATTCACTTTTAAACCGTCCTCCAGCAGGTAGAACACTGCCATTGATTTCAACATCTATGTGGAAAATGATTCTTGGACAATCAGCCATGCAATTGACTGTAACTTTTATTCTTCATTTCAAAGGGCCTCATTTCTTCTTTGGTAACGGTGCAATTGATAATCACGAACAGAAACAATTGGATGCTATGACCTTCAATGCCTTTGTTTGGTTACAATTCTGGAAGTTGGTGGTCACAAGAAAGCTTGATGAGGCTGATGAAATCACTACTATTAGAGGACGTATCACTAGAGAGAATTTGGATTTCTTCCAACATTTATTGAGAAACTGGTATTTCATTGTCATTACTGTACTTATTGGAGCATGTCAAGTGCTTATTATGTTTGTTGGTGGAGCAGCATTTTCTATTGCTAGACAAACTCCTGGAATGTGGGCTACCGCTATTATTTGTGGGTTCCTTTCTATTCCTGTTGGTATAATCATTCGAATCATCCCCAACATTTGGGTTGAACGGTTATTCCCAACCAAAGCATTCAATACATTCTTGTACTATGCTGGGCTCAAGTTCCTTCTGAAGAAGAATAGAGCCAACAGAAAGAACTCTGATGAAGAAGCTGGTAATAAGAGGGAAAATGGTGAAGTAGAGCCGGGGAAGGCTGAATAATTAGACTAAGTGTATATTATTAATGTTATCAATATTTTTGTTAAAGCAAATGCTTTCTCATACTTAGGTATCTGTTTTTGTCATCCATAAGATTGATGGCGAACTTCTTATAGATGGGAAAGAATTGTGTCAAGTTCTTGAAGAGTAATTGAAGATCAATGAATGTATCAATTATCTCTAACGTACCTTGATTCACTGAATTGTAATTTGCATCTTGAATCATGAGTTTACTTAAATGTTTGTATAATCTATCGGTTAGTGTTTGGAACTTTTCTATAGTTAAATCTTGGTTATAATCAACAGTTGGATCATATTTTTCTATTGTGGTAAACAACCCAAGCACTTTCTTGATATTATCTTGAATTTCCTTATATTTAATTAATTGAGCAACCACCACGTTCCCAGGATCAGAATCATCTACTATATCCAACTCTTTAGTTACTTTCGATAGTTCTTCATCTAAACTGGAGACATTACTATCCAACATATTCAAGTAGTAATTCAATCTGTTATTAGTATTACTATTGGAATCTTCGTTAGTCTCTAGCACTCTGGATAACCTTTCCAATTGTTGGATCATGTCTTGGTTTAGTTCCAGCACATAGTAGTCCAAATGGGTGATCAAGGTTCCCATACTGTTGTTGATTGCTTGCAAGTTTTGATCTGTGTAGACGCCATGACCTGTGGCCTGAGAGTTCGAGTGTAATTCTGCTGGGATATGGCCCAACTTCGGGGATGTAGTGGGTTCAGAACTGAGTATTGATTGGTGAAGGGCATTGATGTAATTGGAAGCCTGGAACCCCAGGTCAAAAAACATAGCAAGCTGTTCTTCATACTCCTTTGTCATAATGGGCAATATTAATAGTGGACAGCGGATGGTAATCGTGGAGGGTAATCGTGTACAGTATTGATAGCTGACAGAAGAATAAGTGCACTTTATATTTAAATCTATTGATGTCGCAATGTCTCATACAAACCAACTTGACTTCTTTGATTATGATACCTTTAATCACCATTCAACAAAGCTTTGAAAGCGTTATAGACGATTGCACACGAGGTGTAGTCGACGAGGAAGACATATGGGTTACCAGACGTCTGTTGAATAAGGCAGATGATGCAATTACTGAGTATTACGATTTAACCATAGCTAAAGGTGATCACCTATCCTATAGCAACGTTCAAGTCACATTAACCCCTTTAAAGTCACATCAATATGAATTGAAGTTGAAGGACGATAGGTATATTATTGAAACCGGTATCGATGTTACAACCATTGAAGGTACGATTAATTCCATTGACGCCGCCAAAAGTGTTGATACTCCAATAGTTATTGTGGCCAAAGACTTTGAAGTCGCTTGTATTGATATAAAAGAAAAAGTTATAACTAATCAATTGAGGCTATCCAGTAAAGTCACGAGTCCTATTTTAAAGGCATATTTGTTCCCATCCAATAAAGTCATTCTTACCGTGAATTTGGACTACTCATGTAATATTTTTCCACTAGAGCAAACCAAACATGAAGACGAAGGTGATGAAGATCAAGACGAAGATGAAGATCCTCAACCTGTGCGCACTTTCATTGGACATAAAAAGACTATCACCAGTTTACAATTGATTGGATGTAAAGGAAGAAACGTTCTTACGGGATCAAAGGATGGTAAGATCAATTTGTGGGATTGCGGCAGTGGTACATTGGTGAAATCATTTTACAGAATAGATGGCATTGATGATCCAGTGAACAGCATAGTTCTTGGGAACATCGAACCTTTGAAAGATCAACCTATTAATAACGTAAATGAATTTGAAACCTCGGGTATATGTTTCTATGCTGGATATCAAAGTGGAATAATTCAACAATTTGATATTGTTAACCACAACCAAACTAGAATCAAATTTAAGAATGATGATCCAATTGTTAAATTAATTAATGTGGAGAATAAGTACCTTGTTAGTGGACACGAGAATGGGGTTTTAAGTATCTGGAGTTTAAAAACAAACGAGAAAGTCTTTCAAATTCAGTTCAATCAGGATTATCCAATTAGTCTTATTGAGTGTATTGAATTGAGTCATCATCAAGATACCATAAAGCTTGTTATATATAATGGGCCTGAAACGTTACTTCGATTGAGTATAGACTTAGCCAAGAGCACAATGGATTCATTGCACTACTTGGTAGGACTACCTGAAGTTTTCCAATTGACTGATATGACTGTAAAGAACAATGTATTATATGTTGTAGGCAATGATGGATTCCTTTACAGCTACAGGTAAAGCCATGTTACCAGTATATATACATATATACATTTCAGAAAATTTCCATCATATTATGCATACATATATATATATATAATACAATGAGAAACACCTGGCAATATATATATAGAATTGATATCATCTAGTACCAATCAACACTAGCAGATCATTATATTTTCATTATAGGCATAAAAATACTCAGACAGATCAAAATCACAAGACTTGCTTACAACTTTGCTCTTGGGTCCAATTGCTTGAAGACAGTTTCAAGAGAAGCAGCCTTCATCATATTACCCTTGATCTTCAATTTACCACTCATGAACAACTTTTGACCGTTAGCCTTGTTTTCAGCCATCTTAACAAAGTCAGCATCCTTCAAGATCAATTGAACATCATTTTTTGGAGGAGTATCAACCTTAGCAACGGTACCCTTATCCTTCAAGTCCATAACCCAAGATTGTTCCTTACCGTCCTTGTTCTTCAAGGTGATAACGAGAATAGCTCCAACAGATTTGATGGCCTTTTCTTTGAGATCGGGTTGTTGCAAACCATTTTCAATCATTTCCCACATTGGAGAGGAGTTGAATCCATCAGCGACGACACCAGACATTATATTTAAATTAATTGGAATGTAAAAGTAGTAATAAAATTAAACCAAGAGAATGAGCACTTGAATCAAGTTCTTAGAATGAGATAAGGTTGTGAATAATTTTACTTCACTCAAAGGAGGATTTCAAAGCCATTTATACTTTACTTGGAGCAACTTTTTCTACTAATAAAGTCTGGGGTAAATCACAAGCTACCCTTACCTAAAACGGGTATCGTTTCATAAAGGTGCTTGTGAAAAAATCACCTTTCGCACTAATCTGGTACTGTCATTGCGAATGGTAGTGTGATGGTATTAGATGACGTTGCAGGTCATTATCAGGGTATAATGGTGATGCTTATGACTCTTTCTATGTTGTACGACGACGCTTTACGTACCATGAAACGGAGCATTTCACTTGTAGTATACCCAAGTGGACCAGACACTACACTTTATGTTCCTAAGATACTTGCGGTATGTACTACACTATATTTTACTGTTCCCTGTATGTATTTGATCCACGGTCATCAATGTATACTAAACCTCGGTGGGGCATCTGGGTGTCCCCCTCCTTTGAGACTGGTATCGCCGATAATCTCTCATGCATTTCGCGGGGACTTGGAGTGTTAAGGTTGCAGTCCGTGGTCGTCGGAGTCTTCCTGCCTAAATAGGAAGTAAGTTTTCAAGAGGAGTCAAGTTTTATGTCCGTCTTACTATGGACAGCGTATAATGGACATAATGGACATGGAATAATTTTAGTGTGCACTATATTGACTTATCACACTACCAGCCTCGGATTAATTTGTATTAACATATGTTATTATGTCCCTCTATACTGTGTAGTTCCATCTTTGTTCCATGCATTTGCAACTTTATGCAGTTTATTGTACTCCACCAGAAGCATACCATTGCCGTAATATTACGTAAGCACACGGTAGCGCCTCGGTATGATTGTGAATTTTTCACTAATAATTAAAGTCATCGTACATTAACAAGTATCTCATCTCATATTACAACCACGCCTCGGTCTCAAGATGTTCAGCTCCACATCATCTAAAACGCAAACAGAATCTACAATCAACAGGCTATTAGCAACTTATTTGCCTGGAACGACGGTTGATGAAACAAAGTCACAACTATGGAATAATAACAGTAATAATAAGAACTCGAAAATAAGTTCCTCTACACAACAAATTCATCAACAGATTAAGAGATCAAAATTATCCAAACATGAAATCAAAAAGATCAATAAACTGAATAAGGCTAAACTCAATAAGCTGGTGTTGAAGAATCAAGCTGAATCTAAACGTGTAGCCAAATTGGCCAAATATGATTTAATTAAGAACCGCCATCGTGATGATTTAACGATTGAAGAAGAAAAATACTTGAATAAGTTGATTAAAAGAAACGTCAATAGTATTAAACGAGTTAGTGAGATTCTGGATTTGGAAGTTAAAGAAGAATTAGATTTTGTTAAGAAGGATATACTTGAAAAGTTGAACACCAAAAAGTCAAAGTCAAAGTCAACTTCAAAAGATAGACAGAAGCAACAGTTCCAAGACAAGATCAACAAGGGATTCATTTCGTATCCTGGTTTAACACCAGGTTTGGCACCTGTTGGCGTTGATGATGATGACGAATCTGATTAGTTAGACATCCATCTCATATAATTCTTGACGAATATCACAAGCAATCTTTCGGATATGTCTCTTTCGATCATCTAATACTGGAATTAGTTGGGTTAATGTTTGTTGTTTATATTTGAATAATTTCTCCCGAGGCTGAAACCCATTGAATAAATTATAAATGCATTTCAAACTTAATGTTCTGGTTTCTGCAGATCCACTCAATGATAATGAAAGTAATCGAGGAACAATGGTATCTAATTGGTCCATGACCAAGGAATCCTCAGCAATTATCATTTCTAAAGTCATTAAAGATGCTTTGATCAACATGGGACTATTCAACACAAGACTATTCATAATTAAGGGAAGAATTTGTTTCAAATGAGGTTGATAAATAGAACTAGGTAAATTGTTCAATACCAATGACAATGCAACTAAATAAGTTGTGTTTCTTGTTGAAGTGTACCCTTCAATTAATTCGGGAAGTATTTGCTCAAATGTAAATTGCTTGTAAAGTGGTTTGACGTTCAAGTTACGAACATCATTTATTGGTCCACTGCCATTGCTGTAATTGGGGAAATGAAATGGAATAAAATTGGGTAAATCAATATAAATAATATTGAATGCCTTAGCCACTGGTGATGATTCTTCTTTTAATTTCGTAACAAGTTTTAACAAAAACTTTACCCCCAAGGGATCCAACTTCATTACCAATCCTTTAATAACCCAAGCAAATAATTCAACTTGCTTAATCAGTGTTAAATTTCCGTATAATTCTTCAAGGTATTCTTCATCAATACCCTTTGTAAACTTATTCATGATGATTGCCAATGTTTGTAAGTAGCTTAATCTCAAATACTCATCTCCATTACGTTGCTGAAGAAGTCCAATGATACTGGTGTAGTCAGGTGAATAATCAACTGACTTATCAATGTTGCTCAATACTCTGTTGGAAATAATGATAGCCTTGTTCATCGACTCAAAACTAGTGCCATGATATCTTGTCATGTAATCATTTATGATGAATTGATGTTTCAGTTTATGGGTTAATCTTATCACTAAACCCAAAAACTCACCACATGCCTCAATAGTACCATAATCCATAGAATCAATATTATGGTTAACAATAGAGGTTAGGAAACGTGGTATAAAGTTTTTGTACCAAGATTCAAAATTAACCTTTAATATACTTTCTGGAGAATTAATAATCAGCTTAACAAGGGTATCAATGATTAGTTTGCCAAATTGAGACTCACCTGCAAAGGTAGAAGCATCAGTTAATCTCCCCAATAATCTAATAGATAACGTTTCCAACATTCTATAATTGAATACCAATTCACTCAATAAATTTAAAATCTTAGGGTACGAGGGGAAATCGGCAGTTAAATGATTCAATATATTAGGAAGACATTGTTCAATAAACATGGAGATGATTACGTCATTGTTACTAAGTTTCTTCATATTCAAAACAATTTCTCTTAAAACAATATCTGTATCCCACGATGTCTTTTCTTGATCAATTGTGCTTATCAAATTATCGTTAAAATAAGTAATAACGAGTAAGTCTTCCCGTGGATTCAAATATTCAGGTAATCTGATCAATTTGGTCAATTGTTGGATTAACTTACACTTCAATGTCTTTTCCAAAAGTGAAGATGACTGCAATAATTGACCCATAAAGATCAACAAATGATCTTTATGAGTAAATAAACTGTTTGTTTGAGTAAAACTATCGTCCAAATTTGTATTTGATGCCAATATATCATAGGCAATGAACATATATCCAAAACTATCAATTAAATCTCTTTGTTTGGAAGTATTCAAAGGTTCATTTTGGTGCTCAATTGTTGTGATAGTTTCATTATCAATGTACTTCCCCCAAATATCGGTACTAAATAAGAATTTAGAAATGGTTAGGAAACTTGATTCGTTGCAAGAAGCAAGAACCGACAAAATAATAATGGAATGTTTGTATGACTTTTCTTTTAATCCTTTCAATTTAGGGGTTAGTTCAGTAATGACAATATCAAGGTAACTTTTCAAAGCGTCATAATTATCTTCAAATTTATCCAAGATCTTAGTGAATAAATCCAAGACTAATAAAAGAGTCTTTTCTTCGGAATCATCACCATATTGAGTAATATAATTGGGTGGGATAAGATAATCTTCATTTGGCTTCAATTGAGTGGTAACTTCATTATGCAAGATTTCAAACTTAACTGCGTTCCAAATAGAAAGCCAATATTGTACAATTGTTTCTTGTGAATAACTCTCAATACATTCCAATAAAGTTATCAAGACGTCATTTCTAATAGTAGGATTTGTAGACGTTAACTTTTCAAATAAACTAGGAAACAGATCTTTGGCATATAATGATTGAGAGGCTATAGCATTACGCAAGCCAGTCTTTAACTGTTCAGAGGTAATACCATAAGGATCATTGGGAGGAGGAGTGAAAGTAATGGGGAAGTAACAGAAACAGACATCAAACAATTGTTCGACAAGAGTTGGGTCCAACTGACTAAAAGATTTGTTGATCATGGAGTTCAATTGGAATGATATTAACAAGTTTCTAGGGTCTTTTTCTCCAGTAGCAACATGGATAAAAGTTTCCGTGAATAGCTGGTAATGATTGATGGTTATATAATCTTTATGGTTCAATAATAACGACTGAAGAACTTTGAAGGCATAATATCTTACTTTGGCCAAATGAGATCTTGGAGTATAATATTGTTTATTCAACCGTTGTAAGATTTTTTGCAAATTATCGTTGGCAGATGGCTTGAAATTCTTCGACACTATCAAGGAATCAATCAAGCGCAAGCAATATTGTAAACTGGGATTATCATCAAACTTGGAAAGCAAAAAGTCAATTAAAACATTGACATCTTTCATAGTAATTGTAGCAGTATTGGGTTCCAAATTAGTCAATGTTGAGCTTAGACAGTGGACGGCTTTGCTTCTAACACTATCTTTATCTGAGGTTAAAGTTGGACCCAATAATTGAATGAATTCAAGTAATGACATTTTGCCTTCGGTTATCAATTCACCCAAGATCAAGGTAAATTCATTGGCAGTGTTTGATCCATCTTCTATAGTAGTCAGTGCAATAAACTGATGAATCAATGTAGCTGGATCATGGACTTCCAACGGTTCAGACATATTATACTATCCAAAGCTGCTATAATACTATTCCTTGTCATCAATGTACTGGTGTATATTTCTGTAGTACGTACTACCAGATCTCGATCTCAGATTGTTGGAGTGTGTGGAAAAATTTTCTACGCTCTTAGTAATTAACGTAGATAAGATAAGACACAATTGGTACGAGGTGTAGTTGTAAGTAAGAGACGTTACATCGTTAGTAGGAGATGTTATAATGATGTACTTGCAGCATTGTATGGTTTTTATTGACTGAGTCAAATACAGCTTTTCATAGAGATTGTAGATCACGTAAGCTGATGGTAATACAAATGGCTAAGTTCGTTTCTTCTAGATCCATAATTACCATCTATCAGTTGTTATAACCTAATGGTTGATAATCATTAGTATTAAAGTGTAGTAGTCTCATTGAAACGTAGTATGGTCAAGTCTCACTTAACCCGATAAGACTACACACAGGCTGCCAGGTGAGGAAAACTGGGGAGCCTTTAACATAAAGCTTCGGGTATTCCCTTGCTCTCCACATCATCATGACTATAGTAGAGAGTAGTGAAAGGCATGCCCATGAGCTAACAGAAAATGAGCGTACGGCCATCAAACTATTTGAATTGGCGGAAGAAAGAGAAGTACAAGGCCAATTATCAGATTCGGTTAAGTACTATCGACAGGCCACTAAGCTTTGTCATAATGTTGAAACTATCTATCGACAAAAGCATTTACCAGGTCTTGTTAAGAAGCTACAACAAGAAAGAGGACACAGCAGAAAGGTTGATGAAGACCAAGTGAAGAGAATTAACGTGGATAAACTATTACAGTCGTTTGAATATGCTGAAGTCATACCATTTGATCCGAATAATCCAGATCATCTAGAGCCTGGTAGTATGGTGATAAAATTAGGAATCACCGATACTGAAGTACCTCAAATATCTCCGTTACTTGATTTACATGATGATATATGGGTAAATATTTTGGAAATTCTTATTAGTACAGATTGCCAATCTTGGTTCAATTTCTCCATGACTTGTAAACGGAATGCTTATATTGGATTTGGAAACCAATACATTTGGAAATACCTTTGGAATAGAATATATCCATCACAAATTTATGATGGGTTAACGATGGAAATGAAGGTTCAAATGTTAGAAGCCAAATTGAATCTTCAATATGGTTCTAAACCTAAACAAATGCTTAAAACCCAACCATATATAAGATTTGGTGGGATCTATATTAGTGTGGTGAACTACCTAAGCGAAGGTGGTAAACTGTATGATTCAAGTAGTTGGATTAATCCTACTCGAACTATTACATATTATCGATATTTCCGATTTTATCCTGATGGTCAATGTTTAATGTTGCTAACCTTTTTAGAACCAAAACAAATTGTACCCTTTATCCAACGTGGAAAGCAATATGCTACACCCACAACTGATAGCAATAGTACTGGTGGTGGTGGTGGGCTAGACGAATACAAATCTGAACCCAGTAGAATTTATTGTGGATCATGGACTCTAGATGATTCTACTTCTAAACTAACAATCGTGGTTACTAATGGACCTAGTCCTCATCATGTTTATTATTATACATTTGTCATTAAGAATATGGCCCATTATTATCATGGGAAACTTAATTGGGAAGCCATGGAATCAGTGAGAAAACCTGTCGTAGGTGAAGTGCCTTCAAGAGAGGGCGAAGTTAGTCAGTTATCGATAAGAAAGGAGAAACCATTTAGATTTCTGAAAGTTAAATCATATCAATATTAGTCTAATAATAGAACTATTATCTAGGAGTAGTAGTAGTTGTTGTACGACTCCACTACCATATACCGATGAGCCTTTTTGACTTTGGACACGACCTGCACTTAATCAGTTTAATGTTTATAATCTACTAAAGTCTCCATAGTATTCATAGTTAATCGTGACAGCTATTACTATAAAGATCATAGTACCGCTTGTTGATTGGTTGAGCTGATTCAAGTTACTTCAAGTTACTTTAAGTTGCTTCAAGTTATTTGCTTTGCTTTGACCGGTTTTGTTTTGATTCGATCTGAGTTGATCTGTCCTCATTTGGTCTGATCTGAGTTGATCTGATCCTATTATGATTGAAATTCCAGATTTAGACGATTTGGATCAAACTCCCAATGCTTATGTATATCGACAACCTCCCACAGAAATCGATGTGAACTCTTTGAATCACCCTGTCCATGATTCAATAAATCAATTAAATGGTACTAAAACTGGGCTACCTTTGAACTACTATTCTGGTGATGCTATAGGTCTTCAAATCTATTCCTCGCAAGATGTTGAGGAAGACCCTACAAACAGTAAACAAATCCCGATAATCGATCCAAAATCGGCTGTTGTTACTTATGAATTGGACGATAATGAAGTTACAGCTTTCGTTCCTCAACTTCAATCTCCTCAGGAAACTGCAGTATCAGAGTTTTCTTATATCCGAACCTCAACTCCTGCTAATGAAAATATTAAACCTACACCATTGGAACAGAATCCTATTTCTGAACCTGAATTTCCTCAATACTTCAATCAAAATAGTGAATTCCCTCAAACAGGCTTATCGATTGATGGCGAAGTTGTTCCTCAAGCTCCTGAAGTCATTCCAGATCATCAAAGACAACAACAATTGGAAGAAGGAGGAAATCAGGATGATTATGTGGCATTGCTCTCAACTAATACAGCTGCTACATCTTCTTCAAAAGTGTTTAAGTTTCCCCCCAGTAGATCAAAGGAGTCGCCTATCCTTCAGCCACCTCCCTCGGCCATGACAATACAAACAGTTACTTTAACGAATGATGATGAACGGGATATCAGACGGAGTCTAGCGTCGGCACTGAAGAAACCAGTGGAATATACTATGCACATTGTGTTCACTCAATTTGTTAAGATGGCTGATGTCAAATTAGATTTATGTATGAATTATCCCCAGAATGATGATCCTCCAGTGATGGAAGTCTTGGGTGAAGGAGTTGATCCCAAATTTGATAAAGTTATTTCGGCTCTTGGATACATTTCTAGAAGAAAACCTGGTCCAATAGTTGATGTAATGATGCAATGGAGAAGTCGAATGAATGAAGATGCCTTGCAAACATCTGGAATGGCTGCAAAGGTTGAAGAAGCTTTAAAAAGAACTTCTGTTGCATATGGGGATTTGGAAGCTTCTGATAATAATAGTGGGGGTCATAGTATTAAAAAAAGACAATCCATGAGTTTAATTCGAAAAAAAAGTCATGGGAAGTATAACAATAATATTCATAGTAACTTGGGGAAACGTGAATCGTCCATCAATTCTTCTTTGAACCAAAGAAATACAAGTGTTTCAAATAATGACATTGCCAATATCGAACGTCAAGCAGCCAAAATGCAAGCAATCAAAGCTGATAGAAGATCTCTATCATCAGTGTTTTTGCTTTGTCGAGTATTAATTGAAGTCATTAAGCAAACTTCTATAGAAGATATGGGAGTCAAATTAAGTGACAAATTGGAAGAAATGGCTTATATCCAATTGAAAATATCCGATCCTATATTGACTAGTAAATCACTTGTTCGTTCTGCTAATTGGAATTTATGTACTGAATTGCTTGGATATATGTCTGAACAACGATTTTTAAGTGTTAGTGATAGATTTGTGGCTGATTTAGAAAAGGTTCCAACTCAAGTTAAACATGAAGACGAACCAAAGTATCATTTATTAATTCAAGGAATGAAATATTTGAAGTTAAAGAATGATTCTTTAGAGAGGTTTGAAGAAAGTTCAGAATTTATTTTATCTTTGGCTAAATTCTTTGAAAGAAGTCGTAATGAAGCCATTGTGTTTGCTTACTGTGATGTATTGGGAAATTTATTACTTCCTCTAGCAAATATTTTGACTGCTGAGACCAACCATCCTACTTGGGTTGAAGCAATGGAAAGGATTTATAATAAAGCTTATAAGATTTGGCATCTTCATCGTGGTGGTAATCATAAAGAAGGGTCTCCTGCCACTACTTCTAGCTCAATGACAAACTCATCGTTGATAAACAATGTGTTTTCCTTTTCATCTTACAATGGGTGGACTTATTCAATGCATTTGATGACTGCTGTGTTAGTGGTTTCTAGAAAGGAATTATTTTCTGAATCATGGTTAAGAATGATTGAAGAAAATTCATCTAAATTGAAAGTTAAAGTGCCGGCCAATGAGAAAACCACGTTTATTATTTGCATAGCACGGTTACTCTGGGTATATGTTTATCGGTTGCCCGATACTTTAAACAATACTGTAAAGAGATTGGATAGTTTGTTTGATATGTTATTTTTTAACCCGGCTGTCGTGTCAAAGAAGAATCAATGGATCAATTTTGATATGTATCTAATTAATGGGTTGGAAGAAATTATTAAAGCTGTTGGATATCATCATTTGAATTATGTTCTTGATAATGTTCTTATTAAACTATTGAATCTTGCGTTTCCTGGTACAACCTTAGAAGGTCTTTCCCCTGAACGAATCATCTTGGTTATAAAAAGTTATTTATCGATCTTGGAGGATTGTGAATTGGGAAATAAACCGTTATTCCCAACAGATGAAGAGTTAGGTTCAAGAGTTTTCAAATATAGTTTGGTAGGTTCAAGGTGGGATAAATCAAAGAATTCTATTAATGTTGAAGAACAAAGAAATAAAATTCGCTTGAATGAATTCATGTTCTTAGCTAAAAATTCTAATAATGCAGCTTCACATGAAGAAATATGTCGTTCATTTGCTTCATTATTTAAGCTTTTAGATGCAGAATGTGGATCAGATGCTTCCAGATTAACTACTACCACGAATACTCGATCTCATTCTAATTCTTTAAGTAAAAACCCTTCAATTAAAAACCCTTCAATTTTCAATTTTGGTATGGATTTTTCGTATACTTCAAAGAATCTACAATATGAAGTATTTGCCAATTTGATGAATGCAGTTCCTTGGACCATGGTCCCCATTCCTGGTGAAACTGTATCGCTTTGTGGTGTTCCATTTAAACAAGTGGTTGAGATCCTTACCAGAAATGTTGTTCACTCCGATGAAAGAGTATCTAATGGCGCAGTGACAGCGTTAAGAAGGTTGGCATCTAGGAAGAACCCTACCACATTGATCACCACGTTTGCTAAAATTGCTTTTCAGTTCACAGAAAGACCAAACCCATCGTATGATTACGGATACACTGAATCTCATGAATTCCAAAGACTCTTGAAATTATATGTTGAACTATTGAACTGCTGGCTTCAACAGTTCAATGATATTAATGAATGTCGAAAATACATTCACATCAGCAATCCTTTGGCTCAAGAAGATGAAGTCATGAATCAGGATGTTTTGAATGATTTATATCAGATCAACCACAAGATTGAAACCTCGGCTGTTGATGCCATGAAGTTTAAACCTTCGGAGGACTTAGAATGGAAAGAAATAATCACTGTTATTGAAGAAATAGAAGGTAACGGGTTATTTTTTCTCTGTTCCCAAGATTTCACTACTAGATTCCATGGACTTTCGATATTAAAATTGGTGGAGAAATTTGACCAAGTTATCTATGAAATTACAGACACCAACAATATCAACAACAATATTCCTAATAACAATAATAATGCTAACGAAGAGAAACAAATGAAACAGCATTCTAGAAGCTCGTCAAAGTTTGCAGCTGATGTCGGTACTCGATTGGCTAATGTCTTACAAGTTATTGATTTCTTTGAGTTGTTGAAACCAATTAGAAGAGAATTAAGTAATCCTGAACGTCAACGATTATCCAAGTTAAGAAATAAGAAGAATATGTTGATCCGATTGGCTGAATCTGATCATGGATTAGATACCACGGTTTGGTTTAGAATCTTTCCCAAGTTACTTGACATTTTTTTTGAACGGTGTCCAATGCCTGTTGCCATGTGTCGATCTATTGTATGTGTTCGACTTGTTCAAATGCATGAGCAAGTACTTGAATACAGTGATTCCTATAGGATGACATCATCTTTTTTCTCCAAGCCATTGTCAACTCCTCCAGAAGTATTGATTAACCAATGGAAAATCTATTTGATATTTGCTTGTTGTTCATTGACATCAACGAGTGAACAAAAAATAGCAATACCCACCAAACCATCTCATGGAAGAAAGAAATCAATGCAAATGTATATTCAACATCAAAAGATCACCAGTGCAAAATCGATTTTCAGAATGATGATTCCCTTTTTGAAGACTCAGCTGTCAATGGTTCGTGATGCAGTGGTGACGGGATTAAGTTCCATAAACATCAACATTTTCCAGACCCTATTGGAAAATACTCCAACAAGTTTAAATGATTGGGGTAATCATACTTCCACAAGAGATTCCGGTGAAGATCGATTAAGAATTGGGATAATCCAAATCTTAAGTAACATTACCAGAAAATTTGTTTCTGAGCCGTTTATCTTTGATAACTTGACTATTGTTGAATATCTTGTGAATATTGCGAAAAGCTTAAAGAATTTTCTTTCATTACCAACGGTTCAAGTATCAATTGAATTCCAAAAGCTTAGAAGATTTTGGTGTACGTTGGTGGAGAACGTTTTTAAAGGCTTACAACAAACTCTGGAGGTTGATAAGTGGTTCCCGTTTGAAGCTCGGTTGGGCTGTTATACTTATTTACATGAATGGTGTGGATATGGTGAATCCAGTAGAACTGCAGAAGAACGGTATACTACAATGCTAGCCATGGCCATTCAACAAAAGGATGATGGGGCTTCTGCTGCTGCCATACTTGAGGTTGAAAGGAAAGCTTTACAATTTGCTTCCTTAAGTTGTATGACTTGTTTATGTTCATCGCCAATATCTCAACTGTTTGATATTCCAGGAACCATAGCTTTAATGTCCTTTGATATTCCGGCTTTGATGTTTTGGATTCACTCCCTTTTCTGTTCAAGAGATGAACTTGTATGTGAAATTGGTAAGAATGCTTTACACAATGTATTGGTGTCTAATATTAACAATCCAACGATATTTCAATACATTGTTCGAGAATGCTACATTTCTCAAGAACCTCAAATGAATATTTCCCTTTACATTGTCACCTTTATTGAAACAATATTAGAACATAAACAGATGACTGAACTATCATTGGAATTGATGTGTTTTGCAGTGTTATTTGTGGGCCATGATGATTATGATGTTAGGTATGCAGCCATAAGACTTGTGGTAAGAATGGAAGAATTGTTCTACACTACCTCCACTGCTAAGCTATACATGGAAGCTGTCTGTTGTCGTACGAGACTTGTTTATAAGAGAGCACTTTACGATATTTCCAATAGTTGGGCAGAATCTCATCCTGAAGGACACTTTGAAGTGATTTCATACTTTACAAAGTTCTTTAATTTGGTGGATGGCTGCAATAGGAAAGATATCTCTACGTGCTTAATACCGTGGCTCCAACATGTGGATCTAAAGTACGCTGCAGTTGATGATAATAGCAGTAATGATAACGAAAATGATAGTCCTGTGGTGGTGGGGTCTAAACTTGATGCCAACTTTCAAATGGTTCTTTATAACCTTTTTGAAATAGTAGTAAAGTATAGTTCTTCATTACCAAATGAAGTTCAAGCACTATGGATTGCCATTGGTACCAAACCCTTACATTACGATATTATCTTAGATTTTCTTATGGAGGCTTGTTTAGTTCGAAGGTCACCTCAATTTGTTGAGTATGCCAGACAAATCAACGACTACCTAACCTTTTCAAATCCAGATGTTAAGGTTACTATTGGAAAATATATTGAAAACTTACAATCCAAATCCATGGTCCCTAAACAGTACCGCCCTGAAGAAATGATTTCTTGTTTCAAAGTTGAATCGGATTTACCCTATGTTGCTGATATTCAAGAGTTAATTCCTTATAATGAAAAAGATGCCATATTTTCCATGGGTCAATTATCAATGATATTTTTGGTTGATATGTTTACCATTCAAAATGAACCAATGGTTGAAAGTTTACCATTATTACTTCAGGTATCTTTCTCCTTATTAGATCACTATATCCCTATAGTTCAGGAAGCTGCCCGTTCATTATTGATTCAATTGGTTCATACCTTAGCACCTAATGAACCTAAATCAGAACAAGTTATCAAGCAATTGAGAATCAAAAAGGATTTCCATAAAGACCTTTGGATGTATGATGATTTAACCAATGGCAATAAGGGAACAAGAACTCCCAAGAGTATGGACCTATTAGCAAGAAACATACTTGATATATTTGTTAATATTGCTCCAACTTTACAAAACGATTGGGGTAGAGTTGCATTGAATTGGGCTACTACTTGTGCTGTTAGGCACATTGCATGTCGATCATTCCAATTATTCCGATCATTGCTTTCATTTTTAGATCAACGAATGCTTAAAGATATGCTTCATAGATTATCCAATACCATTTCTGATGATTCGGTTGATATTCAAGGGTTTGCCATACAAATCTTAATGACATTGAATGCCATCACTGCAGAATTGAAGGCTGAAAGTTTAATTGATTTCCCTCAATTATTCTGGGTCAGTGTTGCATGTTTAAGTACTATCCATGAACAAGAATTCGTTGAAGTCTTATCAACCATGTCCAAATTTGTATCCAAAATAGATTTGGATTCTCCCGATACAATTTCCTGTCTAATCTCTGCCTTCCCTTTGAAATGGGAAGGGAAGTTTGATGGACTTCAGAACATTATTTTAACTGGGTTAAGATCAGGAACTTCATGGAATCTTACCATTAAATTCTTGGATAAATTAAACACTTTGAATGATAGTGATATTATTGGAGTTGGAGATGGTAGATTAATAATGTCTGTTGCATCTAATTTACCACGATTCTTACATGCCTTGGAACAGAAAACCATTAAAAAGGATGTTTATGATGCAGCAGTTCAATTATCCAAATTGGCAGATCAATGTAATAAACCAGCATTGGCCAGAATTTTGAATTCATTATCAAAGAATAGATTTAGATCTAAAAAGGACTTTTTGGTTCAAACTTTGGCTACCATGAAGAGTAATTTCTTTCCTCAATATGAAGCTCAAGTGTTGGTATTATTATTAGGATTCTTACTGAATAGCATTCCTTGGGTTAAATTAGAAACCTTGGCACTTTTAAAACAAGTGTTCCCTTTAATTGACTTACAAAGAGATGAATTTGTTGGAGTGGGAGCCGATTTAATTTTTCCCTTATTAAGATTATTATACACTGATTATGCTGAACAAGCACTTGAAGTATTGGATGAAGTTGTTGCTATTCCGGGTTCCAAACTTGATCCTAGTTTCTTAAGAGTCAGTATCGGTGATAACGATACAAAGAAGGAATATGAACAAACAGCCACGTTATTCGGGTTACCTAATGAGAATGGATGGTCAATTCCTATGCCATCTACCACTACTAATAGAACTAGAAGTAATGTTCATGCAGTTTTCACTACATGTGAAGCCACCACCATTAATGCTGATGGAAATAATAAAGATGAAGAAATTGAATTCCATATGGATGATTTCTATGAACCTCAATTTGAATATGGTGATAATTTCTCTGTGGGGGTTGAAGAACCAGATGCATCTTTAAGTCATATGTGGGCCGCTTTAGATGATTTTGATTCATTTTTCACTAAGGAAACTGATAATTTACCCGTTACAAGTCCAAGAAGAGACCATCCTCATCTTCATCATTTCCGAGGATCTTCAATGTCATCTAATGAAACCATCTCACCAGTTGATTCCGTACCCCAAATATATGATAAAAAAGTTTTGGGTATGTTAAACAAAAGTTTGGCTAGAAGTCAAAGTAATGCTTCATTCAAAGCAAACTTGGTGGATTCAATGGGGTCACTTAATTTAAATGAACAGAATACTCTTGTCCATGCAAAGAGATCTTATCTTCCATTTCGACATAATAAAGTATCAAAGAATAAATTTGATAATTTCACAACTCCTATCAATCAATCGACAGCTACTTTTGAACAAAACCATATCAATACTAATAGCACTAACACCAACACGACTACATCTCCAACATTTGAACCAGTTTCGGATCCTCATCAAAGTCCTGCAAGATTAGACTTTTTAATTGGAGGTAAGAAAAGAGTTAAGCGGTCCTCTAAGATATCTCCCACACATTCGCCTATAAGTACTTCATCTGAAAATCTTCAAGGTATAATGTGGTCTGGGTCATCATCGTCAAGACAAGCGGGTACACCTCAATCTAATCATCTACAAATACACTTACAACTGCAACTGCAACTGCATCAACAACTGCAACTGCAATCACAACTACCACTGCAACTGCAACTGCAACTGCCTTTAATGGCTCCTGTGAAGACTAAAGATCGTAAGAGACCTTCCCCAAAGTTTAAATAGACTATACCAACTATTGTACATAATAGTCACGTGACACTATGGTGGGTCACGTGGTTTTGTGGTGACGAAATTTTTCACTTATGAGAAGAGAAGAAGTTGTAATACTATAATAGCTTCCATACATTAAAATAACCAGACACTATGCCGCCAAAGAAGAAGGTGCCTCAGATCTCAGACAAGAATAAAGCCAAGGCTAGACAAAAGAATGCTGAAGATAAAACGTTCGGGTTGAAAAACAAAAACAAGTCGAAAAAAGTTCAAGAACAGATCAGACAAATTCATTCGCAAGTTAGTGATAAGCAAAAGGAAGCTGAAGCTAAAAAGAAAGCTGCCGAAAAGAAAGCTGCAGAAGAAGCCAAAAAGGAAGCTGCTGCGTTATTTGGATTGGTACAGCAGAAAGTTCCATTTGGTGTTGATCCTAAATCAGTTTTATGTGAATTGTTTAAGAATGGACTTTGTAATAAGGGAGTTAAATGTAAGTTTTCTCATGATCCTAATGTTGGCCGAAAGGTAGCCAAAAAGGACTTGTATACTGATGCTAGAGAAGAAAAGGAAGCAGATACTATGGATAATTGGGATGAAGAAAAGTTACGGAAAGTTATTTCGTCGAAACATGGGAATCCAAAGACTACCACAGATATTATTTGTAAGTATTTTATTGAAGCTGTTGAAGATGGGAAATATGGTTGGTTTTGGGTATGTCCAAACGGAGGGAATGAATGTAAATATAGACATTCATTACCCAGTGGATTTGTCTTAAAGACTAAAGAACAAAGACGATTAGAAAAATTGGCTGATGAATCTGCTCCCAAGATTACTTTGGAAGATTTCATTGAAATGGAGAGAAGTAAATTAGACAAGAGTAAATTCACTCCCATTACACTTGAAACTTTTAATGAATGGAAGAAGAAACAAAACGCCAAAAAGGAAGAAAGAAAGAAGGAAGAGCAAAAAAATAATAAAAGGAATCTTACCGGGAAGGAAGAAATCTTGTTGAAATTTGCTGATAAATATTACGCTGAAGAAGAAGCTGATAATGGAGCTGAATTTGATTTATCTGAATTCAAAAAGGCATTACCTGAAGATGATGATGCGAATATCAAAGATTATGGTGATGGTACCAATGCTCAAGAATATTATCAACAGGAATAGATTAGATAATGGAATAGCTTATTATGGAGTACCATATTATAATATTATGGACAACGGTATTTTTAATTATTTTCTTTGACAATTTTTGTTAAATCAGTTAATGCTTCTTTGGAATTCATTAAACTTGATTCAAAGAATAATTCTTCATCATCTTTAAATATATGGATTTCAATAGGTGAATTCTTTAATGCAACAAGGGCATCATTCATTTTGGTTACCCATTGATAACCTTTGTTATCCATATCTTGTAGTTCATAGAAATCATGGGAATTATAAACGTCATAAAGATTCTCTGAAAGATCATTTTCATGCTCCGTGGGGTGGAAATAAATATCCGTTTCCGTGTGAGTCTTTCTAAGGCCATTACTGCTTTGATCTCTTCTTTTGGGAAGCGGAGGAGGATTCTGATTTTTTTCACCTTTAAGATTCTGTGGTTTAATTGGTTTCATTGGAGGTAGCTTCCTATGTCTATTGGAAGAAATATCATCAGATAAATCAATTAAATTAGGTTGGTTATTATCATCATGATATACTGAAAATGTTTTGGATTTGGTAATACCTCTCTTTTGTTGTCTAAGTTTATGTTTATCAATCATTCGTATAACTTGTTTTAAAATCTTTGTATCATCGACATCAGACATTGAATTTTCCACATATCGAATATAAATAGCCAAGATTCTTCCCGGATATTTAATAGCAAGATCAACGTATGCTTCAAAATCGTATTCACCTGAGTCTCCAATACAAATGAACCGTTTATATTTAAAATCCTCCAATATTTTATTCAATGTTGAGCTCTTTCTTGATTTGGATGGTTCCATTAATGATGAAATAATATTACCAGAATACTGTTTAAGATTAATAGACCCTTTAGGGAAATTCCCCTGTGCCATAAAGTCTTTAATTACTCCATATAATTGCCATGGAGAATTTGAAACATAATGGAATGAAACATTGGACAATAAAAACATATCATTATACCATTTACACATCGAAGGGATCAACCAATCAGAAACATCTTTGGTCAATAAGCTGGTCATAAGTGATCGTTTATCTCCAATTACACCAGTTAATTTAATAGTATCATCGATATCACTAATTAATCCAACCCCATTGTCTTCCACAAGCATAATCTCTTTAAAACAATATATAGATTCATCATGGCTTGACCGAACTTGAACTATTGAGGGAAGATAATCAACTGCAATACAACAATCAAAATGCCCATTATTATTGGTGATAACTTTGGTAGTAGTTATTTCTTGTTGCAGATCTTCTGAGCCAACACTGATTTCTAATTCTGAATTCGGTATGGATCGAGCTATAAATTGACTCATTCTTTCTTTGATCCTATTATCATTACCACCTCCACCTTCATCATTGAATGTTGTTATGGAACTGGTAGTAGAAGAATTGGAACTTAATGGAGGTCGAGGTGAAATAGTTCCATCGGAATTGACAGATTCAACATCATCACTCAAAATATCTTGCTGTAAAGATTCACTTTCCCATTTCTCTACTGCTTGAGTTGACTTGGTAGGATTGACGTTATATTTTGTTATTTGTTTGGCCAAACTCAATATTAATCTATTCTTTCTTGTCATGACACCAGGACACCATAGCCAACCTTTAACATTGACAAAATATTTCCCATCTTCAATTCTTGTATAAGTATCATATAACGTAATACTAGTATCTTTTGGGAACTTCAATCTACCAAGTTCATCAAATAAATCTCTATTATAATAAGAACCACCACCAGACATTCTCATGGTAACATCAGTAGCCAATTGGGATACTGACCCTGTTAATCTTGGAATATAAGTATCTCTTGTTGCTCTAGCGATTCCTAATAGCCTTTGACGTTTGGATCCATTTCCATTGGCTGATGGTGTATCTTGATTATCTTGATCCATACTTGAAGACTGTTTATTTCGACGGGATTTCTGAGCTCTAACAAGCAACAAATCGCTTTTTGTATAAGGGAATGCTCTTCTTAAAGCCTTATAATCCGAAAGGAAGTTTCTTAAAACAAAGTATTTCGATAATTTGGGACTTGTTGAAGCTGTTGTTGATGATGAAGTAGATGAAGATGATTGTACTAAAGGGAAGAATCTCTTCAAAAAGAAGGCAGTGCTTGCCTTCAAAATGTTCCTTTTAGACTTCACTTTCGCAGGGGTATTAAGCCAACTCCGTATGATTGTAAAGCGTACGGCCAATTATGTACTATTAGGTCTTATGGTGTTGGTTAAAGTGATATTGCAACTTTGGTTATTGTATGGAATATCCTCTTTGGTAGCGCGGTGGTTTGTGGCAGGTACCTGAGTACTTGTTAAATAAAGAATAGTGCAAAGGTTCCGTAGTACATTAACGATGTTATATAGAGCATTAGTCATTTCATGTATATGTATATGTATACACCTTCTGCGAAATACTACGTAACATGGGGGTATAGATTTGTTCAATACCAGCTACTTGAGCAAAAGTCATTACATTATTGTTTCTATAGCCATAGTCAAGTATGTGAAAGGGTAAGTATAACAAGATGATAGCATAATACAATGCTGCTGTAATAGTGGAGTGTAATATAGTACTGGAAAAGTCCTTACTATTTTAGTTTGGTAGCTCAAGTTAATATAGCACTATACTTATAGAGTTCTATTGTAATTACGTCATGGCAATTGTGCAGGATATTGTATCATGGCATTTAATGGTTACTTACTGTGATTCCATACTGTTCTTTTAAAGTAGGGACATTGCCAGCTATTTGCTTAAGGGTCCAAATCGCAAAGAGTCATCTACTGGTGGTAAATGCTCTGGTCCCAAGCTCAAAACCTGCTTATTACCCGGTTCCAAGGGACCAGTAACTTGTTATCGAATATACCAGTGGATAAGCATCGCCTCTCTTTGTACATCTGCCCATGTCCATCATTAACTCGTCAGCTGTACCGTTGCCGTCTTGTGCGTAAGTGTTCCAATCGCCATTCGCTGATGCTTTTATACTATAGATAATACGTAATCGTTCATTAACCAGTATGATCCGTTGAGCACCGTCCGTCTGGTTATCATAAGTATGGTATGTTTTTGCAGCCACCGTACCCAGCGTTACGAGCTTATCGATTCGCGTATCTAAGTATCATGTTAAAGACTTTAACCATATTAATGCTTATAAAGACGTTAACGTGTAATATTGTTACCTAATAATACTTTATATCCAGCTCAACAAAATTGAGTGAGTTACTTAACGTCATAAACAAGGAAGTTGCATCTTCATTCATCCCTAGGAGAGGGCTCGTCTCCAAATTTCGTAGTTAAGTACCAAATTCTGTTTTATGACAGGAGTTTCAGAATACTACCACATTCAGTCTTAATACATGATTCGTTGCCATTCATTTTTCTTTGCATCGTTTCTAGACTTAGGCACCACTCAACACAGACCCCAATTAGCGATATGATGTTTGTGTCTTAAATATACTAATTGGGTAATTTATGACATTTTCAATGCCGATTGGATCCTAAATTCTAAATAGGGGCCAACACAAAGTCAAATTAGTGGGGGACCGTAAATCAACCACCAATTGGATCCGTTAAATGACCTATTAGCAAACACCAATTAATGATATAACTATGACTACAACAATATCTGTCGGTGAAGAACTTAAGGATTACTATACAAACACGGACAAATGGGTACAAAATGGAATCAGCTTTGTTCTGGAGATGGAATCGTTCTATCGTGAACGAGCGCAGATTGAATTGGAATATCTGACCAAACTAAAGGAGTTATGTAAACGGCATTATGAAGCTAAAAGCAAATATAGCGCTAAGGTAAGTGTTGGAGATGAACCTGCGATTACTCCTGGTTCATTGGAATCAGCATCTATGGTGCTTTGGGGTCAAGTTTTAACTCAAACTGAAGCTATTAGTGATGAAAAGGCATCATTTGCAAAGGAATTGGGGACTAAAATCATTGAAAATTTGTCTGTATTGAAATCAAGATGTACTGGTGTTAGAGTCAGTATTGAACAAATCAATGAGCTTTTAACCAATGAAAAAAAGGAAATGGAAGAGGAAATCAATAAGGCGAAGAAGAATTATGATAGTTTATGTCAATCAACTGAATCAAGTAGACAAAAAGTTGAGAGATCTTCATCAAATGATAAATATCAACGGAAGTTGGAGGAAAAACAAGTGGAAATGAATAATGGAAAAAATCATTATTTGATTAAAATTAGTGTGGCAAATAGTCTTAAGGATAAATATTATTTCCAAGATGTTCCCGAGATCTTAGATTATTTACAAGAACTAAATCAAGATAGAGTTATTCTTGTTAACAAATTATTGAAAAATGCACTGATAATTGAGAGGAATAGTAGTGATAAAGTGAAGGACAAATTACATCAAATTGATGAAGTTATACTTCAAAATGAAAAACATAAAGATACAATGATGTTTATTGAGCATAATAAATTACCATGGCAAGAACCAAGTGATTTTTATTTTATTCCTAGTTCAATTTGGCATGATGATGATTCTTTAATTACCAAGGAACCAGAATTAACGGAATTGAAAAAACGGTTAAATGCTGCATCCATTGATTATAAATTAAAGGAAGAATCATGTCTCGAATTAAAGCAACAATTAGAAAAGGAAACAGTCGAAAGACATCAAGAACAAGAATCTTTAACACTTAAATTTGATCAGAAATTTCTTTCCTCCTTAGCAATATTAAAGAAATATTTGAAAGAAGATACTGAAAGAGTTAAGAATGAAGCTAAGATTAGAATTATTCAAAATTATGCTGGTGATAAGGATTTATCTTATTATGAAGAAACAAAACAAAAGAAGTCTAGGTTTGGTTTATTCCATTCAAGAAGTGTTAAATCATCAAGTAATGGAACGGGTGGTGATTCTACATCTATTCATACTGTTGCTACTGCTAATCCTGAACAACATTCTGGGATATTCCAATTACGTCGTGGTAGAACCCAATCGAATGCTTCTTCAACTGTATCTAACCAAGCAGCTGCCCATGCATTATATGATTACGCGGCAGCTGGTGAAGATGAATTAAGTATATCTAAAGGCATGTCATTATTGATAATTAATCCTGACAGTAATGGCTGGACAATGGTTCAAAACACTGAAGATGGAACTAGTGGATTTGTTCCAACTTCATATATTGAAAAGGTTATGACGGTTCCAATTACTAGTAATGATACTGGAGGTAGTTTAAAGAAAAAGGGACCTATGGTTGCTCCTAAACGTGGGGGGAAAAGAGTACAATATGTGGAAGCCATCTATGATTATACTGAAGATGGAGATGATGAAATTAGTATATCAAAAGGTGATCGAATAATTTTAATCACCGAAGATTTGGATAATAGTGGATGGACTGAAGGTGAATTAGATGGTAGAAGAGGTATGTTCCCCACAACTTATATCAAAAAGATATAGACATACATATTCAAACATAATCAATTTTACAGATGTATACAGTTTTGAAAATTATTGTACACTTTGTAATATTATATAGTTATAATACTTTAGTTTTATACATTTATAAACCAATTAATGATGAGGAAATAGGTTGGTGGAACCATATAGATGAGCTAGGATGGGAAATATATTTAATTCGTTACCAATATGAATGCCTGAAAGTTTAAAAGTTTCCACTCCACATTATTTAGTAAGATTCTGGGATTTCGAAAACAACTTGCTTACCGGTCAACTTGTTGTACAATTGTTGGAAAGATTCCAACTTGTAGTCAACAGCAGTAGAGTCCTTGGAGTCCAACAAAACCTTTTGGATCTTGTTACCACCAACCAAGTATCTAACTCTCTTACCAACAATTTCGGTTGGGAAAACCAAGTCTTCCAAGATAGCGTCATGGACAGCAGTCAAGGTTCTAGATCTTGGTCTCTTTTGTTGTTGTCTAGCAGTTCTAGATGGCTTTGGCAAGATTCTTCTTTCAGCCAAAAACACAACGTGTCTGTCAGGGAACTTCTTTTCCAATTCTCTGATCAATCTGGTTTGAACCTTTCTGTAAGAAGCAACAGATGGAACAGGAACAAAGACAGCAAGAGCCTTCTTACCACCGGAAACATCGATTTCCTTGATGGACTTGAATTGCAAAGCTCTCAAGTCAGCCTTCAAATCGGCTTGAGATTCCAAGTCAACAAAAGCTTGAGCAACTTGCAATTCCAATTCAGAAGGCTTGTCAGACAAGATCTTGGTAGCAGCAGACATATTATACCTGATTTATATAGGGAGTAGGTAGGGAGTTCAACTGTAAGCCTAAACAACTAACGTTAAAAGGATAGGATTCTGGGTAGAAAGAAGGTGGATACAAAATTTTTCACCGACCAGAAGGAAATGAGAATTGAATGCAGGAGACAACAGGAGGGTAAGAGAGATGCCAAACTGCACAGGAGTTGAGGCTGGAGATTGGAAGCGAGTAATGCTTACATTATTTGGGAGCGTACACGACTTGTAATACGTTTCCTACATGTATAATGGGGAGATACTAGTGCAAAGTACTGTATATCCGTTTTGTGTTTCTGTGACTCCTAAATAGCCCTTATTGGAGTGAAATTGCACGTGCAAACATGTCAGGGCTATTGGTAATTAAATAGTGTGAAAATGTCTCTACATTCTAAAGTAATAAAACTAAGGAGTATAAGTCTCTTTCACCATTACTAATATGACAATCTGCTTATATTGATAAATGTAAATATATATAGGACATATTACATTGTAGTCTATCTGTATAATAATTTTTGAGAAGCTTAGAATTGATCATCAGAGTAGTTAAATTTAGTCAATTGAATGCTTGCCCAGTGGAGCTTATCTCTAGTAAAGCCCTACTTTAGTTTGCAATTGATGTGATTTTACCGAAAAACGTGTAATGCTATAACCACTCCATTCTAATTCATGTCTGTAAATCGTCAACGATAATGGCAATGATAAGCAACAACAATAGCGGCAATACTTGTGTTAATCAATTAGTAATGGGATAGTTCCATCTTTCCATTCATTCCTATTGGAACCTTGTTTGTCCCGTGTGCACACACCATTATTGACTCTTTTGAGATGAGAGTACCCCAGATTTTTCCGGTCCAAAATTACTTGGGAAATATACATATATAGGAACCATCAGCTTCAAGTGGATGCTTAGAAACACAAGCAATAGATTATTCACCCCTTTAAGAACCATTGCCATGTCCGGTGTTGAAAGTGCTAAGAAGATAGCTGCCTACAAGGCTGTTGAAGAGAACCTTCCAGGCGATGCCAAAGTTGTTGGTGTTGGCTCCGGATCTACAGTTGTCTACGTTGCAGAAAGATTGGGACAAATGGCCAATAAGAATCAGTTTGTATGTATTCCAACAGGATTCCAACTGAAGCAATTGATTCTTGACAATGGACTTACGTTGGGAACCATTGAACAATATCCTACCATTGATATTGCCTTTGATGGCGCAGATGAAGTTTCACCAGGGAAATTAGACTTAATAAAAGGTGGTGGAGCATGTTTATTCCAGGAAAAGTTAGTTGCAAGTGCCACGGATAATTTTGTTGTAGTTGCAGATTTTAGAAAGAAGAGTCCGCAATATTTGGGAACAAATTGGAATAAAGGTGTACCCATTGAAGTTGTTCCAAATTCTTGGGTTTATGTCACTAGAAGATTAAAGGAATTGGGTGCCAAACAAGTGATCTTAAGACAAGGAGGTTCGGCCAAAGCAGGTCCTGTCATTACTGATAACAATAACTTTCTTATTGATGCCGACTTTGGTTCCATTAAAGATCCTGCTGCATTGAATACCAAATTGCTTGCTATTGTGGGGGTTGTGGAAACAGGATTATTTGTTAATATGACTAAAAAGGTTTATTTTGGAGATGAAGATGGTACTCATTCTGTCTGGCAATAAAGAAGTATGGGCAACTTTCATCTTTAACAATACTATTATTTATTACAAAAATATAAATGGGAAATATTTAACTAAAGAAGATGAAGAATCATCATAAGAATAATCCACAGAAGAATTGAATAAGAGATTTAACAAAACACGTAGATAATATAAGAATATCCCATTGGTTTTCGAGGAATGAAAGTGGTGCAAGTTCAATGACAAGTAGACATATGAGTAAATTTTGTAATGAAAGGAGGTTATTATTTGGTATCACTTTGTTTATTTAGCATGGCTTGAGATCCAGTTCAAAGCCTCAATCAAACCAGTTCCATCTATAGCTATGGTTGGCATAACTTGCCATACATGAGAATCTGAAAGGGTATTCAATTCAAAACGTTCAATCAATTCTTTTGGTTTAATAGCACCGGGGACATCTTGTTTATTTGCCAATACAATCAATAAACAATTTGCCAATTCTTTATCAGTAATAACTCTCATTAATTCCTTTTTAGACTCTTCCAACCGACTTAAATCTGAAGAATCAACAACATAAATTAATGCATTAGTACCAGTAAAATAATGTCTCCATAATGGTCTAATACGTTCTTGTCCACCACAATCCCATACAGCAAATGAAATGTTCTTATGTTTAACTGTTTCAACGTTGAAACCAACAGTTGGAACAGTAGTAGGGGCTGATTTCCGTAGCTTTAATTTCCACAATATAGTTGTTTTACCCGCATTATCCAATCCCAACATCAACAATCTCAAGTCTCTATTCTTGAATATTTTGGACTATATTGACATAGTTAGTATTTGAATCCATACCGAAAGACGCGTAATCGTGATCAAGGTATAAAGATGGAAACGTATTGACGCGTATCCATCATCAACATCATCATAAATTTCAATTCTTTACCAATACCATGGCAAGTAATCTTGCTTTAATAGTTACATACAAGTAATAAACCCATTTTGACTTTGATTTATGATCTTCGAGTGAAGTTGGTATAAAAATCGATGAAACAAAATGAATGATCCCAATCCAACCCGTTCAAGTCCAAAGAAGAAGGAAGGAAGAGAAGAAAAAACTAGCAGTATCTTTCAAATTGATGCTCTCTTTAGATTCAAAGATTACAGCAACATATAAGTTTCAAGTTGGAAACCATCCAAACTTGGAACATGCGTACTCTTGTGTCACAAATGCACAGGCTATTTTTTCCACCATTCTTTACTAAAGGGGACAGGGTACTGTATTCAACGACAAAGACAATTGCATCTAATCATTTTCGTGTAAATACATGGTAAGTAACATGACACTGACAATACACATTCAAGTAATTCGAAATGATTAGAAGTTACGTATCATATCGGAAATGTAGTTTCATATGGCATGTTCGTCATATATCTTTTTTCATCAGTAGCATTAGATTAAGCTATTCAGTTATCCCGTGTAAGCTAGTGGCGTACCTGGTGTATGCGTAAGGGCGCTTGGGCGGCTGAATTTTTGTCTCTAACATACGCCCAATTCCGTCATAGAATACAATCTACTGTAGCTCGTGTACTTGAAGTTCTGATATTGTGCTACTATACACAACGTATGGTCTCGTCACCATACGATTTGAAAGAAGTATATGTATTGTATCATGGCATTAACTATTGACTTATTTCTTCAGTTTCTTCAGTTTCTTCTCTTTCTTATCTGAAAGTTTCTGAAACGTAGATACTCGTTCATAAACCCTATCCAAACTCATCTTAACATCACCTTCCATGAAATGAGCCATATTATAATATTTAGGTGCAATCTCAAATAACCATTCTGGTCTAATAGGTGTAACCGTACGAATATAATTTTGGGTGGTCAACACAAATTCATTGTATAATACCCAATCCAGTTCCATAGATAATGTTGTAGAAGGATGAATTAATACTGCTTGATTATCCTTGACAGTTATATATCCATTCTTACTTCTGCTCTTTCTTTTGGCAACTTGCATGAAAAATCCAGCTGTAAGGGCTTTACGAACTTGTGTAGAATATGAGGGATCTTCCATATCAATGGAGTTCAATTCCAATTCATGATTCTCCATGATCCGTCTAAGTTGTTTACGAACATTTCGCGCACTCACCAATGATCTATAACTAAGAAAGTTATCCCGACACCATTGATGTGCTCCCAAGTTATAAGCTTCATCTCCTTCAAATCCCGCATAAACATTCAACAATGTTAAATGATCTCCATCTGCATGAGCAAATGCCATTTTACATTCATCCGCACGTTTACGTGCTTGAGCTGGACGAACAAACACTTGAGGAACTGAAAGAAGAGAAACAATAGTTAAGATTTCTTCAGAACATTGGAAAGCGGGTGATCCAATTAACATAACTGCCAATGTAGGATCTAAAGGGAAAAATGATGCCATACGGCCTAATGCTGTTAAATCACCTTCATCGCTCAAACATTCTAAATAATTCAATTCTTCTAATGCTCTCATCATAGTTTCAGGTGCTGGAGGATCCATAAAATCAAAATGAACCAAATCATCAATTCCAAGTTTCTTTAATTCAAGAACTGTCAGTGAAAGATTACATCTTAAGATTTCAGGATAGCTTTGTTCAATCAATTCTCTTTTAAATGCTTCTTCAGTGTATAATCTGAAACATTTACCTGGTCTAGTACGACCAGCTCTACCAGCTCTTTGTTGAGCTGAAGCCTTTGAGATTGGTGAAACCAAAAGTGATTCAACTCTAATACGAGGATTGTATACCTTTTGTTTACTGAAACCAGGATCAACAACATAAACAATTCCATCAATGGTCAAAGATGTTTCAGCAATATTGGTTGATATAATAACTTTTCTACCAGGTCTTCCATTAGGTGATAACTTCTCTGGAGCCTTTTCAAAAATTTTCTGTTGCTGATGAGGTGGTAAAGTACCATAAAGTGGATACACTTTTAAAGGTCCACAATTTTGTTCTCTAATCAATTCATCAGCTTCAAGTGAAATTTTACGACATGCATCTTCAATTTCATCTTCACCAGTTAAAAAGAGTAAAATATCACCTTCATCTTCTGTAGCATGAATTTGTAAAACAGTACGAATAGCTGCATCAAAGTAATCTCTTTGAAATTCGGGAGTATAATATATTTCAACAGGGAAAGTTCTACCAGGTACAGCCAATAATGGAGCATTATGGAAATATTTTTGAAACTTTTCAGCATCTAATGTGGCTGACATAATAATCAACTTTAAATCAGGTCTTCGAAGAACTACTTGCTTTAATAAACCCATCAAAATATCTGTGGCTAAAGTTCTTTCATGGGCTTCATCAAGAATAATACACGAATAACGAGATAAATCATGATCCTCCATGGCTTCCCTTAAAAGCATACCATCTGTCATATACTTCAAAATGGTCTTATTACTTGTTTTATTTTCAAAACGAATAGAATAACCAACTTCATCACCCAATTCAACATCCATTTCATCAGCAACTCTAGCAGCAACTGACATTGCAGCAACTCTTCTTGGTTGAGTTATAGCAACTTGCTTCCCAATCAATTGAGGCATCTCATCATAAAGAACAAATTGAGGAATCTGTGTGGTTTTACCGGAACCAGTCTCACCAACAAACACCATAATTTGAGATTTATGGAATGTATCCAAGAATTCTTGACGTTGAGCATGAACTGGTAAATCTCTACGAGTCTTCAAAATCGAAAAGTATTTCTGTGAAAACTCATTACCAGTGAATGGGTTAACAGTTGCATTCTCCAATTCTTCTGCCTGAGAAGCAGTTGTTTGGTGTCTTGTTAAATTACGGAACTCTCCATCATCATGTACATTCATTGATTCTTCTGGAACTGGATGGGGATGAAGTCTTATTTGTTCTTCAGCTTCTTCGGCAACTTGCTCAGCAAAAGAGTTTGACCGAGACTTCTTAAGCTTCTTAAGCTTTCTTTCACTATCGCCTGACATTTCTGTTTAATTCCACTGCTGTTTGTGGTTCTTACAGTCTGGTGGTTAATTTTACTTTGTATATCTCACGATGGCCATCTCATCACTTCAGAACAGTACAAAATTGATTCACTCAATTTTATTGAGCACGTGAGCGAGCACGTGATAAAGACCACATGAATTTTATTTACAAGAAACATAATCATAATCAATATTAGATAATGGGCTTCATAGCTTTTTCATTAGAATATCACTGGTCAAAATAATTATTCATATCTTCCATTAACTTTAGGGTGCTCGGAAATGGTGCCCGAAACTAACATCTGTAATTCTAGACTTATTAAAACCGTACAAAGGAACAATGGGATGTAAACTTAGGTTGGATTAATAATTTACCTTAGCGAATAATGCTTCTTGCATTAATGTATTCTGTTTTACATTATTATAACAAAGGGGTAAGTTGGATCTCGATAAATTAACATAAACAAGATACATTAGGAGTCAGTGTTCTCCTTCGAGATGTCAAGGTAGACCTCATACAGCGATTACAACTACTCTAAATAAAAGCCGAGCGATGAGAATATCTTTACCCAATATATATGGAATAGAAACCATTAAGTACTAGTGAGAATAATTACCGTATATTTTATTAAGAGATGACTTGGTTCTTATTGTTCTGTAGGAACTAGAACTAGTGAAATAGATAAATGCAAGTTTTATGACTTCTTGTTCCAGAATGTGGATTTTGTGGCAGACCGTTTTATTTCATTTTGCACCCGGTTTGTATTCTTGTTTGCAAGGACAATAGAAGACTGCGCAAATGTCATGAGCAGAAATCACCAAGATAATTGCCTTTTGTCTTTGATTGGATCAGCAAATTGTACTTAAAACCATTATAACCAAAACCATTCAATTGCGTTTACAGTTAATAGAAACTTTTATGTTGACTAGTTCATTGTTAGTAACGAAATGTAACACAAGAAAGACAGTACTGTGCTCTTGATCTGTAGTACCGGCAGGGTATTATTGAGAGACATTTGAAAAGGAAACATTGAGGTAAGTACAGATCTATATATCTAACTCAAAGATAAGGAGAAGGGAGTGAGAGCGTATAAAGGGATATAAGCGAGCCATGGATCCTAAAATCGAATCGCGCCGCTTCAGCATGCAATATAACATCAAATGGGGAAAAAATGAAGAGACCCCACTGCTTAGGGTGTCATTATCGATCCGATCACTTCACCTTGGTAAAATGTTCCCTGTAAGTAATTAAACACAACTAAGGAAGGAGGAGAGTATATCGTATCAATGTGGGTATCTGCCGCAGGGGGGCATGGCAAAGGGATACGGGGAGTCAGCGCGAGGCGAATGCCGAAGGAGAGGTTTGAAAGGAGACGAGTTTAAACGTGCGTCTGAACGTACATGAACGAGTAAATCACTAACTAGAAAGGCTGAAAGTGACTCTACTTTCAAATGGTGTGCATATCGGCAATTGAGTGATTTAAGTTCCATCTGTGTATGTACATATTTTTTACCCTTAATGACGACGATGACGGTGAAAGTTGGAGAATGCTTACAAAATAACTAAATAGCCGTATGAAAAAAAAATTAACATATCCTTTTCCGTTTAGGATCTTGTATTCAAGAATGAGTACCATGATTTTCCCAAAAGATTAATAATGTCCAAGAAATAAGTAGTTTTACTTTGTATTATTGCACTTCAACCTAGAATGTTCAACAATATTCTCGATCGACCACTGAACTACTCTATTTGCACTGTCTGCGTTATTTCTAATTTTAGGCTCTATATTGAAGATATGAATTATTACTGTTCAATCATGCCATAGCCCACAGGCCATTATTAGTGGGATCACTTTCTCAGTACAATTGTAAGACCAGCTTTTCCCTTCTATTATAACCTGGGTATATTTAACCAGCCATTACTGGAACCTGATACCAAAAGGGAACAAGTAAAAAAGGCTTGAGGAAAAACAATGACATTACACGCTTTCATAGGCTATGTGCACACGACTCTGCTCACAGTAAATGTCTTTGTGATACAATTATTTTTGCGGTAATACGTCAAAGATTACTGTGGTTATAGATTAACATATAAGGCATAGTATATTAATTGGTAGAAATAGTATTTCGAATGTACTTGGTTATGAATGAGAAATAGAAGTGTGCAATCGTAAAGCTTCGGTTGGGGTTTGGAAGTTGGTGTTGTAGCAAATAATCGAACTCTAAACTTTTAGCTGGGCGTACACTACCATCTTGGCATAAAGGAGAAGAATTGTTTTTCCGCTATCATCTTTAGGGTTTTATACAGGGTTTGAATTATTAGAGTCCTAAAACAAAGCTACACAATGCACAATGTATTATGTTTTGGCATTTCATGCGTACACCGCTATTTTCAACGTATGCTTATATAATTACCCTATTGTTTTTTTCGCGTAGAGGCTTTTCAGAGAGCTTGCGTGTTTACTATTTGTTTAGAGATAATTTCACCACCACGGTTTATATAGCTGGCAGGGGCCGAACTTTCGTTCTTGAATTTGAAGGTTTTGGTCTTTACGTTTAACACAAGATTTTTTTAACGCCAACACTCCTACTTTCCTTTTAGATATTTACCTCTTTCCCTCCTTCATTTGTATCATTCCTTGATACTTTTATATCCTACTAAAGTCATTCCTTTACTCATTTGATTTATTTTAACAGTTTATTTGTTTGATTGTTTGTTTTCATTCATATATATTATTATTATTACCCTTCCATTCCTTATAAAAACGATGTTGTTTCAAACTACAGTGCTATTCTCGATATTATCGACTCTTGTCTCTGCTTCATGCTCACTCTCTTCCGATGGTAACTATTACTGTTCCCAAACTTCTAAAGTTATCTTTGAAGGTGTTGGTTTTTCCGGCTCATATAAGAAAGTTACGGACATGATTGAGTCTTCTGGTACTTGTTCCCAAGAAACTTTTAACTTCTCTGGTAACTTATCGCCATTGGACGAAGAGTTGTCTGTTCATTTCAGAGGTCCCTTGCATTTGTTACAATTTGGTGTCTACTACCCAGTAGCTAACAACAAAAAGAAGAGAGACGCGGATTCCACAGATTGTGTTACAAAGCAACACCACAAACACAGAAGGGCCGTCGTGTATGGTGAAGTTACCCAAACCGTTTATGTTGATGCTAATGGAAATACAGTCGCAGGCTCATCTTCATCAACTCCAACTACATTGGTTTCCTCAATAGCTAATGCGGTTGGTGGATCTGTTTCTTCATCCCTTACAACTTTGGAAACAGCCACCGTCTCAACTTCAATTGCTTCAACTTCAAGTGCTTCTTCAGCTACTTCAAGTCCAGCATCTAATGGTGGTTCTTCGACTGCTAATACAGGCGATTGGGAAAGAGCTTCCTACTATTCCGCTGGTTCTTCTTTTGACAATGTTACCTTTATGAACTATTACGGTGGTTCCGGTTCTGGTGTGTGGTCCGCCAGTTTCGGTAACTCTATTTCTTACTGTAACTCTGATGCTTCTGGTGGTTCAGCTAAATCAGTCGCATTGGATAGCACAACTATTAAGTCCAACGTTGAATTTATGATCTTCTCCTCTAATGCTTGTTCTGGTAATGACTGTGGTTATTACAGAGAAGGTATTCCAGCTTACCATGGATTTGGTGGTGCTGAAAAGATTTTTGTTTTCGAGTTTCAAATGCCTTCAGACACTTCTGGTAACGGTTACAACCAAGATATGCCTGCTATCTGGTTATTGAACGCTCAAATCCCAAGAACTTTACAATATGGTGATGCTTCTTGTTCTTGTTGGAAGACTGGATGTGGTGAATTAGATTTGTTTGAAATCTTATCTGCTGGTTCTGACAAGTTGATTTGCCATTTACATGATGGTCAAGGTGCTGCTCCATTTTCTAACAATGGTGGTGGAGGTTCTCAAAACTACTTTGCTAGACCAACTACTGGAACTATGAAGGCTGCTGTTATCTTCACAGGTTCAGATATCCACATTATGGAAGTTGATGACGATTTCAGTGCTATTTTGTCTGCTGACACTGTTTCTGGATGGGTCAACACTCCTGGCTCAGTTGCTTCTATTGGTTACTGATCGGATATTTAGTTGATTCATACCTTTTTGCGTTTGTTTTTATCATTTTGTACTTTTATGTTTAGGTTTGTTTTTATTGATATATGATTGATTAATAATCCTTGGGTTGTAGTATAATGAACATAGTATAAGTCCCCCACCACCTTCTTGTCGTATTGGTGCCCGCCTACAATGGCTACATTTCCCCATTATGTGCTGTTATTTTTATCATCTAATTAATTCACTTTTACTTTTTTATCACGCCAGTAATCTGGTCCAAGACTAATTTTAGCCTTAAAGGCGATCACTTTAAATTGAGTCGAGAATCCTCCCGACATATACAAATCTAGTCCACATTAGCGTTTTGCCCAAGATACACCATAGATTGACAGCTTCGGAACTGCAGGCAACAGAATCGGATAAAACGGTACACACAATTCATGAGGTCTTTTCTCCAACCCCCCATAGTAACGTCCACTCAACCCATATACGTCGTAAATGATAGGGTCATTTGAAAATTGTGCATAACCGTGTCCTTTTTTCTTTGACCTCCACTTTTAGTGCCATGGCTCCTTGTATCACGTTGATTGTTGCAACTTCTGCTCTTTGTACACCAGCGACAGTAAAAATTAATGTGCCGTGTCTTATCCCCGCATAATCTATTTCTTCTCTCCATATATTAAATCATCACAACACCGACTCATAGTGTTGACTCACACAGACATAAATTTCTACTTTGTTCTAGGACCACACGGATCTGCACACTCTATTCGCCCAAATTTTGTAGAAGGTAAATGAAGTAAGACAGACACTACTACTACTACTACTACTACTACTACTTACGGATTTGTTAACTTTTTTCTTTTGTGTTTTGATTGTCACGTTTCATCATTCATCTTGTACTTTAACTAGTTGTACTGCTTGAAACCGAAATACCACCTCAGGTTCAAGCCACAATAGAATTGTATGGTCCACTTATCTTATACTGCTATTTGGTTTCATGCCTGGTAAAAGGGTAAATGGCAAATTCCAGTGCTATGAAAGACCTGATATCAACTTCACCAGAGTCATCAATGGATAGAACCAGTACGGATTCATCCTACAGAGTATCCAAATCCACTCGTAATAATAATAGAGGTAGTTTGACTTCTCGCGCTTGTGATGCGTGTGCTATAAGAAAGATTAAATGTGAATCTACAAGACCTTGTAAACGTTGTGTGGATACAAACTTACCTTGTACGACAAATAGAGAAATCAAGAAACTGGGTCCCAAAAACTTACATAAGCGTACAATAGAGACAATTCAACATACCTCAACAAATGTGGATGTTCCTTCAAATGAAGAACAAGTCGCTATAAACCTGGAAAAGTTAACTCCAGAAAATGTCGTCCAATTGTTACAGTTACTTGATGGAGATGATAAAGGATCGTTTATTGATTTATTATCACCTTTATCAATATCACTGTTACTATTTGATGCTAGTAAACTAATGATGTTTATAAGGGAAAATTATAAAGATGCCATGAATGAAGAAATGAAATGTGATTGCTTAGATATCACATATGCTTCCAAAATATTAGTAATACTAACTATGGCCCTATTATTACTAGAAAATTATAGGAAGTTGAAATTAGTGGGTATGAATTTAAATCAAGAACCTCAATTTCCAAAGCATTTGAAACTTTTACTTGAAGTGAAAACAATTGATTTATTATCTGTTATAGAGAAAAAGGTACTATTATTTCTTAATGTTAGCTCCCGAAAGTATCAGATATATTACAACCTTTCTGTTTGCACGTTGCATTTATACAATTACATTCAATTGATAATGATGAGCAGTCAATCACGATCTCAATTTCAAAGTCAACAGAAATTATTCTATTTAAGAAGAGCTTTAACTTACTATCAAGTGATAAACATTCCAAGAAAAAATTCCATTCAAACGATTCAATTATTTGAATTGTATCAAAATTTGTTTATTCTGGAACGATTCCATCTTATGTTTACTGATAATTTGACTTATAATAATAATTGTAACTATTTGTTGATGACATCAAGATTTGATTCCCAAAACCGCAAAAATTCCTTTTATGAATTACCATATCGATTATTTAATGTTTTAAACTCGGAAAACATGTTTTATAACATTGAAGTACTTAATGATAGTTCATTTAGTAATGAACCCAAGTACGTTGATAAATTGGATACCAATTATTTAATCAAATATGAATTGGTTAAATCATTATTAATTAATGAGGTCATTCACAATAATCAATCAAGAGAACTTCCAATAGTTTCAACAAGTCCTTCTTCCCAATTATTTGAAAGGATCTTATGTCATGCCATTACGTTTAAAGTGTTATTAATGTATAAAGATCATATCTCTATTGCTGTCATTTGGAAGGAATTGCAATATATTCTATTTAATATTCATGATTTGATATATGAAGCGTCATCTCAAGTGAATATGCATATATTGGAGGTTTATTTGTCAAATTACCAGCTTCCTTTAACTCTATTGTTCTTCTTAGAGGTTATGGCTACTTTCCCCCTGGAGAATCTTGCAACCAATCCCAAATACAAGGATAAGTTATTAGGATTAGTGAGATTCGTACAAGGCATTTCTGGGTTCATTTATAACATTCAAAAATTACTTGACAATCATCCCAAACTCAAAGATTTATTTATTTCAGCCGAGACAGATAAACTGAAACAATCAACCACATTATTGGATAATCTAGATGCAATATCTATGAGCGCATTTTTGTCATCATCGTCATCATCTTCCTCAACGTCTACATCCAATGATATATCACCAGAACCTCCTGCTAGTCTTAATGAAGAAGGAGGAAAAGACTTTGAACTTGAAGGAACTGAAGAATTCACATTACCTGAGACTGAAATACCTGCAAATTCGAATATAACGTCTTTCCCAGTTTCATTACCCCCATTCATGCCAATGGAACCACTTCCAATGCAAGTCCAGCAACAAGTATTACATGATGCTCTTCAAGCTACGCCTGGAGGCCAGTACTTTGATTTAGGCATTCTCTCCACACCGGCAGTTTTGGCGGATTTGAAACGAGAAGAAGAAGATAATGTAATGGAATTGCCAGTGATGAATGGAGGCGCTAATAGTAATTTATCAGGTACATTTCAAACCCAGGGTAATAATAATGGAAGTTCTGGTAGTGTAAGCGAAGACATGGCTATTCATTTGAGTGAGAGTACCAAAAACTTATTAGGGTATTTGAATACCCATGCTGGTGCCAATACAACGTTAGCTAGTGTTACTACCGGAGTTAATGAATCCGCCGCCGCTGATGCTGCCACTGTTGATTCCCACAAGTTTTGTTAAAGATAGTAAGGAGTAGCTTTATATTCAGGAAATGTATCGTGTGATGTCATAGGAGTGGGCACTTGTATTAAGCGAACATTATACGAAATCCCCATCCGATGTAAATACCCTTATAATATATTATATAAGCGTTTATAGTAAGATATTTTTGAAACGTAGGGATTTGATCAACTTAAGGGTTGGAATAAGTTTAGTTGAGTTATATAGAACTATCTAACTTTAAATACAGTACACAGATCAGCCAGTAGGTAAAGGTGTTGGCAAAAGTGCAACAATAGCATGACAAGAGAACTGTAATACATTTGCCATGACATTGATCATGTATGTAATGAACGTAAGGAAAGGATATAGCGACGTGCAACTGTAAAATGCTTTTGGAAGGTAGAAAAAGAGAGCTTCCCAATCATGATCACAGTAATGAGGTGTGGATGGATCAAGTATAGATAGGCTAGAAGTAACTGGATTAACTGTAGAAAGATTTAGAGCAGTGTTACGGTATATATGGTTACTATAATACTAATATTATTGTTGTGTTTGCTATCACTGTCTCTACTACTAGATTATTACTATTATTCCTTTGTATCATCCTTTCGTGAACGCCCAGTGGAAAAGTAGTGGCATGCAGAGGACAAAAGCAAACTTACATGGAGAAAAAATCGCCAGAAAAACCCAAATCCATAGTCAACATCAGTGACAAACAACTATAGTTCAGTGCCTCTTTCTACTGTCGAACCAGTTTTAGGAACAGATCAAACCATCGAACCATCGCATCCAACAGATATATCATTTGCGACACCTTTTTTCTGGATTGCATCCCTGGTATTTCCCTAGCCTTATACATCAATCATCCTTCGACTGGCTTTGTTTGATTATTATAGTATAATAAGAGTATAGTGAGCAAAGAATTCTAGTACTATATTTTTTTTTATAAATTTGATATAATCATCCCCCAAATACCACGCAATTGTTGAGTGGAAAGCAGGTGAGATAGCAGGAAAACAATTGAAAACTTACTCTATCCTTTTTATATTCTGTGCCCTTTATCCACAACCATATATATAGCATTGAATCATGGATTTAGATACAGATGTGCCCATGGAAGACGTCAGTGATGACCAACAATTATTGCCATTGATTGGTAAGGAATCAGTGGCAAATACCACAACTAATGCAGGTGCTCTGGTAAATGATAAAAAAGATTTACATCCTTCTTCTATAAACCAGTTGGATGAATGGATTGAAAAATTGAGTCGTTGTGAACCTTTACTGGAAACAGATGTCAAAAGATTATGTGAAATGGCAATCGATGTACTACAATTTGAAGAAAATGTTCAACCTGTTCAAGTTCCTGTTACTATATGTGGTGATGTTCATGGTCAATTTCATGATTTAATGGAATTGTTCAAAATTGGAGGACCCTGTCCTGATACCAATTATTTGTTTATGGGTGATTATGTTGATAGAGGTTATTACTCTGTAGAGACAGTTTCATACTTGGTATGTATGAAAGTTCGATTCCCTAAACGGATTACCATATTACGAGGGAATCATGAATCAAGACAAATTACTCAAGTTTATGGGTTCTATGATGAATGTTTAAGAAAATACGGCAGTGCCACTGTGTGGAAATTATTCACTGATTTATTTGATTATTTCCCTATCACAGCTTTGGTTGATTCAAAGATCTTTTGTTTACATGGAGGATTATCACCAATGATTGAAACCATTGATCAAGTTAGAGATTTAAATAGAATCCAAGAGGTACCTCATGAAGGACCAATGTGTGATTTATTATGGTCTGACCCAGATGATAGAGGTGGATGGGGTATTTCTCCAAGAGGTGCTGGTTTCACTTTTGGGCAAGATATTTCGGAACAATTTAACCATACAAATGATTTAAGTCTTATTGCTAGAGCCCATCAATTGGTAATGGAAGGTTATTCTTGGTCTCACCAAGAATCTGTGGTAACAATTTTTTCAGCTCCAAACTATTGTTACAGATGTGGTAACCAGGCAGCTATAATGGAAGTGGATGAGCAGCATAATAGGCAATTTTTACAATATGATCCTTCAATCAGACCTGGAGAACCCTCAGTTACAAGAAAGACTCCTGACTACTTTTTGTAAGTTGAGAGTGATTTCTCTTTCTTTTCAAATTGGAATTATTAAAAGATCAGTTTTTATCATCGTCACCTTGTGTCCGTCATTTCAATTCATTATCCATCCAAAATCTGATCTAGTACCTCCGAGTTACTTGCATTTTCGAAGGTCCAACTAAAGGAGGTTTAATGAGTTGATGCCTCCGTCAAAGACAGCTTTTTCTTTTCTGGTTTTTTGGGGTCTTTGTATTGTGTACAGATACTCATGATACGATGAAACTCATGATTAATTGGTCTATGTCCTTTTTATTCTGTTGTATCTACTTAACTACTAAACTTCTTCTACGACCACTTCTACTAGCTATTTTTGTCTCTTAAATTTGTTTTTGTATCTTCATTTAATTGCTTTTATTCGGTTCTTTACGTAGTTATCCATAAAATTGTGAATATAATGTATTATGATAAATTGAAGTTATAATTGTGAATGAATGTCGTCAGCAAATACGTGGTATATATGTCGCGAAAACCAACCAACCAGCGTTTGCAGTTTTCAAATCTCCACGACATTTTGGTCTCGAAAAATTTTAGGTACTAAACTAACGACTCTCAAGACCATAGGTTTGAAACTGTTATCATTGAACAAGCATTGCAGCAGTTAATCTTATAGTTGCATAGCAAGTGCGGTGAAATCCTATAAAATTATTCAGTTCCCTTTCTTGTGATTTCTTTTGTTTCACTAGTATCATGTTAAGAGTCTCAGCAAAGAGCATACCCAAACCATTGGGATCCGTTAGATCCATCTACAATGCTGCTTTGACATCAGATATCAACATCACACCAGCCGGGAAGGTTAACTTGACTGTTGGTGCTGGTGGTAGATCATCTCGTACAGGATACACTGCCACCGTTTTTGGTGCTTCGGGATTCTTGGGTCGTTATTTGACCTCTAGATTGGCTAGACATGGAACTATTACTGTTGTTCCCTTCAGAGATGAGATGAAAAAGAGATTTTTGAAGGTTCAAGGTGATTTAGGTGTTGTGAACTTTGTTGAATTTGATGCTCGTAATTTGAAGTCAATTGAAGATTCTGTTGCTCATAGTGATATTGTTTTTAATTGTATTGGTACTGATTATAGTACCAAGAACTTCTCAATGGCTGATGTTAACATTGCTTTGACTGAAAGAATAACTCAAGCCGTCAAGGATGCTGGTGTGCCTCGTTTAGTTCATGTTTCATCCTATAATGCTGATCCTAAGAGTGATTCCATTTTCTATGCCACCAAGGGTATTGGTGAACAAGTTGTAAGGGGCATTCTTCCATCTGCCACTATTGTTAGACCTGCACCCATGTATGGTAGAGAAGATAACTTGTTGAACTATTTGGGACCTAAGTTGAAGATGTGGACCCCTAATAAAAACGCTAAACAAATTTATCCTCTTCATGTTATAGATGCTGCTAGAGCATTGGAAGTTATTGGTTATAACGATGCAACTATTGGACAAACATTTGAATTATATGGTCCTGAAATGAAGACATTCTCTGAAATTAGACAAATGATTCACGGTATCACTCAAGACTTCACTCAAGCTGGTCCTATTACATACAACCATGGTGAATACTACTTACCATTACCATTACTTCAATTAGTTGCTCAAATGAAACAGTACATCTACTGGAAGACTACCAATCCTGATCAAATCCAAAGACACCTTATTGATCAAAAGATTGACCCCAACGCAAAGACATTCAAGGATTTGGGAATCGAAGATCTCGATCAATTGGGTGATGTTTTATTCACTTACGTCAAGCACTGGAGACATCCATTGATTGCCCAACAAGGTCAAAACAACTCCAAGGAAGATGCCAGATTGAGAGAAATCCAACATTTCACTTAAGAGACCTTGTTTGAATTAACATCTTTCTTTCTTTCATCCATAGTTTATTAAGTATTTATAATTGCATGTTGCACCCGCAAAATATCATTAGTAGTTAATCAGGTACCGAGAATCGCGGCGATCTCCGAATCGATATGTTATATTAAAGATGTCAAAAAGCTTACCAATGTAATGTGTTTTATACTTGTTTCTTTTCATCGCAAATTAGTTCATTATGTCGTACACATTACCTCCGATAGAAGAGATTGGATTGTCCCTGGTTGACACCAAAACAGAGATCTGTAACCATCTATTTGAGCCATGTTCTACACTTACAGCATTTATCTTGGCTAAAGTACTCACAATCAACTGTTCATTCAATAGCTATGGACAGTTTATAGAGGCTGCTAGAATAGCACTTTTACAATTCTTAGAGGACGAAGAATCAAAGGAGAAGAAAGGTAAAGGACCTTTGGATCTGAAGATCTCTCAAATCATTGCTGCTCATCCAAGATTAGGGGCATCTAAAACCACTAAACTCTCATCTCATTCTGCTACTGAACAAAAATCCCTACAGGCTGCCTCTGATGAAGAAACAAAAGCATTACTTGATTTGAACAACCAATACGAAACAGCATTCCCGGGTTTGAGATACGTTGTGTTTGTTAATGGTAGGCCAAGGTCCGATATCATGGAGAACATGAAAATGAGAATTGCTAGAAACGATATATCTCTTGAAAGAAAGGAAGCCTTTAATGCAATGTGTGATATAGCTTTGGATAGAGCATTTAATTTAGGTGCTAAACTTTAAGAAACTATAAGAGTGAATATTTATACCACGGGAGAATATAAATACATTACAATACGTTAACGTAGTACGTAGTTAAGACAATTGAAAGTATTCAAATGACTATTAATTGCAATAGCCATTTTCCTCCTCCAATCATATTACAGTCACAAGGATTTAATGAGTACTTAATTCAGTTTTACATGACATGTATTCCTTAAAGGTATCGTAACAACGGTTATATCCTTATCAATATTTGCTTGTTACTGTCCGGGTAATATGGTAATCACACGACCCAATCGAAAACTTTTTGGAAAGTCGACGAAACCCGAAACCCACGACCACTGATAACGAATTATCAATAGAGATTAACGTCAGTATCTTAAGTAAATATTACTATACAGATTTTATTGCTTGACCATTTCAATTCTAGCTGAATTGCTGTTTTACTTGAAAGATATAGCAAAATGGTATGTAATGAAAGGGCTTGTCTTATTTAACTCCAATTGAATTATTACCTTAAAGGGGGGCAATAAAGGTGTTGCGTTGTACAATTGGACTCAATTGAACTATTTAGTACTAACAATTTGCAGGCTGGAGCATTAGAAAACGCTCGTAAAGAAATAAAGCGTCTTTCATTAGATGACGATGAATCTTTATATGGTCTGATTTACTCCGTGTCTGGTCCAGTCATTGTGGCCGAGAACATGATTGGATGTGCCATGTACGAATTGGTCAAGGTTGGTCATGACAATTTGGTTGGGGAAGTCATTCGTATCAATGGTGATAAAGCTACCATTCAAGTCTATGAAGAAACTGCTGGTGTCACTGTTGGTGATCCAGTTTTAAGAACAGGTAAACCATTATCTGTTGAATTGGGTCCTGGTTTGATGGAAACCATTTATGATGGTATTCAAAGACCGTTAAAGGCCATTAAAGATGTCTCCCAATCCATTTATATTCCAAGAGGTATCGATGCCCCAGCATTGAGTAGAGAAGTTAAATATGATTTCACTCCAAGTTCTCTTAAGGTTGGTGACCATATTACAGGTGGTGATATCTTTGGTAGTGTTTATGAAAACTCCCTTTTGAATGACCATAAGATCTTGCTCCCCCCTAGAGCTAGGGGTACTATTGTTTCTGTTGCCGAGGCCGGTTCTTACACTGTCGACGAAACTGTTTTGGAAGTTGAATTTGAAGGTAAGACACACAAATACTCCATGATGCATACTTGGCCCGTCAGAGTTCCAAGACCAGTGGCTGAAAGATTATCAGCAGATTATCCATTGTTAACTGGTCAAAGAGTCTTGGATTCTTTGTTCCCATGTGTCCAAGGTGGTACCACATGTATTCCTGGTGCTTTCGGATGTGGTAAGACGGTTATTTCTCAATCTTTATCCAAGTTCTCTAACTCTGATGCCATTATTTATGTAGGTTGTTTTGCTAAGGGTACAGAAGTCATCATGGCAGATGGTAGTACTGAAGTCATTGAAAACATTGCTGTGGGTGACAATGTCTTGGGTAAGGACGGTTTACCAAGATCAGTCGTTGGTTTGCCACGTGGTGTCCAAGATATGTATGAAGTCACCCAAAGAACTCAAAATAACCGGGGTGAAACTTTTGGAAAGTTGGGTTACACTTGTAATGCAGCTCATTTGCTTGTTGTTTCTACCAAACAACACATTAAGCTTACTGATCACATCGTTGGAGGTAAATCTCAAACCTCTGTTGTTTATTTTGAATTTGCTAAGGTTGTTACCACAGATGGTCGTCTTGTCAAGATTGTTAAGGAACGCACTCGTACCTTCCAACATTCTGCCAACCGTGGACGTGACCACTCTCGTAGGTTGGCTGATAAGTTTATGAGAGAATTGTCCAAGGAAGACCTTCACTGGACTATTGAAGCTCGTGACTTGGATATCTTGGGTAAGCATGTTCGTAAGGCTACTTACCAATACATTAATCCTATTAACTTGGAAAAGCCAACCATTGCTTCATGGGTTGAAGAACTTGGTGTTAACAAGAACTTGGCTCCTCAAGTTGCTTACCTCATGGGTTTGTGGGTTGGAAATGGCTACATTGACAGTACTTCCTTTTCTATTGATGCCTCAGATGTCCAACTTTACGAACATATTGCTAAGTTGGGTGAGATGTTGGGCTTGGAAGTTGAGTTCAAGTTGGACCCTAAGAACCGTATGGTTAATGAGTCTGTAATAGACTCTGATCCACCAGTTGATTCTGAGAAAATTTACCAAGGTGGTTTGACTGTCACCGTTGGTAGTAAATCGAGCACAAGCAATATCTTCTGGGATGTACTTGTTAAATCTGGCCTTACAAACAAGCCAAAGAATGTTCCAGAATTCTTATGCACTGAATCTTACGAGGTTCGTGAACAATTTATTGCAGGTCTTGTTGACTCTGATGGACAAGTTTCATCTAATGCCAACACTAAGTTTACCACTGTGAAGACTGTTCATTCCGGTGTCCGTGACGGACTTGTTAAGCTTGCCCGTTCCCTTGGTATTCGCGTTTCTGTTAACGTTGAAGTTAGCAATGAAGAATCTTACACCGTTTTCATGAGCGGAGAATCGCCATTAAAGTCTGTTCTTGGAAAGTGTGTTCTTGAACGTAACTCTTGTGCTTCTCCTGAGAAGGTTATCCGTGAAGGACAACCTTTCTACTTTAACGTTAAAAAGCTTGATGCTGCTGACTACTATGGTATTACTCTTGAAGATGGATCTGACCACCAATTTTTGTTGGCTAACTTGGCACTTGTTCACAACTGTGGTGAGCGTGGTAACGAGATGGCTGAAGTATTGATGGAGTTCCCAGAGTTGTTTACTGAAATAAATGGTAGAAAGGAACCAATTATGAAGCGTACCACTTTAGTAGCCAATACCTCAAATATGCCTGTGGCTGCCAGAGAAGCATCCATTTATACAGGTATTACATTGGCTGAATACTTGAGAGATCAAGGAAAGAATGTTTCCATGATTGCTGATTCTTCTTCTCGTTGGGCTGAAGCTTTAAGAGAAATTTCCGGTAGATTGGGTGAAATGCCTGCTGATCAAGGTTTCCCAGCTTATTTAGGTGCTAAATTGGCTTCATTCTACGAACGTGCGGGTAAAGTTGTTGCCTTAGGTAGTCCAGATAGAATCGGGTCAGTTTCTATTGTTGCAGCTGTTTCTCCAGCTGGTGGTGATTTCTCTGATCCAGTTACAACTTCTACTTTGGGTATCACTCAAGTTTTCTGGGGTTTGGATAAGAAATTGGCCCAAAGAAAGCATTTCCCATCTATTAACACCAATGTTTCATATTCCAAGTACACAAATGTGTTGAACAAGTATTATGATTCCAATTACCCTGATTTCCCTAACTTGAGAGATAAGATTAGAGAAATCTTGGCTACTGCTGAAGAATTGGAACAAGTTGTTCAATTGGTGGGTAAATCTGCATTATCTGATACTGACAAGATTACTTTGGATGTTGCTACATTGATCAAGGAAGACTTTTTACAACAAAATGGTTACTCTACTTATGATGCATTCTGTCCTATTTGGAAGACTTATGATATGATGAAAGCATTCATGGCTTATCATGATGAAGCCCAAAAGGCTGTTGCCAATGGTGCTCAATGGAACAAGTTATCAGAAGCTACCGGTGACGTTAAGCACAAGGTTTCTTCATCCAAGTTCTTTGAACCATCCAGAGGTGAAACTGAAGGAGAAGCTGAATTCAGTAAATTGTTTACTACTATATCTGAAAGGTTTGCTGAAGCTTCTGAATAAAGTTTTAATACAACATCTTTTAAGTAACAATTATTGTTTTAATTCTGACTATTTTTTCATTTTTTATTTCATCGCTTACTTTTTCTTTACGTATCCCTTTACTCTTGTTTAGAATTCTAAAAATTCAACTATCATCATTTAACTAGGAATGTAGAATAAAAGTGAAAAATGTGTACTTGTGTGCGAAGGGTTGCGAAAAATTCAGTTGCTGCAAAATGATCAGGATGTTGATTCAGCCGTACAACAAGAGGAAATGAAACTTAAAGTACCAAAGAAACAATCGCCGACAAAGTTATCAACTCCCTCGACAAGATTCTGTACTTCTTGATCCATAGATAGTACTGTATCGTTAGGATTACCCTGGTTGGAGTACATTGGATCCTCCTGTTTGTCATAATGTAATTCGAAATCAGACCAAAGAATGGCTCTAGGAGTTGTAGCAGATAATGGAGATGAATAGTTATAGTTGGTACGATTTGGCTTGATCTCTTCAAGTATTGACCGTGAACTATTAGGTTTGAATTGATTCAAATCAAGACGTTGGCCTTCCAAATCTGGTAAAACAATCGACTCAACCATATGTTCTGAATCCACTATGGTTTGACGATGTTCGTTCATGTCTACAGTTTGATTTCGTCTGAATATCCTCCAGCTGCTCCAATCCCAATTCCAACGCCAACGCCAATTCCAATTACAGTCCCAACTTCCTTCTGATTGTGAGTCTTGTTGGTAGATATGATTCCCCAGAATTACGGTTTCGGTTCCATGCTGACTAGTCGGAGGTCTCCATCTTAGTATCCGCTCTTCCATTACTTGTTGAACCCTACTCCCGACCGGATACATCCGCAACGCTTGTTCCTGCATCACCCGGGATCTAATAGTACCCGAGTTAGTTGTAATGTTGTTAGTGGTGGTAATATTGTTGTACAACGGTAGATTGGGGTACCCCAAAGTTAAATCTAACTCATAAATACTATCAGAAACAGTAGTGGAAGACATTTCAGGCTCATTGTCGGCTATATCTGTAGTTGGCAATGACGTCAGCGGTAAAGACGGTTTAAACGTTATTGCATTACTAGTACTGGTGATCTCTGAAATTGGACCAATGGTCATGATAGGATTCGATTTATTTAATGACGTAAGGTAAGAATGACTATGATTACTGAGTAGACAGTAATACTAAGGTCTGGTACACAAGTAGTGTGAAAATCAGGCTTTCACGGACAATTTAAAAAATTATCATGACTGAAGAAAGCAACGATGGTAAACTGGAAACTACAATTGGAACAATTAAAGGACATAATTCATTTAGTATTAAAAAACTATAGTAAAATAAAGACTTAAATGAATTGGTAGCAGTAGCGGAAGAAGCTAGAAGTACCAACAAACATTGAGTCTTGAGACCAACAGCATACCCAACAGAGTTATAAACATCATCTCTTTCAAATCTTCAAGCAACAAATCCAAAGCAACAATTGAAAAAAAAGTATAATTCCTCTCAATTGTCTTTCCTTATCTCCATCATTCAATGATATATCAGAAATCATTATCTACAACTTTAAGTCTGATGAGCATACCATTGCTCTCAAAACTTCATTGTAGGCTGTCCGATTACTTGGATCTAGCTCTCACCTTCCGTCTCTTTCTCTTAAGTCTTCTAACTCTCTTCTTTCTCCACTTATCTCTCATATTGAATGATAATTAGATGATACAGAAGAAGAAAGTCAAAAGAAGAAATAGTGAAGACATTTTTGCTTTTATTTGCGATCGGAACGAAACCTCCTTGGTCCCAGCTGAAAAAATAACTACACACGACCAGAGAACAATCCTGTTTATGTCATACTCTTTTGCGACTACGATATTTCTTTAGGGCATACGCAAGTCACGCTATTACAACACGTGAAAAACATGTGATAAAAGTATTGCTTCACCATCTTTTATTACATAAGAAAGTGATGATATTACATTCCAATAATACAGATCTTTGTACAGTTCATAAACTAAGATACTGAATCTATTTAGTTGTTTTATATACACATGAACATATACTGATATATATGAATCCTTAGGATCTAACATCCTGTGCTAGATTATGTTTAACCAATTGTATCATCAACCTTGATCTCTTCAGCAACTCGTTTACGTTCCTGAGCCAAGGCACGATATAACTCATCCTTTAAATGTTGCAAATCAAGTTCTAATACAATCCGATCAATAACGGATTCAGTTAAAATCATAGATTCTTCATCTAATGGATCATCAACCAATTTTCGATTATCACGTTCATAAATAACATCCAAATTCCGAACTGGTACAAACATCAAATGACTAGAATCTTTAACAGATTCATCATCTGCAAATTTATCTAATCGAGTATATTTTTTATTGGGGATTGAATTCCTTTCCTCCAATAAATAGTCTAAATGTTTAACTCCCAAAAAGGCTTTAAGATGACAATATAATCTATAAGCCAAGTAGAACCCAGGAACATTAGGAACCACTGGTAAAAGAGCCAATGGTAATGTGATTGGGATACCAATAGCACAAAGGATGGAATATTTGAAATGTTTGGAATAATTTTCATCACGAAATTGATATAATTGAGATAAGATAGTACTTGGTTTTTGGAAATAGGGATGATATAATGGAATTGGCTTTAATTGATTTACAGGAACATTCAATTCATTCAATTGGTCCATAGTAAGTAAATTACCATTTGGATTAGGATAATTTGTTTCTTTAAGGAATTCCTGATTAACTTCACGAATCATTGCATTCTTTGGGGGAAACGATTTTAAACTAGCTTCATCATAGGGGACTGTATTCAATAACTTGTTAACAAAAGAAATGATAACTTTATTAACTTTTAAATCAGAGTTCACTAATTTATTCCACCCCTTAGCTGCTAATCCAGTTACCTTTGCCTCAAATTTCGCAGGGATTGAAGGAGTAGCCACTTTAGTAACTACAGACGTATGACTATGATTGCAGTAGATGAATGATCTAGTAGTGGTAACAGGGATAGATATAACATAGATTGAGTCTTTAGGAATAACCCTGGGGTATATTAATGGTGTTATACCTTTATCATTGCTAGAACCAGTAGCAAAATCTTTATCATTTCCAGTACCAGGGCTAGTAGTAAATTTTGATGATGTTGTAGATTGGTATCGATGACGACATACCCATCTCAATACACCAACAGCCCTGACTGGTCTTTTATATCCAATGTAGGAACTCATCTATGGTGGCGTAGAAGTGAGTAGTGAATTATTGCCCATTTCAGGTTTCACTCATTCAATCTATTTCATTTGTGTCATGTATGAAGGAAAACACTAATTGGTGAAGTAATCGTTTATCTTTAGTTACAATCACAGTACTCCTTACCATTGACCTTAAAGAAGAAATATATAGACATTGTTGATTATACGTCAACGGAATTCAAAGTGCTAGTAGAAATTAGTTATATTAACATTACAGGGGGCTTGGACTTTAAACTTTTGTTGAGTACGATCCTAAAGCAATCCTCACTTGAAAAGTGGAAATAAAGCAAAGCAAGGCAAACAAACACATATACTACTTTGAACCATGTCTTCCAATGGAAACTACTCCGAGCTGGAGTCTAGACCTCGAACAAGAGCATTGCTGGATCCTGTTAGTATCAAAAACCCCTTTGAACATTCAACCATTAATGCCTATGGCCATACTGCGAATATAGTTCCACCGTTTGTGTTGGATACCTTAACATATGCCAGTAACAGAGAACAAAAAGATACAGGGGCTCGAGATGTTAATGTAGACGCCATATCCAATCAAAGATCCAATAAGGAAGACCGTCGTCTGTATGCTTCATCTGCCAATATGACAAGATATGCCACCGATAACAATACTCTAACCACAGCGGTTACTGAGGATGCCTTTGGAACTAATGAAGATGAATATATAAAAACTATAGATGATACTTGGCATAAGTTTCTTGCTTCTGTTACTCAACCCAGTGGGTATGATCGAGATGTTGTTACCTTTGAGACAAAACGACTTCCAGATTTAGGGTTGGATAAGGAATGGGGTGGAGACCATCGATTGAAACTGGCATTGGTGGGTTCTTCTTCTCAAAATAGCAGTGATGAAGATAAAGATGATCGAGATTACTTTTTATGCTTCCCCTTCTTTAGAAAGCCTAGGAAATCTAAAGATTTTGAGTCTGATTCACCAAAAGTAAGATCCAGAGCTGGGTACTGGATGTCTAATGAAAAGAGAAAGATCGTAATTCCAACATTACAGAGAATGTTTTTACTGAATCCAATGGTTCCATTAATTCTTCGTGTTGTTATCATAATACTTGTGGGTACATCATTAGGTATGGCCATAACCATATTTCAATTTTCCAACAATAGAATCGATGCAGTTGCACAACAACCAAGCACAATAATGGCTATAGTGGTACAATGTTTTGCCTTGGCTTATTTGATATATATTGCTTACGATGAATATTCTGGTAAACCTTTAGGACTTCGGAATCCAATGGGTAAAATGAAACTTATTTTACTTGATTTATTATTCATCATTTTCTCCGCTGCTAACTTGGCATTAGCATTCAATACTCTTTATGATGATAAATGGGCTTGTGTTCGAAGCAATAGTTTTACCAAAGTGGGAGTACCTTCAGGAAAGATTGGTTCACTTTGTCGTCGTCAAAGAGCTATGGTTAGTTTTTTGTTTATGATATTGTGTTTCTGGTGTTTGACATTCACCATCAGTATTACTCGAGTAGTGGTTAGAGTTTCTGGTGTTGATGATATACGAGGCTAATTTAGTAAAGAATAATTTAATGTATACAACCTCATTTGTATTGATTTTACAGCCCCTTAGTGCGCGCACCGATCACGTGACCAGATCTAACCCTTTTTCCCACGAACAATTTGAAATGGAGAGAAACACACCAAGATTTACAAACAATAAGTAATATACGTGAAGGGCAAAACAACTCTATAGAGGTGTTAAAACCGACTGATCCGACATACAAGTGACTATTGATTAATATCATTCAATAGTGATAATTGTAATAGCCCTAATTTTCTTGTTGTTTGTTTGATTTTCATTTTACTTAGTTATGTCGTTCCCAGCAGCTGGTGACTTGAACGCGACGTGGAGCTTCATTGAACCATGCTTGGAGTACATTCTAGGAGCACATGGTGCTGATCAAGGAGTTGATGCTAAATTGTATATGAACTGCTATACAGCTGTATATAATTATTGTGTCAACAAGTCACGACAGCAAGACACTGGATCTAGAATAAGTGGAGGTAATAAGGCTGTAGAAAGTGCTTATTTACTCAATGGTGGTGAAATGTATGTTTGTTTAAGTCAATACTTGCGTCATTTTGTGGAGAAGTTGACTCAGAAACCGGATGAGCAGTTTTTAGAGTTTTACGTCAAGAAATGGTCTAGATATACCATTGGAGTTGGATATTTGAACAATGTATTTGATTATATGAATCGGTATTGGGTCCAAAAGGAAAGGAACGATACTCAAAACAAAATCTATGAAGTTAATACTTTGGCTTTGGTACAATGGAAATACTACATGTTTGACACACACAGTACTATTTTGATCCAAGAGATTTTAAAAGAAATTGAAAAACAACGTAACAATGAAGTAGTTGATACCTATTTGATTTCAGCTGCCATTAAATCATTGGTTCATTTGGGTGTTGAACAAAACGAAACGAAAAAACCAAACTTACATGTTTATGTCAATATGTTTGAACAAGTATTCTTGAGTAAGACGAAGGATTATTATATGCGTGAAAGTCAAAACTTTTTATCTCAATATACTGTTGTTGATTACTTACGAAAGTGTGAAACCAGATTTGCAGAGGAGATTTCAAGATCCAATAATTATTTGGAAGATCATACAAAGAAACTTCTAGTGGATGTTTTAAATGAAGCATTAATTGAAGATCATGCGGCAGAGATGTACTCACAATTTATTCCCTTATTGGAAAGGAATGAAATTGAACATATTCTGAGAATGTACAAGCTACTTAGTAGAGTTAAATCTACTCTCCCACCTTTGGCTCTGCAATTTGAAGATTATCTTAAATCCCAAGCTCTTCAGGCCTTGGAAAATATAAAAAAGGCAGAACAAGAAGCTGCCAATTCAACCACCACCACTGGCGGAACTTCATCAAGGAAAGCACCAACAGGTATGGTTCCACCAAAAGTCTATATCCACACTTTAATTGAGATTTATGTCCATTTCAATGATATTCTCAACAGAGCGTTCAATAAAGATCCGGTTTTCGTTAAGGCATTAGATAATGCATGTCGTTACTTTGTCAACAATAATCCAATTGCCTTACCAACACCAAGATCCCCTTGCAAGACCCCAGATTATTTGGCAAGATATGCTGATGCCTATTTAAAGAGTAACTCAAAGGAAGCCGAAGTGGTAGATATGAATGCCAATAATTTAATGATAATTTTCCCCTTTTTGGAAGATAAAGATGCATTTGAAGAGCATTATCGTCGTTTACTTGCTAAAAGATTAATCAATAGCAATTGCAAATCCGAGGAAGCTGAAGAACAGATTATTCAAAAGTTGCAAACAGCCAACTCTTTGGAGTATACATCTAAAATGACTAAAATGTTCTCTGATATGAAGGCATCAGCTGAATTGAAATATTATAATGGAGATGATTTCAAAGAATTCACTCCTTTGATTTTGGCACAAAGTATGTGGCCATTCAAACATGTACCTGATTATTCATTAAAACTTGCACCTGAATTACAAGAAGGTTTTCTGAATATTGAAAGTGTTTATCAGAACAGGCACACAGGTAGAGAATTAAAATGGTTATGGAATCATGGTAGAGCAGAAGTTAAGGCCAATTTATCCCGGAAAGGCAAAGCTCCTTTCATTTTTACTGTTTCCAATGTTCAATTGATGATCCTATTAGCATTCAATAAGAAAAAGACTTATACATACGATCAATTACGGGATATTATTGGGGTTGCACCGTATATATTTGATGCTCATCTTACACCATTTATTAAGGGAAAGCTTTTAGAACAAAAGCCAATTGGTTCTGAAAATTTGAATGCACCAGATACTACTTATACCATTGTTGATGAATATAAATCGAAGAAAGCTCGGGTGAATTTTGTTAGTTCCATAAAGACCGAACAGAGAGTCGAAGAAGAAGAAACAAACAAGGTAATAGATGAAGCACGTAAGGATTACCTTAGCGCAAGTATTGTGCGTACAATGAAGGCCAGGAAACAAATGAAACATAAAGATTTGATTAATGAAGTTATCCAACAATCTGTGAGTAGGTTTAGAGCTAAAATTTCGGATGTCAAGCATGCCATCGATTACTTAATAGAGAAGGAGTACATCAAACGGATTAATAACGATGCATATGAATATTTAGCTTAAATAGATAAATTATTATTTATAGTGGTGTCAATTAATAGTATCTTTTTATTAGAGTAAATTAATATTATCTCTTGTGTAAATTAGAGAACGGTATATCAACAGATTAATTGTAGTAAGTGCGATGCGATTTTGATGTTCATCACTTTCTTTCCATGTCATTAGTTAAAAGACAAAGAGTTGACCAACAGTCACTCACTGAACATCATCGTAATGCTCTCTACGACGCAGCTATTGTACTAGAAGGCCATGAAGGACCCGTTCTTGGTGTCAGGTTCAATTCTACTGGTGACTTGATTGCATCAGGAGGAACAGATGGTAAGGTTCTCTTATGGGACTTACCCACAAAACAATTGTACGACGATAATCAGAAGATGTTGAGGTCTGATACCACAGTACGGGTTAATGACTTGGAAGGAGTATTAAATGCCAATTATGGAGTCATTGAGGGTCACAAATCAGCAGTCACATCATTGCGATGGTCCGACGATAGTAGTACTATTGTGACCAGTAGTGCTGACACTACCGTTGGTATTTGGGATACTGAAACTGGTAAAAGAGTACGGAAGTGTTCTCTGCATACCTTATGTGTGAATGAAGTGGATATCAATGACAATTCTACCATAGTTAGTTGTGGAGATGATGGCTTGATCAATGTTTGGGACCAAAGACAGAAATTACCTACGCATGTTATCACCACAGATTTTCCAATAACGTCAATTCTTTTTGATTTTCACGGTAAAAGATTGTTTGCCTCAGGCATTGATCCTACCGTCCTGGCATACGACATTAGAGATTTAACTAAACCTGTGTTCTCAGTAGGAACATTACGAAATGAGTCTACAACAACTTCGCTTGCAAGAAATCAAGATGATTCAGTGATTGTTGTTAGAGATATGACAGGTCTGATAAGAACAATTAATGGCAGAGAATATGTACCTCTGAATGTATCTCGACAAGATGGTCAGACGTTTGAAGGTGCTTTATCCGGTAAGGAACAACTTCTTATTCGTGTTTCCATGAATAAAGCTGGAACTGCCATATGTACAGGCTCAGAAGATAATACTATTATAACTTGGGATTATGCTACTGAAAGAGTAACTGGGAAATACGCCGGTCACAGGTCCACAGTAATCGATACAGATTACCATCCTCATGACAATATGTTAATTTCTTCATCATCAGACGGGACCTTGATTATTCGTGAATTATAGGAATATGCTAAAACCTTACCCGTTTACGTTTGTTCTTAGATACGATTGCTAATGGCCGTTTGTTAACATGTGGAGCTTCTTCACATTCAGTGATAAAGCTCTTCATAAAGTCCTTTTTGGATTCCTTGTCAAGAATCTTTTGGCTTTTAGATCTCGTCAACTTCTCCAAGTTATCTTGATTGCATAAATATATCAACCACTGTCGAATATGCGGTCTAGTCAATTTGTTCACAAACAGCTGATGATTCAATAAGGAATATGAATCTGGATCATCATCATCGTTTTCAGTATCAATTGCTTCTGAGATAGCAGGTGCTTGAAATCCACAGCATTCATTTTCAGAGGCTTCAAAGTCAAGAAATTCATGTTTTAAAACATAATTTTGAACTCCCAAATCATCAATTGCATGATTATTATCATTTGTTTGTTCCTCATACGAATTAGTGTCATCATCATTACCATTATTAATATTTCTGTGGCTTGATCTGAGATTGTAGATCTCTTCCTCCAAAGTGTCTCTAAGAACAAGTGTTTCTACATGAACTTCTTTAGTCTGGCCAATTCTATGGGCTCTTTTGATAGCTTGTGCTTCAACAGATGTCTTCCATACGGGACTGAGGAAGTAAACTCTTGAAGCAGAAATTATTGTTAATCCATGAGAAGCCAATTTCAAATCCATAATCAAGGCAATTCCTCCTCTATTATTGCTATCATATAAACTGAATTCAGATAAATTCTGTGCTCTTTGTTCAGGTTTATTGAAAGTAGCATAAAGAATATATTGAACTCCCAAAATATCAAGCAATTCCGTTAAATAATAAGCACTATCTTCAAATTCATAAAACACTATGGATTTGTCTTTATTCAACTTGTGTTCAAGTAACCTTGCACCAAGGTATGATAATTTAGCAGATGCTGTTCCAGAGACTATGGCTTTTCTTAACTTTTCAAAGGTTAAATCATTAACATCAGTCTTGTGGTCCTGAGTGACCGATAACTCGTTGTCATACTCCCAAGCAGTTTCATCTACCATATATTGAGGTTTAAACCCTTCAACTATTTCGGGAATATTAATAGCTGATATAATTTCAGCTTGCATAATTGCTTGAGGTTTCTTTTGAGAGCCTTGCTTGCTGAACTTATTATCATTACTTTTAAGCGAGTCGTTCCAATATCTATCCCAAAAGACCCTTGAAGATGGATCTAGCAACTCATTAAACTGTTGAATATCTTGAAATCTCGTGAACCTATTCTTGTATACAAAGTCTTGTATGGCATTCAAATGAGGTGCTCCAAACACAGACGATTGACTTTGATTTAATGGTTGATGAGAAACTCCAAAATATTTGGCAAATTGAAGTGGAAGTCCATTGATATAATATGACATTTCATGAAGCAAAGCACCTGATCTCCATTGAGAATTACTAAGAGCAGTTTTGGCTATTTCCATACTTTTAATAAGAAGCTTATTATCAGATACAGTATAATAATGACTTCCATCAGGTTTCTTCTTTTTCAAAGCATGTCTGCAAATCTTAATTAACGTTTCAACATCCTTTTGAGTGAACCCGGTCCAATGGAAGGTGGCTCGTTGCAAATTGGTTATTAATCTTCGTAATTGCATTCTATTGGATGGATGAAACATATAATCAATGCCGGTTCTTTCAGATGTCACTGCATTAACAGCCAACACTGCAGCAAATAAATTGATGGATAATTTATTGTGAAACGAAGGTTGTAGATATACAACTTCATGATGTAGTTGGGGAAGAACCAAACTATCACTAATATCCAAGGGGTTATGTCTTACCATCAAATTATTAATAAGCATATATAATGCTTGTTCTGCATTATATGAACCCGAGATCAACGGTTTAACAATCAAGTTAGTCCAACTTTTCAATTGAGAATGGAAGGGCTCTACCTTTAAGAAATTACTGACAATATTCCCAAGTTTTGCTAAATCATTCCGTTCATCAAAGGTGTTTTTGATCACGTATTTGGATTTCCGAGTATCCTCTTGTTCTTCTTCTTCTTCATCAACATAAATGTTTGTTAACCCAGAAGTAGGCGTTCCGGTGACAGCCCATTTCCTTTCTGCTAAGATATCCTTACAAAGAAGACTTGTTCTTGAATTCTTTGAATTAATGGAATGACCTTCATCTATGATTAATCTTTTCCAATATACTTTTAAAAGAGGGTTTTCAGGTTTATTGAATAGTTTCCCAAATATTTGATTGGAAATAATGATCAAATCATATTGAATTAATTGCAAAGGATCTAAAGTCGTCATATCATTCATAAATGTCATAAATTGGCCACTGATCTCTGAAAAATGTGAAGATACAAAGAGTTTCTTTAGATAGTTATGATGAACATGTTTTGCTAATTCATTACTCCATTGATGAATAAGATTCTCAGGCACAACAACTAGAGTTGTTGAACTGTGATAAACGTTCCGATACAAATAATCTTCAGGTTGATGATCCAAAACTGATTCTTTCTTCCGATAAGATCGTCTTTTGGGGACATCAAATACGGAGTTATGTTGATTATTATAATCAATTTTGAGTTTGAAACTTCCAGGCGATTCACCAAGTCTCTGGATCACTTGTGGAGGGATCTCATTAATGAAATATTTCCAAGGCATTGAGTTATCATTTATGAACAGAACACAAGTATTCACAAGTGATTTTAAAAGAATACGAGATTTTGAATCTTCTTGACGGTAAAGTAAAAGATCTTCAGGTGTTTCAGTAATATCATTCTTGGTTAAGCAAACAAGAGCTAAACATATAAGAGTTTTGCCCAACCCCATATTTTCAGCCAATATGCCACCTCTAGGTAGTCGGATTAAATCAGGATTCCTATAAAAGACAAAGGTATTGATGTGAACATAGTAAGGAGTCTTTGAATGTGAACAATCTTTGAAGTCAAGCAACCCCGGTAAATGGTGGTACTGTTGTATAGCTTCCTTTTCGTACATTCGAGCCAATGAAATGACTTGATACGAATACATTCGAGCTTTAAGACCATCGATTTCCACTGTGCCATTGGAGGCATTGCTTACAAGACTTTCCAAACGTTCTCGGGGTGTTTGTAATGGCTGGAACAGCTTGAACTTGGCGTTGGTTGCATATTTAGCCATTTGGGGAGAAGTGATTGAACCATAAAGCTTTTGGATTCTGGTGATTAATGAAGGTGTCATCCTCTCTTTCGACATAGAATATGGTTTACCATTATGCCATCTATCCAAATGAAAGTTATAACCATTGCAATTATTAGTACTACTACTACTAGGTCTAACAGTGTACGGAACCAAGAGCATCTCATTTAAAGGTTTTGCCATGTACCAACTGTCACTTGAGAAATCAAGCAATTCAATTAGAAATCGCCAATTCTTAGTTACATTCTTGATTCGAAACCTTTTTCTCCAGGTGTTAATGAATCTAAAGCCTTTAACATCACCAGGAACAGCATAAACTCTTATTCGAACCAATTGGAGGTCATTAATTTGAAACAACTTATAAGTGCATCTGATATATTTGAAATCAAGAAGGAATCTTAAACACTTTAGTAATGGAACATCATAATTATCATTATCATTCTCCTTACGACATATGTCTTGAATGAACGGTAGATTTAGCCATGTCCAACGATCTGGTGATTTGATCCCACAGTAATCAAAGTTGCCTTTAGGAAAGTCATGAATAGTTAATGTTCCAACAGGTATAAGATTGTCAAGATTTTCTACAATCCCACACACTTTGACGTAGATTGATGGGTCGACGACCATGTGACATTTATCGAATTAACATAAAGTAGAACTATGTACAATAAGCATTCGGTATATAATGCATAGTTATAGCTGTAGTTAAACATAGTGGTAGCACCTGGACGAATATATTGGTAGCGCTGATGGGAAAGATAAAGCCAACAAGGAGCGATAAAGGTTCCCTTTGGAAGAGTCACTATCTTCTGCTAAATTCGTATCACTAACAATGAGGACATATCTTGTTTCATTTGATACCCGGAAAACGGAATCCGTCGATTGGGTGAAGCCTCTCAACAACTATCTTATATCGGTTTACGGTAATAGTGATAGTTACCAAACAGATATCAAAGCCTTTGATAAGTTGAGACTGGATTTCAGAGGAGTAAGTGGCGATGAATCGGGGATTAAAATAGCATTTAAATACTACAGTCAATTGGAATTACTTGACTTACGGGTCCCGTTTCTGGCTATCAATAGACTGAAGAAGATCAAATTCAAATGGTATGATTCATTTGATCCAACCATCAGTCATGAACAAGAATCCATTGCCTTTGAAAAAGCCAGTGTACTTTTCAATTGTGGGATGCTTATGGCAAGAGTGGCTTCACAACTGTACGAACAATCGTTGAAAAGTGGTGGGGATGAAGAAAAGGCCAAAAAATCTATCAAAACTTATCAAGAAGCTGCTGGGATCTTTCAATATTTGACAGAGAATTTTGTTCATGCTCCCTCTGCTGATTTAAGTAAAAGCACTTGTCAATTTCTTATTAAACTTATGTTGGCTCAAAGTCATGAAGTGTTTATGTATCGTCTTATCAACACTGATTTGGATCAAACCAAAAATAGTTTGATTTCTAAATTATGTTCCAGTGCTGCCTTACATTATGAGGATTGTAATAAGATGCTTCAAATTCTACAAAGTGACGAAGTCCCTATAGCTGAATATGGACTTGTTACTGATGATGAATTAGATGGAGGAGATGTTGATCAACAACTTGCAACATCAACTTTTGATGATCCCGATTCAACTCAAGTCACTGCTAAAGTAAGTCAACTTTGTCTTGATGTTATTTCTTATAAACTGGTTTATTATAAGGCATTGACTTACTATTATGCTGGCTTACAACTGGAAAAGGCCAAAAAATATGGTAATGCCATTGCTTATATGAATAAGTCTTTAGAAGTATTGGAATCAATGCCTGATTCTGTTTGGAAGACATTATCAAAATCAGATCGTTATATTGTTCATGAATTATTTGAAGATTATAAATTTCAAATGGACTCATTAACTATAAGACTTGAAGAACTCAACAGAGATAATGATTATATTTATCATGAGATAATCCCCACTCAATCATCATTGGAAGAAATCAAACCTATGGATAGTTCCAAAATCATTCCTATCGGTGATAATGAACTTTTCAAACAATCAAACGAAACAGCATATTCACATTTTTTAACTAATGTCGTTCCTATGAATATTCATGAATTAATGAGTCTTTATTCTGAAGAAAAGTCAGAATTATTAAGGAATAATATGGATTTGGTTGATGTTTCTAATGAAGAGGTATCTTCAGCTTTAGAATATCTTAATATGCCAATAGCTGTTGTGAATTTGAAACAGATTTTTAAGCAATCAAAAGATGATGAACAACAAAAGCATCAACAAACCATAGATCCATTAACCATTTCTCATGCTAATGAAATATCAGCTAGTGTAACCAAAGATGAAGCTAATAAGGATCAAATTATAAGACTTCGAAAGGATATTTGGGATAATATTACTGAAATCGAATCCATTCTTTCTCGTCATGTTGAACCTTCATTCACGAAATTCAAAGATGAACTGATCCAATTGAAAAGATCTCTTTATAATGCTTCAAATTTGGATAAAAAAGTGTTTGAAAACATTACGACTGAGAATCAACTGTTACTTAATACATTGAGATTGGGACCTAAACTGAAACAATTTGATGATATGTTTTCACTAAATTGGAATAATAACAATAATAATAAGTCAACATTGAATGCAGAGATTAGTCTTTTAGATCTTGACGATTCAATGCTAAATAAGCTGCTGGATACAATTGAGAAAGATATTAAACACATTGAGGATCTTTTAAATGATTTGAATGTATTAAAAGCCAACAAAGCAGCTCTTATTGATGCATTAAAGAAAGAAATCCATTCAGATGATATTTCCAATATTTTAATATTGAACAGTAGGGTTAAACTGGAATCGGAGATCAAACTGGTGATATTCCCTGAAGAATTGAAGAAGTTTTCACCTTATGATGAAGAACTTGACAAGTTAGTATCGGAACAAAAGCGCAAAGTGAAACATTTAACTGAATCTTGGAACCAATTGATTGAGAACGATGCAGTTAAAAATCTTCAAACATTGAAGCTTAATGGAGATCAAAAGACTAAAGAAATTACGGAAAAAATCAATGATTTTTACAATAATAACTGGAAACCATATAGTTCCGGATTAAAGAGAAGTGCTGATTTCTATCAACAATTGTATGAATTTAGTGTCAATGTTAAGAATTCAATTTTAGATGAAGAATCCAAAGTTTCATTCCAAAGACAAAAATCAGATTATTTCAATATGGAATCATCATTTAATCAAATTAATCTAGGATCTAATCAAAATCAAAATCAACGGTTTGCTCAACAACCAAATGGATATCAGCATCAGCAATCTGCTCCTGCTTTACCACCCAAAAGATCGTCACAACAAATGGGATTTACCGCAAGTCAAGGCCCTGGTTCATACCCTGCTCAATACCCTGCTCAATACCCGACTACACCTACGCAACAACAACCACCACAACTTCAACAACATAGTGGCTATGGAGAAGCTAATCAAATGTATGGATCGGGACCAACAGGTGGACCTCCGCCAGTACAGTATTCTACATCATCTCAACAACCTCCACAGGGATACCCCCCCAATAACAGTGGACGACCACCAAATGGGAATGACAGCCAAAACCCGAACAATAATCTGGGCTTAATCTACAATAACCCTTCAACTTATCAACCTAATATGTACAACTTTTTTTCTTCGAAATGAATGGATGAATACCTTAGAAAGTAAATACCTAAAAATAGATAATATTTAAAGCAGCAACTCGTAGATTATATACAGGACATGATCAAGTTAATTTCCCGGAAAGTGTCACACTTACAACTAACCAATACATTACATTGCCTTACATTAGATGATAAGCATGCGTTCATAACGAAGAAGGAGATGTTATGTATGTGTCAAAATATTGAACACACACACACACACACAGTTGAACCACAGCTTTACCAAGTTCAAACCCGGAACTATCAACATCTTCATTACTGTCAGGTCTTTGTCGTGCTCGGGCCAGATCGAAGGGGTATTTTCTTTTTTCCCATTGCGTGTAATAATAAGAGGTAACTTTTTTGACGTGAATTAAAATTTTAACCTTTTGTTTTTTGAACAAGTCATAGCCTCCTTCGTTTATTGGCTTAAAGACTGGTTATTAACAATACAAGTCAAAAAAAAAATCACTCATACATTAAAAGTATATAAATACTATTGACATTTCATTATCATTAAGGTTAGTTGTTTTAAATTTAGTGAAGCTATAATTCATGACTTCAGCTAAAGGTCATTACCCAAAGTTGGGGTCACTTTTATTAATTTTTGTTGGGATAATTAACTTGGTATCTGCTACAACATACTGTAATTCTACAGCTGGAAGTTGTCCAGAAGATTTGCCTTGTTGTTCTCAATATGGTGAATGTGGTACTGGAGCTTATTGCTTAGGAGGATGTAATATTCGGTTTTCTTATAATATATCTGCATGTATGCCTCAACCCAGAATGTCATCTTTTGATACTGTTTTCCAATCTACTGATCAAGTGTTATCACAAGATGAATATTTGGGTAATGCATCAGAAACTGAATGGATTTATACCGGGAATATTGCTGAACATGATAACGCTTTATTGGTTCAAATGAGAAACAATTCGGGTGGTACAGTCATTTCATCTTCCAAATATTTATGGTATGGTAGAGTTGGTGCTAATTTGAAAACTTCTCATGATAGAGGGGTTATTACTGCCTTTATCCTTTTCTCTGATGTTCAAGATGAAATTGATTTTGAATCTGTTGGTTATAATTTAACCAATCCTCAAACAAATTATTATGCATTAGGTATTTTGAACTATACGAATGCTAGGAATACTTCTGTATCCAATACGTTTGAAAATTATCATTATTATGAAATCGATTGGAATGAAGATCGTGTTGATTGGTATATTGATGGTGAGAAGGTTCGTACTTTGGAGAAGGCAGATACTTATAATGAAACTACAGACGAATATGATTATCCTCAAACTCCTTCAAGAATTCAATTTTCTTTATGGCCTGGTGGGGCTGCTGGAAATGGTCTTGGTACTATTGAATGGGCTGGTGGTGCCATTAATTGGGATTCTGAGGATATTCAAAAATATGGTTATTATTACGCTTATTTACAAAATATCACTGTTAAATCTTATGATTTACCAGAAGGTGTTGCATTAAAGGGGAACTCTTCCAACTCTAATGATTATCATGCGTTTCTTTACAATTCCACTCATGGTCGTCAAAAGAATGTTGTTTTAACCAACAAAGAAACTATTATTGGTGGGAACGAAGCTGTTGGTTGGGATCCAATGGTTGATGATAACAGCAGTAGCAGCAGTAGCAGTAGTAGCAGTGGTAGTGGGTCTAGCAGTGGATCCTCCAAAACAAACCTGAAACTGTCTACAAATACTGGACTTAATATACCAACTTTGGTTACCAATGGAGCTGCAACAACTAAAGCAGGTGCTACATCCACTCATGCTTATAATAGTGAGAATGGTGTTGGGGGGTTTATTCAAAATGCTAAACTGACTTCCAGTTCTTTGGCTGGTGAAGGTGCCATTGCATATGGTAGTTTCAATGAAATTTTAGGTGGTTTGAGTGCTGCTTTGATTGGGTTACTTTCTATGATCATGTGACAATAAGAGTATAAAATATATTTAGTATAATAGTAGGTTAGAATAATACCAGTGGAAGTAGATGGTGTTAGTAGGGGAAGCATAAGTACTACCACAACTATGATGGTAGCGCCAGCCCCATTATGTACAGGATCGAGACACGCGAACTAATCAGTCGTCCATGACAAATTTTCCAACAAGAACAACAACCTGAAAATAACAACTTGTTAACTACAACCAACCACCACCATACAATTTGTAACTTCGACAAAAAAAAGCAACAACGCATCAACATCCGTTTGACATCTGAACAATAGACGCAGTAGACGCATCCATTGCCAATTGAGTAGACGTCATCATGAAGATGCTTATTAAGTTTGAGTCTAAGTCCTCCCGGGCTAAAGGTGTGGCCTTCCATCCTAAAAGACCATGGGCTTTAGTATCATTACATTCCTCAACCATTCAGTTATGGGATTACCGTATGGGGAACATCTTGGATCGGTTTGAAGATCATGAAGGTCCTGTTAGATGTGTTGATTTCCATCCAACCCAACCATTATTTGTTTCTGGTGGTGATGATTATACTATTAAAGTGTGGTCATTAAATACTCGGAAATGTTTATTTACTTTGAATGGTCATTTGGATTATATTCGTACTGTTTTTTTCCATAGGGAATTACCTTGGATCATTTCGGCTTCTGACGATCAAACTATTAGAATTTGGAACTGGCAAAATAGACAGGAAATCGCTTGTTTAACAGGTCATAACCATTATGTCATGTGTGCTCAATTTCATCCAACTGAAGACTTGATTGTATCTGCTTCATTAGACCAAACGGTAAGAGTTTGGGATATCTCGGGCTTAAGAAAGAAGCATTCAGCTCCAACCACAAGATCTTTTGAAGATCAATTACAAAGACAACAAATACCTCAACAAGATGTCTTTGGTAATGTTAATGCGATTGTCAAGTATGTCTTGGAAGGCCATGATAAAGGTGTCAATTGGGCCTCATTCCATCCAACATTACCATTGATTGTATCCGCAGGTGATGATCGTATGGTAAAAGTTTGGAGAATGAGTGACACAAAGGCTTGGGAAATCGATACTTGTAGAGGTCATACTGCTAATGTTTTAGGGTGTGTCTTCCATCCAAAACAAGATTTGATTCTTTCTGTATCTGATGATAAAACACTTAGAGTTTGGGATTTAAACAAGAGAACTCCAGTTAAAAGTTTCAGACGTGAACACGATAGATTTTGGTTAATCGCAAACCATCCTAACATCAATTTGTTTGCTGCTTGTCATGATTCAGGTATTATGATCTTTAAATTGGAGAGAGAAAGACCTGCTCATACTTTTTTCCAGAATAAATTGTATTATGTCAATACTGAAAAACAAGTTCAAATGTATGATTACCAAAGGGGTGAAGGTTCTTTGCCAATGTTATCTTTGAAGAAAATCGGGAAGGCTTGGTCTGCTATGAGAACCCTTTCTTATAACCAAACTGATAATTCCATTTTAGTCACTCATGGTGATGGTGACAAATCCCAATATGCTTTGATTAATTTGCCTAAGCATGTCACTGGTGCCATTGAACCAACTGATATTAGACAAGGTGAAGGTAATTTTGCATGTTTTATTTCAAGAAATAGATTTGTTTCATTTGTCAAGGCTACTAACACTTTAAACGTTAGAGACTTGAGTAATAACGTTACCAAATCAATCCAACTCGATGCTTCTTTTACAGATGCTTTGTACGGTGGCCCAGGCCGTATTTTGTTGATTTCAGCTCATAGTGTTGTTAATTATGATGTTCAACAAAGAAAGGAATTGTCAAGAATCAGTGCTAACAGTGTTAAGTACGTTTCATGGTCAAATGATGGACAATACGTTGCCTTGCTTTCAAAACATAACATCACCATTGCAACTAAGGATTTGGAATACGTTACCTCATTACATGAAACTATTAGAATCAAGAGCGCTGCTTGGGATGAAACTGATGTTTTGGTATATTCCACATTGAATCATATCAAATATTCTTTATTGAACGGTGATAGTGGTATAATCAAAACTTTGGAAAATACATTATATGTTACTAAGGTATCTGGAAAGAAGGTTTACTGTTTGAACCGTGCTGGTGAAGTTGATGTGGTTAATATTGATCCTACTGAATACAGATTCAAGAAAGCTTTAGTGAATAAGAACTTTAACGAAGTTTTAAGAATCATCAAAAATTCTAACTTGGTTGGTCAAAATATCATTTCCTACTTACAAAGAAAGGATTATCCTGAAGTTGCCTTACAATTTGTTCAAGACCCGGAAACCAGATTTGATTTAGCCATTCAATCTGGTGATTTACAAGTTGCTGTTGTTGAGGCTCAAAAACTAAACAAAAACAGTATTTGGGAAAGATTGGGTGAAGAAGCATTGAGTCAAGGTAATCTTGAAATTGTTGAATTAGTTTATCAACAATTACACAAGTTTGATAAATTATCATTCCTTTATTTGATTAAAACTGATAGTCTGAAGTTGACAAGAATGTCTGAAATTGCTGCTAGACGTGGTGATGTTTCCTCTTTAATTCAAAATACAATCTATGAAAATGATATTAAGAATAGAATTGAAGTCTTCAAGAAGGGTGGATTATATCCTTTGGCATATACTCTTGCTAAATCTAATGGATTAGAAGATGTTGCTGCAGAGATTTTGCAGGAAGCTGGTGTTGATGCCAATCAGATTGTTTTACCCCAATTGGGCACTCCAGTTGCTTTACCACAAGCCAGTAGCCAACCATTGGTTAATTGGCCATTAAAGGAATCATCTATGTCATACTTTGAAAAGGCTCTATTGACAGGACAAGTTGAAAACTTGAGTATTGAAGATGAAGTTGTTGTACCTGATGATCAATTTGAAGAAGCCGCAACACCTGTTGGAGTTGAATTTGAAGACGAAGAAGAAGATATTGATGGTGATGATGGTGCTTGGGGATTAGATGATGAGCTTGACATTGGAGATGATGATTTAGAAGAATCTTTGAATGTTACTAATGCCGTTGCTTCCACAGGAGGACCATCAGTTACCGGTGGTGCTGAAGGAGAGGTTGCTACTTGGTTGAGGAATGCAACTACTGCAGCTGATTACGCTGCAGCAGGTGCATTTGAACAAGCAGCATCCATGCTTCATAAACAACTTGGAGTTTCTAACTTTGAACCATTAAGAGAAAGATTCAATGAAATCTACAATGCCAATAAGTTATATTTGCCTGGAGCTTATGATTTACCAGCAATGAAGACATTTATTAGGGCTGATAATGATGAAGATAATCCTCACAAGTTTAAAGCCATTATCCCCGGGTATTCATCATTGGATAGTAAATTAAGTGTGGGTTTCAAATTTTTCAGATCCAATCAATTAATTGAAGCCATTGATACATTCAAGGGAATCATACATACTATTGCATTATTAACTGTTGGAGATGAAGATGAAGAAACCAGATGTAAAGATATTCTTACCTTATGTCGGGAATATATTCTTGGGTTATCTATTGAAGTTGAACGTCGTTCTGTTGGAGACAGTGATATTAAACGGAATCTTGAATTGGCAGCTTATTTCACCAAAACTCAATTACAAAATCCACATCGTGCCAATGCATTACAAGTTGCCATGACTCAATCTTTTAAGTATAAGAATTATGCCAGTGCATCATATTTTGCATCTGAACTCTTGAAAATTGTTCCAAGTGGACCAAGAATTGAACAAGCACAAAAGATCAAGCAAAAAGCTGATACAATTGCTAGTGATGCTATTGAAATTGATTTTGATCCATATGCTGATTTCGACATTTGTGCCGGAACGTTCACACCTATTTATAAAGGTGATCCAATGGTTACTGAAGAACTTGTGGGTGCTAAATATAAACCAGAATTTAAAGGTTCAACATGTTTTATCACAGAAATCACTACTGTTGGTGCGCCAGCTTCTGGGTTACGTATCAGAGGGTGAACATTATATTATAATATATATTAAATAACTATACTTGTCGTTATAATGTTTCTCGTAGATGAAAGTATATATTAACTTGTAAGTATAATACTCTATACTTTTATATTTTTATATCTATTATTAATTTTTAGATCTGATCAGTGATTTTACCACTAATCGAATAACCTTTATATGCTTTGCTATCTCGGTATTTCGGACTTTTGTCGTGTGTTATATGTACAGTATAGCTTTACTGTAGCTGTGGTTTTGTCATACTGATTTTCCGTATATGGACGTGTTGCGATAACCGAGAATGAAAAATTGTTTCCCAAAAAAGTTTCAAGACATGTAGTTTTGTCACCATCGTCACTGTAGTCTTATACAACAATGTCCGACAAGAAACAGGAAGCTATAGCTTTCAAGGATCAAGGGAATGAACTGTTGAAGGAACATCGGTTCGAAGAAGCCGTAGAGTTGTATACTAAAGCTATTGAACTTGACCCTAGCAATGTTATATTTTTCTCCAATAGAGCACAAGCCGAAATCCGATTGGAAAGATATGGATATGCTATAGCTGATTGTGACCGGGCTCTTGAGCTTGATCCCATGTTTATGAAGGCATATTATCGTAAGGGAGTATCGTTAATGGCCATCTTAAAGCATAAAGAGGCATTGGTGTGTTTTAAAACCGTGTTGAAAACATTACCTAATGATAAGCTTACCCTTGAGAATCACAAGCAATGTTCCAATTACTTAAAGAGACAAGCATTTGAAAGAGCCATAGCCTCGGAAGACAAACAGCTGGTGATATGTACTGTTGATTTTGATCACATGTTGATTGAAAAAACATGGGAAGGTCCATCACTTGATATTAAAGTCATTCAGAAATCTTCTAACGATATCAATATTGATATCAAAGGATTGGATGAAGACTACTTGAAATATATGATTAAACACTTTAAGAATGGGGGCAAGATTCCAAAGAAACACGTGTTTGCCATTGTGGCCAAAGTGTATCAGATTTTAAAACAAGAAGCAACCATGGTTGAAATATCACTTAATCACAAGGCAATGGTTTCTGAATCTAAAAATGCCAATGAAATTAAACTTGATGGGAAAAAGATAACTGTTGTTGGTGATACCCATGGACAATTTTATGATGTTTTAAATCTTTTCGCAAAGTTTGGTCATGTTAGTCGAGATCATATTTATGTATTCAATGGAGATTTTGTTGATAGAGGATCATGGTCTTGTGAAGTTGCATTATATTTATATGTGTTGAAAGTATTATATCCCCAATCTGTGTTCCTCAATCGGGGCAATCATGAGACTGATGATATGAATAAGACTTATGGATTTACTGATGAATGCGAAGCCAAATACTCCAAAAAAATCTTTGAAGCCTTTTCTGAATCGTTTGGTGCTTTACCATTGGCAACTTTGATTAACCAATCATATCTTGTTATGCATGGGGGATTATTTTCTAATGATAAGGTTACACTTGATGATATACGAAAATATAATCGATTCCCTTCATCTGGTTCAACTCAACCTCCAAAGGAGGGTATTGCCATGGAATTATTATGGACAGATCCTCAAGAAGTTAATGGTCGTGCTCCTTCAAAGAGAGGTATTGGAATGCAATTTGGTCCTGATATCACGGAAAGATTCTGTCTTAAAAATAAGCTTCGGAAGATCTTAAGATCTCATGAAGTTAGAAATGACGGTGTTGAGTTGGAACATAATGGTCGTCTTATTACGGTTTTCAGTGCCCCCAATTATTGTGACTCAACTAATAATTTAGGTGGGGTGGTTCATTTCACTGAGAATGAAAATTATGATCCTGGCTCTGATGATGGTGAAGGTTACAGAGATGTAGAAGATTCAAATTGTCCTTGGTCACTTGATATGGAAACTTTTGAAGCCGTAGAACATCCACCAATAAGACCAATGGCTTATTCAAAAGGTGGCTTCGGGTTTTAGTATATAGATTTAGAACATATTCAGACGTGCGTGAACCAATATATCTATATTAATGGTTGTAACCGTAAGAAATCACCATACATGACAGTCTGTGATCCGTATCATAATATGAGTAAATCTAGTATCATTCAGGATGATGAACCTGATGAATGGGATCAAAGAATCATCAAGACCGGATGTGCGGACGAAAACTTAGCTCTCCAATTGTGTCATGCTGATACTGGTGATTGGAGACAATGTATTAAAGAAATGGAAGCCTTCAAAAAGTGTTGGTCTTCAAACAAAAATGATGAAAGAACAAACACTGTTGATAATTCTGAATCAATTTAATGATGGTCATAATGATAATGATATTAATCACAGATAATGATCGTATATCTTGTACATAGTAATACTATACCCTATCTTTTGGTAATTTTATTGTATCTTTTCTTCTTTGCGGTCTGGTTTTGCATTGCCCTTGGAAGATTGTTTCATTCTTCTTCTGGCTTTCCTAATGGCTTTATTCTTTTCAGCTTTGGCTTGTAATTGCTGTTGTTTTGATTTCTTCTGGGTTTCATACTGTTGAGATTCTGTTATGGTTCTGGCCTTTAATTGGGTTTGCTGTTGTTTATTGAGTTGAAGACGCTTATTATTGACATAATTGGAGTAATCAAACGATTTCTTTTGTTCTAAAGGTGTTAGCACATCATTAGACTTAACGGCATTTAGCTGTAGTACGTACTTGAGATATGATATTCCGATGGTTCTTCTGTGGTGTCATCGCCCTGTTCATTGCCAATAGGAGGCTTCTTCAGCATCAAGTATTCAACCTGTTTACGAGACTGTTGGCGAGCGTCCATGGTACAAATGATTTTGTCAATGATTTTGTCAAGCATCCAGTCTTGAACATTTAGTCTTAATTATTTAAATTAATCGCGACTACTCTACACCATCCAATGTAATACTATGGACAACATTCCTGATCTTTCATATGACTCCATAGACCGGCTGGAGATGGATCTAGAATCCAATGAGCCAACCCTTGATGCATTTAATAAGGAAAGTATACTTCAATTCAAGACCAAATGGGATGCTATACTTGATAAATACTCCAAGATTGATGATACCAAAGAGAGTGATGAGATAGATTTAACCACGGGGACCATAATAACCGACAATGGACATATTAGAAATCTTAAGTCAGTGGTAGAATTCAAGGGGGTGCCGATACTGTCAGATATATGGTCCACTGATCTTGAACAACGAGATAAGCTGTTACGTAGTAGAGAACGACGTCGTAAACAATTGAAAAGCGAGTTGAAACAACAATTGAAACAAACAAATCTGTTTTGCAGTAAGGATTTATCACCAAAGAAACATGGTAGTAACGATCTAGAAGATAATATACGGTTATTAAGTCCATCTCCAAAGAAGCCAAAGGTATCATCCTTTGAGATACTGGCGCAAGCTGAGGCAGACGCAGATTCACAGTCAGAGTCACAGTCACAATCAGATTCAGATTCACAGGCACAATCAATAACAGAGTCAAGAACAGAATCGCAATCTGATGCATCTACAAATACTGACTTTGATGATGAATACCTGGTGATAGCAGAAACTTCCCTCTCCGAATTGCATTTAATAGAATGTGCATTCCCTAATTGTGAATTCACGGATTCAAATATCTTTCTGTATCAGAAACACTTGCTACAATGTCATAGTAAGACCCTCAAACGAATGGGATACCCCATAGATAATACTGATATCAATCATAATACCCCTAAACAGTTAATAGTGGATGTCCCCCTTCAAAAGGCTTTGGAAGCTTATTTCCCCTTGGTCCATAGTGTTCCTCCATTACCGTTGACTCCAAATTGTGTGCCCTTATGCTGCACTCAAGTTATTGATGGCAGAAGATGTAGAAAGACATTCGAATCTCAAGCATTGTTGGATGACCATAGATTACATGCACCTAGCCTCTGTTCCACTAGAAAGCCAGTTTATTTATGTCCAATGCTTGGATGTGGGTTCATGATAGAAGAAAATTATCTAGAATATCGCCAACACTTTATTGATTCAGAACACCATATTGAACCTAAGTATCGACGTTGTTTCATGTCTCCCCCCAGCCATGATGATGCTCATGATGATGATAACAATAATGATAGCTTTTTGAACTTGGGTTCCATGGATACTGGTTACGATTCAATAGATGAATTATTCAGTGATTAATCGTTTCTTTTATATGTTTAATTATTTATTTATTATTTACAATCAAGTTTATGTTTGGATGTTTATGTACAGTTAAATAAGAAAATCTTCTTCACTAATTATTATTGTCATCTTCTCTATTCTTCTTTTCAGGTCTCTTGAATGCATCTTGTCCGGTAATATATTTGTCAAAAGCATCATTTCTTTCAGGGAATGGTCTGGGTCCACAGATAGCTATCATGTCTTCTCTGGTTAACACTTCCTTCTTAAACAATTCTTCGGCAACCTTATCAACCAAATCAAGTTTCTCAGTTAAAATCTTATGGCATGCAACATATGCATCATCAATTAATCTTTTAACTTCAGTATCAATAGTTCTGGCTGTTGATTCAGAATACATATTGTGAACTCTAAGTCCTCCATTATCACCATTATCATATGTGATATTACCTAATTTGGGGGACATTCCAAGTTTCAATATCATTTGTTGAGCCATTTGAGTTACCTTTTTAAAATCATCAGAGGCTCCACTTGTAACACTTTCAAAATGTAACTCTTCACTAACTCTACCTCCTAATGCCATTGTCATACGATGTTTAAATTGTTCTTCAGAGATCAAATATTGATCCTTAGGTAAATATTGTGCATATCCTAAAGCACCTTGTCCTCTAGGGATAATTGATACTTTAACAAGTGGATCAGCATATTCTAAAAACCATCCACATATAGCATGTCCAGCTTCATGATATGCAACAGTTTTCTTTTCATCAAGTGTTAACACTTTGGATTTCTTCTCTAATCCAGCAATAACTCTTTCAATGGCTTGTTCAAAATGATGAATATCAACAGATGTAGCATTTTCTCTAGCAGCAATTAAGGCTCCTTCATTGCAACAGTTGGCAATATCTGCACCAGCAAAACCAGGAGTTAATGCTGCTAATCTTCCGGCTAAATTGTCAACAGCTTCCTTTTTCAACTCTTGAAATTTATTAAAATCAAGATCTTTATGTAAGACTTTAATATCTTCATCGGATTTAAGAGAAATTTTGGATAAATGAACCTTGAAGATATCCTTACGACCTTCAACATCAGGAAGATCAATATTCACATGTCTATCAAATCTCCCAGGTCTCAATAAGGCTTTGTCCAAAATATCAGGACGATTGGTACCAGCTAAAACAACAACATGATCACCAGATTCAAATCCATCCATTTCTACAAGTAATTGATTCAATGTATTTTCCTTTTCATCATTACCACCCATTCTTCCGTTACCTCTTTCTTTACCAATGGCATCTATTTCATCAACAAATATAATAGAAGGAGCCATTTCTCTGGCAGTTTTAAACAAATCACGAACTCTCGAGGCACCAACTCCAACAAACATTTCCACAAATTCAGAACCAGAAACTGATAAAAAGGGAACACCGGCTTCACCAGCAGTAGCTTTTGCCAATAAGGTTTTACCAGTACCTGGCGGACCAGATAAAATAGCACCTCTTGGAATCTTAGCACCTAATTTTTCATATTTTGCTGGATCTTGTAAAAACTTGACAAATTCGGTGATTTCTTCCTTTGCTTCTTCACAACCAGCTACATCCTTAAATTTTATTTTAACATCTGTTTCTTGATTGAAAAGTTTGGCTTTCGATTTCCCAATCTTAAATAACCCACCAGCTCCACCACCGGGAGCTTGGGCTCTTTTAATAGTGATATACCATAATCCACCAATCAATAAAACTGTTGGAAGAATGGGTAATATCCAATTCATCCACAGACCTCTTTCAGTGTAATGAATAGGTAACCTTTCATCAAGTGGAATACCCAACTTATCTTGAATTTTATTCATTTCATCTTCAAAGAATTCTACTGAACCAATAGTGAACATTACAATTGGTACCCCATGAGGTCCAGTGTGAGTTTGAGTTGAGATAGCACCTGGGATTAATTCAGCTTCAACAATATATTTATTGATAACTGTCATTTTAGTAACAAGACCACGTTCCAAATAGTTAATTTTGAAATCTTGGAATGTCAACTCATTTTCAGCAGAAGAAACATCACTTAATAAAAGTAATGTCATAAGAAATGTGAACATGGCAAACATAGCAGCACCACGAATCATTTGTTCTCGATTGATTTGATAAATCTTAATGTTCTTCTCATCAATATTAGGATTTTGCTTCTTTATCCTCTTTTCAAGTTCCTTCCTCATTTCTCTTTCAAACTCCTCCGCTTCCTTGTCTGCATCTTTTTTAGGTTTCTTGTCTTTTGTTTCTGGTTCGTTCTTGTTATCCTTCAGTGGTTGTTGTTTCTGAAACATGCATCTTGTATTTTGAAACATCAATGGAGCTGATATCGATAATGCTCTGGTAGTACCTGATGATGTTACTGTAACTCGACCTACACTGAAAAGAGATTTACTACTCAATCCTCTCATAGTGTTGGTCGTTACATTTCTCAATGTTATCCGCAGACTCATAAACAGTCCTCGTAACGACCGCATCGAAATAGACGCTATCATTATAATTAGAAGTTAATCTCCTACAATAATTGGGTTGTGGAAGGAAGAAGAAGTGCTTGAGTTTGGTTTAACTCTTGACGTCTTTCGCCTTCTGAACTTCGAAAAAAACGTGCACGGACCAATCAGCAAAAGCCGCTATATAAACCACCATTTACACTGTTGCTAATATAGACATAGTTTATACATTTGTATTTATACGTTTACTGGGGATTAAATACTTCGAGACATAACATATTCATCCCAACTGGTCTCGCAAATCTTTAAAAATTTTTGCTTCTCTTTTGAAAGCCATGCTTGATCTTTAACTTCCAGTGATGAGCCTGGTGTACGGGCCGCATCAGGTTCACTTTCTCCGGAAGAAGCAGAATCGCCTCCTCCCTTCCCAAAGATACGGAAATTGAATATCTTTTCGTTCATAAGGTTAATTGAACCGAAGACTTCATTCTTTATTGGCTTCCCTTCTGAATACTGAGAAACTGCAGCTGCAGCTGCAGCTGTTCGATATTTATCTTGCATTTCATTGATTTCACTTTCTGTTACTTCGTCGCCCTCTTTACTAGTACGGTTGTATGGACTCGACCCATTCGCAAGCACAGCATTTCTAGTGAGCCAGAAATACTCCTTTTGCGCAGACAATGGTTGTGATTGTAGTGGTGCAGCCTTTTCCAAATCCCCAACAAATACATCGGTGACTGTTTTGGATCGATTTGATTTGGGTGTAGTTGCTTCTGCAAGGATATCTTCCTTTGACCCACTGGTAAGAGCATGACCAACAGTAGCAGTATTATTATTGGTATCATTAGCATTAGCATTAGTATTAGTATTGTTATTATAAGTATTAGTATTATTATGATTAGAATTCGTATTACTATTATTGTTCCTACTGGGATCAATGGTTATATGTCTTGGAAAATGTGTTGCTGTGGTTGTATGAGGATGTGGCATGCGAGCTCTTCTAATGGTACCGGTCGGAATTCTTTGGGGTAAGGCAGCAATAGGCTGTAAAGGTTGTCCATATTGATATTGATTTGCCATTGAATGAGGTGGATATACCATTGGTGCATTAAGTGGGACAGGATACGGTCTAACTGGTCGACCATGTACTGGCGTATAAACTTGATAATATCCATATGGGGTTGCATATTGAACTCTTCTTCCATGGAAGGCATTATTTGTTGTCGAAGGTCTTTCTGCAGAAAGTTTTTGGCCCACATTATCACCACTGCTGCCAACAACAGTTTCGTTAGTGGGTCGACCACTATTAACATTAGCAGCTTGTTGAGCAAATGATGTGGCACGAATTGGAGCAGATTGAATGACGGGATCTAATCGAATAGATTCACTTGGACCTGATTCATCATCATCATTACCAAATTGGCCATTAGAATTACTGAGATCCAATGGGTTAGGAACATTATTTCTCTTTAATCTTTTAGCTGAATTTGGTCGTGATAAACGATTGTAATCCGTTGTTGGCTTCAATATATTTGATTCGGTATCATCATCTGAACTCATTTTAATAGTAGTAATAATTGTAGTCTGTTGAATATCATTAGATTTCGGTTCTTCTTCAACGTCATTAATGAGTCTTTTCAAAGAAGAGATTTTTCCCTTTGCCGATTCACAAGATTTTGAAGATTCTGAAGGTGAAGTAGAAGAAGGAGCCGAAACAGTAGTCAGTAACGATGCGTCATTATCTAAAGAACTTGTTGGTTTCACTAATGGTCTTTCCAGACCAGAACCACAGCTTTCATTACCTTCTTCAAGATCATCGTTTTCACTTTCTTCTCTGGTACAGAGTTTATCGCCTACTCTTTCCAATACTATAAATGGCGTTTTTGAATTTTTATTGGCACTTTTAGCTCTGTTGGCAATGAGATTCTTTTGTTGTTTCTCAATGATGTGAGATAATCTCATAGTAGAATTTACGGTGGTATTGAGAGAAGCAGCATTAGTACTATTGTTGTTGTCCAGCTGGGGAGTACTATCGTTTCCTTCTATTGGTTCAGCTGAGTCTTGAACAGATGAAGACAAAGTCGAAGACAAAGATGCCAGTCCTACATCTGACTCAGTAGGTGACACATGATGTGTTTCAGTAGGGGGAAGAGGGGGTGGTGGCACAGCAGTAGGAGCCATATCCAACACGTTAGTAGACATTTTTCAATTTATGGAGCTGCAGTTCAATTAAAATGCAATCGTTAACTATGAAAAAAAAGCACTTAATGATATAAATGTAAGTCTGTCAATCTGTAGTAGATACCACTGGTTCAGGTAAGGTCAAGGTTTGTTTAGTAAAACGTTTATTCCAATTATTGTGCTCAATGTATATGACGTGCTTCGGGTAATTGTACGCACCCAAGGAAATTGTCTAGATTTGAGAGGATGCAACAGACGAAATAACCAAATTGATCTAAAGGTCAACTGACACCTAAATGGGAAATGGAATAAACAGTGATAATAACAAATTCAAACGTAGTTAATTGAAAGTGGGTTTTAGTTATTTATTTATTCCATCGTAAACCACTGAAACTTAAACTAATGGGATCTTGAGGCAACTCCCCACAGGATGCTCATGGCCTGTACATAACCGCGAGATGTTTCAGATTTAGGTGGGAATTTCCTTCCAAGCACACAACAAGGGATGAACACCCACGAAAATGTTGGTCTCAGTTGATTATGTGCTCCATATAAATATGAATAAGAATGGGGTTCATTTTGTTTGACAAGAGGAAGAGTGTAGAACTATGCAAACTGTATTAGAGATTTTATTGTACTTAAAACATACTCTAATCAACACTTTATTCGTATACACATCAACACGTTATTCATATTGTTACACATACATTATCATATTTATATATATAAACATTTTATATATGTTATGGTCCAGAGGAAAAAAATTATACAAAACAATTGCGCCCTCTTAATTATGGAATGCTTCCCAACCTTGAGGTTTGGTTAAGCCTTGAATATCGAAAAACTTGGTGGTACAAGAGTACTTTTTCCAAGTGAAATCGTCCTTGGTGTTACAAACACACTTCTTTTGGGTTCTAACTTCCTGATCAATTGGACAGTTATGAAATGGAACATGATAATAACCAACATCACCGAAAAAGTGAACCTTTTCTCTTGGAAGGAATAAAGCAGCCGCAATAGAATGAACTGGTGCATCACCCCATCTTTCATAAAAGAATCCACCAGCCTTATCCAAATGTTCGAAAAACTTTTGATAAGCTTCACTTCTCCAAAAGTTTAAGTTACCAACTTCAAAATTAGACCAGAAATGGCACATATTGTAAGTAGCACCATTATCGTTAGAGATCCATTCCATTAAATTGTTTTCAGCAAGGTATTGAGGGTTGGCATGAATAAAGGACTTAACAGTATCCCATAAAGTAGGAACAGTTTCAATGTATTCTGGTAAAGTAATAGTGAAACCATAATCCTTACCAGATTCCTTCATAAACTTGAAAACATCGTAATCGACGTCACAGTAAATCTTAATAGATGGTTCAACTCTCCAATAGTAGTCATATTCAGCCAATACTTCTTGTCTCCAGAAAAACCCAGATTCAAATCTACACATATGTCTGTATGGCTCAGAACCACCATAGATAACCTTCTTTTCAATCATCTTCTGTCTGGAAGCAGCAGCCTTTTCTTGATCAATCCAAGATGGATAAGACCAATGTTCTTGAGGAATTAAACCAAATTTGGTTGTACCAGAAACAAGAGCTGATACAGTGGATTTGAATTCTTCACTAAATGGTTGATCATTTAAGAAAACCCAATCATAATGGTATCTATGGTTGAATCTATCCTCAATAGATCTAATAGAACCCAATAATTCATCCAAATCAGAGTTACGAGCCAAAGTAACGAAAGTAGCCTTAACTCTTTCGTAATCAGGACCAACTTCACCAGATTTAGCAGAAGAACCTTTAGAAGCAGGTGGTGCACTCTTTGGTTTGGTTTGAGCAGGAACACTTCCACCAGCCATTTCAATCACTTCACTATCACCAACACCAGGATGACTCTTAAGAGTGGCAGCTGGGGCTTGATTGTTAACTAAGTTTGAGTATCCTCCATGACTTGAAAGTAAATACCCTGAAACCACCAAAACGATGGCGATAATGGCAAATCTGATGAGTCGCACGTTCGATCTAGTAGCTGCCATGATTCAATAAGGGTACGTGCTATACTCTTGAGTTTTGCTGACTGAAAAGAAAGTAATGAGACATTTTATAACTGTGTCGTTGACCTACTTTTGTATTTTGTTCTGCTAAGAAGAACACGTTAACCAAATGAACGTAGATACACAAACCTATTAATTTTGCCTAGACGCGACTAGCAATTGTCCCCGACACTTCGACATACTTCAGACGTGACGATCCCACAATTCTTTAATGTTACGAAGCCATAACTTCATAAATACTGTCGCGTGCATGCAACTTGGTTGCTGACTATTTTATAAGTCATGAGTACTAGTATTTAGTGTAGGTATGTATAAGGGGTTCATCATATACGTAGACCATCTCCCTGTAGTAATTAAAATGTCGGCGTGTGGTAACCTGTACTAACAATAACTTTGTGCTTGCAACTTTTTCTGACACCAAACTGACACGCTCAAAGTCAGACATTGCTCAAACTTATACCTTTGTGATGGTCAAGTATTATATAGAGTTAAGATAACAATAGAATATACACTATTAAATTGTAGGCATAATAAATTTTCACCCCCACTTCAAGAATTTTTTCATTTGCATTTGCACCTCCACAAAATATGTCGGTAATATAATGTTGTAAAGCAGGGACCATTTACCGAACTATTCCATACAGGCGAAGTTATACAAGCGAGATGATCCTAAGTCTATTTCGGATCACACGTTTACTAGTGACAAATGTACTGTTAAATCTGGCACGATTGTTCATATAATGGAAGATTCATTTAAGACTGAGAAGAAACCTAATTTTGTCCCGTGAAACTCAAGGTAGGTCAACATTGTATACAGCTGTCTTCTGACAATAAACAAAGCTTTCAATGACTGCATGGATAATGATAGTTTATCTGCTTAGTGAATACATAGGCTTTTTTCAAGATTTGCAGTTAACAATTTTCTATTGTACAATTTTTAAGGTATTTTATATAATCAAAGATTCTATTCCAGTCCATTTTCGTTTTCTTTACTCTGTCAATCACCTCTAATAAGTGAATTCTTTTTGTTCATTATTACGTGAATTTACTCCATTCATTAGGTTTGGTTAATCCCATTTTTTCATAATATTGTTTCCCACAACTGTAGCCTCTAAAGGTAAAATCGTCTTTAGCCACACAATGGCATTTATGTTGAACTCTGAAATCATGATTTAATGGACATTGGGTATAAACACTATGTTTGTAACCAATATTGTCAAAATAATGAATTTTTGATTTAGGAAGGAATAATGCAACAGCTAATGAGTGAATTGGTGCATCACCCCATCTTTCATAGAAAAATCCTCCTGCTCGATCTAAATGATCAAAATATTTGGTATATGCTTCACCTCTCCAAAAGTCCATATCTGCAATCTCTAAATTAGACCAGAAATGACATAAATTATAAGTTTCTCCTTTATCATCAGAAATCCAATCCATAAAGTTATCTTTATCGACAAATTGTGGGAACTTGGCCATAAACTTTTTGGTCTCATCCCATAATGTTTCAATAGTTGCTCGGAATTCATGAATAGAAATAGTGAAACCATAAGTCTTATTATTTTCTTCCATATACTTGAAAACATCGTAATCAACATCACAAAAGATTTGGATTTCAGGTTCAACACGCCAATACCATCTATAGTTTTCCATTAAAGGATGACGATAAAAGAACCCACTTTCAAAACGACACATATGTCTGTAACTTTCTAAATCTCCATAAATGATCTTTTTCTCCTTCATCTGCTTTCTTACAGCAGCAGCTTTATTCTTATCAATATATTCAGGATAAGACCAATGTTCTTTAGGAATCTTACCAAATTGTGCTTTCCCACTAACTAGGGCTGTAACTAGAGTTTTGAATTCATCAGTAAACTCTTCATCATTTAAAAAGACCCAATCATAATGATATTTATGATTAAACCGATCTTCAACAGCTCTAATAGATGGAAGTAACTTGTATAATTCACTGTTTCTGGCTAATGTAACAAATGTGGCATTAGCCCTTTCATAAGGTACTTGCTTGATAGCCATCTTGGATGTCTTATCTTTTTCAATCACAGTCTCATTGGGATCATATTGAATAACCTTCTTAGTCTCACTGTCCACATACATTATTGTGGGAGGTTCAAGGAACTTTTGGACCACATGGTAGAAAAATACACCTGCAACCAAAAGGGCCAACCCTAGTTGTATCCGACCTTGACGCAGTCTCACCGTATAAAACATCTTAATATTTGTTTTTGGTTGTTGCTGACTATCAAGTAGAGATCAAGTATTATCAAAAAGGAAATAAGAACGCTGTTGGAGATTCACTCCTTATATTTCTGAAGTCGTTTTTTTTTTCAAGAGTGCTTGTTGTTCGAAACACACATAGCCAAAAAGCCTGCATGTCACTTTCAAAGGTTAGCTAAATTCACACCTCATACAACGTAGCAAGAACCCTTATTTTGGAAACACAGTACCTTCGATAGGTTAGTGCACCTTTCCCTCACTGCGATAAGATCTAATTTTGGATGCATATCCTTATTTTCCCTCATCTATTAATTGTTAAAAATTGCTTTTAGAAACCATACTGCGGAGACGCGAAATTATGCCCCACGACTAAACAAGAACCCAGGCATTTTGACACTAGGTATACGTTAGGACTATAATGATTACCAGGGGTATTTTAGTTCTTGGTACATCTGTTCAAGTAAAGTTGGCTTGTTGATCTACAGACTAATCTGCCTGTATGTTAATGGTTGTTGGAACTTGTTCTAGCATGACCGTATTGTTCTGTTTTCGCCTAATCTTTCAGGGGTTACTCTAAGCAGACAACACACACAGAAAAACTCTTATCAGTTACTACTGAAACAATGCGAAGAATTCATGTTTACTGATCAACGGTAACACCTGTATCGCTTACGTGTTTGACACTGAAATCATCTCTTTTCCTTCCACAAAGAAATCTTACCTCGTGTTTATTATTAATATTCCAGACTGTATGCAAGGCGGTATTCGTTTAACTTTTTGGGATCAATCCGGAGCTCAAATTTATCACTTGTGTGAATCAATTCACTGTATTTTAAATTCATCTTTGATAAACTATTGTGGTTCAAATTATTCATAATCAAGTAAACATCATCCACAGCATCAATGTTGAAAAGTAAAGATTCAAACATCTTGAATACTGCCAAACTAAGGGCAATCAATTTGGTCTCTGGAACAATAGAAAGTAGTAAATTGTCGAATATTTTAAACCACACATCAAGGGTTAAGAAATTCTCCGTGAATAACAGAAGCCACCAATTAATAGTAATAAATTCAACTTGAACACCAAGATTTTGAATTAAATGCTCATGTAGTTTAGGCATAAATTTGGGGAAATATATGTCACATATAATCTTTTGATCTTGTTTAATACTTTGAAGACTTTGAAAATCAAAATAATTCAACTTACTGGTTTTAAATCGGGGAAGAATCTCTTCAACTAAGCCAACAAATATCCAAAATACATCCTCTTCAGAGATATTGGGATACCCTAATAATAAGTTACCAACAATTTTATTCATTCCCTGACAATAACCTATCTCTGGTTTATACAAAACAAAGGCGTATAATATTCTTTTCAATTTTGAATATAATGGGCCCGGTTTATTTTGCAACATATTATTGAAAAATATATTGGATGGCATAGTCCGATTTAAATCAAGGTCAACTTGATTCAAATTACTTTGAATTAGTTTATCAGCATTGGGATCTATTGAGAGTTGATAATATCTTTCAAATTCTCCATTAACTCTAAGGTTATCTCCCCCGGTTAATTCCATCCAAATGGAACCTCTGTGTTTTGGAGGTATCCCCCCTTTATCAATTAAATCATGAAGTTGACGGTAGTATTTATTATTGCTGTAGTATTCCAGGGGACTGTCTTTCCCATCAACGAGATTAAGACCCCGAATACCAAAAAGATTATTGGACTTTTTATAGTGTCCTTCAACTGATTTAATGTATTGGTCCCATTGCTTTTCCATTTCCATATTTCCCAAATCATGAAGCTCGCCGAGTTGTTTAAGCTTTTGAATTGAAGTATTATGAATTGTTAAAGATTCTCCATTGATGTCAACTTTAGCTAAACTTTTGTCCTTTTCGGATTTGATATCTTTTGCGTTAGTTAAATCTGTAGTTGCAATACCAACAAATGCAGCTGACTTATTTAAAATGTTGAATTCGCCAAATTCAGCTTCAGGACTAGAATTTTTTGAAGCATCATTATGCATTGTCATTGACCCTCTTTCAATGTTTGCCTTATTTGTGTGTACATCGCCCGAATTTTCAGAAACATTTTTATGGACTTTTCTTATATTATGGGAATCATAGAACCCATATTTATCCACTGAAAAATCATTTGCCTGTGGAATAACAGAATCGCTAGGTGAATAACCACTATCCAGTATTTCTTCGTCACTATTTTCTCGTGCTATACTGTTTAACTCCATGGGAGGTTTCATTGTTTCGTTGTTGGGTTTGAGTATATTTGGAATGAAACTACCAAGAACGGAGGGAGTCCCATGACCTGATACATCTTGCAAATCTTCTGTGGAATTTAACCATTTTTTAAGCCAAGTGGCACGAGGTGCCGTTACTGCGGTTATCTGACTCATTTGAGAGTCACTACGTATTCGACCAACAGATTCCTGTTGCGATTCGCCTTCTTTTGTTGATTTATTGGATTTATGATGTAATTTAGAATCAGAAGATACTCTTTTCTCTCGTTTTCTACTTCTTTGGGGTATGTTTTCTGGTTTATCTTCTTTTGTTCTCTCCATGGCCAGTTGTTTCTCCTTTGTAGGCAAGTAATCCTCATTCAATGCACCCCCTATTAGTTCCAGTAGTACTTCATCAACTCCGCTATTATCGGTTTTTTGGAGACTTTTCTGTAATATTTTATCAACTTCAAGTGAAGATAAGTTACCATATTCTGAACATAACTTATAAAACTCCTGTTCTTTTATAAAGGAATGTCTTCGTAATATTATTAATTCCGTTTCCTTTTTGGCTAAATCAAGCAGCAATTGTTTAACTAACTGTAGCAGATTTCCTCCAAACCTTAGACGGATTAGTTTGTTTATATGGGAATCAGATAATTGGTGCAAGTTGGACCCTAGGAATGTTTCTCCTTTCTCAAAAATAGAAGAGGCACTTGGTGTCCTTGAGGTTTCACTCACCACTGGACTATCTCGAATGCTATCAGTGGCTGTTCTAGTATCATTATCAATCTCTGTGGTAAAGGAATCATTAGGTATCTGATGTGTATTAACTGTTTCATTTATAGGTCCGGAGATCTTCCCAAGCAACACTGTTCTAGCGGAATACCCAAGATTATCACTACTCTCTTCACTCCCAAATAGCGGTTGGTCTTTCATGTATGCTAACGGGCGGGTTCAAATATTTGTACAGAATAGAATGCAAATTGGTTTAGTTAATATCGTATACGGAACGCATTATCTAAGGGATCGGGTTTTTCCTGCACGTATGAATTGCGTAGATTTACGCATGTCACATATAGTTCGCACGGGGGAATCGAACTGGGTACAACAAAGTTGATTGAAAGGAGTGATATAATAAGCATAATTGGTGCTTAAATAATTGGAAAGATTTATAACAAGTACATGATAATTATACGTGGCTATTGATACTCGATTCCAAAAAAAAATTGTTAAATCTCTTTGTATAGCGTGTCATCTTTATGCAAGGACAATGCTAATCTTCTCTGTATTGTTATATTTGACAGATGTACCATCCCGAAGGATAGTACGAACAAGTTCAATGCGCGAAAAATATATACCAGCTGCACAACATATCCAATTACGAGGGTACTAACGGGATAACCCGAGGATTACTATTTTAATTAAACTGGAGGCAAAACAAAACAAGGGTTCATTTACGACACTGTTAGTTTCCATTTCTTAACAGTGTTGAACTCAATTACTTTGCCTAGAGGCTTTTGATAACCCTTACGATATCATTATCATTAGATCGGAGGAATTATCACTCGAATAACAATTTCTAATTAACTACTAATTATACGGATAATGAGTATTCTAATTCGATTCAGAACGAGAGATGGGATGTTAAGAATCCCAACTAATGAAGATTCAAAGTTTAAAGTTGTATTGGATGATTTGGTGAATAAGATTAGTTGTAAGGATTTGGACGAAATTTATATTGGCATTGCCCCCAATACTAAAGGTGAAGTAGCTTCATCCATTTGTGATCGTACAGTTAAAGATTTGGGACTTAAGAATGGAGAATTACTATTTGTGAACTACCAAGCAATTCCAGCAGCTGCTCCTACTCCTCTGAAATCATCGATTAATAAATCAACAATTCAAATAGCAACTGGTTTGGTGCCACCTCATATTAATAAATCAATAGGGCCCCTTTCTGTTAAGCAATTGCCAGTTGATGATTTATTGGATGGTCAAGATGGGTTAATTAAACGACCACAGTCACAATTATGCAGACATGGGGACAAAGGTATGTGTGAATATTGTTCACTGTTACCTCCCTGGGATAAGAAGTATCGGGAAGAAAAGGGTTTCAAACATATGTCATATCACGCTCATTTGAATGAATTGAACGAACAAAACAAAAACAGTTCATCATCTTACATTTCGCCCTTGGAAGAACCAGACTATAACATTGATTTAAAGTGTAGTAATGGTCATTCACCATATCCCCGTGGTATTTGTTCTAAATGTCAACCACCAGTTATTACACTTCAACAGCAACAATTTAGAATGGTTGATCATGTTGAATTCTCTGATTCTGCGATTCTTAATACATTTATTGAAAGTTGGAGACTTTCTGGAGTTCAAAGGTTTGGTATTTTATATGGCAGTTATGAACCATTTGATAAAGTACCATTGGGTATAAAAGCAGTGGTTGAAGCTATTTACGAACCACCTCAGCATGGTGAATCAGATGGTTTAACGTTATTACCTTGGGATAATGAACAACAAGTTGATCAGGTGGCTCAACTGCTAGGACTTTACAAAGTGGGTATTACATTTACAGATTTAACGGATGCCGGAATAGGAAATGGGAAAGTGTTGTGTAAAAGACATAAGGATTCATATTTCCTTTCATGTTTAGAAGTATTAATGGCATCAAGATATCAATTGGCTCATCCAAATGTTAGCAAACACAGTAAAACCGGATTTTTCAGTTCCAAATTTGTTACTTGTGTTATAAGTGGTGGACTACAAGGAGATATTGAACCTAGATCTTACCAAGTTTCAACTTCAGCAGAAGCATTGGTGAAAGCTGATATCATAACTGCATCAACTCAACCAAACCAACTTTATATTAATAAGAGTGATGAGAAACGTTACGTTCCTGATGTGTTTTATTCCAAAGTTAATGAATATGGACTTGAAGTGAAAACAAATGCCAAGCCTGCTTTCCCAGTGGAATTCTTATTAGTAACTCTTCTGGATTCTTTCCCATTGGAACCTAATCCTATGTTTGAGTCTAAATTCCCAATTGAGAATAGAGAATTCTTGGGTCAATTACAAGAATTAAGTACTGTTTCCAAAGTGATTTCTTCTACATCAGAGAATGAAGGTCGTCTGCTTGTGGACTTCCACTTTTTAACATTTCTTCTTAAAATCAATGTCCTTGGACCTTCTGAGTTTAAGTTACTATTGAAGTTTGTTAAAGAACGTGACATTCAAGATTTACATGTATTGCAACAAAGTTCTGGGTGGATGACTTTACTTACTATTCTTCTGGTTACGTAAAAGGAATATTTTATAACCTATACCTTTTGTACTCACTCTAAGTGGCAATATATTTAGGTGGTATAATCATTAAATTCTTAGCTCCATATGTATTACTTTTGAGTTCATCAGATAATGCGTGAATGTTCTAGTAGCTTCTGGGGTCGTGCATTGTGCAATGCCTAAAGTGAAAAATTTTATATATGAGGGCAGACAAGCAGCAAGACAATTATAGTAAATTGAGTGCAAGAACGAAAGGCCATTAGTAGTTCTTCATAAGATTGATCTAATCATATAGAAACTAAATTCATAATGTCTATCTCAATTCCATTTGGTGTTGACTTGGGTAACAACAACACCGTCATTGCCTGTGCTAGAAACAGAGGTATTGACATCATTGTCAATGAAGTTTCCAACCGTTCCACCCCTTCCTTAGTTGGGTTTGGTTTGAAAAACAGATCTATTGGTGAAGCTGGTAAGAATCAACAAACTTCTAACTTAAAGAACACTGTTGATAACTTGAAGAGAATTTTGGGTTTGTCTTATAATGACCCAGACTTTGAAACTGAAAAGAAGCATTTCACTGCTGCTCTTGTCGAGGGTAAAGAAGGTGAAGTTTCTGCTAAAGTTAGATACTTGGGTGAACAACAAGAATTCACTGCTTTACAATTAACTGCTCTGTACCTTAACAAGATTAAACAAATCACTCAAAAGGAAACCAAAGGTAACATTGTTGACATTTGTTTGTCTGTCCCAGTCTGGTACACGGAAGTCCAAAGAAGAGCTGCATCTGATGCTTGTAAAATTGCTGGCTTGAACCCAGTAAGAATCGTCAATGAAGTCACTGCTGCTGCTGTTGGTTACGGTGTTTTCAAGCAAAATGACTTGCCAGAAGATGCACCAAAGAAGGTTGCCTTTGTTGATATTGGTCATTCTTCTTACCAAGTCTCCATTGCTGCTGTCAAGAAGGGTGAATTGAAGGTTTTGGGTTCTGCTTATGACAAGCACTTTGGTGGTAGAGACTTTGACCTTGCTATTGCTCAACACTTTGCTAAGGAATTCTTGAGTAAGTACAAGATTGATATCAACACCAACCCTAAAGCTTTCTACAGAGTTTTGACTGCTGCTGAAAAATTGAAGAAGGTTTTATCTGCCAACACTCAAGCTCCTTTCAACATTGAATCTCTTATGAACGATGTTGATGTTTCTTCTTCCTTGACTAGAGAAGAATTGGAAGAAATGGTTCAACCTTTGTTGGCCCGTGTTCATGTTCCAATTGAACAAGCCTTAAAGACTGCCGGTTTGACTGCTGCTGATATCGACTCTATTGAAGTCATTGGTGGTTGTACCAGAGTTCCTTCTTTGAAGGCGAAGTTGGGTGAGCTTTTCAGCAAGCCTTTGAGTTTCACCTTGAACCAAGATGAAGCCATTGCTCGTGGTAATGCCTTCATCTGTGCTATGCACTCTCCAACTTTGAGAGTCAGACCATTCAAGTTTGAAGACTACAACCAATTCTCTGTTTCCTACTTCTGGGATAAGCAAAATGAAGATGAAGACCATTTGGAAGTGTTCCCTCGTGGAGGCTACTATCCATCTACTAAGGTTATTACTTTATTCAGACAAGGAGACTTTGAAATTGAAGCTAAATATTCCAAGCCAAGCGAATTACCAAAGGGTACTCCTTTGGCTATTGCCAAGTGGGAACTTAAGGGCGTTGTTCCAGAAAAGGGTGAAGATACCATTGCTACTAAGATTAAGTTGAGAAATGATCCATCTGGTTTCTACACTGTTGAAAGTGCTTACACTGTTGTCGAAAAGACTGTTAAGGAATTGGTTGAACCAAAGGAAGGTGAAGAAGTTGCTGAAGATGCTGAACCTGAATACCGTGAAGTCAAGAAGTTGGTCAAGAAGAATGACTTGGAAATTTTAACTTTCAGTTCTTCTCTTGCTGATGACGTTAGAAACATTTTGATTGAAAAGGAAAACACCATGACCATGGAAGATAAGTTGGTTGCTGAAACTGAAGACCGTAAGAATGCTTTGGAAGAATACATTTACGATTTGAGAGGTAAGTTGGAAGCTCAATACGCTGACTTTGCCAGTGAAGAAGAAAAGACCAAGTTAACTGGTATGTTGCAAAAGACCGAAGACTGGCTTTATGATGATGGATATGAATCCACCAAGGCTAAGTACATTGCAAGATACGAAGAATTGGCTGCTTTGGGTAACTTGATCCGTGGTCGTTACTTGGCAAAGGAAGAAGAAAAGAAGCAAGCTATAAGAGAAAAGCAAGAAGCAAAGAACATGGCTGAATTGGCTGCTAAATTGAATGCTCAAAGAAAGGGTGATGCTCCTGCTGATTCTGAATCCACCCCTGCTACTGATGATGGGGACATAGAAATGACTCAATAAGTCAAAATATACCGATAGTTAATTTCTAGTTTATTATAATAAACATAATTTGTACATGAATAAAATTAACCGAATACTGTAGTAACGCCTAATACTTCTAGTTGTAAAGTTTACAAGATCGGTAATTACTACTGGGCGTGTCCCAACCCAATAGAAGGTGAAGAATATCGGCCTATTCACAACCGTAGCACTTTCGGCACTAAGCGGCGTTATATATGTGCCTATTATAACCGTGAAAAAGGTGAATAAAGTCCGATCTATAGAAAAGTTTCACTTATATACATAACCAAAGGTACCCATGACGTAATTCATAGGTTGGAACAAAAACAAAGAACAGTTACACAATAAACAAATTAGTGCTTTATTAAGAGAAGCAAAAACAAGCACAATACAAAATTGAGTTTGTTGCATTACGCTTTCGTACACAAAAGAATTTGGTAGGCTTTCCAGTACACTTTAGAATGTCTTTTCTCTTCTTAGTACCCCGTGGAACCTACAGACCTGAAAACATGGGGGGAACCAGGATCCAGCCTTAAAAGGAATAGTACCAGGTTGTGTGAAAATTTTTCTCAAGTGCGATTACACAAAGCCTGACAACTACGGTTCACAAAATCCATAAATTTTTGACATAAGTTTAAGGACTTCGTAATATGTTATGCTCCCAGCGTTGGTAAAGACAGACATTCAACCTAGCATATTGAATAATGCTCAAAATTGCTATGTAGGAGTAATCTCTTGAGTCCCTCGGTAAGCAGCCACCAAGTATTATGTAGAATATATAACCGATAGTAGTAACAAAGTCATAGTTTTTTTCCCGTAAACTTATTTCCGTTCGGTAAGGGTACCCCTACATCATCATTTAGCTCTACATCTGCGCTACCATTTTCATCAATATTGTGAGAAAGAAGAAAGACAGTCTTACCCACTCTGATTGACTTCAAGGGTATTATTATCCTTTCAAAGACCTCTATCAGTATTCACACAAGGCAGTAGTAAGATCTGATAGTACAGCATTTGAGGCTATTTATTCTAGTATCTCATTCATATAAATACAAGGACTGTCTACACTATTTTCTTCTCTTTGTTGAATTGTATTTATTTTCTCTGAGGAACAAACTTTTATTTGATATACTAATTCTACTGCTTTCATCTCTTCTAATACTTTATTTTCTACTGCTACTGTTCATTGAATAGTCCGATGCCTAACACGACGAAATCAAATTTGTCTTTAGCAATACAAAGAGCTGATAATCATCCTGACAATACAAATGGCTCTGTACCGCCTACTACTACTACTAATGAATCATCTACATCAGATTTCAATACAAACAATCTGAATGTAAACCATCTTTCAGCTTCTACTTCAACATCTCCTTTACTTTCTGCTAGTTTCAATCCACCCTTACTACCACAATATAGTCAACCTACCACTTCAACTAATTCCACCACTGTTGTTAACTCTCCATTCAAGCCAGAATTATCTCCACTTCAAACTTCCTTTGAAGATGATAGCAATTTGATTCTCCATTCTGAAACTATCAAGAAAAGGAAAAATAAAAAGCATATATCTTCGGATTATTACCAGCATCTGCTGGAGTTGAACCTCGAAGATTTGGAACTGTTGGTTAAATCAAATGATGCATCAAATAATAATGGCAATGAACATGGAAATATACCATATAATGAAGATGATGATGACGATGACGATGACGAAGAAGATGAAGTAAATATGGCAAATGAAGAAGATTTGCAAGACTACGTTCCTGGTGGATATCATACTTGCTACATTGGTGAAACTTATAAAAATGGCAAATATACTTTAGTCCGTAAATTAGGTTGGGGTCATTTCCTGACAGTTTGGCTAGCAAAGGACAATGATAAACATTGTCATGTTGCTATGAAGATTGTTCGAAGTGCAAAGAATTTTACCCAAACAGCGATTGACGAGATTAAATTGTTGGATAAAGTAAGAAGTTCAGATATCCATCATCCTGGCCATATGCATGTTATCCAACTTTTGGATACTTTCACTCATAAAGGTCCCAATGGTATACATGTGTGTATGGTATTTGAAGTACTAGGTGAAAATCTTTTAAGTTTAATCAGGAGATACAAACATAGAGGTATCCCCATAGTTTTTGTTAAGCAAATTGCTAAGCAATTGCTTTCAGCTTTAGACTTTTTACACCGTAAATGTGGTGTCATTCATACTGATATGAAGCCAGAGAATGTGTTGATTGAAATTGGTGATGTTGAACAAATTGTTCGTTTGGTTGAAGAACAAGAACAAAAGGCAAAACTTCAAAGGAAACTTCTGAAACGTCAAGTATCAAGTACTTCCATGAATATGAGACAAACATCTGCAACTGTTTCACAATCTAACCTGGTTATATTTCTGTCGAACGTACAGACATCCTATCCAAATCAATCGAATTCCAATGCTGAACAAGATACTTCAACTACTGCAAACAATTCAGCAGTATCGGATAATGGTGATCCTAATGAAAGCATGGCTTCTTTAAAATCCATTGGATCTTCACCATCTTTAGGAAGAAATGGACGTCGTTCACGTCGTCAAACTCTTATTACTGGATCCCAACCTTTACCATCCCCATTAAGAACATTTAATAAATCATTTACTAATATTGGAGGTCTTTCATCTACAACTCAAAACACACCGATCAAAACTTATAGTACATCCATGCTTGCTAGTGCAATTCCAATGACTATAGGGGAAACCAATTCACATTCAGAGTCCAATAACGAGAATATTGCAGTTGATGAAAAATCAAAGACTTTACAAAGTTCACTTTCATCCATGTCGATATCCAATGAAAATTTGGAAATGACAGCTACTGCAACTGCTCTTAACATCAATAAATCACCATTCCCCACAACAGCTGGAGGTGAAGTTGACGTTCCACCGGAGATTTTAAATGATGATGAATTAATCCTGGTGAAAATTGCTGATTTAGGGAATGCATGTTGGACTTACCATCATTTCACTGAAGAAATTCAAACCAGACAGTATCGTTCACCTGAGGTATTAATTGGTTACCATTGGGGTAGTTCTAGTGACTTGTGGTCATTTGCATGTTTGATATTTGAATTATTAACCGGTGATTATTTGTTTGATCCTCGTGCTGGGAAATCATATAGTAAAGATGATGATCATCTTGCCCAAATTATTGAATTAATTGGTCCCATTCCTCGTCAAATGCTTAAGGAAGGTTATTTGAGTAGGGAGTTCTTCAATTCAAGAGGTGAAATGCATCGGATTCTGAAATTAAAGCCTTGGGGTTTAAGAGATATTTTAATTGAAAAGTACAAGTTTCCAACTGCTGATGCTGAAGAAATTAGTGATTTCCTCTTACCAATGTTACAGATTCAACCTGAATCCCGGGCAGACGCAGGTGGAATGGTGAACCACCATTGGCTTAGTGATGCATTGGGATTAGAAAATGTGGTACTTGAAAGACCAGTTGGAGGAAATGGTGAAGATATTCCTGGTTGGTCTCGAGAGATTCCTTCTCAACAGCAATCCAAATATTTGTACCATCATCATAACCATTAATGTGTATTGAGATACACTTTTACACTCGTTAGATTCTTGAAATCACTCATTAGTTAGGGAGCTAATGTCAAATTAAAACTATTCTAGGTAAATGAAAGAAAGAAGGAAAGAAGAAAAAAAAACATTAAACGTTAAGTCGTTGATTAGCATTGCATTTTGCATTTATTTTTTTTGTTGTTGTTGCTGTTGTTATTGTAATTATTGTTGTATAATATGGTATTGTCTTATTTTCTGTGTCGATGTATTTAGTGTATATATAATGAGCATTTCTGTTGATAAAACTACATCTTACAAGAATACTCAAGTATTCATTAGTATATTCATTGATATTCTATACCAGATATTTATAAGTGTATATATTTACAAGCTCCGTCATTTTAATTAACCTTTCTCAAAGTCTCCGCTCAAGTTTATTTAGCTTCTTAGCCGTACGAGCATTATTCTTCGTTTTTTGTCCTCTAACTGGTAATCCCATAGCATGTCTAAGACCAGCATAACTACCAATGGTACGCTTCAACTTAATATCATCCCAAACCTTTTGTTTCAAGTGTCCTTCAACTGTAATATCACTTAATTCTTTATTAATAGCCATAATTTGAGTTTCGTTTAATTGGTTCATTCTCATCTTAGGATAAATCCCAATACGGGCACATATTTGTTCGGCTGTTTTTAAACCCACACCAAAAATATTAAATGCAAGGCCATATTTGACCTCAACATTATGTTTAATGGCCTTTCCAAGAATGTGAATAGCCATGGCTATATTTTATTAATGCTAGATATATCAACGCTACTAATGTTAAAAGCGTATTGAACAATTTTTCACACTAATTTTTCCAGGTGGATCGGTCGTGTGATATACAAAAAGTCCTAATTGATTATGGGGTATACGCTTGGAACAATGATTATGATTAATTAATAGTATACAGATAAAGTAATAACACAGAGATGAACTAAAAAGAATGCAAAAAAAAACCAACTAAGAATACCCGCTGCTTGGAGTAGCCATTTGTCGAAGAACTTCATTCAGCTCAAGATCTAATCGAAGTATAAGTAACGACCGCAAAAGACCAATCATTGTTAAAAAACTTGCAAATCCAACCGGAACCACAGCAAATACCACGATATTATAAAAATCAAAAAACCTTTGCTTACGTTTCCCCTTGAGATCCAAGTTAGAAGTAACAAAGTTTTGAATTATGTAAGCACCAGTCATTATACAACTTACCAAGATCCAAATATGTAGACCATATTTATAACCATTAGCAGAAAAGGCAGACACTGTATATTGTTCCACTGCTATAAGAATAGTTGACATGGAAAGCATTCTTACTATTGCTGCTGGGGCCAGATAATTGACGATCCATCGAACCATTAATCCATCTAAGACAGCATAAGATAAATAGGCGGCAACGATACACCAAATACCTGTTAAAAAATGTTCTGCAGTTCTTGCAGAAGTAAAATCAGTAGCCCAAGTAGTAGAAAGTACTGATGATGCAAAGTAACTTTCAAAAAATACTCGTTTCCATGATTGGAAAAGACCTATTAGTGGTGGGACAAGACATATATCCCTACATATTGCTAGAGCAAAATGTTGTCTTGCGTTAAGAAATTTAAGACCAATTTGTTTAAGAGATTTAGCTGGGTTCTTATAGCCGGTAGATGAAGTCTTTGATCTTGATGATTGAATATTGGAATTGGAGGAATTAGTAGTTGTAAAAGATATTATATCACTTGTTGATGGGTGGTCACCATTTGAATCCAATAGAAAAGGTCTTCTTTCTCTTGGTGGTCGACCAATAGTTGCCACTAATGAAGATGACGATGAATACCCACTAGATTCCTCATTTTCGCCTTCAAGGTCCTGGTCTTCCACAGTAATAATGTTACCTAATTCTCTATTAATATTAGATAGCCTAAACATATTAGGTGTTGAGATAGATCTACCTAATGAAGTGGATTCGTCAACATTATTCAATAAACGACCTTGATATCGCCTACTTAATTCCAGATGTGGTTGTCCGTACATTAATTGAGAATCTTCATAAGAAGGTACTGGGTCAGGATCAAGCGCAGCTAAATAATTAATACGATCAACAGAATTGACTCTTAGATGAAACGTTTCAATTTCGTCTTCATCGTCAACTCCAGTTTCAATTCCATTGCTACTAAATTGAGGGTGAGTAGATCCTCTTCTTGACAGTGGCGCCAGGATATAATCATCATCTATAACATGCGAACTTAGTGATGGTTGAGTCAATCGTCTGCATACCAGATCTAAGAGTGGCATAGCACCGCAACGCAATCTCAGATTAAAAGCTCTTAGTGTTCAGAATAGTAATGACTCTCAATGTTAATTAGGGACATCATCATTAAAGGTTTGTTTTTTCACTTTTTGTGCTTTGAGGAGGAGGGGTACAGGAGAAATTTAATCAAGGGACAACCAATCAAATAAAAATCAACATTTAAAAAGGATGTATTAAACTTCATATTGCTATATAAAGAGAAAAGAGGACAAATGCAAAAATGTAATAGCAAGCCTATATAAAAGGAATTACTGTGATCAAATTTGATATTACATTATCAAGTTGGTATCCAGTGGTCACAGATCAAAACATTCCCAAACAACAAAAAAAATTTATAATTGAGGTGAAGTCGATTACAAGGCATCCAATTGCTGAGTGATTTCTTCCAATTCGGATTGGGCAGTCTTATATTGTTCGGATAATTCTTCATACTTTCTTTCCCATTCTTCTCTTTCAGACTCCAAAGAAGCAACTTTTCTTTCCAATTGTTCAGCCTTAATATCAGTATCTCTCAATTTGGCAGTAGTTTCCTTCAAGTTTTTGTCAGCTTCTTCCAATTCCTCTTCCAAAACTTGATTCTTCTTGGTGTAGTTATCATTGGTAGTTTTTAAGTGAGTAGATTCATCAGCAGTTTGCTTGATTTCTTCCAAATCCTTTTCCAACTTTTCTACTTGAGTTTCCAAGACCTCGTTCTTTCTTGATAAGGATTGGATTTGGTTATCTTTATCTAAAGATTCTTGTTCCAATTCCTTAATTCTGGTTTGGAACTCGTCTGCTTTTTCTTGCCACTTTTCAGCGTCAGCCTTCAAACTATTAATTTTCTAATAAAAGTATTCATTAGTATATCGAACCTATTAAATCCAATTGCTTCAAAAACAAAATTTTACATACATCCTTCAATTTATCCATTATTAATATTTGCGTAGAGGTTTCAAGTCTGTAGAAGAAGTAATTGATTAAACTTAGCTCAAGAAACAAACGACGAAAAAAGTGCACGTATCACATTCATCATAATAATATTGAGGTTGTTTATTTGACGCGCTACCATATAGTTCGATCACAACTTGTTCGTCTATTTTGGGTTTATCCTTATACTCCAGAAAGGATGCTATTACATTGAGTTCGATCAATGCCTCATTTTTGCATCATAGAGAACTTTACACCGAGAATAGAGAAAACGGAAACTTTATATTTTCTTAAAGCATACCATTTAATCATACCATATAGTTAAAGATATATTCTAGTGGGTGAAGCCCTAAATATAGGAGTAGAGAATAACTTAGCTACCGTGTTTTGGTCTATGCACGACAATAATAAAGAAGACAGGGGACGGAGAGAGAGACTATAACAAATGCAGTATTAGGTTGAATATATAATAACCTTAGAAATAACATATTATAATTAATTGAGCCTAGTGATTCTGTGTTTAAGCAGTATTTCTTTGTAATGTATATATTTGAAATCAGATCATTTTCACTAGGGATCTTTACATTAAGAGCTAAAATCCATGGTTTGCGCCTCGTTATCCTGCACCAGATCGACATTAAATATGTAGACTCCAATTCCCGTATTTGGAATTTTGCGACATCTTATGTAACCCTATTTTTGGCTGGCTGGCTAAATGGCTGGCTGGCTAATGTTTTTATCTACAAACAAAACACATTAGAATAATGCAGGTCACTAAAGTTGTTTTAGGATATATTCCATGCATTATGAGCCAAAGCGGAAACTAAGGCTAATGAGAGCTTCGACTTTTAACTAATGGTAACTCAGATCTATAGCCCAATATGACTTAATACAGCTTTGTAGATATACATGTAGCGATGGTCCACGGATTAGATTGTCAAACCTCTTTATAATGCATGGATTCAAGTTCAAAAATGATTTAATATTAGAGTATAAATATTATGCTGGTGATTGTGCGGTATAATTTCGATGGAAATGGTAATTCCACATTCTGGTCTAGTTACTGTGGCCCGTAAGGTTAAGCATGAATACAAGCCACCATCGGTTTAACATAATATTGTTCTCGTTTATGGTAAAGTAAGGTTGATCCTATTTCGGTGAGGTTCACTTTTCTTCTTTCTTTCTGTAGGGTTAAAAGAAAGAGGAAATCAGGAAACCTCTTAAGCATTAGATGATTTCAGTAATGTATTTACGTTAGACGACGACTATCAAACGCCAGCATCATCTCAAACATAAAGCGAATCCCAATAATTATAGCCGACCTTACATAGAAAAGGGAGAGTATGGAGCAGCGAGTGAATTCCCTTTATTGTCTGGATTCGGATTCCCAAGAGTTTGCTCTGGCTTCAGCGTCCATCCCTTTAGAATCTAATAATATCCAATGTTCTCCTCTTGATCCCAAAAGTCAACTGAATTCAACAGCAGTCTATTCTTCTACATTCGTAGGTCTGCAATTATCAGGCCCTACAGAAACTACATCTTCCAAGACACCGTCACCTCCTAAAAAATCATCATTGGCTAATAATCCCTTTGATGTCCTCTATCTGAAAATAGAATCGGTTTCTCCAGTAAGAGTGGGAGCAGCATTAACATCTACAAATATGTCAGACAAACAACAAAACTCAAACACAATGGATCCTATAGGAAGTACGGTTGTCAATTCAACATATCTTCGAATAGAACGTGATATTCTTCAAGCGAAACATTCACCTCAAAGAACTTTAGACGAGTCCTCAATTCTAAGGAAATCGCCAACTAATAGGAGTCATGGGAATCAAAGAAGGCGAATGATATCAACTCATACTCAAACTGATCCAATTTCACCTTCGGATTCAATATATAACTTTGAAGGGCCAAATGGTCCAATTGTTACTATTATAGATCAGGATGGTATTAAACGGACAGGATCCTTAATTTCTAGATCGGCCACTCAAAGGAATAGAAATAAAATAAAAAGTCGGAATAAAATTGCTAAAAGAGAAGACTTTATACTAGAGAGACAACCTTGCAATGCCAAATCAACAAATTCATCTTCCTCGATCATAGGTGAAATTCATTCTCAAGATCATCATCAAGTGCCTTTACTTATACCAAATAAGAAGTTACGGTATAATTTCCCGGTTAAAAGACAAACTTCTTTGAAGTGGAGAGGATATAGAAGACCTCCACCTAAACAATCTAATGCCAATTTCAAGTCAGATGCAGAATTCGATAATTATATTTCAAACTCATATGTTGGACAGAATTTGAACGATTTATTGCCGTTGGCTCTCAAGTTCTATAAATATTCTCGTTTGCAGGATAGGACACCTCATTTGTCGTCTGTATATGATAAGACTCCAATGTATCTATTTTCATCATCTGCAGCATCTCCTACTTCGAATGAATTCCCCATTAAATCAACTGCAGTTCAGAAATCAGCAATTAATAACTTTGAATTTAAAAATCCTAATCATATTGATGTCGACTCAACTGACGCTGAAAAGGAACTCTTATTGCAACCTACAATTCCATCATCCCCAGCTGCGGTCAAAAGGGCGGGTCATAATCCACCAAGTGCACAGCAGAAAACCAGACGGAATTATTTATGGTTTACTTCATTTGCAGCAAATCTCGAAAAGATGATGAATACCAATGCTAAAGGAGAAACACATACTGCAGGCGCAAATACAAGCAAAATGATGCAAATGAGTTTGAACAATCAATTAAGAAATACTTCAATTGCCAATAAAATTCTGATTCCTGAACCGATTGTGGATCATGCTTATTTCAACCTGAAACCAATAAATCCAGAGGGTAAACTTCTAATGTCTGATGTTGCATATAATAAATACAAAGCTGCTGTGTTCCGAAAGAATTCAACCACTATACCTCCAAAGTTTGAACAAGAGTTTATTAATGATGGATCTGTTGTACCTATTCTTAATGAAAGGGAGATCGCCATGACAAATCAAAGACTTCTTTTTGAAATATTGTTAAGAAGAACTGTTAAAGCAAAAATCGAATACCGTATACGACGTGCATTAGAAGGTGGTAGTGATAGTGAGGACAACTCATCAAATTCCCCTAAAGGTTCAAGTTCTAACTCAAGTTCTCAATATTCTTCAAGTATTAGGAGTGGAACATCTCAAACTGCAAATGCAACATCTTCCAGGCAAACCATGAATAAATCTTCAAGCAGTACATCAAATATTAAAGGTAGTGGTTCTTATAGTAGTAGCAGTTTCAACCACACGCGTGCTAAAACACCATTGGCTCCAATGATTGGCTCCAATAAGAGATTTTCTAATTTCGAATTGAATTCAAACCCAGCTTCTCCAATTACCCTCCGTCATAGTGGGGGCACAGTCACAAGTGGGTTCCCCTCGCCTCAAGTTAGTGGATACTCTCGTCGGAGAGAAACAATGCTCTCAGATAATTCATCTACAGCAGGTACTCCTGTTATTGAACCTCCACTCAAACTTAAAAGTCGTCGTAACTTCCAACCTATTGGGAATTCGTCTGTTATTATAGAACAAGATTCTCCTGATAAAGAACACCCAGAATCAACGCCAAATGGTAAGAGTGGTCTTGGAGATGAGATTGAGTCTTTCACCTCAATATACAACTCTGATGGAACCCCAATAGTATTGCATATCCTGGGACAACAACCAATACCGAACGATAATACGATTCATTCACGATCATTACTGGAAGACCTGGCATCTTTATATTCGGTTTCTAAGACCCCCAAGGTCCTGCCTCTATTTGTTCATAAACAAGGTCATTTTGACGATCTTAAAGAGTTTTCTTATAATTATAATCGTTCTTCTCAAGTCAAATGTTGACCTCATTCATAGCATCTATATGGATCAATATACGTGGTCTTAAAAGGTCATTCGACAGGATAATTTATGTATCCAAGTGCAACGACTTGAATCTTATCTACTGAATACTGCACTGTACATTCCCTATACAAGTGTTCAACTTAAACATCGTACAATCTTAACATAACCAAATTTGTTAGTTGATCAAAATCACACTCTCCTATTGGCAGTAGTTTTTGATGAAGCGTCATTGAACTCCGAAATACTGGCACCATAACTTGGATACAACTCTGATCTTTGATCTTGAATGGACTCTTTGTATTGTGGTTGCTTCATGGATGACTCTATAGTAAATTGATGGTGTTTATCTTGAACTTTAGCAAAGATATCGATCATTTCAATCAACCGTTTTCTCTTCAATGAGAATGCAGCATTACTTGAATTAACTGTTGATCCACTAACTGAGGGAGTTGGTGAAGAAACCGTGGGTACAATGGTTGAAGGTAATGTAGGCATACTTTTCAATGCAGAAAGTCTATTTTTCAAAGTGTTATACGTTGAAGATTGTGGAAGAATCATTAAAATCCCAAAAAGGGATTTATATAAATAAGGATTTTTTTCTGGCTCTAATAATTGTAATCTTAATTTGAGGAATATTGGTGATTCCAATAATTGAATGAGAATATCCAATTGAGTTAATAATTCAAAATCAACTTCGGTTTCACTAAGATTCTGAATTATAAGAAATGCCAATTCATAATTTGATGTAAGAAGACATAAGGATAACGCACTAGATGCACTATGAGACCAGCTTTGGAAAAGTGTGGAGAATAACGATAAATCATCTGGTTTTGCAGGGTCCAAATTTTTAAGTTTCTTACGGAAGTGAGCCAACTCGTGAGTGGTCAATAAGATCCGATTCAAAGTATCAATCATAACCTTTAAGAAATTCATATCTTCTTCATTTGTCAATGCTTCTGAAAAGGCTTTATATATCTTTTCTGAACTTAAAACAAAACATAATTTTCTAATCACAAATTCTCCTCTATTATTAGAGGTCATAGTCTTGTCCATTAATTCTGTTTTGAAATAAGCCACTAATTTTTTAATAAATTCCTTAAAGAAGCTTTCATTACTTTCAGACATCTTAGATAGAAAATGGAGCAATTTGAGAACAACTTCATTACTTGCGGTTGATGTAAACCTCAATAGGACTGTAAGATCCAATTGGGAGTTTACATCAAAGAAATGTTGCTTGTATTTGGAGTAAAGAAGTGTAAGCCAATCCAAGGAAGTTATTCGAGCTAATTCGTTATTGGAAGTGAGACATTCTTGAATAATAGTATTCTTCGTTTTTCCTAATTGAAATTCCAAAAACTCATCATAAACATCTCGATTCAATCCTAAAAGAATGTTTTTGGTATATTCTGAATCAACTTCAGTATCTTCATCTTCTGAATTAAATTCAATAATGCGTGTGACACTAACAAGGAAGCTTTGAAGAGAGTTATTGAATCCAAGTAATTGGGCTCTAAGCTCATAATCCTTTCTCGAATCACTTATAGCAAGATTTTTAATCACTATTGATATACAATCGGGAAAGCATTTGATGAAACTTGTGGGTGAAATCAATAAGATCTCTTGAAGCCATTTCAAAACAATAAATTGAATTTCCAAGTATATATCATGGCTCTCGCGAGACATTTCCGTTGCTTCAAGGGAATTGGGACGTAAAAACTCAAATAAAATGCTGATTATACTTGGGAAATCAATGAAAATATCTTGACCACTTAAATAAAGTCCTTCGTCTTCATCGTCTTCAAAAGAATCTGTAGCTGAGTTATTGTCATCTACTGCATTATTCTGCTTTTGGGGTCTCATAATTGTTGTATCAGTTGACTTTATTGATGTTTTGTCATCAACCTCATTGCCTTCACCACTTGATTCAAGATTTAGATTCTTAACATCTTTCTCTAAGGAACCCTCATTATGCTTTGTTGATTCTTGATCTGTTTTCCGTTGTTGTTCCTTCAATTGGCGGTGTTTATCCTTTAACAATTGCTTTCTTTTAGCTTCAATCTTAACTTTTGAAATAGATATAATCTCTTTCAAAAAAATATTCATCAAGTTTTCGGTCTCTAAACGAACATCGGATGGAGCATTGTTCATTAAAAAAGTAATCAATGGTTTTAAGAAATTAGGAAGAAATGTAATCAATTCCAAGGAAGGAATGGCATCAAAGAGTTCTAACCAGCTTATTAAAAACTTTTTGGCAAAGGGGTCAATTGTATGTATTCTTTCCAATAACGTTGGGATAAATTTCGGTAATGAAAACGCCTTTTGAGGATCTTGAATGTTATTGATTTGAATAGCATCACCGTTAGCATCCACTAAATGAGACTGTATTTCATTTGGTGTTTCTTGATGATGCAATATTGATACATAATTGGTAGATTTGGCACTAACAACATCTTTAACCAAGCGATCTAAAATATCGGCTGCATTCTTAACAGATGATTCAGTGTCTGTTACCAAAATACACAATACATCAAATACTTCATTAAAATAAAGTAAGATCTCACCTCTGGCAATCTTGGAAATGTTATAAAGTGATTCACAAGCATAATATCTCACTCTAGCATCTGTGTCTCTGAAAGTCACAAATATTGGTTTAACTATTTCCTCCAAAAAGTATGCAATGGCAAACGACCCCAAGGCAACAGAAACACTTCCCAATGCAGTTATGGCACCCATCTTACCAGTATTACTACCGCTTACGGTCAATTCTGTCAATTCGCCAATGATCTTGTAAATTGTTTGACTATCATTATCAGACAAAGCATGTTTGGTGAGAGACTCAATTTGGAAAGCTGTGGCCTTACGCTTCTCGTAAATATGATTGGATAAATCCTTGATGATAGACGCATCTAGTATATGGTTATCGCCACTCATGCCTTTGGGTCAATAGTTTTAGATAAGATAAGATATTAATGAGGAAGCTAACTTGGGGTATCAAATAAATATGAGATCAAAAATTCCGGTGAGCATGAAAATTAACCCACCCAGGATTCGAACCATTTACAACTACAGTCACATATTAATCGATATACATATAAAGTTGTAAAGAATACACAATTAATACACAAATAAATAGTAATAAAATCCCTGAAATAAAATAAACAAATAAAAATTAGCTCCACTCATTGTTATAAAATTCTTCTTCATCTGCAGAATTGGCACCGTCTACTCCCACATCATCTATATCAATATCATTGTAGTTGAACTCGTTTATCTGATGTTCGTAAGCTTCATCAGCACTTGTTGTACGTTGTTGTGACGTTGGTACTCTCACATTTCTAGGTGGAGCCATATGTGGAACTGGTACTTCACCAAGAGTTTCTCCTTTTTTGATGAATGTTGGTAACTTTCGAGCAGGTCCACCAGAATTGGACATTAGAGGTGGAGTTGAAGTTGGTTCATTTTCGTGTCGTATTCTCTCAGCTGGTCGAACTTTACTTGATGTTGGTGAAAATGTTGGCAAATTAGCCAAATGCGATGTCACAACATACCCTGAAGATGGGACAGTGTTAGGCGTAGTGATTGGTAATATTCTTTCTAACTCAATTAAATCTGCTTCTCCTCTAGCGAAATCACTTAGTGAGGGCAATTTAATATTAAACTTTATGAATAAATTCCCTTTCTTATATCTTGAAAGATCAAGAATTTCATTCTTTGTACTTTCAGAATCTTCAAGCTTCTGATAATGAACCCCTTCAGCATTATTAATTGGCATGCCTAACCCCCTTACAATCTTTGGAACCCCAGGATTTATTGTCCCCACTATTTCTCCTTCACTTATAGACTTCTCCATTGGCAGATTAATAGAAGAAATTCCATGAGCATTAACAAGTATTCGAACATGGTTGTCTTCTCGCAAAAAATTAGGAAGTATGATTTCACCACCCAATAGAGCCGTTCTAAGATCAATTTCATGTTCCATATAAAGATCGTTATATTTTTTGATTAAGTATTGATGAGGTGTTTCCTTAAGATGTATTACAACGTCACCAGGAACAATATGATGTCCTCTGTCAGCTTCTCCTCGCAACACGATCTTATCATTATCTTGGGATCCCGGAACAATGACAGCTTGAATAATTTTTTGCTCCAGAACATAACCTCCATTGCAGTGTTGACATCTATCCTGTTGATTAACAAATATTCCAGTTCCTTTACAACTTTTGCACAGGCATAATTCACTAAACCTTGAAAATTGATTAGAAGTTGTCACAATAACTTGACCCGACCCTTGACATGTTCGACAAGTACGTGGATTAAGGCCACCTGCACCGTCACAATATGAACATTTGTTAGTACGAGGTAAACGAAACTTGACAATTTTCCCATAATAAAGATCCTCGAGTGTAACTTTGAATACATGGTGGATATCTTTCCCTTGTCTTAAGGGGCTCTCTGCAGGTGTTACTTCTCTTTTATAACCTGTTGCTCGGGTTTGCTGTTGAGCAGCAGCACCAAAATCAGGACCATGGAAATCGGGAAATGAGGCAAAACCATTGAGGGCATGGAAGGCTGGATTCTCACTAAACATAGTGTTTATATCTTTGAAAACTTGTGAAAAAATATTTGTTGCACTATTAAAGCAAACGTTATCATGTGGAATGCCATTATATGATCCGGATTCACCATAAGCTTGTCGCCTACGTTTTACGGAATTACTATGATTTGAAGATTCATTGGTAGAATATGATCCATCGATACCTACTTCTCCGTATTGATCGTAAATGCGACGTTGTGTAGGGTCCTTTAAAATCTCATATGCTCTACTTATCTCTTTGAACTTTTCTGTTAGTACAGCATCATGATTATTCTTATCCGGATGGTACTTTAGAGCCAACTTTTTATATGCCTTGGAGATCTCGTCACCGGTAGCTGCTACCGGGACGCATAGCAATTCGTATAATCGGGATTCAACCACCATCTAACGCGTTGTAGAATATATTTGTAACAATGAAATGACTTTGATGAAGTCTTATAAGGATCACACGAATGATAGTAAATAACAGATGCCTCCGGTTCTCCTCCTCAAAACGTACGTCTTGTTAAACACTTTTGATGTGTATCAGGTGTTGATTTATATGATACTAATGGGCTTATCTTGGTAGATTAAAGGGAAATCAATAGTATATCTCTATGGTTCAACCGTTATCTGCTTATCAACGAATATAGCAGAGATCCTACTAGCCATAAAAAAACTTTGAAGCTTTTGGAATAAATGATAAAAGTGTTTATAAAATCTAAAGTTTATTAATTAGGAACTTTGAATTGAAAGTTAAGAATCATCTATCACTCCTGATGAGGTTATGACTCCATTTGAGAATAGAATCTGCTAGTGAACCTTTATGTCACTTTTGTCCCTCTGATGCGCGACAATCAGCAGAACAGGTTCCATCGAATTCTGCGAATAGTGGGGAATGCAGGAACAGAATGATAAAAGCGTCCATGCCTTCCATTAACGGAATACTGTGTCACGCTAATAAGGGAGAGTTGCAGATTTTATATAATGATTAGCTAAAGGAATTTATTTGAATTCCTATTCGTAAGGTTGTTTACGTGGGTATCTCCTTAAAATTCATTAAGCGTACTTGTTATACAATCGCTAAACAATCAAGTTCCGAGAATTTCATCCCGGAAATGGCGTTGAGCATTAACATTCTTAAGCTTCTTCTCATACTTTTGGCGACTTTGAGTCTCAACCCGACGGCCTGCCTTCTCTTGGGCTATCAAGCTACGCTCAGCAAGTGACAATGCAGTAAATCTCTTATCAACAACAGCAACAGTTTGTTCAGCTTCAGTAGGTGCCCGAGTTAAAGGTAAATTTTGTCTGTAGTAACGAGCCATTGATCTATGTCCAATCCGTGAGCCAGAAGGTAATGTAAGTTCCACACCAGTCTTGTCGATTTGAACAATGGTGTAGTTATCATTTATTCCACTTCCACTGTCTTCATCAAATTCTTCTTCTTCATCATCGGACGGCGTCAGAGGCTCTTCATCAGAAGACCCATTTTCTTCCATAAATGCAACCTTCTTCTTATTTGCCTTCTTGGGAGTGACCTCCTCAGGAATCGTAAAGTTGTAGTACTCTTCAACGGCAAGTCTTTCCTCCTTGTTTTCATAAGGAAGTTTGGCATGTCCTTTATTGTAGATGTGTTGTCTAATGCTTTCTAAATTCTTACCTTGAAATCCGCATACTAAGCATTCATGATCTAGGGTTATTGCTTCACTAATATATGATAAGAGACCGGAAACATCAACTAAATATGACCGTTCAGGTATGTAAAGTCCATGTTTGCTAAACATATGTTTAATATTGTTCTCTTTCTCGTGATTAACTTGACCACAAAAGAAGCAATCAGTAATTGATACTGCCTCTGGTTCAGCATCCACCTCGTCATTCCATGATTCATCACTGTCGTTATCACTTGGCAAATCTGACTCAGAGGGAACCAAATGATCAAAATCTGTAACATCTGAGTCAGATAAAATACCTTCAGAACTTGATTCAAACAGCATCTCACTTTCATGATGTGATGTCACAATTGAAAACTCAGATGTCTCGGACTTAACAGAACTAGCAGATATGCTTGATCCCCGAGCTCTAATGCCTACAAACTCACCAAGAACAGGCTCTGCGGATGCATAATCATCCTGACCATCAGTTTCGTTAGATTTTGGTACCTGAGATCCCTTGGCATGTAAACGTTCTTGACGCTTTAAATACTTTTTAGATAGCTGAACACCATCTCCAGATGAGTTATGTCGGCGACGTTGTGGAACATAAAACCCAAATTCATCTTCATTCAGTATATTATTCTCATTCTCACGTGCAATTAATACCTTTTCAGCAAAAAGCTCCGATGATATAGAAGGTAATTCAGCTACTCTTCTTTTTAGATTATACCGGTGCCATTCTGTCTTCATATGTTGCCTCTGTAATTCAGCACCAGCAAACTTTATACCGCACGTATTGCATGTGAAAGCTGCTGTACTAGGATTGGATCCATGGGGTATATTCATAATAATGATCCTTTCTATGGTATCAATAACGTGACTAAGTATTAGACTAATGGAGTATTAGTAAGTGATTTCCGATTGATTCTCAAGGGGCCTATCTTGAGGAAACGAAAGTCACAATACCACTGAAGGCCCTCTATCGCTGTATATAGGTAATTAATTCATGCCATAATAAATGGTCACACACTTCCCAAGAGGGATTGGGCCTCAAAATAGGTTAGCATATTAGGTTCTCCAAACTTTTACAATCAAACTGGCTTCCTAGTAAAGGTTGAATAATAAACTAACGATGCAAGTAATGCTATTAAAATTCGTACTTATCCTAACCATGGAGTTGATACTTCAGGCCAGACTCTCTTATATAATGCCATAGCTACACAATCTTGAGCACTCAACTTCCCATCAAAGGTTGCCTTAAAATAACCATGAGTACCCAAAGACTCTTTAATAAACCCAGTACGTCCAGACTTGGTAAACAATGGTACAGCTTTAAACCAATTGATATCTTCAGGACTGAAAAACATGTAACGAACAGTAACCACATTTTTATGAAACTTGAATGGATCACCAGTTAACACTGTTCTTTCAGCAATAATTCTAGTGTGGTCACAGTTAAGGAAGGTACCCAGACCAACAAATTCAATTCCACCATTTTGAGTAGGTTTGAAGAAAATTGCTGGGGAACTATTAAATGTGACTGGGGCAATTGTTGTTGCTATTGTTGTTACTCCTTGATGAGCAAAACGTTCAAACTTGTGAACATTATTTGGTGAATTGGTAGCTTGGTTGAATGTTGGCTTAATGATTTGTCTACGAGGTCCGTATTGAACAATAATACTCTCATTGGAAACAACAGGCTTCTCATAGTCTTCCCAAGTATTGAAAGAAAAGTTTACCACGGCTAATTGATGTTCGTGGTCTAATAATTCATAAATGATGAATGGTTGAACTTGAGCGTTCGCTGATTCCAAGATGTATGAAGGTGCCTTAAGAAAAATTCTTACCTTATTAGAAATTACCACTTGGGCTTGTTTGATACCTTCTTTGTTCACCCTATTACGGGTAGCTTTATAGTTCCCTATACGTAACAAACGCTTCCAAACACTTGGGGCCTGTGGATCATGCTCATCAAAATCCCAATCACAGTTAAATAAGGATTTGACTCCACGATGACTACTCAAGACATTCTTTGCTGACATGCTTGGATCCAATTCCAATTCATCTGGGAAATCCAAATCTTCTTTTTCTTGTGCTCTGTACTCATTCAATTGCCTTTCTTCTTCTTCTGGAGACAAGTCCAAAAACATTTCATCACCAGCTTCAGTGGGAGCATATTCAGAAGCATTATTATTGTTTTCAGAAACTTCATCAATGTTTTCTTCCACCATTTCGTTATCTTCAAAAATAGAGTCCTCATCTTCGTCATCTTCGGAAAGCATTTCATCGTTAACAAACCATCTTGCTTGGTATTCCGAAGTACCCTTTGGAGCTTTGATCTGTTTGGTTGGCTTTGGTTCAGATTTGTTGAAATACAGTTGTCCATCCATTCTGATTCCACTGTATCCATCTTCAATTTCGTCTTCCCAGCTACCTTCTTCATCTTCAAAATCAATATCTTCGGGGTTCAATTCATCCAATGATTCCTGATTCTCGTTAGGAATATATATGTTGTCCTCCAAATCCATGTCTCCCATTCTGGTCATTCTAGTTATTTTTTCCATCTTTTCTATTTGGAAATCGCCATGGCCAGGGATATGCACCAACTTATTAGCATTAAAACCAATACCTCTTACTGTTCCTTCAATTACCAATTGTCCATTATTTGGATCTTCTGTAGACCATTTAACAGAATCTGCCACCATGTAACCCCTTGAATCTCTCCATGTTATGGATTTGGGGAACTTTTGACATATAGTACGAATACAATTGGATGCTTCAGCTTCAACTTCTAAAGCATATAACTTCTCTTCGCTAGGGAAGAAATGTGTAAAGAAAGAAAATAATGATTGTCTAATATCCATTTGCAAGTTTCTCTTTGGGTATGCGGATGCCACATTTGGTAATACACCAATAACTGAAGCAATACCTTGAGCGGTAAGGGCTCTAAGAATTTGTTCACCATAGCTTGAATCAACTTCTTCTGTAGCTGATATCCCAAAGACAACAAAGTCTGCACATTTAGCTGCGTCCATGACTGCTAAAAGATTATTTTGATCCGGTATTATAACTTTAAGATTGGACTTATATCTTCCGACTTTAACATCATTTACAGATGGGTATTCAAATGCAACATCAGGATCTTCAGGGTTAGCCTTAGCAGAGTTAACTAATTGAGCTGCTATCTTATGAGGAGCTAAATCAGGTGTCAATGCTATAACAGTGACAATCTTTTCAGCTGCCAGAGATCCTTCAAAAACACGACGAGCAAACTTGGTTTCTAAAATTTTTTGATCTCTGCTTTGCTTTGCAATATTTCTTCTTGCTAATTTACTGTGGGCCTTATTTGATTTCTGGGAACCAGTCTTGGTCTTTTCCACTTTACCTTTGTAAGCATCCTTTAATTGACCCTTGGTGGCATGCTTAGATTTAAAAGGCTTTTTTGCCTTCTTCAAGGTACCTCTATGAGAATGTCCTCCTGCCATTTTCTATTACCCAACTCAATATGATATAGTATTCTCACCTTGGATCGACTTCATTATCGTCTTCTTGAGCGATGAGATGCTCATCTTGTATTGAGGAAAATTGTGAAGAGCTCATGGTCACCGTTTCATCACGTGTAATTACATAGGTCTTTACCCTTGTTTGAGAAAAAACTTCGTAGTGACTGCCGAATACTTTTGTCCAAAGTATTGTGTGCAGTGCCATGTTGACTTTGCACGCTGCGCGACGATGGATCCAGCTTTGGCTATTCCAAGGTGAACAAAAAAAATTTCAGACATTAAATACTTGTAAAGATACTACTATATTTCATACCATATACAAAGTCAACAAGTAAATTGTATGTTAATATTGAACCTACATTCGACAAAATAGAAGAACATAATGTTTGTGTTTACATGATATTTGCAGAACTTAAGCTTAATAGTTCGAAAGCATTGATGAATCCCAAGTGAAAATCTCCATATAGACTCTAAATGTTGAGTAGAAATCGATGAAAAGGACAGAATGATTAGCTTTCCAAAGAGTTTGAACTGCGATACTACACGTTTGTAATCGAGAGCAAAAATCTAGGTAGTTTGAAAACATTTGATCAGTTTTACAAGACGTGTATAACATCAGGTATTCAGAATGTATTTAACGTGGATACTGTCTTTAGGGTTTGCAAGAAGTTATTTCCTTAGTTCTATGAATATTAATATTTTGTTGAGGTATTAAGATTTGAATTTGATTTACTAACAAGTTTATTTTAGACAATATGGCTCACGAATCTGTTTGGTTCTCCCACCCAAGAAACTTCGGTAAAGGTTCTAGACAATGTCGTGTCTGTTCCTCCCACACTGGTTTGATCAGAAAGTACGGTTTGAACATCTGTCGTCAATGTTTCAGAGAAAAGGCTACTGACATTGGTTTCAACAAGTACCGTTAAGTGCAAACTATATACATTTGCCTTATGCGGTTGTATATTTTAATAGCTAATGGAAATTAAATATCTTTATTTCTGTGTATAAATAAAAATAAGTATGCGTATTTAACTAGTCATATCCTGCTCTAGCCTCAGTATTCTACCAGCATTTGCCTTTCAGTGTTTCGTAGGTATGCGATGTACATTCTCTTCTTTGGAATACTTCTTTTTTCCACAAGATATGTCGTTCAAGATATCAATTCATCATTTCTTAATGACAAAGATTTTCACTTACTCTACAATTTCATACTTATACTCTAATTCTATACTACAGGTAAAATTAGTTATGTCCCCCAATTGGTCGACATTCAATCCTCATCGCCTCACTTAAGAGACCCAACGAAAACCGAACTTCCTTATGGGCAAATAGAATTCATCTCGGGAATAAAATTATCATTTATTAATAAATGGCAACGAGTATAACTTGATAATTTACATTATCTCGTCGTGGCAAGTTTCCCTGTACTTTTTGATTAAGGAACAAAATATAAACCCTTAAAATTTTGAGGATCTCGATGCCCTTTTATAGTTCACTATAAAATTAAATTGGGGTTACCCGCACCTTTTACTAACTATGTCGTTATACCAGTATTGCAGGGCACCTTAGTATATCCCAATAAAAAGTCAATAGAAGTACTTGGTTATTAAAAACATTCAATCGAAGCTTAAATTACTCCACTTCGACGATTTATTTCTCTGTGTCTCTTGAGTAGCATTTAACATTTGCATTTTTAACAAGTGACTCAGTACATTTCTTATCCTTTTTCAACAATAATGTTAATTCTTGGACAAAAGTAGTAAAATGTGAACAGGGTACTTTTAACGGTTTCTACGATGTTTCACTTGTATTTGTACGATACAACGGAATAAATTTGATTCTTCTAACCAGCTTCAATTAAATTAATGATATTATAAATAGTGATTTCAAATTGCTAACTAATCTTAGAAACCTGCACATTATTTGTAGTAACAAACAGTTAAAAGTGGTTTGGAAGAGAGACTGTCACTTCAATGAACACCTTTGATTTCATCAACCTCTCAGCAAAGAATAAGCATGTCAAACGCCGGGTATAAGGCTATGGGATTCCTCTTTATTGGAGGGTTAAGTTGGTATACTGGACTTAAGTTCTGGCAACCTATAGTCATGTAAGTAATAGACTTTGAGAACAAGAGCTTATAATTAACAACAAGTACTAACTGTTTTATAGTGAACAACTTAAAAAGGACCACAGTTTGAGAGACGATGTTTACATTAATGAAGACTTTGATGATCAACCAAAATCATGGCAAGACTTGAAAGATAAAGTTGCACAAGCACTTGAAAGGCCAGAGCCTCCACAAGAAAGACAGTTGAACAGCAGGGTAGCCTTATCAACTTCTTCATCCCAGGATGAAAGTAGTCTGTCCAAGTAGTTCGAATTCTCAAAGTATCTTCTTCCCGACCATGTATATAGAACATCCAATCATGTATGAATGTATGCAATTCAGTTAAACGTACAAACCATTTGTCACGTTGTTACGTAAGAAATGGAAAACTGTAAACTCATCGCGTACACCAAGGCAAAAAGTTTGAGAGACTAAACTTAACCTCAGATCCAACAAGCAATAAGTTATTCTATAGAAAGTCAACATAATGGCAAAGCTCAAGAAGAATAAAAGAGGGAAGAAGACAAACCCGTTAGGCGAAAAGCCTAAAAGCAAGCAAGATCAAAAAGACGAATCTACAAGACAATCAAAGATCTTACCACTTATAAACAAGTTGCAAAGCTCAGTTCCTAACGAGCGTGCCATGGCTATGGGTGCTATAGGAATTCTTGCAGAGGACACTAGAATGAGAAAGCTACTTTTGAAAGAGAAACTAATTCTGATTTTAATGGAACAATGCCTTAATGATAGTAATGATGAAATAGTAGTCGAGCTGTATGGATTACTTCGTAACTTGGCTATTGAAGAGGGATATGATGTTTGTAAGTTTTACTGGCGTTCTAATATTTGGGCTTCTATTGAAGCAGGAATTAACAAGATTGAAACTTCGTTCAAGTTTTTAGAGGAGAATGAAGCATCAACGGGTTCTGCTGATAAGAAAGCAAAGGATAAGTCTAAAATTCAATTATTATATGATTTTACAGAAAACCTTTTATCATTAGTGGCAGGTATTGCCAATTCATCTGAAGATTTATTTGATGCTGTTTTGGATAAAATAGATATTCCTTTAGCGTTAGTGACAAACTTGTTGCAATGGAACTCTCCTAAGCTTAGAGTGACTATTAAATTATACAATGCATTATTGAATTTTCTTTTTGAATTCACAGCTGAATCGCTCCCATTCATCCAAAAGTTAGCACAAGTGCAAAACTTTCAATTGGATCAATTAATTGCTTGTGTAAATGATCCAGCTCAAGTTAACAACAAATTAGGAAAGATATACGTTGAGGGTATCAAGTTCAATGTTTATGAAGTATTACACAAGTACAATTTCAAACAAGAATTAGCTACTGAAATTTTGAGTACTGTATTTGACGTATCAACTACTATCGATTTAGCAAAAGTCAACGAAACTTTGTTCAAGCCAATTGATAATGCAGAAGATCCAATTACTAAGAATGAAAATGGTGAACTTAGCGTACCTTTCCTCAGCAGTAAAGGTGAGGAGACCCCAGAAAAGATACAAGCAAATGCAGACCTTTTGTGTGTTGAAACCAGTCTTGATTTGATTGCATCTCTCTTGGAATTTATATCCACAAACGAAGATTTAATTGAGGATCCTATTATTTTGAGTGAGAGCACATTATCAATTTTGATAGAAAAAGTATATCCATTTAGTATGGAATTATTGAAATTTGAAATTGATCATCAATTTAAGCTTCAATTGACAGAAAAAGCTTTGGTAGTATTGAATAATTTGACTTGGTTATTCTTGTCTAATTCTGCTATCCCAACTGAATGGTATGAAAGATTAATCAATGTTATTGATATTACCAAAATATTACTGTCGAAGGAGAATATCGATTATCAAAAACAATGCCTCAACATTTTATGGGGTGCTTCAAAATCATTGGGACCTGAAATCAGAGCAAAGTTAGATGAATCCATGATTGAATCATTAATTAAAATAAACCAAGAATTCATTTCTTCTAGCTTCCAAGATGAAGTAGAAGGTAACTTAGAAGATGACCGTTTAGCTAAATTGGAGGTATTCCTTACTGCTACCGGATTCTTAGGTTCAATTGCATCTATTGTGGAAAACACAGATATCACTAGAGTTATTGCCGAGTTCTTGCTCCAACTGATTACATTTTTCCACGATAAATCTCAATACAGTCTTTGCAATGAAATAGTCATTGAGAGTCTTAATTTGATATATGATATATTTGGAGATAGTCTGTACCCATATGACAGAGCTGTGTTCTATGAAGGTGGTTACATTGAGCGTTTACAACAAATTGAACCAAGGGTGAAGATTATGTATAAAAGAATTGACAAGAATAGAAATCCTCAATTGAAAGTGAGAGGTGAAGAAGCCTTACTTAATCTTGGACGGTTTATACAGTATAAACAAAGTGAATATGCTTAGTTTAATTTTGGATATTTCAATTGCATATAATTTATATTAACTATTAGAATAGATAATTTTGATTCAGTATTTATGTGAGTTATGGTCGAAGTCGGGCGCCTTGAGAGCATGCCAACCACATAAAAAGTATAAAGACCACCAATGTAAAGAAAGAAATCAGTAGTAACGGAGAAGTAATCAATAGATATCAAATCATGTTGTCTTCTCCTTAAGCGATGGTACAGAAAGTGTAAATAACACCTCCTCCAAACTTAAAGATGTTGTCCTTGTTTTCATCCTTTTGCTTCTTAAGAGCGGCGGAGACATTAACGTTAGATTGAGCAGCCATTTGTACTTGTAGTAGATTAGTAGTTGATAGTGAAGTTAAAGGTAAGAACTACAATTGAGTTTACAAAGGATGCCTTCCATATTTATAGTGTTTCTTGTCATGAATGCATATGTTTTATTTGTTGGGAAGAATATTCAGTGTGGATATATGAATTGTGGTTAATGTATTATGATAACCGAATTACCAAATTGGTCTACTTCAATTAAGTAATAGACTAAAATGAAAATGATTTTGTACAAATATAAGTGAAACTACATTTGATTGTTAAGACCACTGCTCCTTTCTGCTTTCCACATTTTCGATAAAGCAATCACTGTTAACTTATCATTGGTATGTGAAAATGAGTGAATTTGTTGTAAGTCTTTGGAATTGCTACTTTTGGTCAAGTGTAAGAACTGTGCAGTATTTGATCTTAAATAAAGAATAGCATCATCCTCCAGTAGAGTAACACAAGAAGTCTTGACAAATTGAATTATTAGTTGAATGTCATTTCACATCTTTAGCTACTCACAGATTAACGATTCCAACCATTCTATTACATCGCAGTTTCTTAACTATTGTTGCGAAAACGTATTCAATAACTCCTAATTACACAAATGATATATTATTTGTAGTTTACGCTCAGTTTGCAAACTATCCTACAATCCTTATGACCTGAATTTGGTAATGGCTCTTACATTTATAAAGTTACGTCGTGACAAGATCAGGAGAGTAAATACAAGGCAAAATATAATAACACACGGAGATCTTTTCATGAGTTCCATGTTATTATTTACACGAAATGTCGCTAGTTTTAGTGGAAAACAGCTATAATACGAATCAACGCTAGTTCCAGTTTAAAGGTAGCCTTGTATATGAATTTTTAAGAATTTCAAATATTTAAAAGCTTCTGCTTTCAAGGTAAATTTTCTTCTAAGCTTTAGCTTTTGTCAATCGATTCGATCTCAAACAGAAATGGAATGCTTCTTTTTTCATTAGTTAGATATCCCATGGGGCTTTTATGTAACTGAAGATGTCGTATACTGAAATAGACTAAAGCGATGTGATGCTACTACATATTCCACAAAACTTCGATGAGGCAGGCGTTTGAAATGACTAAGATAGAACCACTTTTGTGTCAGTCAGCGAAAGCCTCTATTTAATTAAACTGACTATTATCTACACGCAATTAAGACAACTTTTGGCTTAAGTTATCTTGATCAATATCAGTATTTAACGGCACTTTAAATTTAAGCATTCCAGGGTGTCTAAAGTTTGTAGTAAAACTACTTAGAAAGTTTACAATACTACTCAGAACAACCACTCAATTAGTAACAGAGACTTCAAAGCTAATACAAAGCCCAAACCATCTTATGAATTCCTCAGATAAACCTATAAATAAAGTGGTAAACTTTAAATAAAAGCCACACTAGACCAAAACCTTAGTTTCATTTCTTTGTATGTAAATGTTGAAAAGCGGTAGCGTTGTTTTGTGTATCATAAAGTTCCCCTATAGATGAAAGTTTAATCTCTACCTAGGTGATCACTTGAGTAAACAATGGAATAGGAGATAAATCCAGAACTACAATAGAAGGCTTCATTGGAGCATGTTTTTACTTATTAGCATAAGCTCCAAGGATAAGTCCCAAGAATTCAAGGGTTATTGTGGGTGAACATGTCCTACAAAAGCAATAGAACCCAGACTTAAAGCTGACACTTTCGTAATTTTCTTGCATAAAAAACAGATGGATCAGGTTACATTTCACTTTCAAAGTTGTCCCCTCTGAGAGAAGCCAAGGAGTATCTATGGTAACATTATTTGTTACCCGCGGGCGGGAAAAACGTTGATAACTTGTGATTGCATAACATGCAATAATAAAAGTAAAACAATCTTGTGGAACTTCAAGGAAAAATAAAGGTTACTGATGTCGAAGATCTTGAGAGCTCCTGATCTTCAAAAGTTGGGATTTAAAACTTTTGTCTACGTCAATGGCTTCCTAACATTTGAATTTAAGGATTAATGAAAGTTCACATTTAAGTAGCCTATTCAGCCAATAATTGAGTTTAATCTATCTTCGTTTGGTCAATTTACACTGGCAATATCTCATTGCATTACAATTTCACTCACTAATAATAATTTCATACCTAATCGTAAGTCATGAAATTATGAACTACTTCTTCATGTATAGCATTGCTCTCTAGCATTGCTACTAGTGCCTTAACATTGACTATTACTGACTCCACCAAGATGCTGCCATAAACTACTACTTTCTTGGATCTAGTGCCCAAGAATTGTCTTACACAGTTGGCAAGATTTCCAGAATAGAATCTCAAATAACATATTATTTCAATGCTCTATCTAACATTGTCCAGTTATCTGTTCTAGCTGATCCAACTGTTTCTATTGTAGATGGAAAAATAAATTTAGGGCAACAAGTATATGCCTGTAAGACCATCAGCGACCTTTACGACTACTCAAAATTTTTTTTTCGCTGTTAAAGAGTATCTGTTATATTATTTCATTTTGTAGGTATATGATGTTTATACACATGATTTTATCTTACCTTTAGAGAAATACCAATGACCACCACTGTTACATATGGTAGTCATCTGTTAGGTTAAAGATGCCTTTAGTACGGCATAATTATGTATGTTGATGTAAAGTGAGAAAAAACCACCTTTCTAACAGGAAACACCGACCCCATAATCAATCTGCAAAACAATGCACGTTTCGGGAGCTACGTAAATCTCCGAAGGGACCAGCATTTCCTGTAATACATTCCAGTTTGGATAAATTGTGAAGTTTAATTCGTCCAATGTGTCAATGCACGCTCGATTTATGGCCCATAATTAAAATCTGCGTGCCATTGGTCGAGTTCAACAAACTGGATAATCCAGTATTTTTGATAGTCGTTCAGTTTTTTTTTTTCACACAGCTGAAGTGAAAGATGAAAGGGCCTCGGTAAGACGCAAGTATCGGAGACAATTATCTGATTTGATCACTAGACGAAACATGATGAAGCTTCAGTAATTTTAACATCTACGCAGCTCGTACTATTTGACTCCTATTTTTAGCCTTATTAGACTGTTTCAGGTGTCCATCTTAAGAGAAGTCACTTATTTTTCTATATAGAATCTTTCAACATTATGACGCAACAATACCACGAGGCTTTTGACACCTGCATCGGATTACCGATCTCTTTGATATTATCACCGGCGTAAGTCACGCTAATGAACGCAACAAGACGTCATCGGAACTATACCCCAGTATGATCTTGTTTTCTTTTCAGTATCAATATTTCCGAGTCAGGAAAGCCTCACTGAATTGAGGTACGGCAAAAGTTTTGGACAATAAAACAATAATACTAATGGATTTGTAATTAAAAGTTTTGAAAAGTATATGTCTCAGTATTGCAAAAAAAAAAGCTATATAAACAGCTAGGTATTCCATCTGTTAAAGATTTTCTTAGTTTATTCTTTATTAGCTAATCATCACATTTGATACTTTCGCTTATACACCTAAAATGAAGTTCTTAACTACTGCTGCCTTTGCTACCTTAGCCGCTGCTGTCGCCAATGCTGCTGTCACCTTGACTGTTACTGACTCTACCAATGACTCTTTGAACGGTATGGGTTTGTCTTCTATCCACGAAGGTGCTGGTATTAACTACTTCTTGCTTGGAACCAACGCTGAAGACTTGGACTACGTTGACGGTAAGTTGCAAGCTCAATTAGGAAACTTCCCATACTTCTTCAATGCTGACCAAAACATTGTCCAATTATCTGTCGTTGCTTCCCCAACAGTTAAGATCACCGATGGTAAGATTGACTTGGGTAGCCAAGTCTACGCTTGTAAGAACATCAATGACCCTTACAACTACTCAAAATCTTCATACGCTGTTGTTGTTGGTGAAATGGGTACCGATTGTTACCCAATCTCCATCAAGGTCAATGGTTTAGACTCTTCTTCTGCTTCTTCTGCTGCTGAATCTACTACTATGGCCGCTTCTACCAACACAACTACTGTTGCTTCTACTCTTACTGAAACTGTTTGTACTGAATGCACTGCTTCTTCAACCTCCATCAACACTATTTCATCTGTTGGTGGTGCCGGTAAGAATGTTGCTGGTGTTGCTGCTGCTGGTATGGCTGCTGTCGCTATGCTTTTGTAATTGAATTTACATTACTACTTCTGTTTTAAGTAATAATACCTTACTGAAGTTTGACGTCTTGTTCTTTTCTTTTTTAATCGTTTGTATGAAAAATTTAATTTAATGGAAAATATGGTCCCACAAAAGAATATCTGTAAAATAATTGGCTTATTCAGAATACAATAGCTGTTGCCACTTAGTATATAATTGGTAAAGTGATGGCTTAAAACCGAAGGGCCCGCATGATAATATAAAAGTGGGTTCACATTTAGGAGCAAGCGGATACTCAATGCCCACAAAGCACTTATACACATACTACTACTCTAAGGAAATTAGCAAAGATCCTCCAAGCAAACATTTAGTGGTTTTCAAACACATTTTGTGCGGTTAACCCCTAAACTGGAATAGAGTAGCAAATTAACCCGGAGAGCAATATTTACGACCAGCAACTTTTCATACTAAGTTCAAAGAGTGACAAAAGTAATGTGAAGATAAGTCTGGAAATCCTATCCTTTGAACATGAAAAACGCTGCTGCTATGCTAGGTTTTTTTTTTTGGCACAGGTGTGACTACAGTTTCAAGAATATCATAGTACAACGACATCATACAATAACATAGTACGGCTCCAAGTTTACGACTCATTCTAAATCCATAAGATAATTAAGTTGGACGGAATCCTGTGTATTGTTTAGTGAATTTTTGCCCTTTACGACTTGTAAATGCGAGCTTTTCTATAAATAACGTAATATCGCAGGGCACAGAACGAAAGCCAGAGTTCCCTTACTTCAGGTACACACTCATAGCGAGTTATTCAGGAACGTGTTAAAGACAGGAATCAAAATTTCCACAGCTTAAGCAGCGGTGTATGCAGTATGATCATCTATGTAAAAGTTTATGCAATATGAATTATATTTCGCATTTTACTTAGTGATTTACATTAATATTGAGGAACTTAATTCAACAAGCCATAGAGCACACTCCTTTTTATTATTTTGAGTGACTCTTTTAAGCTGTGAAAATTTGTTACCGTAGTTTCTGTTGGGAGGTACAGAGGTGATACATACGATACAGGTGGCCTGTTGTTGTTATTTTTGCTCTCTTAAAAATGTGTTACAGGGTACAAACAACTGGCCTATTTATAGTGAGTTTTCTTTTTTGAAACTCAATTTTGCACCCATTCTTGGTTTTCGAGAAACAATGATAGCGATAAAAAGGAGTTAATTAATGAATAGCAAGACTTGTAGTTAGTTGGGTAGTGTTCTATTTTAGTAAGTAGCGAGATGCAACTGCTCCCGATGTTGATGTATATAAGAGCCAGAAGTCTGGTGATTGTAAAAATTTGAATTTTATGTTTATCTTAGCATTATCCAACATTCAACCACTTCCGTTTATACTAATTCATTCGCTAACATCGTTATAATGAAATTCTCATCATCTGGAGCTTTGGCCCTTGTCTTAACAGCTAAAGCTGTTCTTGGTAGTACCATAATGGATCATTCTTCATCTGTCCTGCCATCCCACGACGAAGGCCATGGCCAGGGACAGGGACACGGTCAGGGCCAAGGTCACGGTCAGGGCCAAGGTCAGGGCCAAGGTCACGGTCAAGGCCAAGGTCACGGCCAAGGCCATCATTCTCACGGCCATTACGCAAATGTCACCACTACAACCGAAACATACACAACATATACAACTTATTGTCCAACGCCTACTACGATTACAGTTACTACATGTGATGAGGTTTGTTACCCTCACACCTTCACTGTGACTACTGCAACTACCATTACCTTTACTGGTATTTGCGATTACTGTGTTCCTGTTCCAACAGAAACAGAGACATTAACATTGACTACCGTCACAACTTACTGTCCAACACCTACTACTATTACTATTAACTCATGCGATGTTTCAGTATGTGTGCCAAAGACTATAATCGTTTCTACTCCAAGTACAATTATCTACCCCGTAACCGTGCCAGCAAAACCAGAAACTGCTCCAGCTACTACTAGAAAGACCCTTGCCGAAACTAGTATCTACCCAACTTTGAGCACTCCACCCCAAATTTCACAAGCAAACGATGCCAACTTGGGTCGTGACGTCGGAGCAGGATTTGTTGCAGTTGTTGCAGCCATTGCTGCATTCTTGTGATTTGATTGCTTTACTTCGCTATTTATTTTTCGTTATTCCTCTTCCAGTTCGGTTTTTGTATAGCTTCGCTACACTTTTATACATTTACATTTTATATTGCAATATATATGACTATTTGTTATTGCATTGTAATTTCCCGCTATATCTAAGCTAATATTAAGAGCGCAATCTTGCAATTAGCTTTGCGTTCTATTGGCCTAGATACGCACAAGGAGAATAAAGCATTTCCAGTAATTTTGTTACTTGTACACATTAAATCAAATTCAATACTATTATACAAAATCCCATATACTACAAAGACAATATTAGGTTACTTCAATCAACCTCTGATGTAGCATTGCTGGCCATACTTAGTGCACCAGATATACTTTCCAAATCATCCTCATCATCAGCATAATCCAAACCCATCTCAGCCATTTCCTTTTTGGTGGGTGATACTCCAACAATACCCCATTTGATACTGGTAATAGCCTGTAAACGACTAAGTATCTCCGTCATAGGTGAGAACAATCCAAATTGTTTGAACTCACCATCATAAGAATGCAACATCCCAAGAACTGCCAAACCTTTGCTTTCACTCAAGCTACCAGGAGGGCAATCTTCGCATTTTGTTAAAACCCACAGCCCACTATCACCGCCGGCAGCAAAAGCAGAGTTACTTTCAATAGAGTTAACAATAAACTCTGAAGATTGAATAGCACCATCAAACCAATATACTAATTTGATTCCATTTAAGTTTCCCTTGGTGAACTTAGAAGTCGAACCATATTTGAAAACATTTATACCATCGTAAACATTAGAAGCAGCCATATCAGATACAGGTGCTTCATCATCTATTTCGTTGATATCAATACCATCAATTTGGGCAACTTCTGCACGACGTAAAGGCACAATACTTCTGACATATAGATTGTCAAACATCAAACTTTGGTCATATTCGTTAAAGGGAATATCATCACCCAAAAAATTGGCATCACAAATAAGATTACGATTAACTTTAATGACCGCTAAATCAGAAAGCCTCTTCTTCTTACCTGCATCAATCAATGCACGTTCACCCCAAATAATTTGCCCAAATCTATGAATAGGTAGATTTGATATTTCATACTTCATTTGTTTGGTTCTTGGGTCCACTACTTTAACTCTCTTGGGTGGAAACATTTGATCAACTTGTTGTATCACTTGTGAGTATGCAGCCCTGGCTTCAACCAGAGGCATTTGGTTGGCGGAATTTCCATCAGTTGTCATGCTATTAAATTTTTGATACTGTGACACCAATGCTTGTTTATAGAGCAGTATAACAACTTTTGAAGGAACAGAGACATGAGGATATTGAATACTTTCACCACCAGAATCACCATTTTGATCAAGACAAACATGACCACAACTAACAGCAAATTTCGAATTGGCATATGACTGTAAATGAGGTTGAGTTTTCACATTGATCATAGGATAAATATACCCACCAACTGTTCCTGACACACGTGTGGTACTTTCCAGTGAAATCGACATTGACATAGGTGGCTTGGTAATATCCGTTGGGACCCGAAAAGGAAGTTTAAAACGAGCAGTATAGTTTACTTGAGGAATAAATGTTGATGGTAATGACCTACCACTGTCACCCAATGGTTGTGGAGAGGGCAAATTGTCTTTCCCATTCAAGGGTTCCGCAGTAACTGGAGGGCCAGGTATAGTTGTAGCAGCCAACTCTATTTTATTTTTGACTACCATTATGTGAATCTCATCAAAAAGATCATGCAAACTTTTAGCTAACTTGTAATGGAACTCTGTGGGGTTAGGATATGCAAAGTAAAGGCACATGACATTCATACTTGTTCCCAAACCTCTTAAAATAGGTGCAATAAAAGATCCATTTTGCTCTTTCACCGAAGCAGAAGAAGAAGCCATCTTTCCCATGATTGAGTGAACAACGTTTTCATTGGGAAGACGTTGTGAACCATTTATACCCACTGCATAGTTTTGTGGTTTTTGAAGGACATAAGGGCCACCTTTATCAGACATTGAGGCATTAAGTTTTTGCGAGTTGTTCTTTTGTTTAACATTGGAGGAAGATAATGTTGATATAAAATCATTGAAGTTTTTAGTGAGTAAAAGTTTCAACTTCAAATATGCGTCATCAGTCAATAAATTATCATATAAATTCAAATATACCACCATAAGACGACGAATATAGATATTGTTATAAGTATCAAAACGCCACTCGGTTGATTTATAGTCTGATCTTTCTTTAGAAGAGTTTATAAATTTGATAAATCCCTTTAAGCAATCAATGATATTAATGACAGTCGTACTCAAGTTAGCCAATGAATTATTGAACTGGTTGATAGTATATGAGCAATCTTCACTTAACTGATGTAATTTCTCTTGGATAGCTTGCTGCAAGTCGATTTCCACTCCATGACTGTCTTCTGGAAGTTCCAAAATTTGTAAAGGGAGGCCAAATCTCAGTTGACCCTTTTTACCACTACCACTGCCCACTGAATCACCAGTAATTGCAGTAGAAGGAGCAGTACTTGGTTTAGTGGAATAAGACAGGGTCATTTTACCCTTGGAGAAGATAGATTTGCCTCCCATATAGTCCGTCGAATCCTTAGTGAATACCGAAGATTTTGCTATAGATATAGTCGGGTTTAAGTTTAGGTTGGTATCATTTATAAAGGGAGTACCGGATACTGCAACTGAGTTTTCTTTATCAGCAGTTCTATCTTCTTGTGTGAACATAGGTTGCAAATCACCAAAGGAATCTTGTGATTCCGAAGTATATGTGGACCTGTTCCCTCCACCAGAATTTATGGGATACAAATCATTATTATTATTATTATGTGGGTCCATGGCAGATGAAGACCCTTGGGCTGAAGAGTCCATTACAGGCTTTCTATTTCGTATTAAAAACTTCTTCATGAGGAAACAACAAGTTTACAAATATAAAAGCAAGGAACGGCACTGTATGGTCAGACACCACTGGGTTGATATCACCGTAATAGTGCAATGCCTTAAACAATCCACAGTTTTCCTCTAACACAAAATTTTAATCAGAGTCATTCTTGTGTTTGCCCTACCAAAAATGAATGTGAGCCGAACAATCTGTGAGGCGATTTGAAACGGCAGTACGGGAGGGGGTGACAATTGGGGACCGAGCGTGTCAAAATCAGCCCGCGACACGTGAGTACAATTGAAAATGATAACAGATTATTTCCATGATTGATGTAGAGTATCTGATTACACCGTAGATTTCACACATGTAGGACATGGAGATCCAAAAAAAAAAAGAGTAATTTAATTAATTGATTAGTAGAAAGAATAGAAAGTGGAGTACATAATGATTGCAGTATGATAATTACAGGGAGCAAGGTTCTGGTAAGTAGATTATGTAAAAATTTATGACTAATTAGTAGAGATTAAATGGCATGTATAAGCATTAAGGGATGGGTGAGCTGTATGAAGAAGTAATAATTATATGGGTGACTATAGAATAATTGTTGATGCCGATGCTTTAGTATGGTGGGCGCACACTACATTTGCATCTCCACAATTGGTGGGTTTGAGGTGTAACACTTCACAGTATAATAAGTCAATTTTCTTATAGAATTTGTGATCCGGAGGGCACGACTCATTATTCTGTCATGTGTAGGATCTACCTGATAAGCTTGGACTACTCCTAAAGAGGTGTAGACTAAAAATGGTCACATTAATCGTAGTATTCGACTTCGTACTTCTTTTAGCGAAACGCACATAGAACTCGGATATTATCGAAGAACAATCCATACGTAATTGAATAATAAGTAGCGTAAGTTATCAAACTGAAATCAGTTTTGGAAATACATACATAAGTATAATGTATGTATCTCCCGATAGGTTACGTAATGTTGTAAAACTAAGATATAGAATGTCTCTATAGCAAACACTCTGAAACATTGTAGCTATCAATTATAGTACCAATATGGTCTTGGTATTATGCTGTGCGCACACAAAAAAGCATTCTCTGGGGAAATGTTTGGGGAAATATTGTTACGATCCCGTACACTAGTTGCCTTATTTCTACATCATACTATTTAGTCTATTTAAATTTTAAGCTAGTGTGACAGTCTGCACTTATTTGTATTGAACTTTTCAATTTCGATAATTTGAATACTGTCCAATATATTTTTTAATCGGTAGGTTGAAAGCTCATTCGCTCGAGTCTTCCCTTCTCTGGCTACAATTTTTGACGGGAATAGATTTTCTCGATTCAATTCACAAAATACACATCGACAATTGCTAGATTCTACGTGATACCGTTATCATGCCGGTGTATTCGATCTCACATGTGGAGAATGTTAGAGTGTGTGTGGTGATGGTTGGGCTTCCTGCCCGGGGTAAGTCCTTGATAGCTCAAAAAATTGTTAGATACTTAAGTTGGTTGTCTATCAAGTCCAAATGCTTCAACGTTGGAACTTATAGACGGGATCTTCAGAAAGCGGCAGACATTGGAAACATTACAGCTGATTTCTTTGATCCAAACAATCCTGATGGTATGCACTTTCGTAGACAAGCCATTGATTTGGCTTTGCAAGACATGATGAATTGGTTTTTGGATGAAAATGGAGTGGTTGGGATCTTAGATGCTACTAATTCCACAAGGGATCGTCGGAATCGGATTGTTAAAGTTCTTAGGGAAAATCTAATTGAACCCATCTTTTTAGAATCCTTCTGTAATGATCAAGATTTGGTATTACAAAATATTCTCGATGTTAAAACAACATCCCCTGATTATGTGGGCTCAGATCTGCAATTTGCAACAGAGGATTTCCTCAAGAGAATTGAATTATATGAGAAGAACTATGAAACTATGGATGTTAGTATTGATGCTAATTTAACATTCATCAAACTAGTTAATGTTAATTCTCAAATTATTCTTAATCGTATCGAAAGTTATTTGGAATCTCGGATAGTCTACTACGTGATGAATTTACATATTAAACCCAGATCAATTTATTTGTCTCGTCATGGAGAATCTGAATATAATTTAACTGGTCAAATTGGTGGAGATTCTAATTTATCTGAACGAGGTTGGAGATATGCTAAGAAATTACCTGAATTAGTCTTGAAATCATTAGGTGAAGAAAATAAACATACAAACTTGACAGTATGGACCTCAACATTGGCTAGAACTCAACAAACTTCGTCGTTCTTACCTTATAAACGGAAATTACAATGGAAAGCTCTTGATGAATTGGATGCTGGGGAATGCGATGGAATGACTTATGAAGAAATTGAAAATCAATTTCCAGAAGATTTCAAAGCCCGTGATGATAACAAATATGAATATCGGTATAGAGGTGGTGAAAGTTATCGTGATATTGTTATCAGATTAGAGCCTATTATTATGGAATTAGAGAGACAAGAGAATATTTTGATTATTACTCATCAAGCCGTTTTAAGATGCCTTTATGCTTATTTCATGAATGTTCCACAAGAAGAATCACCTTGGATGTCGATTCCATTACATACATTGATCAAGTTGGAACCCAGAGCTTATCATACAGTCGTAAGCAGAATTAAAGCAGATATTCCCGCTGTGAGTACTTATAAGGAAAAAGGAACTTCTCAACTTGGTGAACAAAATAATAGTACCAGCTCGAAATCCAGAGATATCATTAATAACAGTGATATTGTTCCATAGTCTTTGATTACTTTTCTAAGTATTCATTCTCTTTTATTTATTGAAAGCGTTGGTCTATGTTAACAGGTATACAAGTAGTTACACAGTATTTACATACTTCTTTGCCTGTTCCTTCACCTTCTTGATATACGTAGCTCTATCCTTTTGATACGCTTTCCAAGCTGGCTCTTGAGCAGGTGATTCGGGATTGGGATTAGTTAATAGTTCCTGAATCCCCAATACAATTTGTTTCAACGTTATTGCCGGACGCCAATCTTGTTCTTCATTCAATATACTTAAACAAATGGTCCCACTAGGGTATACATTAGGATGATAGAAATGCTCAGGAAATTTAATCTTAGGAGGTTTGGAAGGATATTCTTCTGGAAATGTAATAGTTATAGGATATGTAGCCCCTGCCCAAATAGTATCAGTTTTACCAGGTATACCAGCGGTCCATTGAGATAAATCAAGACCTCCATCTTTATCTCTTATAGGTTTGGCATAGAATCCAAATGGGTGATCTTTCCGCCATTGCTTTCTTTCCTCTTGAAGACGAGTTTTGGAGAGCGACGACATCGCCGCTAATACAATGTATGTGTATTTTTGTGTTTAAGGATTGGTTGTTGTTGTCATGTTAACTACTAGTCAAAACCCTCTGGTAACTATGGCTCTCCATCATCGGGTGACACTTAGATTGTCCCAGACACGACTAATTTTCAATTTTTTTATCGATATAAACCCATTGAACATTTGCATTACTTGGTGTGTTCAGCGTAAGCAATATGTACATTGTTTAGTATGAGATGGTATAAGGAATATTAGCAACGACGTGGTTAATCATCCACAGGCGTGGTATCACCTCTCCACACAGTAAATATGTCTGTACAGATACACAACTCAATGGAGTCACGTGCACGTACCAGAAATATCCTAGCTGTTGAAAAATAAATTCTGTGGTAGCACCGCAGTAGCTCAAACCCCCACACTTTCGGCATGTGAACCATTCCGAGGAATTTTGGGGCAACCACTAGTAATGCTTAGCAGATCAATCTATTTCCCAAATAATACCAGCCACTAGTAGTTATAACTAGAATCATCAATTAATATGTCTACTGAGAAATCTAGCACTGTCAGTGAAACTGCTGGAACCCAAGCAGCTGGTGAAGTTGCTGCTGCACCTACTGCAATTGCAACTGCTACTACCACCGCCACAGAAGAGGATGATTTGGACGATTTGGACGACTTGTTGGATGATTTTGCTGATGAAGTTTTAAGTAAGCCTCCTGGGGCTGCTGCCAGTGGAGTAACATCAACAGGAGTCGGAGCTGGAGCTGGTATTAGTACTGCTAGTGAAAAGGGAACTGGTGCTAATAAAGATAATGTTACGCCATTCAATACTGATATTACTGGACTTTTAAAAGATTTGAAAATAGAAGATCCTGATACTAAAAAACAATTTGAAGAACTTGTTAAACAATTTGAAACAGGTAAGGAAAACGAACTTAATCAAATACAAGATAAAGATTTTGATAATGTGATGAAGTCAACTATGGAAAGATTAAAGAAATCTGGTGAAACTATTGACGAACAATTGAAGAAAGATCATTCAAGTACAAATCCTGAAGATTTATTGGCCCAATTATTAGCAGGTTATGATGGTCCTTCTAATGATGGTGAAAACATGGATATGAGTAAATTATTAGTTGAAATGTTGGAACAAATATCCTCTAAAGAAGTACTTTATGAACCTATGAAATCTTTGAATACTGATTTCCCTCCTTATTTAGAAAAGAACAAGTCAAAACTTTCCCAGGAAGAATTTGAAAACTATACGGCTCAATATGAATTGACACAAAAGATTGTATCAATATTTGAAAGTCCTGATTATAGTGATTCCGATAAGCTTAAAAGAGAAGAAGTTAACTCATTATTAGAATCTTTACAGGATTTAGGTCAGCCTCCAACTGAATTGACAGGAACAATGCCATCAATCCCTGGGTTAGGTGATTTAGGAAAAATGGATGACCCATCTCTTGATTTTAATGATATGGATATTCCAAAGGATTTAGAAAAAGATTTGGAAGAAAATTGTAAGCAGCAATAGTACTACTAAAAATAATGATACAATGATTCATCTATTTATTTCTCTATAGTTGTTTTTTATAGGATAAAAGCTTAATAAGATTTTCACCTATTATATTTTCAATCTGTTCTTGGTACTGAACTCTTCATAGTACTCAAGCATTTCATGAGTGATGTTTTTGGTAATACTAGAAAGTGCTTGATCAAAATGTTCTTGTAAGACTTGTTTAGCTTCCTTATTTTCTCTAATAGCTGCTAGTCCAGCTTCCTGACAAAGTAATGCAACTTCAGCTCCCGAACATCCTTCAGTTTCTTTAGCAATTTTTAATAAATCAACCGTTCCATCCAAATTGAATTTTTGACATCTTTTATTTAAAATCTCCAACCGAGCTTCATAATTGGGAGGACTTACATAAACATGTCTATCAAGTCTTCCTGGTCTCAATAATGCAGCATCAATATCTGTTGGTCTATTTGTCGCAGCCACAACAATCACACCATTTAATTCTTCCACACCATCGAGTTCATTCAATAAAGTAGTTAAAACATTTTGAGCTGCAGAAGATGTCGACTCACCAGAATCTCTGCTTGATGATATAGCATCAATTTCATCAAAAAATATAATGGAAGGTGATGCTGCTTTGGCTTTACGGAAGATTTCTCGAATAGTTTTCTCAGATTCACCCACATATTTATTCAATATCTCAGGACCTTTAACAGCAAGAAAGTTCAAGCCAGATTCAGTAGCCAATGCCTTTGCAGTTAAAGTCTTGGAACAACCTGGAGGTCCATAGAGCAAAACACCTCTGGGAGCCTTTATTCCAAGTCTTGCAAATGCATCTTTAGCTTCGAGAGGAAGTTGAATGACTTCAACAAGTTTTCTTTTCAATTGTTCTTGACCTCCAATGTCTGACCAATAAACCTTGGGCATTTCCAAGAAAATGTCTCTCATTGCCGATGGTCTTATTTCACTCAAAGCTTCCTCCATATTATTCAATTGAACTTTAATATCTGATTGCGGTATTTGAGACTTCAAACCTTTATTAATGGCAATCATAACTGCTTCTCGACATAACGCTGTCAAATCAGCACCAACATACCCATGAGTTTTGGAAGCAATGATTTCAATATCTTGTTCATTAAGTTCAGTTTTCAGAGGATTCATTTTACCCAATTGTTTCTTTAAGATATCACATCTAGCGTCAACATCGGGTATGCCAATTTCAACTTCTTGGTCGAATCTGCCCGGTCTTCTTAAAGCTGGGTCAATTGAATTGGGACGATTGGTGGCCCCAATGACTACAATACGTCCACTATCACCCATTCCATCCATCATAGTCAACAAAGTAGCAACCACTCGAGATTCGGTTTCACCACTGTCATCACTGTTTCTATTAGGAACAAGACTATCTATTTCGTCCATAAAGATAATCGATGGTTGGAACTTACGAGCCTCAATGAAAATATCTCTAATTGCCTGTTCAGTTTCACCTAAATATTTGGATACAATGGAAGGTCCACTGACAGTGAGAACATGCGCATTGGTCTGATTTGCAACACAACGTAAAAGTAAAGTTTTCCCAGTACCTGGTGGACCATGAAGAAGGATCCCACGAGGAGGTGAAATCCCAAAATCAGAGAATAGTGTAGGATTGTGAAGGGGGAGCTCTACCGAAGTTTTAAGCAATGAAATCTCCTTTGTAAGACCTCCTACTTGATCATAGTTCATTGGATGAGGGATATTGGGATATTTGGAAGAAGACGGTACCTTTAGTTTACTTTTCATGATTTTAGTATTAGTAGTGAATATGTAGTTCGAGGTAGTAGTTGATATAATGGAACCATTAGTATTTTCTTCATTGCTTATTGACAATGCTTGCAATGATTGGTCAACGGTGTCAATATCATCCTCTTCGTTAATATCAATTATAGTTAAGATAGTTTCTGAAGTAGCACCCTGCAATTTGATCTTAAAGCTTAATCCTGGAGAGATTATGGCAACATTGTGCAAACATTTCTGGATTTGCTTTTGTATGTTTGGCTGATCCAATTCAAACTCGTCATTATCATCATCATAGTATATGGAAACAGACTTAGCATATTCAGGTTGTGGAGCCTTGACGATCAGCAATCGGTCACCTAACAAAATACCACCCAATTGTCTTAAGGACTGTGGAATTGTTATTACATTGGTGTCTAGAAGATTGTCATCGCCATATACAGTAGCCAATACTCCGGGTTCACTTGTTTCCACCTTATCGATATACACTATGGAATCATTAGGCAACTCCATAGCTTCTTGGATCTGAGAGTTGATGTAAACCTTACGTGAATCATCTCCTTTGGTACTGGAACTGGGTCTGGTAATGAAGTTCTTAGGAATCTTGATCTTCTTCTGGGGAGCTACATCACCGGCACCAGAAGCAGAAGATGAAGATGAGCTTTTCTTCTTAGATGGCTTTGAAGACATTTATATCAATAGCGATAAAGATAATAACACTTTAGACGTCTAGTGATGGTGATGAGATGGCTATATAATTCGCGGGACAGGACCACGAACTTTTCAACCGATGAGAGGTTGTAACTCACTTTAACTATACTTACAACACATCAAACTACTACTACTATGTCTCGTTCAGTTATACGACGGAGCCGTTGGTTATACGGACTGGTGAGATGGTCACTGAAATATGTAAGATTCTTAGACCCTCATCTTATTCTGAGCCATGATCTCTATGAAGGGTCTCCCCAGTTACATAGGTCATCACCTACACCATTTACAGAAAATCATAATAGGTTTGACCTGAAAGACATCGACGATAGTATTCTACAAGATTCAATTCTGCACAAGTTGTATCAGTTGTCGGACCTTGTCAGAATGATCTCTCTGTCCTATAACATGGCCGATGTGGAGGATAAGCTTACTCCCATACAATCCTTTTTAGGACCACTGTTTCCTTTGCTGGCTGAAGAGAAAATAGCTATTCTATTTGGATTGACAAACGTCCAATTGAAGCTTGAAAATACTTGTAATAATGCTACCGATTTCAATGCCAGATCACTAGGTTACTCAACTGCTAGACTAAGAGAATGCGGTGAACAATTATTCCAATCATGTTGGTTTAAAACTACTACATTTGATAATGAAAGGTACCTATCTATGCTGCAACAAGATATAATATATGACATTAATCAGTTTGAGCCATCCAGTGAAGTCTTGGTGGAATTCATGAAAAGACAAACCATGTATCAAAACATCCAATCATATAGAGGTGCTATGAAATATGGTCCTATTGAAGATTATGAGGAGTATTTGCAAGCCAAACAAAATCTACAAAATATAACAGCAGTGGGGAGTTTCTATACATTAATAGGAATATGTTGGATTAAATTTGGTAAAGAGGCTACCGCTAAACAATTAATTGGGAATAAAATCATCAATGGACCGAATGGTTTAATAAGGTTAACAACACAACTTAGTAGAACATAAGAAATAGCTGACTTTGTCTTGTAAATAATTCATAAATAAAGTGATGCACAGAATACAATATCTCTCTTTATACGTTCTTGAGCTTCAGACATCTTTGCATGCAACGTAGAATCACCAACAATTAATGCAGCATTTTTAACCTCACGACATATTTCATCAAGTCGAGTGATAACTCTAACAATGGTTCCTTCTGCTTCAAGACTTCTTTCCATGATTTCATTAAAAGTTAATCCTCTAGCCCATTCATAGACAACGTTAACTAATGCAAACCGTTTTCTTTGCATGAAATCTTCTTCTTCAGAAGTAAGAATGACTCTCTTTGCTGAATACTCTTTAAGAATCTTCTCTGTGATTTCAAGAATTCGTTTCTTCCCTTTCTCCAATCGAGGGGTCATGGGAATATCTTCTTCGTCGTTTGTACGACCCTCATAAACAAAACATGAAAGAAGTGCAACGATTTCTTCAGGTTCAAAGTCTCCTAAAAAGTTATCTAACACGAGTTCAGTCATAATTAATTCCCAACCACTATTGATTTCACATGCAACTCTTCCCTTTAACAAAACGTTATGCTTTGCGTCAATAAACTCAAGGCTTTGTAAAACAGCAAGACGTTGCTCGTAATCAGGTAACAATTCAAGATTGTCATCTGAAACCAATCTCAGTAACATTTGGATCTCATCATTTATCAGTGTTCTAGTGTGGAGAATGGAATAATGCTCATTAAAACGTGGACAAATATCAAGTTCATTGAGTTTGGAAAGAATGTCATCCTTCTTTACTATTTCATCATGTAATGCCAACTTAGCCTTTGAAAGTTTTAATTCTTCCCATTTTTTGACAAACTTCAATAAAAGTTTGATTTGTTCATTAGTTTTACTAACTTCCTCAGCATCGTTACGAAGCACTTTGGTTAAATCTGCTTTCAAGCTGTATCTTCCTAAGAATGTCACTTGTGTACACTCAATGGTATCAACTTTAAGTTTACCTTCAAAGGATATGTCACTAAAATATCTTAATATAGGCTTCAGTGGGATATATGGTAGTTTAAACTTCGAACTTGACTCTTCAAACTTTGAACCATGAGAAAACGTTAAAACATGCAACTTCTTTGCTCTGACTTGCAGTTTAATGTGAAATCCAACTCTGGCACAACCATATTCATCTCTATAACACAAGAGTCTACCAGGAATCATAGTCGAGTATCTAATCACATGAAGGTCCATCATAAGGTCCATTAAAGTGGAATATGTCCTTTCATATTCATGGACTAAGTTATGGGCATCATCAACATTTATTAACCCACAAATGGAACAATCCTCTATTTCAGTCAACTTCAATTGACTATCAAGATCCTTGATTTTCAGTTGATGTTCTGGGAGTAATGTTTGAGTACTATTTTCACTAAATGAATGCTTGATCATTTCTTCCACTCTTAAAGCTTCGATTCTTAAAAGGTTCAAAATCATATTGTATGTTAATCTGAACTGTGACAGAAGCTTGGTTGGTGTACCTAAAGTTACCTCTTTGAAATCAGAAATGGATAGAGGTTTATTGTAAGACATTACGATGACCGTACCTGTTGAATCCAACCCTCTTCTACCAGCTCTACCAGACATTTGAGTAAATTCACCCGGTAAAAGGTTTCGGAACCCACGACCATCATGCTTTCGTAATTCATTGAAGACTACTGTTCTTGTAGGGAGATTTAATCCCATGGCAAAAGTTTCTGTAGCAAATAATACTTTAACAAGATTCCTGGAAAACATGATTTCAATACATTCTTTAACAATAGGCAATAATCCACCATGATGAACTGCAATACCTCTGCTAAGCATTTCTCTAATTTTAAGAATCTGAGGAAGTTCTCTATCTTCCTTCTTTAATCTTGAAACAGCCTTGTTCATGAACATGTGAATTTCTGATTTCTCTCTTGCAGTACAAAGATCTAATCCACCCAACGTATTGGCATATTCTTCACATCTTTTCTTTGAGAAGACGAATATCACTGCCGGTAATAGTTCTTTCTTTTTCAAGTATTGAATCAATTCATTCCAAGTGTTTTTATTTGGAGCATCTCGTACCATCCACCCACCAGGTTTGTTCAGCATATTTCCTCTATTACTACTACCACTACCACCTCCACGACCACCTCGAGATCCAGCTCCACTATCACCTCTTCCACCACGCGCACCCGCTCTATTCCCACCACGAGCAGACCCCCCAGGGCCTCCTCTACTTCCACTACCCATGTGAACTTGAGGAGTAGCTTTCTTTTGGGTTTCGTAAACATCTTTATGTTTTTTAAACTCTGACTCTGAAAATTGACGTTTAGCATCGATGGCTTTGTATAGATCTTTCTTTGCCCAAATAAAAATCTCTAAAGGTACTGGTCTTTTTGGTGTAGAAATCACATACATATCTTTTTTCTTAGTACGTCCAACCCAATTTGCAAATTCAAATGTATTGGGAACGGTAGCTGAAAGTAAAATGAATTTCACATGATCAGGTAGCATAATGATAACTTCTTCCCATACAACACCACGGTCGATATCATTCACATAATGGACTTCATCAAAAATAACAAACTCCACATCTCTAATAAGATCGGCACCACGATAAAGCATTGAACGTAAAATTTCTGTAGTCATGATTAAACAATTAGCTTCAGAATTTATCTGAACATCACCAGTTATAAGACCAACATCAACTTCTTTGAATGTTTCTTTAAAATCTCTAAACTTTTGGTTAGATAAGGCTTTTATAGGTGATGTATAAATACATTTGGTCATGTTTCTGGCGGCCATGGCAATAGCATATTCTGCCACTACTGTTTTACCTGCTGAAGTATGGGCAGCAACGAAAACAGAATCACCTTGTTCAAGATGATATATAGCTTCCTTTTGAAAATTGTCAAGTTCAAATGGCCATGTTCTGGCCATGTTTGGAACCACTTCATTAAAGTTTTCCAATTGATGATTCAAATCAACAACATGAGCCCAAACAGTTTTATGTTGTGCACTTTTAGTTAAAGCGGCTTTCATATTCTGGAAATCCATTGAAACAATATCATTTAAATCTTCAGCATCAAATGGTAATTCAGAACCTTCTATTTCACCCTCAACTTCAACGTTGGTCTCCTTGATTTCATTATTATTATCATCATCATCATCATATGGTGAATCGTTAGAAACAAGCTTCTCCAAAGCAGTCACATCATTCATCTCTTCGACTTTCGTTTGGATAGAAAGACCTCGGGACAATCCTGGAGGCGTATCATACAATCCATATTCATTTCTGTTTAGAATTAATGTTTCCTCTTTAGGTAAACTGGTTATCAGAGATATACCTCCTGGTTTAAATGGAAGAAACGTAGACTTCCCCTTAAGAGCATCTGCCCTAGGCCCATATCTCCGATTTATTGACGTTGATGTTGAAGCATCAGCTATGCTTGCGAGTCGAAAGTCTTCCTTATAACTATTGATCTTCCCTTCAATACCAACACGATTAAATCTGTATGAGGTTCTGCTGATGGTTTCTGGAGTTTGTAACAAGGAGCCATAAAACTTATCATAATTAGTTTCTGGAAGCGATTGAACAAGGTCAAGTAGATCCCATGATAACTGATTGGATGGCACCAATACTTCGTTTGTCAACTCATCAATGTCACTCAATTCCCCTTTATTTTTGGCTACAACCTTGGTACTTGGATCAAATCCCTCATACGGGAATACTATCTCCTCTGAGAACTCGGCTGCAGTATCAGTCATCGCTCCGTGGGTTAGTTCTAAAGCAAATCGACTAAACAGAGCCCTATGTTTGGTTATGTGAACTTTTCGCTTCGCACAATCTTTGATATATTCAATTTCTTTGTGAATACTACTCTAAACTCACTATTTCTATTGCTTAATTCCTTTCATTATATTAATATTTTGATTATTATAAAGACTAAATATTACTTATAATTTTGGTTTAGAACCCTCGATCCCCCCAGTTGTAGCATCGCCATTAATTTCCAACTTTCCTGTTTTATGCTCAACTTTATGATCTGAACCGAAAAATACAACTGTAACTGTCAAATCATCTCTATACCTTCTAGATGTAGGACTTGGAATTGATATTAGCATAGAGGTCTGCTCTTTAGACCCTCCATTAGAAATGGCATTTCTAATTAAATGAGTAGCCACATTCTTATCTTCCAATAAATATCCTAAATTTGTTCCTGTTTGCTTCTGCTTCCGGATAGGTTTTTTAGATGCTTTATCTGCAGTTACATCTGCAACATCAGGCAATTTGTTATCTGCTTGAGTGAAGCCAAAATTCCAAAATGATGTCTGGGGTTTCAACATTTTTTCCTTCTCCATCCATTTAACAACAAGCCCAACAATTTCTTCATTGGATAACATTTCATATAATCCATCAGATGCCATAACTAAGAATTCATTATTTTCAGGATCTATCTTTGTTGTAGTAATAACTGGCTCGGCTGTGACATATGGTGGCGATTTCAAATTGTTTGGAAGCTTTCTTCCAAAGAATTGCTTATAGATTCTATCTTGAATTGAGGCAGGAAGTTTATACCGACAATCACCAAATGCTCTACTAGGCTCCAAAGTTCCCAAAACTCTGCCATTTTTTATTACATTTGGTTCATCAGGGTGTTCACTAATAATTTTTGCCACTTCTGTGGGATTGGCTGCAGTTTGGTCAATACTCAATTGTCTAACTGTCCATTTATTGTCTTTGAAAGATCCCAAAATGGCCCGAGAGTCACCAGTAACAGCAACCTTAAGGAGTTTGGAGTTGGTGTCATAAAATGAAAGCAATGCACAAGAGCCTGATAATGCGGGCATTAAAAGCTCTGCTGCTTTAGCTTTGTTGTTGTTCGTTAATAACTTTTCAATGTTTTTGTTAACAATCTCATGATCTAATTTCAAAAATCCGTTCTTTATAGCTTGGTCAATGGTTGCACTAGTTGGAATATATCTAAAGTTTTCTTCTCCAGCAGGCTTAAACACGCTTCCAAGTTCATGAATAACATAACTGATTAATTGATCTCTTAACTTACCACTAGTTGTCCAACCTCCATGACCATCAAAGATTCCAAAAAACATCCAATCTGTGTTGGTTTTAATATTATTATCCTGTAATAAAGGCACTTGAACAATTTCTTCTGCTCTATCATCTTCTATTGGCGAATTCGAAGCTAATTGACAAATATCATATCTAGTAACTCCTCTTCCTCGATTAACGAAAAAACTCTCTTCGAATTCTCTCAATTTACGACTGACTTGTTCATCATTCAACAAAAAGACTCCTTCCTTATGTTGTTGATGACTTATACTATTCTGTTGGAACATCGATGAGGTTGAAGTGGAAAAATACCTCTTATCATCACCAATCATTGAGCTAGTACTAAGCGATCTCTGGCTCCCCGCAATTCCACTTGCATCAGCTTTGGATGGCAAAGTATCCAAATTATAGTAGCTTGATTGATTAAACGAAATGTAGGATCCAACTATAATAACACCAGACACAAGAGCAACATTCCGCTTTCTTAGAAGTCTTCCTCCAGATTTCAAACTATCTCTACTTTTATTAGCTGTTGTAGTTAATGTACGAACAGATCGTTGGCTCAAATGAAGCAAAGATAACTTGTTGGAGGCACTTTTGGAGGCCACGTAAAATAGCCTGGATCTTAGAACATATACCATTCTATTTTCAGGCTATTAATTCCAAAGGGCAATTGATGTTTATTTAAAGGAGAGATTAGGTTAATAATAATGGTTTCCTCATGGGTTAATTTCTGCCTCCTTTCTTTGCTTTGAGGTTCGCACGACCTAGACTTGGTTTACGTGGGGGACTACTTTACTCTGCATAGTATAAGGTACCATATAGAAGATATCTAGAAATTCATCTTAAAGATATTGAAGTAATATTATTATACAAATAGGATTACACTAGGAAAAGAGGGATCTATCTCTAGCTATAAATCATTCACAGATGCAGAACATCTTAGTCAGTTGCAATAAACATTCGATCATACCAAATCCTGATAGCACACCCACAACGTCTATGTATTAGCTAAAATACAAGGCCCGCCTAGAGCACTTGGATATGATGAGAAAGTAGTCATGCAGTATATCACAAATGAAAATTAATTAAAACATAAAATTGAATGATTGAGCATAAAGAATTCGCCAAATTCACTATGCATGCACCATTTTGCTTAATTAATTTAAGCAGCAATGGTGACTTCAACATCCACACCAGGTTCGATGGTGATTTGGGTGATCTTCTTGACAATAGAAGCAGGAGCTTGCAAGTCAATGTATCTCTTGTGAATTCTCATTTCATAAGTATCCCAAGTCTTAGAACCTTCACCATTAGGGGTCTTTCTGGTGGCGATCTTCAAGACCTTGGTTGGCATTCTAACGGGACCCTTCTTAGCAATGTCATATTGAACAGAGCTGTTGACAATGTTAGCAGAGACCTTTTCCAATTGCTTAACCTTGGTGGAAGTCAAGGTAATTCTGATCTTGTGGAATTCCTCTCTTTCTTGTTGAACCTTTTCCTTGTTGATTGGAGCAGACATGTTGATTGACGTTGTTGGCTTTCAAAAGTAAAAGCATATAAAATTTTTCAAGTCTCACTATGTTTTATATTACCAACTGACTAACAAAGAATTTGTGTGCGACATTTTGGTGATGGGTCGTGAGAACGACATTTTACATGCAAATTGTGTAGACATGTAAAAACAGCAAGTTATGAATTATTCAGCTCACGTGATTAGGGCGGCGAACCCTAAAGCTACTATCCGATATGATGCATATATATTAGAATCTTGTACGATGGCATCAGTGATTACAAAACTTACACGGAGACAAGAGAAGAACTTGTCGGATTATTGGCTTGCTTCATCAAGGGATCAAACGAGCAATTCATCTAACTAGGTTAATTGTTAGTAATTGTCTTAACGTATCGTAAAGCATTGCAGTGTTCTTATAGTTGAGTTCAGATATCAATTAAATAGATTTTCTCCAGTGTTTTGTTTTTGGATTATTGTCAGAGAGATTCCCAATTGAAAAGTTCATCATTGAAAGAGCAAGATGCAATTGTTTTAATAAAATTGTTTACATACTGCTCATATTTTCGTACATCTTTATTTACTATCAAGTAAAGCTAAAGAAAGAAAACTTACTAAGTAAATAAATTTCTTTCGCCGAAAAACGTAGCATCAGTCAGTCATTCCGGTGCGATGGACACTTCCGGGTAACCCTATATAATGCAGTGTAAGAACATCTGCAAATCGATAAGTACCAACTTGTTCTACGGGGTTCATACGGAATCGTATTTCAAAAAGATCTAAAACTAACTTAGGGTTTGACACTTGTTAATTTTCATTCATTTATATCTATTGTGATACTTATTTCTTGAAGGCAGATTTTGTAGTTTTTCGAATATTTTGCAACCATGGGGACTAGAGAGTTGATAAAAAGCAGGCTCTTGAGTAGGAAGTAGCATGTAGATTAAAAGATATTCTAATATAATACTGTACTAGTTCATTACGCCTGATATTGCTAACATCAACATTGCTAGCGTTTGTAGTTCATCCGCCAACCTCAAGAATTAATTGAAGATTTATGCAAGAATTGATGGTATTATAACAAAATGTAGTTTCTTTATTAGTGAATGCTATAAATTAGATTGGGTCGAAACAGCCATATATAAACATGGAAACTAAACGTCATAAAATTAATCACCCGACTTGGAAGCCAATTCTCTTTGCAATCCTTTGACACACTTCCACATCAACTTAATTTCAGCTTCGTTTGCATAACCACTGGTTGCCCACCTAATACGACCACAGCTATCAAGTAGATAAATGTATCCAGAGCACAGATTATCCATATTCAATTTTTCTTTCATTTGAACAGAAAACACATCATCTGGAAGAACAAAATACTTATCCAGTCTCTCTTTAGGTATCATTTTACGAATGTTTGATTTGGACATACGAACAATAAAACCTTTAATCCAACTTTGAGGGATATTAACATCAACAATCTGTGTCATAGGATATTCCTTTTCAAATTCCGAATACTCAGAAGTCAAATAATTCTTATTGTCAACTTTGAAATAAGAATTGACACAATTTTCTCCTGATACGGTTGAATATACTCTGACAATTGTAACATTTCCCTCTAAGATTTCAAATAAACTACGTTCACTCCCACAAACTGTGACCCCTATGAAATCAGGGAAATGCTTAGACTTTTCAGCTCTAAAGTAGGAAACTGGTGGAGTGAAAATCTTCCCCTTAGTGTTTTCAAAAGATTTTGATTCATAAAATGGGGAATGCTTAATATCGTGATCCAATTGTCTCTGTCTTCTTTCTCTTGCTTCAGCACTGAAAAGCTCATTTTTGATATGTGATATACTATATGCATCCTGTGTCCTATGATTTAAAAGAATAGGCGAATCCAATCCAAATGGTCTCGTAATAGGAATAGACTCAGTCAAGGGTGGTTTCCCTGCTTCTGCAATTGTCTTTGCAAATCTGGGTGTCTTAATTCCACACCGAGAACTCCCAGAAAAGTTTCTGATAAATATACGGGAACTTCTCATACCGACTGTAATATAATTCCCGTCTCTTTCAAAGCCAATACTCAAACTGACTTCAATTATTGATTTCTTATTGTAACTGTGGGATTAGTATTGGGGCCAAAATAGCCACCAAAATTTCAAGCACTGTTACCCGCACTTTATAGGGAGACAACAAAAATTATAATGAACAAGAAAAACACCCAGTACGTTCAAACCACTAATAATCACTAGTTTAGTTCCATTTATACCAATCTACTGCAAAAAATATAAATATTCAATAGATCAAAATGAGCATACAGTTGCGAGATGGTTTAGCCATGCAACCAGTGGATTTAGTTTTGGAGGATCTTCTTGCAAGATTCCTTGTCAATTGCCCTGAAGAAGACTTATCCTCCATTGAAAGAGTATTTTTTCAAGTGGAAGAAGCCCAATGGTTCTATTCCGACTTTCTTTGTCAATTGAATCCCTCATTACCTTCATTAAAATTGAAGTCGTTTTCGACAATGTTCTTGGAGAAATGTCCTTTAATATGGAAATGGGGTACGCCCTCAGAAGCACTTTCAAGATTTAGTAGATACAAATCAACTATCCCAGTTAGAGGTGCTGCATTTTTCAATGATAATTTAACGAAACTTCTTTTGGTTAAAGGAGTGGAATCAAAGACTTGGTCTTTCCCAAGAGGGAAAATATCTAAAGGTGAACAAGATGCTGAATGTGCAATTCGAGAAGCCGAAGAAGAAACTGGGTTTAATTGTCGTGATCTTTTAAATGAAAATGATGTTATTGATCGTAACATTGGGGGCAAGAACTACAAGATATATTTGGTTAAGAATGTTCCTGAAGATTTTGACTTTGAGCCTCAAGTCCGAAATGAAATTGCCCAATTAGAATGGCATGATATCTCTGTTCTTCTGAAGAAGATAAAATCTAGCCCAAATAAATATTTTATTCTTCCAACAATGATGAAGGCTATCAATAATTGGATCAACAAAAATAAGGGTGTTGTTGATGAGCAGAAATTGATGCTTCAAACTGAAATCAAGTTGAAGAAGTTCTTAGGCATTTCTCAAACAAACGCAAATGAGAACGTGGATGCAGGTAGAGAGTTATTGAATATTCTTCAAGGAATTAATGAACCCGGAGTTCATTCTCAAACAATTAATGCCCCTTCTGTACCCATTATTAACTCTCATCCTATGTTCCAGCAAGCCTTGATCCAAGCTCAAATGCCTTTTATTCATCCTTACGCTCCTCCAATGTTGGGACCTGGAATTCCAAACTTTGTTCCATCACAAATGGGCCAACCTCCATTGACTCCGTTGAATAATATTCCAAACTTGCATAACCAAACTCCTCCGGCCTCTGAAGAGTCTACCCGGAAATTATCAATTGCATCCTCAAATAGACGTATGTCTGAGGCAAACTCCAGAGAATTGTTATCAATCTTGAACAAGACAAAACCTGGTGAGCCTCAACCAGATCAACCACACTCTCCTGCTAAAGAAAATGCACGTGAGTTATTAGGTATATTAAATAAAGCTCCTTCAAATCCCTCAAATGCAGCAATAGCTGAGAGAAAGAGATCTAAAGCGCAAATACTTTTAGATCTTGTTGGTGCTAAGAAGAAAACTGCTGACTCAAGTAAGTCCATTCCGTCACCAGGAAACTTGCAGGGTATATTTAGCGCTTCTCAACCATCTAATGAGCTTGAGGAGTCATTAAGAGACAGTGCTATTGCAGACTACAACAATGGTCCCAAGAAAATGACTTTATTAAAAAGACCATCAAAAGATAGTTCTGGAAATCGTAAGAACTCAAATGCATCTGCAGATTTGTTAAGGTTGCTTGTTAAGCAACCCAATCCCTGCACACCCGAAACAAGTAAATCTTCACGAGAATTATTCACTGATACAGTATCTCCACCTATTATGGAGGAATCAAATAAAGGAAATGATATTTTGGCCGTTTTAAGAGGCAAACAAAGTTCCCAGCAAGTGACCTCGGGTGGATCTAGTCCAATTACAAGTCAAATTGTGGAACCAGGTAGTGCAAATATTCAACTGGGTATATCAAATGACTTTGAAACTTTTGAAAACTTCGAGGATTTTGAAGATTTTGAAGATGTTGAAGATTTTGACGATAATGGTCGAGACTCTAGACACTACAGAAACTTTGATATAGCAAGTGACGATGAAGATCTTGATCGATTAATCGATGATAAGCTCAACCTTGAGCGAAGAGGGAAACTTCCCTCAAAACAAAAAGTGAGAATCTTAAGACAAGGGGAACTGTTGAAAGATTTAATCAGTACTCCAAGTAAAACTGCCTCTTCAGAACCACCAAAGGAAGCTAAGAATAGTACTAGCCTACTTCACCTTTTGAATGGTGGGGATACAAATTCAGCTGGAAATCCATTATTGGATGCCTTGTATAACAAGAAGGATATAAGTCACGACAATAGTCACGATGAGGGTAAACAAAGCACCCCATCTTCCAACCAAAACCAACGCAATAATGTTGCGTCTGCCAATTTATTAAGTTTGTTAGGTAAAAAGCCACCAACACCTAAACCGAAAATCCTTACATTGGATGAGCTTGAAGGCAACCAACAAATTCCAACGCCAAATATGAATCAGTTTGGAGGAGGTGCCAACATTACAAATTCAAAGGATATTTTGGGACTTCTTAAAAATGGACATTAATATAAACTATTGGGTACATAGACCAAAATATTCGTTTGCTGTTTGAGGTTTCTTTTTCATCACTTTCTTTGACTTCCCTATTTTATGACGAAATTGGTGCAATTTTGGTTTGGAACTGTCACCGCGAAGTTGTTCATTCAAATAAGCGAAGGGTGTACCATTTCTTGAAGTTGACATTGAGCTGTTGAGTCGAAACTGCCAGCTCTTTTGAAAACTAGCAGAAGTATCATTTTCAACAGAAGCACTCTCTTTGAATATAATAATGTCAAGAACGATATTATTATTTTTGGTTTTGAATAATTCTGGATAATGTTTAGCAAGTGAATTTGAAGCAAACGCAAATGAACGATTAAGTTTGTTGTATGCACTTGAGGATTTTTCTAAGCAGTTCCACTTTGTTCCTAAAACGTACAGCTTATCCAGGCTATAGCGGGTATGAAATGGCTCTAAAGGTAAGCCATAGTCGCTTTCAATATATTTTATGTTGGAATGTGGATTTCTAACAAGAGTTTCAACTCCTTGAAGTGTGACATTCGGACAGTTAACGATCTTTAATATTTGAAGGTTAGGAAGGATTTCAGCTTTGGATATTATTCTCAATATGTTATCGTTAACATGAACTTGGTTGGAAAGATCCAAAGCCCATAAATTGTTGATTTTCAATAGGCTCAAGAAGGAAAAATTGCTTAAAGTTGAAAAACATTGAGAAAGGTCTAATATTATTCTCATGGAATTATTCAGTTGATTTAAATGGTTACTTAATAATTGATAATCTATGTTGGAATGTATATTCTCTATTCGATGTTTATAGGAGAATCCAGTAATACAAGCATTTAAAGCACATTGACGTAAATTCCAAAATGAATTGGTTTTAATACTAGATGTTCGACGGTGACAATGGAAATCGTTATTCATACCAAATATAGAATTGAATATCAGAAATACATAAAAGGAATCCGTTTGTAATTCAAGTATTCGATTCCATATTAGCTTCCCACAGTGATTCCAGTTCAATAGCAGTAGATGATCCATAGTGAGTTTCTCAGATTCTAAAGCAATCTGATCCACACAAAGCAGTTTTAAACTACTGATAGTCTTAGGTTTGGGTATTGCTGCTTTGGAAATACTATTAGCATTCATTAAATACCAAGGATATATCATACATCCTTCCGAATCACTATATAAGACATTCGATGTTGAAGCATCAAGTACATGATAGGATGCTGTTGCTTTACTTTCAGATTGTTTCATCTTATGGTTTATTCTCTTGAACGTTCGTCGCAGAGACCGGTATCGTCTATGATGTCTTGCCATAATGAAAGAGCTTTATAGTTTACTCAATGATATAAGGATGTTAGAATTAGAATTGTGTGATTCCAACATTTAGATATGTCCTTGATTAAATAGTTTACATATTATCTTTTGTTAATTGGTAGCGCTATAGAGAGGAAACCAGATCTTTTAATCCAAATTTGATGCGATGACCTTTAGAGTCATTAATTAATATCAAGCACTGTTGCACTTAACTAAATAGTAAACTTATATCATGAAGTTGGATGCATCCCATATGCGGTATTTAACCGCAGATGATTTTAAAGTTCTTCAAGCATTAGAGCAAGGATCTAGAAATCATGAATTAGTCCCTACACAAATGATTCACGCATTAGGAGGAATGAAATCACCTACAGGTACCAATCGATCTATTGGAGATTTAGCCAAGCTTAAGTTAGTTTCAAGATTAAGAAATGCCAAATATGATGGTTTTAGGTTAACATATTCAGGATTTGATTTCTTAGCCTTGAAGTCTCTCTTCAATAGGGAAAGTATTTATTCAGTGGGGTCTCAAATAGGTGTTGGTAAAGAATCAGACATTTATTCTGTTAGTGATAACGATGGTCAACAAAAGGTATTGAAGATTCATAGACTTGGTAGAACCTCATTTAAGACTGTAAAGAATAACAGAGATTATTTAAAGAATAGACTGACATCTAGTTGGATGTTTTTGTCTAAATTAGCTGCCAAAAAGGAATATGAATTCATGTGTATTCTACATGAAAATGGATTCACTGTTCCAATACCTTATGATTATTCCAGGCACACAGTTTTAATGGAATGGATTAGAGGAATACCTATGAAACATCTTAGGCAACATGAAAACTATAGGAAACTTTATTCAGAATTAATGCAATTTATTGTCAAGTTAGCTAATCATGGATTAATTCATTGTGATTTCAATGAATTTAATATAATAATAAGAGACTCAGAAGATGCTAAAGATCATGAATTTGATTTCGTGGTGATTGATTTCCCTCAATGTGTTTCCATAGACCATAAGGACGCCAAGTTCTATTTTGATAGAGATGTTCAAGGAATTAGAGCATTCTTTGAAAAGAAGTTCCGTTATGCTCCTCAACATGATCCTACTATGTTTGACACAGAAGGCTATGGAGAGGGATACAAATATGCATACCCTAATTTCAAAAGAGATGTCAGTAGAATAAAAGAGTTGGATGTTGAAGTAAAAGCATCTGGTTTTGCTAAAGCTGTTAAAGGTAATAGAGAAGATAAAGAATTTGAAAATGCCGTAAAGGGAATGAGAGCTCAAGAAATAGATGAGGATGAAGAAGATGACGCATCTGAAATTGAATCTGATTACGAAATTTTCGAAGATGACGAAGAAGATGATGAAGATTATCTTTTGGAAGATGAGGAAGAAGATGAACAGGAGGAGAAGAATTATGATGAAGAAAATGAAAAGATTATTGAAGCATTATCATCTGGTGTGACCAACATGAAGATGGATAAGTTAGGTAATTATATTCTCGAAGATAATTAGTGCTATTTACAAATAGTAACAATTGGACTACAATAATCATTTTTACACGTATAATTCAGTTTATTTCAGTATACTTGATTAAACCCCGTAATAATTAAAGAAGATATGACAAATTTTTATACAGACATAGCCTTAACCACTTTGATTAAATGCTATCTTAACGGGTGGCCATACCCTTGGTGACGGCTCTCTTCAAAGCCAATTCAGCCTTTCTGAAGTCATCAGCAGAAGAGTCTTCAATTTCCAAAGCTTGCAAAGCATCAGACAAAGCAGTTTCAATCTTCTCCTTAGCAGACTTCTTCAACTTAGCAGACAAGACTGGGTCGGTGACAGTAGATTCGACAGAAGCAACGTAAGCTTCCAACTTTTGCTTTTGTTCGTGTCTCTTGGCGAAAGCGTCATCGGAGCTCTTGAACTTTTCAGCATCGTTGATCATCTTTTCAATTTCATCAGAAGTCAATCTACCGATAGAGTTAGAAATGGTGATGTTAGCAGACTTACCAGTAGACTTTTCAACAGCAGTAACCTTCAAGATACCGTTAGCGTCAACTTCAAAGATGGCTTCCAATTCAGGTTCACCAGCAGACATTGGTGGGATTCCCTTCAAGTCGAATTCACCCAACAAGGTGTTTTCAGAACAGTTGACTCTTTCACCTTGGTAAACTGGGAATTGAACAGTGGTTTGGTGGTCAGCAACAGTGGTGAAAGTTCTTCTCTTGATGGTAGGAACAGTGGTGTTTCTTGGGACGACAGGAGCAAAAACGTTACCTTGCATAGCAACACCCAAAGACAATGGGATAACATCCAACAACAACAAGTCCTTGGTGTCTTCAGAAGTAGATTGACCAGTCAAAATAGCACCTTGAACAGCAGCACCATAAGCAACAGCTTCATCAGGGTTAATAGACTTTTCCAATTGCTTACCGTCAAAGAAGTCAGACAACAACTTTTGGACCTTTGGAATTCTGGTGGAACCACCAACCAAGACAACTTCGTCAACGTTGGCCTTGTTGATCTTAGCATCCTTCAAGACTTGTTCAACAGGGTCCAAGGTGGACTTGAACAAAGCAGAGTTGATGTCTTCAAATCTAGCTCTGGTCAAGTTAGCAGAGAAGTCTTCACCTTCAAACAAAGAGTCAACTTCAACAGTGGTTTGAGTAACGGAAGACAAAGTTCTCTTAGCTCTTTCACAGGCAGTTCTCAATCTTCTCAAAGCTCTGGCATCACCGGAGATGTCCAAACCAGTCTTCTTTTTGAAGTCATTCTTGAAGAAGTCCAACAAGTTAGTATCAAAATCTTGACCACCCAAGTGAGTGTCACCAGCAGTAGCCTTAACGGTGAAGACACCACCTTCAATGCTTAACAAAGAAACATCGAAAGTACCACCACCCAAATCGAAAATCAAAACGTGCTTTTCCTTTTCAGACTTACCAGCACCTAAACCGTAAGCAATAGCAGCGGCAGTTGGTTCGTTGATAATTCTCAAAACGTTCAAACCAGCAATGGCACCAGCATCCTTGGTAGCTTGTCTTTGAGCGTCATTGAAGTAAGCTGGGACAGTAATAACAGCCTTTTCAACAGCCTTACCAATCTTAGCTTCAGCAATTTCCTTCATCTTGGTCAAAACCATGGAGGAGATTTCTTGAGGAGAGAAGGTCTTGGTTTCTTCCAAGTATTCAACCTCAATCTTTGGGTTGCCGTTGTCATTGACAACCTTGAATGGCCAGGTCTTGATATCCTTTTGGACGGATTCGTCTTCAAAAGCACGACCAATCAAACGCTTAGCATCGAAAACAGTGTTCTTTGGGTTCAAGGCAGCTTGGTTCTTGGCGGCATCACCAATCAATCTTTCTTCAGAGTTGAAAGCAACGAAAGATGGAGTAACTCTGTTACCTTGTTCGTTAGCAATAATTTCAACTGCAGAGTCGTAAGTAGCGACACAAGAGTAGGTGGTACCCAAATCGATACCAATAGCACCTGGGAAAACACCGTCAGCCATGATGATTATTGAAAAGTGATGTGATTAGAATCAAAAGGTAAAAAGAAAGAAAAGAGGATTCTTCAATACTAAATACTGACTTGGAGAAAATTTTTCAAAATAGGCTCCTCACTCAAGCAGAGATTCTTCCCATCGCATTCTGCAGAGAGAGTGAAAAATGTGAAAAAAAAAAATTCATTGTGTCCCAAAAAAGGCCCCCTTTCTTAGCCAAGTTAATGCTGAAAATTTCGTACCGTGCTCACAAATACGCAGTTACCCGGATGTTCCCTCAATGGGTAACTTAAACTCAAGATGAAATGTTATGCTGATTTGATGCTTGGAGCATTACATTATCAATTAACTTTGATCAATTTACGCTAACTCTGGTAGCATTCAACTGGTGCAATTTTGAGGTTGTCACTTCTCGATGGTACAATACACTGAGAATTGATTAAAGTTGATTCAATTTAAAATGGCTTGTAGACTTCAATTCAGCACTCCGAAGTTCAAGATGACTTCCGTCTTACAAGGGAGATTGAGCGCTCCATCCTTGTTTTTAGGATTGGTAGCATAAAGTATTGCTAAATGATCTATCATACACCGTTTACCACTATAGAAGTGAAAGTTGGCTGCAAAGAATAAGACACTAGAAAGCAAATCCTTTATGGTAGATTTCTATTGTAGGAAAGGCATCAATTGCTTCTGGTATCTAAAACCCATGGATTACATTTGAAATGATCTCTTTATATATGGATGATTACACCGTCTACCATGGTTTCCTTGGCCATCCTTCAAGGGTCACCGATTTGAATGGACCTTGAATTGGAACTAGAAGCTTTCACATCGTCTTTTGCTTGGTTTTGTTTCCAGAGTTCGTATACTTTGATTTGGCTTATAAATATTGAAGACAGTATTCAAGTTACAAATGGCTCCTTTTTATGCTCTTTTCTTTGATTCTACAAATGATAGCGATACTATTGCTTAAATGTGTCGTGTACAAAATAAGTACTGCCATTGATCAAATCAACATTCGCTATGGAGTTTATTATTCGAACGATTCAATATTGGCCAATTGTTGTAAAAACTTATTTGAAAGCTATAACAAAAAGTCTATTACTGGTATTAAAAACTTAATATTGGAATATATAAATATTGTAGATTCATTCATTCCCGGACACCATCAAAATATGTAGCCTTATAGTAGTCACGGGTTGCCTGGTAAAGAAATCTATATTGATGAACCGTTTGTACCATCATCATTCTATTATTACGAAGCTGATCAACCAAATCGAATATAGGATCATAATGATGTTCTCCATCCTGTTTCAAACCTATTTGATGAAAGTTCTGTAAATTCAATAGAGTATCAAGCACAATAAATGTACCAGTACGACCAACTCCAGCAGAACAATGTACAATAGGAATTGGATCAGTTCCACGAGTATTCGTAGCCTGTAATTGGGAAATAACTTTGGAAATCTCAAGCAAAGGCGCCAGAGAAGGAGGCACCCTCGTATCTGCCCATCCTTCATAGTATATATGGTACACAGTCTTGAGTTTGGTACCTTGCCGTAGTTCTAATACTGTACAATGAAATTGGCCCGTGTGATTATATTCCGTACGAATACGCTTTAAAGACAACAGTTGAAGAACGGATCCATCTGCCTTCAATGACTCTGAAAAGTCATACTCTGATCCATCAATTTCGGGCCAATAACATGAACACTTGATCATATTACTCTCCACAGTTGGTGTCAACATAGCTATAATCACCACATCATTTCCTTGCTTTTCGCTCTCATTATAGCACATAGCCCAAAAATGATGAACAGTGTTATTTAAAGGCCCTTGAGTAGCAATATATCTTGTCTCAACCTTCTCAGACTCGGGGAGTCGAATGCTGACATATGACGCGTTGATGTAGTCAGAGTGACCATCCAGGATTGGCAAGGATACTCTGGTTCTATCATAGGGAAACACATTGGAATATCTATTTCTCCCTCGTGCAACTTCAGTATGCGCATGTTCTGATGCCCATTGTGATGTCTTGGGATGACTTCGACCATGGTTCAAATGATTGTGTTCCAATTGTGAGAGCATCTCAAATTTGACCTGTTGGCTATTCAAACTTGTTCCCAAGTATTTAGGAACTGACATACTGCGAAACAACAAGTTAATGATGGTTGATTTTGATTGCTTAGCCGTTACTAGGCGACGATATCCAACTCTTGCAGCTCTAATTACTATTTGTAAGTGAGAACGTTCAGGATCAAGCTCATCCTTATCCGATTTCTTACGCCGTTTTTGTGGGGGGACAACCCAATTCCAACAATACAGGACTTGAACTGTACGCAAACTTATTACTGGAACCATAAGTATAACAAGTTAACTTAAGTACAATTAAAGGGCACCTAGCTTTTTCAATACCAGAGTCATTAGTTCAACATAGTAGAAAGCTCTTAAGTATAATGTGATAATTAATCACCTCATATATATGATCTGCCCATTATCTTAGTGGACTTTGTATGTGGCACAATACATGACCTCTACTAACCAAAATGCGTGCCCTGATCATGGGAAGCTCGGAAGGAACACTTGGTGGTGAACAAACGCTGCTAATTTTGTAACCCCAAAGGGTTCTTAGCATTGTCTTTTCTGGGTACACTACTATTGCCTCTTTGATATTATCTCTAATATTGCAGCAATTTAGATGTAATACAATACCACCCCCTCCAGAATATAATACTTGATCGTAAACTTATATTTTACATAATTAATAAATAACTTAGTAACCATACTTAATCATATCATTACTCCTTCAATGAAGAAAGTTCAATTGGTTCACCTGCAATAACAACTTCATCATAGATTAAAGTCGTCAAGAACTCACTCAAAGTAACACCAGTTATTTCAGGCTCCAAATACTTTGCAGCAATGGCAAACTTATTACCAATATTGTTATCTAATTTCTTGACTTCTTCTGCTAAAATTGATGATACCAAGTCAGGTGTAATAGCTTTGCCGGTGTCTTTCAAAATAACGCCATGCTTAACCCATGAATGCAATTGTAATCTAGAAACTTCTGCAGTAGCTGCATCTTCCATTAAATTATTAATTGGAACACAACCATAACCTCTCAACCAAGCTTCCATATAACATAATGCAATGTATAAGTTTTCCCTGATCCCTTCAGAAGTAATGAAGCTATCGTCAATAGTGGTGTCACACAAGTCCTTCTCAGAAACATTAGCCTCTGGTGTGATATGGATCTGGTTGGGAGTTGGCATGTACTCATCAAATACACCATTAGCAATAGGTGCCAAGGCTGGATGAGCAACCCAAGTACCGTCATAGTACATTGTTGCCTCTCTCAATTTATCGGCTTTAACTTTTGCCATAGCCATATCATTCTTTTCTTTATCGTTTTTGATGGGAATCTGTGCAGCCATTCCACCCATAGCGTGGACTTGTCTTCTATGACAAATATTAATTAAACGCTTACAATAGGAAGACATGAATGGTACAGTCATAGTCACTTGACCTCTGTTTGGTAACACCTTGGAGGGATCATTAATTAACCTCTTGATAGTTGAGAAAATATAATCCCATCTTCCACAATTCAAACCAGCCAGATGGTGTCTTAATTGATAGATGATTTCTTCCATTTGGTACGCAGCAGGTAAGGTTTCAATTAATACAGTGGCTCTGATTGTCCCTCGGGGAATGAATAAAGTATCTTGGGCAACGTTGAAAACATCATTCCATAACTTAGCTTCTAAATGATGCTCCATCTTAGGCAAGTAGAAATATGGACCAAACCCATTGGTGATCAATTGCTTAGTATTATGAAAGAAGAATAAACCAAAATCAAAAAGGGAGGCACTGATTGGTTCACCATCAACAAGAACATGCTTTTCAACCATATGCCAACCTCTGGGCCTAACTAAAAGTACTGGGGCTGTCTTGGATTTATCAACTTTGTAAAGCTTGCCGTTGTCAGGATTCTCAAAATCAATTTGTCCTCTAATAACATCATATAAGTTCACTTGCCCATCTATAACATTTGCCCATGTAGGAGACGTACTGTCTTCAAAATCAGTCATATAAGTCTTCACTGGAGTGTTCATGGCGTTAACGACCATCTTACGTTCCGGTGGGCCAGTAATTTCGGATCTTCTATCTGCCAATCCAATACCAGGGAAAGCACCTGTCCATGTTGGGTCATTTCTAATCTTGACAAGTTCTTCATCATCAAGGAATGTTAATGATTTACCTTTTGATAATTCTGCTTGAACTTTTTGTCGATTTTCAAGTAATTGCTTTCTAGTAGAATTGAAGGAACGGTGCAATAAAGAAACAAATTTCAAAGCACTTTTAGTTAAGATATCACCTTGAGTTGTGGAAGCAGAGCCTTCATATTGAGGTGTAGTTTTAATTGGAGCGAGTACTTGGACTCCTTCTAATGTTGAATAAACCATGGTTGCAAAGAACTGTTATGGTAAAGATTAAAGTTTTGGTTGAAATTCAAGTGAATATTAGAACTACATTGCTATTTATATAGCATAGTCCAAAATCCCTGACACAACCATGTTGCCCGGAGTAACGAGTCACACGGATGGTGCTATGTTCGAATTAAAGACTGCGAGTCATCGTCCTGATAACAAAGGGTAGTATTTCACTAAATGGCACATAAATGTGAATGGATAAGTGGATACTTTAACTCCGAGGGCTGAACCGGGGAAGGGTCGAAGTCAATACTGAATTTGACTTCTTCTACCACCTTTCAGTTAAGCCCCAAAGTTGTACATTGTAATTGATAGTTATGCTCTTGCACGTAATACGTGAGCGTGCTCAATTTTCTCCTATGACCTAACTACATTACATCATTATGGGCTAATTTGGAAGAGAGAGAATTTTCAACGACTGATGTTAGTCTACGATTACAGTGTGACATTATGAAGGCACTTTTCAGTGGGTTCGAAAATCGCAGGAGTTTAGCGCTCCATGCCATTTCGGACATAGGAGGTGCGGCACCTGCATATAATTATCCGACTCCGTTATCGGAGCCTCTCCGAAATAAACAACAATCTGACTCAGCAAACTATTAGTCCAGTTTTACCAAGTGGGTATGGCTAACGATTTGGTATAAGATACTATATCCTAAGCTTCTTATTATTTCTTATAAAAGAATCTAGATTAATATTAGTTGTTGACAGTGATACCTTTAAGGAATCCGAATTCCCTGAGTGGGGCCATTTGCTCCTCTTGGGGGTTACTACCAATAGGTTGCGATTGTGCTTAACTCCCTAAATGCTAGATTTGATTTACACAAAACCTCTGATAAGCTGAATCGGGACTGATCAATTAGTACCAACAGCTCCGTGTTCCCGGCGAACACCGATTTCACACAAACACCGAAGAAGTCAAAACTGAAGCGTCATACGTCGGATCAATGGAGGTCGGAAGTCAATTCAAATGAGCCAGGATGGTATAATAAAAGAATAGTCATTATATTTACAACCTACAAAGGCTTACTAAGTACACCAGCTTTCAATCTCGAATCAATGGTAGCGTCATCATCTGTTAATACACCAGCAATTTTCAAAGTATCAGCTGTTTTTTCCACCACTTTAACCCAATCAATTGGAACTTGACCCAATTGATCATTAAATTCAACTGTTTTCAACCAAGATTGTGCATCTTCTTCGCTGTAATCTAAATTGTCACTGATCCATTTAGTAGCCTTCTCTGGATTTTCTAAGAAATGGTGTATACCTTGATTAACCGAAACAAGGAAATTCTTAATGTCATTAGTTTTACTTTTTAAAGTTTCCTGATTAACAGTAATCACCCACGATGGCCATGGAGTATATATTTCACCTATTTTCTTGATCTCTCCGTTGTCATAATACTTTTTGGAAGTGAAATGTTCCCACATAAATGCATCACTATACAATGAAACATCCTCTGTTTTGTGATTAACAGATTCACGTAAGGTTTTGAAGTTGGAACAAACTTTAAAATCATTGAAGTAAGGTTCTTGGAAATTCAATTGAAGTCCTAAAACATATGACATGATATAAGAACCACTACCAATTCTGGAAACACCAATTGTCTTACCTTGTAAATCATCTGGCTTTTGAATATCGTTCCTGGGATTACCAGAACTAATTGCCCAACATAATGGCGACTTCACATATGTGTCTACTATTTGATAAGCACCATTCCCTTTAGCAACATCGGCTATAAAACCTTCAGTTAATCCAATGGCTATGTCCACTTCTTTACTGCTTACTAGTTTGATCAAACGACCAGTGCCTTCTGGTACCGGCACAAATTCAACACTGATGTTCTTAGCAGCAAAGTACTTCTCATCATTAGCAAAGAATAACGGAGTAGAGAAGTGTTCTGGGACGTAAGCAACTTTAAGGTTAGCCATTTTGATGAAAGCAAAGGAGCTCAATGTCTTTCCATGTTTAAATGAAAGCTACAAGGGACTGAAAAAAATATATCTGTGAACTTCATATACAGGCCAACTGTGTGTAATCGTTTAAACCTAGAATATATAGATCAACTGGAGACTTAAGCATTAATCAAACTGTTTGAAAAAGGAATACACTACTTAGAATGTACGGCAAAGTATGGAAATCTTGTACCAAAGATAGCTGAAAAATCTTAGAGTGAAATAGAAATAATATGTTAATACACCCAACACTCGTTATGGAATTATATAAGCTCAGAAGAAATCATTTTATATCAAATGATGATCATCATTTTACAAATTCTTCCTTCGCTAGTACACCATTAATCCAATAATAAAAAGAAAAAGAATCGACAAAAAAGCATTATTATTCACTAATATTAACAGCATCCAGAAGTGGCGTTATTGAAGTTACCTCCTCCACTCAAATCAATTCTTCCCTCTCCAGAGGTTTGATTGGTTGCTGTATCTGAACCAGAAGCTGTTGCTTCAGGAATCTTATTACCTATAGCCACAAACACATCTTTAACATTATATCCTGTCTTAGCACTAGTTTCAAAAAATAGCAAACCTTCTTCATCAGCCAAGTTCTGACCCTCTTCAACGTTAACTTTTCTTACCAGATCTTCTTCGTTGTCATCTTCCACCAAATCATATTTGTTTCCCACTAATGCTATGGTAATATCCTTTGAAGCTTGTTCACGCAACTCTTTTACCCACTGTCTAGCTTTCACAAACGAAGCAGGCTTGGTAACATCATAAACCACTAATGCAGCTTGAGCATTACGATAGTACATGGGTGCTAATGAAGCAAACCGTTCTTGACCTGCTGTGTCCCAAATTTCATACTTGATAGCTCTATCACCTATAGTCAACTTTTGAGTTAAAAAAGCTGCACCAATAGTTGGTTCCTTATTTTCTTGGAATTCATTACTGACAAATCGTAATACTAATGAAGACTTACCAACCGCTGCTTCTCCAAGAAGAACCAACTTAACTGAAGTGACCGGATTTGGGAAACTCATTTTGTATCAATTGCTCTACCTATTTTCTTTAATTTGAAAGTGTGTCAAAAAATCACTGTATATTTCTGATAATCTATGGATATGTGCTATTATACCACTTTGCGACTAGTGTAATATTTGCCAAATGTCCGTCTGTTAAGACTCTTAATTTGCCTTTAAGCAAAGTAGCGAATATATGTAACAATGATTTAGGGGGAGACTTCTGATCATAATCATGAATTACCAAGGTAGCGCATTCTCATTGTGCCTCGTTAAGCAAATTGAATGTGTGTAGTGCACGTTCCGAAACTAAAGGTCATCCAGTGGATGCAACGGCGTAGATGATCATTTCAACGGATAGCTATACATTGTAGCTGGCTTAAGGTTACTGTTCTGTGTTTCAACAGTGTTAGACGTTACTTTGTTAATGTACAATCTTCTCTAGACATGTGAAGATCAGGATATCATTACTAGGCTCTACCGAAGAACCTCGATGAATAATCTCAAATTAAGAATTATATGCGGGAGTTCAGTTCATGGTATACGATGTCAGACAATACGGTTTACTCGTGGTATACTATGAGAGTCTGCCTTTTATTATATCATTTGTAGATATACGGATATCCAAGTACAAATATTCAAGGCTGGATGAACAGTTCGATCATTCAATTAATCAATTGCTCTTAACTTCAAACTCACTACAATTAACTCTTTTTGCACACCCAGAACTCACTCCCATACACGAACCCCCCCAAAGCACGTACATCAGTAGCATAATTAGACTCAATATCACTTTGATGGCTCTCAAACTCAAAACCCATATTTTTAATTAAGTCAACTAAATCTTCTCGAGATAACTCTAATCCATTTAACAGCGATTGAATTGTACGAGTGTTCTCATTAGGCCCATCTTGAACGTGTAAATGAGTAATCGTCAAATCATCTTCGAAATGCCACAATAACGGTCCAAAGTTGATCCAACGACCTCCAGACTTCAAGCAATGTCGTATAGCTCTAATATATTCAATGATATTAGATGCTGTGTCGAGAAAAAAGCATGTGACAACAACGTCATATGCTTCCTTATTCAGTGACCTAAATTCAGTAGCTTGAGCATCGTGATTGACTTCTTCTACATGTCCTTGAGCATCAGCTTCTCCATACAAATCAACAAACGATCCAGCTGTCATAGACATCAAATCGCCATAGGGAATATGTGGATTTTCAGTACTCAAGTTATATATATCCATGGGATTTGAATCAGGTATGGTTATTGGTCTCAATTGGTTATTTCTCTTGGCCAAATGTGATGATTTATGAAGAAATGGAAATATAGAATAACTATTGGCATACTTGCAATAATTAAGAATGAAATTGGAAGTTAAAAGCATGTGATAACTAATCTCATTGCCTTGAGTCCAAAAGCCTTTCTTCACTAAATCTAAAACTAATCTTCCTAAACCGCAACCCGGAACTAATATTTTAACCTCTGGTCTAGATTCTAATGAAGGATAAAGACCTTCTAGAGTTTCAATTATTCTGCCAAAAGTTTGTTGTCTTTCTTTTTCACCATCTGTACTCCATTCTCTTGTTAATTGTAGAAGAGTTACTCTCACTTTATCATATTCAACTTCTGTGGCTGGAGACCATAAGCTGGGATCAGATGGCATTCCCCATTGTTCGGCTACCTTAGTAGCAAGCTCTTTGGTGAATTGATCGTTCATTCCAATGCAAAGATCCAAATCAGAGATATATTTCGGAAACCAAGGAAGCAATTTCTGGTCACTCTTTGATAAACCTTGATACTTAATTTGACGATGCTTAACTACCCGGTCCCTTTCATATTCTATAAAGTTATAGAAGGCCAGAAGTGTACCCAGTAATGCGTTATACTCGGCTTCATCCTCGGCACTCATGATTAGGGGGGTGAACTTGGCGACAAAATACTAGTAGAGTAACATGAAATAGTTTTTCGGGCGACTGCGAATTTTATGAAGTCGTTAAAATTATGGTCTCTGTTTAATACGTTTCATATTTATACTATTAATACAAGTGCACAATACACCGATTTACTATTACAAGAGGAAAGTAATAATGGAACCCCTCAAAATTTCAAACAGGAAGCGAAAGAATGTTTTCTTGGGTACCTGCCCACCTAATTTGTAAGATTCTTGTCAAAAAATTAAACAAGATAAACATACAAACAACAAAATCGTAAGCCTATGATTTGCCAACATGGTCTTCTGGTAAGAACCCATTGGGCATTAAGCCTGTAAAATCTAGATTGTCCTGCCTAATTTCTTCATCTTCAGAAATCTCTGATATTCCTCCAAAGGATCGAGGATAATTATAGCTTCTAATTAATGTGTGAGCAAAAGATTTCATGTATATCTCTTTCAAACCTAGACTGTCCACAAAGTACTTTCGAGTTTGACTCAATGAAGTTATAGATTCTCTCCAAACACGAATATCACCCTCAATATGGAAGGCAACGTCATTATTCACTTGTAACCCATATATCAAAGCAATACGCTTATCAAAGAACTTATTTACCCGAAGCAAATAACCTGAAATCTGCTTAAGCTGTAAAATATCATTCAATTGAAGAATAACACCAGAACTAAGCTCAACAGGTTCTGTGGGCATATTCTTATAGATATCATAATCGAAATCATGTTCGTTGACCTCTAAAATCAATGGTGAACCAAAATCTTGAATGAAGAAAAATCTGACTTGAGGAAACATATTGTTTAAGATCCGTTTGAGTGCCATGAAAAAGAGATAGAGTACCTGCTCGATCATGTCTTCACTTTGCGTGTTGTATGAGACAAATTTGGAAGGGAATAATCTAGTCCATTTATGGAGCATGTCTAGTAGAAGATCCTGTTGTGTTGCAAGGTTGTCAACCTCGTTAATTAAAATTGGAATATGTTTCAGACAAATTTGATCCAAAAAGGCAGTAAAATCATCTAGAATATCACTCATGCTTGAAAGAGAGGAATCTCCAATTAAAGATCTGAAAAGATATAACTGTTCCTGGAATTCTTTTAGGAAAGTGGGGTCATATGAAGGGTAATACGCCGACTTCAGCAAATTCTTCAACATGAATAAATGAATTAATGGGATATTCTCTTGTACTGATAGATTCCGACACTTACTCATCACGCTATTGTAAGTGTGCGTTAACACAGAGAAAAGGCCATCTCTGAAACAAATCATTGAGTTCTTCGTAGCCTCTGGGTCATAAATTGACATGATACTTAAAACATATGACACACGGGAACACATATCAGCAGCTGTATTATTATTTAAGTTTCGTCTTAAGGTTCGGATAACACGGGCATAATGTTTAATAGACAAAACCACGAGCTTATCTAAAGTCTTTTCTCTCTCGACTGGGGACAACCGTACTAATGCTTTCTTGCTTTTAAGGGGATTAGATAGTAAGTAGTTGGTAGTCAAGTTCAATAAACAGGAAAACATCATTTTTGACAGAAAAGCAAGCTGAATAAAAGTCTTGACCCATGCACGGTATATTCTTCGGACAGTATAAAGGTTACCTGCGCCCAACTGTAATTTCACAATTTTTTCCTTTAAAGAGTTTTGGTAATCCTTCACGTCTGCCTGAATGTTCTTGAAAGTAGTAACACTTCTGATTGCGTTCGGTAATGGAGGCGGAGGAAACCCCAAGATAGTTGGTGACGATAGAGATGAACGTCCCAGTGACAGACTACCGGAGAAAGCCACGGTTGTAGTCCTTTCGACTATTCTCTCATTGTTGGAATCTTGTTGTTGAATAGAATAAACGGGATAGATGATAGCATCAGATGTTGTAGAAGAATGTGCAAGCAAATTATCGAAATCCGTAGTGATCATTTGTTGAACAAGTTGTTCCTGAACAAGAGTCGTACCTGTAGCTGTGAAGATCTCTTGATTTCCATTTGCATATTGTGAAGGATTTATGGTATTGACAACTGTAGGAGAAGAAGCAGCGCTATAAGGAGATGTGTACAGCGGATGGTCCCCAATTTGTTGAGATTGCCCAGCAATAATATTGACACTTTCAGGGGTGTATGAGACTGCTTTGGGAAACGGTATTGCTCCTTGGTGTACTAAAGAATCAGGAATAGTAAACTGAGTCACAGTAGGACTAACATGTGCAGAGTTTATGGTCATGTGTTGCATTAATGAAGTCGAGGAATGATGTAGTTGCAGTTGTAACTCATTATTAGAAGGCAGATTATCTTGGAATAAGTGATCCAGATCATTAGGAGCAAAGACGGGTGTCTCGAATGGTTGTTGTAGATTACCGTTGTAATTTGTAGAATGCTGTATAATTTCATTTTCGGGTGACTCAACCAAATGAATTGATGTTGCCAATGCCTGTTTTCGAGGGCTGGGGTCTATCAGGGGAGATTCGGCTTTATTAATAGGTGTTTTTGATGTAATCGAATCCTTTTTAGCGTTAGTATTCCCATTAGAGGTAGAAGGGGATAACGAATTGTTCTCTTCCTTAAATTGTTGTTTTGCCATAATTAACTCTTGAATTTGCTCATCGGTATAGTCTAAGTAGCCACATTTGACTTTATGCTTTATACAATTTAGACATTGAGGTAGATCTTCTGAGCATTTGACCCTTCTTTTTTTGCAATTGGAGCATCCCAACTTTGAGTTCTTGTGTTTCCGTCGGTTTTGTCTCCGATGATTTCTTGCCGATGAAACAGAGGTCGATGAAGAGGAACCCAGAGTTGTGAAAATCAGGGACCCATTTCGGTCATTGAAAGATGGCACTGATGATAAAGTCTGATGCAATGGGCCGGACAGTAGCTGAGTAGAAGTTATCTTGCTGTCATCCGGAGGGGGCATTTTCTCATTATCCTCTTCTCGTTGAAAGATGTCCTTTATTGGTCTTGAATCGTTTTGAAATGCAAGAATATAATATCCTGAACGCTAATGAAAATGAAATCCCCAGCAGTTAGAGGCTTTACAACACAACTGAAACCACAATTGTTGCACTGAAAACCCTTGGCTAAAATAAAAAAAACTAATGAATAGGAAAGATGAGACTGTACTTTGGGGATCAAGTGACAATAGCTGTGTTCAAGTTTCTTGTCATAAATCAAAGCCCCAGAGGCGATTCAAAATTCAAGGCTAGTTAATGTAATATACTCCGGTGTTGTAGGGAGAGATAGAGAAGAAGAGGTGTGGGTAGTTGTAGCAAAAAAGATACACACAATCAAAACAAATATTCTTTCTCTTGGAAATTGTGTATCAGAATTCAATCGATCAATAAAAACAAGGTCTCACTAAAAGCACTTTGTCACAGCAACAGACCTCTCCCACAGAATAATATTAGTGCGCTATTGATCTAAGGCAATGGATGTAACTTATCTGAAGGATGGCAAATCATTTACTAAATATATCCCTACAAAAAAAAAAGCAAGCGGAGTTAACTCAAACGGGAACCAGGCACAGATAGCCGATTGTTTTGTGGCCCAATCAGTTTGAAGCTCGTCTGTCTAAGTTTGAAGTGGGTGCATACTTCTTTTGAATCAAGGTTAATTATCTCCGCGTTTCCTATTAACACCAACGATATTCTACAAATATCTACTACTCAGAAATGGGTGATCACCTTGAAACTGTAGACTTTGCTCCAGATTGTGCCCACCGTACATTTTTTTAATGCGTATGTGAGATGGCCTAAGTCCTTTATATAAATGCTCATGGGTAATACCTAGCGCGTCAACCGCAAGGGCAAACAAGATAATACAGATGGTACCTTGTGTTTGGTAGCCTTGTTAAGGTGTACGATATAACAATAGTACATGCATGTCATCTATGCTTGTAAGAACACGCCTTGAAATGCAAGTTCATTGAGGTTGGAAAAGCCCTTTTCTGTAGGATGCTGTGTCATGAACTTCAGTTCTGCAAAATATTGTCTTTGAAGGAACAATCTGGTTTGGGAAATAGATCGAACTATGGCATTGGGAAAAACATACAGTCAGATGTACATGACACTTTAAAGTAACTGTTTTTAGTAAACTTTGCTAAAAATTAAGTTAATTCATGACCCTTTGGATGTAAACACTTACGGCCCCTTTTCCTTGCGCCAGATATGTTCATTTCCTTACAAAAATGTAAAGTATTTCTTGCATTCTAAAGACTGAATTGTGCAGTTTCCCATCAAAAATTACGTAGAGAACAATAGCATTATAATTGCAAAGAAGCAAATTGCTTCCGCGGTCCAAAAAATATTTATGTCAATATTTTGAAAGAAAGTTAGAAAAGTTGACTATCGTTTCATAATTCCATAATAAGTAATCTCCACTAGGACCTATCACTGTGCTTCTGACGAAAACTTTAAGTTTCTGGGTTTTTTGAAATCTTCGTCTCAGCTATAAGGAACACCCCTCTAAGTTTCATGCACGGAGGTTTGATTCTCCTTTTGAGTACTTTAGATTTTCTTTTGCATTTAACTTTGCTTGACTGAATTTGTAGGTTTGTCCCATCCATTTTTTGGAATCACATCAATCTAGACCAATTCCATCTAGCTTTAACCTTAATAATATTCATAGATTGCCCTAATATTTATTGTTCGTTGCATTTTTAAAGTTTCTGCATGCTAACTTAAAGGCAAGTGAAGCTCAACAAGCCGATTGTTACGGCTGATATTCTCATAAGAGTTGACAAGAAGGTTGCGACAAAGCTATTTCCGTTGAGTCGAACCTGTGCAAAATAATATACTTTTCGTTGAGCAACTAAAAATTTAAATATATTGTATAGTATGTTCAAAGAACATTGTGTCACCGATCGAATAATTTTAAGGTAAGTAATTTATTAACTTGTACTTTTCAAAATTCACTCACATTAATATCAATCAATTTTCTTTTTCATAGCTATTTAGTAGAGCATAACATTGAACATGCACATATAATGATGGATGCTGTATGAATCGATTATTTTCTACGTGTGCGGATACTTTAGTTGCTTCCCTTTCGTGCCTGTTATGATTGTTTATGCGTGGAAATGGAAGGTCTAAAGGATTAGCTATACGCTTACACAAAGCTTAAGAGTTGTTTTCAAAGTTGATAGTACCTTTAGTATGCAGATCAGAAAACGGGGACAAAAGAGAAGGAAAAAGGCTCGGGCTTCTACACTTTTGAAAAGAACAAAGAATACGAAGCAATTTGAAACTCATGGAATAAGGATACTTCGATTCAATTTGTTCCTTGATATAATGAAAATAATATACCAAACTTTAGAAGGATTTCAGGAATTATTTTTATGCAGAGCTCAATTTTTCATGTATGATTAAGCAATCAAATGCATTATGTACAAGCAATAAAATTCTTAAGAACATATGCTGCACGTAAATGTTATTGTAGATTATCATCTCTACCGGAATGGAATGAAATTTTGAATCTTCTCCCGGCAGTACCTGATTTATTCTCCACTTTTTTTTAGGTCGAAGCGTTGATGCTACGATCTACCAATAGAATAACTGTAATCTTCAAACCTCATGAAATTTCATGTCAATAAATGGCTCATGTAGGTATTTTGATATTTGTAGCAAAGGAACATAATAAGTTGGAAATCTTATTTGTAACTAGTCTTTTGACGGAAATGAAGTTAGTTGGTGTGCAAGTGTTTTAAAAGTATACTTCATATCGAAATTCAAAGTGAATAGAGTCCCGAAGACTTTCCCAGACGCCATCTCAGTTTTGAATAGATTGTTAATAGTAGTTGTGTTGAACACACCGTCCCAAATTTAAGCAAGTGCAGCACCATGAAACCGCATATCTTTTCTGATGATTGATGTCATAGAAGAATACTGCTCAATCTTACAACCAGAATCCTTTATTACACGATATGCATTTGCATCTGCCCTTTGTAACTACTGGGAAGGAATCTCTGAAAGTGATTTCCTCAGTTCTAAATTTAGCATGAAATAGAAGCAGTTATTATCTATGATGGAGCAAGTAATCATGACTAGGAGCATGAAACCTCACTACAGATAACTACAATATACCTGTAGCTGCTCTATATTACCTAGTATAGGAAATCTCTCTGTACTAATTTTGTTTTTTCGTGTAGGTGGGGTATTTTGCATCCCATGTGTGACATCTCAGCACTTCCTCGACCACGTATTTGCTTTTATTCAATGTTTGAATTCGCCACCAAAACAGGAATGGAATTAATTCTTATCGTTTGCAGGTATGCAACGTATTATATGGTCTAAAAACACTACTGGTTTTGCTAAAGTTATTAACAATTTTTTACCGTACAATAATTTGATTTGAAAAAGTCTTATAGATAGTTGCTGTAGGTTCTGTTTTGGTCAGGTACGAGCTCACATAATGTAAAGGATATATACAGTAAAATTCCTCTCTTTATGCACAATTTGATTGGTATAGTTTTGCCGATCGAGATCGAACAAGAGCAAGCTCGTCAAAGATATTATGAACATCGATGATTCTGGTGATTTCTTCTTGAAATAATGAAACATTTTTTAATAAAAAAGAAGGGTCAAAGTCTTTCAGAGCAGAGTTTAGGTTCTGATTTAACATGGCTTTCTTTTCCTTGAATTTAATTTTCGCTACAAGAGGCTCACGACTAGTCTTCTTCAAAGCTCCTTCTTTCAACACATTTTCTGGTAACGGCAGTGATATCAAATCGGAATATAAGAATTCCTCATAATCTTTAAATAAATTTTGTTCCCAAATTTGAACATTTGACTTATCCAACAAGCAATCTAGAAAAACTGTGTCTTGAAGTGTGTACTGATCTATGACGTTTTTAAGTACTGAGCCGCTTGTATCTGGTCGTAGGCTTCTCGTAACATTCATAATTGAGTCTTTAGTCTGTAAAAGGGGAGCCTCTCCTCTATCTTTATGACCCGCACTATAATTTCTTTTCAGGAAATTCATTTGCAGCTTAGATGAACTTTGAGCAGAAGTAAGAGAGTTGAGATCTGGCTTTAGCATCAGGGTTTTAGTAAACTGACGTCTAAAAATTTCATAATGATGAGTATTATTAGAGTAGAATCCGTCATATTCTAGTCCAAGGATCATAAATTCATCCACGAATGGAAATGATTGTCGAATCATAAATGGCAAGTGTGGATAATTGAAAGACCGAATAGGACTTTTGAGAATTTCAACTATCATTACTTCATTCAAATTTAGTTGGGATATTGAGGGGTGTATGTTTTTTTCACCCTTGCCATCTTTGTAAGTTAGTGTAAGTAATAATAGTAATTGTTGCCGGTAATAGAAAAAAGTGGATGCCTTCCAACAATATTCTAAAGCATTTGCCATTACCAATTTAGTTTTAGAGAGTTTTGCAATGTCAATAACTTCTTGTCGGAAATACTCTTCAGCATTGATATTCTTTGTGTTTCCTTGTGGCATTACAATTATGGTGGGGAAAATAGCAGATAGAAAAATCATCAAGACGAAGTACATGGCTTGAATAATATTTTCTAAATCAAATCTCTTCTCGGGTATAAATATCGTTTCTGGTAAATGGCATTTGGAGGGACAGTTCAACCATAATTCTCTGATCTTGCTTGCATAAATTGGCATTTTAGGTGAATTTAATGGAATTGAGAGTTTATTCCTACTATCAGTTTCAATGGTCGAAAGAAGATTCGATAGGTATTCGTCCAACCATAAAAACAGGGTACGAATAGTTCTTTTTGCATTTGACATCAATGGCCTCAAAGTAGCTAGAACTACTGAGAATTCTAATAGAATTTGTGGATTATAATTAGGAAACCAATTTGCTTTAAACTGATACATATGAGGAGTGATTAAAACCCCATCTAATTTTTGAAATCTATTGTTGTGATACTTCAAGGATTCCTTTATCACGCCTATTGCGCAGTCGTCAAAAAAAGTGGTCTCTTCAAACGATGTATTTGCGTAGAAAGATACGGCTCCAAGGATTTTTGAAATGGCCTTTACGAGCTTAACGTCTCCATTACTTATAGCGAATCTCAATTGAACCAATGCATTGTTGTAATACAACCAAATTGCTGATCGTAACTTTTTTATCACCTCCTGGTTCTTGTGGACCAGAAGTAGTTTTCTCTTTGACTTCAGGGAGTTCCTTTGGCCATTTGGAGTTGTAAGAAGTTTTAGAGTAAGTCGAAGTGATGGCGATTGCAAAAAAGTATAACTAAATGCTGAAAGTACGTTAAAAAGCTTGCCGATCCCAAAGTCATTCTCTAAAGCCACAACAAGTTCCACCAACAAGGGATTTTTCCAAACATTAGAATACTCAATTGTTACAGTTTTTGAAATATTAGAATCATTGATTACCAGTAATGCCTTGATATTTGCCTCCCCTACTGGCAGATGATGTATTTTTGGAATTTGTACGTCTTTAACGATTGCATTGGGAAGCATAGCCACAGCAACCATCCTTTATTGCAACTTCAAAGTACTGCAGTATTTGGTAATATAGTATAATTGCAATTAGATTTTGAAAATAACTATAAGGAAACGTATGGTAGTATATGTTTGTTTTTACTTTTGCAATATTTCAATTGTTGTGTTTAGAGTTTCTCGTTTCCGTTTGAAGGTCAGACTTTGTTACTAATGCTTTCCAAGCTATAATCCAACTATATTTCCGGCTAACGACGTTGTGGTAAGTCTAAGCAGTGATACTCTTGTAGCATTAGGATAATCTTGGGTGTATGAGACTTCCTAAAGTGAAAAAAAACAATCTCTGAAAGGGAAGGACGATAAAGCTACACGGGATTAGCTAAATGTTGAATTTTATTGAAATTGATCCCGAACGCTAGAAATAGCTCAGAAACGATAGGTCAAAATAGTATGATTCAAGTAATCAAATAATCCATCGATATGGGAAATCCACTGCCTTATATTGTAAGTTTAATCACGAAATGACTTCACAAACGGAAAATAGTATAAGGTTTTAGAGATGCCCAATCCGGAAGAGTAAATCGAAACAATAAAAAAAATACAAAAATTAAAACAGTGCTACGAATTAGATATACTTTGTAGATGCCGGTTTCCATATGAGGTCACAATAGCGCTCTTAACAGTTAGAAGTAAAGAAAAACTATGACCTTATATACTGCTTAAATTGTTTATTTGACTGCAAGCTACAATTCATTAATTCGCCTAGAAAAGGTTCTCAGCTCATAGATTCGAACACGAGACACAAGTGGATTAGGGTACTGTCTAAAATGTGATTAATGTGAACTTTCATGAGTCGCTTTCGGGAAGAAAGGAAAATTATGTGTTCTACGAAAGATTTTTTGCGACCTACTATGCTTTTAATAACAAATATTTAAACGCATAGGACAAAATGCTCCTAATCTGAAGAAGAGAGTCCTGCATTACGTAGATGCAAAAAGGGTTAGTCAAAGAACGGAACAATAAAAAAGAACACAAGCCCAGTTACAACAAAATTTTTAACACATTAATCATTTTGCTATTTTTTAGTGCGAGTTGCCAGTGTAAGGGAGTGGCTTTCGAATTTTGTTGGAATAAAAAACTCACTTCCTACTATAGTAATACTTGACTGGAAAGCTGAAGCTATTGTAATGAAAAAACCTATTTGGAACTACAATTAGCCTAAAATTTATAAGAAAAGCTGAAGCTTTTCAAAACGATATTGTGATACATGTAGCTAACAAACGGCTGATATGAGAGCGATAGTGTAAATCTTCGATTGTCCCCTTTTACCACTGCATGCAAGATTAGGTAGTGTATTTGTTAATCTTACAGAAGTTGATCAGAATACAAAAGTTGAAAAGTGACATTATCTACCCACCGATCGTTGAAAGAGAAACACTTTTTTGTCTGGTTGCGTTACGAATGATAAATCTGTTATTTGTGGAAAACAGGTTTACTGGTATAGGCTGGTAAAAGTTTGAGTGCAATCATCATGACGCTTGCAAGCGAAAATGAAATCCGCAATGTTTCTGTTCAGCATATCTTGCGCTTCTTTCGCTTGTTCGGGTAAATTTAAGGTTGCGAAAAAGGAATCAAAGATGGATTTTTCGGAGCAGGCCATCTAATCTGTCTATCTTGAAGCATTATTCTTGAATCTTTACAGCGTCGGTCAATTTGTATTACAAGGCATATGAAGCATTTTCATTTTCATTAGTAGGAATCTGGTATTTTCGCTTTTTTACAAATGCTTGAAATCCTAATGCTGTAATCTGAATGTCAGCATGACAAATAATTGTTAACGAGGGCCAGCGTAGCAAATACATATCTCCCTGTATGCGTTAGAGCTTAAAGTAAACCCTGCTTCTAAATTATCTATTTACCTTACTAACTGAGTCAAGGTACAGAAATTTTCTCTCGGTATTCATTTTATGTTTGTAATCTCTACTTATAAATTGAAATCCTTCTTAAGTGCCAAGAAGTGGTGGTCTATGAGCTAACCAGAGAAGAAATTTGTAATGGTGGGGCTCTTCCAAGGCTTTTTCACTAGACATAGGAGACGTTGATTCTCTTTGCCAACGATATTTGACATCAAATATGTGTTCAAAAATTCTCAGACACACGGGTCTCAATTTTGAGCGGGTATATTTCGCCAGGTCTAATAAACCCATGATTACTCTAGCAGCAGGCTAATCAAGTGAATTAAAGAATTCACTCAAAGTTAAAACTCGAGTGAAAGCAATAGTATAACCAAAAAGCCAAAACCTTTCCAGTTATTTCTTCACCTTAAATCTGAAAGTAGAAATAATCCCCAACTTCTTTAAGTTGGTTTTCATCCTCAATAATACAGCTTACCTTTAATTAACGTAGAAGTCGCGAAGGTGTATTAACTCTCTTAAACATGTAAGCATCTCACTACCATTCAATTCACATTCCTCGATATATTTACAGTGGTTGTAAATTATCAGTCCATCAAAATCATCTTCATAAAGACAAGTATTCTCATTAAATTTGGTGCTTTCGTTAATCCTGGGAAACAAATCATCCAATTCAAATTGTGGATGAGCATCATATGTACTGCTTAACTGTAGCGAAACACTCTTATAATTAGCATACAACTGCTTAACCCAATAACTCCATTTTTCCAGACCAATTGTCCGTTGAGCAAGAAAATTTATGTACTCTTGTAGAATTTGGTGACTAACCCTTTCCTCGTGGTTGCTCCTACTAAAACAATCATCCGCGGACATTCCCCTTCGTTCCTTGAAATGGGGTATAGGGCTTTGAAAAATTTGAGAGGAAATCGTTGCTAGATTCAATGTGGAGTCCTCAAAGAACTGAGCCAGCACCAGGGCTGGTATATGTATCATATTAATAGGGGATATTATTGTATTTCGAAATCTTGTTATCATCGCCTCATGTATATTCGGAGCTGTATCTCTTGGATATACAACATCATTATTTTTCGATCTAAACATCAATGTCATATATGTGTACATATTCCACCTTGTATTGAAAAAAGCACATATTCTGGAACTGTACTGGTTAATTTCTCGCAATGTCTCAAGAAAGTAAAAGCTGTCGTCAAACTCGGTATTCTGTGTGAGCACTTTATATAATGGCTCCTCATCGTACCAGTAACACATTTCACCATCAAATGAATGCAACATCATATGGCATATGGAAGGAAGTATGTGATTTAATATTTTGGATAAAGCAATAAATAAACCATATAATGCCCTATCTAAATGGTTTACACCGGCCAATAATGCAGTAGAATTGCATCTTGAGGGAAGGACATGGTACCATACTTTTGTAATTCTGTGGATGATTTCAAAATTGAAAAGGTAGGATTCAGGATTTATAGTGCCGCATTTGTAATCAATAATATCTTGCAAAAAGTTCAAAAAGTTTTTCAATTCCATGAAATGAGCGTTATCTTTTTTAACAAATGGCTGTAGAAGTTCAACTGTCTCTTCAAATTCTATTAAGATTCTAGGGTTATATTGCCGCATGAAAGAACTTCTATTACCACATATCAAAATAGGGGCAAATACCGCAGAACTATAGTTGAATCTAAGGTCAAAGTATTTCATATTTGATTCATACCTTTTAAGTTGTAGTGCAGTAAGAAACTTGATTTCATTACCCGTTGAACTTGCATAAAGCAAAGCTACTTGCAAGTAGCAATACACCACAGTTTGAGTGATGTCTTTGGCCTGTGAGGTCTCATACAAGTACATGGCAAGTGCCTTCTGGGTAATCTGATTACTCCAGTACTTCCATTGAGACAAAATTCGAGGATTCATCAGATATCTCATACATCCAGAACCAAAGCCCAAAGCAAAAGCCAAAAGACAACAGAATGCTTCCAGTGGTGTAAGCAGTGAATCCAATTCCTTGGTGGCCATATTGAGAAGACCCCCATTACCAGAACCAAACCTCAAAGGATTGAATAGGATAGGCTTGACTATTTTGGTGGGGGGGTAGATTATATGGAAAGGTGTCACTGTATGCTGATCGTCTGCAACCAATTGAAGATTACCAAAATCTCTGAAAATAAGCAATTGAGGAAACTTGGTTTCTAGCTTTATAGCATTTGGTAATGATGTCATGATTTAGAATAATGTTTGCACGTTGACCGTAGGCCGAAATGGCTTTAGGGAGCAGTAATAGATAACGTTATCACCAAATAAGGAATAAATAAGCAACTAAAGATTGGTGACACCAAGAGCAAGACATACTATTAAAATTTGATGAGCAATCCCAAATAGTGGAGAAGCTGGCAACCCTGATCTGCAGTCGATCGAAATAATAAGCCCTTCATATAGATCATACAACGAACAAAGGAATGCATATATTGCGGATAAGCACTCATCGAATAATTGTGCTTTAGCAATATTTCAGCAACTTATAAATCATGGGTGAAATGTGACAAAGGTGGAAAGGTTGAAAAATACAAATTGGGACAAACGTTGAATTGTTCCTGTCCAGAAGGAGTTAAATACTTTCCTATTTTTGGATACATTGGCACTCTTATGCAGATTCTATGTGAGTTTCGATCCCCGTACACTACTCATCAAGAGTGAACTTATCATCCATATATACTGCTATAAGACCAAATTGATGTTACAAACAATTTCGATGAATCTTTGGCAGCTAGATGCCTAATTGAAACAACAAGCAATGGTTAAACGTGTGCTGATGCGCAAACAAACTTGTATCGCAGGCATTGTTTTCCATCAACTAAGCTATAATTTTGAAGGCAAAAATGATATACGTTGGACAGTTGCATAAGACCAAGACCCCTAAAATTTGACATATTCTTAAAATTCCAAATGGCTTTCCTTTCAATTTCTCTGTTTAGAGTTGGTTAAGTTAAAGAGCCTTATCAATGAATTCAACTTTTTGAAACTTGTTTATAACAAAACGCAGCACGTGTCCGCTATCATAACAAGAGAAGCTACCTTTAGAACGTAACTGAATCCTTAAACAGCAGAAGCCTTGTGGCTTCACAAAAGCATATGCATCCTTGAAATCGGGTTTGCTTTTATGATCCTCAAAAAGGAAGCTCAAAATTGATCATTATAATGAATGCAACATAGTACTCCAACTGACATCTTTAGGAGATTTCAAACTAAACATAGTACTGTTATTGGAGCCATAGTGGGTTGGGTGTTCGACTCTAAATTGCATGTAAATTTCAAGTTGCACTGAAATAGGGGCCAATGGGTTTAATTTGCTTTTAAAGCCAAGTTTATAATAGTATGTTCAAGACAAACTGCCGTAGTTGCAAGCATTGGCAGAAATGGAATATTTTGCAACCAGGTAAACCTTGAATACAACGACTGTCTGCTTCTTGGCCATTTATGAATCACCTCGGGTATTCTAGAGCTACGGAAATTTACGTTAACGTACTGTAGCTCCAACAGTTTAGAATCAACGTACAATTATATGTTCGTAAGGCTATAAAGTATTTCACTATCACTGTAAAAAAACTCTCCTTGATTGATCAATGAAAATTCCATGGGAACTTACAAATTATCATCTGAGCTCAAATTAGCTCAAAGAATCAAAATATTTATAAAATGAACCTCATGTGAAGAGATAAGCATTTATTCCCTTTAGTTCAAAGTCTGCCTTCTGTAAATGGTGCAATGAATATCAACGTAAAACCAAGCACTAAAGTTCATGGCTATGGCTTATGTATTTAGCGGGAACTTTTTTTGAAGAATTCTTTGATCCAAGCTTTTTCTTTCTTTTCAGTTTCCATTAAGAGAGCCATTATAAGACATTATCGATTGAAATTTAACAGTGCCAAAAGTGCCAAAGTGAAACGGAAACATTTTTGAGAGAGTTGGGAAGAAAAAAGAAGCTGTCGAAGTGCTGAATTTCTCGAACTTACACCAAACTTGAATGAATCAAGGCATCTCGGAACTCATTGGATCGTAGTATTTTTTTGCTATTCATTCCATTTGTTGATATTGTAACAATGGGGAGACTAAAATTTCTGGATCAATTTTTTACTTTGATTGATTTTTCATGTCGATTGCATAGCTTTAATGATGATTCCAAGAAGAAAGGGAGTGTAGGCAGATTGTCAATAGAGTTAATTTAGTTCGTTGGCATTTATACCTGGTGGTGCTATCATGTGCTAATGTTGTTTTTCATTGGAGGATTCACGTCTTCGATACAAGTTATCATAGTTTATCCCGTTAAATGATTGTTTCACGTGTACATGAAGAGTCTTAGACATTTTGCATGCTGATTTATTAGCACAATTTTGAACTTCCTTGTCCAAGTACATTCATACGCCAATGATTCTAACGTGATAAATCCCTAAATCAAGATCTAATAACTCATAGTGGTTTATCAAAAACATAAGGCAAACACTATTATTACTCTGTCTAATATAACTTTTCTACCAATTTAGCCTTCCTGGCGAAGTTGGAAGTGCTAATATGCAGCAGTTCAGCTTGCTTCATAACAATGCCAGCTTACTCCTCCAGAACTATTACTGCTAACTCCCAGTTTAATGAAGTACCTTAGCCACTACATCACGACTTGTTTGAAACTCCTTCGCACGGTCTTTCAATTCTTGAAGTGAAAGACAATATTGAGTGTCGTATGGGCTGTACATACTCTCTATCAAAGGTCTAGGATCAACATCATCCCAATACAACCCTTCGGTATAAATGAAGCTAGTGTCACGGTTGATAATGAACACCGAATGATCACCTTGTAACCACTCTATGGGAAATTGTGGATTCGAAATTTTTCCATTAGGTACGTACGGAAGATTTTTCTCAGTAATGGGGATATCATGCCCTAAATCATTCAACATAATTTCGCTGCTTGAAAGTTTGGGAATTGTAAAACCAACAATGTCACCATATTTAGTATCAGGGGATTCAGATTGCCTTGCAACTGTTCTTAAGTAAGGAACTTGAGGAATAGTTTGATCACGCAATTGTATCCGATACATTACCAATCGAGAACTCATTAATTGATCTATTCGCATCAACTTACGGAAAAGAGACATCACGTAATTTTCACTCTCATCCAGAACTATATGGCCCGGGTAAAACTTGAGGTTCATTCTCTCCAAGCATACTTTCAATAAATCTTTGCTCAGATAATCCAACACACAAAAAATATTCATAAAGTCCAATAAATGAATACTAGATATCGGAGTCAAACAATTAGAAAGAACTCTACCAACAACAAAATGGAATAAAAAAGCAATCATCTTCAAAATACTATCACCAAAACTCCTATTAAAAATCGCCAGTGATAAGTAAAGCCAGTCGGTTGCAATGTCAAACATAAGGGTTGGTGATGTAAAATAAATGTTTGGAGATGTGTCTTCGATGCCATACTTATGCTTATAATTCTCGTTAATATTGTGAATTGCGGGGTATCTTTCACTTAGTAAACTATTCAAAAATGAACGAAGTCGAGTACAATCATGATTTAGAATCCCTCTATCCAAAGCAGATAATGGATATCCGTTTTGGGCCAATTTATCTATACTGTTGATGAAAATTTCTAAATCTCTTAATATGGGGTGCAAAATATCAATGGAATAGTCAGGGATTAGGCAAGTACCTGCCATACCCATCAACATCGAAATCAACCTAAGTGTACTGCCTGAAACCATTTCAATTGAATGAGCAATTTCCAATTGTTTATTGATCAACGCCATTGTTCCTGTTTGCATTAATTGAAAAGTTAACATTGAAGATTGACGTTGACCCAAGGATGAATATGTGGCTAAAAAGGATACCTTTAACGGATACTGAAGAGACATCTTCAATATTGATCTTCTGAGATATGTTATCAATGCACCATATATCATGAAACCTTTACCTTTCAATACTTTTAGATCTTCCTCATTGTAACATAATTGTTTTGATTCAGACGCTTTTGCATATTGGAACTTTTCTGCCATACCCATTACTAGTGTTGACGTTGCTCTGTCAATTGCATAAATGTAGTACAATTTTATAGATCTTGCTTTGAGTAAGAAATCAAAAGTAAAAGCTTTTACAAAATCAGGTTTCCAAACTGGCACATTAGGAATTTGATGCATTGGTAGATCTAATTTGGATTCTAGTGGACTCAGTTTTATTCTTTGAAATGTGGAATGGACAACCTTACTCAGTGCTAGCATTCGGCTGCTTTTTTGTCTATGATGCTCATGTGTCGTAGAGGTCATCTTTCGGCTTTCCTCTGAGGAAAAACAATGCTCTGACGGCTCTGATGAAGTTGCAAGGGTAGATGATGCTTGTGTAGACTTATGAATTGGAGATAGCGTGGTAATAGATGTTGGACTTGCATAAGTTGGTGACTCATTTGAAGAGACAGTATTAAAGATGGAAAAGCTTTCAGAATTCGACAAATCTATGTGGCTTGTATTGTTTTTTGTTGCTTCTGGAAAAGTGAAATCACAATAATCGGGGTTAAAGTCATGAAACAACTCACGGTACACCTGGAAACGATACTGATCGTGTTGTGGATTGGAACCATTTAAATAAGCAGGAATGGTCAGATTTGAGTCTGCTTGTGAATTTGGTATATCATATGGTGGTTGCGGTCGATACGAATAGTCTGCATATGCACTTGCTTGTGAATTTTGAAGTTGGCCAGTCAGAGAACTACCCATGGTAGGCGTTAAGAATACACCCTCGTTATTTGAATCAGTGGGCATATTGCAATTGTTGTTTCTCGGTATAGATCCAGATTCAGACGAACTAGCCGAATTTGATTTTCCATTACTGATGGTGCTATTAGGATAATTGACGGAACCAGCCGTATTGTTGGTATGGCAATCGCCTTTGAAATAACTATAGGGGCTATTATCGTTTGAAGATGTACAATAGCCCACTCCGGAAGAGTTAGCAACATCAATGTTACTGTTGACCCCTACTGACGGTCCAGAACTATCAGCCCCTCTATAAACAAAATATTTGGAGTCACCATCGCCATAGTGTTGCGAAGGGGGTATAAAGTAAGGCACCAGAGGCATAAAATCTCCTTGTTCTCGTTCCATAGATTTCTTTCGACGAATGTACTCTAATTTCTCCTTTGGGTAATCAAGATACCCACATCGACTGTTCTTTTTGATGCAATTACTGCAACTTGGTAGGTCTTCAGGACACTTTATACGTCGGACCTTACAATTTGGACAGCCATCTCGGGAGTTCTTATGGGATCTTCTGTGTTTTCGTTCGTACATGATGGAAAATGAACGTGAGAATCCTCGATAGCGTTGTGAAAGTCGGACGCCGCTCTTGGCGTGCTGAACTGATGTTTAATCGTCAAAATGTAAGTAGAAAATGTTTTTTTTCTCATTCGGTCCACCCGATATCTTGCACCACTCGATGTAAGTTGTCTACAGAATCATCAGGACAGGGGACTTTGTGTCACATTTTTTAGATGAGAACTTCATTTGGATCCCCACGGCATTAGAAGAAAATTTAATGAGCCTGTTACTAACTGAACTCCCAAATGTGGTACTTGCCATAAACTTGGCATTTATTAAATAGACATTTTATTTTTAGTAACAATAAGGAATGGCTGAGAAGCATGGCAACGTACCTTCTAATGCTCATGTCGTTTGGGATGTATAAATGCTTGCCTGCTATGCACGCCTTTATAAATTGTGTGGGGTGGCTTTTAGATCGATGAATTGTAGTAGCTCGTTGTTCTGCACATAAACAAACGAAGGCCGAAGTTGAATAGAGTTTAACAAAATTCTACATTATTACGGAGGTATATAAAAAAAAAAATCTACAGATTCGAAAACTAATCTTTCCTATATTGTCATAGCCATCGCTATCAATATACCTCTTCGTTATTTATAGTCAATAGTGGTTCATATTACTAAATCCAGTTCAAATTTAGTCCTTACGTGAAGTGGACTATCTCGTATATTTTGTACCTCGACCTTGCAACATCCCTGTGATTATACCTTACCTTTGGTCCATACACGTTCTATGCACCTACGCAGAAGTACATGTTCACGGGTGCTACCGAAGCAATTCGAAAGCTAACTACAAGCGTATAGAAAATCACCCCTCGCTAAAAGGTCATACGGGTCTTCCAAGCAAAATTCGGTAGTGTCTTCTTAAGTATGAACATGCCGGCGGGGAATGGTTAACTACCAACCTTATCAACAAAAAGGCGCTTTTAGCGCAATATGCATCAAGTTAATCTTAGCGAGGCTTAAAGTTAAACAATAAGTGAAGTTGAAATCTTGGGACCTTAGAATTATTCCAAAATTAGTGGATGGAAATAGAACCAAAGATTCCGAAAATAACTTTTGAAGTGTTCTCGTATATTCAAAGCGAGATTCTTTCTGATCGATTGAGTTTTAAAATAGATTACATGCTTCTATCAACCTTCATATCATCTTTGAATTCGAAGTGCAGAAGAAAAACGCACCCCATCTTTCGGACTTAAGGATAAGTCTAATTTATTTCTTTGGATTCTCTCATTCGGTTGAAATGAATTCATCGTTCTTTTTGAGAATGTATGAAACAACATTAAAGGAAAATATTCATCGTGAACTGCTATACTGTATTAAACTAGCTAAAGTTCATAATCCTGCATTGACCCCTTATAAAGTTCAACTTCTAATAAGTGCCTCATTGTGGGCCTTCCATGCGGACAATTCCAAGGCTTGTCTAATGTGCTTAGATTTGACACCACTTTCTCCATTGTAGGTCCCGTCAAATGCTGACCAATCATAATACTACTTCGACAGGCTCTCATAGCGAGCATGGATTCTACCTTACTGCATTTTATATGGCTACCTTTTCTGGAATGTGCCTGTTTAATCAAGTGAATAAGCTCAAATAAATCATCCTCACTAAACAAAGTATTCTTAGATACCGGAAGGGAGACTAAGTGTATACGCTTCCCAGGAGTATTATCAGGATTGTATTTAAGCACGAATCCATTTTTTGTAAATATTTCCATATGATCAACAACTGTCATTTCGTCAATGACATTCAAATCTAATGCTTTGGGTGCCACCAATCGTTGACTTTGGAAGACCGTCTCCCTCATTAGTTTCTCATAATTGAATTTCTCGTCAGAAGCATGTTGATCCACAATAAACAAATTCTTATCCTTACTAACCAATATAAACCCTAAATTGAATTGGCCAATAATATTCATTCTTGAAAAATCCTCTTTAGACACTGTATAGGACATTCTTTCTTCTTGCTCCTCTTGTAATTCAATGTTCTGAATTCGAATTTTATTTCTAGGTACGCCAGAATCATTGACTTGCCATCTTGTTGACTTGAGGACTGCGTCCTTGATTTTATCCATTGAGACATCAATATTGGAACTATAACAGTGAGTGTCGCTCTCTAAAATATGTCTTTTCTGTCTTTTATCATATTCTCTTGAGCTTCGAGGGGGACTTTCATTAGGTCTTTTTATAATATTGGGATGACTTTGTAACTTTGATTCAAGAGTTGATTGGTTAGAGCTTCTTGATCTCAAGCTTCTAGTCCTTGAAATCGTTGAAGTTGAAAGTGACGGCAACAGAGATGTCTTATCTGATTCGACATGAAAATCATTATCTATTTGATTTCGTTTAAGAGTAGTTGGTTCCAGAGTTTCAGATGGAGTATTATCTAACTCCACTCTATCCTGAGCAAATTCTGGCGATGAATGTCTTGAACTATCCTCCATAGGTTCCTCAGTTAAAGTGGCCAGGATCACCGCTGCGTCGTCGTCTTTATTCTCACTGGGGCAAAATTTTGAATCACTGGATGATATGTGAGCATCATGGTTACTAGACTCCAGAGTGCCTTCTTCTACACATGGTGTGCTAGCAATGGTGACATTAACCTTTGAATTTTGCAAACAAGTGATATTGCTATTACTGTTCTGCGTAAACTCTTGGGACGATTTAGAAGCATTCTTTGGTATTAAAATACTCAGTGAATTGTAGAAATTTGACAATTCTTCCCTTAAAACATCGTTAATTAAGTCTTCATGCCTTATAAACACAGTTCTTTTATCAGGAGTGACGTTAATGTCTAACATTTGAGGGTCAATGACAATATTCAATACGACTACTGGGAATTGTGTATGGTTGAACAGTTTGTAAACTTCGTTTACTGTTTTTAGTATCCTTTTGTTGGTTACTGGACGTCGGTTGATGTAAACAAATTGTCTATCACTGGATGATCTCCCCATGCCAAATGATTTATCTGATATGTATCCTTCGAATTTGAGATTTAAAGTTGTCATTACTGGAAAGACACCGGAACTTAATCTGAAATTAACTTCCAAATCTTTCAAGTCGATATCAAGTGGCACAAGCCCATAAGATCCGTTGCTTCCAAAAACAGCAAGTAAACTATCTAGTGTTGTTGATCTTTTTAGTCCTTGTGTCCCCATAACCAAATTCTTCTTCCCTGTGGCTAAGTTATGATTATAGATGCTGAATCTAATTTGAGGGTATATCAATAGATAACTTATAATTAATGTGATCGCCTTATTATACTCTTTTTTTATTGTCTTTTCTAAGCTCTTGAAACGAACGGGCAAGTTATGGAAAATATCCGTTATTTTAACATGGGTACCCGTTTTCCCACCAATAACAGTTTTCGTTTCCTTCAATTCACCCATTGATGTAAATTTCAATTGACTGGCCTTGGAATTATCATCCTTGGTACACGTAGTAAGTGTTAGGTTTGCAATAGAGTTCAACGATGCCAACGCCTCTCCCCTGAACCCCAAAGTAGCCACTGTTTCAAGATGCTCCAAAGATTCTAACTTTGACGTATGATGCCTCAAACATATTTTATCATAGTCCTCTTTTTTTATGCCCACTCCGTTATCAATGACTTCTATACTTTCCAAACCGTTGTTCTTGAATATGATTTCTAACTTTGTGCTTTCAGCATCTATGGAGTTTTCCACCAACTCTTTCAAAATCGATACAAGATCAGTTATAACCTGTCCTGAAGTTATTCGAGCGACATCGCTTGGCTTTATATTCAAAATTACCATAGTAACAACTAGTGCACTTGAGTAGATGGTTTATTTATGTTTACCATTGACGATTTAAAGTCAAATCGCGTCTGCTTGTTTTTCGTAATTTTACCCCATATTTCAAACCTTGATACTTGGCTTTAGCTCAACATGAAAGAGCTAACAGTAGAAAATTTAATAAGGGCAGTACTGGAGTTTATACATATATGGATATCTCAAATACTATATTATCGCAATATCTATCGAACAGAGCTGTTTTCCAAAGTAATATCTTTTGATATCTTGGCATATCGTTCCCGGCATCCTAAACTCAATGAATACCTTACTGGGTTAATTCAGAGCTTTTTCAAGATTCAACTACAAAACCCCACCAGTGGTCAAGTTGGTTCGCTATATATTGCGTTGTATTCCACCAAGAGCAATCGGATTCGTGAAAAGTATATTCTTAAATTCAATGATTTGATCAGTTTGGGCTTAACACACTTGCCACCTTCCTTATGTACTGAAACAGAAGATGAAGTAACTATTGACGAAACCCCCATTAACGTTGAGGAAATCAATTGGGACGATATATTTGCTCAATTGAAAACACTATTGTTCAAGCACATAGAGGAGCTCAAACGAATATGTCTGTCACAAGTTGAATTGCCAGACCTCTTTTTCAAAGTTCTCATTGATGCTAATGAAACTCAATCTCTACAGGGGATAGATAATGATTGGGTACAAATTTCAGTAAGCAGTAAGTTGGAAGACGCGACTGATCAATTTCAATCTAAAGTGGTGCTTATTGGTGATGCAAGCATGGGAATCTTGAATTTTGACGTTCATAATGAATACTCCGTTGAATAAATATATACTTTGAATATGTAAATAAAATTTGTTGCTATGACTTTATGTACAAGCTAATCGACTGTAACCAAAGCCAAAATAAAAGGTTTACCCTCGAACCTGACTATCCAAGCCAAACATATACTTCAAGTTTTCGTACATGAAATAAGAAATAGACACTGCTGGTGCCACTTTTGCAAGATTAGGGGTTAACCCTTTGAATAACCCACCATAACCCTCTCTAGCGATAGTTTTTCTTAGGACATCATTGAATCCATCGTAGGTATATGGATGAGCATAAGTACCTTGAGCTTGCAATCTAGTTCTCAACAAATTTATAGGATACACCATTGTTGCACCAAAAGTACCTGATAACGCACCTAAAGTAAGCACCATGTAATTGGGCAATTTGATATCCTCTTCTGGGACACCATATTTTAAGCTTTCTCTTTTCACTAGCCAATTTTTAATGGATGTGAAGGTTCCCAAATCTAATGCAGCGTATGGAAAAATACCAGAGACTCCAACAAATAAACCGCGGTAAAACATTCGAAGACCACCATCTTTGTACATTGATTTTGCTGTATGAATAAGCAATCTATTTCCTTTCAAATCGGAATCAAGATTGGAACATTGCAATCTAAATTTTAAAGTATCAATTGGATAAACTGTAAATTGTGCGCAAACACCTCCAAACCCACCAGCCAAGTAATTAGAGGCTTTCGATAACTTTGCAGTATCATCAACACCCTCTATTCTGGCAAAAAACCGTTTAGCAGCTTCAAAAGAACCAAATTTCATAGCAGATTCAGGGAACACTTTAACGACATTCAACCCATTCCCAACATAAAATGCCTTAAGGCCACCTTGTTTCCAAATTGTTCTTGCTGCCTGTATAATGGGGGATCTAACCTTTTTTGGTGGCTCTAAAGCTTCCGTGGCCTCATAAGACATTGATAGCAAGTGCAAAGCTTTTCTCGCTTGTTGCATCTTAGTTCTAACGGTCCCCTTTGCAATCTGATTAGCAATTTCTCTTCTTGAGTGTAACACAGTGGATGTCAAATCGGTCCTAGCAATTAAAAATACCTTGATTCTATCGAAAGGTGCAGTGCATGTTCTTGAAACCACTCCAGATAAACCTCCAGCAAGGAAAAAGCCAAACCCATTAATGAAATGATTGATTAAGGTAACGTCACCATCGGAAGAAATATCTAGTTCTTCAACAATATAGTTAAATGCGGTTCTAATTCTCGATCCATTCAACCTTGGCATTAGGATAAGAAATTCTCTAAATTCATCATAAGTAACATAGCCATCATGATGACTATCCATTTGATAAAATAATTGGTCAACATCTTGATCTGTTGGATGCAAGTTTAATCTATTGTAGAAATAATTTTTGAAATCATCCCTGGAGAATCTCCCGTCATGATCGGCATCAATGACGTTGAAGCCCTTCTCTATTTGGTTGTCTGTAATAGCCAAATAAGATTTGAATTCTTCAAAAGTTATCTTATGATCTTTATTATGATCAAAGGATTCAAATACAGACTCCACTAATTGTTCATTCCCGCTAATAGGATGATCCAAAGCTTTCAAAGCCTCTTTAAAGTCTTCAAAAGTAACTTCCCCACAACTACTCACATCTAATCTGTTGAACAAGTTCTTGTACTCTTTATTTCTCACTATTTTGGTGGTAACAGGTCCGTTTGTTGACCCGTCTCCATCTCGCACATTTATCTCCGGGGTAGTACTTAACCCCAGTGTGTCTTTTATTTCAATTGCAATTTCATTGTTGGGCGTTGTCTCTGTTGACGTCAGCTTCGAAGGAAATGATGAAAAGAGTCCCATTATCAACTCCTGCAACTAATATATGCAAATAAAGCTGGCAGCTTGTGATGAATACAATAACCAAACTAGTGTGCTTTCTCTTGTGGTCTAAGTTACGTCTTGCAACAAAACGAAAAAAAGTCTCTTTGGTCAAAACACTATTATCGCACAAAAATCATCACCCACAAGAGGTTAGTATACTTTTGTGAGCAAGGCAAGTGCGAAGTCATCGAAAGGCGTTGAAGTATGGGGAAAATAAACGCAGGCATTGAAGAATTTTCCATTGATATACTTCACTGTATATTCAAACGGAATCTCAATGTCTTACCATTCGAGTTGAGCTACATTTGTGATTTTCTTTCTTTTCGGAGAACAGCACATGGTTGTTTAGTGTTGACCGTGTCCAACCTATTGAAATCCTGTAATTTGAAAGCCTAACCTTTGAGTACGTCACTATTTGCGACATACTCTCTTTGTGAAATAAAAATACGACATCATCAACCCCCTTCAAATAAACGGCATAGTTAGATAGTTACCTCTGGTTGAACCAATCCAACATATTCGTTAAGCCTATCTCGTAATTATTGAGTGTACTATCTTCACTTAAACCTTTTCGATGCTTATGGTAATCCATGTGTAGCAAGGTGTCCCATACTGAACTTTTAAGAATAGAGTTGTCATTTTTACCCAAAATGTACTCAGTAGCTGTTCAAGGGATCCACATGATGGAAAATAAAAAAAAATCCCAGTTCAAATCTATAATGTTCTAAATAACATCGAACCTAAAATCCATTAGCTACTTACCAATAGTGGAAAATACATTTGTGGGAGTATGAGTTAAGTAACCTTGACAACCCAGTAATCCCAAAAGTTTTGCACCCATCTGAAATTACAATTCGTCGCATAAATATTAAATTAGAAGAGAACCAGATCTAACTGGTACCTGGGCGTCCATGGTATCAAAGACTTGGTAATTCAATGTATTAGAAAGCTAAAGAGCGCTAATTTGATTTATTAAATTGTTTTTTGTCACAATAAAATAGTTTTGTCAAGATTGTCCTAGTAAAATCTCAGACTCAGATTATTTCAACCCTCATTCTAGTGAATTGAAAGTGTAAATAGACGATATAGTTTTAAGCTCAAACTTAGTATTCAATTACTTATAGCTACATTAAAACGATTTAATGTTGCTCACTTTGGAATTAGAAGATTTTGATATCAAGTACATGGCAAACATAATTGGAAAGCAAAACTTAAAGCAGAGCATTGATCAAGAAAACAATATAACACTTTACATGAGAGCTATATTAACAGACTTACAAACTCTGCATTCTAAAAGTATACTGCGCCGACTATTCTAATGACTTCATAGAGAAAAGAAATTAGTTTTCAAGAAAAGCTTTCACTAAACGTGCTTACTACCGCATTATATTTTTCGAGTCCTTTTAGTAACGATGAGACCCTATTAAATCTGGGAAAGTACTTCAGTTCAAATTCGTACACTTATAATTTAAATAATAACCTTTACAAGCTACTGAAAAGTATAGATATTAGTTAATATTTTCCTTAGATACGGCAACGATCACCTACATGCCTCAAGGCCAACTGCTATGTACTTGATTTACTCAAAGGCCAAGGACGTATTCTGCCCTCATTGTGATGCCACTGACAAAGGGTGTTAAACAGAATAAACCTACAACTTCTGAAATTATCATTGAGATGATACCTATAGCATCTTATTAAATGTATGTGTTCATGATTGATTTATAAAAGAAGTGCTTTCTGTATGTTTCTCTGATTTTAACTATGCCAATGCCAGAAATTTCCATGGCTACACAAAGCCGAAATGTTGTTGTAAATTCTAAGATGAAAAATTATCAAGGACGAAATTGAACAAGGGATCAATCACATCGAAGTTACTAAGCGTGCTTTAACTTTTGTATTAGCAGCCCTATAGTTCAATATGTCGGTTCAGATCTTGAAAGACCAGGCCACCGAGGAAAGGGGTGAAAATGCTCGTATGTCCGCTTTTGTTGGTGCCATCGCAGTTGGTGACTTAGTCAAATCAACATTGGGTCCAAAGGGTATGGACAAGTTATTACAAAGTGCCAGCGACCCAAATAAGGCTCTTGTTACCAATGATGGTGCTACTATTTTGAAGTCTATCCCTTTAGATAACCCCGCTGCTAAAGTTTTGGTAAATATTGCTAAAGTGCAAGATGATGAAGTTGGTGATGGAACTACATCTGTTACAGTTCTAAGTGCTGAATTGTTAAAAGAAGCTGAAAAATTAATCGAACGTAAGATTCATCCACAGACAATCATTGAAGGTTATAGAATTGCTCGTAACGTCGCTGTCGAAGCGTTAACCAAGATCTCAGTTGATAATGCAAGCAACCCTGAAAGCTTTAGAAATGACCTTTTAGATATTGCAAGAACAACTTTGTCTTCAAAGATCTTGTCTCAAGATAGAGAACATTTTGCCAAGTTGGCTGTGGATGCTATACTCAGATTGAAGGGATCAACCAACTTGAATCATATTCAGGTCATCAAAAAGTCAGGTGGGAAATTAGCTGATTCATTTTTAGATGAAGGGTTTATTTTGGAGAAGAGATTTGGTATTAACCAAATTAAAAAGGTTGAAAATGCTAAAATATTGATTGCAAATACCTCTATGGATACAGACAAGGTGAAGATTTTTGGTGCTAAGTTTAAAGTTGATTCTACATCCAAGTTAGCTGAGTTGGAGAAAGCAGAAAAGGCCAAAATGAAGGCAAAGGTAGAGAAGATCAAAAACTTTGGTATAAATGTTTTCATTAACAGACAATTGATCTATGATTACCCTGAACAATTGTTTACAGATTCCAAGATAAACTCTATAGAACATGCTGACTTTGACGGTGTTGAGAGATTAGCATTGGTTACTGGTGGTGAAGTTGTATCTACTTTTGATAACCCTGAAAAGGTCAAATTAGGTTACTGTGAGAAGATCGAGGAAATAATGATTGGTGAAGAAGTTATGACAAAGTTTTCAGGCGTTGCTGCTGGTGAGGCCTGTACCATTGTGTTAAGAGGTGCTACTGAGCAAGTACTCGACGAAGCCGAAAGATCTTTGCATGACGCATTGTCAGTTTTATCACAAACTACCAGAGAAACTAGAACATGTTTGGGTGGAGGATGTTCTGAAATGAATATGTCAAAGGCCGTAGACCAAGCTGCTGCAAACGAGGACGGAAAGAAGTCATTGGCCGTGGAAGCCTTTGCAAAAGCTTTAAGACAATTGCCAATTATATTGGCAGACAATGCAGGGTATGATTCTGCAGAATTAGTTACTAAATTAAGATCTGCAATTTACAACGGTATGACCACCTCTGGTTTAAACTTGAATAAGGGTATTGTGGCCGATATGAGGGAGTTAGGTGTGGTTGAGTCGTACAAATTGAAGCGGGCAGTTGTATCTTCTGCAGCTGAAGCTGCTGAAGTGTTGTTGAGAGTGGATAACATCCTTCGGGCGAAGCCACGGACTGCAGACAGAAACAGGCACTAAATAGATCTAACTTTGTATGGTAACCTAATATATGCAATAATCTTGATAGAATTAAGTTATCGAAGCCCGAAGAAGTATCTGCTTGCTATGCAATGAGAAGCATGAGCCATTAAATTACTTCAGAAATATAAACTACAGAGAGATGATAACACCGTGGTGAGATTTCTCATAATTGCAACGGTTGTGATAAAATTTGATTTGATCCTGACCCTGCAAAATTTAGATTTTAGAACTTATGTGGACCAGTGATTGCTGATTTTGATGTAACTACTACAGTGGTGTTAACCAGGCAGAGTTGCTGGCCTTCATATAGTTGTAATTTGGAAGCCTATTTTAGGGTTCAATTCAGGGGTAAGTTAAAGAAGACATGTGTGCTCACCTCCTCCACACTTTCTGGCCACGCATTTCTGGATGACTGGAGGCTATGACGAGGTCGACGGCAACGAAGGGGACAATTGGTTTCAGGAACACAATCAGACAGACTGACATGAGATGGTGAAATTCAGCCGAACTAGGGTCCTGCACTACTATCACAACATATTTCAGCCTATTTAAAATTACCAGTAATGATTTTATCATCTATGGGTTTTTTTCTTATTCATGAAGTTAGACCACGTTAGTCAACGATTGCAAATACAGAATATTGAGCGAGTTAAAGCTAATAATGAGAAGAATTAATTGCAATCTTCTCTGTAATTTTAGGAAGATCCGATTTGGGACTCGATGTGTTCGTATTACTATTCAAATCGAGTACTATTGATTTCCATAACTAGCAGTTGTTAAAATTCCACGACACAGACACTAAATTTGAAACTTCAAAGACGCCTTCAGACAATAGTGCGATTGCTGTTTACTAAGGAATGCCTACATGGAAATCCTGCGCAATGGCTAGTGTTATTGTAACGAATGCTCGTGGGGACTGTAAAATAGTTCACCGACAACTCAATCAGATATTGTTACAAAACCTTCCGTGTCATGACGTAAACATGTCACTCTGTTGAATTCCAAAAGGTTGCTGTCGGTGACAAACAGCGAAGGAATAACTCCATATGGCCGTGTGAATGGTAAAACCCACGTACTCTATGCCACCTTTAGTCGCTATAACGTACAATAACAATAATTCTTTTAAACTATGGCATAAGTGAATGCATTAGTCTAAATACATGATTTCTGAGCGACGTAGCCTTCAATTGAATAACTGGTGGGTGTAAGAGAAACAGCAAACAGTTCCGTAATGCAGCGTTGTGCAGTGTACTGGTTGCGAAAAAAAGTCAATTTCATTCCCCTCTACCCAGACAGGAATACCGGAGGGTACTAATTTCAGCACTGTAATAAACGAATGTTCATATTCAGGTCGAAAGAGTATAAATAGGAGGTGGAATACCCAGTAACTCTCACCTTCTTTTAATTCATATTCAGATCAACTCAATTGACTAGTATCGATCAAATTTAGTGTGCTACAATAAACAATGGTTTTTGGTTTAGGAAAGAAAGACAACGACTCTTCATCTTCTTCAGATGAAGAAAGATCCGGCAATAGAGGCGGTAATTCTTACGGATCTTCTAATAAGAGAAACGACGACTCTTACGGTTTTTCTAACAGAGGTGATGACTCTTACGGATCATCCAACACTAGAAGTGGTGACTCTTACGGATCTTCGAACACAGACTCTTACGGATCATCCAACACTAGAAGTGGTGACTCTTACGGATCTTCAAACACAGACTCTTATGGTTCATCCAACACTAGAAGTGGTGACTCTTACGGATCTTCAAACACAGACTCTTATGGTTCATCCAACACAAGACGTGATGACACTTACGGCTCTTCATCGTCTGGTTTCGGTTCCTCCAACAGAGATGATACTTATGGATCATCAAACACTAGAAGTGACGATACTTATGGCTCTTCAACCTCTGGTGGTTATGGTTCTTCCAACAGAGACAATGATGACACTTATGGCTCTTCCAACAAGAGAAGTGATGACACTTACGGTTCTTCATCTTCTGGTTACGGTTCCTCAAACAGAGGTGATGATTCTTATGGTTCCTCAAACAGAAATGATGACAACAGAAGAGGTGGCGATTCTTACGGTAGATCCAATGACTACTAAACCTGACTTGGAAGTATTTAGTTTTAAGCTCAAATGAACGCGCGTGAATGATTATGTCATATCTGTAAGATACTCTGCTCGGTCGTATGTACACAACTAGAAATAGTACAATTCATTGGAAATGTATTCATTATCTAATTGTATGCTAGTAAATTCTCTCTCTCTGTCTAAGATTATTGTAGTGGCGCGTATAATATTTGCGTAACGTACTTTCTCTTGTATCTTACCACTGAGGCCACAGCCAATGTGTTATGTTTGATGCTAGTAGTTGCCAAATGATTCAAAACCACATGGTTTGGAATAGGCAATGCCCCAGCATTGTTGTCTCTATCTTGCGAATTGAAATTATTCAACACAACATTCTCTAAATGAGGGGGTAATTGTGGGGGGTGAAGCCATGCTTGTTGTTGTCCGCTATTATTCCGGGATTGTTTATCTATGGCTTGATAATACTGTTCCATAACCTTAGGATCAGTGAAAATAGGTGGTATATCTGAGATGTATTGTGCTGGTTTGGAGTCACCCAAGTCGCCATCTTCATCATGGTACCTTGAGTAACCTCCTCCCATATCGTCATCATCGTTAGTTAAACCCCACATCGAGTCTGTTCTACCCCCAACAGAAAGCCTACGTGCTGTAGCTGGACGACTCTGTTGCTTTTCTTGTTGCGCCATTTGTTCTTGAGCTAATCTTTGTTGCTCCACTTGAGCGAGATGCTGCTGTATATGATCTGGTGTTACTTCAATGTAGTTGACAAAATTACCCATTTGATCAGTAGCACTTGGTAAGTAGTCAGAAAACCGCAATTCGTTATCAACAACAAACCGGAATCTATGGGTTCCAACAGGTAACCCTAATGTGATCATGAAGTTTCCATCTGCTTGTTTGATTAGTCCAATCATCTTTCTCCAACCGGTGAACGAACCAGTTACGTATACCTTCTCACCTCCTTGCACCCACTTTATATCAACAGGTAATGTTAAACTTGGATCCGGCTGTTGTTGTTGTTGTTGTTGTTGTTGTTGTTGTTGTTGTTGCTGCTGAGCCACAGAATCGGCTGGTTGTGGTTCTGTTTCTCTGTTTGTAGTTTGTTGCTGAAGAGCAGAGTTTTGTTGATCAACATGCATCAGCTCAGTTGATGGTGCTGAAGAATTTGCCACGGAACTCTCTGTGTGGCTTCCTTCATCGATCTTCATTCTATCAAATTCCAAGTCGTCAGTTAATATCAATGTTGATTTTCTTCTAACTGGTTGAGGTTCTGAATCGGGAGCTTTTGGCAGTTGGTTTTCCAGATCAAGGGCTTTCATGCCTTCTTGCTGTGCTTTGGAGACATCCACCATTGAAATGTCCTTATTAGCTTCAGGAGCTCCATTCTTTAAATATTCATCAGACATGATACAACGCTAAATGAATAGTAACAATCAGGTAGAAAATGATTGCTTAGGTTTCAAAAATAAAGCGATAGTCAAAGAAACAACTGGAAACAAACTTCAATTGTTTTAATCAGTCAATGGTTCAAACCAATGAAACTAAGTTTTAATGATGCTCTCTTGATGGGACTCACGCCGGGAAGATCAGGGCTCTATTGGAATATGTCAATCTATCCAGTGAAGCTTCTAGTCTAATAAGTATAGTTTATATCTACCTATCAGGCAGTGTATTTGCGATAGTAAATGTGTTTGGTGCTTGGTGGTTGCTTATCTGATAAGGTATGTTGTGTCCAATTGTCAAAAAGGAGAAACACAAATGATGACACTACAGGGTGGGAGGGTGCGACTCACGATTAAAAATTTTCTAACGCAGCGCTACCTTTACTGCGGTAAGACCCTATTTGGTCAATAATCTATTAACTTTATATATATGCTGTTAAAAAATTCATAGTAAATAATCATTAAGAGTCAATACTGTTGCACAGCGCAGGTTACTTGCAAGTGGGAATAGCTAAATTGAAAGCTATTTAGCATCTCAACGAATATATGGGGAAACAAAAATTGCTGAGAAATAGTTATTTCTGTAGCGGCTTGTAGCGGCTTCGTTTTGCCTTATTCGATTGCCTGAGAGACATCTTTCATAATTTGAAATCCAAGAATTATTTTCTTTGGGTTTTGGCCCTTGCAACCAATCAATCTATTATTCTTCGTAATATCCCTAATTAAACACCCCCTGATATACTTTATAAGCCTGTGCTATCGCTTCCATTCAATTGGTTTTCGTTAGGGAGAAATGCGGAATTAATGAGATTTGATTGCAACCGCCCAATCTGGAAGTTAGAGTTTTTTGCAACTTTTTAACACAACCTTCGTCCAAGGGTGAAAGTAAAAATTAAAGATATAAAAAAATGGACAATCTCTCTTCAATATAAGTAGATTTTGACATTAGAGTAAGATAAGATTTTGATTCTTTAAATATTTTGAATCACTAACTAATTTCAAGATGAGCGTTAGAATTGTTAACTTTGATACAAGCCAAATCCCATTAAACTTCTCTATTCCAGGGGATCCTGAAGTATATGAGATCCTCTTTCTGGATCTTAATAGTATCCAACAAAGTATGATGAATAAGGCTATTGCATATAGTATTGGGTTGGCATGTGCGATAGTGTTCTCACTTGTTTTACTTCTTGTTCACAAGAACAAACGTTCTCCGACATTTATATTAAATCAGGCATCAATGATAGTGTTCATTATTAGATGTTCCTTATATTTGGCTTATTTGATGGGACCCTTTATGGATTACAATTTTCAATTGACAGGGCTTTTAAATTCAAAAGACTACCCAAAGCATAAGATCACGATTGCTGCTAATGCTTTGTATACCATTCTCATTACCCTTATCGAGGCGACATTTGTTTACCAAATCTACTCCGTATTCATATCACCAGAAATAAAAAAGCTCGGATTAATATTAACTGCATTAAGTGCAGCTTTGGGTCTTACTGCGGTGGGCTGGTATCTTTATCTGACTATTGCTTCGTCTCTCAGATTTGAAAGTAGCTTGCGTGGTGAAGAGGCTCCAATTTATATCTCCTCCAAACTCTCCAGTGTTCCGATTATCATTTTCACCACTACCGTGAACGTAATGTCCTTGGTTCTTATAGCAAAGTTAGCCATGGCTATTAGAACAAGACGTTATTTGGGTTTGAAACAATTTGATAGTCTCCACATAGTGATGATTATGATGACTCAGACATTCATTGTTCCTTCTGTTCTCACTATAATCAATAGTTCACTCGAAAATACACTCGGAGAAGAAAACTTGCTTTACACTATTAGTATGATTTTAATCGTGTTATCATTACCTTTGACATCTATGTGGGCAAATGCAGCCAATAACAACCCCCAACCATCTTCAGGGACACCTTTCCAATTACGAACAAGATCAAATTCTCTATATTCAGAAACCGTGACACCAAAAAGCAATACACATAGGTTCAGCTTTTTTCCAGAGAAGTTATTAAAGAAGAGATCAGAAAGGGTCGAAGATTCCTCCAATAATCCTCCACTTCCATTAGCTACTGTGTTTCCATCAGTTATAGAGTCTAATGCACTGAATTCTCCCACCATAGATCACTTAGGATCAATATTTTGTTCAGATGACTTTTCTGAAATTGAAGAAGGTATTTTTACCTCTAATCAAGATGGATCAGTGTCTAAAGGTCCTAGCATTTCTATAAAGACTTACTTATAATTCTATGTCTCTTTTATGTTTACCGATATTTACTGTTAATAGTCTTTCTTTCAAAAATGTGCTGAGCAGCACTAGTAAAGTAATGCAGTTATTGTTTCAACTTATTAAATCTGGTAATAGTGAAATATCCTTCAATAAAATTCATGATGATCCACATCAAACTAGCCTTGAAAGGAACTCTATACTTTTTAACTTGAGGTATTGTTACAAAAGCAATTTCAATCAAATGAATTGTATAAGTAGCAAATGCAATAACATTGGCATACTTTTCCATAACAACAAGAAGACTCTTCAAGCTTGTGGGCAACATAGAATATAATTCAACAAGAAAGGTACTCTTTTTCATGACTGTCTTGAACATTTCAGCATCAAAGCTTAGGAAATTCAATACAAAGAACAAAACCCACATCATGATTGCAAATGAAGGATACGATACCTTTGTGATTTGGTAATGAGCATAACCTCTCTTTGAGGCAGAAGCTTTAGCCATTGTAACTAAATTATCCTTGATACTCAGAGTTGAAGAGGTAGTTGGTTCAATGTCATAATAAATGATTCTTTTATATGAGGAACCAGCTTTGTCCTTAAACTCAACAGTAAACTTCTTTTCATCCACTTCAGTCATCTTAACTGAAGTCTTGTCTAATAAAGACTCTGGAAACTTCCCATAGTGCAAAATGTAGTCATTGAGGGCCAATTGATGGTCCTTGTTCATATGAGAGATAATTCTGCTAGACATTATTGAATCAACTTGGTAACACAACCTAAAGATTCGGATAAATCTTCATTTTTTAAATCGAGATCGGCATTAAAATTTTAATCATGCAGGCGAAGTTAGAACCGTACACTATTAAATCAGAACCAAAGTAATATCTCTAGTTTCTTCTGATTGATTTTGTTTCTGTTCTTAAGTCTAGCTTTACCACATTTATACTAGGTCGACGTGCACCCCTTACGAAAATAAAACCAATTTACAAGGTTTATCCGTAAGTATGCCAATAATAAGTATTAACATACTATGATGTGAATTATTAAACACGAGAATCACCTTTTATGGGCTGAAAATTGACCATAAAACTCCGCAGATGATCCTCAGAAAGGCCACACATACTCTAAATGATGACTACAGTTATATTTCTTTTATTTCATTTAAAAAGATTTGCAAATTACTTTATTCAAGAGGATATCTTACAGGCATATATTTGCAAAGTTCCATGCACGAAGTGGCAATCCTCACAGGAGTAATACTCAACAATAGCCGGTCTAGTATAGTGGTTAGTACACTTCGTTGTGGCCGAAGAAACCCAAGTTCGATTCCTGGGACCGGCATTTTTTTGGGCTTGCCCCTTTTGCTTTTTGATCTTCTCGGAGGATTTAGTAAACTTAAAAGTTCCAACCATGGGTGAGCAGTATCTAGAGGCTTTTGACTCACAAGTATGATCCCCGAACCAATTCAATATGGCTTGGATGCATTAACTTCTGCATATCAGAGGGCTTCTAATTTGATGTCTACTTCTCAAGAAGCAATTCTGAATTTCTCATACACTGATACGCTTTCCGAAATCAATCCATGGGGTAAAGATGATCTTGAACTAACGAATACTGACTTGAAAACAAGGAACTTCTGGTGTCATTGGTCTAATTTAAGCACCAGAGATAAAAGGATATGTTCTGGCGTTTGTGCCGTAGGGATTAGTATAGTGGGTGGTATATGGTATCGACATATGAGTCAAGTCCAACCCAAAAGTAAAAGATTCAAGAGAAGAGTTCCCAAATTAGCCAATGGAGCCAGAAGAGATGTGGTTTTAGTCGTGGGTTCTCCTGTTGAACCCTTAACTAGACTCATAGCACTTGATTTTGAGAAAAGAGGATTCATTGTATATATGTCAATTCTTGATGGCAAAGATCAACGATACGTTGAGCTGAACCCTATTACAGATGATATCAACTATTTGAACTTGATGTCGGATGTAAACGGATTTAAGATGCAAATAGAAAAGTTTCAACAATTATTAAACTTACCAGTCATTCCATTTCCTGGCGCTGAGCCTCATACATTAAGACTAGTGAGTATTGTGTTTGCTCCAACAATGTTCTTTCCAATTGGACCCATTGAAAACATTTCTGTCACATCATGGCAAAAAATGAGCGATAGATTAATGGTTTTCTTTAAATTACTATCATCAGGTCTCGTCGGACTAGCTCGGGACCAAAATAGTAAACTTATATTAATTTACAATTCTATCATAAGTTCTACGGACCTGCCTTATCATGGACCCGAAGTTGTCTTCCAAAATAGCTTAAAGAATTTGTTCACAGTTTTAACGAGAGAGGTCTACCTGCAAGGGATTTCTGTTACACAAGTGAGGTTAGGAAATTTGCATAGTTCTTCCACTGAAAACCAAAGAAATAAAGTGGCTAACATGGTTAGTTCAGAATTAAGAGATTGGAGTGATGATATGCGGTCTCTTTATGGGAACCAATTCTCAAGAGTTCTGCTTAAAACAGCCCCAGTAAACCCTAAACAAGGAATTAAGTTGAGAGAATTTTATCACCTACTCTTTGACTTAACATACAGTAATAGGAGAAATCCTACATACGTGTATTGTGGATCCGGTGCAAGAACTTATGATATTATTACTAGTATTGTACCCAATTCTCTTTTGAATAGGTTTCTATAGTGTCTGATTAGCAATCGCACGACCCTTGTACTATATAAGGAGGTGATGGGCATAAGAATTTTTTCTTTATTTTTTGTAGGTTTTCTTTACGTCCATAGTCAAAGATTTGTTTTCGAAGCCTACATTATGAGTGTTACAATGCTTTGGGGAAAGTCTCCTGTTACATATGCGGAAACGCAACGGATTAGTAACTCCGTTATAGTATCTCCATGATGTCGTACTCTAGGACTGCCTGACATATGTCGTATTATGCTTGGTTTAGAAAGCTAATCCAATCTGTGGATTTTATCATCTGATGCTCTGGCTTTCTATATTGAGTGAGGGGATATGACATATTAGGTCTTTAGAATAGGAGGTTGTGTTTTGTTCTTGAGATCCTATAAAAGACCCAATGTACTCTGCTGCATTGGTTGTATGGGCCTTTGCTCTATCATTCAACAAAAGGACACGCAGTCCTAAACGAAAGTTATAACAAATAGTCAGCTTTGTCTGACTAACCCAATGGAGCTCACTCTTGGCTTATGGACGTCATCCCTCTTCACAAATTTTCACAATTTTTTTTTCTCACAAGTCTGGAAGGTAACAAGTGAAATACTTGTTGGGCTTCTTGCATGGTCGAATATGCCAGACTTTCACAACTCTTCTAGTTTTCTTAAATCAACTTCAGTCGAAGTTGTGTGTCATTTAGTATTGAACTTTTATAAAAGACAAGACTGGATTTTTCATGATGAAATAACCAAGCACATAGAGTCAAGCTCAGAGAGACAAGGTACACTGTCTGGAAAGATGACAGGACTTGAATCAACGACGAGAATGCATTTAATTCTGACCCAAATCAATCCAAGTTTGTCTTTTCTCAAAGTTTATTACTCAATGGCTCATCAAGATGCTAAAAGTAACTTTTGTATAATACATAATAATTAAATTAAAAGAGATTATTAAATCCTCTTTATGCGCTAATACTATCTATGATTCCCGATCAATTCCATAGTATATAAAACCAACGTGGTTACCATATTAACCCAATTCCAAAACTGCCAAGGATGAGTTATAATAGTGAATTCATTAGCAGATTTCCAAGGAGTCCAAATTTTCAATTCTTTCCCCAACTCACCACTATATTGCATCATTAAATGAGTGTAAACAGCTATAATTATACACGGACTGTATGCATACACAAACTTAAGCAAGGAAGAAGGTCGTTTTCTAGGAGATACTCTTGCGTAGCTAGTTGGTCTTGTGTTTATTGGTGACAAGCTTCTTACACCAGATGGTATCGGCGTAATGAATAAAACGTCATCTTCATTCTTGGAACGATTGAGCTCATCGAGGAAAATACTTTCTGAATCGTTAGTTGATGATGATGCTTGAGTTCTTTGGTTGCTGGAAGTTAAATGCATAGATGATGATCTTGTACTCCCCCCATCACGATTTAGTATCGTTCTAGACACTTGGCGTGACCGAATATGGGTTGGTGTAGATAACGGTGATGGAGGAGTGGAAGTTGGTGACGAAGTAGTTGAATACAACAAAGATGACTCATGATATAAAGAAGGAATAATTTTGGTGGCAGCGTAAAATACTCCGATCCTGTAGATCAAACTAATTGATGGCAGAACTGTTATATTTTGAGTAGCTTCAATTAAAAATTCTCCAATAGTTTTGAACGAATGAGGTAGATTTGCAGCTAAGAATGTAATTACTTGTTGAATCACAGTGGAAACTTTCGATGGCAACGGAGGAAAGTTAGGGATATCTTGTTTCAAATTGGTAGATGCTTGTTGAAACATGCTGGAGAGTAATTCAACAGCTCTATCTGACAATGCTGGAAATGTCTCATAGACACATCTGACAATATAAGCAAAAAGCAATGATGATTCAGCTATGGATCCCTTACCTGAAACAATTCCATATAACCCAATCCCTCCGGTCATAGTGAGAACCGAACCTAAAAGAGACAGACTGGCCATATCTATTGCAAATGGTGATAGATAAACTCGGTAGAGAAAATATATAGCTCCAGTGGTCACCGTGCCGCTGCCTATCAAAGACACTATCAACCAACTATCTGATCTGTTAATGGTCAACCAGTTAATTGTCTTTCCAACTGCTTGAATTGATAATAAGGTACAAAACCCTTCCAAAATAGTGAAAACTGGGGTTGAGTTAACTATAAGAAATCTCCAGACATCAACCACTTTCAAATTCGGAATATCCACCAGTTGATGAGAATTAAAATAAGATATGAAGAATGTCAAAATACTTGGAATGAATATATGCTGGGTATAGTAACTGAAGGAAACCCATCTCAAATATTTACTTCTTCGACTTACCAATCTAATTGTTGTCAATATAAAATATAATGCAAACACCGTTAATGAGAATGCTAACCCACAACGAGTTCCCCCTAAGTCAAACGCCAAGGGAATGGTTAGAAGAATAAGGATAAGGTATACTGTGGATAAAACCCCTCGTACTATCAGTACCATCAGTTTATATAGATCCTTCATGATGTTCTGTAACTTTCCTAGATCAAAGATTAATGGGGAAATCTATACAAATAAAATATGTGGCCCTTAAATGGGAGTCGCAGTGTAATAGGAAAACTTAACTTATATTAACAACCCCACCAATAACAAAATTTGAATCAATCTTTTAAGGAATCAAATCAACACTCAGCTAATTAAAGATATATTTATCACGTTAACAAAAAACTGGTGGAAAACCGATGAACCTAATTCAGGGGATTCTTGGTATTCACTTGTATATAGTTTTGTCGTAAGAAAAATGTCGTCTGACTTAATCTGATTTTGGTCTACCTCAAAACTGCAAACCTCAACAACACAATAAACCTGAAAAGTCTAAAAGGCCTTAAACAGATGACTATACGTTCACTTTTCTGTTGATATTATTATTGTACGATCACCAATGGCATAGATCGTTGGTTATATAGATAAGTATTTTGAATCTATATTCCTCATTTCAGCTTCTTTTTTTTTTTGTCTAAAGGTCTTTCATGGTGAACACACTACTATTTTTACAACTGTTTCCATTTATTAGTATTCATTTGGTTTTGTGAGTTCTCGAAGATTGTTTCTTCAGCCAATTTACTGCATAGGCTTACACATCAAAAACTGTTACGATTTTGTTAGCGGCTATATGATAATTATTCTTAGACATAACTCACTACTGTTCGTGGAATTGAAACGTAGTTCATGACTTTAAGATCGTGATTGTAAGAAAATAACTTGTATCAAGATGAAGTGCGATTGAATGTAAGGGGAGGAGGGGAACTGGAGAATTTAAGGTTACCCTAGTACACCCCTTAATAGGTAATTATCTTTGCATGAAATCAAATTGCTGATCCTCTTGCGACATTACTTAAATTGAGGACAGGTGTAGAAGGCTGATCTTGTTAATCTTCGCCATGTTTTTCATCGTTTACTAACATTTCAAACATCTTTATTTCATTCCATAGTTAACAAATTGTCCGTACTGCACGTAAGCTCTTCTCGCCCACAGCTCATCTCAAGATAACTCACATCAGATAATGATTCCAAGTACCACAAGTTAAACGTCTGCTATTCAAGATATTCATGTCTGGTTCAGTCAAACGTAGAGGTGAAAACCATGGAGTGTCACTGAATGGGGACTCAAAAAAGCCTCGGTTCAAGCGGGGAAGAAATGAAATGAGAACTATTACTAGACATTCAAGAAGAGGTGAAAAATACCATCAAGATGAGCCTCACAAACACAATGAAGGCAATGCCGAGGAGGATTCTGAAGAAGAAGAAGTGGAGGATGCTCCTGAGACGAGTGACAATGATGATGGAATTGATGTCTCCAAGGCATATTCGGCATTGCTAACATTATTGAGTTGTGACCATAAAGAAGTGAAATCAAGTAACAACAAGAAGGATAAGAAAGAAATGCAAGATAACGAAGAAGCTGGAAATGAAGAATTAGAAGAACAAATGGCCCCATCTGATCGTGAAGGCGATGATGATGAAGAAGAAGGCGAGAATGATTTTGCGGATGACAATGAGGAAGACGAAGATGAAGAGACTAAAGACCCTTTTGAAGTCCACTTTAACCAAGTATCTGACGAATATGTTGATAAGGAAAAGAAATTGGTTGTAGATGATAAAAGAAAATGGGTAACCTCAAGTAAAAATCAAGTTGGAAACTATATCATTTTTGCTTCTTCTCCACCTGGGGAAGGTATTGATGTACAAGTTGGCAACTCAAAGTTATTGTCAAACCATCATATAAAAAGAAGAGTGGTGGATGCTTACGAATCTAAATATAATACTCTCAGTTTGAATGAGATTGACAGAGCATTACTTCAACCTATGCTTTCTTACAAAGATGTTTGTTACCCTTATGTTCAACCTAAGAATTCCGGATACCGGAAACTTTATACTGTTCACGCATTGAATCATGTATTCAAAACAAGAGATCGGATTTTGAAAAACAACGCTAAACTTCATCACTATCAAGAACAATTACGTAGTGGGAAAACAGATTTAGAAGAGCCTGAACTCAGAGATCAAGGCTATACCCGGCCAAAGGTGTTAATTATTTTACCCACTAGAAATGCAGCTTATGAAGTTGTTGAGATGTTAATCAAATTATCTGGTTCAGAACAACAAGAGAATAAAAAGAAGTTTGCAGATCAATATTACAGTAATGCTGTACCACCAACAAAAAAAGCTGAAGATTTCATTGATGCCTTCAGGGGGAATAGTAACGATTTCTTTTGTCTAGGATTAAAGTTCACCAGAAAATCTCTCAAGTTATATTCCTCTTTTTACTCTTCCGATATATTGATTGCGTCACCACTTGGTCTTCAAATGATTCTAGAAAGCCCGGATAAAAAGAAGAGACAATATGATTTCCTTTCATCAATTGAAGTACTTATTGTTGACCGTGCAAACCAAATTGAGATGCAAAATTGGGATCATGTTCAAACAGTATGGAATTATATTAATAAGATCCCCAAAGAATTCCATGATGCAGACTTTAGTCGTATAAGAATGTGGGCGTTAAATGATCAAAGTAAGCTTCTTAGACAAACTTTGGTATTTAGTGAATATTCTACTCCGCAAATCAACAATTTGCTCACAAAATCATTAAACTTGGGAGGTAAAGTAAGGTTCAAGAATGTTGTTGATACTAAACTGTGTATAATGAACCTGATTGGGTTAAAGATTAAGCAAGTTTTTCAACGGTTTAACGCTGCTTCACCCATGGATGTACCAGAAGTCCGCTTCAAATACTTCATCAATACAGTTTTACCTTCTTTAAGTAAATCATCATCATATGAAGACGGGCTTTTAGTGTACATTCCCAGTTATTTCGATTACTTAAGAATTAAGAGTCACATGAAGACAAGTTCTAAGGTTACTTTTGGAGCAATTGATGAGTACTCCAGTCAATCCAAGTTGACTAGAGCAAGACAGCAATTTGCTCTGGGAAAGATAAAGATACTCTTGTACACTCATAGATTGCATTATTTCAGAAGGTATGAGATCCAGGGAGTGAAGACGATCCTTTTGTATGGGGTTCCAGAAAACCCCATCTTTTATAAAGAGCTTGTGCGGTTCATTGGAAAGTCTTTGTTTCAACAAACTGCTGACATTGATCTTTCATTTGTTCGTACTCTTTATTGCAAATGGGATGCTGTTGCCTTAGAGCGTATAGTTGGAGCTGAAAGAACCGGTATCTTATGCAACTCGACCAATGAAACGTACGAGTTTGTTTAGACTAATATGAACATGTACTTAGACTTAATCACCATATATTTAAAACACTAATCTACACTAATGTACACCACCCGATATACTTATCGATCAACATGAACATATCTCATGCCATCAAATTGTTGACGGCCATAATGAAGCATCCAAGGGAAACATAAGGACTCAACCGCTCCCCGATTCTGGCAAACTTCCAAAACACACCAAAGGCTCCACTCTTTCTATTATTTAAAAATGATGGATATTGACCATGAGCATACGTACAAGTACAAATAAGCAAGAGTAGTACTTGTAACAATGATTGGAAATTGAACAACACAGACTATAAGACTCGTTAGTATATTATAGACCTGTTTGGGGACATCCACTATGACACATATACATACCATAATTGTAATAAGAGAGTGCTGTTAGTTTGGTTAGCAATGAGTCGAGCGAACGCCTGGCAAAAACATTTAGTGACGACGTAGAATCGAATTATGTAGCGGAATTTAATGGGTGGGTTAGAGTGCGACTAACAATTTCGTACGAAAGTAAATTCTCAAAGGAATTGACGTACTAATTGACAATGGGTATCGTTGGCAATACTTTGCACCTATATTAGAGCAAGTGATTATAAGAGCGGTTCCTCCGAACAATTATGATATAGCAAACAAAAATTGAGCGCATAACACCTAATTAAAGCAATTAGTTTGACATTATTAGTGGGACATTTGATACAAGTATATCGCTCCAATAAATAACAATGGCAGACTTTTCATATGAACCATTTGAAATGGATGAGGTGATACCACCTCAAATTAGTGTCGCAATTCCAAATAACACTGTTGAACAAGATCTAGATGTCACATATGATGGCCCAGATTTAGAGGCATGTGTTGTCGACCACCAGGATTTAAAATCACGAGCAGAAGATATTAAGAACTTGAACTTTACAGATATAATACGAAATCAGTTGGGCCACTATTCTGGAACTGCTTCCAATCTAGGCGTTGTACTGAATGCAACTGATGTTACTACTGAAGATGAACCCACTTATGATGAAGATGTGGATGATAAGTTTGACTATAAGCTTCAGAAGAAAATAGAACAAGAGTATCGTGATTTACAATTGGATTCTGTCGACACTATGTTAACTCCACCAGAAAATTTTAGTTGTATAATCAACAAATTGTATCGGTCTTCATTTCCTCATCCTAATAATTTTGCCTTTCTAAAGAAATTAAAGCTTAAATCAATCTTATGTTTAATCCCTGAAGCGTATCCCACATTACAATTGGAATTTTTTAAAGAACAAAATATTAAACTTTTCCAATTAGGTATGTCGGGGAATAAAGAGCCATTTGTTAAAATCAGTGGAGAATTAATTACAGAAGCAATTAAAATTGTGATGAATCCAGAAAATCAACCCATATTAATTCATTGTAATAGGGGAAAACACAGAACAGGTTGCTTAGTGGGTGTGATTAGACGTTTACAGCAATGGTCTTTGACCATAATATTTGATGAATATCGTAAATTTGCGGCACCGAAGGAAAGACCCATGGATATTCAATTTATAGAGCTTTATGATTTGGAAGATATACAGAAATATTGTACTGAACGAGATTGGCTACCGTTGAAATGGGATTAATCACAATAAATATTTCAAATTTCATTCATTCAAGCAAAGTTTATATCAAGTTGTCAATTGTTGAGCAGGGGATGAAGAAGTAGATGAGCCTGAAGGGTAAACAAACTGTAAGCCATAAACACCAGCATTTCCTAAAGCCAATGTTGATAAGGCAAGAGGACTTATACGACCACGTAACACACTTTTAATACTACTGCTACCATTGACAAGTAAATACAATGTAGACCATACTGCAGTGAAACCAGCACCATTAAGAATATCTCCATCATAGATTATCCAACCACCAAGTAATGAAGTTGCTCCAAATGCCAAACATGAAGTTTTTGTAGGACGTTGTGCAGCCAAGGCTTTGGCAAATTTAACCGAGTCACCCAGAGTACCCTCTAAAACCAAAGCTTTAGGAGTGAAAATTCCCTTATATAAAAGAGAAGATCCAAAAAGCCATGCTGGAAATGGAGATGAACCAAAAGAACTGGCAACTTCTCTTGGTGATTTATTGGTGAGGCCTGATAAGTCAATCCCGTGCATTCTTTTATATACTAAACTACCCCACAAATTGTCACCCTGAAATGAATAACTCCGGAAAATTGGTCAAATTATTAATTAGCTTAAATAAAAGATAAAATCAAACTATTAATATACTAAAATATCTTTGATAGTTCTTGTGAAAACTTTCAAAATGAATATTTGAGTTGGTCAAGGAAGAATACGTAATGGATGAAATTAACCCACTGAACGGATTTCATTGCACACCACTTTGTTATACATATGGTCACGTGCCATAGCAATGACGAATGTGCAGTATACTATTTACAATTACAGTGGACATAGTAAACAATTAACAATAAGAAACCGTTCATTTATCGGCCTAAATAAAGAAACCTAATATACATATACACTCAGTTTAACTACCTTCACATCAGCGGTAGAAGCAACATATAAATTGCACTGTAAGAACTAAAAAAAAAGGGTAAAGAAAATAGTGTCAAACCACTTAAGATCTTTCACCTCTCAATCTTCTAGCCAATTGGATATCCTTCTTTTGGATGGTAACTCTCTTGGCGTGGATAGCACACAAGTTGGTGTCTTCGAACAAAGATACCAAGTAAGCTTCAACGGATTCTTGCAAAGCACCGATAGCAGAAGATTGGAATCTCAAGTCAGTCTTGAAATCTTGAGCAATTTCTCTAACCAATCTTTGGAAGGGCAACTTTCTGATCAACAATTCAGTAGACTTTTGGAATCTTCTAATTTCTCTCAAGGCAACAGTACCTGGCTTATATCTGTGAGGTTTCTTAACACCACCGGTAGATGGAGCAGACTTTCTTGCAGCCTTGGAGGCCAATTGCTTTCTGGGTGCCTTACCACCAGTGGACTTTCTTGCTGTTTGCTTGGTTCTAGCCATTGCTAATGTTATAAAATAAAACTAATATATCTAAAAAAAATTATAATGATCGACCAACAGAGGAATCCCTCAATTCTTATAGTTATTTCTAAACATAGTAGAAGGGGTTTTTGCTCATGCTATTCGGCTTAGAAAAATAACAATAACATAAATTCTGCTTATAGGCGTCAGAAGGAAACAAACAACACGAATACACGATTACGGAAATGTTGTAGAGCGTTCTTCGCTCGAAGCCAAAAGCTGCAACTGTAGGAGCACCGTACTGAAATTTACTACGCGTTGCGTAAAATTGAGACCTCCTGAAAAGACAAAAGCTTTTGCATGCTTGAGGAGAAGCGCGTTTGAGAACAATAAGGTATCAAGAAGGCTGCGAATCAAGTGGTGACTTAGACCTACTAAAATAAATCTGAGACTATTAACTAGTATAACTAGTATAATGTATTACAATTACTACTGATCCAAATATCATTAATTGGTACTACAATTAGCCTAAGAAGGGATTAAAAGTGATTGATACTTTTATTCTCAACTATCAACATCAACAGTTACAGTAACCATTAAGCTGTAGGAACACAACTTTTTACTTCTATTCCGTATCCCCGCATCCCTCTCGCATCTCCCTCAAAATCAAATTTGTAAGTAACTATCAACTTATTATGTGGATGGAATGAAGCTCACGGTCACTTCTGTGGCTGAAGAAAGTAGTGAGCAAAACCTTTGCTAGAGTAAATCTGTGACCGCAAGCGTAAATTTCCGCATTCGACCTTTATAAGTGTCTTTTCTAACAACGAAAAGCCAACTTGCGCGCTGCCTACAGCCCTTTGTGGCTACCCATTCTTTTTCCCCGTGTCCTTCCTCACTCAAAAGTCTATGTAATCAAAGCTTTTGATTTTCGCTATGAAAACTTTTGTGTAGTGCACCATTTTACGCCTAGTAATAGTAAATTGTCGTGGTAATTTTGACCTCCTGGAGTACAAAGGAAAAACCATGGAGAGACCTGGTTTCATATAATTTTCGTTATAAAACAGAGGCAAGATCCCTCCAAGTTTTTTTCCTATATTTCCAAAATTATTTTATAACGAATAATTAATTACATATAATCAACAATGTCTGGTAGAGGAAAAGGTGGAAAAGGTTTAGGAAAGGGTGGTGCCAAGCGTCACAGAAAGATCTTAAGAGACAACATTCAAGGTATTACAAAGCCAGCTATCAGAAGATTGGCTAGAAGAGGTGGTGTTAAGCGTATTTCTGCTTTGATCTACGAAGAAGTCAGAATTGTCTTAAAGTCCTTCTTGGAAAGTGTCATCAGAGATGCTGTTACTTACACTGAACACGCCAAGAGAAAGACCGTCACTTCTTTGGATGTTGTTTACGCCTTGAAGAGACAAGGTAGAACCTTGTATGGTTTCGGTGGTTAAACTGGATTTTATTCCACTTTTGCTGTCTGTCTTTTATTTTTATGCGGGGTGCTAATTTAATTTTGCATCATGCTACACTTGATCGAAATTTTTCTGAAAAATTATCAACATTTTTTTGCTGTGTTTGGTTATTGACAAGTGCTTTTTATTCTATGTCTGTATTTCTAGCGTATATCGTTCTATAAAAGAATGAATTTTGTGTACTAATAATAAATTGAGTTATTCAACTATTTTGTAGTCTATGTGGTATAAATTGAGACCCTAAGTTGAGGAACAACTTTTCCGGTACACAAGAATAAAGTATTAAATAATCTATAATCTATGCTACGTTGATTCTGTGGAGCTCCTTTCCAGCTTCATGTAATCTTCTAATTTGCCGGCCAATACGCTTTTCAAGGTCATCAAGATTAATTGGCTTTGGTTCATGATAATCGTCATTGGTTAATTCTACCCATGTAGCTAAACAGGAAGATTCTTCCATTTCCGTATAACCATTAGTGGGGCATCGACACCTACAACCAACTCCATTTGGTTCTGGTTTGTCTATTTTCTTTGCAAACACTTCACCAAATCGGGCACTTGGTGGAGTATAACTTAAAGCAGGTTCATAAGGAACTTGTCTACCCTTTGCGTTTTTAGGACAATGGATTAATGTTGAGTGTTTATACCCAATATCACGGAAATAATGAATTTCCTTTAAATCCAATAACATCCCTACTGCTAACAGATGAACAGGTGCATCACCCCATCTTTCCTTATAGAATCCCCCAGCATTTTCTAGATATTGAAAGTAATCTTCATATAATGAAGAACGGAATAAACTGGTTTTAGCAATTTCAAAATTGGACCAAAAATGACAAAGATTGTACTCTTCCTGTTCAAATCTATCTTCATATAATTTAGGTTTGGCATGGAGCCATGTAAATGTATCCTTCAACAAAATAGGTGATATATCACTATCCGTTTTCCCCTGTTTCTCCAATAAAGTATCAAATTTAACCTTTTCTTGCATTCGTTTGGAAAGATAATCCATATTATCAAGGTCATCAAAATCATCTAGTGATGAACCTACCATTTTTTTTGGATGAAGATTAAATAGGTTCCACGAATCTTTCACTTGAATAGCTCGTTCTTTGATGAATTGTTTGGTAGTTTTAAATAAGCCGGGAACGGTGTAATATAATTCACCAATAAAAACTGTGAATGCATACTTTTTACCTCTTGATTCCATCTCTAAGAATGGATCATATGTTATGTCACAATAAAATTCTACTCCTGGTTCAACTCTCCAATACCATTCATGCTTCTTAACCAACTCATGCTTATAGAAATAACCCAGGAAGAACCGGCACATCTTATGATAACTTTCCATATTACCATAAAGTATCTTCCGATCTCCTTGACCATTAATAGATTCTTCATAGATTAAGGGATCAACGCTTTCTTTTTTGAAGTTCCATTCCTCAATAGGTATTTGGCCAAACTCAACTTTAGAATTGGTATATTTCATTACTTCCTTCTTGAATTCTTCATCGAATGGTTCATCATTTAAAAATACCCATGGATAATTATACCACTGATTGAAGTGACGTTCAAGACTACTCATAGAATTTATCACATCTTTCAACTCCGAATTTCTTGCAAGGACAACTAAAACAGCGTCTGCTCGTTCATCACCAGGTTGAGGTACCAGACATCCAATTTGAAATGGACTATCCTTTTTTGAGCTAATATATTTATCAGTTATCTTGGCCCCAGGCGGGTAAACTTGCTTAGAATTAGGAGTGGGTAACGACGGATCAATGAACAAGGTAAAGTCTGAGGCAGATTGATCAGTCACATTGCCACCAAAGACGAAAACTATCAATGTAAGAATCAATAATCCCACAGTTACAGCCCAGAATAGAAGTCTAGATCGATTATATCGAAACGTGGGTGATCGTTTTGCAATCAACATATCGTTTAGTCTAAACCCTTATATCTACTACAATAATCTCCAAGAACCAATAAGTTAATTAAAAAGGAAATATATATCAAGTGTCGTTTGAGAAAAGGGCGTAGTATTAATCCTCGTTGAACAAAATGTGTTTACGGCGAGTATGTCAAACAATGCATTGTTAAACAATTGTAATTCTGTCTGGTCTTTGTGACTAAACTTGTGAAACTTCTCATCTTATCCTTATTATCATTAAAAAAGAGGTGTATACACGAATCTCAAAATGCTGCTAATTACGATAAGGATATATCAGCAACGGCTCCACCAGTATGCTAAATTATCTATTTTAATTGCTTCCCTATAGCATTTCGTAAAAGTGCTAGGTCTTCATTTAATTCCTCAGGTTTTAATCCTTGTGGTCCCAAAAATTGTTTGGAAGAGCCTCTTGTGTTCGCTTTGGGAGGTTGATTATTTTGATTTTTCTCTAAAAGGTTCAATGAAGTTCCACCATCATCATTGGTCATAATTAGATGATTCAATTGATCATAATCTTTATCACTCAAATTCGACTCACTATTGGCGCCAGCACCATTCTTTGTATAACCTATGGGAGTTTGATTTGCTGCAGTTGTTGTAGTTACACCAGAAGACAATTCATCATTAGAAGAGTACCTTGTGGCATAGTGTCTTCTTCTTTTGGATGCAGAAATATATCCACTAGAGGAAAATGCACTATTATAATTAACACTATTAGATCCATTCATATTTGATGAAAGACCTAATAGTCCATTCCCATAACCCCCCGTATTAGATGACATGCCATTGGATAGGCTATTGCCAGAATGGGCATCACCACTAAGACCTCCATCCAGAAGATCATCAGCTTCTCCACTGGTAAATCGTGAGCGGATTTCTTGATTTCGTAAATGCCTTCTATCTTTAACCATTGCGTTAATGGCAGCTGTTGTCAGTTTATCAGTCTTACCATTTCCAGTAGTCCAACTATTGGCATTGATTAAGTTTAGTAACAACTTATCTTCTTTCAACTGTTTAATTTGACGTTGCAATTTGTCATACAATTTTTCCTTAATCAATTTTATCATTCGATCATGTTGTTCTTTAGCTTGCTCAATATCTTGTCTATATTCAGTTTCAATACGTTTAACTCGATATTCTTCCCATAATCGTAACCTGGTTAGTTCATAATCCCTGACAACCTCTAAATCCACCTTATTTTGTAGGTATTCTGCATTACTACCATGCTGTAAGGTTGCCAATGTTGTTTGCAATTCGTGTAACGCGGCCCTATAATAGTTATCACGATCGTTACCAAACGTCTGGACTAGCTTATTCAACCTGGTAGCTATTAATTGTCTTCTCTTGTCCCTTTTCATCATCGCTGTTGAGCGTTAATATTTGTACTCATCACTCAATCTAATAATCATGGCCTCTATGGTGATCAACTAGTAAGACAAAACACGTCCATACTAGCAATGTCTTCTATTGCTGCATCCATGTCCTAATTCATACGCTAAACCCATCCCTTCAATTCATTAGAAGTCGACACCATAGATGGTCATCATCGATTATAAGAATAATACGTACTCTCTGGGAACACGTTGCCCCCATTTCTCTTGGACTCGTCCATACTGAATATCCTAAATTATGTGTATATATGTATACTTGTTAGTGTTAAACTTCTAATCAATGTACTTTTGTATGTTAATAAAAGTAAGGAAGTTTAAAAACCACAACCTCTATTACCCTTTATTATCATTACCAAACAAGGTCTCCATGAAAGAAAGAAAAAAATCTGAATCAGCGCGCGCTACCAAAGACTTGGCTGGGTTGTATGCCGCTTCTAACTCCCCCAGCCTATTGGAAGAACATGGCACAATATAAAACTTATCCCATGACAGTTCATCGCGCGCCGACTGTGAGGAGAGTCGGCAAGTAACGGGGTTACAATAACACAAAGCCGGACCTAAACTCGGTCTAACTCTAAACCATCTATTAAAACAACTATTAGTCGATAAAATATGGTTAAACTTGGCCAAAGAGAAGGTAGAGTTGAACAAGGTAACGCATTTATGGCTGATGTTCAATACTATCATCTCAAAAGTAAGGGGCAATAGCATATCTTGCTTGGCCTTTATTTTTTCATTTGTACCGTAACAAAGGAAGTCAAAGATTTACATTGGTAAACATCAACGGTTCTTTGATAATATCGGTAACAAGGTCTTGTGAATCGATAATTAGTTACCGTTAAATCTTGAGCACAATTGTTTAACAACGTGAATGAACAACTTCTTCTTCTTGAGACATACTTTGTCCAAAATAGGAAAGTTGTGTTTTTTTCGTGTGTTATCCAATTTGATGTTGAGTTAGAGTGATCGCACTCATCGTTGAGAGGTTGTAAACAAATATATATGACCAAATATACTCTATCATACCAAGAAGTACGCCTACACCATTTTGCACCCAATTCTTATAAATCAAGTTGCTCAAATTATAATAAATTAATTCCTTGCTAGATGCCAGAATACGACGAATTACTACAGGCTGCTCTGTTTCGATCTCAGCTAGAGTTCACCGGTGTTAATGTGATAGAGCGATATACAGTCTTATTAAGAGATGGTGAAACAACGGCTACCATATATCCTATACACCAAGTAGAAGATATGCCACCCGGATTACTATTATTTCTTTGTGATGAGTATAATATGGAGATAGATAGAGGAGATACGGTTGCATTTTTTGAACTGTTAGATGTTGAACAGTTTCAAACTTATTGGTTCAGTCATTTTGCTGGTGTAATGGTATTAGGAGATCTGCCAACTTTACAAGGAGTAAGAGAATGGGAAAAGGAATGTTTAGGTACATTTTTTATAAAACCTAATTATCCTGGAAGGGCATCTCATATATGTGCTGGTGGGTTTTTAGTGAATGCTGGTATTAGAGGTAAGGGTATTGGAAAAACTCTTGCTGATTGTTATTTACAATGGGCTCCTCGTTTAGGTTACACTTATTCAATTTTCAATTTAGTTTTTGAAACAAATGTTGCTGCCAGACGAATATGGGAATCATTAAATTTCAAAAGGATTGGAAGAATAAAGGCAGCAGGGATTTTAAAAGGACAAGATGCAGCAGTTGACGGGATTATTTATGGACGAGAATTGATTTCCACTAGTGATTCATCAATTGGTGGATATCGATTTGATAAGATAAGGTATTATTTAGAAACAGGAAAATATCCTGCTATGGCTGATAGACTGGAAAAATCACGTTTACGTTCTTCAGCTTCACACTATAAATTGATAGATGGGAAATTAATGTTAAGAGGTAAGGAAGTGGTGAGTGATCCTTTAAGACAATTACAAATCTGCAATGAAGTGCATGCCACAAGTCATGGAGGTATAAATAAAACCACATCTGTAATCACTGAAAAGTATCATTGGACAAGAATTAAAGATACAGTAGCTACTGCTATTAAAAATTGTCCTGAATGTCGAGGAGATGCTCCGAAGGAACAGCCTATTGCAAAGAGACCGGTACCTAAGAAGATTCCTAACATCCCTTCAAAAGTAATGAGAAGTATAAGAGCAACTAAAATGATTCATACCCAACCAAATAATCCTAATGCAAGACATCTCATGGGAAGTAACACAGAACACCAAGATGAAGTTGAAGCATTGGTAACAGCAGAAATCCAGCAGCGACTGGATCAAAGAAATGTTGATGATCTTTTAACTCATGATTTAGCATTTAATGATAACATCTATGCAGCCGTGGTTCAAGTTCAACGAGATCACGAACATCAACAAGGGCCATCAGTTCAACAACACCGTGAAGTTGACGTCCGAAGTCAACATGGACAACAACTGCAACTGCAACTGCAACTGCAACAACAACCGCAACAACAACTGCAACGACAATCACAACCACAACTGCATCATCAACAACAACAACAACTACAACTGCAACAACTGCAACAACTGCAACAACTGCAACAACTGCAACAACTGCAACAACTGCAACTGCAGCTTCTTCATTCTTCCTCTGGGAACCATAATAATCTGACCCAACCATATTCTAACGAGACAACTGACTCACATGAAGCTAACCAATTTCATTCATTTAATTCCTTCAATAATGCATATACGCATTCTAACTCCGGTCAGTCCAAGCCCAATGGCACTTTAGTGGTTGGGACAGATTATCACACCAATGATGCCGATGGAAGAGAGGAAATTGAGATTGCCAGAGCTTTGATCCAAGCTAATGAGGATGTGAATCACCACCATCGAACAAAGGATAACAGTCCAAGTAATACCAATTTAGATCTTTAATCTACGGTCTACGAGCAGTTATTATGCAAATTGTATATTATTAATATTATTACTATACATTATAGATTTGAACTTGTTTGATTAACTAATTTCCCCCGAAATTAGTAAAGTAGATAGTTATGGAAGCATATTTTAGTAAACTCATTAATTCCCCAATTAAAAGTCACCGCTTAATCCTGTGGCTTCTTAATTAAAAGTCAACACCGATAACCATAGCCAATAAAGCCATTCTAACAAACAAACCGTACCTCATTTGTCTAAAGTAAGCAGCTCTTTGATCAAAGTCAACTTCCTCTCTAATTTCGTTTAATCTAGGTAATGGGTGCATGACACACATGTGTTGCTTGGCATAAGACAAGATCTTGTTATCAACAATATAAGTGTCCTTTAATCTCAAGTACTGTTGTTTATCAGTGAATCTCTCTTCTTGAACTCTGGTACAGTACAACACATCTGATTTGGCAATTAAATCAGGTGTCAATTCTTCAGATTCCGCAATCAACATACCGGAGTTAGTCAATTCTTGCTTAATACTAGCAGGCAAAGATAATTCCTTAGGACTAACCAATTGAATTCTCACTTGGTAATGTCTGAATAATTGACACAAGGAGTGAACTGGTCTACCGTACTTCAAGTCACCCATAAAGGTGACCACAATACCGTTCACAGTACCCAATTCTTCTCTAATAGTGAACAAATCTAAAAGAGCCTGGGTAGGGTGTTCCTTAGAACCATTACCTCCATTAATAATAGGAACAGGTGAATACTTGGTAGCAATATCAGCAGATTCTTCAGATGGATGTCTTAAGACAATGGCATCGGAGTAACAAGCCAATGATCTAATAGTGTCTTGTAAGGTTTCACCCTTCTTGACAGAAGATGAAAGACTGTCAACGTTGACAACTCTACCACCCAATCTTTGCATAGCAGTGTCAAAGGAAGAAGATGTTCTGGTAGATGGTTCGTAGAACAAAGTAGTAAGAACTCTACCCTTCAAGATGTCCAAGACTCCTTGTCTTTCAACAGCCAATCTCATTTCTTGAGCAACAGTGAACAAAGAGTGTAAGTCATTTCGGGAGATTTGCTTAACACTCAAAATAGAGTTTCTTAAGAAACGGTTATGGTGTCTGATGTAGTCGACCAATGCATTGATTTCACCCAATTCTCTAGGAGGTTGTTGAGAAACCAACTCAGAACCCAACTTTTCAAATTCAGCTGGTTCAGGTTCAGCGTCCTTGAGTAAAGAAGGACGACGGCCTTCAGAGAAGGAGAATCTAGTCTTTTTGATAACAGCTGGAGAACTGGAGCCAGCAGCTGAAAGAGATCCAAAACGGTCTCTGGCTTCAACACCGTGCTTACCAATGGCAGTTTGAGTAGTGATCTTACCATTCAAAGAAACGGTCTTATCGTTAACAGAAACTCTTTCAACGGAACCAGTCAAGGACTTGTTGGCAAACAAGTCAGAGATGAAGGCTGGAGTAGATGCAATACTTCTATCTAAATCAATCTCAACTTCAGCATCTTGAGTTGGAATGTTGAAGATCTTAGAAGGAGCATTGTGGAAACGTTCAACAATGTCTTCAACAGTAAGCTTACCGCTCTTAACAGCACTAATCAACAATGGAATAGTGTCAGCAAGACCCAAACCAGGAGTAACGGGTTTACCGGTAGCCTTAGCAATCAAACTGGGGATAACACCAATAGAGAAGGCATCAATAGACTTTAAACCTTCCCATAAGGCATTTTGGTCATTTTTGGTGGGTAAGAAGGAGTAGTTCAATTCATCTCTTGATAAGAACAAGGAGTAAATGGAAACATCGCATGTTACTGACAAGTTCTTGTCCTTAGCCAAACAAATCAAGTCCAAATCTTCCTTGGAAGAAACTCCGGTGATGTGAATGGATCTGTTGTGCAAAGATGCAAGCAACAAAATGGATGCCAAATCAGTAGCCTTAGCATCAGTGATGATTGGCTTTTGAACCGGCCAGTGAGTGAAATGAGTAGAAATGGCACCCACCTTGGAGTTGGCAAAATCATTGAATGGAATATACAAGGCAGCAGCTTTAACTGAAGCATCAGCAACAGCTTCAGCGTTGGTTTCGTTAGCAGCAATAGCAAAGGAGAAATCAGTAAAAGCGTCTGGTTCGGCAGATTCAATGACATTGACTAAACTATTGAAATCAACAATACGAGAACCATCAGTAGTTTGAGGTAAGAATGAGTTGAAAGTGAACCCGGACGTTAAAGCCTCCTTAGAGATTGCTTCAAAGTCATTGTGAGTTGGGACAAAAGTACCAATACTGATCAAACCAGGTAAAGTAGCTGTGACATGAGAAGTTTGAGCATCTCTGTTAGACACTTCCAAGGGGATGTGTCTAGCAATTGCTTCAACCAATAACTTAGCACACTTAACGTTGGTAACCAAAGGAATAGAATAATCCACAGCCATACGACGAGATTGGTAACCCTTAGACATAAAAGAGGCAGGACGACGGAATCGGTTGGAGGAGGGCAAGTTGACATACAAATCAATCAAGTTGTTAGCCAAATGTTGAGTCAAGGAGTATTCTGATTTTTGGTCTTCTTCCTTACTCAACACTTCCAAGTAATGCACTGGGATGTTGTGTTCTTTAATAAAATCAGCAGTACCAGCAGTAGCAAAAATCTTGTAGCCCATTTCAGATAACTTGGCAATAGAAGGCAACAATTCAAGCTTTTCCTTATAAGAACCAATAGAAAATAAAATATTCTTCTTGGGTAATTTGAACCCCGTAGAAATCAAAGACTTCAAATAAGCTTCATATTTGTTTCTACCAAAAGTAGCAACTTCACCAGTAGAAGCCATTTCAACACCCAAAACAGGATCAGCACCAGCCAAACGAGAAAAGGAGAATTGAGGAACCTTAACAGCACAATATTCTTCAGGCAATTTCTCACCAGGGTAAGGAGTGAAGGGCAAGTCCATGATAGCCTTGGTGGCCATTTCAATCAAATCAGTACCCACAACCTTAGAGATAAAGGGGAAAGATCTAGAGGCCCTGACGTTACATTCAATAACCTTGATGTCGTTATCCTTTGCAATGAATTGAATGTTGTAAGGACCCGTAATATCCAAAGCCTTACCGATTTTAGCAGTAGCTTCAACGATTCTCTTAACAGTTTGAGGATCTAAATCTTGAGGAGGAACAATCAAAGTGGCATCACCAGAATGAACACCAGCGTTTTCAACGTGTTCAGAGACAACGTGCATAATCATTTCACCATCCTTAGCAACGGCATCCATTTCAATTTCCTTAGCATTTTCAATGTACTTGGTAATAACAACTGGGTAGTCAGGAGAAACTTCAACAGCTTGGGATAAGTAAGAAGCCAAGTCATCTCTAGAGTAGACAGTGTTCATAGCAGCACCAGATAAAACATAAGAAGGACGAACCAAAACTGGGTATGAAACTCTTTCAGCAAACTCTTCAGCATCCTTGATGGATGACAATTCCTTCCAAGCTGGTTGATCAACACCAATCTTATCCAACATTCTGGAGAACTTGTATCTGTTTTCAGCAGAGTCAATCATTTCTGGAGAAGTACCCATAATCTTAACATTTTGACGGTGTAAAGTCAAGGCAATATTGTTTGAAGTTTGACCACCCATAGAAATGATAACACCGTTAGATTGCTCCAATTCGTAAATATCTAAAACTCTTTCCAAGTTGATGGTTTCAAAGTACAATCTGTCAGCTTCATCGTAATCAGTGGACACGGTTTCTGGGTTATAATTGATCATAATGGTCTTCAAGCCATTTTCTCTCAAGGTTCTAATGGCTCTAACTGCACACCAATCGAATTCAACAGAGGAACCAATTCTGTAAACACCTGAACCCAAGACAATGATACCGTGATCGTTGAAGTGAACATCTGAAGAATCAGCATTATAAGTCAAGTACAAGTAGTTGGTGAAGGCAGGGAACTCGGCAGCAACAGTATCAATTTGCTTAACAAATGGAATCACACCTCTTTCCTTTCTTAATCTTCTAATGGCAACTTCATTGGAGTTCAAAAACTTGGCAATTTGTCTATCATCAAAGCCCAATTGTTTAGCTTGTCTCAAAACAGTAGTGGGTAACTTTTCCTTTTCAACAAATGATGAAACGTATTGACCAAACTTGATGATGTCCATCAACTTGTTCAAGAACCATTTGTCAATGTTAGTCAACTTCCAAATCTTATCAACAGTGTAACCTTCAGCCATAGCGTTGGCTATGGCAAACAAACGTTGATCGGAAGGAGTTTGCAATTCACTGTCAATGTTCATCAAAGCTGGGGTGTCACCGAAACCTAAGTTTTGATAGTCTGTAGATCTAATAGCCTTTTGAATGGCTTCTTCAAAAGTTCTACCAATAGCCATGACTTCACCAACAGACTTCATGGAAGATGATAAAAGGGAGGAAACACGAGTAAACTTCTTCAAATCCCATCTTGGAATCTTGACCACACAGTAATCCAATGATGGTTCGAAACAAGCAGAAGTAGATTTGGTGACTGAGTTTCTGATTACATTTAATGGAATGTTTAAACCCAACTTAGCGGCAGTGTAAGCTAATGGATAACCAGTAGCCTTAGAAGCCAAAGCAGATGAACGGGATAATCTGGCATTAACTTCAATGATACAATATTCCTTGGAAAATGGGTTCAAGGCATATTGAATGTTACATTCACCAACAACACCCAAATGTCTGATCACATTAACAGCAGTGGTTCTCAACATGTTGTAATCTTCATCAGACAAAGTTTGAGAGGGAGCAACAACAATGGAATCACCAGTGTGGATACCTAATGGATCAAAGTTCTCCATGTTACAAACAGTAATACAGTTGTCAAAGGCATCACGAACAACTTCATATTCAACTTCCTTCCAACCCTTCATTGACCTTTCAACCAACACTTGTGGAGAAGTAGCAAAGGCCTTGTTACACAAGGCAACCAATTCCTCTTCGTTATCAGCAAATCCGGAACCCAAACCACCCAAGGCATAAGCAGCTCTGATAATCAATGGGTAACCAATGTTATTAGCAGCAGTAATAGCTTCTTCGACATTGTTGACGGCTTCAGATTGAGCACACTTTTCATTAATTTCCAGCATGGCATTGGCGAAGAGTTCTCTATCTTCAGTGGTAATAACGGTTTCGATAGGAGTACCCAAGACCTTGACTCCCAAGTTTTCAAATTCATCCTTCAAGGCAATACCAACACTCAAGGCAGTTTGACCACCAAAAGTACAGTAAATACCATCCGGACGTTCGAATTCGATAACCTTTCTGACGAAATCAGGGTTGACAGGCAAAAAATAAACCTTATCAGCCAAACCCTTGGAAGTTTGAATCGTAGCAATGTTTGGGTTGATCAAAATGGTGTAGATACCTTCTTCTTGTAAAGCCTTGATAGCTTGAGAACCAGAGTAATCAAACTCACCAGCTTGACCAATAGACAACCCACCGGAACCCAAAACCAAAACCTTCTTAACGTCGACTCTTGGATGGGCAGCCAAATTATCAGCAACCAATCCACCAGGGAAGGAGATTGGTTTATGGATACCGTACTTGTTGAAGTCTGCAACAGCATTGATGAAAACATCGAAAAGGAATTCAGTGTCTCTTGGACCAGGAGTAGACTCAGGGTGGAATTGTACAGAAAACAATGGTTTGGAAGTGTGGTAGATACCTTCGTTAGAGTTGTCATTAGCATTGACAAACAAAGGTTTCCAGCCATCAGTCAAGGTGTCGATATCAACAGCATAACCATGGTTTTGGGATGTGATGTAACATCTACCCGAAATAGTGGAAGTACAAGGAATGTTATGGCCTCTGTTACCAAACTTCAACTTCATGGTTTGAGCACCAGTAGCTCTAGCCATCAATTGGTGACCCAAACAAATACCGAAAACAGGAGTCTTGGCTTCGGCAATAACCTTAGACAATCTGGAGACAGTCTCAGTCATAACAGATGGATCACCGGGACCGTTGGAGATGAACAAACCATCATATTCTTCAGAGGCGAAATCATAATCCCATGGGACAACCTTCAATTCGACACCACGTCTAACAAAACATCTGATTTGGTTGTATTTCATACCAACATCAACAGCAACAATTCTAAGTGGTTTACCGTTCTTACCCAATTTGAGGTTACCATTAGGCTTGTACAAAACTGGCTTGGAAGTAGAAACCTTTGCCACCAAGTTCTTGACGTTAGGATCATCCCATTCTGGCATATCAAAGTAAGGAGTCCAGTTTTCACCCTTGGTGATGATTTCAGAGGAGGAAAGAGTGTTCTTTTGCAAAGCCAATCTACCCAACGTGGAACCCTTCTCTCTTAATCTCTTGGTTAAAGCTCTGGTATCAACACCGTAGATAGCAGGAATACCTTCCTTCTTTAACCATTGACCCAAAGAAGACTTAGCCAAGTAGTGAGAGTATTCTTCAGTGTAGTGGGCAACTACCAAACCAGCAATGTGAATTCTGTTGGATTCAAAGTATTTGGGCAATGCTGGAGAATAATCATCATCCAACAAGCTCAAATCGGGGACACCATAATTACCAACCAAAGGGTACGTGATGACCAAAATTTGACCTTCATAAGAAGGATCAGTGATTGATTCAGGATAACCAACCATACCGGTTTGGAAGACAACTTCACCGGAAGCAGGAACAGGAGCACCAAAGGAATAACCTTGTAAGGCGACACCGTCATGGGTTTCCAAGGTCATCATGAGATCACCTGTGGATTCCATTGGAGGGGTAATAGGATGAGAAACCATTTTTATTATTTAGTTCGCTTCTATGGATTGAGGAACTTTATAAGTTAAGTTATTTCAAAGTCCTTTTGGGGGAAATAGACTGAATTAACTCAAGGTTGTTTCCTTTAGTTCACTAGTAGTATTGACAGTACCAGAAAGTGAAAAAAAGGCGAGGTTTAAAATGCAAGAAGCTCAGTTCAACTACTAGGCGGGGGATCTAGTTAAAGCCTAACTTCAAACGATTAAACAGTACTAGAAATAGTGATGTTAGTGACTTGCGACAAATAGAAAGGTTAACGAAAGAATCAGACTGCACTGGAAAAAAAATCGATGCTCATCTCGCACACATTGCCAAGGGGGTAACCAAATGACTGAAAAATTATCATTGGATGGAACAAAGGGCTTCAGGACATAAAAATTTGGCTCAATCTTTGACTCGGAGAATGTAAAGAGCAGGTTACGAGGAACAAGATACAAATACAATTGGTCACAAATCAATAACCAATGGGTCTAGTAATGTCTTCGTTCCTCGTCTTTCAGTCTGTAAGTTGCATCACATACTCGATATTTCGCGTAGAATGTTGTTCCAGCGAGATTTGTATTTGATACTTGCTGAAAGAAGAAGAAGAAGAGAGGAGAAAGAGGAGAAGAGAAGAAAGAGAGAAAAAATAAAATAAAATAATAAAAGTGTCAGTAACCTTCATCTTTAAACCCCAGGCAATCCATCACCCTATTTATACATCTTGAAAATGTCTTCTACCTAGAGATGAGATGAGAGAAAATGCACACTACACACACACCAATGGATGTAAGTATGTTGAAGTCAGAGGTTACAAAGCCGGAAACTCTTGTGCTATTACTATATAGTTCCCCGGTTTCAATGATGATCTGAAAATTTTTTGTTTGTTCGCAGGACTTATTATGTCCTTGTTATGACTCACCCTCGGAAGTGGACGAAGTTGAGATGTATCAGTCACGTTACTGCCTCTTACGTCAGCTCATCTGCACCTAACGTACTCGTGCTACCATGGAGATGAGATGTCGTCACCTATCAGGCGGTTGGTGTATACACTAAACACGTTTAGTTTGGACACTCCATATTACGTACCCAAGATAGATATAGTAGATAATAAGTCAGCTACAATCTGTCGGTTGCACACTAGTTACAATTGTAATCATTTGACGCGAGGGTAAGGAAGCCGGCTGATTGAAGTAATATTTTCAAACAGAATCTTATACGCTTCAGTTCGATACTACCACGTAGATTATTTCCCACACTTAAGCATAATATTTTTTTCGGGCTTAGGATGAACTTATTGCAAATTTGGGCCTAAACTTCTTCTTGGTAAAGTTATACTTGGCCTTGGTCGTGCATTCCGCAGGCCGTTAGTGCCAACATCTACTGTGAGTTGAGTTTATAATGATGAAATTCTTATGTCAAGGCTTTTTGTGGTAAGTGAAAGCGAAAAAAATTACGTCAAGCGAAGATTAATGAGATTCAGATTCATATTCGGTAGTAGTAAACGGGTCACAATTAATTTTTGGTACAACCTTCTGATTCTTAAATAGCATACCCCAATATCTCGTCTACTAAAAGCTGGGCCTGTGTGGTTGGTTGGTTGAATATCCCTATTTTGTTTAGTCATTTGGCCGCAGCTTGGGACTCTACTTGAGGCTGTTTCTGCTGTTAATTAGTGTCTGTGATACAATTAATCGATATCACCTTCAGTTCAATTTTTTGCAGCAACATTGGTTATCTGCTCAGGTAGAAACCCCAAACACCAGTGACGGCTTAACAATTGAACTGATACTTTGCAATAAGCTGAGTGGTGGTTGTTATCTTCTTGTTCAGTGTTGGTGAAACGTGGTATCTGCGCTTTACTTTGGCATTTGAATTTTTCTAATTTTTTGGTCGGTAATGGATGGAAGCTCTTTAAAGTCATTGTATAGCTTCAAAGAGGGCTTTGGAAAACAAGTTCGAGATACTATTCATAGTGTTGGTCAAACCATAGACCCTATTGTTAAAAAGTTTATTCCAAACTTCAGAGCCGCTCATTATGTTTATATTATATCGTGGTGTATCGTTGGTTCTATCCTTGTCTATCCAACACATAATTTGGCATATATTGATGCATTATTTCTAGCCACTGGTTCGGCCACTCAAGCTGGGTTGAACACCACAGATGGTAATCTATTGAAATTATATCAACAAATTGTTGTCTACATGATAGCAATGGTTACTACCCCCATTTTCATTCACGGGTCTCTTTTGTTTGTTCGGTTATATTGGTTTGAGCGGTATTTCGATAACATTAAGGAACGTTCAAAATTGAACTTTAAAATGAGACGTGAAGCAACTTTGGCAAGAACAAGAACCTATAATTCTTTTGATCCCACTATGAGAAACACATACGTAAACCAAGGTCTTGGATTACGTAAAAGGAATAGTCGAGCTACCTCCTTGCGAAGGAGAAGCACAGGAGGTATGTATTCTCGTACGTTGGTTTCGAACTCAGCCCAAAGAGGGAATGCTGGCAGGGACACAAGCCAGGGCCTTCGACCTGGTCTTGAACCACTTCGCAGGAACTCCTCTACTTCGTCTCTTTCGTACCGCATTGAAAAGCCAAATAATCAGCTGGTTGAACATCTTACAGAACCTTCAAGTGAAAATGAAGATGAAATTGAGCTTTCAGAACAACCTCATCAAAATGGTTCTCTAGTACATGAAGAGCATGATTCTCTTCAACAAAATCAAGAACCTGAAGGTATCAAATTTGCAGAGTTGCCTCACCCTTCAAGAAGACCAAATGGCCATTCCAGGCACCCTTCAAATCTGAAACCTTTAACTTCTGGACCTCGTAGAAATACTGTCGATCCTTCAGATATGTATCGTTCTATCGCAATTATGCAAGAGAATAAAAAGCAAGAGAAGTGTGAAAAGGAAGTTTCTGGAATCAATGGTGATGATGATGATGATGATGATGATGTTCTCATCATCAGGCCCCCGAATGAGATTGAAAATGATGTTTCAGGGTCAATTTACACAACAAAACTGTCTAAAAAAGAAAGAGCCAACTCAAAGCTCAGACGTTCTTGGAAATCTCGGAAATGGTCATCGAAATTTAGAAATAATTTCACCAACACCCAAAGGCATCCACGAGCATCCTCTCCTGTTTCAGAGGGTGCGGATGACGAAGGTTCAATTGATTCAGAGTATGATAGTGAATTTCAGAAGTTGAAGGAAAAATTGAAGAGAAATGATCATAACAATGAACATGCGATTACAGATGATGAAGATGAGGGCAACGATGGTAATGACGAAGAAGATAAAGCGAGCAAAAATGCTGATAATCATGATGAGGAGGAGGAGGAGGAAGAAAACTCGGACTCAAGTATTATTTCAGATGACGGTTCTGCTGCTCTCAGTAGTAACGATGAAGATGATGAGAACGATGAAAATCGTGAAAATGGTGATGAAGATTATTTCAACTATAAGGGAAAATATAAGGAAGATCTAGACAGTAGTTCCAACTCAAGTCCTCATTTAAACATAGTGCTTCCTGATAGGCATGGAACGAATACTTCAGATGGGAATCAAATGAGGTCTCCTACATTTGATCGTTTCTTTTCACCAGCAAAGAATTTCGGTAAGAAAACCAGGAAAAGTATATCCAAAACCACTAGTCGTGGGTTAAGGAAATTGGGTAGTGGGTTTATTCGGTCAAATTCATTTGCCGTTTCGGAGTCTAATAGAGTTAATACTGGTCCCAGTATAAATTCACATGATGGTGAAGAATACGATGACTATGATAATGATGATGATGATGGTGGTGATGCTGATGATGGTCGAAGTTATTATACTGATATTGAAAACAATTCATTACGTAAGATGAGTACCAATTACTTGTCTTGGAACCCTACAGTTGGTAGGAATTCAACTTTTATTAATTTAAGTGATGATCAGAAGGAGGAACTTGGTGGTGTTGAATATAGAGCTGTTAAGTTACTCATTAAGATTTTGCTTGTTTATTACATTGGTTTTCATGTAATGGGAGTTGTGGCCTGGGTGCCATACATTTTGAAAACACTTTATTACAAACATATAGTTAATGTTCAAGGGTTGAATGCTGTTTGGTGGGCAATTTTCACTGCCCAATCTTCTTTCAATGATTTGGGTTTAACAGTTACAGCTAACTCTATGGCTGGGTTTTCAAATTCGGTTTATATTCTTGTATGGTCTTCATTTTTTATTGTTATTGGGAATACGGGGTTCCCCATTTTTTTACGGTTTTTGATTTGGATTATGTTCAAGCTTTCAAAGCCTTTATCATTATTTAATGAATCATTGGCTTTCCTCTTGGACCATCCACGTCGTTGTTTTACTTTGTTGTTTCCCTCCGTTCCAACATGGTGGTTATTCATTGTGTTGGTTGTTCTCAACTGTATTGATTTGTTGCTCTTTATCGTTTTGGATTTGAACAGTGATTATTTGAAGAAAATTCCCATTGGATACAGAATTTTGGACGGATTGTATCAAGCATTCAGTACCCGTACCGCTGGGTTCACAGTGGTTGATTTATCCCAGTTGCATCCAGCAGTCCAGGTCAGTTACATGTTGATGATGTATATTTCTGTTCTTCCATTGGCTATTTCCATCAGGCGTACAAACGTTTATGAAGAACAAAGTTTGGGAGTTTATTTGAAAGAGCAAAACCCAGAACATGATATAGATGAAAGCAAAAGTTCACATTTTATTGGTGCACATTTAAGAAACCAATTGAGTTTTGATTTGTGGTTTATATTCCTTGGACTTTTCATTATTTGTATTGCTGAGGGCAATAAGTTGGATAAAAATAATCCTAGTTTTAGTGTTTTTGCCATTTTATTTGAGATCATATCTGCTTATGGTACCGTGGGGTTGTCATTGGGCTACCCTGGTACCAATACTTCATTTTCTGCTCAGTTCACCACCTTGTCCAAACTTGTTATCATTGCCATGATGATTAGAGGTAGACACAGAGGGTTGCCCTATTCTTTGGATCGTGCCATTATGTTGCCCAATAAGATGATGGCTAAGAGGGACCATGTACAGCAAGAACATGCAATCAGAAGAAATACCACCATGGATTCAAGAGGAAACACCCTATTCAGAAACAGTTTCAGTTTTGATGCTCCTAATGACGTTCTGAGTACAAGCGGTAGTAGTCATCTAACTCCAAACAAACACTCCGATAGAGGATTACTTAGACGGGTGATAACAAGCGGAGGGGATATTTTTGAGAACCCAGGAAGAGTGTTACTTAATAGAAAACGAACAACGGGTGCAACTGCCAATTATGTTTGAAACAAGCATTTACCATAGACTAGTTCATTTCTATTACTATATTTATATCTTTAAATAATCTTGTTCCTTTCCTTTAGTGCACTAGTTTTATTATAATACTATAAGTAGTTCTTTCTATTGGCAGTTCTGATATAACGTCTAACTTGGAATTCAGTGTCTGCATCTTTATTATCCAAAACACCCAGTTTAATTTCATATAACTTCATTTCAAACCGAGGCCCCAATTCTGATAATTCCACACCATCTCTATGTTTAACGTAGACGTGGTGTCTCACACTAATGAAATCTTCATTATTGACAAATGTAATCACTCTGGTACTGTCCTTCTTTGCTCCAGGAGGGAACAAATGCTTAAGAACCTGCTCTACTCTCTTCCCCAAAGGCGTAGTGAAATTTTCAAATATCAAGTGGGGGTATGATTCAGAAACATTCCCCAAGTTAGGCAAATCGTGTCTGAGTTTCACATTGTGAAGAGTGAATATCACTGATGGACCATGAGGAAAATGAGAAATAGTCAAAGAGGTTGGAACACCACGATGTTCATGGACAACTACTAAATCTGTTATGGAGGTACGAGCACAGGAAGCAACCAAATCTGGAATAACATAATTACCTCTGTTCAATTTGATACTATTAGGGAACATAAGTTTCAATTCCTTAGCAAACTGTAGAAGCTTAACCAGGGGAGCTCTTGAAGTTGTGATTATTACACGAGGATCCAGAATCCCCAGAAGTGCCAGGTATTCATCATCGATCTCTAGTTGTTCGCTTTCATCATATATGAAATCCTTCTGGAGTTTACCATCTTCTGCCAATTCTTTGGAAAGTGGTTTCCCCAGTGCTAAGGCTGCTTTTAATTGTTGTCTCTTTTCAGTTAACGTCGACTCCTGAAGTTGGAGAGCCTTGCGGTATAAATACTCTCGCCTTTCCCTAGCCAGTCTTCTGATCATTATCTTGTGGTGGTTATTATTGAGTAGATGGGAGAACTAGTTGGTCCATAATAACGGGATGACTGAAAATTATGGGAGATGCTCATCACGAGAATGTCGCAAGAAACAGGTACGACATTTTTATGCGAAAGGATTGTATTCCATCACCTTAATGAAACACATATATATATATATGTACTTATTAGTTTCAGGTATCTATACGAATCCATGTCCATGTTATGTATACACTTTAGTCTATTCCTCGTTATGGCAGGAAGGCTTTAATAATAGAACGAACTCGGGCTATATTGTGGTTTGCCAATCAGTTACGATCACGTGACCCGTTGGGTTGTTGGCCAAGTTGATGCCTGCCAATTGCCCCTAATGAAGTGTTCTAATAGAATAAGTTTTATGTAATTGTAGTCCGTTTATTGCTTACGTATATAACAAGTCGGTTCTTAATACGAATTGCACACCTCTAAGTTTTCGCAGTAATTTGTTGTTAATGTACAGAATATATGACCAAAGTAAGATGAACTTGTATGGTTCGATAGCGCCCTGTCTACAAACTGTCGACAAAAGAAAAAAGATTCTTACACCAAATAGCATAGACTATAGAAGCGTTTTATTATGTAGTCCATGGAGACATGTAACACGAGATTCAACAGTTAAATTGAAAAACAGCTAAAATAATTCAACACAAGTTTCTTCCACTTGAAGATGATGATGACACTAAAAATAACTACTACCTTTTCTAAAAATATTACAACCCGTTAATTTCGCTTGTTGTTTGACGAATACAATCGCCAATAGATGTCAGTACCAATGATTCCGTATCCCATAAAGAACTAGCCTGAGAACTAACCGATTTCCGTTTCGCCAATTTTGGTGGGAGCACTCTTACGTCCAGTTCTGTTAATTCTTGAATGTTATCTTCTGAATCACTGGATTCAGGAGAAATAGGTAAAGCCAGTTTGGATGGGATATTGGATTTATTATTGGCTTGTACATCTTCTTTATCACCATTAGAATCGTCAACATTTTGAGGTTTCTTATGCTTTCTTCTAAACACTTTAGATAATTGTGAAGATGTCATTTTGTGTTTGGAAACAGGAATCGCAGAGGGTGGTAATTGAGATTGTGGACCAGCAGTATAATTAGAAGACCCAGCAGTGAATGTTAATGGAGAATTGGATGTCAGATAATTCAGACTTGTCAGATAGGCAGGAGATTGCAATGATAAGTTCTGAGATTGTTGAGTGTTTAAAAATGTCAGGGAGCTTTGCTTGATCAATGGTTTACGAGAAGCAGGATGATCTTCCAGGTTAATCATATCAGCATAACTGTAAAATGATAGCGATCTTCTTGGTTTTGTTGATAATGTTGGGGGAGTTGGGAATGTTGTTGAAGATGATGAAGATGGAAGTTGCTGTTGTTGTTGTTGTCCACTAGAGGTTGCTGAAAGTGGAGGACCGGTAGTCATTGCGTTGTATGAAGTTGTCGTAGGGTTGAATCCGCCACTTCCACTAATGCTGTTGGAAAGGAGATTATTGTTGATGGAAGTTGAATTTTTAAATGAAGCAGGTGATAAAGGAGAATGAAATCCTCCTTGACCTACAGTTGATGAAGTAGTAGTTGGTGATGACTCCATATTACCTTGCTTATACTCAAATGGGTTTGCAAAATTGGTGTTAATCGGCAAAGCTTTGGACACAGGTGAAACATTGGCAGTATTCAATGCTGATAGTGAATAACTTGAGTTTTTACGTGAGTTAGGAAATTGACTTCCTAAAGAGTTTGGATTAGCAGGAGTTCTTCCTAACGCCATGTTAAGACTGATAACCGAGCTATTCCGCCTATTAGAGTAAATCATTTCCACCTGGTCCAAGTTTGTATCCTTATCGGAAAAAATTGAAGTCGTGGCATCTAAAGCAGGTGGTATCATATCTTCAGATTTCATAAAGTACAGACCTGCCAATTGTACTTGAGAACCATGATGGTTGCAGTTGGTTGATTTAGAGCGACGACATCTGTCACATTTTGGAGGGTGAATGCTATGAGTAGAGGTCATTCCTAGAACAGGGTTGACACTATTTCCTGTTGAATGAGATGAGATTGGAGAACCTGAAGTAGGTTGTTCCAAAACACAAGTCTCATCAATGGTACAGCAATCTTGAACCAGCCGTTCAAAAATACTATCAGGAGAACATAAGGGTGCTCTTTGAGAAATATCTGATGTGGAACGAGCTCTTGTTACAAACGTTGGAGATGGCACTCCTCCTTGAACATCAGATCCCTTACGGGATTGTGGACTGGAAGTTGTTGGTTTCAACTCTAAAGATTCAGCACCGTTATCAGATAACTTTTTTGGATGAGTTCCACTGTAACCACTCAGCTGTCTCTCAAGACCAGGAGGTGACAGATCCGTTGGAGATTGACTCAAATGATCCTTTGATTCTCCTGAAGAATTAGAACCAAAGCTAAACAACGATAATCTCTTTTTATTTTGGGACATATTAGGAAGTCAATTGAAACAGTATATTTTCAATGTAGTAAGCACCAATAAGCACCACGGCAGATAACACTGTCAATAGTCAAAGCAGCAACCGATGAAAATAAATACAAGTGCAGATACTAGAGTCAATATCTGATCAGGTAATTGGATATGACAAATAAGAGATGAAACAGATGAATAAATCAAATGAATCAACAAGAAAACAACAAATATAATAGGAATACGGTTTTCCAATGGTCAGTATCCTCACAAGATGTGACTATGATTTTGTCGTTTGAAGCAGTCGACAAGGTTTAAAGTGTTGACAAAAAACCTTTGGGAAGAAATGCGATAAATTATTGATAAGTAATCACTAGGCATTTGGAACAATGCGTTCTATATTATTAGGAGCACCATAGTAAAACCAGTGCTGACAGAAGAGAGCGACAATCATGATAGTGGCTTGTCGAGGTCTATGCAGGGAGGGGGATAATAACCACTATTTTGTGATCCCTTCCTCCCGACAATCAGACATTTTCTTTTTCGCAACAAGAAACGGGTCCAACCGCACCGATAAACTTTTAAGCGGAAAGCTCCTAAAAGAGATATATTCCCTGGGAGGGAAACAGAAAAGTCGTGTACCCAGCAGGTATATGCTGGTATGCGGAGAAAAGGTGTTGGGTGAACGGGAAGGTGGAACATGGATTCCGTATGGGTGACTTAGTCACTAATAATGGTGGGGTCAAGTTGAATGTAAAAATATAGAGGGGGAGGGGGGTTAATCTTGAAGTTTTGTGAGTGACTACAACCGCTAATTACCATAACAGTAACAGCAAATAGTCGATAGCATTACATCAGAGTAAGTAGTGAAGAAGATGATGCGATCCAAAGTTACGAAAGTCTGATTGTATTTGTATCAAGGGACACCAATAAATGTATATATAATCTCCTTCAATGTTTGAAATTAATAATAATACTAATAATAGTAATAATAAGTTTTAGTGCCAAAGTGTTATCATTATTTCCAGTTCAACCCTTTTATCTTGTAAATATAGATAATTTCTTTTATCGAACTGAATTATCACTTTTCTCTCACTAGGCTGTTTGTGGTTTGTGTAGGAAGGCGGATTACTATGAAAGAGTGTCAGAATTATAAAAATGTCAAGAGAAAAGTCAATATTAGTTGTCGTGCGCAATCCAACGATTTCCGTAGTGCGTAATCGCGTATCGGGGGTAGGGTATAGCTCGCGAAAAAAAGATGACCCCAAATGGCCTGTATACTGTCCGTTGTGTAATATGCTGATATAGAACATAGGCACGAAGATGGGGAAAACAGGTTTGTGTCGTATCTAATTAGGTATTAATACATCCTTCTAAAATATTCCAGACATGAAAAGTTGACACCAATGTTTGTCGTCATTTCCTTTATGTGGTGTTTGATTGTTTGCTGTTATTGATGGATATCAAGTCATGATTTCCGCATAAAGAATGTACTTAGATTTTTCAAACTTCATTCTTTCTGCTCTGCTAATATTTCAAGCTTGTTTTGAGGTAACATTGTTATGGTCTTCGAGAACTTTTAAAAGACCTTAGTCTGTATTCGTACATAGAATATTTTTAAGTTGTGGTTGTAGGCTTAACGTAAATGATTCGGTGGAAAATTGCCGCTTGGATACCATCTGGAGTCAACTCAAAAATTCCGACACTGAATCATCATTCACATATTCTATTAACCATGATCAGTCATCACTTGAATAACCCCCTCCCACCACAATGGAGCGGCACCCGCGATTGATTTCATTCAGGGGGTTTGATGTATTCCGAAAGATATCTCTGGTTTACGATTACTTCTGACAATTTTTGGTATGTGCATCAAAAGGCTGTGATGTTGGTTTCGTTGCTAATGGTCTCCCATGCTATCTTGTAAGGTAAGGTAGTAGCGAGATAATACTTTCCTTCTATACAGATTTTGAAGCAGCTGGGGAAACTTATCTTCTTTTGGTTGTCACACATACGTGTCACTGTTATGGTACCGACAAGGTATATCACTAAGTGAACGGGGCCTTAGATCGATATCCTTATCTCTAGTTATAAACAATCAATTCCACTAATATGAGGATATTGTGATGTTTCTAGTCATTGACTCTATATCAATTACTGAGCCAAAAAGGGTTAGCCCACGATAATTTTTGCGCCAAGTTTATTATGACGATAATCAACGAAGGAATTGAGTGGAACGATTTCAAGACGATTCGTTACCAATGGTTACTGTTGAATTCTTCAAGTGTATCATATTCAAAAGGGATTCTGGCCAGTATTAAGCGGGATTACTAACCACTTCTATTTATTTCCATTCAGTTTCCGATGAATATCTTGTTTTCTAAATCGGACACTAGATGATCGAGACAACCCCACGACATCTTGTGACCGTACTTCAGTGATCTCCGTAAGTCAGTGATTTCTTTACTTCAAGGATCTATCTTCGGCTCCAGCATAGGGAGTATTGGAAGATTTTGATAATGCAGCGCTTTAGTTTTGAACTATTTGTTTTTGTTGATAAGACCAGGAATAACCTGTTGCAACCTCATCCGTCACATTCTCAGATAAGATCTCTAATCTTTTTTTAGATTGTATTGTTGGCCTGTCGAGCGATTCAGTCATTAATTGCTGCAAAAATTTGATTCCATACCAAAAAATACTCTTATGGAGTACTCTAAATTTGGCAGCAATTGGTTACGAAATATATATATATATAAGGGCCACTGGTCGTCTATACTTTAAAATATATCTTGCTCTCTGTCTCATAAACTATACCATTCGCTAATACTATGCCTAGCTTCAAGAGTACTCATTCGAGTGTTCCACAAAGCAATTCAATTGATATGTCTGGAGATTCTACTACAGGCGCCAATGAGGTGAGCTATTTTAGATCGACTCGTCAAACTAAAGTGGTAGACAACCAGCAACAACCCAATACTAATGAATCAGACGCCGCTCAATCCGTCGCTACAATCCTGAGTGAAGGAGCCACTGATATGCCTGATTGGTGCAAGTTACTCATTGAATCGGATCCAAATTGCTCTTATAATGCTGGATCCCACGCATTGAGTGCATTAGAAAGCATGATATCCACGTACTTGAGGAAGGAAATGGAGTCAGAAGGTTCGTATTCTTCTTCAGCCACGCCGCCTACTTCCACTTCAGGTTCTGGTCGTAGTACTCCTACACCACCACCGGTGCGCGGCCACCACATTAGTTCTCTTATTAGTCACAAGATCAAAAAGACAAAACATACAAACAGATTATTCAAGTTATCCACCTTCTCAAGTGATGTAACAAAGAAGATTCAATTAGCTACAACTCAAAATGGATTACAAGGTACCTTTAACGCTAAAGTATTCCAAAAGATCAATGAACTCCAGCAGAGTCCTCATGGTTGCAAACCTGGATTTCTTTATGAATCACAAGAACTTTGTTTGGCAATTCCTCGTCTCAAGTACTTAAGAAGTGTTCAATTTCTTCAAAGATGTTGTCATGAGGATCATAAAGTTGAAGGAGAAACGTTTGATTACTCCTTCAATTTGGATCATAATCACGATAGTGTTTATACTCCACAAGTTGTTCGATCTGAAATCGATGAAGACGGGAACTTGATCAATTCCACAAGAGCAGGACTTTGTGCATATTGTGAAGAACCAAAGTTCTTCAATATAAAGACAAGTAGTTATGCTCAACATTTATGTCTTCAACATGGGATTCTGACACAGGGGAAACTTCTCCCCTTTCCCATTGCCTATGGTAAGTACTATTTCCATAAACCGGAAAATGTCACATCTAAAAAGAAGCGTCATACCGTGGCACAGTATCACTTTGATGATGCCGTGTTGTGTCCCATGTGCCTTACACCTTTAGGTATTGGATGCACAGGAAAGACCAAGAATCGTCCATTGGTGAATTATCTTCGCCATTATAGAGATTCCCATGGTCAATCCGCTGAAGGCAAACAAGCTTTGCTTGAGGCAGTGTGGGAAGCTCATTCTGAGGAATCTGAGATTTCGAATACAACATCTAGATGATACTTGCAATTTTCACTCGTGTGAATTACATTGGTGCTTTTTTTCCCCAATGGGGATATTTTATACACTTGTTATAGTACATTCATTTTAATAACATAAACATTGATAAGCTTTCTTGTTAATAATTGTAATACCTTTCTTCTCATACGTTAATTTACTTCATAATACGGTAATGCTCCATGCTTATTTTACATTTCATTTGCCTATGTGGTAACCACTTGATAGAAACGTTCGGGCCGCGAATATACACCCCATTTGGAATTTGATCTGACGTAACAATTGAAGTCCCTTACACGAACTGTTCCAAGAGTCTGCCAAACATTGAGGGACATCACGGGACGACATAACATAACTTTGACTATTACTTATGAGTCGGCAGGCTAAGCGTCAGGATATGAGTAATATCCTTGCTAGAAGTGAACATCCCCCGAACCAATCGCAAGCAGAAAATCGACTCCAAAAGCAGCAGCATACCACAGAACATCATCAAACACCGGCAATAATTACAAAGCCTCACTTGGAATCATCACCAGTACCGTCTGTTCAAATAAAATCAACATCATCAATATCTACGCCTATCACCAGTACAAATGCTCGAGGGCGGATGGATGGAGTATGGAATATCCCAAACCCGAACACTCAAAGTAATATTAAAGCTTCGACGCCTACAATGCCTCGACAGAGAAGTACTACTGTTAGCTCAATTGATTCCATTAGCATTAAACCAATTAACGGTGGTCATTCCCTGAATGCGATAAACAATATAGTTCCACCAAACTTAACACTTAATGTCAATAAAAATATCCATAACGCCAGTCCCAGTTCCAGCAGTCATCGGAGCCCGTCTCTGGCAAATCCTACCGCGATAGCTTCATCTGGCTTGGGTATTTCCAATGACGACCAACGAAGTTTCAACAGTATTTTTGTATCTACTCGAAATAACAGTTCGTCAAGCGTCCAAGGCCCTTCCCAATACAACAATAACAACATGGAGTTGTCACCCTTCTTCAACCATGATGATGGCAGTCAAATGAGTGATGGAAACAACACCGTATCATCTGGAACTGGAACTCGACACTTTTATAGTGGAACAAGTTCCTTAGCTTCAATGAGCCAAAATGGTTTGACAGGAGCAGCAGCAGTAGGAGCATCGGCAGTAGGCCTCTCAAGTATAGAACAAACATCATCATACGTTCCAGAATCTCCCACATTTGTTTTCAGTGATTTGGTTAATCTGTTTAACTCAAACAAAGATGAATATACTCTCGTGTCCAAGGGGAATGATATAATTGGGCTTTTACAAAAATATCCAAATCTACAACATGATTTACAACTCTCCAAAATTCTTCCCAAGCTTTGCTTTCTCATGTATCATAAATCACTGGAAGTCAGAGCTGTTGGATTTAAGGCTGTTCGGTATCTTGTGGGTAACACGAAAGATTTGTCGTTAATGATTGTCTATGGTAAACTTCTTATTTTTATCATTCGAACGTTAAGTAACTCCAAAAGCTCGTTTATAGAGAGATTGGAACTGGTGAAGTTGATACGCAAGATCATAAACTTACCGCCAAATGGAGTAGACTTTCTTTCCATTGGGGTAGTCAAAGCACTTATAAAACTCATTAAAGCCGATACTGATATGGAACCAACTATGTCCTCCACATTCAATACTCAACTGCCTCCACAGGAAATTTCCAATGATGAAGAAATTCAATTTGTGAAGTTGAATATTGAAACCATTTGTGAAATCACCTTGCTAAAACCTCAACTTTCATTTTATAGTGGGGGGTTTAATTTTCTTTTACTGTGTGTTATCAATTCCACTCATTATCCAATTGAACTCTCGGTTGTTTGTGTGGAAGTAATTATGAAATTACTTGATTGGAAGTTCTCTAGAAAATATCTAAGGAATGGATTGGACCTTAATCTGTTGATTCTGATATTTTCCGTTTGTGCTGACGAAGAAGATCCCGTTGAAATGGCCAGTGATGGTAAGCGTAAGCGTAAATCAATGCCTGCCACTGGCCTACAAAGTCATACGCAAGGAGGAACAAAAAAGAAGAAGATGACTTCTAGTGCGGTAAATCAATTACAAAGGATGTCTGCCTTGATTACAATGATTTTAAAAAATTTTAATGGAGTCATTTGTTTTACTATGAATGATGGGTGTATTCTTGGAAATTTACTCGAGAATTTAAAGAGAAGAAATAATAAAGTTAAAGATTTAATATTGGATATTCTTTTTGATGTTCTACTAATTCGGTCGTTGCCGTGGGCAAAATCTTGTCCTTTGGTTCAATGGATGGCTAGGTATCAAGCATGTTCAGCTGGTTTGACTCAACCAAAACATGAACAAATACAATACGACAGATTGCCCAAGTTCTTTTTAAGCTATAGTTTAACGAATCACTATGTTGGTCTTCTTACTTTGGTTCTTATCAGATTAGATATCATTGACATGCTATCCCAAGTTATTGAGGACGAGAAAACCCCCATTGCTCTTGTTGAAAAGCTGACAGACTTATTAAGTCACATATTACGTCTAGGCTCAGACTTGGTACCTCCGGAGTTGTTGGAAGAGAAATTGATAAAGCATAGAGCTTCGAACTCAGCAACGATTTTTAGATTGGATGAGTTTATTCATAAACTGCAGGCAGTGGGAACGAATTCATTATCCAAATCTACCACCCAAATCACCCGAGCAAATCTCTGTGAGGAACGAGCTAAAGCTCAACAGCAGGTTAATCTACAAGGACGACTGAATATTTCCAACGAAGAATTCAAAGCGATGATTGCGTCTACAAGAGTACTTGAAATAAAAAAATATGAAGATTGGAATCTACCTCTTTTAATTCAATTAGTTGAAGGTCCACTTCGGAACCCGAAAAGGTTTGATGAAATTATTGAACGTAATCCCAAGTTTTTAAAAAGAATTTTGAGTTTCTATCGACCATTCAAGTTTCGGTTTTGCAGTATGTCCATAAATTCTCGATACAAAGATAGCTTTATAGAGTTGGGATGTCTGTTGTTAGAGACGTTCTTACAAGTTGTTCCGCAAGGGGTGAAATATCTTGCTAATAACAAACTATTGGCTCAATTGAGTGAAATAATGGCCCAGATTGACCCTTATAGTGGTATAACTGCCCGAGACCCGACGTTTTCAAAGAGAAAATTGGAAAACAATTTAGGGTATGGGTACTTACAATTCATTGGAGTTTTATCAAGGTACGAAAGTGGTATTGCCATACTTGAATCATGGCAATTTATTAATATCCTCAATGACTTAGTTGACTACAGTCAACTTATAAACAAGAATAACTATTTCTTGTGGAACTTGTTCATGTACATTGATTTGAATAATACAAACTCCCCATTCAGAATTATCTTTTGGAAGTTGATGGTTGGCGCAAATCTCAAGTTACGGCTTAAAGTAATGGAGAAGTTGGTAGGACCTCAATTATTATATCTGTCTGAATGTCAATCGTTTATTTGTGAAATATTTGTTGAGTTGCTTATGGATCTGAATGAAGAAATTATTGAAAAGCTGATTGACTTTCTTGATATCTTACTAAATCAAGTTGTTGATACCGATGTATTTTTGGATTATTTCATTAGCTTGAAGCCATCTGTTAGAGTTTTAACGAAATGGCCAAAGGGGAAAGTATTAGTACTTAAATGCTTGGGCTGCATAAAAGGGTTCCGCTATTTAAAGCAAGAAGGTTTTGTTGACAAGGAATTACAAGCAAATTGGAGTCTGGAAGCTTTGGATAGTCTCAAGATTTTGCATACCATCGAAAGATTAATTCAACATCTGTTTTCACCATTATTACGTGGCCAGTGGACTTCTAATACCGACATGTCTTTTATCAAACAATTGTTGAATACAGAAGACGGTTCACAGTATTTCAGAACGAAGAAGCATCAATTGATCGATACAACTATCAAGGAAATATTGGATTTATTTCCTCTAGCCGTTGAGCAGAGAGTTACTACTATGTCGCTTAACTTTGAACGTGAACAGTCCAGCGGTGGTGGATCGGATGTACTGAACGTTATGCGTTCTGATATTTCTCCGACCAAGAGTATCAATCGGAATATATCCAGCTCCACTACCATTACATCACCAATAGAGACAACTACAACGGCAGCAGGAGGAGCAACTATCACTAGTACCTCAAACTGTATTGGTAGTGAGCCATTGGAAGATTTATACTCAAGTACCCAAAGAATGGCACGATTGAAGCAGAATTTATGGATTATTGGATTAGTGGCCTCCACAAAGTATGGCATAGAACTTATTGATCCTATGGGTTCAGCTAATATTTGGAACCAAGCACTTTTGAATCACTCGCCGTTGTTATCACCTCCTTTCACAAGATCCAACTCTGCAACCACCACACCAACCACAGCATCACGTACTTCTTCATTCACGATGAAGTCCAATGGATACCAAACAAATTCCAACAACAACAACAACAACAACAACAACAACAACAATAATAATAATAATAATAACCCAGTTACATCAGGTCAGGGAAGCTCAAGTGTATTCAATCCTGGCTCCTTTACACCCTTGAAATCCACTGCCACTGCCCGTTCCAGAGCATCCACAATAGTACGTGATATTAATCATAGCTCACCAGTTGCAGTAATTATAGATCTTTTCCACAAGTGTCCTATCTGGCAAATTAAACTGTGCTGTTTCTATGTATTGGGTATGATAGCCCTGACAGCTGAAGGAATGGAAATGCTTGACGAATTTGGATGGGTATCAGTTATTGATAATTATAAGATTGCTCGAGGTTATTGCTACCCTACTTTGAAGGGAACCATTGGGATATTTGAAGAAGAAGAAGTCAGTCATTTTGATGAGGGCATAATGGAAGATTTGAAATTTGAAGGTTATGAAGAGAGTAATGGGGTATTCTTGTCTGATGAATTAGAACAAACGGCAGTGTCACCATCTGATGTTCCAAGTTCGATCGGTGGTGCAAATATTTCTAATGTTACTCTAACTGGTGGTGGTGGTGGTGGTAATAATACTTTTAATAGTAAGATGACTGCTTCAACCAATATGGCTGTTCCCAATAGTACAACTATGAATCGTACCACCACAGGAGGAAGTAGCAATACTCCACTATCTACTGCTGGACCCAAGGAAGTGTATGACCACCAAATATTCACTGAGGTTACCAAGGCTCCACAACTAACAATAGCAAACGAAGGACAAGATAACCACGAGAACAAAGAAGCAGATCAATTTGAATCTGGAGAAAGTCAAGTTGCAACTGAATTAGTTACTCCTAGTTCGCCAAGACCCGAATTGAATGAAGAGGATTTGGAAGATAAATTGAAAAAGAGAGTGATTTCTTTGATTGTTCATATGAACAGCGTTTTGAGTAGAATTGAAAGGAAATGCAAAAAGGAATTGATAAGACTTAAAAGTTTAATTCCGGATTTATTTGAAAATAGTGACTTATTTCTTGAGGTGATCAAATTAATTGATAAAGGAAATTATTCGTTTGCTAGTCGGAACTTTATCTTTAATGAACTCTTTGATGAAGCAAAGATTTACGAATGCTTATTGAAGAATGCTAGAAGAATACGTTCGACTACTGTGTGAGAAAGGTTAGAATTTTATATAGAATATATGAAACTACTTTTGTCGTTTATTACTCCCATCATCATCAGTAGCTTTCCGTTTTCTCTTTGAAAAGATAGATAAATCTGTTTCTTGATTATTATTTTCACCTGCTTGACCATGGAAATCTTTCCATATGGTACCCTCGATATTATTGAGATTATAGAATTCATCTAGAACTCCATAAGGCTTGTATATCAATGGTTTCAATTTAGACACCACAAGATTAGGGTAATGTCTTCGTGTCCAATTTTCAATAATCTGAGGGTTTGTTTCCAATTCTCTTAAATCATCATTGGCTAAATCAGGTATTAACTCTTCAATATATAAATCTGATGAGATATTCTTTTTTAAATTACCAGGTAATATTGTAGAATCATCATATGAAGTTAAGACACTTAGTTTGGACTTCAATTTAGGAGCCATTGATATTATATTTTCAATTCTTTTCTTATCAATATGAATCTGTTCATCATCCTCATCATCTGATTCCTTGGTATCGTGTTCATCTTCTTCAAGTTTACCTAAAACTTCCAAGATTCCGTTATTCCGTCTTTTCAAATAGCTCAAATATGTTCTTGTGATCTGTTCTAGCTTAAACAATCGTTTACTTTCTTCAAATACAGCAGCAAACTTTTCTTGATATTTTTCATATGCCTTATGGTAATTATGGTCAACTTTATTCAAGTCTTTAGCAAACTCTTGATCGCTTTCCACCAATTCATCATCTCCTCCCGCTTCTTCTTCTTCTTCTTCTTCTTCTTCTTCATGGAAATGGTCGTTATAAAGTGACTTCGTGGTCTCTTTCGGCTCGTCGTCTCCTTCGTCATATCCCTCCACTGGTTCCACTACCAATGGGGTTGTTTGTATGGGAACAGCGTTTGGCTCACTGGGTGTGGGGTTTGGCTCTTCCACTTTTATGGATTCATGAACATCTGTTGTACCCATAGACGCCGATGGTCTGTCGGAGTTTACACTCATATCAATGTTGTATTAAGGTAATGAATCTGTAATCTTTTTGTTGGTACGATTAGTCCATGGACTTTACTTCAACCACTTTGAAGATCTACTGATGCTATATGCAGGACACAAACATAGCAAATATTTGCTCCGGAATAGATTGGCCTGGTGAGATATAAAAGAGGGGATGAAAACACCGGGGTGTTGAGATACAATGAAGCTATTGAACATGATGCTACAGTACTTGGTATATAGCTTACACACTACAACGGTATGAATTTGTTGGTTCAAGATGGATGGAGGGTAATGCGCTAACGGTAGCACCGATTAAGACTTTCTGTTGTGGTAGCACCGCGGGGGCTCGCGTGAAAAAAATCAAAGTGACGATCCAGTCGTGTCTTAAAAACTAGCCCAATGAAACGCGTTTAAGTAATAACATTACATTAGTTTTCAATTAATGAAATATAAACTCATTGAACGTATATAGAACCGTTTGGAATTATTTTAGAGGCTTCTCTGTATATATCAAACTCAATTGAAAAGAATAGTTGACACAGGCGCAGTCGATATACAGGTCAGATTTAGTTAGTATAATGTCTATCGTTTCACTCTTGGGAATCGAAGTGCTAAACAATCCTGCTAAATTCAATGATCCTTACGAATTTGAAATAACGTTTGAATGTCTTGAACCTCTAAAACAAGATTTAGAGTGGAAGTTGACTTATGTTGGATCGTCTAGATCTTTGGATCATGATCAAGAATTAGATTCCATTTTAGTTGGGCCAGTTCCCGTGGGGATCAACAAGTTTATTTTTCAAGCTGATCCTCCACTGCCAGAATTAATTCCTCCAAGTGAATTGGTTAGTGTTACAGTTATACTTTTAAGTTGCTCTTATGCTGATAGAGAATTTGTAAGAGTGGGTTATTATGTTAATAATGAATATGATACTGAAGAGTTACGGGAGAATCCTCCGGCTAAAGTTCAAGTCAATCATGTGGTACGGAATATTCTAGCTGAGAAGCCAAGAGTGACTAGATTCAATATAGTATGGGATACAGATGGTCCTGTAGACGAGTATCCACCCGAACAAGACGAAGAAGAAGAAGAAGAAGAGGAGGAGGAGGAGGAGGAGGAGGAAGAGGAAGAGGAGGAGGAGGAGGAGGAAGGAAGAGACCGAGAAGAGGATGAAGATGAAGAGGAAGAAGAATTAAATGATGAAGAAGAAGATGCTGATGAAATTAATGGAAATACAAAAGATGCACCAACAGCAAATGAAGAAGGTGAAGAAGTTGAAGAAGTTGAAGAAGATATCGAAGAAGATTTGGACGGTGAAGAAGAGGAAGAAGAGGAAGAAGATGTAGAGGTGGATTTAGAAGCTGAAGACGAAGATATAGAAGAAGTGGAAGACGATGATCAAGAATCAGGATTTAAAAGAAAGAAGCAAAAATTAGATTCTTCAAATCCTCCAACATCGAATTCAATTTCACAAGAAAAGTTATCGGAAACGTCAATTACCGAATCTAGTACTCTGACTCCTAATGATAAGGATGAGTAGACCCTATTAGAAGGAAGTTTCCCAGTTTTCCTCTTGTATCATTACATAACTTTTAAGTACCAATAAATAAATAATACTATAAAGTACACACTCTATATCAAATCATCAATAATGGAATTTAGTGTTTGACTTAATAAAGACACTATTTTCATATCCAATTGATGTTGATTCAATTTAGAATCGGGCCATTTATCCGGATGCCATCTGATACGATCGATTTTGATTAGTTCAAAAATTGTTTCCTCTGGATACTTGACATAATTATAAAAATTAACAAGTGATTCACCATCGTTTATCCACGTACAAATTTGCTCCTTCAGTGGAAAATGCTTATTATAATCACCAGCGTTAAATAATTGAAGAAGAGGTAATCTAAACAGCTGATCGTATTCTTGACGAACTTCTACTCCTTTTTTTTTGTTCTTCGTGATGATGCTGCTTGAAAGATAAGGATCATTTCTTCTTGGATTTAGGTTATCGTGTTCATTGCTTTCGTAATCGTTAATTAATTGTGAGTGATCGTTAGTGTCGTTAATGCTGGAATTCATCTGAGTGCTATCCGGGTCAATGGCTATTCTTTGATCTCCGAGTTGCAGCAGTTCATTAAAATACAGACTTAAATTAGATACCATTTCACCTCCTCGACTATGTGTAGAATACACTAATGGAGTTGTTGGATTTGCAAAGAATCGTTGATTATTGATTGGTGTTATAAATCTGTATCCGTTAATTGGCTGACCATATTCAACCATTTGTTCTGGAGGTTTAAAATGTGATTGTTGTTTCGTTGTACTTTGAGTGGAATTCCTTTTATCTGTTGGAGGATTAGAATTGTCAGGAGTCGATTGAGATATTGGAGTAGATATGGGACTGCGTTGCATCATAGATTCATTCTGAGAGTAATCTTGATCCGATGAAATATCTGATATTTGTTGTTGCTGTTCTTGGGACTGTTTTTGCAATTCTATATTTGCATATAATACCGATGATTTTCGACAATTGGAAAAATCTAGTATGGGTCCTTTAACATGTATTTTAGTAGCAGAACCTGAATTGAGTCTCATTCTCTTCCGTCTGGGTGAACTGGGACATGGAGTTGAATCATTAAAACTTATTTTAAATGTGGAAGAATTAATTGAAGATGCAGAGATGTTCAAATCTGTAAGAGTATTGTTCCGTCTATCTGACACTGGTTCGCTTGGTAGTTTATGAGATTCCAATGCCAACTTTCGGAATAATTGTTGATTATCTGGAGTTATGGTCATATTTGTTTGGATTCCTGTAGAATCAGCAGCAGGGGGTGACTCGGTTAAATTTCTTTTTCGTTTGTTGATAAATATTGGAGGAGGAGGAGGTATACTTGAAATATCTTCTTTTATTGGTATTTCATCAACATCAGATGAGTTTAAAAAGGATCTATCTGCAGCATCCACTGCATCATCATAATCAAGATCCTTCTCTCCATCTTCCTCATCTTCTTCTTTGTGTTTTTGATCTGTTCCAACTTTGTCCGTTTGTTCACCTATGGTGTCATTGTCGCCACCTAACAGGTGCAACATTTGCAGATGTTCGCCACTAGGTGTAGGGGAGCTCATGACTGAAAAAGGATTAGATTTAATAACAGTATCATCATGTTCATTATCAATTTCTGATTCTAGATGGAAGTTGTGTAGTTTGGAAATGGGAGAAAAAAAGGAGCTATTATGGCCTCCATCGCTTGAAGCATTAGTGGTGTGTATGACTTCCGAAGTTGAGTTATTTGAAAAGTGTGTCCCACGAGAGCTCCTTATTGGCGTTGAGGCACCAGCTAATCCAAAGGGAATGGGGCCATCGTCATCTTCTTCTTCAAGTCGGCTGCTTTCAAACTCATTGTCCGAAGCATAATGTGGTCTATGAACATTCGCACCAGCATTATCGCGGTGGCGATGACTATTAACTGGGGAAGAGTGCGATAGCTGTGCGTATGGAGTGGACGACCAATGTCGCGACGAGGGTGGCATATTTGGTGTGGAAGAAAGCAAAGGGCTCATCTCTTAAGGCAATGAGATGATCAGTTAGGGTAATGTTATTTCTGGGGTTGATGATTTGTTTATGTTTAATGTTTGTGCTATTTGAAATATCAACACTACCGGATCTGGATTAGTATAGCGGAGTCAAAACATCAACTAAGGGGTTGTGTTAAGTGCAGGGATTAAAGTAGGTGAAACAATAGTAGGGGGTATCCAAAACCTTTAGTCTACAGCAAATGCAGTTCAAGTTAACTACAAAGGCAGTTTGAGTCTCGAATACATCTTACTTAGATTACATGTTGAAGTATGCTCAATGAAGTATGTTTAATGAACGTTGATATCTTCATCATCAAACAACAAAATAATTATATTCCCACATATATATCTCCCTCTTGACATGACTGAAACTGATTCAAAGATTCTTGGTACGACTATCTAAGAATGTAATTATAAAGGTCAATCATTGTAATCGTGTGCATCCCAATATTATGGCAGCTGAATGCCACAACCATCTAAAGTTTATAATAGTGTGCTTGGTTCCGGAATGAAATGCCACAAACTAAACACGTGGGAAGTGAGGTTCCGACATCCGACACTAGACTAATTCCAACTCTAACCCTCCGCTATAGTAAGTTGTTTTAAGTTGAATTTCATCGAGGACCAATTCACTTCGGATTGAATGGTTTGTCGATACAAGATTCCATTTCTTTGCCATGGAACTCCATCACCTAGTAGATGAGCAATTGCCGTTATATTGATTGCATCGCATCCTATCTGCATCGCAATTGCCATGCACGTTGTGGGTCGTGTGGACGGATAAACAGGCGAGGAGTAGGAGATGGCTGAAAGCATAAAGCCTTCGGAGTTTTTGGGGTGACCTGTCATCACTCATTACCTCCTATAGCAGAACATGTAAAATCTTGTACGAAATATGGAGCAGTACTCGCTCGTTAATTCTGACTTAAAGAAGTTTATTTACATATCTGTATGATTCATTAGAGAAGAATATGATAATGAGTTAATACACAAACTTTCACCGAAGTGTGTCAGGAATCGTTATCATCACCCCACCTGCAAGTAAAATGTATATCAACCAAGCGGGGCCAATGAGATTGCGAATACCTCAACACAGGACTGTTGTTATCTATCCATTTAACATTTTCTCACGATTAGCAGTATACATTAAGAGGAGCACATGTGAGCAGCACATGCTAACAGTAGATATATGCCAAAAGTATCGGCTGAAATCTATGACTTTGTCATTAGTCATTCATGAACGTATGACGGAGTACTTTCACAATTCGCATATCATCCTTGCTTCGCCTCTAGAATTACGAATTATTTGTAGACAGCTTTGCGTTATATTGCTTTCAGTTGAACTTCGTTTTGTGTCTGCAAACGATAAACTAATATAAGCAGCAATCCACTCTTTTTTTCAGTGTAGCTTAATGCAGATCAGTTCTTTTGTTTATTCACCATCTGAAAAGGACGCTTTAGCTCCACCCCATGTTGAATAACGTGCTACTGCAAACTATCCCCTATGCTGCTGCTACAATAATCTCCTCAACTGAAGGTGGCGGAACCACCTTAAGGCAAGTCATATTTGGTGGGGCTTCGGCTTCAGAAGCCACATCTGACTTATCCTTTCGACATATCACTATGCTTACTTTTGAAGCTGTTCTTGAAGTTATCATCATTTGCTTTTTCGGTTTTATCGCTGCTAAAACTGGTCTTTTAAATACAAAGAATCAAAAAGTTATCAGTCAATTGAATGTTGACTTGTTTACTCCTTGTTTGGTATTTACCAAACTAGCTAGCTCACTTTCCCTTAAAAAGTTGGTGGACATCATCATCATTCCTATTTTCTATGCATTGTCAACTGGTATTTCTTATATTTGTGCTTTGGTGGTATCTAAATTCTTTGGTTTAAATGAACCTGAAACAGACTTTGTTACTGCAATGGGTGTGTTTGGTAACTCTAATTCTTTGCCTGTCTCTTTGACTTTAGCCTTAAGTTATACATTGCCTGATTTACTTTGGGATGATATTGATGACGATAACCAAGATAAAGTTGCTTCAAGGGGTATTTTGTACTTGTTGATTTTCCAACAGTTGGGTCAAATATTAAGATGGTCTTGGGGTTTCAATAAATTATTGCGTAAAAGATCTTATGAAGAATTACATTATTATGAAGGTGTTTCTGTCTCTGAATTTCAAGGCGAACTGTGCATCGAATCAGAAAATGTGTCTGATATCCTTCGTCACTCCGGAATGCAACCTGACGGTGAAGATGATGACAATACAAATAAGTCACCTGTTGTTGTTGTGAATGAAGAAGAGCTGATTTCTCTCACTGTTTCACAAGCTCATTTTGATGTTGCAAGTTCTTCATCTTCAACAACCTCTATTGAAGGTGCCACAAACCAATCTGAAGATGAAATTGAAAATTCCAAAGTATCACACAAGAACCATAATTTATCTATGAAATGTATACGATGCTTATGGTTCAGCATCAAAAACTCGAAGCCTGTTCAAGGATTTTTGGCTTTCATGAATCCTCCTTTGTATGCTATGTTGGTTTCCATTGTTGTGGCATCGATTTCACCACTTAGACTTGCATTATTTCCTCCAAACCCCCAGGAGCCAACTTTTGTGTCCAATACATTTACAAGAGCTATTGGTCAATTGGGTTCGGTTTCTATACCTTTGATTTTAATTGTTTTAGGATCAAATTTATATCCATCAAGTGACTTACCACCAGAATCAAAACATTATAACAGAATTGTTTTTGGTTCATTATTATCAAGAATGATTCTCCCTTCATTGATTTTATTGCCTATTATTGCTCTTCTGGTGAAATACGTTAATATCAGTATCTTGGATGATCCTATTTTTTTGATTGTTGCATTTGTTTTAACCATTTCACCTCCAGCAATCCAATTAAGTCAGATTACTCAATTGAATAACATTTATCAGAAGGAAATGGCGGGCGTGTTATTTTGGGGTTATGTTATATTGACTTTGCCAACGACTATTTTCATTGTGGTGACTTCATTAGAAGTCTTGAAATGGGCCAACTAGTTTGAAATTTTAAATGTCTTGTGAGCCATTCACATTATGCAGTGGAATATATATATAAATAATTTAGTAAACGGTAAGAGATGAGTAAACAATAGTACATGCTGTATAAGTCATAGTTAGTGAAGTCAAAAGAGAGTTAATGTTTGTAGTAAACCATTGTATAAATTTTAACTTGACATTTAGTAGTTATAGTCGTACCGCCTGTCTATTATTGTTTGTTCTAGTTGGAAAATGGCTAAATCAATGGTAGCGCCGTGGTATTTTGGTGAATGAAGAGCACCAAAATTTCGGCACAGATTACTTAATACGGTGCCCAGCGATGCGTATCCACTTAAAACACTATATTTCAACGATTATTTTTGTTCACAACCTGTATCTCAGAGTCATCACCTCTTATCGTAATCCTTTATCTACTAGAGAATTCAATTTGGGTAACACCATCAAGCTTCCCATTGGAGAGAAAAGAGTACTATGTCTAGCCAACTACTTTCTTTACATATATATATACAGATATAATATTGTGAACTGACGTCGTATTGGGCAATTTGCTATCAGGATTAGCAGGCTTAACAGCGATATCCCCAGAAAGAAACATGGAACGAACTGCTTTCACATACAGCAAGGGCTTGAAATGGCATCATACACTTTTAATCCTAATCGCGGAAAATGAATTTTGCTCCAATTAAGAAAAAGTAGCCGGCCCGCATTTGAATTTTGGTCCTCACACTTTATGGTTTTCAAAGTTAGTTTTCGGAGTAAACGACATCTAAAAAAGTGTAAACCTAACAGGGTATAAAGATTGTTGGATTGTTACCTTTTTTTTTCCTATCATCATTGTTGTTGCTTTTGAATTGTCTTTAAAGATTCTCAGGTTTTCAAGAAAATTTTATTTAATCAGCTTCTTTACCCTGCGCTTGATACTTTTGACAGTTAGCTAATTCTCGAGTAGTCTAATACATTATTGTTTAGTGTCAGTCCCGGGTTTAGAAAATAACTGGTTTTGTATCGGCCTTATTTTCTTTTTTCGATTGGCGAAAAGGAGGTCGCCGAAACTATTTCTCCATAATAATACTACTTGTCACATCGAACACCTTTAAAGTGTGTGGTATTATTCCATCTATCAAGTTAAAGAGCTCTCTGTCGTTGTCTTTGCAGAGTCATAGTTACCTGTCTAGGTTATTTTTACCAGTTGGACATTTTTCGCAGACTCCACTCATTAATAATACAATTTCAACTACCAGTGATTGATCTCATTCGCTCATAATAACCTCATATAAGTTATGGCAAAGACTCGGAAATTAGCTGTGGTGGGTAGTAGGTCAGTGGGGAAATCCCTGATGACAGTACGGTTTGTTGAAGACCATTTCGTGGAATCATATTACCCCACTATTGAGAACCAATTCTCCAAAACTATAGCATATAAAAATCAAGATTATGTCATTGAAATCTTAGATACTGCGGGGCAAGATGAATATTCAATAATGAATGAAAAGCATTTGATTGGAATCCATGGATATTTACTTGTGTATAGTGTCACACTGTTACAGAGCTTTGAATTAATCGAAGTTATAAGGGATAAGATTTTGAATAGTATTGGAGCAGACAATATCCCCATGGTACTAATTGGGAATAAATCTGATTTGAATTATCAACGACAAGTGGAAACTATTGAAGGACAACAATTAGCTGAGAAGTTTGGGTGTAAATTCTTGGAATCAAGTGTACAAGACAATGTGAATGTGAATAAAGCGTTTGAGACTCTTTTGGACTCTATTGAAACCATCACAAACCCTCCACCCAAATCTGAAGATAAATGTACCATAGTATAAATTGAGTAGGCAGGTATAGAGTATGGAATAGGATTGATACTAACATATTTTACTTTCAAGATGTAGAATGTCATGATAATTGAAAAAATACTTAGTATAAACGTTAGTACTCAAATGATGAATTGCAAGTTTGTATCAATAGGATGAGAAGAAGATAACTGAGGCTTTTGAGTATATTTACCAGAAAGGACATCTCTCATATTTTGCAATAATGTTAGATAAGATTGTTGAGGGTTAGTTGACATGACTCTGACAAAGGCATATGACATAGCCCCAGTGTTCTTACCTGCTTCATTGGCATCGGCAGACGTTTGATCATCTTTACAACCAGAAATAGAGATAACATCAGCAGGGCTGGTTTTATTTTGTTTGGTAAATTCTCTGGCCTTTGACGCCTTATCCTTATTAGCAATAGTCTTTACCAAACTCTTGACACCAGAAAACATACTCTTCTGATTACCAGTAAGATACCCTTGGACAATTGTCATGGCATCTTGGCCAGCTTCAGAATATAAGTTGGGTTCCTTCACAACACCTTTGGTGGAATAAATGTATGGTAGATCCAACATAGTTGCTGAATGACAAGCATCAATCAAAGCAGTTAAACGACATCCTTGAGGTAATGGTCTGACAACCCTATCATGGATTTCATCATCTACAATGAATCCGCTGGTTTCAAAGTCAAGTGGGTACAAACATTCGTCATAGCCATCATCTTCATCACCACTCAAATCTTCAGTTTGACCACCATGACCACTATAGTGAAGAACCAAATTATCATTAGCCTTGGCTCCCTTAACTAGCCAGCCAAAAGCATCAATAATGTTTTGTCTCGTTGGAATTTGACGTTTATTAGAAGCGTCATCTCTCAACATCACAATATCTTCTTCCTTGAAACCCCATTTCAAAAGAAACTGCTTCATATTTTCAGCATCATTAATACAGCCTCGTAACTGATTCTTAGTGCCAATATAATTGATACCAATTAACAAAGCCTTCTTGCTACCAGTACAATTGGAGTATTGGTATGTTTGCTGGCCATTCCCACCAAACGACTGTTGTTGGGTGCTTGGTCTTTGGAAGTTTCCTCCTCCTTGCATCTGTTGTTGGTTTTGATGAGGGGGTCTGGAATATTCTTCTCTACCGTATCCATTAATATTGTTGTTTTGGCCCCCCCATTGACCTGGAGGTGGTCCATTTGGTCTGGAGTAGTTACTATCATTATTATATCCGGATGGGGGGTGACTTGGTCTGGAATATTGCTGTTGTAGACCATAACCTTGGTTCTGGTTACTACTTCCATAACCCCAGTCTCCAGGTGGTGGTCCTTGAGGAGGACCACCGTATCCATTGCCATGATTACCTCCACCGTACATAGTCTCTAATCCTCTCGATGTATTCTTCGTGATTCACAGGTCGTTTGTGATCTTTTGAAAACGTCTTGTCTTTGTTGAGACTTCAATGTGAAGTTGTCAAAGCCCACTCTGGTTTTTTCTCCAGGTGTTCGCGCCCCTTTACATCATAGAGAAACTGAAGAAGAAGGTCTGTATATAGAATAGCAAACGATCTTTAATTGAGGAACCTTTTCAAAAGTGAAGGGCTACCAATGTGGAGCTTGTAGAAATATTCTACCTTCGGTAAGAGGTTTAAAATTATTGGAATCCTGCACAATGACCTGACTTCCGACTGAGACTCCGAGCCAAATTAACGTTGATTCGGCATCAATAGGTCGACGCATAACGTACTCTGATTGGTCAGCAAAATGATGTGCGCCCAAACTACAATTGAGCGATTTCCTGTATACTCCACCCCCATATTTCGGCCACTGCCATATGTCCGGTTTACCCATATACTGTTTGGCGAGTCATGAACAATTTGACTCAACAACATGACAAACTTAAACCCCCAAGTGTTGAAATGAATCTGGCCATAAGTCACCGGTCCGAAGAATTAACACGGAAAAGTGAACTACGGAAAAAATCCCGACATCCAAATGGTAAATTTGTCGATTTTCATTAGAGGTTGAAAATTCTCATTGATTCGCATTTAAAAGGCCGCTTGTCTGCACTTTTCCTCATAAGCCGTAATTCTCTTCTTTTCCTTCTTGTCCTTTATTCTTTTTGATTATTAAACTTATTCGTAAAAAGATGTTCTCCAAGATTGCCACCAGAGCCTTCTCCTCCTCCTCTGCCTCTGCCTACAAGGTTGCCGTTTTAGGTGCCAATGGTGGTATTGGTCAACCATTATCCTTATTGATGAAATTGAACCCCAAGGTTACTGACTTGGCCTTGTACGATTTAAGAGGTGCTCCAGGTGTTGCTGCTGATGTTTCTCACATTCCCACCAACTCCACAGTCAAGGGTTACCAACCAGAAGACATTGAAGGTGCTTTGACTGGTTGTGACGTTGTTGTTATCCCAGCTGGTGTCCCAAGAAAACCTGGTATGACCAGAGACGATTTGTTCAACACTAACGCTTCTATCGTTAGAGATTTGGCTAAAAACATTGCTGAGTACTCTCCAAATGCTGCTGTTCTTATCATTTCTAACCCTGTTAACTCCACCGTCCCAATTGTCGCTGAAGTTTTCAAGTCTAAGGGTGTCTACAACCCAAAGAAGTTGTTTGGTGTTACCACTTTAGATGTTTTAAGAGCTAACAGATTTGTTGCTGAAATCGCTGGTACTGATCCATCCAAGGAACACGTTACCGTTGTTGGTGGTCACTCTGGTATTACCATTGTTCCATTGTTCTCTCAAACTAACTACAAGGACTTGGCCACTGATGTTAGAGATAAGTTGGTCCACAGAGTTCAATTCGGTGGTGACGAAGTTGTCCAAGCCAAGGATGGTGCAGGTTCCGCCACTTTGTCTATGGCTCAAGCTGGTGCCAGATTCGCTGGTTCCGTCTTGAACGGTTTAGCTGGTGAACACGACGTCGTTGAACCATCTTTTGTTGACTCTCCTTTGTTCAAGAATGAAGGTGTTGAATTCTTTTCTTCCAAGGTTACCTTGGGTCCAGAAGGTGTCAAGACTATCCATCCATTGGGTGAATTGTCTGAATTTGAAGAAGGTTTGGTTAAGACTGCTAAGGAAACCTTGGTTGGTAACATCAAGAAGGGTCAAGACTTTGTTGCTCAAAACCCATAAATGTGACTATTTTGTCAAAGGTTCAAAGCTGATTATTTTTTCAGATTGAATTGTAAATAGCTCGTAAGAGACAATATACACTATTATGTAAGTGACAAATAATATATATACTATTTATCGATCACCGACCTCGGTTCTTGTAATTGTCACGTGCCGTTAATTTTGGATAAAGTACACGATATCTACTTTGATCCCGCTCCACGCTGAAATTCGGTATATTTCGGATTTAGACTTCTTTGAACAAACTCAAAATTCAACTGACAATTAAAATGCAGGCTATTTATTTGATCCAAGTGTTAGAATTATGAGTGAATTGTTTGTTTATGTTGCTGAAAAACGGCAACTCTAAGAATAGACGCGTTCCACATCACCACTAACAATGCAGTTTGGGTAGAGTAAATGCGGTGAGCCAGGTTGCAGATCAATTGTGTGTGCCTTACAACAACTTTTTTCTGACAACTAAGAACCTGGACCTTTTTAGCAACAACTTAAGTTCATATGCTTAACCCTAGACGATGAATTGGATACGTAGTAAAACTCAAGAACATTTGATGACTTGAGCTCCCTTCAAAGATACATTTAATTGCTACTATTATTAGACTATTTTTGGATACTATTTGAAAGGACGCTAAGCCTAGCAACGTATTTTTTTTTTTTAGAGTGGGCTTATACTTGGTTCAAAAACATAATGTACGTATTTATAGCCCCACATACTTAATCCCAAACAAAACACATTAGCTTTATACACTACAACAAAAACACCCCCAAGTGAGGTTAATTCGCATAGAATTTGCCAATAGGAAATAACGACTAATCTGAACACTGCCAACAGGAAGAGAATAACGACTAATCTGAAAACCAAGCTAAGGGCTATAATTAATATTTGTATGCTAATAAAGTTCGAAAAATATCTCATTTAAAAGGCTACCATTAACCCCAACAGTGCTCTTTTACGGCGTGCGGACGCAATGCGCAAGAGGTCAAAGAACTGATACCACATGTCTCCATTGAGTTAGAAAGTGGTACTAAACGTGCAGCATATCGCATTGCATCACATTGATGGGGGATGTTCCATGTATATGCATTAGAATTTGATGGAATCTAATTTAAGGTTTGAAGTTTTTTACTTTAGAAAGCTGGGCTGAGACCAGTTTTTGGTAGTTCATTAAGTTTTGATATGTATTTAGTATATTCTAGCCGTTGAGAATTCATGCACAAATGACCTCATAATAATTTACCTATATGCACGACTATTGTTCGGTATAAATTGGTTGCAGAAGAATAAACATGTCAAGATTATTTTCCCCTTCAAGGAAAGCAGTACAAGAATCTGTGATCAATTAAAAAGATGAGAGAACAAGGTCCTGTTATATGGTTTAAGATTTGATATTGTAGATAATAGAAAGGATATCATCGTATAGAAGACAAGTGAAGTTGGCGAAATATTAGTAGAATTAACAATTTTTCGATGGCAATGATCTCTTTACAATACGAGTCGCTTAGCATGACTGGTGGGGGCAGGCAGGCGGATCACGAGGGAAAAGTGATAAAAAATAATTAAAAGATTTGCTGATGAAGAAAAAAGGGAAACAAGGGGAAAGAGGGAATTCAAACAAGAGGGGTATAAATATTCGAATGATAACAATAATCGTAGCAATATTTAATGAAGATGTGATGTCAAGGGGAAGTTACTTTATTAGGATATTGAAATCAAAAAGGCTACATCGTGAGGGTTTTCAAGGCGCGGTGTGTGCTCTCCTGAAACCAATAAACGTTTACCGTGATTATATCAATCACCAAGGTCGAAGCACATTTATACAACGAAGACAATAGGGCTGTGATATACATATTAATTTATAATTTTGCCTTAGATATTTCGTAGGTCCAGACTATTGGAAGTAACAAGCTTTTATAAGTACGGATAACGGGCCGAACGCTCACAATAGAAGATATTACATACAGTCATAAAGACAATAGAATATTTAATGGGATCAATGGTTAGTATACAAGCAACAATAACAAAATTTCTCCTAAAGCGGGTTTCAAGTAGTAACACAACGTCAGTTTCTTATAACCTTGATTCAACCATCATATAACGTTGATTTGAACAACTATCTACAGTCTTGTGAGATGACAGTAGAAGCAAAGAGTATTCCAAGGGATCTATAAAATGAAGTATTATAGTTATAGCAACTAAGTACCCATTTAGCTGGTTCCACAAGTGAACAAAAGTAGAATTGAGTATAAGTTCACGTAGAGTGTAATGCTGCAGCAAAATAGAATACCACGTCCAATATTACTGTAACTGCTTGTTACTGTTACTACGAGTACCACTATTATTACCACTAGTATACTATAGTATCGTCTATACTTATCACTCGATTCATTAATACAGAAAAAGAAAATTGGTTGGCACAGGAATCTAAAAAATAAAACACCACAAAAGAGCTGCTTGCGAACCAAAAAAAGTCTGCTTCCCCTAAAAAGTTCACAACGGAATAACGCTATTATCATCACCATATCAACCCTCAATAGGGACCTATCATCATCTGATCTTGAACTTTGAAGCCGTCTTCAGACAAAATTAATATACTGAAAGTAGCACAGCTTCATCTTTCTTCCTCCTGTCCTTAACTACTACCTCTGTCTAGGAGAAGGAAAAATAACATAGCCTGAGGTCCACATAAGCAAGCCTTAGTTATATTCGTCAGCCATCATCACCACCACCACCATCACTTGGGGTTCTCGTCTTTTGATATATCCCCGTTGATCAAAGTCAAGATTGCCATCACATTCTCACACAATCAAAAACAATTCATACGAGCCTTGATGTTTTGCTGGAGTTAGTTTACATATTAAACCCGATCCAGCTTAGTATACAAACAAAAGCCATAGAAAGCCAATACTTCAGACGTATCATATTATTACTGTTATTGTTATTGTTATTGTTAATACTTGCATTAATTCGATCTTGCATTAGTTCGATCATCATATATAAAAATTATCATCTTGTCTCTGGCCAATTGACTCGAATTGACCTGACACCCTTGCCCTTTTTCATCCTTTGCTTTGATTTTCTACCATTTCCCAACGTCAAAAATTTCATCTTCAAAAGATACCTCCGACAACAGTCAAGAGGATCGCTGTCCTAAAGGTCCACCAGCTCCTTCATCCGAACAAGAGTATTATTATCATCAACAACAAGCTGAAGGTGAGGACGATCAAAAGACAATAGTAATGGAAAAGTTTTTAGTCAGCTCACCGGCCCAGTTGTCCCAGCCTTTCGAAATGAACTCTGATTCTTTCATCCAGTACAACAATATGGACTTTTTAGATCCTAATGCCACTTCAATGATAATGGACTCGAATTATCTGCAATCGCGTGTTTCTATACCAGTTCTGTCTCCACAGAATGCAACCGCTGACAACCCTGCTTCATATGGCGCCTTCTCGTTCCAACAGTTGAACCCGAATCAGGCGTCGGATTCGTCCTTACTATCAAGTAGTAAAGAGTTTGTCCCTGAAAATGACAGTGGTCAAGATAATAATAAAAATAATGACGACGACAATAATACTAGTAATAATGATGATGATGATAATACTGAGGACATGGTTCCTAAGTCAGACAACTCAACTCTTTTGCATAGTTCCGAGCTCATGGGCCCGAACCAATCATTGCTCAACAGCAACTCCAAGTTTAGTCATTCTAGGAATGTTTCATTAGACGATGGTTATTATAATACCTCATTTCTACTGGGAATGGCTTCGTTGTCCGCCTCATCCAATTTCGCAAGACCTCCACAGTCTCTGTACCAATCCATGCACTCAACTTATAGACACCATAGACCTACTTTATCAACGTCTTCTGTGGCCTCTGCTAATCAAGATCCACCGGCTTATTTAGATCATCAATATGGTCATCATCAATACCTTCTGCATCCAATGTCTATGCAAAATAATCCAAACTTGAACACTCAATCACAACAACAACAACAATCTCCTTCAAGTTATTCCATGGATTCTATGCATCCCCTGTCATCATCTATTTCGTTCCAATCCTTTCTGGAATCACCCCAATCATTTGCTAAGCAACCCTCACAAAGTCAAGTACTAAATACTCCAAGACGACACTCCAGAAACAAATCACTTTCCACTTCGTCAGTAAATACTTATGCTACTCCCTTAAGGGGTGGTCTTACTTCCCAACACCAAACATCTCAATCCAACTTAATCCCACAACCTCCTGGAATGTCCCCTGTGAACTTGATGGGTTCTCAAAGAATCACTAAAACGCCATATCTGGCAAAGGGTAAAGGACATTCAAGATCAAGGTCCAGAATGTCCATGGATGCTACTGGAGCCTTTCTTCAATCGTTATCATCTCAAAGTCAACCATCTTTACCACCTACACAACATTATAGTGCTCCCGGTTCAGCATCAGCAAACATCCAAGGTAAAAACCCATTTTTCAATTCGCCCATCATGTCTCCGGGAAGTCAGTCAAATTTAGATATTTCTTCAACGGCTACAACTCCTCAGCACCAACCACCTTCAACAAGTCAACGAATGCAACAAGCTAATTTGAACTTGGGACAAACAGCAGCAGATAGTACTTCATCATACCGAAGATCATCGACCAGTATCCAAAGTTCTTATTTCACTACGCCTCCAAGTACTTCCAAACAGCATTTACCTTATAATCCTCATATCCATCAACAACCTACCAATTTACTTTTGAGTGGGTTCTCGGGTGCAGGGAAAACCTCGGAGTCTCCTACCCATGAATCTAATCCATCTCTTGGAGGAAGTGCCCAAACTGGTGTTGGGAATGATTCTTCCACTATCATAGATGCGATCAACATCGAAGGACAGGATAATGATGCCTTTAAGCAATTGAAGAAAGCAAAGTCGCAATTACAGATATCAACTGTAGGACGCTTTCTTCAACCACCTCCACCACCACCTAAGTTTATGTCTGACGTAGCCACTGCAACAACAGCTACTACTAACTCAGCTCGGTATATGTCTAATGTTCCAGAACAAGGTGGTGGTACTGGACTTTACTTTTATGAGAACTCTGAATCAGGCTCTAACTTCGGAAAGTCATATACTGACATGAGTGGAGGAGGAATGAATGGTTCGTTATTACCTGCAATTGATTCCATGGGAGACAAATACACTGGGGAAGATGGGTTGGAGTTTGGATTACTGGGATATAGTCATCAATCATCATCAACAATTCTGAAATCAGCAATGCCAGAGGAAATGGCTGCAGCATTGGGGGAAGAAAAGGTTAAAGAAATCAATACCTTGGTAGGCAATGAAATCAATTTACAGAGCTTGAAATTGCCAGTTAAGAAGAACAAAAAGGAAAAGCCCTTTGATCCAAAGAAGAAACACGCTTGTCCATTATGTGATGCTAAGTTTCAACGACCTGAGCATGTCAAGCGACATATGAAGAGTCATTCAAGTGAGAAGCCTTTCCAATGTGAAGAGGCTAATTGTGGGAAACGTTTCAATAGAAAGGATAATCTCAAAGCTCATTTGAAGAAGATTCACCAAAAGTCTAACTCTTAAATGAATTGAATGAATTAATGCTGACTGACTGACCCTGAAATATATCTCAACTTTAATTTTCTACTTTTATTTCATTTTATTTTATTTTACTTTATTTTATAACATTTTTATATTTTGCAATGGGACTCGGTGTTTACACAACTTAACACACTCAACTAACTGTAAAATTAAGAGCTTCTAACAACTGCATCCAATGCCTTACAAAATTGGTCCAAGTTGGCATCGTTTAGACCAGCAACGTTAACTCTACCATTTTGAGTAAGGTAAATGTGGTATTCAGAGATCATTCTTTCTGTTTGTTCTTTCGTTAACCCCGAGAACCAGAATAATCCTGTTTGTCTAATCACGTGATCCCATTTCCCCGGAGTTTCCAATTTGGTCAAGGTATCCAAAATACGTCTTCTCATAGTAACCATTCTTTCAGCGACACCAGCAACGTCTTGATCCCAAACCTTCTTGATCTCCGGAGTTGAACCAACAGTACTGACGATTCTGGCTCCGTAAGCAGGACCAAAGGAACATTCTTCTCTGAAATTCTTCACCATATTGCTATGCACAATGGGCAAGCTGTCTTTGTCTTGAACAACGACATGCAAAGCACCAGCTCTCTCTCCATATAAGCCCAAATTCTTGGAGAATGATTGACATACAACAAACTCCATCCCGGCTTCGTAAAAGTATCTGATTGGCCATGCATCCTCGTCCTTGTCACCAGATGCAAATCCTTGATAGGCTATGTCAAACAACACCATGCAGTCTTTGTTGATAGTCAAATCTCTAATGGTCTTCCATTGGTTTTTAGACAAGTCCGCTCCAGTAGGATTATGACAACATGTTTGCAAAATGAAAACTGTCTTTGGACTAGCTTCTTCAATCGCACAAACAACACTTTCAAAATCTATAGTTTTAGTTTCCTCGTCATAGTATTTATATGTGGAAGTGGTACATCCAATGTGTTGAGCCATTGGAATATAATTGGACCATGCGGGTGTTCCAACAGCAAAATTAGTGTAACCAGCGGATCTCAAAATCAACATTGCCATATGAAGGGATCCCGTACCGGAAATGGTTTGAATAGTAGCAAGTTTGCCTTCCCCTGCAATCTTATCACCGAAAACAGTCTGTTGAGCAACAGGAATGAATTCAGGTAAACCACTCATAGTTGTATAGTTATGACCTGGTTCAACCTTGTTGTAGATTTCCTTTGCCATCTTAACAGAAGGAAACATGAATGAAGACCCATCGGCTGCTTTATAAACCCCAATTGAAACATCCATCTTATTAGGGTTAGGGTCGGCAGCATACCGGGCCATGGTTGCAATGATTGGATCCAAGGCCTCAGCCTCTAACTTTGAAAACTTTGTAGTAACAGTCATTTTTAAATTGAATCAGTAGAAATCACTAAGGGAAACAAAAGGAATAATATTTTAGTCAAAAATAGTCAAACACCAAATTGCAAGCTATTTAACTAATTTGAAAAAGTTTCAATGTATTTGTGTACTGGAACGGTAAAACGCGGTTATTCGCGGCAAGTGACTGAATGCCGCCGTTAAAGATAAGTTTTTTCCCTTTGTTTGTTTGTGTCTCTCGGACCCCGCATATCATGCGATGTCCCGAGACCGGTAACGGAACGGAATCAAACATCTGAAAACTGAAACTCATCCCCAAGGGTTATTGTGATGGTGGGGTTTGTAGTATCACAATGGCCTTACATTTGTCCATCAATGACCACTTTGGACTTGGAGGGCCTGGTAAGTCTTGGAATGGCACTGTGTTGAGAACGTTAAGGGTAGTTCCTGCCGTAAATGCTAAGGCATTTTGAAAGATCTGTTGTGCATGTTGTTGTGAGGAAGTGGTAGCAGATGATAGTTGACTCGCTATTGTTTCCATCATTTCAAATATAGTAGTTATATCACTAACGTAGTTTGAGGGGGACTTGATGAAAAGGGGGACTTGTTCTTTGGGTAATTGTAAAATATAGTGGTTTAGCATTCCTATTGTTTTCAATTTGACAAGAATGAAGGGGAAATCAATGCTTCTATTCTTGGATTCTGCCAATGTCTTTGTTGAAAATGCATTGCTTACCAAAACTTCTGCTAAGGCTGGATCAATTTGGGTTAGGCCTAGCTTTAAATAACTTTGTAGTGCAAGTAACTGAAGCTCAGTGCCATCTGTAGGTGTCAATTGTAATTGGTTGAACCCGTTCCAGAACTCAAGGTCGTACTTTTTCCATGCCTCATCTCCAGCAGAAAGAGTAAGCAACTTCTTTAGGAATTTGGCAAACACCCGTACAACCTCAGGGTAGTATTGTTGATTAGTGACGATCATCGTGGCCACTGCCAGTAATGGCAGATGATGCCCGACAACAGCGTGGGCAGTTGAAGGGGCCAAAAAGTTGGTTAAAAAATGGAAGCATTGAAGTTGTACAATGTCATTGTAACGGATTTGAAAGACTTCACTGATGAAATCCTCTGGAGTGTTTCCAATGGCACCTTCGACAGCATCTCTTTTCTCGCTGGATATAATGTAGTTACCAATGTTGATTAAACAAGCAGCAAGATAGTAAGGATCAGAGAACTCATGAATACTCTTGACTGCTTCAATGGAGAATTGAACATCGTTGAAATTGTCAAACGAAGTCATGGACGAGATACTACCACTGATAGCAAAGAGTTTCCGTTTCAACTTGATAGCATCTTTTATATGAGTAGGCACACGAGATATCAAGATACAGATATTCTTATTGGCGTCTATGGAATCGATTCCAGGGAAGTCAGTGAACGACGTTAGCACCGTAATACAATCAATTAAGTGGTCCAAGTACTCTGTGTCTTCACTCGTCGCGATATGTTCACGTAGTATTTTGATCAAGATATCCAAGGATTCGATGTTTTTATAGGCAACATTCTCTCGGATGATGTCTTGGTACTCCATCATGATCTCTGCTAACAGTTCAACCACAAACCTCCAATTATCCACGTTCCAACCGTAATCCACAGAGTGAGATCCAAGGAACTGAATCAACGGATTGAATAGACATAATTCCTTACTAAGATACTCAACGTTCCTCCTGTCGTTATTGGTATTATGGACAAACTGAGAGACCAAGATCAACGTGAACCTTCCCAACTCAAAGTTACCGGAGGCGAAGATGGCAATAGCGGAGTTCCAAAGGGAAACGATCAATGGATCGTCCGAAATAAGATAGCAGCGGTTTCTATCGCTGTCTGCTGTCAAATTGATCAATACTTTTAATGTCTCGGACTTTACTTGATCTGTACCATTTTGTAAATTGGTTTTCAGTGCTTCAATTATACCGTTTAGATTTTGGCTGATTTCTTCACCGTTACGGAACTGTTCGTCTCTTAAAGCCACTGACAATTTAAGGAGAGTTTCAGCATTGTTGAGGTCATCGTAACGGACAGACATTAATTACGCTGATAATGAAGATGGTTATAGTAGTTTGATAAAAATTGCACTTACGATAACGAAAATGATGTACTTTTTTTGTCGCGACATACATAAGCAAAGACATAACATGAGTGACAAGAAATGTCAAGTATAAGCTGTCGTGATGTTCTATTTCTGTCATATTGTCTATTTCTGTCATATTCTAGTTCTGTCATATTCTAATTCTGTCATATTCTAATTCTGTCACATTCTAATTCTGTCATATTCTGATTCCGTATTTGCTAATACTTTTCAAAAACCTTCTCTCCAGATCTAAGTCCCAAGATAAACCGTACATCAATACAGACACTCAAACTGTGCAACATGGGCAAAAGATTCAAGAGATCACGATCATCTTGGTCGTTAATCCAGCCTTCGATCATCACGGCATTATCTTCATGTAAAGCATAGCTCACTGGACTGTTATCCAAGATAACTACATGTTTAAGCTCATCATCCTTGGGGAAAAACTTGGATAAGTCCTTGATGTACCCTACGCCTGGTCGGAAGGTACAGTCGTTTCTGTAATACCTTCTGCTAAACAAGTTTCGTCTTGGGAACCTGTTCCCTACTGAATCTCGTCCCAATATTTCAGTGCCTAATGCTCTTGTAGACAGAAGTTTATATTGAGAAACTGCTGAACTCGTTGCTGATTTTGCTGCTGCTTTATCTGCTTGGGCAAGGACTTCACTTTCCAACCAATCAATGATCGGATCAGCATATTCCTTGACACTGGCAGTGAAAACTTGTAAGTCATACCACCTCGATACCTCCAGTAAAAAGTGATCACAATATGGACGTTTGAGAACATAGTACAAGGTGGATATGTTATGTAAACTGATTTCTATCAATTGGGAAGATGCAGAATTGGAATAAGACCTGGGAGACCCTCTTGAAAGCGAATGGATAAGCGTTTCATCCAAGTCCAAAATCAACGTCTTGCGTTTCCGAGGTCTATCCGGACGTCTTGAAAGTGGATACAATCGTTGTGGAGGGGGGATTATGTATTTTGATGATTCTGTGGGGGACTTGAAGTTATTTGACAACAAGTTTTCGTGTTTAAGCAATTCGGTTTTATCTTCAACTGTCAGTTCAATTTTATGGTGATCAACCGGAGGATGAGAAAGATTATCATCATCATCATAATTACTGATATTAAGGAAATATGCAAAAGGGTAAGTCACAAGATACCACATGAAAAGTAATGGTTTAAGAATAGCATAATTGGGAATAAATAAGATGACATATGCTACTTTATTAATGAATCTAGGCTGCTTTTCTTCTTTCAAGTGTTCATGTTCATAATCATCTTTAGGTAATGCTTGAGTCACTGGTGATGATTCAATGTCATCTAGCTTGACGATTTCTTCCTCTAAAAGATCAACTTCATGGAATTGTTTACTATTATTACTATTATTATTATTATTGGTGGTAGTACTAGTTGTATTATTGTTTGACTTTCTTGAACGTCGTCTGAGTCTTTTGGATGGGCTGGTGTTATACCTGTTCTGTTGACCATTAGCCAGTACTTCTTCATCTTCTTCGTCGTCATCTTCAAGTTCCTCATCTTCAAGTTCTTCTTCATCTTCTATTTCTATTTCTTCTTCTTCTTCTTCCTCTTCTTCTTCTTCTTCTTCCTCGTCCTCATTCCCCTCCTCTGCGTCTTCTTTAACTTTTGGTATTGCCTCGGGCTCCAATGTTGGGTCTAGTCGGGTTTTCTCACCTTCAGCATCTTCAAAGGACACACTGTTGTCTGCGGGATACAAGCTTTCAAACGACGACACTAGAAGCTTGATGGAATTCATGATGCAACTGATATAATGGTGACAATATGAGTTAAGTACGACACAGTTAGCACGGCGCAGTGAATACGACACAGTAAAGGAAGACACTAATGGTAAGACCAGATGTAAGACACTGACAGTATGGCACTAGTTAATACTGACACTTGGCACTGACACTTTACAATGATGGACTAGCTTATCCTTTTTCATATACTAAAGGTTTCGCTATTACTTGATTTAGCAATTCAGTGTGTTTGGCACATGTCGTACTTTTTACTATGACATAAGACGTCCCAAATATTACACAAACAATCACTTTTGGTTGGGTTAAGTCATCATAAAGTTGTTGCTCTATGTCTGATAGACGGGCGTTATTTTGACTAACATGGACATAAATATTATCGTGACAGTCTCGGAGCAGTACTTGAATCAGTACTTGGATAGACAGCTGTCAATTTATGTCAACAGGTATTCGTCACTACATGATAATTGTAGATATACATTGATGGAAATAAACTAATGTCGCAGTCTCATACTACAGCTAATACTAATTAGACATTATCTCACTATAATTAATGTCGTCTGCTACGTAGTATCATTATCCTCTTACTTAAACCTTTCCCTATATACCCCATCATTCACCACCCACCCCAACATGTTTTCGTAGCACAAAAGTCCTTTGTTGAACTGTCCAATGTCTCCGATCAATTATCAAATGTCTCCTATCAAATGTCGCTGCCTTCATCTATTAAATGCTGATTAAGAAACCTCTGAAGCACTGACTTGATGTTCGGGATTTGCCAGTTGTCATTATTGGGATTGAGTAATCGATTGGTAAACGCTTTGAAATCCATTACCCCATGGTTTCTTCTATTGGTATAAATATCATTGTCGTCCCAGAAATCATCTTCCTCTTCATCTTCTATCATCTCTGTGTCGACCGAGCCGTTGTTCTCAATAGTGAAATTGCTCTGTAAATTGGTTTGCACCATATCCAACTTGATCAATGTGTTGGGTACTTGTGACAATGATTCACCACGGGATCTAGTAACCTTCTTGGGTCTGTGGTGGCGTTTTGGGGTCCCATCACTCCCAACACCGGTTGGTTCTTGTTCTTCTTCCTCCTCCTCCTCCTCCTCCTCCTCCTCCTCCTCCTCTTCTTCTGCTTCTTCTTCCTCCTCTTCTGGCTTGACCAACTTCAATTGGTTCGTATTATATGATTGACAGTATTTGCATCGTAATCCTAACACATGATAAGGAACATTCGATTTTCCCTTGCAATCATTGCAACTAACAATACATCTCCAACGGTTATAAGGCTCCGGTAACGGTTGCAGAGCAATCTCTTGATCCAAGATTCGGAACTGTGACTCAATATTCACCACTGTCTTCTTACAAATAGGACACTTATAACTGTGTTTGCTCATTTCATCATAACAACTTTGATGAATGGAATGGCCACATTTCATAAACACCACGGGTGATATCGACGTGAATAAATACTCATTGCAAATAGGACAATTCGAATGAGTTGTATCTTTAATACACTTGTGTTTCTCTTTCAAATCTATGGAAAGACAAATATTGCAAGTATCACAATGGAAATAATCTTTATCAAGTCCTAACCCTAAACGGCAAATCCCACATTTATCACAATGATAAATGTCTTTGGTGGGGTCATTATCATATAACACACATATCTTGCAAAAGTAATTGGCCAATTCCAATCCACATTCAACACAATATGACAGTTCAGGCACTTGTGGACTATTGCAGTTCATACAGAGAACGTATTTGACTTCAGATCGAACCAATTTATGATCTTTGACTTCGGCATCATGACAGAATCGGCATGTGTACCATTTAAAGCATGTTGGACACTCTAGTTTGCAATTTCTTTGATAATGAGCACATCCCATAACTTTAGATTCTTGGTTATAGTATGTTGGCGTTAAATCTTGTTGGGTAAGTTCGACTTCGTCATCCTCAATATCGTTAACTTCATCAACATTATCGCTATATTCTTCTTCTTCTTCCCTGATAATATCATCATTATCATCATCACTTTTGTCGTCCCCAACTTCTAAAACCAAGTGTTCTTGTCTATCAAGAGCAAATGGCTTTGTTCCAGTTTTCTTCTCCATTTTCTCATTCAAATACTTATAGTAGTTCCCCATCATAAGTCTTGTCACGAGTTTATTCTTCAGATGTTGACTAATGGACTTCAACTGTTGGATTTTTTGGATCTTTTTCCGTAGCAAATCTTCCTTATAAAAATCATCTAACGAATCAAGATCCGTAAGAATCGTCACATCTTGGCTTGTTAACCCCTCTATGTCACTGGCATCCACAGCACTTTCTTCTGTCTCTGAATGGAATCTACTTGATCTTAGTCCGTGTTTATGTCTTTTTGAACGGTGAGGGATCCGAAGATTGGGATTTATGATATCATTCAATATCGGTTGGTTCCTATTAACTATGCCACTAACACCCACAGGTTCAGTATTAACTTCTTCATGGCCGTTCAAATCCAGATAATCATCTTCAAAATCTGAAGAATCGTCTACCGGTAAAAGAATCGCCTGATGTACAATATCTTTCAATAATTGTAGTCTTTCCACGGCTGTATTCATGCTGAGACCTAATTGCAAGTCTTTCATAAGATTATTCATTTGAATTCTGGAAGAGATTGCTGTTTTTATGGAATTGACCAAAGTTTCATGGTCTAATGTTCCTTCTTGTTCGGCACCATCATTATCAACAGTACTACTAGCGTTTGAACTCGCTTGGATCAGATGAGGAAGACTCTGTTTGTCTGCTTGGTTATCACTGCTGATATAATGCGCCAAATAGGCTGATAGCTCTTTAGGGAAGTTCTGGATATGAGGCCATTCTAAAGTAGGCATATTTGGAAATTGAAAGCTAGGTCTACTGGCATTTAAATATTTCTTCAATTGGTTCAAGTTATCCAAACTGAAGGACCCAATCCGTTCCAAATCCTCAGTGATGGAATCAGACTCGCTAGACAGTTGGTACCCTTCGGTGGCATTATCATTATTATTGGTATTTTCTTTATTATTATTGTTATGACTATCTTTTGTTGTATTAGGGGTATGAATTCCTAGCATAGTGATGTCGTTTTAAAGGAAGAAGTTTACGCTTGAATAATGTGAAGACTGTTGAATCTGGTACGGGTTTGGGTATGCAACATCAATTCCGCACTACTCTTTAGGCCATGGGCCAATACCAGTACTGCAAACTACAATACTCAACACTATCCTACTTAACAAGGTATAGTCATCACGTAGGTGGTAGGTAAGTAGACGACTAACTGATTCATACGCATGATTTCTACATGATATCATTCCTCTATTGGGCGTTGGTTGTGGAATTATCACTCTTGGATTGGTCGGTCGGTACTGTATATACTCATGTATCGTACCGATGCCGTCGGTACATAGTATTAAAGCTATTCTAATACTCTTTACTACACTATACTATACTATACTATACTTATAGCATCGCTTCAGCATGGACGTACCTCCTGATATTGCAAGTGTGATAAAGAAGACCGCTGCATATGTGTTCAAGAACGGCACAAGCTTTGAGGAAAGATTAAAGAAGAATAGTACTAATGAACAGTTTGAGTTTCTTGATGACCTGAATAAATATTATCCTTACTACCAACAGCAGTTAGCAATTCTTTCAAAGAATTCACAACCTGGTTCTAATGACTCTCTCTCTGAAACTCCTCCAGTTCGGGTTCTACGATCAGAATCCACACCTATCACTGTTCGACCATTAAGATTCATCACCAGATGGGATCAACCTCCGTTGGCATATGACGACCAGATAATGAAGCTAACAGCGATGTTTGTGGCTAAGAATGGCGATGAATATGGCTCAGCATTGTATGAGCATAAGAAGTCAGATGGCAATGGACCTCAGTTTGCCTTTATGGATACAGGCCACACCTATTACCCAAACTATATCAACTATGTTGAAAGCTATCGCAAGATTATCAAGTATATGGAGGAAGGAGAAGATAACATGGAAGAGCTATTGGATATCAATGATGATCAAGAACCCCTCCAACGAGGAATACTTCGAGCGTTGTATAAAAAACACAATAGACAAGCCAAAAAGGCTTCAAAAGAGAAGGAAAAACAACAGAAGTTGAATTTTGCTTCAATAGATTGGCAAGACTTTGTGTTTGTTGCTCGGATTGAATTTGATTTAATTGATCAAGTGAAAGAGTTGGCTGTTCCCGTCACTCGAGATAGTTTGATCAACAGATCATTACAAGCCAAATCAGAGGAGGTGGAGCCGAAGAAAAAGGAAGAAATGGTACCAGAAACAACGGAACCAGAAACAAAGGACGATCCACAGCGAAACGACGACACGCAATCAAAGGTATTTAAAGGAATGAAGATTAAAGCCGCTGGAGAATCGAGATTAAAGAAGCCACTTAGCTCAACTAGAACTATCACTTGTCCACTCACAGGGAGACAAATACCAGAGCACCAATTTGAAAGCCATATACAAGTGCTACTTCGTGACCCCAGATATAAAGAACAACAAGATAATTACATTAAGAAGAACTTCTCTCACAGTTCAAACATCACCACTGATCAAGTGTATGAGAATATTGTTCGACTCACAAGCAAGAAGAGACCCGCACAAGAACAAGAGCAAGACCGGAAAAAGGTTCAACAAGGTCAGGTCCATATTGGACCAACAACATAACAATGGTAGGTTAATAATATTAATTAAATCAACTACATAATAAGCAGAAGCAAGCCTTATTTTATACAATTTTTTATTCCGTTTATTACTCTCAGATTAGTGATGAAAAGAAAAACATGATATACAAACAAGGACTAAAGTTACAAAAGGATGGATGGAAAGTTAAATCCTTTTATTAAAATTAAGCCTTCAAAGAAGAAGCTCTTCTCTTTCTGATTTCAATCTTTTCAGCCTTTCTTTCGTGCAATCTCTTGGCCAACAAGAGAGAGTATTCGGCAGCGGCATCTCTTTGTTCTTGAGCATTCTTAATCTTTTGAGCTCTCAAAGCCTTCTTTCTTTGCAAGGTTTGAGGAGTAACCAATCTTTGGATCTTAGGAGCCTTGGTGTAGGTCTTGTCACCCTTGGTAACTTCTCTTCTGACAACGTAATCTCTGACGTCATCTTCCTTGGTCAAACCGTAGAACTTTCTAATGTTGTTAGCTCTCTTTGGACCTAATCTCTTAGGAACAGTGGTATCGGTCAAACCAGCAATGTCAGCGTCACCTTGCTTGACAATAGCCAAAGACAAGACAGACAAGTCTTGGGCAACAATACAACCTCTAACAGACTTTCTCTTTCTTTCACCATTTCTTCTTGGTCTGTAACAAGAGTGACCCTTAGACAACAACAATCTAACTCTGGTTGGGTGCATAACACCTTGCTTCATAGGGAAACCTTGCTTGTCGTTACCACCGGTAATCTTGAAAATGTAACCCTTGAATTCGTCACCAACAGAGTCACCTTCGACTTCTTGGCCCATTCTCTTCTCGTAGAAGACACGCAACTTGTGCTCGTCATCAATGTCGACACATTTTTGGGTGCCGTTGGCTGGGTAAGAAATGTTTAACTAGTATCAAATGTTAGTAATGCTATTCAATATATCAATATCCATATCAACAAATACACTTGTGGATAGAGCTCATCTGAGATTCTTTTGTATTGCAGTTTTTCACATTCAGTTTTTCATAATCATGAATCTTTCATCAACGTTATATTATGAACTCTTTTGATGATTCCAATTGGCGATTCATATTTATTATTGCACTCATCGAATTTTCAAAAGAGTTTTTATCTTGAAGACATTCTTCGTCATTTACTTGATATAAATTGGTGTCGAAATCCACTTTGTCATAATAAAAGAGTAGTATTCTCTGGATTAACTCTAACTGGGTGTATTGTAATTGGTACCTCTTAACATACCTTCATGTTGACGTGGTCTTTCCTATGCCTATGAACAAGAGTAAGCTAGTATCAAAAGAAATCGATAACAGGGTAAGAGAAAATTTTTATGAAGTAAACCAAATTGGTGAAGAGAATTTTCCAATCACAATGGGTACAGGGAGGACTCCATCGTAGTAGGACTACATAGTAGAGCACACTAAGGTGTCGCACATTGGGTGAAAATTTTTAGATGGCACAAACCTCAGATGTCGCGCGTAAGGAGACATTTGCAGTCACATGATTAATTGGTTGACTTTGAGTCATTAGAGAAGAGCTGGGGTTTACCTATTGTGACGGTATTGGTTTTGTCGTTTTGTCACGTGATAGGGCTGGTACCCTAGTGAGAAATTCATGGTTTGCTTTCAAGACTGTTTATAGTAAACATGGCATTATACATGTATATGTATATGTATATGTATGTATAAGTAACAAAGTTGCAGATCTTGTAGTGACTGCTAGACAGTCCACATACTAATGTTAAATATTTTACGTAAACCTACTTCTATAACAGAGTAGCTTCATTCAATGAGACAGATGTCAATCCAAATCTTTTGCGTGCTCTTTAATTATTCTGTTATTGACTCTACTTCAAGCACTGATGTCATTAATTGATGGCTCATCTGATTAATCTTTTGCCCGACGTTTGTGGCCGTTTTCGCTTATGTCTTATTATTTCCAGAGTGTACAAAAGATGTCATGCTTTCAAAACCCTTTGTTTTCCCACTTCAGTTTCTAAAAATACATTGCCAATGTTGATCTTGGATCGGACTTAAATCTTAACGGGTCTAAGTTACACGCAGGCAAAAGTAAAGCATAACGGCGTAAGTCTTAACATATTCAACCGTGCAGTGTACGGGCAAATTAGCATTGGTTAAACTATAATACATAAAGAAAATTTATTTATACGGGCACGCTCAAACAAGAATAATAAGAATAGGAATAAGAATTCGAATAATAGAAGTGGTAGTAGTAGTAGTAGTAGTAGTAGTAGTAGTAGTAGTAGCAGAAATGATATTTTGATTCGATTCACTTTGAGTTCTTCCTATCCACAGAAACCCCTCCTCCTGTAGCTTGAGATGCTTCAGTGGCAGGCGTAGTTTGGCTTTGACCTTGAGGAATTGGTGGGAATGAACTCCCTCCTCCTCCTCCTCCTCCCCCGCTTCCACCTCCACCTCCAGTGTTGATACCGCCAGTAACTCCACTGGGAGCTATTGGCGTTAGAAAGGGTGCACTGGTCTGATGAAACGGTGTAAGAACCGATCCGGAGGGCCAATCTTGGGAAGCGTAGAAATTAGATGGAGAAGGGAACATGTCGTGTAGATATCTTGATGGTAAAGCAGATCCTGGCATTTCTTGTTGGTTAGGAGGATGGTAATTACCCGTGTTGAACATCTGGTTTATCACAGGTGTATGGAATGCTCTAGAAGGCTGGTTGGCGTACAGTGATGACGGTGAAGATTGGGATATTGATGTAAAGAAAGCCATTGGTAATTGAGGTGCATTAGGATTGGAAGGTGAAGACGTCTGGGATTTGGTATGAACAGGTAATGGTAAGGCGGGTTTTCTAGAATCTCCAGGTGACCTAAAACTGTTACTACTGACATATTTCGATGTATCTATGGGTAAATTGGGGTTAATAGTTCCCATCACAATTGGGTTCTTGGATTCAACTTTAAGCTTTATATCTCCATTTATATGCGTATTCTGAGTAACACCTCCAACGTTCGTTGAAATTGAAGGCTTTACTTCTGCACTTTGGGAAACATCCACAGCCGTAAGAGTCTTTTCGCTATCCAGTTTCCCATCAATTGGACCACCATTATTCACACTTTTGTTTTCAAGATTACCCTTAATGTTACTTTCTTCTCTATCTATTGAGTTTACAGGGATCTGTACTCTTAATACTGGTCTATGGTTCGATTGCTGAGCCAGATCTTGGAACTGGGGCATTTTGGGATTAGAAAAGGCAGGGCCATATTGGGGGACATTAGTTGTTGTTTGGATATTGTTACCTGAATCAAAATTCAGTATACGTTGTTGTTGGTGTTGTTGTGTTGGAGGATTTGTATTTAATTCGACCTTCCTTTTCTTTGAAGTTGGTTCAGGGGAATCGCTTTCATCATATTCGAAATCGGATTCATTCACATCAATTTCATCACCTAAGGGATCATTCAATTTCTTCATGGTACCATTACTATTAGTAGGAATATAGTTTTGATGGAGGTATTTTCTCTTACGGTAGTTACCATAGTTTTCAGGAGACTTTGATTCATGCGGTTTTAGCTTGCTGCATACGGAAATAAGCTCTTTAGTATCCACCGATGAAAACTCATATAAACGGTTGTTATTCCCTAGTATAATCACTGCCAAATCAACTTGACAAAGAACAGCCAACTCATGGGCCTTTTTAAATAACCCGGCCTTCCGTTTTAAGAAGGTCACTGTCCGGTTTCTATCATCAGCTAAAGGCTGGATCTCGATTTTTCTTCTTCCCATAATAGAAGCACTTAGCGGTGTTTGGTTACGAAGCGTGTCGAATCCTGGAGGGAGGGAGTTATCAAAAGAAAGAGAAGCACAGTAAGAATAATGTTAATTGCTTGGTTTGGTTTGATCCTTAATAAGTCCACACTTTGGTAGAGGGATAATTTTGGCGGTCACCTAAAGGCAAGCTTACGAAAACTGAAGCAAGAAAGGAAGGGCAATTAGTATAAAGTATTTTTCGGGTACCTAATCTGTAACCACCTGAATTAGGGTCTTCTTTGTTTGCCGAATGACCTGCACACACTCTTGAGCAACGGTTTTAATGTTCACAAAGGTCTCTACTCCTACCTGTGAAAAAGAGGTAATTAAGTTGGAGAAGGAAAGAATTGAGGGATCCCAAAATACGGTGAAGAAAATAGGAATAGATGCAGTTGAATTGGATCACTAACGGTAATATTGATAATGTTAATGATGATGGTTTTCTAACGATAAAATAATACTATTATACCACTAAGATAAAAGACAGAACAATCGTATAATAAATCGGGCGCCCACGTTTGCTATAAAGGAATGTAGCTGTCTTATGAGGTTGGCAGTAAGTGATCTATGATGTTTTTTCACTAGTAGCTTAGTAAAGGAGGGGTTAGAGTAGAAGAAATATTCCCACATTTACATGTAAAATAAAAGGACGATCGTGTCGGATATTTATACTTAGTTGAAGGGTAATCATGAAACTACATTCAAGTAAACTGCAATACATAAATAAGGGGTCCCTCTCTTAAGTAACGGATATGTGAATAGATTAATTGCCTTTTTTTTTATCTAATGCTACGACATCAATCACACTGTGCAACATGATTTTATCTAGTATGTGTGCTACCAAACTTACCAGTTTACATCACATTGAAATCAGTTCAGTTTCTAATAATAGAATAATTAGCCACGGCTGAACATTATTCAAATTGTGACGTTCTTTTTATCACGTAAACCCAATTTTAGTCTTAGCACTTTCAATTTTCTTAACCATACTGATGTGCCCCGCTCTTACTTTGAAACCGGTATTTATAAGTGAAGAAGCCCTGTCTACAAAAATAGCCGTTATGCAAGGTGATAAACGGCTGACTGTGTTCATGAAGGCTGTAATGTGATTAAACGTAAATTTAGTTTCAAATGTATTGTGAACGTCACATAGAATGGATTGAATATATTAAGAGTAAGGTAAAGGTATATTGAACAGTATATTGCTTCAAATTTTGTACCATAAGTATTTTATCTTGAATTTCGTATTATTCTGCAGAAATCATACAACAAATTCTCAACTTAAAAGTCACTGTCCCGTTTAGTTTAAAATTGCTTTAGATTACCTTCCTCTCGTAATCTTCATGCTCCATCTCGTAACAGTGTGTTTAGGCACAGAATTCTTTGTTCACTTGCGTCGTAGATTAAATTACTCATGCACGCCGTAAAAATACACGTTCGATTACCATTGCGGTTTACGTAGCAATGAACTGCATTTGGTGGGAAAACAAGTAATGGTCTGGGCCATGCGTCTAAGATAGCAATTAAAATTTTGTAAAACAAGAATAAGTTAATGATGAAGTAAAGGGCCCATAATTGTATTGTTAAAGATGTGAACTAAGCAATCTATTAACACTAGATCATTTATTTTCTCCTTAAGGCTTAGCCTATACAAATAAACGATATCATACTTCATAATCACCTGAGCATAAATTAATTTTTGATATAGATATGGAAGGTTTTGCATTAAAGATATGTGCATTACTACGAAGTTGATGTAATACATAGGTTTCTTTCTAAAAGAATAACATATGCATCAAAAAAAGGACACTTGCACTGAAAAACCATGAATACTCCGGCAAGTGGCTGCGGAGGCAGAGTGGTTTGGTCATGCTCTGAAAGCATAGTATTTTTGCTATTGTTTTAAGCCTGCTTTATTTGGATTGTAAATTATCAATGTGTAGTTCAATTGTGGTTTGTGGTAATTATTAAGATGGCATCACTTTTGCATAGAAATTGAAATGATTTTTTAGGAAAACATAAAACTTCCTGCAATATTTAAATACAAGCTCTATATAAATGAAACTCAGCAAACGTTTAGTAATCTCCCACGTATATCTACTCATGAGAAATTGTAAGAACGATTTTATGACGAAGTTACTTTAACGAAACTGTTATATATCATGGCCCTAAAACGTAAAAAACAACGTCTTCCTTTTCAATAATCCTCATTTCCTTTTCCTCAATATATTTTGGTGCATACTAACTTTCTCCATATGGGCTAAGTATGTTTTTAGTCAACTCTCCTCCAGTTTTAAACCTGTCTTCTCTCCAGAACTAAAGAAATCTGCCAAAGGTCACGTGCCACACATAACTACAAAGAAAAACGCTTTTTGCGTCAAGTTGCGCCAGATCCGCTCAATTCGTCCATATTTTTCTAGTGTGTTTGATCACCAACATTTTCTAATAAGAACACGGTTTTTCTAAGAGAGATCTAAAGTCATCAACACTTACGGGTATATATTACCGAAACGTAGTAGTCTCAAAAATTCAATCGCTATTGCAGCTTTGGCTTTGACTACATACAAAAGAAACATGCTGTCCCGGCTGACCCGAAGGAAACCAGCTAGAGCTCGTTATGTCCCTCCGCCTCAAGGCTTGGAGCCTGAGGTAGATGTAATGGATCCTGCTCTTCAGTCATCTACTGACTCCGGCGCAGATGCACCTCCCCCTCCACCTCCTCCACGCGGTGCGAGAGGAAGCAATGCTTCGCTGTTGAGATTGGACAGTGGTGGTGGTAGTGGTAGTGCGAATCTGTTGCCGTCGTCTCTGCCTTTGGTCGCACCTCCAAGATTGTCAGCTAACTCAAGTGGGAGGACAACTTCAGACAGAATATCTGGTGTTAATATGAATATGACTTCGAACCTAAATCATTCAGGATCTTTCAGTCATATGGGTAGTGAAATTTCACCTCAATTGAAAGCAAATTCACGTCAGAATGACAATATAGTCCCCTTAGAACCGGAGTCTAATGATACTCCTGTCTCCGAGTTTCACTCTCATAAGAACGACAGCAACAGTGATAATATTGGATATCAACAACAACCTACGCCATACGGAGATGATCCGTTCTCTTACGGTAGTGTCAATGCTGAAGAGGGTGCTGGTAAATCTGTTGATGATCCCTCAGGCCATGTCCCATTTGATTTGAAGGAAGATGAAGACGTTGGATGGGCGGATTACGCGGAAGACTTTGATGATGATCAATTGAATTCCCCTCAGAAAGTTGCCCCCTACTCAGAGGAGCAACATCATCAAGATAATGTCTATCAAGAACAAGGGTACGCTCAATATAACCACTTTGAGGTTGAAATTGTGCATCAACAAGATTTAAAACATGATATCGACCACGAGAGCGACCACCAGATCGACAACTACGATGAGCAATCTCAGGCACAAGCATACAAATACCCCCCCACGGATGACCATGTGGAATCAACTGTTTATGAAGATAATGAACATGCTACTATTGATGAATTTTCTCATCAACAGGACCATCAAGAAGAACACGAAGAAATTGAAACAGAGGAACAAAACCTTGAAACGGAGCACATTGATGAACAAAAACCCGACCCAAGTCCTTACTATTGCCAGGATCAAAGTAGGTACAATGGTGAAAAGTCTCCTTTGTCTCATGTTGAAAAATTGCATCTGTATAGTGTTGCCAGCTCACCATTTGAAGGCAAGAATTCAGATTATGACAACATATGTCCTAAGGATACAGACTATTTAGGTTGCCCAGAACAAATTGCATATAACGGACAAGCTGATGAAACTGAGTTGGTGAACAAGTCAGTTGAACAAAATACGACTCAATCTATCGATCTTCAAGAACATGACAAACAAAATTGGCATCAGCAGATTTCCCACGATGAGAGTAACGATTTCTTTTCCAACTTGACTAAAGACACGGTGGTTTATAATCCCCGTTCGAACGACATTCATACTAATGATCCTCAGTCAAAACAAAATCAAGAAGAAGCTCTGAATGAACCTGATGACTTCTTTAGTCTGATCAACAATCCTCAACATCCAAATGAAGTCAAGGAAAACAATCAGCATCAAAATGAAACGCAGCTTGTGTCTCAAGAAAGTCAGCCTGATTATATTAGTGCTGCAGTTCCTGACCAACAGCAGGACCAAGAGTTGTTTGAAGCGCATCATGTAGGTTACACTGAGGGCCCTAATCATTATTCAGATGAACCCTTCTACGCTGAGAAAGAGTCAAATAAATACAATGAACATCAATCCCAAGCACACGATCACGAGAATTCGGAAAGTACTGCATTGCAAGAAGAACACCAAGCACAGGGCGATCTTTATTCACCTCTTTCCCAAGTCATCGAAGATAATAGTCCACAACATGCAAATGAAAATTATTACCAGACTGAGCATGATCATTACGGCTCCCAAGGGTTAAGTAATGTTGTTGCTGAAGAGGGCACAAGCAACCTTGATGATTTGTTTGCTGATGATAACGATTTCATTGTAGAGCAATCACCAAAGAAATCGAGAGCTGACTCACCAGTAGAGCCTACTCCATCTTCTTTGTATGATATTTCCACCAAACTTGAAATGCTAGATTTGGACGACGATTTACTTTTGGATGAAGATCTTGAATTCTCTTCAGAGGAAACTCAAGAGGAAGTGCAACAGGAATCGTTACAAGTACCCAATGAATTGCAGCAAATGCACTCGATGAAATCAAATGACGTGCCTCGCCATCTAGGTGTGAGTAACAAATATGTTCCACAGCCAGGAGTCCCTGGCCAAAGAAGTTCATTTTCCTTAGCATCCCTGGGTCCAATGTTAGCAAAGCACCACACTCCAATTCCCAAACCAACCATAATACAACCTCAACCTCAGTTACAGAGCAATGGGGTGATTTCGTCAGCAGGAATTTCAACCAATGATGAGTTTGTCAGAAAGTTGGAAGAAGAAAAGAAGAAACATGATGCTTATGATTTCCCACAAGGTATGATTCCTACAATTGCAAAGCCAAGTACCAGGAGCTCGATTAAGTATGCTCCTACTCGTACGCCTCAAATGAGTTCACCTTCTCCTAACCCAGTCACTGCTGGCCCTGTCGCTCCTCATAACGTTCTCATTGGAAAACCCTCGGATGATATTAAACAGCAACCTGTGGGTGAGAATGTTTCCAAATCATTCTTTGAAGAATTGCCTTTACCAGACCTATCAAAGAGAGTTAAGCCTGCAAGAACAGCTGCTCCTGTTAAAGTTGCTAATCCTGCTTCTCCAAATATTACTAAGGCCCCCTCATTCTCTCCAATTGAACAAGTGAAGCCTCCAGTGAATCCTTACGCTGTTGATGTCAACATGAAAGCCAAAGCGATTAAGAATAACTACGCTCCTCCAGCAAAATCTTCTTCAATGCCACCGCCAAGTTCTACTGTGCCACCATCACATCCCCCAATGGCTTCCAAATATGCTCCACCTGTCGTCCCTTCGATTTCTGTTCTAGGACAGCCAGGACAGATTTTGAACAATGTTGGGCCACCTCAACAACAGTACCAAGGAACAAATCAGTTTCTTTCTTCTACAAGAATTCAAGCTGCTCCAACAAACCAGTTGCATCCTACTACTCCACAACCCTCTCAGTTTCCTCAAAACCAAAGGGGGTTTCAAGGCAACACAAGCTATTCACCTCAAGTATTCCCTGCAACAGTACCTAACCAGCCCCAAGGAAATGAGATTTCACCTCAGTTTACTCAAAATAACATCTTGAATCCAACTGCTAATCTCCAGACTACTCCTAATCAATTACATTCTCAACCATTCCCCTCTGTTCAAGTAACCTCCTCAAAGCCTACGCTCAATACAAATGTTCCTAAGAGTATATCACAAGGCAGTCCTTACATGCCAAATAGTGGCCGTTATGCACCAAGCAGCCATAAAAGAAACCATTCCAGGGCAAGTTCAATTATTGGAGGTTCAACAAAAGACGGAAACAATCCATATGCTCCTGCTTTACCCTCTGTACCAGATGCGTCTGTCACTACTAGTCCAGTTGGATTGGCTCCTATGAATCTTAATAGGCAAAGAGGGGCTTCTGGTTCGAAGAGTCATCTCAGAAATGTTTCTGGAAAACAAGTAGCCCAGGATCCCAATGCTTTGTTAAGAAGACAGTTCCCCATATTTAATTGGTCAGGCTCAACTAAGGTTGTATGCTTGATTCCTAGAACCAGCCCTAGCTTTACCGCTCAACCTAGTCCAACTTTACAGGTGAAGAGCATCCGAGATATTGTTGATGTTTCAAAGTATGTGATTTTCCCGGGACCTTTGATGAAAGGTAAGACTAAAAAGAAGGATGTTGAGAAGTGGTTAGAAGTTCGAATTGAGAAGATCAAGGTTGACCAAAACAAGCAAGACGAATTGATCTTGTGCAATGCTTTACTTTGCCTACTCAAATTTGATTTATCTGACTTTGAACAAGTTAAAGATTTTGCAAGAAGTATCTGTTCCATTATTAATCCAAACGTAAATTACGATTGTAATATTCCAGTTGAGTACAATGGCTTATTGAGTGTCGCCAATGCTTGCAAGTTAGATAATGCAGGTATTAATACTGTTTTCACTCTTTTGCAATCTGGAAATTCAGAAAAGGCATTGGAGTTTGCAATATCCAAAGGAGATTGGTCAATAGGGCTTGTCATTGCTTATCTGACTGGAAATGATAACTTTGCTAGAATTGCAGCAGATTATGCCAGGGTGGCTTTCCCATTTCAAAGGGCCAATAATAAAGTGCAACATTTGATGCCCTACTTGTTAAAGATCTTCGCTGGAAACGTTCAAAGTGCCGTCAATGATTTGATGACCGTCCCTACTGAGGCAGAATGGGCTTGCCAATACTGGAGAGATTTTGTAAGTGCAGTCCTCATCAGTTGCACCAAGGGTTCTACTGAATTCCTTAGGGAGTTTGGTAAATTCTTGGGTAGCAATGGAAAAGTTGAAGCTGCCGAGATCTGTTTTATATTAGGTGGAACACCTTTGCACCCCATTCCTCCAGCTGGAAGCAATAGCAATGAGACTGTATTCCCTTACATCTCCACTAGCAATATCTATACGGAGATTTATGAATACATCTTGGCTTCTGCGCCTAATTCAACAGTTCCAGCCCTGGGAATGCTCCATTTAGTTGACATAAAGGTCAAGTATGCTTCATATTTGGTTGACTTGGGTTTGGTTAATGAAGGTCAGAAATATATCGACTACCTTGGAGCTATGTTCAAGGGTAATGCCATTCCTGAACACACCAAGATTGCTCTTCAAAAGCTAGTAGTCAGATTAACGGCTTCGGGTTCCGGCGAACAAGGCTGGTTTGGATTGAAAGTTTCAAAGGTTAACCTCGACAAAGTCTGGGGTCAACTTGATAAGTTCATTGGTGGAACAGACCCTGTCCCCAAGCCAGTAGAATCTGGAGTTTTCAGCAAGTTTAGTCCTTCTATTTCAAGATCGACTTCTGTATTAGATTTTACATCTTCAGCTCTACCAATAGGCCAACGTCCTCTTATTGATCATACGTTGTCGTCATCTACTTTACCACCAAGTATGGATTTTGGTGCCAGACATGTTACGCCAATCCAAAGGAATACCACCTTTTTATCACAAGGAATGTCACCTCAACTTCAAGGTCCTCAAACCTCAAACTTCCCTTCACAACCAAGTTACTCACAAGGACATAGCCAAGGCCAAGACCAAGGACAAGGACAAGGCCAAGGACAAGGACAAGGACAAGGACATTTTTCATCCCCTCATTCCAAATATACTCCTTCCAATAGGTCTACCAATCAGTTCCCAACTACAATAGACGAGAATGAGGAAACTTTATCACAATCAGCTGGCAACTCTAGATATGCTCCTGGAGGTAGAAAATCCGTGGGTGGAATCTCTACACAATTGTCTAACGCATCTCTTGCTTCCCATGAAATCGTGCAACCAGCTAAGAACCCACAATATGTTTCTCATGTTAAGAAAATATCAGTGTCTAGTGCCACCTCTGATGCAGGTGTTCTTGAAATTTCTAAGCTTCACAGACCTCCGGTTAAGTATGGCCCTCAATCATTGGAATCGCCCAAGCTGCACGTTCATGAAACTTTTCAAAACAGTCCTAAATTTAACATCAGAGACTCTGAAAAGTCAGAAGTTATGTACATATCTCAAGACACTCACTCAATGCCTCCTCCTCCATCGAGTGAAGGCCGATTTGATGTGACAACCTCAAAAGTGTCTCAACTGGTGGCTGTCTTTGGTTCACCGTCGTCTTATAGCGAGGAACGCCCGCATCATAATGAGCGTCGTCCATCTCATGCCAGCAGCCACTCGTCTCAATCCAGACGTCGTCAATCTCACGCCAGTACTCATAAATCGCAGACCAAGCGTTCATCTACAGACGAAAGCTCATCTCAAAATAAGCGTCCGTCATATTCTGAAGGCCGGTCAACTCAAAGTGAGAGTCGTCCATCACAACTTCAAAGCCATCCCTCTCCTCAAACTGAACGTCTTCCACCAAAAGTGGAACGTCGTAGAGAAACAAATAATAGATATGCACCACCTCCTCGGATTGATGGTTCTCTCGTCGAACCCCCTTTGAAAAGTGAAAAGGAAGCCGAAAGCCCTGAGAAGCTTGAGCCAATCGATAAACCATCTGGTGAAGTTCAAGTTTTAGAAACTGCAGAACTCATTGAGTCAAAGCAGGTGAACGTAGATAAGCAAAGTTTGCCGGACAACGACACTTCCACTCCTGAACCTCCACAAGAAGAAGAACAAGTACAACAACAGCAACCTGAAGCAGAACTTAGTGAATTAGGAACGAACCAATTTCCAGCTTCATTAAGCAAACCTCCTTCAAGGAATGTTTCTAATGCTCCTCCGAGAGCAGCCAACCCATATGCTCCTCAAGCTGCTAAAAAGCCTTCTGTTGGACGGAACAAGTATGGCCCCCCAACTTCAGTCAAATCTAGGTACCCCATCAATGCACCTGCCAAGGATGTATCTACAGATGCGTCTGGGGACCAAATTAGTATGTTTGATTACGGTGGATATTCCGGTGCAAGTAGGGCCACTCCATCTCAGCATCCAGCTAACAAGGCTTCACAGAGAAACCAAGACGTGGCAGCAGAACAAGGAGAAGCAGAAAAAGAAAAAGAAAAAGAAGCTGAACAGGAGGACTTAACTGAAAAGGACACACTTTTGGCAGAGGACCTGAGTAATAGACCTAATTTTGCTCCTCCTATTCGGAACATGGCTTATGAGGAACTTCGGTCTCCATCAAATGTTATTTCTAGTTCCACAGGCCAAATGCTCAACAATGTTCATGGAATGGATACACAGCTGCATAACGCTAACCCATTAGCAAATTCTACTGCTAACTTTGAGCCCGCTTCACCTATGATTAGGATGAAGAAAACACCAGTTTTGAACCAATTGGGATCCGGAGGTCTTCCTAGAGATACCGGATTTTCTGCTTTTGATTCAAAGGACGAAGTTTTGGATACAAGTTTTGGAGAATTCCCAATTCCTGGATCTCCTGAGTTGACAACCCGTGCCAATTCTGAAATTGGAGGCCCCGGATTGTTCTCCTCCAGGTTATCACAGTCACAACAATCCGAATTATACCAACAATACGAAGTACAAGATGACACTGTTGGAGACTACGTTCCAATTGTTGAGGAAGATGAAGACGATGATGAACCCGTAGTTGTAAAGAGGCCTGCACCAAAGAAACTGGCCACTCCTCCACAGAAAACGAAGCCTGACATCAAAGAGAGAGATGATGACGAGAAGTCCACCACCTCCAAGGGGACTATTGAGGGTAAATGGTTTGGAAGTTGGTTTGGTAGTAAGGAGGAGACAGAAGAGAGACCTAAGGCCATCAGAGCCAAATTAGGAAACAAGAGCCAGTTTTATTATAGTGAAGAGCATAAGAGATGGATTGATGGAAGCAGATCTCTTGAAGAACAACTCAAAAAGGACGCACCGCCTCCACCACCAAAGGCTAAGAGCAGTATTTCAGCCACCCCATCTGTCGGTACAAGTGGTACAAGTGGTCCTGCTATGCCTAATTCTCTTCCCAAGACACCAACAGGAAGAGCACCAAGTGCAGGAGCACCTTCTGGAGCTGGTCCATCACTGGGAGGAGCCAAACCTCCTTCGAAACCAACAGGACCAAGTTTGGCATCTGCGGATTTAGATACCCTTTTGACCATGGGAGGAAACAATCCTTTGGCTAATGCCAGAAGACCCAAGAAGGGTACTCGTCGGTACGTTAGCGTGATGGAGAAGTAGAAGGAACATTAAAATACCCCAAAAGTTACATACACACTTATATACAGAAATCTCATGACAGAGACATCAATACATTTATAACTTAGGTGACTCTATGATATGGGACGGTATAAGAGATACAACTGAGGAAGCTTCCCACTTCTTAGTTTTGGTCTAGGCGAATCAGATGTATATGTGTAACCGTTCTTAAAGTACCACTGAGCAGCTCTGGTGTTATCAGCGAATACAGTCAAGTTTGTGGAAAACAACTGGCCCAATATGCCATTCATTTCCGAGGGTGCATTCTTATGTAGCAGTTTTAGATGAGCACCAAATTGATGGAATGCACTCAATAGAATCGAACCTAAGCCCAAAGATTGGTATTGTTCGACTATGTGTATCTCGTACAAGTAAAGCACAGTTTTATGTGATCCAAAGTGTATTTCATTGACTACTGAAAATGAAACAAACCCCACAATAACTCCGAGCTCATTAGTGTACCATACATAGCACAAGCCTCTATCACGCATTTCTATTCTCTTGTCGTCTTTCCAATCTGCACCCTGCACCGCTATATATAGTTCCGATAAGTTATCATCTATTATGTTAAGAAGACTTGTCAACGTTTCCAGGTCAAGCGTGCTCGAACAGCAGTGATGCAATTGATATTGTGTAAGGACGTCTGACCGTTGCAGAAATACTTGTTCGATTTGACTATCGACATGTTCCACCAACAAGGCAACCACCCGGGAATCTTCCTCATCGAATAGAACGTCTTCACTGCCCATTATATCCAACGTTGTATTGTTATGGATGTTGGTGTGATTCAAGGGAGGATCATCCTCAGATGTAGTCAACATTGTTCGTGACACAAAAACGGACTAAATTTCAAATAGATCTTCCTCAGGTTGAGAAAACGCGTACATATGCAATGGAAGCTTCGGGGTTAAGACTCTCGTTTATTAGCCAATGATACAATGTCATAATGGATATACCCAGTTCTTCTCATAGAAAACAAAACACAGTGGTGCAACTGGTGTCGACCGAATGTTATGAAGGTAGTAGCGTTGAGAATTCCTTAGGTGGATCGAAAGAAACTACGATCGATACTCTTCAGCAGAAACAACAGGATCGATCTAAAAGAATTTATCGTCCCATGTCACATTGTTCACCGTCACCGAGTTATTCCAAGAGTATAAACCGAGATAATACGTTTATCTCATCTCCACGAATATCTGCAACCACTCCACGAAATAAACGTCAGGTTGAGAATCAACGAAGAGCAACAAACCGTGAGACTAATGCTACCAACAGCAGGTCACGGCTAGAAGACTCAAGGAAACACGAATTGTTCCATAAGCAAATGGAAGACGAGTCAAAGCAATGGGAGTTAGATGTAGGTATACTTATTGAAGAAGAAGCTCAAGCTAAGCAAGAGCTAGAACAGTTTGAGATAGGGCAATACGAATTGGAAATGATGTTAAATGACTTGACAATTAGTGATGTAACATAGCAATTTGTCTGGAATTTATGACTGCCCGGATTCTATATTCAATGTGAGGGCCAATGTATGTTCAGAATGTACAGAACAACTGACTACCGTGTTATAGCAGGTATCCAGATACGGTTATAAAATATTGCATAGGGTGCTCTCCAGTACCTGAGGATACTAATGTGGCCAATGAAAAGTCGTGAGCAAGACGAGGAGTGAATAACTTAGTTTGCTACTGTATCAATCGATAGGAACTAAATAGCATCAAACTAGTAGTCCTCGACCTGAAGGTCTATACATTCAGGGAATTGGCCAATTATTCCTGTCGTTTGCACTTTGTAACTGCTTTCCTGATTACTACCATTATCGTATTGAAAGAGATGAAATTACTATATTATTCTCCCGTGTGGACTAGCCTGAGGTTGAGCGACATTTTTTATTGGGTATATTAGCAGACAAAAGCGATTATTACTATAGCGTAAGCATTACTAATTAATTATATGCCCGAACTTCAGTTAACCCGAGTTAGTAAAAGATTTATACACATTACTTCAGGATATATTTCTTAGCAAGTATTAGATACAATGAAGCTTTGTTCAAGTTATAATTTTACCCGAAAGAATTAGCGTATAATTTTCCGCATGCTTAAATAAAACCCGGAGGTAGATATGGCTATACCCAATTTGTTCATGGCTCACCTAAAACAAAGATTGAATTACTAAAAACTGATACAGGCACTCCACATTCCGGCTACTGTACATAGTTCTATTTGATTAATCTGATAATCAGTAAGTGTGCATGTAGAAGATAGTCTACTGAGGTAACTCCCTCTGAAGCTCGGTTACCATAGATGAATTCCCCAAAAATACTCCATGAAGGACCATTCCAAAGACACGAGGTTATATGAAGGCACACAGAGCGAGATTCGGACATGTTTTAGATACTATTGTTCCAAAGACCCCTACGATCAAGGAAAATGGCTTCCTACCATGAATTCTTGATACAGGGCAGATCAATATTCTTCGCTAACGGCGCCGTTTTACTAATTACTATTTTGAAATATTTTGCTCGACTTTAAGCTGTGTGTCACATTTGAAAAATAAAACCAGCCTTGGGGATGCCAAGTCAACACATTTGGGAGAAGCCACCATGGTAAAATTTGAGCTTCTGGTTGACATGCTGGAAAACTTCTTGGCATTTTGAGTATATGTCCGGCAAACGGATATACAGGTAACACAAAAGATCCGTATCTTCTACCTTAACTCATCGATCTTACTTTGATTTGACCATGCACATTAGTAAAAACGGTGGTGTTTTGAAGCCAATCCCTACCAATTGAGGTGAATACATTAGAAATTTCCAACTAAATAGAATTTGGTTTAATCATTTGGTTAAGGATCTAGTTTCGTACTATTGTTCCAATGAACAAACTTGCGTAAACTGCATTTACCACAAGCCTATTGTTCGCGCACCCACTGCAAATTATCTATTCCATCTAGAGCAATCGGATAAATAACGAAGTGTTTGCAGGCAATGGAAATGATTTAGATTACCAAAAAAAAGCTCAAATGATCAATCTCATTCGATTGATACCATTAAGTCCAAATAAGGGCATTAGTCAACCTCCAGAAACTTCTTATTAGGTTGTCTTTCTAGGCTTCATTCTTATCAGATTGATCATATTACTACTGCACCGGGGTGTGCCTACATATACCTATTGTTGATGCGCCTCCTGACCAGAACGGCGTCCTCAAACTGACATTGTATTTTTAAAATCATTTGCGGCCCCTCGTATATGCAAACCAAACAATGCAAAGCTTCTTATTTTTTGAAGAATATACTCTTTTGTGTTGACCTCATTTTGAATGCAAAATCATCTCGATGTGCTCAGGTATGATGAGAGTCTGCCACTGACTATAAAAAATGGCCCAATCCCAGATGATTGAAATCCAAATCTCAACTTAATGGAACAGTTTTTTTCACTTCAGTATACATAAATATATAGTCATATTCAAGAGTTGCAATATACTCGCAATCTATTCTTTGAATACACAGGCAATACAACATGGTATCATTGTCAGTTATCATTGCTGCCACATTGTTGCTGACAGCTGCTGCTCATAAAGTCAACATCATTTATCACAACAGGGACATTGCAGTTAAAGCTTGTTCCACGTACTTAACTAGAACCGCGACATTGCACGGTAAGAAGGACAAGAAAGGCTTTTGCAATGTCAAAGCCCAACAAGCTTTGGGCTCGATGGCTAACTGTTTGCATGTATTAAATCAAACTGGATCTATCGATAGTTTTCTTGATTCATGTAAGCACACCAACTTAACTAGAGCTCAATTTGATGCTGCTTACCTCAATGCCTCCACTCAACTAGTAAATACTACTGCCGTGAAAGGTTTCAACACTACCAAGTTGTTTTATCAACCAATCATTACTCCCAAGAAAAAGATTCGTAACTACAAGGACTCAATTGGTACTCGTTTTATTAATTTCAATTACGCTTCATGGTATGGTATAGTTTTGATTGGATACTGGTTTGCCCTTGTTTTGGTCTCTGGTTTCTTCAACTTTTTAAAGTTTGCTGCTCCTAATTTTGTTCAAAGTCTCAATTCTAGAATTGTCACCAAATACAGAAAATATGTCACCGTACCTGCCACTGGCTCAAAACATCATGCTGAAATCAAAACGTATTTTAAAGTCTTCAGCATGGTTGTACCTACTAGAGCAGAATCATTGATGATTTTTGGTTGGGTAGTTTTAGCTATTATCTTCAACTGTGTCAGCTACCATTCGGTTTCTCCTAACACTGTTTGGAAGTATAAATATGCCGAAATGGGTAGAAAGATTGCTGATAGAACTGGTGTGATGTCTTTGTACTTGATTCCTCCAACTGTTCTCTTTGCTGGTAGAAACAACTTATTGCAATGGATTTCAGGTTGGAAATACCAAAGATTCTTAATCTTGCACAGATGGGTTGCTAGAGTCACTACCCTTTTATTTATTGTCCATGCTGTTGGTATGACCTTTAATGGACGTGGTATTGGAAAGTACCAACAAAGAAATGGTAGACCATATGTCCGTTGGGGTTATGTTGGTACAATTGCTGCATGTCTTATGTGTTTCCAAGGTTTGATCTTTTTGAGAAGGAAGGCCTATGAATACTTTCTTCTTGGGCACATTGTTTTAGGTGTTTTGTACATGGTAGGAGGTTACCTTCATGTTGAAAAAGATGGCTACCATTACTTCTACATGAGTGCCTTCTGTCTTTGGGCTTTGGATAGAGTACTAAGATTGGTAAGATGTGCTACTTTCGGTGTCAAGCCAGCAGAGGTGGAATTAATAGGCGAAGAAATGATGAGAGTTACTGTGGACAAGCCAACATGGTGGAAAGCTTTCCCTGGTTGCCATGCTTTCGTTTCGTTCATGAGACCTTCCTGTTTCTGGCAATCTCATCCATTCACTGTTTTGGACAGTGTGGATGGCAAGCTCGTATTCCTTATTAGGGTTAAAGGAGGTGTAAGCCACGGCCTTTATAAGTTCTTGAGTAAGCAACCTAACCAAAGGGCTACTATCAAGGTTTCTATTGAAGGACCTTATGGTGCCCACAATCCAAGCTCCAGATACAATAATACTGTGTTTGTAGGTGGTGGAAACGGTATTGTTGGGTTGTATTCTATTGCAATGAATATGGCTAAGAAGTCCAAGGCTTCTCAAAGAATTAAGATCCACTGGGGAGTGCGGAACTACCTGAACTTACAATGGTTTTACAACGAATTACAACAATTATCCACTGTTAATGTTGATACTACTATTTACGTTAGTGATTGCCAATGTCCAATCAACACAAGATTCATGGAAAAGAACAGTGACTCTGAAGAAGATGAAAAGAGTAGCGGTGATGAAAAATCCGGATCGGATCATGTTAGCAGTTTGAAGGCATCCCTTCCGCACATTGAATTTGTTGAAGGAAGACCCAATGCTGAACAAATTGTACAGAATGAAATAAGTCAAACCATTTCCCCCATTGCATTCACAACTTGTGCCCATCCCGCATTTGTGGACGACGTTAGAAAGGCTGTGGTGAACAACATGGATAAGACTAAACAGAGAGTCGACTTGTTTGAAGAAATTCAAGTCTGGTAAACACATTTATAGAACCCATACATTTGAAACAAACTACGACGAGACCAAGTCCAAAACATGTAATAATACAGGCGTATAGAAGTCTGTATATGCCACTACGTACAATAGAAAGTGCTGCAGATAACCGCTCCATGCCAGAACATCAATTAAATGTGCACGAATTATATCCTGGGTATATTCACTAGTATAGTACGAGAGGATACGGCCTGTGGATCTATTGGTTAGAAACACGTCTAGTGCTGTTAGTTTTATGTTTAAGAGTCTTTGCATTGAGCTGAAATATATTTAAGTGTGTGTCACGTGATGCGCAAAGTAGACTCACTATTAACTCAGAACAGAATAAAATAAAGCCCATATTACTATTTTTATAAGCCTGAATTAACTCTAATTAAAGTATTCCCATACCGCTGCCGTGACTATCCTATTGATCCGGCGATTTTTTAAGCGATACATATGGCTATTCTTAAATCCATTTCCTGTGGGTCGTGTCATGGTTACGTGTTTTTGTCCCCATTAAACTTTTCACTACCTTACTACAAAAACAAAATCAAACACATCGTATTAACAAAGGATCAACAGTTTGCGCTACTATAAGGTGTTTGGGGCTTCTTATTGGTGACACTGATTCGCTTGGTATCACTTTTATTTTTTTATTCACTGTTCTTGGTTTTTATACTCGTACTGGCTGGGGTCAGACACAGACAGACACACAATCGTTATATATGAATAAGTATGGTGTACTTGAAGCCAACTAGATCACTTCGAGAAGCAGCGGAAAAAGCTGCTAAATCAGTGGATATCCATGTACGGGCCGCGTCTTCTTCATCCAGCAAATGCTCCGGTAAGAACAGTAATGATCCTTCTTGTCAGAAACCTGTTAGTGAAAATGCAGTGGTCATTGCAGTTAGTGTAGTGGTACCGATTGTGGTGATTTGTATGGTTTTAGGATACTTTTGGTATCGTAATTATCGGAAGTATAAGAAGGAAGAATTAGATCAAGATCCAGACTTTTTTGAGAATGGCGAAGCAACTGCTCTCCCAGATCTTAGCAAACAATACGAATTGGAGAATCCATTTGAAGCAGATGATACTGCTAAATTCCCTCGTCCTCGTCCAGGTTCAAGAGCTGTATATGGCTCCAATGGCCACAACCATTCGGAGGTCTCTTTACCTCAATCGTATACTAACGAAAAACGGTTTGATTCATTTGTTCTTCCGTATTCAAATCAAACAGCTTCCAAGGCAGATCTTGATGAGTTTGCAAGACATATTGGAGTAACCGATAGAGCCTCAACATTATATTTGGATAGCAGAAACTCTAGCGTGACCAATCTAGACGGTGGTGCTGCTAGCTCTTACATTTCTCCTACAAAGAAGAACCACAAGCACAACCAATTACCTTCTCCGACGGTGATGACTTCTCCAAGTCCTAAAAAGAAACCTAGAGACTATGCTCATTTGCCTAATCTGTCCGAAACAGCTTTAGCCTTAGGATCTGCACCTGTTGTGGAACGTCTAGCAGATGATGGTGATTCTTCATCATCTTCAACCAATGACTTTGATATTAAATATGAGAATAACAACTCTCGATCTGCCTTGGTTGAAGAACGCGATGATGATACCGCGACTTCATCAAGAGTGGTTAGTGACAAGACCAAAATGGAGACTGAGACAACTTTGAACACTACAATGGAGTCTCCTTTCGTTGAGTCCAAGGACATCAACAATAGAAATGATAACGAAAATAACCATGATAACGACAAAACAGTAACAGCAAAGAAATCTGTGAGAATATCAGATTTTAATATGCTTTTAAATGATAGCTCTGCAGCTGAACTCTCTAACATGGATCCTGAGGAGGAGGAAGTGCTTGCCCAACAAGAAGAAGAAGTCAAGAGAATGAAATCCATATATCAAGTGTATTTTGACAGAAATAAGTCAATGAAGGTCAACAATAAGGAAAATAACAATAGTAATGATGTTGAAAATCACCCTCCCATGCCACAAATCGTCTTACCTGAAGAAGCTGGTGAGGATTCTTCATCATTAACACCAAACGAAGAAGATCCTGATGGTCATTTGAAAATCAACAAGGAGCTCAAAGCAAATAATGATTATGAAAAAAGATTCACCACTGCATCCTCCATTTATACGGAGAATGTGCTTTTCAACGCTGATGAAGGTAATAATACACAATATCCTCACCAGCAACAATTTGAGTACCAAAACTACAACCAATATCCTGTTTATGATCAATACGGACAACCTATTCAATATCAATATCAACTTGATCCTAATTATCCGGTTCAGAGTGACCAATATGGTCAAGAATATATTCCACCTTCGGAATTACCTCCATTACAAAAGCTTAAGAATGCCTCTGACATTAGAAAATCAACTCTTCAGACTTACACTGATTTTGAACCTCATTTGAAAGGGTCTGCATTGGTAGGTCAAAAGTCTGCATTTGATCCTGTCACTCAACCGGAAGTATGGTCATCTCCAGCCATAAGTCAGGAGACATTCGCTAAACCAAATGAATCTGTGGCCAGCTTGCCATCTTCATCATTAGGTACTACCCCATCAGCATCTCAATTGGCAAGACAATCGGTTGTCATGACTAACCCCACAGCCATTCCCAAAAAGACCAAGTTTAGACCAGCAGGACGAATCAATGTTCCAGCCCCAGTACAACAAGCATACGGTAGTCCTTATCAGCAGCATCAGTTCGATGGTAGTAACGAACAATTTCTAGATGTGACAGGTTCAGACAGTGACCTTATACCTGGTAACAGAAAGAGTGATATTAGAAGGATGATGAACTCAAGTTTTTGAATACTAGTCTAGATTACAATATAGTTAATCCCCATATTATACTTGTATTATGTTTCTAAACTGTACTATATATTATATAAAAAGTCCCAGGCATTTTGTTCAAGCCAAATCGTAGTCATCGATCTTGTTCTTATACTTAAGAATGTTCTTCTTTATCTTTGACGTATCAACCCAAGTCAAGTAGTCTTCCAAGTTTCTAGTGACCAAATACGCAGGATCGGTGATAATGTTAGGTCCAACTCGGACATGGCCTTGTTCAATGAAAGTGACTGCGTCTTTCACAGTTTCAGCCATCTTCAATCGGCACATAACCACTCCTATTCTCCTTCTGCAAAAGGCGCTAACAGTGATTTTATTTTCCAAGTCTGAAATCTTGGACTTAGAAGCAAGCACTCCCATCGCATACAACTTCTCGAGTAAAAGTTGCTCATGCTTGACTCTGAAAGGGTCCGTGGGTTGTAATAGCGATAACTGATGTGCTAGTTTCCGAATATCCCCACACATTCGGTTATACTTATGATAGTCTTCTCTATTCTGGATATGATATGTTCTCATCACTTGGGTGTCGCGATGACCTTGGTCTTGCTTCCAGTCGAGGAAGTCGACTTTCTTCAACAACTTTTGTTCATGATGCTTCAAAGCTCTAACCATTGTAATCAGGATTCAGTAGTATATGAGTGTTATGGAATGGATATGAGTGTTTGGTTTAATGAATAGGATAGTCATACTATGATTAGCTTCATCTCTTCTCACTACCAGTGTGTAGTGTTCTATGCAGACAGTTTTTCTCGGATAAATATATGCAGACGAAAAATTTTCGAGATTCATACGCCAAATTGATAGACTCCAGACAGACACAGTACTAAAACCTGAGTTCCATCATAGCATTACTGGTCCAACATAGTTTAGTCTTAAATATGTTGTCTTCCAGATTGGCGTTGTTGGGATCGTCATCATTGTCCTTTACGCGGACGTTTGCATCGTCATCAATCCACTTGTCTAATATCGGTAAGGTCCCAGTAAGATTATCTGAAGGAGTTGAGTGCTATACAGAAGATCTTCCTAAAGAATTCGCTAGAAAGTTCCGTAAAGGTAAAGACATACACTATTTGGATCGGTTGATTGTCGTAAAGGGACCTAAAGGAGAATTAAAAGCCGAAGTACCCAGTTTTGTCAACTTGCAAAACGAAAACAACCATGTCACAGTTACTGTCGCAAACCCTCAAGATAAACTTCAAAGATCCATGTGGGGTACTGCCAGATCGATTGTTCAGAATAATATGATTGGTTTAACAGAAGGTCACTTGGCTTTTGTCAAATTTGTTGGAACTGGTTACAGGGCAGTGTTGGAAAAGGATGCAAAGGGGAAAGATGTTATAGCACTTAAAGTTGGTCAAAAGTTCACTCCAAGATTACCAGTTCCAAGTTATTTGACGGTTTCACTTCCTAATCCTGCTAGATTATTGATTGAAGGCGCTGATAAGCAAAAGGTCTTTGAGTTTGCTGCGGCTATCAGAGCTTATAAGAAGCCTGAACCTTATAAAGGTAAGGGTATCTTTATTAATAATGAGACCATCAGAATGAAGGAGAAGAAGCTTAAATAAGCTTAGTTAAGTTATTATTCTTGTATATACTAATGGTGACAGCGTCATGAAGAAGAACAATTGGAATATAACTGTAGGTACAACTATAGACACAGCTACTGTGGTACGGAGAAGTAAAATATTTTAGTCACTGAAAATATGAACCACACACGACTTGAAAGATTTTCAGTTTCGGTACTAATTTTTCAGCTCAAAAGCCTAACAATAATCAACTATACTACTTATTAAGAATCAGTATGATGTTAAAAAGTGCGTGGCCTGTGACTCGTTCAGGGAACCCTTTGGCGTTTGTGCGGAATATTGCTCAGCTCACGTCTTTGCGGTCTATTCCAGCAGCCAGAACCGAACCTAAGCCGGTGAACCATTCATTGGAATTATCCAATCAACGAAAGAAGCTTTTGGCCCGTCCAGGGTTATTAGGCACCAAAAGAGGTATGATTTCATGGTTTACTGATGATGGGAAACACTATGCAGCCACTGTTATTGAGATAGAATCGTGTGAAGTGCTTGCAAACAAAACAGTTGATTCTGATGGATACACCTCTGTACTTTTAGGACAAATAGACAAGATGAAGAACATATCAAATGGAAGATTGAAACTCTTTGAAAACGCTGGTGTATCACCTAAACGGAATATTGGAGAGTTCAGAGTTAGAGATGAATCAGGATTAATGGAACCAGGTACAGAATTAACTGCTGATTATTTTGCTGTTGGACAAATGGTTGATGTTATGGGAGTTACTAAAGGGAAGGGATTTGCTGGTGTAATGAAGAGACATGGATTTAAAGGTTTAAGAGCTACGCATGGTGTTTCTAAAGCCCATAGATCTGCAGGTTCTACTGGTCCTTCCCAAGATCCAGGAAGAGTTCTCCCTTTAAAGAAAATGGCCGGTAGAATGGGTGGAAAGAATTCAACTGCTCAAAACTTAGAAGTTTTATATGCTAATGGTGAAGCAGGTATTTTAGTGGTTAAAGGTCAAATCCCAGGTCCTAATAAAGCATTTATCAAAATTAGAGACTCAAAGTCTTTATATGGAAAGTCATTGATTCAAGTTGGACTTGAAAATCAATAGATTATCATTCTTCGTCTTTACTTGTATATATATTAATTTACTCAAACAAAATCTGTTAATCCTTCTAATCATCAATCTGATCTCAGTTTGATAACTAGAAAAATGTAACACATTTTTCCAACTATAAGTTAATCAATGAATAAACTTATTGGTAGTTGATAATGGGGGTTCCAAAAAATATACGGTACACCATTGACAAAGACAACTCCCGGATGGTTCTGGTAAAAGGCAAGAACCATGTACGATTAAGAAGCTGATCTTCTGGCGACAAAGAGCAAAATCAATTGTAGGCATCGCAAATTTTCGGGGGACAACTGCCTTTTATAGTTTTATTTTAGTAGTCCGGGTAACCCCTGTTCAATTCACTGTACCAACTAACATTACAATAACTAGCTTTACACATAGTCATACACATATAATCATATAGCATATAAATATATCTATGTACAAGTATTGGATGTGTCTATTAATCAGCTTTTGTGCTGTGTTCACTTCGATCTGGTCAAGATGGAATTTGTAAGAAATTCCAATGCACTTCTAGCATCTGATTCAGGCAATACTCTTAAATTCTCCAAAGCCTTTTGACAATACTCTTGAGCCATTAGTCTTGTTTTACCAACACCATCACATTCAATAACTGCTTTTCTTGCCAATTCGATATCGTTTGGTTCGCTGAACTTTCTTCCGATCATTGCACCTAATTCTGGTCTTTCCATCCAAGCAAATAATACTGGAGCTGTAGCTAAGCCTAATTTCAAATCTGCTTGACTGGGTTTCCCAAAAGCAGCATCACTTGAAGTGTAATCCAACATATCATCCACAATTTGGAAGCATAACCCCAAGTTTCTACCGAATTGATAACAATTCTCAATAACATCATCATGTGATCCACTAAGAACAGCAGCTGCTCTAGAGGATTTGGACATCAAAGCAGCAGTCTTTAAATAAGTTTTGTGTAAATAATATTCGAAAGCAGCTTCAACATTGGTTTTATGGTCTATACCTGGTGGAGGTGTCACTCTATATTCATGCATTTCAGTGGGAACTTTACCAGAAGGTTGAGGAACCACTTTCAATTCCCCGTCATTATTTATTGAATCCAGTGGTTCGTTACTGACAACTGTATTTTTCAATTGCATGAATTCACCTTCTACCAAATTGGCGATGGTGGTTGAAAGTAATTCAATCACTTCAGGGTTTCTTAATCTGGCAATTGCAACTGAAGCTCTACCCAACAAAAAATCACCAGCAAGAACAGCCATCTTGTTGGTGAATGCATAGTTCCCACTTGGCCTGCCTCTTCTGGAATCGGATAAATCAATAACATCATCATGTAATAAAGAGGCAGTATGAATCATTTCAACGATTTCAGCAAGACGACGTTGTTTGGGTAAGATCCCATTAACGGAATCAAATTGAGGCAATGCATCCATTGGTTTAGAAAGTGGATCTAAAATCACTTTTGGGTTTATCCCATGTAAGATTCTTAACGGACTAATGGAATCATCAACAGATTTCCCTGCCAATGAAGTGGCTGTAGGAGTTCCCGAATACGATGGTTGTTCGGTAACATCATAAGTATCTATGGTTATTCTATCTCTTTGTTCCACTGGGATCTTCAGTAAACTTTTGGACAAAAGTAACACCAAAAGCGGCCTAACATTTTTACCCTCGGCTTCAAAATAATAAGATGATACTCGGTTCAATGTAGGATGGCCTGACCCTATTAAGTTTGCAATCGATTTGGCCAAATTGGTCATCTCATAACTCACTATAGAAAATGGATCTTGGAAACTTCCTTGTTGATTTGGTTGAACCAACTTTTCACCGGCTTCCATTGCAGTTTTAAAACTGTCCACTGGTTTAGTGCCGCTTGCAGTGGAGTATGATGAAGGATACGAATGCTTTCCCAAAAAGGAAACTGCCCTTAGTAACTGGCCTCTTCGGCATTGTCTCAACAATGAACCACTATGACTACACTTCAACATCGTTAATGGTATAAGTTGATGCTTTACTTGTGGATGTTTCTTCTTAATGGGTGAAAAAAAGTCTACGCTCATGAGGTAAAAGATGAGCCGCGCACGACACTCTTATAAGAGTATAACCTAGGGTATATTGAAATGGAAACTACTATAACACTTATGTATATCATGACGTATACTAAACACTCTATAACTTAAAAGGTAACAAAAATTTAGAAATGAAATAATATAATATAATGTATACTATCTAAACAACTTTATTCATACAATACTCTTTGAGTTGAATTCAAGTTTGACAAAAACACATCCGGTGGTGTTAAGACTCCCAAAGACCGTTTGGCATGTTCATTTAAAAAGGTTAAACCCACCAAATATGAAGCATTGGCCCAACCAAACCCTTCAGTTGCAACGCATTTAAAATCTGTACCTTGGTTACCGTATTCGGCATCAACCTTATGCGGGTTTCTCTTGTTGGTTACGTCATACTTTTCAACCACCACTCCATTGTAATCAACAAAGGCTTTGGTCATGAGGAACAACCATCTGTAGGCAACTCTTCTGGCAATACCATTGTAACCATAGTTGGAAAGACCTAACCAAGCTAAGATTTGTTGCGGTGACCATCCATATGGATAATCCCATTGACGAGATGGTCTATGCAATGAAACCTCACCTCGAGATCTTAAAGTACCGGAGACTAAACCACCATACTCTTCAAATTTCGATAAAGAGTGTGTAACCAATTTCTCAGCTTGTTCTGGAGTAGCCAATTTGGACCAAAGAGGCCAAAAACTGGTGACTGATTCATAATTGATTTGCTCCTTGGTACGAATATTCCAATCGTAAAAGATCTTATCTTCTTCATTCCATAAGTATTTGGTAACAGCATCCTTTCTCTTTGCTGCTCTCTCATTCCAAACTGCACTGCTTTCATATAATTCACCAGTTTCAGGATTAACCAACTTGTCCTGGAAGAAACTCTCCAAAATAAAGGCAATATCAGTTTCATATTTATAGATAAGGGAATTCAAATCAATAGTGGCCAAATCAGCACAACATCCTTCAAATCTGTATGTTGTATCCAAACCAGATTCTCTTAATGCACGATCATGAACAAAATAACGGTCCAAATCAGGTTCTTCAATCTCCCCAGAATTATACTTTTCAATGAATTCCTTTTTGGAAATGTTATGTTTCAAAGAGTATGGATTCAAAACTGTATCGAAATGGGTAGATTCTGTTTCTGGTGGAACTCCTAAACCTTCGGGATGATAACATGATAAACCTGTTTCTTCATCTAATCTTGGTTTTGCAGTCCAGATTGTTTTATATTCTTTAATAGCAGCAATAATGGCTCTCTTTAAGAAATCAATACCTTCTTCAATCTTATCTGGATTAACTTCGATGAACTTATTGAATACACGAAGTGCCATATCTGTTAAAAATGGCGGCTGTGAACGTCCCAAATAGTACGATCTATTGGCATTTAGACATTTCCCATAATATTTGATGGAGTAAATGAAATTTTCAGTCATACCTTTGGCAATCTTTAAATTGGTTTGATCTTCAGGTGTAACGTTCAATAATAAACCCAACGTAATCATATAAGAATCCCAATCATAAAACTCATTAAATCTTCCACCAGGAACAATGTAAGGTTCATGTATCAAGTTCTTAGGATCCAGAGGGTCCTTTTCATATGCCAAAGCCAATAATCCTGGTTTATTATTAAGGGATTTAATGAAAGTGGCATCAATTTTCAGGGGTAATCGTTCAACTTCCAAACCGGGGTTACGCTTCTTCAATGTTTGAAAGTATTCATATTGTTCAGTTAGTTCAGCAGGAACATAGATTCTATGGGTTTCGTTCTTCCTTTGGATGTTACCATTCTCATCAATATATTCTTCCTTGATCTTTGTATCTTTGGTCATCAACATGATGTTCTCAGGAGTCACTTGTCTAGTAAGAGATTTCCAAAAAATGGTGGTGATAAACCTCTTCATTCTATCAACAGGGTTCTCATTCAATCTTCTTTCGTCCAACACAACAGACAGTCTTCCTTGGCCCTTAGCCAACGTTAATTCTTGTAACAAGTTAGCCAACATGTAGTTGCCGGAGACAGTGGCTGTCTTGTAGCCTTGAGAACCAGAAGTACCCAACTTCAAGACCTTGGGACCTCCATCGTCGATGGTGATCTGCTGATTGTGGTCGGTGTCTTCGTTACGCAACAACTCATCCAAAGTTGAGTCGATATCATTGATGAAGAATTTCTTGGGTCTACTTCTGGTTCCGTCAATCGACAGTCTTCTCTGAGGGATCGAGTTATTGAGATTGATATTCTTTAAGGCCCAGTTCAACTTCTCCGGTTGCATAGTATTGTTGTTATTACTACCATTTGCACCCAGAGGATCAAAGTCTTCGTCAGTAGGGGGGGTTTCCACTCTGGAGTTGTTCTCAGAGTAAATCGGAACAATGTTATCTTTGATTTGTTCCAAAGTCACGAAACGGTCTTTGTTATCATCGTTATCAGGGGAAGTGCTTGGAGATGTGTGATCTTCTTCCTCGGCATCAGATTCAACAGCAATGGCCGATGGATCAATAAGGATAGATGATTCGAATCCAAACGTAGGATCATTAAAGTACCTCTTTATTTCTACCAATGATTGGGCACGAGGCTTGGTACCCTTTGTTTTGGCTTGTGTGTCATTGGAGTAGTAGTTTTCAGCAATATCAAGGGGGTCTGGATCCTCACTTGAGAATGAAAATACCGATCCACTTCTGTTCATTATAACTGTTGGGGATGGGGTATAGCGGTACTCTTTACAAGTATAAAGTAAGTAAGGCGATATCAGACAAAGGATGTCACTTTAAAAATAATAAAGGGGTTCCTTAGGATTAACTGTTGATTATCAAGAGATACGCACAACTGGTGTACCCAGCAAACTGCTAGAGAATAATAAATAGATTTAGTCTGCAAAGACAGAACAAGAGACGTGACGACTTTATTTTACAGAAAAGAAAAGAAAAAAAGATTTCTGGTGATGAAAGGTATTTATATGAGACTACTATTGATGGTTATTATAAGATGGTTGGGAGTGAGTGGGAAGATGACATGGGGTCGGTTCTTTTGTGTATCGTTGTGTTTTTTTTCTTTTCTTCGTGACGGAAAAATGACAAAAAACGATGAAGGCTAACATCTCCCTTTTTTTTTTGTCTGAAAATGAAACAGAGTACTGTTTCGTGCATCCATACTGAAACAGATGGTTTGGGGGCTGACCAATTACCTAGCACTTGTTCTACTCTTTGCTTCCCTCACTGTTCTTCAATGGCAAATTTATCGCAACTTGAGGGTGTCTGTTTGATACGTAGAAGTGATAGTGTCTGTGGTCGATAACCTTGATTACGTCTGAGATCTGTTTTAACCTAACTGGGACAACACAGACACAAACAGCGCATGATTAAATGACAAGAATGTAACAAAACTTCTGCTTGCCAAAAAGAAACGATCAATAAGAGCCACGGTTTGACCAAAATTCATCGCCTCATACCATAAACGTCATATTTCCTGTAAACGTCATATATCCCCTCTGCCATATGAAGATATGAAACAAATGTCGGGGAATCTGGGGGAACCTCTTTCAGATACTTTCTGTAGAAGGTGTGGCCGCTGCTATTTGTTTATGCTGTCGGAAAATTTATACCCCACAATTGTTACAAAGTAATTGCGAACAGCCAATAAGCATTTCGTCCAAGAACAAACGTTCATTATTAAGGTTCCAAGGCGACATGTTTTATTATTGTTAAAGATGCAGACACGAAAAGACTTTTCTTCGGAGAAGGTGGGGCGTTATAGATATTAGTTGAAAAATAGACAAACCTCTTTCACAGTGAACACATTCCCTAAAAGTTATTTAAAAAATTGTTGAGTAAATTTAATTTGGTATCATGAATGGAAGACTATTCTGCAATGATGCTCTTTTGTCGATGCATACAAGGCAGAGAAAGACGAAGACAGACATTGGGTGCAAAAGTTGATATCTGGAAGAAACTTTAAGACCGTTTGCGTCAAAGCGTTGTCAGCCACTGGCCTATAGTTTAAAAATAAAGCACACTAACCCAAACGTAAACATCTACTGAGCATGTCAAGTAGGTTGTTGTTCATGCTATTGATCGGGGTACTGAACAACATTCTTCCCGCGCTACCAATAGAGATTGGAACACTAATATCGTAACCCATTAATACAAAATAATCTATACTCTTATCTATATCCTCTGCAATCAGTATGGTAGTTAAATGAAAATTATTATTAATTGAGTTCACTACTACTACTACTACTACCACCATCAGCCGTTTGTTTCACGATTATGTAACCATGCTATTGAACTAACACTTTTTGATAGATACATAGAGTTGTTCCGACTATTGTCTGAGCTTAAGATCATAAGTAGATGCGTTGTAAAAATTTTAGCAGTTCATTTTCCCACAAGAAACTTTCTCAATTCGTATCACGTTGCCTATTACCAGATATCAAGACGGTTCAGACCGGAACTACCTGATTACGATAGCCCTGTAGTTGTACAAGGTACTTTAGTGTTGGTTATCAAGTCCGAGCTGGCCGATGCAATCAGCCGCAGCGCGATTGCATCTGACGGTTGATATAAGAGGGGTTGAAATTTTACTTCATCTCCTCCACGAAACAGGGATGGTTCCGAAATCACCCGTTTTGTGCGCTTTCATTTATATTTACAAAAGTTTATCCGTGTTGAACTACGTTACAAACGGAATAACTATCATCACAAGACACATAAAGAAAATTATGTATATATTCAATTAAAAGGGCAGTTCAGTCATAGCTCAATAAAGTACACCTAGAAGCATTTTAAAGTGTTCATGGTTTACTTGGTAACTATTTTTAAAACTAGCCGTAGCTGCTGGTGCGTGTCTTATGTGCAAAAGTACGGCATGGGGCTTTTTGTTGTATGTATGTATCTTATACACCCAAAAGACACCCCGCTCAATCCAAGATGTTTACTGTTGGGGGCAGCTCCGAAATGCCTTGCAGTTTTAAATATGCGTTTGACATAAGTGGATGTCTTGACCTCTATGTAGTCTACTTAAGATTATAAAAGTAGTGTAGCTCATTGGTAACTTGATATAGTTAAGGCACTTGCTTGGTTCCATTTGTAATACTTTATTGATTTATTACTTTACTGCGCTTTGCTTAGCTTTCTTACATTGTAGAGCTCTATAATCGAATATCCTCTAACGAGGGGAATAAAAAACAAAGTCGGGAGTTCACGGAAACGTCAAAAGAAAAACGAAAATGGAAAGCACCGGAACACAAAACGTAGCGAACCATTAGGGAGGGGAACTAAAGGAGGAGAAGTACCCTCGATAAAAACATTCAGATCCGAGGGTTTACAGTTGGGATCTTCATTGAAGGGGTCATCTCATATTGAAGTCTAAGATTGATATGGTAGAGTGGTCTTAATCTAGTTGCAATTTGAGAGGAAGAAGATATATATAGGTATTGGCATTATTTGAATATTCATGTGATGCAATATGTACCTGGTACGATACTGTGTTATGTTACTAGGTTGTATTTCAGAATAACCGGGCCGGTAAAGGAGTATACAGGTGGAAATTTATCATGGTAGCGCGCAGTAATAGTATGTCTGTTCGTAAATTATAATAGAAGTTCCCATGTATTTGCTAAAGACCCATGGATTAGTTGAGAAGGGATCCTTTACATACAATATCTCTGCATCAAGTAGCATCCTTCTGCTCATTTGTTATCTTAGAATACCTGACTTCTAAACTCAATGCCTATACTGGTTTATATAGTTCCGGGCCGCTTGTCCGGTAATGCGATTTCGTACATAGGTACTATATAAAACTATATGCGCGTAATCTTACTATGGCCCCACCGAGTATTCCCTCGTTCATGCCCTCGGGAAGATCTCATATCTCCTCATTGCTCAAGGGTCTGGTCGGAAGAAGTGCACCTACAATACCATTTTAGCTCATCCTGCCGTTTACACTACCCGATTTATAAATTCCCAACAATAAGATTACCAAACACGAGTAGCAACAACCACAAAAACAAGATAAAGAAACCTATTATTACCATATCCCGATGAGGACCAGGCTTTTTCGTTGCTAAACTATATCTGAAGACCACCCGCTAAAATGTATAAGTACTAAATCAATTAATATAAATAGATTGGGTAATATCCTCAAAGGGAAAAAAGTCTAGTGTAGGATCTTTGATTGTACATTGTTTCTTTCCGTTCTTCAATCAAGTCAATATGATGAGATCATCAGTACAAGTACAAAGGTCGGCCGCGGGGTTAGTTAGACTTTATTCTACAGCTGCCGCCGCAAACGGTACATCATCAGGCTCTTCTTCTTCTGCTGCTGCACCACAATATCATTCATCTTCTGGATCTAAAGTTGGTGCTAATCTTCATACTCATACAGTCAAAACCCCTGTGGGGATTAAAGCGGCTATTGCTTCATTGAAGCCTAAAACCACCAGATTGTCCAATGAAGGTCCTATTGAATGTGATTTACATGGTTTCCAATTATTAAACTCACCAGTGTTCAATAAAGGTTCCGCTTTCTCCTTAGAGGAGCGCAAGGCTTTCGGGTTGGATGGGTTGTTACCCTCCCAAGTTAATACTTTGGATGAGCAAGTTGACAGAGCTTACAAACAATTCAAATACTTGAAGACCCCCTTAGCTAAGAATGATTTCTTAACTAGTATGAGAATCCAAAACAAAGTCTTGTACTATGAATTGGTCAGAAGACATATAAGAGAAATGTTGCCAATCATTTATACTCCAACTGAAGGTGATGCTATTGCTCTGTATTCTCATAGATTTAGAAAACCAGAAGGTTGTTTCCTTGACATCACCGACCCTGATTCTATCGACAAAAGATTGGCTGTCTATGGTGAAGACAAGGATATCGACTACATTGTTGTTTCCGATGGTGAAGCTATATTGGGTATCGGTGACCAAGGTGTTGGTGGTGTGAGAATTTCCATTGCCAAATTGGGTTTAATGACTCTTTGTGGTGGTATTCACCCAGGTAGAGTTTTACCGATAGTCTTGGATGTGGGTACTAATAACGAAACTTTACTTAACGATGACTTGTACATGGGTAACAAGTTTCCAAGAGTCAGAGGTGAACAATATTGGGACTTTATCGATAAGTTTATACATTCTCTTAAAAAGAGATTCCCCTCTGCAGTTTTGCATTATGAAGACTTTGGTACCTTTACTGGTAGGGACATGTTATACAAATACAGAGACTTTATCCCATCTTTCAATGATGATATTCAAGGTACCGGTGCTGTTGTGATGGCATCTATTACTGCTGGTTTGAAATACACAAACCGTAAACTTTTGGACACCAAAGTGGTTATCTACGGAGCTGGTTCTGCTGGGTTAGGTGTAGCTGATCAAATTGTTAACCATATGGTGAGTCATGGTGCTACTCCTGAACAAGCTAGACTGAAGATTGTTTGTATGGATAGAAGAGGAGTTATTTTGAAGTCCATGGAATCTCCAGAACATCAAGCTCTTTATAGTGAAGACGACAAGGAATGGGAAGGGATAGATACTAAGAATTTGGTTGAAGTTGTTAGAAAAGTTCAACCAACTGTTTTGGTAGGTACTTCTACTCAAGCTGGTGCTTTCACTGAACAAGTTATCAGGGAAATGTACAAGTACAATCCTAATCCGTTTGTTTTCCCCTTATCTAACCCTACCAGATTGCATGAAGCTTTCCCCGTTGATATCATGAAATGGACAGACAACAATGCATTGATTGCGACAGGGTCTCCCTTCCCACCTGTTGATGGTTACTACATTTCCGAAAACAACAATTGCTTCACATTCCCAGGTATTGGGTTGGGTGCTGTTTTATCTAGAACAACTACTATCACCGACACCATGATTTCTGCTGCTGTTGATCAATTGGCTTCTATGTCACCCAAGATGAAAAATCCTAAGAATGGGTTGTTGCCAAGATTGGAAGAAGTTGATGAGGTTTCTGCTTATATTGCAACTGCGGTTGTCTTACAAGCTTTAAAGGAAGGGAATGCTCAAGTGGAAAAGGAACAAAGACCTGATGGTGGGTTTGTGTCTGTTCCACGTAACTTTGATGAATGTTTGAAATGGGTTCAATCCCAATTATGGAGACCCGTTTACAGACCAATGGTTAGTGTTGAACATATTCCTGAAATCCATACATTCCAACACTAAGCTGCAATTATAACAATAATATATTCTGGGGTCTTATACATTTTTTATCTTATACCATGCATTTATTTAATAGGGTGATTCTATAGAAATTTTTTCAATACACTAATTTAATCATACTTCTACTTCTCCTTCTTCTCCGAAAACAGTATCCAAGAACATGGCCACCTTGACCACTGCAAAGTACTTTGAAGGATCTAAGTTGTCATATGTGAGTTGTTTTCCCTTTTTACCTTTAACCTTCCCAATAACTGAGTCTTCAAGGAAAAAGAGTGAATCGTGTATTCCCTTTGGTTCCATATAGAGATAAATATCTGGGCCTTGCTTGTTGTTTTCCAAAGTGTATTGGTAGTTTTTTTTAGGTTCAATGGTTCCCTTAGGCACTTCAAGAGCATGAGTACACCACTCAATGATATCATCTCTAAAAGATTCATCTTCACCCCAGATAACCAATAAGGAGCTGCCATTCTGGAAACTGGGGACTCGCAGCCATTCCTTAGTGTTGGTATAGCCGTGATTACCGGGAGAGACCATTATATCCGACATCGATAATGCTGAAGATACAATGTGATGGTATTCAAATGGGTTAGAAAACTGAATAATATCGTATGGTTCATTATCGTGCCACGAGTTGCCTTCTGTGGCACCATCTTCTGGATTAGGTTTCATTTTCACCCATGGTGATATAAGGATCTGGGTTTTGGGGTAAATGTGTGGAGTGGTACTTTGAAGTGGAGGTAATAGTTCAACTATGGGATGCGGAATACTATTATAATAATGGTATAATAATTGAGTGAAGGTAATAGACAAGTGACCACCGGCTGAATCACCAAAGAACCCAATGTTCGTATAGCCTAATGTAGTTAACTTCAAATAAGCAGCAAACAACTGTTCTAATTGAGTAGGGACAGGATACCCATCACTGGCTAAACTATAGTCCAATAGTAAAATATTGAGTTTAGCTTGAACTTTAGCACTAGTTAATTTATATATGGATAACACCACTCCCAACTGTTCAGGTATAGTTTGCATGTAGTAGCCACCTCCATGGAAGTATATAAGTATAGGACTGTCACTTGAAATGTCTTGATGTTTCACAAGCCATATAGAGTGCTCTTCATGCTGTTCTCCGTAACCGGGCAAACTACTCACAAGACTGCGATGGAGGAACCACATAATGTGTCTTACTAAAGTGGAATTCGAGAACAACGTAAGGTTTCTAGCCTCTCCAACAGATATTTGAAGTCCTGTCTTGCAAAGAGTCATCTTAAGTGCATTCCGAAGACTTTCGGATCCTTTTCGATAAGGTAATTGACCAACACTATACTGATAAATTGTTCTTATTATGTTGCCCAACAACTTGAAAAGGAACCCTATTAGCCCAAACACCGACATTATCTTGTTCATCAAAATCTTGTCACAGTTAAGTATGCTAAAGCCCTTTTAGAAAAGAAGAGATAACTGTACGACGTATTTGACAGAGGAGAAGCGGCATCTACGCTCCATGTTCAACTGTGGGGGGAACAGTGGGAGAGTTAAGCCTCTTTGTTGGTTGTGAACGAGCCTCATCGTCCAGCCTCGAAATTTCGCTTTTCAACCCCGCAAGGTAGCGCCGGATTCAATTTGACAGGTGTTAACTAAACCTAATTCAACTTGACAGAACTTACACTAAGTCAAACTTGTACAATCATATTCTAAGACTACTATAATTTATATTCACTCAAAATGACGGTTAACAAAATCAACTACCCTAGTAAGCCCATAATATTTGTTGATATCAAGTGGTTTCTTTTGTCGTAAGGCTATTGCGGCATCATCTTCAAAGAAAAACAATGAATCGTGAATTCCGTAGGGTTCCATGTGAATTTCAACTTGACACTTTGACTTGGACTTGTCAAATTTAGTGTATGAATATTGACGGTTTTTAGCAGCAAAGGTTTCAGAAGGTACTCCAAGTGCATTTTCACACCAGTCAATTATATCATCACGGAATGATTCATCTTCTCCAAATAAAACAAATAGTCTCAGTTTAGGGTCCGAGAACAAAGGAATTCGCAGCCAATCTTCAACTTCTGCTTTGGCATTACCCGGACTCACAAGCAAGTGATCTAACTTTGCAGTCTTTACAATGTGTTTGATGCTTTCACCTAGATTGTGTGTGATGATATCATACTTTTCATTATCATGCCATGATTTCCCAGGAGTGTAAATATCTGCAATTTCGGGTAAAAGCTTAACCCATGGAGATACTAATATTAATTCTGATGGATAAATTTGTTTTGATATCTCAAGAGTAGTATTGATATTGGAGTCAGGTAACTTGTTGTACAACATGTACAAGTATTGAGTAAAACAGATCGCTATATTACCACCAGCTGAGTCACCAAGTAGTTGGATGTCTTCATAACCTGCGTTAACCAAGTTGACATATGTCTTATACAATTCAACTACCTGGTAAGGAAGTGGGTATTCACCTTCGGAAACTAATTTATAGTCCAAGAATAAAATATTCAAATTAGATCTTGTAGCCTTGTTCACCAGCTTATATAAGGTACAGATCATTGCTAGTTGCATTGGTTGCGTTTGTAGAAAGTATCCTCCACCATGTAAATAAACTATTACGGAGCTCTTAGGGGTCTTTGTTTCTTGTTTGGCCAACCACATTGATCTTTCATCAAACTGTTCTCCATAGTTTGGCATATCATTAACAACATCCTTGTACATCGCAGGCATTACCTTTCGCACTAGCGTTTTATTAGAGAAAAAATTCACATAGTATGCATGTTTGGGACCTAATTCAAGTGAAGTCTTATATATGGCCATTTTCAAATTTCTGATAAGGCCGCCATGGCATTTTCTAGTTGGAAGTGTTTTAGTGAAATACTTGATGAGCACAACAGCTATTCTCCAGTTTAATTTGATGAGAAAAATTAACACTGGAATCATGGTGAATTTAAACTTATAAACGCAACTACCTTTACTCATGATATTGATCTTAGGCAAATATGACCTCATATAAATAATCTTTCAATCATTATCATGTGAAGTTGCACTACAAAGCGAGGATACTTCAAACCAAGTGGGGATTCCTTCCGCGCTACCATCTATATCCCAAAAGGGTAATTTCTCTGGGGTATAATCGGGTACTTTTATAACCCATATAAAATAAATACCTATACTCTAGGTAAAGTCGGTTAAGAAGTAAACTTAAACTAGATAGTAGAGTGAAACAAGGCATATTGAGACATATAATGAAACCAGGCCCATTGAGACATAAGTATGTACAAGTTAACAAAATGCCCCTGTCCACATAGTCAGCACTTTCCTAATGGAGAAAAAACGTGAACAAACAGCACAGTTTCATATTACTGACGATGAAAGTCAAAGTTTGGTGTTTTCTTCAGCAACTCATAAATGAATGTAAAGCTTCATTACTACCTTAACGTTCTGGCAATAGGAATATAGAGTACTATAAATGAATATTCATCAAAGAGTACATTTAATTGTCAAATGACGTCTTTCACGTGTTAATTGTTGGCCAATCACAGTTGTTCATATTGGACCAATGATAGTGAGACCACGTACAGCCAAACGAAATTAATTTCGTATCAGCGGAACTAATAATAATCTCCGAGAGAAAAAGCACGAATTTTGTGGTTTTAAATTGACTATCTGCCACGTATATGCTGAATATTAAATTATTATGTGGGGTTGGCTATGTTCCTCCTTATCCTACTACGACATTCGTTCATATCCCCGGACAATGCAGGAATGGCCCACCACCTAATTCCGGATAGCTCCTATACGTTGGAAAAAATGTCGATCTTTGTTGGAAGTTTGTCCGGGTAACTGATGGAAAATTTGGGTTTTTTTCTACTTAAACTTTTGACAAGCCTGTGGGGTCCGACGACCGGCCCAAAGTTAAGTTTGAAAATTCATTTTCTTCTTTCAAATTCTAATATTTTGATAAACTAAAACAAACCCTATCACAATGTCCATCGAAGACGTCAAGGCTGCCATTGATAAGTTGCATTCCAGAATCCAAGATTTGGAAAAAAAGGCTGGATTAATTCCAGATGTTCCAAAGTCCATTCGTATGGTTTTGATTGGTCCTCCAGGTAGTGGTAAGGGTACTCAAGCACCAAACTTGAAGGACAAGTTCTGTGCTTGTCATTTGGCCACTGGAGACATGTTGAGAGCACAAGTTGCTGCTAAGACCGCCTTAGGTGTTGAAGCCAAGAAGATTATGGATCAAGGTGGATTGGTTTCTGACGAAATCATGGTTAACATGATTAAATCTGAATTGGAAAACAATAAGGAATGTTCCAATGGGTTCATTTTGGATGGTTTCCCAAGAACCATTCCTCAAGCTGAAAAGTTGGATTCTATGTTGACTGAAAGAAAGACACCATTGGATCAAGCCGTTGAGTTGAAGATTGATGATGAATTGTTGGTTGCTAGAATTACTGGTAGATTGGTTCACCCTGCTTCTGGTAGATCTTACCACAAGTTATTCAACCCCCCAAAGGTTGACATGGTTGACGACATTTCTGGCGAACCTTTGGTTCAAAGATCTGATGACAATGAAGCTGCTTTGAAAAAGAGATTGGTTACTTACCACAATCAAACAGAACCAATTGTTGCATACTACCAAAAGAGTGGTATTTGGTCTGGTATTGATGCTTCCCAAAAGCCAACTAAGGTTTGGGATGACATCTTGAAGTGTTTGGGTCAAAAATAAACCTCAGACCTTCTTCTTGTAAGTAGTAAATAAGGCTAAAAAAATGATTCTATTTATTCAACAATAATACCTTGTATTTTTATATATTAATATTTACCACGTTTCGACTTAATTGGTGAGTCTTGATCACCACTTCTCTTCTTACTATTAGCTTCATTAAAGCATGAAACATGAACAATCTTTCGCGGGTTGTCACTTCCTGGTACTTGAATACAATTCATCCAACACCAGTCCCCAACACTATCATTGAAAGTCGCATTCACATGTTCACGACATATACTACAGTTGTTGCTCAGGTCCCCCACCACAACAACATACGATATCTTTTCTGGAACAGCTGGTAGTTCAGCTTCTCCTCCTGACTTGTTTGTCGTACCCTTGTTGGTGTCTGTTGAAGTCTCCAATAGCTCTGAGTCTCTAAAGTCTACCCATTCATAATCATTCAAGTACCAATTCCGAGATTGAATTACACTATTGTTGGCTCCAGAAGTATTACCGCTACTTCCCAACTTCTTGTTCAACCGGAAATGCCAGTCCAAGTGTAAAGTTTGGAGTCTTTTCCCTTCAGGATCTGAGGAGAACCGTTTCCCACAAAGTGCACAGGGGGCACCCTTGGCACCATATAAAAGTCCTAACAATTTAATGTTCTTACCCGAATACGGGTTATAGGTCTTTAAGAAATTCTGTGGATTGTCATTGATAGAGCTTTGTATTTTGGCTAATTCCGTAAACTTCTTTTGTTCATATAACGTTGTGTTGGATAATTGGGGGTATTGTTGAGCTATCAATTGGTAAGACATATCGTTGGTGACGGTGTATTTGTTTCTAGGAAACACAAGTTTATAAACTAGTTCTGAGCCTGTTTTCAAAGGCTTATCCGCAAATATTAATCCCACGTTAATCAAGTTATTGAATAATTCATTTGCTGGATCCATTACATCACTAATAGGTGATAGTCTTTGGATATTATTATTGTTATTATCATTATTATTGGACAAAACAGGAGTACTACTTCCCGTTACATTAATCACAGCAGGTGTTGGAGAAGGAGAGGCATTGTATTGTTGTTTGATCGTTCTAAGCTGTGCTTGAATGGCTTGAAGTTCATTCCCTTGTAGCTTTTGACTAGATAAAATGGCCCGTAAGGCATCTAAAGCATTTAACTTTTCAGATAATCTAACTTCATCAGGAGACTCTTTTCTCTTCCTACGCAATATAGGAATTAATACATCAATTTGCTTAATTAATGCTTGATTAGAAAGTGGTTGAGAATCTATATCTTTAACCTTAGAGTCTTGAGTTCGTAATGCACTTGCTTTCTTATAATTGGCTAAAAACTTTGCTATTTTATCCATTTCCAGAGAACTAAATAAATTTGAACCATTTTTCAACTTCGTTTGCTTCCAAGTTTCAAACAAGTTCATCATTTTATTTCGACTGAAATCATCAACCAAAGTGAAAACTTCAGTGTATAATTTGAAGATCTCATCTTCTATTAAGATATTATAAGGATTACCCACATATTTGCAAATAGAATCAAGTAAATAAAGAGCAAATAACTTGTGTTGAGGTATAGCTTTCTTGATTCTTCCCTTGACAGCTTCAAGTATTCCTTCAGCTTCATCTTTATTCTCTTGCGCAATATTGGTTAAGTTCTCGATTATCGGACGAGAATTAAACGTCAAATCACTAAGTGATTGCGAGTAATCCTCTACAATTGTTGAAGTGGTCACCATTCCCACCTGCGCTGATTAATAATGGTACGCCGATTAAATAATATATCTTTGATGATCACTGAAGACATTTTACTTTAGAACGGCAAACCTCGCAAATCAATACCTTTTTATTAGGTAAGCTTGAGACAAGACAGGTTTGCTACTTTTGACTCATATTTCCTATTAAAGTAATATCCATAATCTAACCGCGGTGGGAGAAAATTTTTCCTCCCATCCTTCATGGTTTGATATCAAAAAATTTTCCCAATCTATTTACCATCTTTATACTCTCTTTGATTGTATAAACATCGTCAAACATGTCTCCTCCGTCTTCTAGTGATAAAAAACAATCTGGTATTGCCAGAGTCCTTGGATCAGCTTCCGCTGGTATCTTGGAAATTGGTGTGTTCCATCCAGTGGATACTATCTCAAAAAGATTAATGTCTAATCAAACCAAGGTCACCAACTTAACTCAATTAAATAGTGTTATTTTCCGTGAACATGCTACTGATGCACTTGGTAAGAGATTATTCACTTTGTTCCCTGGTTTAGGATATGCTGCTTGCTACAAGATCTTACAAAGAGTTTATAAATATGGTGGACAACCATTTGCTAATGAATTCTTAACTAAGAATTTTAAGGATGGTTATGACACTGCTTTTGGTCCTAAGACTGGTAAGGCCATGTTAAGTGCTACTGCTGGTTCCTTAATTGGTATTGGTGAAGTTGTTTTATTACCATTGGATGTGTTAAAGATTAAAAGACAAACCAACCCTGAATCCTTCAAAGGAAGAGGGTTCTTGAAGATCATTACTGATGAAGGATTTGGTTTATACAGAGGTTGGGGTTGGACCATGGCTCGTAATGCTCCTGGTTCTTTTGCATTATTTGGTGGTAACTCATTTGCTAAGGAATATATTTTCCATTTACAAGATTATAGTCAAGCTACTTGGGCTCAAAACTTTATTACATCCATTGTTGGTGCTAGTGCTTCTTTAATAGTTTCTGCTCCTTTAGATGTGATTAAGACAAGAATTCAAAATAAGAACTTTGATAACCCAGAATCTGGTTTCACTATTTTAAAGAATATGGCTAAAAATGAAGGTATCTCAGCTTTCTTCAAAGGTTTGACTCCTAAATTGTTGACTACTGGTCCAAAGTTGGTGTTCTCATTTGCACTTGCACAAACATTGATTCCTGCCTTTGACAAAATGTTGAAGTAGATAAATAGATAGAGTGTCTTGTAAATAGAGGAACGAAATTATTCAAGTTAATAATAGTAATTGTAGCGTTCTAAAGATTCATTGATTAAGTAACTATGGTTGTAGTGCTAGTGCTTGATGGCCTTTGACAAAGCGCACATACCAATCGCAACTGAAGGAGTTTGAAGTCTTACGTTTTAAGCGTAGTCCTTATTATTTATACACGTCAATGAGGTTTAAATGCATGAAATTATGAATAGTTGTGGACCGTCTACTTATACTGATGCTACTGACACAAATACAATGTCGGGAAACAAAGAAGGCAGTACTTCTCAATTGCTATGGCTTTATCGCTGGATCGTATCTCTACTGATACAAGACAAAAGTAGTGCGCGTGTAAACTGAACTCAGTCGGTATTAACGGTCTACATTTTAAATGAAATGAAGGGTAGCCTATTACAGATAGACAAATCTGGATAAGTAAAATCATTCATCATGATAATATTATTCATCAGCGTCCTTCTTTGAACATTAATGAACGTCATTTGGTATCACATTTTTGCTGCTACCATGTGATCTGGATCCTAAATCGTTACTAAGCAATTGTGGTAGTACACGACTATAATTGATAAATGCTGTAGTACCACCTTTGAGCTTATTCCGTAAATTGACGTTCACACGACTAAGGGCACATGGCGACATTTGATTATCATATGCGGGTTTTGAATGACTCGATTAGTTATTACTACAACCTTAACTTTCAAATATATAACGAGATTAAGACGACATCAGAATGAATATATAGTATACAATTATATAAACTAATTTTCATCCATCATGAGAGCTATTTTATGGTTGATGTATGCTCTTAAAGTCAATGTTCTCAATATAATTGTTCAGAATAGTAGGTCGTTCTCAATATCCTTACAATATATCCTGTCACCAGTGTTTGAAGCATGTGCTTCAACCTCTGAACCAGAATACGTTTACGCTGATAGTTCGTTTGACTATTCCAATTTAACAGATGTCCCCATCATATGACACTAATAGTACGGTACTGACGGTGTATCGTTTTGTCATATGATGTAGTATAATGAGTGAATTGTTTTGGGTTATAGATATTTATATAGGTTAATTAAAGTCTTAATATTATGGTTATTATTCAAACATATCCAATTCTTCCTTCCAATCATCTCCAAATACGAAAACTAATTCTGCTTCTGTTACTGTACCGTCAAGAATTTTCAATTTAGTTGACGCTTCTTTTGCCTTCCTTTGTCGTTGTAACTTGTCAATAATTCTTTCTCTTAATCCTCCAGATCTTTGAGCGTATGTAATGGCGTTCTTATAGTAAGCGATTCCGTTATTCTTTAGTAATTCATCTACCTCTTGTTTATATGGTACTTGTCTTCTTTCCATTTCCAAATCTCCTCGGCTGATCATTAACCCACTCATTTGCACCAAAGCATTTCCTAACCCACCATCGTCTCCCTTGGCCTCTGTGGTCAACCGTTGGTTCACTAGTGCTTGTTGGCACTTGTAAAGTTCATTGATGAAGCTAAGCAACTCCCATTCTTGTTCAGGAGAAATAGTCTCGTCGTTCATACTTAAATACAGCTCAATACATCCAATAATGATCTCATGGCTGTTAAAGTTGAGTGAAGGCTCGTTTATAACATCCTTCCAATATTCTATTGGGTCCTCCTCAATACTTCTGATGGCAAGTACCAAGATCTTCCACTTCTGAACTTGTTCTTCACTAATTGTTGCAAGCATCGCAGTATTAGTATCAGTGTTGTTGGTCTCATAGTACCGGTGTAACTTGGTTTCAAATAGATACAATTGGTCACACATCAGTTCAACGTCAATATCAATAGATTGATGCTGCTGTTGCTTCTTTTCAAGTACCACTTGTATGAACTCAAGAGCAACAATCAAACTATCATAAATATCAGGTGGTTGTACTGCTGATTCTGTTGTTACTTCCTGATGACTCTGGGTGGCGGTGGCATCGTATTGAGCCTCAGTAATATTACTCGACCTTCCTTCGTTCAATTGTGACTCCAATGAATTGATTTCAGTATATTGACGTTCAAGTAGCTCCATGACGATCGCTTTCGTATCAGATACTATTCTAATCACATCATGACTATTATTATCACCATCCATGATTTCTAGTTGTTCAGTTAAAACAACGACGCAGTTATAAAGCAAATCTAACGGTACGACACACCCCATGCCCAAAATTCTGGAAATAACTGTCTGATGCATCTTGGCTATATCTTGAATTCTCGATACTAAAACACTATTACTGCTTCCTAGCACTTCTTCAACACTAGTAAGTTCACTCACATCTACTCCTTCCAACTTCACATAGTGATTGTGTACATGGTACACCAATCGGCAACCATTGTATGAAGCATCCACATAAACGTCATTGGCACATCCTGGAAAACTCAATGTTTGTATATAAGCATCATATGCTTTCTGATAGAATCTAAGTGCCTTGGAGAGATCAGCTGATAGCCATCTATCACCACTTTCTTCATCGATTGAGCCTTGTTCAAGAGACTCTTCTGGTGAACTAGGGATTGATGATACTTTAGCCTTCTGCTTCTTAGGGAACCCTAACTGTGGGTTAGTATTGATCTAGGTATGCTTACGTAACTATGTATACATACTCTTTCTTTGGAACAGCATTGAATTGAGAGAAGGCATCATCACCTTCAAATGTGGAGTAATTTTCCGTGCAATTTTAGACCTCGTACAAACACTCGGATACTGTTACCCAACTTACTACAGAACTGCTGTATTTGGTATGCTCAATGACATTAGTGACATGTCTATCCAGTATTCCCACTACACCTCATCTTTGTCGAACTGAATTTGAACTCTCGTGTCCAGTGTACTTGTTGCTGTTATGGAAAGATGATGAGCATGGTAACGCAATCATCTTCACAGACCTTCAACTGGTCACTGACGCATCCATAGCCAACGAAGAACGAGTTCGGTGCTCTACAGAATACGATGCCCTAATCAGCGGTGGGTGTCCGGGTCCTATGGTTCCAAGGAACAAACTCTTCTTAGCTACTGTCCCCGATGATGAGCTCTTTAGTCTGATTTGCAAGACAGTGAGAAACATAGTTCAAGATCAACATATGGATTTCGGTGACCCACAAAGGTGTCGGGTCTATCAATATGGAGTTCTAGCTAAGATTGAAGCAAGGCTACAAGTGCTTCCATCCTCAAGATTAGTAGAAGGAACTTTAACACTGTGCGTTTGCATTGCCCCAAAGAACGTTGATATGGTTTGTCCCAATGAATCAGAACAAAGGCAAAGATTAGTCCAGCTTTTAAAGCGTTTGAAGCATTCATTAAAGAGGGATATTCTTGATTTTATCAGTGATAGGCTTCATATCAACGATATCATTGAACAGAGCAGGTTCAACAAGGGACAAAATAAAATAGTAACACGTCCAAAGGGAGCAGAGTTAGTATTTGGACATCATTTTGATTCCCCAACTCAAATGACTCAACTGATACAAAGACCTACTACAGAGTCGAGTCAAGAAGGTTCATCCACCATAAGCTCTTCACTGTCGGAGAAAAGCTTATCACCAGTACTGTCCAAAATCAGTATTAATTCTGAGGGAGAGGAGGAGAATGAACTGAATGCAGAAGATATCGAGTTATCTGATCTATACCCTGGTCATTTGGTCAAACGAGCGACAGTCGAATCCCTTGCTACCATAGAGAATGAATATCATCGTGAATGTCAACTTGATTCTACATTGGTATATAATGTTGAAGCTTTTATAATTGGTCTTCTACCAGATATACCATTTGTTGTCAAACCGTATGGAAGAACAGTTAAATTGGCACCTTTCAAATTGGTGATTCGAGATGTTGAAGGACCTGCAATCATTATGGTTGAGTTTAGAACCTCACAAGAAATACAAAGGTTTCTCTCATTACCTGAACCAGAGGATTCCCTTTGTCATTTGACAGCTATTAACCAAAAGATGAATGCCATGGTGGGCACTGTCAAACAGTTAAGCGTACAGGTTATGACAACAGACACACAGTACCCCAGAATGTATTGGCGATGTATGAATGTGTTAAAGGATATGACATAGTACAAGCGAATAGTGCTGTACTATACAGTAATATAACAATAAGTGTACGTGTGCACGCATTCTCAATGGTTCAGCCTCAAAGTCAGATCACAGTGCCCCTTGAAACGGCCGTGTTTGCTATTTTTATAGTGCGAATGGGCTATGGGAAATTTGTTTATAAGACGTGTGGCACCTTACTATAGAGCTCAGTTTAGTACACCAACAGCAAGTACATAGCCAATATGTTCATTTCATCTTCCGACAGTTTCTGTTATAAGAAGGCTCTTTTCGCAAGAGATACAGCATCATCAGTGAAATCAACTGCTCAATCATTCAAATCATGGGACACTTGTATGGACAATAGAGTATGTAAAATCGTTGCTATAGTTGGGATAGTGTTCGGGGTTTTGATTGTGTTTTGGGTCTTAAGTACACTCATCAGATGTGTATGTTTGGGATTCCAATGTATTGAGGCCTGTTGTTGTTGTTGTGGCCGTAGTTCTGGTTCAAGAGGTCAAACAGTCATTGTTCAAGCACCAAATCAAGATTCCTCTTATGGTAATCCTAATATGTATCCGCCAACGTATGCTCCCACGTTTTATCCCAATCCACAAAGAGATGCCAGTGGAGGAGGCACCGCTCCTCCTCAACAAGCATACTTCACCAATAGACAAGGCTATGAAAGTGTTTATACTCCTCATAATAATGCTGGTTCAAAGTATGATGATAGACCCATGTACACGGATGAAATTGAAAAGTATGATAATAACACTGCTTACAGGGGATACTAGATATTTATATAATGATAATGTTTATTAATTACAATCATCTTAAGTTATCAAAATTGTAGATAGAAAAGTACATGATGTATATTTTTTTTTGATGGAATGCGATGATGGAATATATTTATATATGTGTGTGGATAGGTGAGATGATGGTTTGAAAATGTATTGTTAAAATTGATGGAAATGAAATTTTGGAGAATGCTGTGAATTCAGTTTCAATTAACCAACAAGCAAGGTTTCTTCGTCACTGAATTCATACTGAGGAATTTCCAAATTCAAAGGAGCTGGTCCTCTTCTAATTCTACCAGAGATATCATAGTGGGAACCGTGACAAGGACAGAACCAACCACCAAAATCACCAGCTTCACCAATTGGAACACAACCCAAGTGAGTACAAATACCCAACATGACCAACCATTCGGGCTTAAGAACTCTAGCGCTATCAGTTTGAGGGTCTCTTAAACTTGAAATATCAACATCATTGGCTTCTTCAATTTCTTCAGGAGTTCTATGTCTGATGAAAACTGGCTTACCTTGCCACTTAACAACAACATTCTTACCTTCAGGAATAGCGCTCAACTTGACTTCAACCTTAGCCATAGCCAAAACATCGGCAGAAGCTGACATAGAAGACAAAAAGGCTTCAACAGTGGACTTGGCACCAGCAGCACTCAATAAACCTAATGAACCCACCATAAAATACGAAATGTTTCTGTTGTGAGTTTCTGACTTGTTGTTAACATAGTGAGAGAAGTCAGGGTGTTCGTAATTGTTACTCAATCTAAGAGAAGTTGATGATAAAGCTCTAATAGAGGCTAAAAATGAACTCCATGTTAGTAATTATGGTTCAGTCGACAGCAATTGAATGAACAACCGTAGTCTTGTAACATACTCTTCAAACTGTTAGTCTTCAATGATCTGAAAGCCAACATAGTTAGATATAAACTTAGGAATAATTAACGGACAATCTCTAAGGGTCTGACACCTATCAACTTAAGTTATTTAGAAAACTATAAGGTAAGGTTTGTTGCCTAAAACTTTTCTCACTCATCAATTTCCACAAAGTCAACCACCAATTTCTCTCCAATTAAAATTCCTCAATAAACAAAACATCATTGCACGTATGGTTTTGTGTTCTATTGAGTGTTTTGAAGGAACGCACTACTTGAACGTAGACATTGTTGAAGCCGTTTGCTTGGAATATGATTGGCCAGAATGACGTTTGGTAGCACGGGATCCAAAGAGGGATAACGGTTTTAATCTAATGGTTGCAAATAATAAGCAGTCAATGAAATAAACATTTAGGTAAAGCAAAGAATGGCTAGAACAAATTAGTAGTATTAACTGAATGCAATGTGACGTGTTACATTTTGAAGTATTATATTGTGGAATCATAGAGTTCCTCGTATCAGAATATCCTTGACTTCTCTTGCTTATACAAATGATAGATATGTGTGATAGGTAAGCGTCAACCAATTAACATATTTACATTGCAATATTTATACTTATTGATAGTACAGAAAACGGGAGCAAATGTTTTCAGTGGAACTAAAATAATGCATAGCTGCAAAACACCCATCAAAAGTCGTGTACCACGGCCAGTAATATCAAGACGACATGGCATACGACATTAGTCGATAGAGCTTTTGTTGGAGTACATACCAATGGAATAAGTATATATAAGCGAACGGTTGTATGTGTATACAAGTTTATGAGTAAGTATATATTTATGATTAAGTACGTATTTGAATTAGTGTTCGAGTGTATACTTACGTATCCTTTCCCGAAGTCAATACTTTTCCGTTGAAAAGTATTTGTTTACTGTAAGAAATATACCTTATAAACTTTTTTGCACCTCTAAAATATAACCATTTCGATACCTTTTTTTACTTTATCCCAAAACCAGCACTTTCATTGAAGGCAACTTGTAATTTCTGAATCAATTTTTCACTGGTTGAATATTCATATAAGCAAAGCTCATTAAAACATGTATGAGCAATTGGTAATCTGTTACTATTAGAGCCAAGTCTTGTTACTTTAAACGATAGATTTTGAATACCTGTGGCAGGAATTCTATCTGAACCCGTAACAAACAATAAGAACTTTTTCTGTTGTGAATTGGACAACCCTTCCAAATATTCCCATAACCACACTATTATAGGACTTTCCTTAGTAAAACCTCCAGTATATTTAGTTATTGATTGCCATATGGTCAAATCGATTTTCCCATCATCACTTCCACATAACATCAACTGAATCTCTTCCGCATCGAACAAGGAGAGTGCATTACCCCCAACAACAGAATTAAATCCCCTTCGAAAGCTTTGTAATTGTTGATAAATACCTTCTCCCATATAGAATTGATAGTATTTCTTAATGTATAGGTTGACGTTCCCCTTATCAACAGAAACATTACTACCATTAGGGATAAGTTGATATTTGATATCGTTTTCTTTGAAAATTTCATCATGAAGATCCAACTCAAATTTTAATTCCATTAATTTCAATTCCTCTTCATTGAAAGATGTCAATTTAAGTAAATTGGACGCTATTTCAGGTTGAAGTTCTTTGAAATCATTGAAACCAACAGTTTCATTCAATAAAAGTTTGTAGAATGATTTGGGAAACTTCAAATCTAATATTACAGAATTGTAAATCGCCAATCCTAATACAGCACCAAGTAGATAATACATTTGACAATCCTCTTGCGGGATCATGTTAAACCAAACGTAATTTGACAGTTCCACATACGATATCATTCCAGCAATGGGTCTGAAAAGTAATCTTGTAAGTAATAAAAACCATTCTTTACGTAACCCCCCAGCATCGATCCCTGGCTCACCTATGAATGTTACTTTCAATGATTTCTTCAAATTCTTTTCATTTTGTTCAATGCATCTTAAGGAGTCTTGAACAATATACTCTCGTCTAACTTGGACTCGAAAATAAACTTCAAAGGTGATTCTTTTGTCTAAAGAATTGATGAAAGCTTCTTCGGCTTTTCTTTCCATTTGACGATGGGCTTCATATTCTAACATGCCAATCTTATTCCCCAAAGAAATCAATAAAGGATATTGACAGAAAAAAAATGAATCCAGTTCAAACGTCAGTTTTCCTGTAATATACTTGATAGCATTTCTTAACTCTTCGGGCTGTGAATCTTTCAATGCTGATGTAGCGGCGGTGGCTTCACTATCATTTAAAGTCAGCTGCCAAGCATCAAAGTCAATTCTCATATTCACAAAATCAACAAGAGAGTTATAGAAATTGCTACATGGCAAGGCATCCATTTCATCTCTTCTTTTGTTTGCTCTGTAGAATAATGACATGACAATTGCCGCTGTTTTCAAAAGCCAATCGTTATTATACTGTTGAATTCTGATCTTAGGATTCTGATTCTTCTTCTTGGTCTTCAAGCTTGAAGTTCTGTTTATAGTATCATCATCTTCCTTAGAACTGGTAAATGTATTAGTATTGCTATGATGATGTTGAATTGAGCTGGATACGCCCCCCATCGAGCTTCTTCGTTGCAAGAAACCTTCAGAGATCCTATAATAAGATTGTAAGTGGAAGGTGATGTACAAATTAATTAGGTCGACTTTTTTAACAAAGAGGTCCCTCCTTAACTTGGTAAAGTACATAGCAAATGAGTTAGCTACTTTTACTGACTTTATGTGAGCCAATAACCCCACTGCCCGTTTAAATATTTCATAGGTCAAGGCTTTAATCTCTGGATTAGAAATCATGGAAGTGGCATATTTCTCTCTATTAATCATTACCGCATGATCTAAGAAGGGGATTTCCAAGAGCACCAAAAGCCATCTATGCTCCTTAGGATCATCTGAGAATGCAAGAGGGATTCGTTTAAGACACTCACAAGCTCCTGAAAGTGCTTTATATAGGGGCCTTTTGGTAGGAAGTCTAGTTAACATTTGGAACATCATAAGCATCTCTGAGGAGTTGATGTTGTCAATGATGACATTGCCTGAAGCAGACGCCAGTGGGAAAGAATCATTAAGACACTTTTTGTTTCTAAATGCAAGATAAAGATATGACAGTACGGGATGTAGTGTTTCATGAAGCGAAGAAGGACCAACAGCAGGGGGGGTCCCTTCATTGGTAGATAAACAGTTCAGTATAAGACGTTTAACATATTCATATGACAATGCTTCAATTGCACCGTTATCTTCTTCACTATCACCACCCCTTAACAAATGAGTAGTATGACAAACATAACACCTGAACTTTGGTGTATCCAGACGATAAGTCAAGAAAACTCCACAACAGGCACAAGATACCACTACAGTTTCAATAGTATGAGGCATCGGATCAGACCCAGAACTGGATCCAACCGTCCCAGTACCAGTATGTCGTGATCTAGAGCGTGCTCCATTAGGAGATACACCACCGCCTTCATCCCCTGAACTGCCACTACCTCTTCTTCTACCACCACCGTCACTTCCCCTACTATGGAAGGGACCTTCCTTGGCTCCAAAGAGCCTGAATAGTGGCATGGTCTTGGTACCGCTGTGAGCAAGTTGTAAGGCTATGCTCAACCGTGGGGCTGTTTGTATGTCGCGAAATGGGTACAAACAAGACGATAAGAATACAGTGACGTAAGCACACTACAGAAGCACTACAGCACATACGCACTACAGCAAGGGCATTAGAAGTAGGCAGTTGATAGTGATAGTGTTGATAGTAATAGTGTTGAGTGCTGATAGTTGTATTGGGTATGTCTCACTTCCATAAAAAGACCATACGACATCCACTACGGATGAGAGACTGTACTATTGGAAAGTTCATCACCAGTAGCAAGAATGATTTGGTGGTTTCTTATGACAATGAAATTAGAGTAATTGATGACACTACGTTGCCCCGAGCCTTAGATATCCGGACTTTGACCACTTACAAAACGCCGTTTGGATATGACACTGATTTGATCTTGGGGATCTCATCGCAGCTGACGGAGAACCCTCATCTCATAGTAATGAATGTGGCTGGAGAAGTGTTGTCATTGAAACTCAAATCCCGATACATGGTTGATGGTCCTAAGCTTCTTGTTGATCCTACTGATTCAAGGAAGTTGGTGTATGCCGATCTTACTGGGTCATATGAAGTGATTTATATGGAGAAGGAAATGATCGACACTTTAATGCAACTGCACAACATCAACAAGTTGAAGAAATCAAGAAAATTTGGATCTGTAGTGTCCACAATCCATCGTATGCCTTCCAAACGAGCCATTGATATTCAGTTCATATGGGACGGCAGTTTGGTGGGGTTATTTGTTGATTCCATTGATACAGTATTACAGATTATCAGTGCTAAAGGGTCGCAGCTCATACGAGGTAATATCACCACTTTCCAAGGAATCAAGGAAGGTATTTTGGTCATTGATTTAACCAAAGTGACCTTACTTTATAAATCTGATGATAATGACATTGATAGTTGGAAATCAACTACTTTAGCGAATGAACTCCCACTCGAAGAAGGTGAATTGGTGGAACATTCATGTATCATCACAGACCATTTAACGTTGCTAATATCTAATAGAGGTATGACGTTTTTGGTTCAACATAAGTTAGATAAACCAACTGGAATGGTCTCAGAAACTATAAAGTCCTTGGGATTGACCACAATTCCCCATAAGATCATGTATTTAGGTGACTTAACCTTCTATGTGCAATCTTTGAAGAGTTATCTGGTTATATTCAAGATAAACGACCGGAAACCTTATATCTCCATTGTGAAGAGATTTGAAAGTGCCAATCTGTCAACGGATATTAACGTTGGTACCAAGAAATTGACTCAAGACATTTATGTATGTCAAGGAAGTATGTTTAGTGGGGAGTTGGTTAGATATCCACCTTATAAGAACAAGCTTATTATGGCCGGCATGAAGCAAGAAGAATCTAATGAACAAGCCCTAGTAACAAGATACGCTAATAGTCAATGGAGAACTCAAATCCCAGATGACATTAAGAACACCGTCTTGAACATTGATATTAATAACGATATTAAAGTTCTTGTTTGGGATTGTATCAAGGTGGGATGTTCTAGATGGTTAGCTTCAAGAGTTCTTCTGAATTTTGAGGCACAAACTTGGTTCATTGATGATGAACAAGATTCTAAAGTAACTGTTCAACTAGATACATTCATAATGCCCACAGATGCATTTTTAACAGCAGATATTGATAGAAAAGAATCTTTTTACCTTTTGATACTGTTTATGGATGGAACTCTTTGCATTATAAGACCTTTTGATAGTAATAATAATTATCTCAGGTTATCAACAGATACAGGGTCAGTGTTAAAGGTAACCGAATCAAGTTGGGGTGTTTATCTATTGTACAACGAGTATGATCTTTGGATATTCAAAGCATGGAATGGTGGGTGTATTGAACGATGTTCAACAGGGAAAAGACAAAGGATTCGTTCAATTAAAGGCTCAAAGGATCTATTCAATATAGACGTTCAGTTTGATAATGATGATGATGATGATGGTGATGAAGGTTCACCAGAAAGATATCAAATATGTATGGGGATACAAGAATACGAAAGGATCTTCTCCAAATCATACTATTGGAAGTCCATAGTTGTTAACGACTTTATTATAGTTCTTAGTCAGGACTTTAGACTGCTGAAAGTCGATAATTCCTCTTATCATTTAATAGTCGTCGACAGGCTTTCGTTTAAGATCATTGAAACCTTTGATTTTGACGATGATAAGATCCCTATTAACATAATCAATGTGGACCCTAACACCACCATAAGAAATAAGGTTAGCAGTGTTCCATATCTCGAGGAAGAGGTTCAGCTAAACAATAAGTTTATTGTGGCCTTCCAAAGTCTTCCTGTTGCCTTATTGTACTCTGTTGAAGGCGAAGGGATCAAAATTGAACGTCAACAAGGCTGGAAATATGAAAGTATCAAGAAACAACATGGGAAGGAATTGAAGATCTTTGATTTTGTCCAGATAAATCCAAAGGAAGCAACGTTCATGGCAGTTGGGGATTTTAATTTTGTTATGGAATTGAAACACAACCAAATCTTTTATTGGACTTACTACACCAACATGTCATGTACTTTACCACTTCCTATTGTCAGCGCTGGTCTGTTACATGAGTCTCGGAGCATAATTGCATCCACTTGGCTAGGTGACTTGTATTCTATAAAGTTACCCCAATGCATAAGTGATCATGGGTACATCGAGTCTATGGGGAATCTTGAATCATCTAAAAGAGTACAACAAAGTTTCTCCTCCACCAAGTTGTATGCTAGGGCCGGAGTCTTCTTCACGTGCTTAAAGACCCAGGGCAGTGATACAATTGTATTTGGCGATTCTACAGGCAAGATACATGTCAATATTGGATCAAAGTATTACACCGAACAAGTGTGTGATGCTCCTATAAGGTCCATTGGAATTCTACCACAGGATAATGATCATACGGGTGTACAATTCTTGGTTGGTACAAATAAAGGAGGCATTTACATGATCATTTTTAACGACAAAGGAATCAGCAAGGATGCAACATCGTTCTGCATAGTTTAACACTGTAATAAAAAAGGCATAGACAACATAGGTAGAGGTAAAGGTTTATGGATATATATCCATGTCTATATATCCATATACGATTCGGTACACACACGACTTTGTAGATATTTTTCAGTAGATGTCAACAGAAGGAAGAGGGAACCAAACTTACAGTGATTCTTAAGTACTACAGTGATACACAATGACACAGGTTGAGCCAGCCAATGGGAGCTTTGCAGACATTGAGATGCTTGAGATCCCAGATGACGCAAGCAGCGTATCATCGATGACCGAAGGAGTCTCTTCTTCTGAAGCATCAACGAATGAGTTTGAGTTATTCCATTCGTTTATTCCACAAGTTGATCTTAATGAATGGCTTGACTCTGAAGATGCTCTGCTAGACTATGAGTTCCAGGATTCTATTTATACACGGAGCTTAGAGCCTTTGAACAAGTTTTCAGAAGCATATATTGAATATGTCAATCTGCAATATAAAATCTTAGATCAAATGTCACAGTTTTCCCTTTTACCCACAGATGATCCCGACCAACAAGATGAACCAATGGGAGTTGTTTTAGCCACTTACAATAAGAAGGCTACAGACAATTTTACAGATGATTCTCCAACTATAGATGATGCCTTCACCAAGTTCACCCATAATGTAAAGGATTTTATTGGTGCCAATGAAGATGTTGACGTGGACATCGATAGATTCTGTTGCATTGGCAGCATTTTAGACTGTTTGCGAGCCAATTACTTTTATACTGATACAGCACTCAAACCAACTTTGATTTCCAATTGGGTCAATTGGTATGACGAACAACCAGATCAAGATATCGCCGATGAAGTTGTTATCAATACTCCAAAACCATATTTACATCCTCTTTTTTGGAGCAAGTATCTTGCAAAGCTTTTGGTTCGTGGATTGACTCCACAAGCCGTGGAAGCCTTGAACCAATCATTGGTAGAGGAAACCAAAGATTCAGATCCAGTATTCTATCAAGTTGTGGTTGATTTTAAAGTACTTTTAGAAACCTATTCCACTTTAGCATTGAAAGGAGAATTCACCAAGTGGAAGTATCTGTGCAGTGAGTTTAGAGATATGATCCCGAAATTGAAAAGTGAAATCAAAGAGAAGACAAATAGTGATTTATTGGATCAAATATTAGATCTTTTAAGAGTCATTACTGGGTTTTCAATCACTATTGAAAAATACTGTGAAAATTGGTACGAGTATTATCTTTGCTTAAGCTTATACAAGATTAGAGATGATGAACTGATATACAAAGAGTACTATGAGGAAGCAATTCAAAGATTCCCACCCAGTGTTTTGGATCCTTTAGATTATTCATCTGTTTCTGAAAATTGTTTCAGTGATATCTTGAGTGGGAACATGATTAAAGTATTAAATACCATTAATCGATTAGACCCCACTACTACGGCATATGTTTCAAGATTTCTTGAGATAAAGGGGTTACTTCAACCTTATTATTCACCATTAAAAACCATTACAAACGCCGATAAAACCATCAGCGAATATTTCTTAAGTTGTCATGCTTATGATTGTCTCAGTGTTCAAGGACTTTATCCCGTAGGATTTGGAATATTATTGAATCATAATATTTTCAAGAACGAAGAGCGAAGATACCAGAACGAACAAACGATTGCATCTGTTTTAACCAAATTAGATTTCAAAACCAACGACGATTTGGAATGGGCATTAACTGTGTGTGCCAAGTTACATTTAAGATCAACAGCCAAACATATTTATTTGAAATATGGTAAGAAATCTCTTGAAGATGGATTCATTTTCGAGAGTTTGAACATGTTTGTTAAATGCTATGATCCTTATGATATGAAGAACGTTGAAGGGATAAAAGAGATCCACACCATTGTATGGGATTTAATATTCCAAGACAGTTTATTAAACAATAGACCCGTTAAAGATGAATTGATTAATAATGTGGTTAAGCATGAAGCTGAATTTGAAATCCATCCTATTATCAATCAATGCATATCACCTTATGGAGTGTTATATGAATTTTTCAATAGTTTCCAAGGTACGTTATATGGTGAAAATTATAGTGTTAAGCATAAATTGTCGAGGTTAATTCATTTATTGAAGTTTCAATTCATGCCCAAAAAGTTTATACCACTTTTATTAGCTCAAACTCTACCATTTTTCATTGATAAAAGGTATCAGTTTGAACTTCCAGATTTGGTAATCATAATTGAACTTATTGATACCTTTGACCTCAGTGCTAGTGCATTGGAAAAGTCTCAAGGTGAAGAGTTGTATCTCTATTCAATTGATAACATTGAATCAGATACCGAGCCATATGATTGGAGAACCATATTGAGGAGTCAACAGATTGAAATACCGAAGACTTTAAAAGAGTTTATTATCTTATTAAGAAACTATATTACTGTTCATGTTGGAGAGAATTTCATAACCAATAGATTTGTATAATATACTTACCATTGATTATATAAGCTGACAGCATAAGATTTTGGTTGTAGAAATGAATGTTAAATTAGATTAATGAATATCTAACAAGAAACATCTTGAGTAGCCTTGGAGTTCAATAACAAAGCAACAATCAAACCGTACAAACCCAACACTTCGGCGAAAATCAAAATCAAAATCATACCAACAAATAATCTTGGTTGTTGAGCAGTACCTCTAACACCAGCATCACCAACTATACCAATGGCAAATCCAGCAGCCAAACCAGACAAACCCACAGATAAACCAGCACCCAATTGGATGAAACCAGTATATAAAGCTTGTTGTTGTTTCAAAGAATCAGACACCAACACAGAAACAACCAACCCATAAATAGCAATAATACCAGCCATAACAACTGGGACAATGGACTTAACCAACAAATCTGGTCTCAACACACAGGTGGCACAGATACCAATACCGGATTTAGCAGTACCATAAGCAGCACCAAAACAGGTGAAGATGATGGCAGCAGCACAACCAATTGAACCAAAGAATGGAGCGTAAACAGGACTAAACGTTAGTATATAAAATCAATAATGAAAGCTACAATCGTTGACTGTCGGAAGCATATAATTACTGTCGTGATAATTATCATTGACTGTGTGCGTCGGTCATTTCTTATCTGCCATGTGCCACCTCAGTCCACCTCATTCAACAGTGCATTCTTTATTCTCTGTCATCCAATGCCAATCAATCAGACAATTTGTCATACATACCACAAGTCAGACATTGTTGGGATATGCTAATATTTTCTTTAACTAGTGTTAGTTAACGGAAGACAAGTATGTGTGTACTATCAGTTCGTCGAGATAATCCTTTATCAATTTTTCTCTCTCAAATTCGCTTATGCTGTTGTTGAACATGTGCACGACCCGTTCTAAAGATTACTTCGCCGTGAGCGTATATGTGAGTATATTATCGTTTTATTACGTACGCATTCGACTTAGATCCTTTTTTTTCACTCCCTTCACATCTCATCTCAAACCTAAAAGTTTATTCTACCATAATCTTTTCTCTCAGTTTCTTCTTTTCTTTCCTCTTTAATCAACTTACTGGTGAGCTCGTACACAGCAAGGAACCCCAAAATACTTTAATTAATCAATCAATCCAACAAAAATGTCTGCTCCAAACCCTAAGGCTTTCCCATTGGCTGACTCCAGTTTATCTCAACAAATCTTAGATGTTGTTCAACAAGCTCAAGGTTTGAGACAATTGAAGAAAGGTGCTAACGAAGCCACCAAGACTTTGAACAGAGGTATCTCTGAATTCATTATTATGGCTGCTGACACTGAACCAATTGAAATCTTGTTACACTTGCCATTGTTGTGTGAAGATAAGAATGTTCCTTATGTTTTCGTCCCATCCAAGGCTGCTTTAGGTAGAGCTTGTGGTGTTTCCAGACCAGTCATTGCTGCTTCTGTCACCACCAACGATGCTTCTACTATCAAGAACCAAGTTTACGCTATTAAGGATAAGATTGAAACCTTATTGATTTAAGTACAGACTAATATAATTAATATACACTACTGTAAACTTCCGTGACTACTGTAACTACCGTAACTACTGTAACTACTGTAACACACCATTCGCTCTCCTTATCACCATTAACTCACTTTGCCCTTAATACGTAAGCACTCCTTCGTGTTCGCGATGGCATCGCACAAATCAAAATTTTGTACTGTAATCAATTGGTAAACACTTTCTTTATCACCACGATGACTCCGTCCTTCAACTCAGCAGAGGACGTGTCGAAGTTCTTAAGGTCCAAGAATGATATAGATCATATTGTTCAAGCGGCAAGTGACTTGATCCACAACAGGATCGATGTACACTTCCCTCAGAAACAAGTGTTTGTCTTTGAGTTGATCTGCGATAGACTCAACGTCCCCAATAGCCAATGGCATAGCCACAAGGACGTATGGGTTCTATTAATACAAATATGGAATACCCTTGAGCCCAGACTTCGAACCATATTTAAACGAATCAGATTGATAGAGGTATTGGTTCTGGTGCTAACTGATGCAGGTAGTGATACCACCACCATATATGACTCGTCACATTTTGTTCCGATCTTTGAATTTGTTGACTTATTGCTGAAGAATGTGTTTATAGAAGTTGATGATTCAATCATGTTACGTATTTTGACGGCCTATGTTGCTTTCACCAAGTCTCCATCTTTCAGCAGCACTTACTCAATGACTATACACCACTTGTTCAATATCATGGCAACAACTGACTACATCCCTTCCAAAAAGACTATAACAAAGTTTGCCCATGAGTTGTTGATAGATGTTTGTGGATTTTTAGTCGCCCACCCAGAAGATAGAATCACTACAAGCTTGTTTCTTAATGTTTTAGAGGTATTTACCTTATCAGAACACACGTTAAGCCAAACAATAGTTGAACTTGGGAAACTTAAACCTAGAAAGACCATCAATGTCAAAGATCCATTGACTTATTTGTTTGATTTGATGACTTCAAGAACTTCAGAACGTGACTTTAAAACCTTGGAAGATGCTTATAGAGCCATGATTAAATCTGAACCACTTTTAGCAGAGCCATTGCTTTCAATTCTTTCCAAAAAGAACAAATCTCTTTCCTCGGAGTTTATTAGTGGGATCTATTCCCAAAACATATCATCCAACCAAAAGAATTGGGGTTTGCTCATTTATTTGTTGGACATTGACAATGAATTGGCTACAAATAATGCTGTGTCTCTTTTGCAGGTGTTTGAACAAGTTTCTGATGAAAAACTTGTTGAAAGATTTCGAAATGCCTTTGTGGGTGCCTTTGTTAAGGCCAGAGAATTACCTTTGTTCTTTAAAGATATTTGGTACAACCATAGACACCAAGATTCGTGGAGATCAAGTGCTTTGATTCAATTGGTTGCGGAGTACTCAAAAGATTTGACCGTTAATCAAACGAAGGATATTCTTAACTTCTGTTGTGAGAAAGGTACTGTTTCCTCATTACCTTTAATAGCATCAGTAGTGGGTGGATTATTGAAAAGCCCTACAACGAAAACTCAACCCCTTTCAACCGTATTAGTGGAGCAGAACAATACTATTTTCAATGAAATTACGACCAACAATGATGATATCCAAACCTTATGGCAAATCAGATATAGTATCTTGTGTCTTTATACTGAGAGCTCTTTTGAAAGTATTAAGGAACCGTTATACAAATTACTTACAAAAACTTCAGATGATTGCTCTTATTATTTTTATTTCACAATGTTTAGGGCCATTGAATTGTTTGATGAGAGCTATTTGTCAGGTTTCCAGTTTCAAGAAAGGTTTTTACAATTTGCCTCTAGTTGTAAATCCAAAGAATTATTCGATTCCTTATTTTTGAGATGGTCTGTGATTATCAATAATTTGTTCAACAAAGACCAAGTAGATCAATTATTGAAGACTGTGGAAGCTAATTTAGGGTTTACAAGGTTGGTTCAAATAATAAATGAAAGTTCTTGTGTATTATTTGAGTTAAAATCCGTTTCAGATACAATTATCAAACGTACCATTAAAGGGATTACGGGAAAAAATCCTTCATTGATTAATCTCGATTTATTATCCGTTATCCCAGAAGAATGTATTGATAGTCGAGATTATCCACTATTTATTGATAATTTGCAACGTTTATCAAAAGATAGGGCACTCACAAATACATGCATAACCCAATTGAATAGATTTACATTAAATCCTATGTTGAATCTGGATTTCGAACGCAATTTGCAAAAGATGCTAGTGTTTATTCTGAATTGTTGTGAAGATTCTGTCACTACTGGGCTTTCACTTGTTCGTCGGATTTGGAGAACCTATTTCGCTCGTTACAAGGAATTCAGGTCATTTATTGATTCCTCATTTAGCGCATTGACTTCAAGTATAGTTGAAGACAATTTCCCAAGTTTGCAGTTAACGCTGATACTCTTAACACTTAAACCAGAGGTTCAGGATTCAAATTTAAAGACTCTTTTGAACGATTTAGAGTATAAATATGTCATGTTCCTTGAAAAGAGCATGTTGGAGATCTCACTGTCCAATACTGTCAAAGATGTTGAAGTTCTCAACTGGCAACTTCAATCTTTACTTGAATTGGATTACTCTAAATCTGAGAAGGTAAAGAAAGCTGTTATTCAACTCGGAAAGGTCTTCAATAACGACAGTGGTTACGATGACTCTAAGATAGCACTTTTTAAATTAATTACCCATTGGGAACAACCAGAACTTAGAAATGCCACTTATATTGCAGCTTTATATATTGCATTGAAGTCCAAGACGATGTGCTTGAATATTGAAAGCCCATTGGAGAGTTATTTGACAAGGTTCTGCACAAATGCTGATAGTCAATCTCTTGAACAGTTGGCATATTATATTACCGATTCTATTCCATTGGCTACTGAAGAACAGTTCCCTCATATTATTTCCTTACTTGTGATACTCACAGGAACAATGAGACATAAGGATGAAGCCAGTCAAAAGGTATTTACCATTATTTTATCTCAAATTATTGATGTTGTCCATAAGTTGGATATAAGCAGTTTAATTTTAATATTAAACACTATTAAAAGTCAATTGAGTGAATCCACCTGGTTATTCAAACAATATTCCACTGAATTAACCTTATTACTTGTGAGTAAAGTGGCTAACCAATTGAGTAACGACCCAAATGCCACTGAAGAAGTATACATTTTGGTAACACAAGTGTATTCACATTTACTTTTATTCCATCGATTCAAGTTCCAATCCAGACATCATATACTTATTAGGACCATGATAGATTTGTTAGAGCCTTTGACATTGAAAAAACATAATAATAATAAGGTTCTCGGAACTTCAAAAGAATGTGCCAGAGCCTATTCAAGATTAATGGCCAATCTTTGTGAACCTCAAGCAACAAACTCATATAAGGAACTTGCTAATAGCTCATTAACCACTTCCTCTACAATTATTAAGAAAGGGTTACGGAAATACTTGTCCATGCTATTAGTTTCTTACATAGCATTCAATTTGAAGTATAACTTTGACTCCAGTATTAATGATGAATTATTGAGGGCTATATATATGGTGTTTGATGTATTAACAGAACGAGAGTTACAGTTAGTGAACTCGACTCTTGATTTCCCAGGAAAGTCCTTTTATCGTTCATTATATGCCAATTATAAGGATCAAGGTAAATGGAAAGATAATTAATTTAACTAATCGGTCCAGAATCTTGTTTCATTATTGAAGAATAATTTACCCATATTCCTCCAAAACGAACGATTAGTATAATGCATTAAATGCCATATTTTAGCTTCCAAGGCAGCATTGGTTTTGTGATGATTAGGGGTATGATCATGGAATGAATATTCAAACCGTAGAATATCTTTTCTACTTAATATCCCCACTAACTTGCCTTCTTCTTCCACCAAGATATAACTTGGTCCAATCTTAACGAATAAATCTGTTGTATAACTCATGGTAGTGAAAGCCAGGACGACTATTGGTGCATGATTCACATATGGAGCTAAGTTTAACTCCAGTCCATTTGGATTCCCAGAAATGAAGTTGCATTTTGTTGAAGATGTTTCATTATGATGATGATGATTTAAAAAGTATTTGATATCTTCTCTATCAATTATACCCACAATGCTTTGATCATCAATTGACTTTATAATTGGAAAAACAGTATAATTTGTTTTAGTTAAAAGGGAATTCAATTGGCCCAAAGTGAATTGATCTTGAGGTATAACCGAAACCACCGTACTCATGGCCGCAGAAACATATAAATCCCCGAAATGGAAATCTTCCTTTGCATCCAATAAAGGCATTCCATTCAAAATAATCATTTGTTCGGCGATCCCTTTATCACCCCAACTATCCATTATTGCTCTGGTAACAGCAACTACAATCATTGTTGGAATAATGTATCTAACAGCACCAGTTAACTCAAACATGATCACCACTACTGTTACTGTTAAATCTGTGATCCCACTTAAAGCAGCCGCAGCACCTAAAAAGGCATAAGTACCCGGGATAACACATTTTTCATCTTTATTACACGAAACAAACAATGAAGGGTACTTCTGATAAAATAATTCAAATAAGATCCCCACTGCTCTACCGAAAGTTGCACCAGCTGCCATGGAGGGAACAAAGATCCCAGCAGGTACTTTGCATCCATAAGTTATGATCGTCAATCCACATCTTGCTAAGGTTGCAAATAATAAAGACACAATGAATCTTACTTTATTAGAATTTGGATCACATAACCCATGATGATGGAAATTAACTGTACATTCTCTGAATAAGATTTGCATTGATTCAGTCATGTCTAACCTTAGGAATTCGTTGAAATAACAGAAACTGGCAGTTAAAAGTGTTAGATAAATCACTTCTCTTAGAGCAAAATTGGTCAAATAATTCTTCCTGAAGGAAACAACAGCTATATTATATTTGGGTATTAGAATACCATAAATCCCACCAAAGATTCCCAAGATAATGAATAATGGTACTTCAAAATATTGCCAATTGGTATCAAAAGTCACTTCAAACATAACCAATTGTCCCGTTCTAAAGGGGTTTAATGCAGCTAAAGTGGTAACTGCGACAAGAGCACAGAAATAAGACTTCCATATGGTTGATAAATGAACCACAGCAGAGATTTCTTCTAAAGAATAAACCACTCCACCCATTGGTGAACCAAATGCCACGGCAACTCCAGCAGCAGCAGCAGCAGTAATGAATTCCCTTCCCTTGGAAGCTCTATTACGATAATTCCCCATTAGTTTGGCTATACAATTCCCAACACAAACAGCATAATGAACACTGGGACCTTCTTTACCTAAACTAAGTCCTGAACCTATGGCTAAGGGAAGACATAATGATTTGATGATAAGGGTTGGCCAACCTAAGAAACCCTTGATAGCGAAACCCGACACTATGCATTTGATTTCACTGATACCAGAGCCAGCTGCCTTTGGAGCGTACACTTTGACCAATAAACTTGCAGTAAAGGATAAGAGGAGTGAGATGCTGATGAACATAAAGTAATTGGCTGGTGGGAATTGAAACCACGGTTCCCAATGGGAACACGTCTCTTCATTGGAACCCCAACAACAAAAGGCTTTGGTTAAATAAAAGTTCCCAACACATCTTCCCGTTCTTATAGAAGCTAACCAAGCAGTAATGATGTTGAGACACCCAGCAATGGAACCTATAATGACACCCACCACAGCTAGTCCTAGCCAACTCAACGACACTGATAGGAACCAATTCCTCCATGAGATTTTGGTGGTATTGCTGCTGCTGTTACGGTTATTGTTTTGCTTGAGTAACTGGAATCGATGATCTCGTAGCTCATCTTGAACCCAATCAATTGTAGTGAACTCATCAAACCGTTTCACTTGGTTGACGTCTTCCTGGTTGATCCAGGACCCGGTGTTTCTGTTCCTGAGTTGCCCAGGCTCCTCCATCAGGTTAAATCTATAACGTATTTAGTATAATTGGTTGGTATGCTTGTCGTAGGCGTAGACTGCTTTGATGTATGAAATTATTTTGATACAATTCCGAGCCCCCGGAAATGTTTCTACAGATGATTTTCGGTGCCTACACCTGCATATAATATTTCCTATCATCATGAATAAATTCAGCTTCAAAGATGAACAACGTTAGGTGAAGCGTCTTCTTAATTCAACGAGTGTCTGATGGAAGTGCAGACACTATGCAAATGCGAGTGACCACCAAAGAGGGGTAGTTACAGTGACAATGTCGTATTTGTTGTTCAGATGTCTGAATGAACGAGAGAAAGTCTGCTCATTGGTCAGCATCAGTTTAATCCCACATTACGACGACCTGCTTACTTTTACACAAGTAGACAATTTCCACGATAATGCTTGCCAATATGCTGACTGACATGCTGACTGATATGCTGAATGAAGTATCAAAATTAATGACGGATACGCTATCCGATACTCACTAAGGATATCGTTTGCTGTCTGCCTCCATCATTTCATATGGTTGTTTGTTTATTCACCCGTCCATTTCAGGTAGTGACAAACATAAGGTTATTTGTCAGGGCTTTAGGGCGCTTGCTCGATACAAAGGTATGTCTCCCTTCTGTTATAAGGTATAAGACAAAATGAACTGGGTGACACCGGTTTCCCGGATCTCGCTTTGATATTTGAATCAGACAGACATTTTTGTTTTTAGTGCGCTATGTTTTGTGTCTGAAACTAGTGACCCCTTCTATACCCTACCACAAACTCGACGGCAGTGAAGGAGGCGATAGACGTGCGGGTACCACATATCTTGTTTGGATCAATATATTTCAGATTTGGTAATTTCTGCGACACATCCCAATTGGGAAGGAAACGGAGTTTAGATAAGTTGCAGCCATTCCACTGCAATCTCAGAGTAATTTAAAAAATGTCAGTGTTTGATAACTTTGGCATAAGTTTCAGTGTGAAAATCATGAAAATGTCTGTTTCTTTGGGAGCCTGGATCTGTTTTTAGACTTTGAAAATTCCAGTAATCATAGTTTGTTACGACATTCACTGCAGTTTTGCAGCCTAAAATTGTCTTTGGAAAGCGACACTATTAAATCAAATGATCTTGTCTGACTATTTCGAATTGAACAATGTTTTACTGCTTTAGTTCATTTTTGGCTAGTTGAACTTAATTTTTGGTTAACACAAAGGAAAGCACTGTCCTTTTCACTCTTTTGATTGGGTGAAGGCTAGGATAGGAGAATGTCGTCATATTGGGACATTTTTGATTTTGCGACCGTTTTGGCTGCAAATTCAATTTTGAAGACACCCAAATGACAGGTGGTAGCGCCACGTTTTTAAATGCTTTGATCTCTACACTACTATACCTTATGGTTTTTCACACTAAAAGGCATTAAACTTAATTATAATAAACTATATACTTAAATAAACTATATATAAAAAGGAACAGACATAAAGTGATAATACATAAATTGTACAACAAAAATAGCAGAATGGAAATTCTTTAGTAGACAATCAAAATCGCACACAAAAGCATATAAGTAATATAGCCAATGGAGGAGCATGGTAGCTGCTGACCGAGAATATTATTCTTTATAAAACACATAGATAGGGACATTAAGATATTATGACATGAAAAATGGGATGAAGCCGACAATAACTGTCTCTTCTTTCTTGTGGCACTATGAAGATGTGCAACCAACCGAGTTTGAAAAGTATCATAGAGATGAATAAAAAAATGTATGATAATAAAATGGAAATGGAAAGAAATGAAACCAATTTTTGTTTTTGAATGTTGTTAAAATGCAATAAGAAAGAAAGATTAAAACCATATCACTACTCTCTAAAGTACTCCAGTCAGTCAGTCGGTCAGTCACAACGTGTCTCATGTCACAAAATTGTCCGTTTCCAACATTAATAATATCTCTGGCCGTATGCTCCATTCATACTATGACCATTGATAGTACTCTTATTACTGCTGTCGTTCATCATGGAGTTAGGTTGGTATGGAGCCATATACTGTTGTGGAGGCATTCCACGGTAGTTATATTGAACATTCATACGAGGAGGCATTTGTTGAGAAGACCGTTGACCTTGATGATCGTTTTGGCGACGTGAGGCCATTGGATGACCACCGTTACTAAACTGGTGAGCACTCATGAACTGTTGTTGTTGCTGTTGCATATGGTTTGGGAGTAGTTGATGTTGCGGCATATGAATTTGTTGCTGTTGTTGTTGTTGGTGTGATTGTGGTTGTTGTTGCAGGGCATAATAGTAGTTGTTACTATTGATAAATTGTCCCGTTGAAGTCATGTTCTCTTGAAGATAGTTCATGTTCATGGGGATATTATTATTATTATTATTATTATTATTATTATTACCATTATTGTACGAAGCAGCAACATTATTATTCATGTGTGTGGTATTGCGGTTCATGGAATGATGATTATTACCAATAACAGTGTTACCGGAACTGTTGTTGGAATTGTTTAAGATGGTGTTGATCTTGGACTGGATTCTCTTGCCGTAAGAGGAAACAATCTTGCAATTCTGAAACCAATGCTTTATGATAGAAATCTGCATGCTACTCTGCGACATTTGACCATTGACATTGTATCTGTAATCAGGTTGTAATGCCAATAATCCAGGGAGATCTGGAGGATACACAACCTGGGTATGTACCAAAATATCCAATAAAGTTTGAATAACATAGTTCCCATAAGGATCATTGATCAACTTGTTCAAGTTACCAGACAAAATGTTGAAGATCAAATCAAATTTCAATTGACTGAATTCCATCAGTTTCAGCTCGTTATTGTAGCAATTCTTTAAGAACTTCTCCACGACATTGGAACTGAACTTCAAGTTGCACAACTCAGACACTCCAAACTTTATAAAGTTCTCAAACATCCGATAATTAATGTCTATAGAGTCAATTGAAATTAAATATTGCAACACATAGTTACCAAACTGGTCATTGACCAATTTAACAGATACAGGATAGTTCAAAATAGCGTTTGAAAAGTCCATCAATTGATTGTGAGTAGCATGATTCAAACACTTTTGTAAAACACAACATCCATGTTTATGCGTGGCCACCGGGAATAAGTCTTGAATAATTGAATCATAAATAAACTGACAATTTTCAGGACTATATTTATTCAAGATCTTTTGAATCACATGATTCCCATTCAAGTCTTTGATCAATTCAATGATGTAGGGTTTCAAGCCCTTGATCAACAACGACAATTGGTAATCATTCGACAAATTATCAATGATCTTCTGCAATGCTCTGGTACCGTGTTGGTTGATGGAGATCTGGAACAAGCACAGCTGTAAGATTTCCATCATCAAGTTCAAGTTGCTTTCGTTACAGTACATGGTGAGTTTTTGGATCAAGTAATTACCAAATGGGTCGATGATCAACTCATAAAGATAAGGGTGGATCTCTTTAAAGATGATCTCAAAGTTGGCCAACCTGATCGAGTAGTTGGAAATGATATTCTCGTCAATCTTCTTCTGAAGGAACCGACATCCATATTGGTCCTTGGAGAAGCGCAAGATCTCGTGTCTTAACAGTAACAAAGGCACCTTGTTGATCGAGGCAAGGTACTCCTTGTCGATCAAAGGAGTGGCACCAGAGGCATATGAAGTGAACGACGTAGCGGACGACGATACTATGGAGGAGGCACTAGAAACCGACGATGATTTAGAGGCCTGGGTGAACTTGTTTGAAGGGGGGACCACGCCACTGTATTTCAGCTGCAGCTGCAGCTGTTGCTGATGCAAGCTGAAGCCATTGGAAGCGTCGGTTGGTGGTACTACTGGTAGTGGTGCTCCTGCTCCCAATTGTTGCTGTGACAAGGCAAAGAAATGATTCGATGGACCCGAAGAAGCATCAAACACGACACCCGAGAGCGACGTCACCGAGGCTCGCTGTTGATGATTATGACCTGTAAGATTCTCCAAGTCCAAATTGAAGGAGGGCAAGTTCAAGTTCTGGTGAGGTTTTGCTTGATCCCAAAGCAATGACTTGGTCTGAGTCGGAGCCAACAGGGAGTCGTTGACGGACAGAAGAGTTGAATTGTTAGGAGGAGAACCGATAACCTCGCCCGTGGTGGATGTAGACGACAACGTCGACGACGACACAGAACGTGTCCTGGGCAGACCCACATTCAAATGCTGGAGTGAATCGCCGCCAGTCGAAGGTGAGGTCGGCCCAGCTACCACCACAGAGGGCGTCATTTTGGCGGGGGGTTGGTGATGCGCAGAATCAAAGTAGTTGGGCGGAGTGGTGGGTTCCACGAGAGAACTGATTGAGTTGATGGATAACGCCGGTCTGTGGTTTGAAGACACCATGATGATATGAAAGATGAAAGAAAGACAGGCAAGACAGACAGTCAATAGAATGAATGACAGTCAATAGACAGATAGACAAGTAAATAGTCACAACCGCTGTTCAAGTACGCTGCACCGAGGATGATGCTTGTTCCACTACAACAGTCAGACAGTTGAAGAGAAGAAAGGAGTGGTCTGAGTGTTAAGCCTAAAGGGATCTCCAAAATATTTATATCAGGGCTAACAAAAAAAAAATAGCAATTACAGACTAAAGAAAATATCCACTGGCACAATACAGTAACAAACAGACAGAAGCGACATTATCGGTACGACAAGCATGAGACCGTGCCGACATTCGATGAGTAATTTGATTCAGACTAGATAGAGGTGAGCACAATAGTTGTTACTGTCTGATACTGTTAGTAGTAATGAGTGACAGTGGTAGTAATAGTCATTAATGGTATTAATTAATGGTGGTAAGTAAGGGTAATAACGATTCAGTATTAATGTCCGTGTCCGATTATTCTGTCGTCTCCTGAACATCGCCAGAATTGCCGGATATGTCTGTGTCCGATCGTATATATTAGTTAAAGAAAAATTTTTGTTGGTCAACCACAAAGCGGTGGTGTTTTTATTTTGTAAGGGTGATCTTTGTTTCATTCCAACCCCTGTCTAGTGAGTGTACAAACTATCGTCTTTATGTAGACGAAATTTCCCTTAACATATTGCTCTAATAAGTACATAAGTCGTATATTAATGGTTCGCTTCCCCTATTGTTAAGCAGACACACAGCAGACAACTCGAAGTACGAGGGTATTTCCGAGGCCAAGCCGACCCGCTCTTACCGTCCCAAAGATCATTCACGTGCCCACAGGATCTGTGAGAAGGGGCAGGGCACTCTTAATCACAGCCAACCAATACTTTGTGATCGTCAATGCGGGAATTGTGTATCACTCCGAGTGATTTAGCTCCGACGATACAACTTTAAGGTACTTGAACCGATATAAGATTGTTTGTGACCGCAGACAGGCAACAACCTTACTTACTAACAGACAATATCCAATCATTGCGCCATACTATATCCCACAACTCTTCAAGTTAACACTATAGAACATTAAACTTTAGCTTTCTCCTTCTACTGTCACACCGCAGCTATCTGCATTACCAGACACAGTGGTGGCCATCGTCAGCAGATCCTGTCTGGTAGTGGTTTTCCGCCTTGCCCTGAGGGGAGCACATATAAGTACGGTGTCCCGACAATACCAGATTACTAAACCTGGGTTACAAGTATGGTAGGAGCAAACCTGAAGTGTAGTTGTACTGCTATGTAGGGGTTCAACAATAGTACCATGAACTAGTTATATTGTCGGACATTCAATGTCTTTACTACTACAGTCACAATCACGGTGTCTGTTACTGTTACTGCTACTTTAATAATAGTAATTTATGGTCCACTCTATTTATATCCTATACTCATAAGCCTCAAGTTTGTCGTGATTCAATTTCGTAATGACTGACTTCACTTCACAGACAAAAAATATCACAAACATTTAGAAACAATGTTGTTTCGAACTTAACTTAGTTCTCATTTCAGGTTACTTGCATATGAATCAGCCTCTTGCATTCCACTGGTTTGCAGTGCCATTGAATATAATCAACTGGGTCGTGTTGACTACAGTAGACTGTGACTATGGCAGTAACAATCCCCATGACTACATGAAGGAATATGATTATGGATGGTACTATGAGCTACTAGGCAACAAATGTCAATAGAGGAGCGACTATCCACCCATGTCTATCAGAAACCTCTTTGCACTGACATACTTGTTAAGGATGTCTACCGTGAAAAGCCACATACCTTGTCTCAAACTCAGTTTCAATCGTCGTCTGAGCCTATCCTTGATCCTGGCATCTATGATGGCTTGTCTCTGTATGTGCTCTTGAGTGTTGGGGAACTCACTCCTCATAAACCCAGGTGGACTTGGCCATTTACCTGCAAGCTGACTCAATTCGTTCTCCTCATCATCAGAGTCATCTTTGTCGTCGTCAATATCACTTTTATTTTCGTTATTTAATGCTTTGTAGAATTGAAGCATATTCTCTTTGTCATTGGTTGTATGAAGCTTGGTTCTCTTGAACTGCGACAAATGACGCGGTTTATAATGATGATTACGTTTGAAATCTGTAATGATCCACGAGTTCTCCGTTATAGGGTTGGTAGTCAAGTTAATGGTATAAGTAAGATCATTCCAATACTTTGCTTCCAAATGTTGTAACTTCAAATGTTTCCGTTGAAGTCGAGTGAAATCTGCAGGTATTATTAATGATTCTTCATTCTCACTATCCTCTATGATGTCTTCTTCTGGCTCTGACTCTTGTCCATGTTCGTCCTTTATAAGAGGTTCAACTAGAAATGGTATAGATCCAGGAATTTCTTTGGTAACTTCATTATTAATGTTGTTCATCTTTGTAGGTGACAGCAGTATCACTGTAGTCGCTTGAGAAGCTTTAGTAGGTGAAGATGACTCTTTAAGCAACTGAACCAGTGTCTTCTTATATACACTAATACTTGATTGAATATTCTTATTACTTTCTTCCTCCTCTTCTTCGGAATATTGAGTCAATAGTTGACTTATCCCCCTTTTCCTGGACCTCTTCTTGGTTGGTGATAGTTCAAGATCATCTATATAATTCTTTAGGTATCTATTTTCGGCTTTGATCTGATCCAATTCTCGCCTCAACTCCCCCTTTTCTCGCTTCAAGTCCGCATACGCGTCTCTAAGCTCATCTAAGAGCATAACTATATCCCTAGCCGCCATTGTTCAATCATCGTAGTCCTTCGTATCTAACCAATCAATCTACAAAGATGGGGTCGCTTTGTTGATGGTTGTTATACCATACACATTTATTTTGTGTAACTTTTTCGGAGTGCGAACGAACCTTGAAAAAAAATTAAATCATAAACTCATCAACAGAAATTACCTAACATCAACAAAACAATTACACTCTTACTGCAATTGAAATGTTGGGATCATCAACAGGATCTTCGGGGTTCAGTTTTGGCTCAAACACCGCTAGCAATAGTAATACTGGGGGCCTTTTTGGAACACAGCAGTCATCAGGACCATCGTTTGGAGGTACTTCTAATACAACTACGCAACAACCTGGAGGAGGATTATTTGGTGGTAATACAGCACAGCCAACACCTACAACAGGTGGTCTCTTTGGAAGAACAGCAGCAGCGTCAACAGGTACTTCCAACAACTCCAATTTGTTTGGATCCACAACTGGTACTGGTACTGGTGGTAGTTTATTCGGTAATAATGCTACTAGCGTTGGAGCTGGGTCTCTTTTGAAAAGACCTTCCTCTGCTGGTCCTGCTCCTTCTGCTTCAGGAGCAGGAGGGGCTTTTGGTTCTGGAGGATTATTTGGAGGTAACCAAAACGCCGGTGCTGCAACTGGAGGTCTTTTCGGTAATAAACAAACAGGCCCTACATCTACTGGTGGACTCTTTGGATCGAATACAAGCACAGGTACCACAACAACTGGAGGGGGGTTGTTTGGTGGTTCTAATGCTGCTAGTGGTGGGACTTCTAACACTTCTGGTTTATTTGGAACAGGAGCTAATAATAATAATAATAATAATAATAATAATGCCACTACTACTGGTGGTGGATTGTTTGGTAGTACAACAGGAGCAACAACTGGGGGAGGTTTATTTGGTAGTAATAATGCTGCTTCAACTGGTGGACAATCTGGAAGTTTATTTGGTGGTGGAGCTGCTAAACCTACAGGAGGGCTTTTCAGTGGTAATAATGCCACCACCTCCACTTCTGGAGGGATGTTTGGTGGATCGAATACCACAGGAGGCGGTCTTTTTGGTGGTGGTGCTTCGACTTCAAACAATATCAATTCTGGAGGATTATTTTCCAAGCCTAATAATTTGGGTGGAATGAATAGTACAGCACCTGTGAACCCATTACAAGGCTTACCATTAACAGCCATGACTAGAGTAAGCGATTTACCTCCACAATTGAAACAGAAATTAGAAGAATTTGACAAATATGTCAATACACAACATGAAATTGCCAAAGTATTGGAACAAGATAAGACCAAACATAATCAAATGATTCAATCTATACCGCAGGATATTGATTATTTGCAGAATAAACTTTTAAATACCAGTCAAGCTTTAAACTTTGATCAAATCGAATTGGTTCAATTCAAAGAGTTGAATTATGAACTTATAGATGACATGAATAACATTCAACAATTAATAGTCCAATTGAGCAAACCAGGTACCAAATTATCGTCATCTTTCCAATTACATGAATTTTTTTTGAAGAAAATAAAGAAATTCAATACTGTATTGGCTGAATACGAACGTTTGATCAATGAATTGAACTTACTTTTAGGTTCCTTAGAAAATGGATTCGAAAAGGGTAAGGGGAATTTGGCTCAAGTTGTATTAGTGGTTAAATCACAGTATAATTTATTCTTGGAGGTATGTGAGAATATGGCATTATTGCACAAGGAGATCTCCAAGAAAGTAGCTACTGCATAAAGCTAGACGTATGTATATATATACATTTTATAGGCACAAACAGAGGTTATACTTCTTCTGAACCCATATGGTTATATGCAGTTTTCAAATAACGAAAATGTAAGTGTAAATCAATGAGTAAACCTCAGACCTAATGTTTCTTTTGTGTAGTCAATGCTGTCACGACTAGCGTATTTGCTGAAATACTCCTCAGAATCCAAGGACAAGGAAAAGAAGAAGAAGAAGAAGAAGGAGAAGAAGGAGAAGGCTTCTGATGAAGATGATACGATAATTGTGGGCCATGAAAGAAGAGTTGTTAAAGATACCTTGGATGATGAGCCATACGTTCTAGAACAAGGTGATGATGTCAATGGAGATGGTGTACCCGTACAAGTAGAAGTTACAAGGGAGTTTAAAGGATTTAGAAGGATAGATACTCAAGAGCTTGTGCAAGAAACCACCAATGATGGTGATGAGCCTAAGGATGTCCAGCAGCTACAAGAAACCATATACAGAGATATCAGTGGACGAAAGATCGATATTACTGAGAAAAGAGAAGAAGTAAGACTTAAAAAGGAGAAGGAATCATTAGAAAGGGCCCAACGTTCGGACTACATTAAGAATGATGAGAGTCAAGTATCTTATAGAGTGGAAAGGAAAAGACTTAATGAGTTCTTTGACGATCCGTTCAAATCAGTACCCACACTGCGAGATAATTCATTGAGTTACAAAGGGATGCATTCTGCTAACAGGTTTGGAATGACTTCTGGGATACTTTGGGATGGTATTAATCGGTCGAATGGATTTGAACAGCTACTTATGAAGAAGCGACAAGAACAAAATGTGCACAAGTTGGAGGCAAAAAATGAAGAAGAATATGACTTTGAGTAATTACGAATGTACTACTATTGTATGTTAATAAAACTGTTCCGTTGTAAAATGTAGATACCATGGTGCACTTTAGTTTTGAAGGCACGTGAAATATCACGTGAACATGATGATGTTTTTTAATGGCGCCCTTTTTGTGGCAGGTGATTAGATCATCTCTTAATACTAAGACACACTTCCTTAACGCCTATAATGAGCAAGCATCTAGAGATCCCAGGGTTTGTGTTTGACCCTGTGAGGAAGCGCTACTTCAAAATCACACAAGCATCCTCTGGCATAAGCGATTCTCGGTATTCTAATTCCACTGTACAGAAGAAGAAACGACTATCAACCAAGAAGAAGCAGCAAAGAGCCCAATCAAATTCACATGTCCAGTCTACTTCGAAAACGGATTTAACCAGATCATCTCCAAGCCTTCAGCTTTCTGCGTTGAGCAATCCATATGTTAATACCCGCGAAAGACATCGACTTCGACTACTCGGAAGGGGAGAGTACTCTATTGGGAACCCATTAAATGATATGATATTAGGCACTGTACTGGCAGAGGAGCTCATCTCGCTCCGGCTATTCCATGAAACTGGATCCAATGAGAATAAGCTGGAACCAGGATCTTTCAAATGGAACTGGCAGTTCCCCACTGACACCACCTCTGGTGCTCTGTGGACAGCAAGTATGGGCCTCTTCACTATATGGTTGGATGATTGGTGTGAGACTCCTATCCGACAGTATTTCAGGTCGTCAGAAGGGTCTATCTTCCCTTTGGAAAGACTACGACTTGGGCTCATCGATACACAGAATGCAATGACCTGTGGATCACTGAACTGCTTTGTGGTGCGGTACAGTTGCGATAGTGAAACGATATTTCTTGTGGAGAGGAGTCTGACATTGTCTAGCGCAAATGGCACCAAAGCTATCGTTCCAGGGTCTCTCCATGCTACAAAGAGTGTGGCTCAACATTGTCAAGCACGAAAGACCTCCAATTCCATGGCTCCATACACCAAGATGAAAGCCATAGGTGGCCGACGTAACATTCCCACGGACGAGGATGTCATGGCCTTGCGAACCCTACCGGTACAGGACTGCGCGGAGAACAAGTTGGTCACCTGCTGCCTCTTCAAAAACAGTTTGATTACCCTTACGGAACCAGGAGGAGAGACCATAGTGGGGGGGTTGACCAGGAAGGCAAGTGACAAAGTGTTACTGCTTGGCTTAGGAGATACGGTTGAGCTTCATGTTCTTTACAGTAGAGGCACCTTGGCCATGTTCAATTGGAAACTGTGTACCGTGGAAGACGAGTTCCTGCTTGGGAAGTTGGTGGGGGTACCTGAGACCATATGGTACAATGAACTTGGGACAGTCGTAATCATAGACAACTTAGCCGTACGACTAATTGAATTGGGTACATTAGATCATCATCATAGTACTCATAGCACTTTTAAGAGTGGGTATAGTGAACTCGCCGTGTTCCGACGGAACATGTCGTTATTATCACGAAACAATTGGTGTTACCAGAACCAAAAGGGAGACTACTTGATCTTCTATGAAGGGTACAACGAAGCGCAAGAGAAGGCCTGTTTCATGATGATCAACGTTCGATACCAATTGATGAAACGACTTGAGGTTGATCATTGTGGTCAAGTAGCACAGTTTCTGTATGCCATGGACCCACCAAGACTCTCCATAGTGGAACAGGGACAAGAGAATGGGCTTAGATATAAAGAGGGTATACCTAATTAGTATTCATTATCTATGTATTAATACCAATGGAAGGTTTTTTTTATCTATAAAGAGGTGGTGTAATTTCATCGTCATCTAATATTATTCGTTAGTTCATTTCTTAGCAATGTACTTTTGGTAAGCATCATAATTGAAGTTTCCAAACTTGTAATCGATATCCATCAACAACTTCAAAGCATCTTGAGACTTGTAAATGTATTCTGTTGGTAGCTTAATCAAAGCATCTGAAAGCTTGGCCTTGGTGGTGTCGGTATCAGACGTGACAGACTTTAACCCCTTCAACTTGAAGAACTCGTCTCTATTCAAATAACAAGTTCTGTTCTTCAGATATGCTTGTTCGTTTGTCAAGTCATACACTGCAGGGTACCCAACCACTGCTTTAAAGTTGGACTCTTTGGTTTGGGCTGGGTGTAAGGGGAATAGTTTTTGAAGAAGTTCATACGAAGCTAATGTGAAACCAAATTGAGGTGATGATCTGAAAACACGTGCAATAGACCCTTTGAAAAAGGCTCCAATGCCTTCTTCTCTTAAAATGGTTCTAGCAGCATGAGTAATACCCAAATATTTGGTTTCATGTTTCTTGGATTCAACTTGTAATCTGGTCTTGATCACATCTGCTGGAGTAGTAAAGAAAGCAGATGGAGCACCGGCCATGGCACCAGCTACCAACAATTGCCAACTATCTAACGAATGGTTTTTAGTTGGATCTTCAGGATCAAAATTGAATAAGTATTTCTTCAAATTGGCATAAGTTGGAAAATAAATGGCGGAAAATGGAACATCTCTTAAAAGACATGCACTAGCACCTTTATATAACCCCTTCATCCCCAATTGTTTAACGATTTGTCCAGCACTTAAATGTTTATGAGGAATTTCTCCCAGCTTCAATGATGCCTTCTCTTTGTTACCTTGCATTTGTAATCTAATTTTAACAATTTCCAATGGGTTGGTAAAAATCACTTGACAAGCACCAGCAGATGAACCAGCAAGAATTTCCCAAGGCATGGTGATTTTCCCAGTTTCACTATCGGTACCAATTCCTCTAACCAAATCATTAATTGTCAATTTAATGGCCTTTTCAGGAGCAACACCAACCAATTGAGCTCCTAAACCGGAGTATAACCCTTTAATACCTTCTTGAGCCACAATCTTCTTAAAACAATCAAGTGAATTCTTATACAAGGCATTCTTCCGTTGAGCTTGCATTCTGGTCTTAACCATATCAATGGGGTAAACCACAGTAGCACCAATACACCCAGCAATTGACCCTAAAAAGAAGGAATAAAGTGAATCAAAAATAGGTAAAAGTGAAAAATTATCATCTTGAACCGGTTTGGAAGCTGGATGTTGAAAGACTGAATATAAAGTGGCCACATTATTGTAATAATTTGGATTAAGGACAGAAATCAATTCTCTTCTGGAGATTTCCTTATGATCTTTATCAATTAAAAAGAACAATAAATCAATTTCCATGGTGGTGATTGGCTTGAAATTGGAAGACTTCAATAAATGATCATTCAAATGAACATATAAATCATTTTTGGTCATAACAATATCATCAACATCAGCAGATTCCGGTGGGGTGTTAGCAACCACTTCATTGATCAAATCAACTTTAGATAAAGCATTATATATAAGGAGAACATTGGATAATGTGAACTTATCCTTATGGAAGAATTCCGGTAACGTGTCTAAATTAACCTTCATTTTATGAGACAATTTATGGTTCAAATTATTGGTTAAAAGTGAAACCAATTGTTCCTTGGTGATATAACCATCTTGATTATTCATAATGTCAAATCCACCAATCAATTTAGTCACTGGTAAATAATTGATGAGAGAAACAAAGTCTGAAAATTCCATAGCAGAAGATTCAAAAAACCGATCCAAGTATTTCCAATTCAATTTATTGGTCTTAGGATGATATGAAGGATCTATTGACAGGTTAATTTTACTTAGAGAATCAACCAAATTCCCATAAGTGATTTTGTCTGATCCACGGCTGAAATAATCAAATAACAATTTGAATTCTCCATCATCTGACGTAATGGTCTTAATGAAATCAACAAAGTCGGTTTTATTCACATAACCCTTCTTGGATTTATCGGCCAAAAGATACAAAAGAGAGTACGATTGCTCGGCAACATCGTCAAGTTTGAAGGGAGCGAAAATGGCTGTAAACTCTTTAAGTGACAATTGAGGCTCACCACTTTTTCCCGAAGCAAACTCATCAAAGATCTCCACAGCCTTTCTTTCACCAAAAACGGCGGTAGACAGCGACATGACAAGAAATGTACTAGTTAGTTAACTTAATGTCGATAAGTAAAAGGATTGGCACTTTCTTTTATATATAAGTAGAGTTTCAATTTTTCAACTTTGGTTTGAAAACTTCAGACTTTTTTTGGGGTCTCTTTTTTTTTTTCTCACAACGATTGAGTCAACACTAAATGGGCTTAGTGAACCGAGGTGAGGGTAAGAATCCAAAAGCCAAAAGACAATAATAGATAATGTTCAGTGGTATATAACAGCCAATGGACGATAGTCTGTCTGAATTGTCTAGCTTTAGTTTTACCTGAGCTTTTGTCCGTCTGGTTTGGCTCAGTCGTAAGATTGATGTTGGTGTTTTTATGTGGGGAACTATTGTACCTTGAACGACTGTCAACAACAATTAGTCAATCAGAATGTAGGTAAAAAAATGAGTTGCCAACTGATGGTTTTGTGTGGGAGATGACTCGTTTGGAAGTAGTGTTGTTGTGTCGTGTCGCGTCGGTTATCAGACAAGGTGGACAATTGTAATCACCATAAATATAGAAGCGTCTAATCGTAAGAAGAAAAAGAAGAAGAAGATGATGATGTATATATTTATTTATTTATGTATTTAAGTTTGAAAACTGTCAGTTTAATTTCCAGGCCTCAACTTCCTTCCTACCTTCCCCGTATATTACAGACATTCAGACATAAACATATAAATAAATAAAATCCGAACCGAGTTTGGTGAGGGGAGAAGGGAAAAAGAAACAGCACGTGACGCTACGGCGTTTGCGCCAGCGGAATCGCGGTCCGCTAACGTTCACTTCTGATCACCAATAAATCTTTAAATTGGTGGCAACTCACGTGTACACTCGTATACATATGGTATCAGTGACTGGGCTGCTGGCAGCTAATACATCATAACTTCAGACACCAACAAAGTATTTGTCGCTTGTAAGTTCATGTCTTGAATAAGATTGACATAGGTCCAATCCAGTCACCCCCCACATTCCTGCATATACTCGTATATCTACCAAAAACTGTCATAGGTGGAACCTCAAACGACTTCAACACGCTTTTGTAGTACTACAAAATGTCAGTATAACATTTAAATGAATCTTGTAACAGACAAACTTAAAATGCATATATCTACTACCATTAATGTAGCTGGTTAAAGGGCTGTCTCCCTCTTGTTACCTTTCACGTTCCGAGATCAGATCCGGGACGGAGGAGAATGTCGGCATATAGGGAACAATTGCCTGTGAAATCATTCTTATGGTCAAAAGATGACACTTTCCATAAACCTTATTCTTTTTTGGCGCCTTCCTTTCATCCGAGATCGTTCTCGGACTTTTGATATTTATCGTATTCGCTTATCATTGGGCCACGGTTCTCGGGTTAAGATACGTTATAATGTCCGCCCTTAACGTCATACGCATCTTTTGGTTGGTGTCTGGCTTTTATTTATCTAGCAGGATGTTAGTTTCATACAAAGTGGTACATTTGAAGGTCGACTCTAGATTATAATAATGTATTCCAGATTCAAGATCCCCTCTCTGTTGTAAAACCCGAAACGGTCAATGAAATGGGTAGCGCGGAGATAGAAGTCAAGTTAATATCTTACTGTCACGTGATACAGATGGACTCTTTCAGTGTACTCCATTTCGCAGCCATCAGGTTATATATTAGACAAACTACTACGCACATCACGCAGAACAGAAACTTCTTCTTATTAATGGGCTCGACCATGAGATTTCTAAGTGTTAATCACTTACTACACACTGTTGAAGTAACTGAGTGCCAACTAAACTAATACATCTTCTACTTTAATAAACTATAAGATCAAAGAAACTCATCAAACAATTGGCTATAACTTCAAACATAAATAATGTTGCATTTATAGTCAACATCCATTAACTAATAAACAAAAGAATAAGGCGAAATCCTTCTTTAAAGACGAAAGAGAATTGGATAAGGTCAACTCATTTTATCAAGAAGAAGAGTGTGTGTGCGCTACCATAACTTACCTCGCGCTACCATATTATTGGCTTTTTGAAAATTTAAAACCGTATGTTAAAATGTTGCATTATTACTGCTGACAGTGAACTTCAAACTAATTAGTAACATCTACATCTATGGCTTCCGGTGCACCAGGTATGTATGACATTATTATATCTGTCTGATTCTGTTAAGTCTTAAATACTAACGTAATTAAAAAGGTGGTAACTTTAGAACTTGGACTCCAACTCCTCCAGAAAGAGGCTCGTTCCCTCTTGATCATGATGGAGAATGCAAAGAGGCCATGATGGCATATTTGAAATGTATGAAGTATACATCCAATCAAAACGCTCCCAATTGCAGAGTCCTAGCAAAGCTGTATTTACAATGTCGTATGGATAATCAGTTAATGAATCAACTGGACTGGGCTTCATTGGGGTTGACTAATCTCCCAGAGCATCCTCAGCATAAAGATGATCCGAAACAGAAATAGCATTGATGAGACGTACTGTAAATAATAATGAGACTTACTGTAAATAATGAATACTTGTACATACATATACAGACAGACATATAATATATATATATATATATATATATATATATATATATTGATATATATTTAAATATAGTATTTATACTATACGTAGTGTACAGACATGTACTTATTCGAGCATTCTCATGTCTTTTCTGGTGTCTTACTTCCACCACGCCCACTTCTACTACCTCCTCTTGAATTACCGCGACCTCCACGTTGCCCCCCACGTTGTCCTCCACGGCCTCCACGGCCACCTTTAACAGTACCTTCACCATTGGTTTGTGCCTTACCTTGAGGTCTACGGCTAGAAGTGTTGTTACTCACTTCACCTTCAAGTGTTGGAGCCAGAGCTCCAGTTGGAGGTACTGGGTAACCCCCCATAACATGAGGAGGTTCGGGAACAGGCATTGTGCCTCCCATAGGTCCCATAGGAGGATAAGGCATCATAACTGGTGGCCCCATATAAGCACCTTGCATGTGTTGGGGCACACCAGGTTGCATTGGAGGAGGAGGAGGAGGAGCCATACCATTTGGATGAGAGCCATCATTCATCATGACACTGGAATAAATTTGTCCGTAAACTTGTTGAATAGTGTTCCTGTTAACCACTGGGTTTTCCAAACTAGAGATTGAAGTATCTTTAGAGGAGGAGGAAACTTCATTAGTTGGAGCTACTGGTTCAGCGGAAGCCTCCTCACTATCAGTCTTGACATTCTTTTTCAATAACTTTAAGATCTCATTTGATTGCTTAGTCTTTAATTGAGCTGCTTCAATTTTCTTCTCTTGAAGTTTCTTCATCTTGACTGTTTGGGCTTCCTTGTCAATGGCTTGGGAACCCCTATTCTTGGAAGCCTTTGAATGATAAACAAATTGTCTGTTTGTAAGATTCAAAACCAAAGAAGAGTCAACAATAAGTCCACGATTAGTACGTAATCTTCCATTCAAATTAGATCCACTTAATAATGGCAAGTCAAAAATAATTCCCAAACTAATCTTGGGTCCAAGAGTGGTGATGCTTACAATAGTACCCTTTGATAAAATAGGTACTTTACCATGATCTTGAACATAAAGAACTCGGTCTCCCAATTCAAACTTCTGATCACTTAGCAATTGATAAGAAGACCCAGCATCCAATACAGCTTCACGAGGAACACCTTTAATGTCTTTGTTATGGAATGGAATTGGTTGGCTCACATATTTTTCAATGTAATCCTCAATACTAGAATAACTGAACTTTGTAAACGATTCAGATTCTAAAGATACGGTGATCATTTCTTCCTTGACTGATTTCAACCATTTTCTAATCTCATCCAATTCACTCTGGGTGATTCCCAAATCCTTCAACAGAGGAATTTGCTTCCCTCCATCACGATCATTATTCAACCGTTGAATCAACTTGGGGAATTTCTCCTTATATTCATTGATCAAATTAAGAGCAAGTGGTGAAAATTCCCAAAACCTTCCATTACCTGATTTACGAGTGTAACCCAATACTTTTTGTCTTCTAGCATCAAATTTCAATTCTAAGCCAATGTTTGTCTTTCTATTGTTAGAATCAAAAATCATGAAACCTGAAGTAATTCTAGACAAAAATAATGGATTCAATCTTAACCGTTTGGCAACTTCATATGATGGTAAATAAGTGATTTCTCTGCTTTCCATTTGTAATCTCTTTTTACCAATATTGGTTTCATTACCATTTTGAATTTTGGATACCCGAACACTCAACTTGGTTTTATCGTTTGAGTAACCAACAATTGTGGCTGGAGCACCATACCCAAAATCTCCTAAGAATACAACTTGCGAGTTCAATGGGAACTCAGTGTCAATTGGTAATGGAGGACGAGGCATGTACCGTTCATCCTTGTTAATGACATCCTGCACAACAAGTTGAATGGGGAAAACATCTAAAGATTTGGAAAATGTCTTAACATATGCTCCGTCAGCAGTTCTAATCAAACCATTAACGGGTTGGACATATACTAAACCTTGAATATCACCCAATTCAACACCCTTGTTCTTAGACCAAGTATCCTTAATGTTTCTGAGGGTCAGCTTGTAATCTTTGAGTTCATCTGTTGCCAAGGGAGTAGTTACAAACTTCCGAGGTCCACTCTTATCAACCTTAATTGTTTGATATGACGATTCTTCATCACAGACTTTGACAACTCGACATTCTCTAAGAAAGGGCCAACGTGTATAAGCCAATTTCCCAATAAACTTACGAGCAAATTGGTATACTGACAAATCTTCCCAAACATTATCAATAGTCAATATCATTGATTCCGATCTCGAAGGCATCTGGAAAACTTTGATTTCACTTAAATTCAACTTGTAATCAAACTTGATTGCTTCCAAAGAAGGGAAACCTGCTAATGCACTTTTCCCCTTAACAGCACCTTCAACCAATCCAATTTTCAACTCCTTCATTGGAGGTAAAACCAACTTCTCTTCATAACATTTATCATGCTCCAAATCTTGAAAGTAACCAGGTAATGGGGAAGGGTAAATCTTATCAATTTGAGGGTTATGAATAAAATGGATATCACTCCCAAAAGAATTTCTTTGCTTCTCTTCTGGAGTTAATTTATCCTCTAAAGGTTTCAAGGCTTTCAATAACCGATTTTCATCAACAAAGTTAAGTAAAACAACGGCTTCCCAACTGGCAGTTTTCCCATTAAGATCAATTTCAACTTCATCAGGATAGAAGTCATGGATTGGAGAATGTTCTTCAGTAATCAAAGGCCAGTACACTTTGGGGATCAAAGCCTTTGATCTAGCAGGTAAAACGGCCATTAATTGTTCAAATGGCTTAAATGGTTTATTCAAATCAAAAGTAATCTCATAGTTTTCGTTCTGCTCCAAAAACTTTTCCAAACCAATATGAATATCTGAGATTCTTGGGGCATAATGGTACTTAAAGAACCAATTCCAAGAAGCACATCCTCTGTAGTAATAATACAATACCCACTGTAAACCCTCCAAGTAATGTTGAGTCAACTTCACCATTTCTTCTTCATCACGGATTGAAAAGTTCAACTTCTCTTTATAATATTTGTTCTTCCAATCCAAAAACTTAGCATCATAAACATCTTTTGATTCCTTCATAAGTTCTTCTGTTTCTACCAAATTAGCACTTTGATATTTCTTGAAGGTTTTCCGTAAATCATTTAATCTTTCTGAGAATTCGTCTTCCAGTTCATAAGGATTTAAACCATCAATGTCCACTTTGGCTTCATAAGTACCTCTAGAATTTGAATGAACAATGACAATTCCAGCTTCTAAAGCAAAAGTACGAACAAAGTCTAAATATTTTTCAACATCTTGGGTGGAAAGTGGTAAACTTTTCAACTTTCCTTCTGCATCTAACTCAATCAATTTACTAACAGGCATATTTGCAATTTCCAAAAGCCATGGTTTTATTGCACCTACCAATTTCTTTTGATCTTTTAAAATAAGCATTTTACCCATTCTTTCTCTTTTCTTTTCACCAGAAATTGATATATCTTCCAATTTCTTATTGAACCATTCAACATCAACATCTTCTCTTTCAAAGTTTTCCAATTCAAAAACACTGAGGTATGATAACCAAATATTAAACCTCTTCAAATTTATACGACCAGATTCATTCAAATAGCCATCTGTTGATTTCATACATTGTTTAAAAGTCAGCAATAATAAGGGGAATGCACCCTTATGAATAAACAAATCAGGTAAATTGGGTAAGAAATCATTCCCAATAACATACATGATCAAAATAAAATCATCAAGTAATCTTTCAAAATTATATTCAAAACTTATCAGATCTTGTAATTCAGCAAATTCCAATTCCAAATACTCTCTAAGTAATGAAATATGCAAAAGATAAAACGTTTGACTTGTTAAATCTTTGGAGGCTTTAGTTTGACGAGGACCAAAGGTTACTTCTTCTCTTAATAAGGCAAAATGAGGATCATGACTTACTAATCCAAGCATAATTAAATCAGCATCTAAACCATAAACACAATGTCTCATATTTGGGTTATAATCATGTTGAGATTTTATAGTTCTAATGAATTCCATAATCTTATGTTCCCCCTCACCGGGGACTTCATGACCGCTTAAAACAATTTTAGTGTTAGCCCATTTGGAATCTTCACTGATCTTTTTATGAATAAAATATTTCAAATTTTTAGTCAATTTAGCCATGAATTCTGTCCCTGGAGTAATTGCATTAGTATCAAAGGGATCTTCCTTTGGGATTTCCAATCCTTGATCCAAAGCTTTACGCATATTTTCAGCAGCTTCATAAGCTGTTCTGAATCTTCTAGCTCTTTGTTGATTCATTTTTGCCCGGGGGGCAACCCCATCTATAGCCATATAAAATACACCTTGAGGTTGTATCATATCAAATAAATGCTCTATATACTTGAAAATAGATGAGAACATTTGATCTTCAGTCATTCTGGCCCCAACAACGTCACTCTTGGAATCATTGGAATGTGTACAGTTATGGAGAATGGAATTCATATCAAGGTATAAATTGTCAAACTCGGGAATCTGATTCCCATCAATGAGCTGAGATATCAACGGCCATCTTTCGGAGATAAATCTAAAGAACTTTGGAATCCCTATTGAAATTTCACTTGGTTAGTTTCAGTCATAAAATGTCGCAAAAATTATCAAGTAACATCATTCTAATTAACATACCCATTGTAATTTGTCCTCTTTCAGTAACCAGAACAATTTGTGGCGAGACTTGATGCTTTGTAGAGAAGGTTTGGTGTTAACGTTGAAAGGTTTTCGATTCGTTCAACTTTTTACTGGGATTTTGGTAAGGGCACGATTATATAACAATTGCCTATGCAAATGACAGCATTAACCTTCAATTGTTAGTTGTTACAACTTCTTTAATGAATAATAATAATAATAATATAACCGTATAAATACTTCAACACAACCATAGAATCAAAAGAAAAACAAATTATATAAAAGAAAAGGAAAAACAAACAAAATAATCCTTTGTAATCAAATAAAAAGAATAATAAACCTATATATAGAGTAATGAGAGAAAGTAAAGTTAATGTGTTACGTCTCAAGTCATGTCATGTCATATCAAGCTACATCGTCAACTGTAATCAGAGGTTATCTCTTTGAACTGCTGCTAATGATATCATCAGCCACTATGGCAGCATCATGTAATAAAACACTGGCAAAGGCCCTTGAATAAGTCCAAGTCAGTTTTAGCCTATTCATAGCAACTTGAGCACCGTCCTCACTCAACTTCAACAGATGTTTCAAATTGGGAATAACTGTATCTGACCACATAGTATTAGCAGCAGATGTACTGGCTTTCAAGCCATTTTTACCAGCACTAAGCATGGAACTCATCCTTTCCTTAGAATAGGGCCAGCCATTAGTTCTCCAGTCCTCATCAGCCTTCTTTGCTACAGCAAAAACCTTCTTTAGCCCAGTTTCTACTTGTTGGGTGCCTGATTTCGATGCCTTCGTTAAGCCACTCATAGCTGCTTTAGCACCGTCCTTACTTGTCTGCCACAGATGTTTCAATCTTGGAGCAATTATATTTTCCCAATTCGAATAGGCACATACAGAAGCATCCTCTAAATCTTTTCTTGCAGCATTAAACCACTTTCCAGCAACAGAAAATATCCTTTGTTTGGAGTAAGGCCAGCCTTTATTTCTCCACTGTTGATGAGATTTCTTTGTGAATACAAGAAATTTCTGTAATCTAATTTCTCCTTGCTTGACCCATGATTCTGATACTTTCTTACCTCGAGAAAGCAACTTCTTAGTGGCTTCTTTGGTATACACCATATCCTTGCCTCCTCTTGATTTGGCCCAATAATACCCTTTAGTAGACATGTCCTTCGTATGGGAAGAAAAGATTTTTGTAGCTTTCAACGCTTCATCAATCCAACGAGTAGATAAAACCTCTGCATATTTCCAATTCAAAAGGAAATTAGACTTAAAGTTTCGAGAGTCTTGTGAACAAAATCCCTTCCTTGCGTATTCAGAGCATAGCTTTCCACAATGTTTTTTGTCATTCAAAGCTATGTTTGACCTTTGACAACACCGTTTTGTCCATTTAGCCTTAACCGATTTCTTAGCCGATTTCTTGGTCAAGGTCTTAGAAGGCGCATGACCCAGTTTCAGAGTACCTTGTTTGGCCGAGGAAGGATGGGTTTTAAGAGTTTCTACTGTGGGCCCTTTGTTCAAGGCTCTACATATCCACTCTTTGTAGCTTTCATCGAACTTAACAGCTTGCTGCCTAGTACACGACTTGAAATTCCATTTTTCACGCATTTGGTGGTAGAAAGAATTAATTGAATTCACCTGCACAGGTTTGGTAGTGGTTGATGAAGCCGATGGCACAATTGGGGACGTTGCAGAATCTCTAAAAGAAGGAGGATTTGGACTTGAATTGTGGCTGGCGATTCCAGACATCAGGGAGCTTAACACCGGAGTAAGTACCACAATTAACAACATAGAGAATAAAATGTAAATGAGGTTCTGGGGTTGAACTTTATCAAGGATTGATAAGAAAATGTTTACCCAAGGGCGGAGAATATACTCATCCCATAATTGAATAAGAGTGTTATTGGAAGAATTCTCAGGGACCTCATCATATTCCTTAATAATTTCTTCCTGGATTTCGTCTTTAACTTCGTGGGAACTTATAATCACGTAATCATGAGTCAATGTTGACTTCGAATCATGGCTCAATCTACTTTTGATAGCAGTCAAATTCGACATCAATCTATTGTGAAGTGTAGCAGACGCTCTTGTGATATCTTCATTCACAGGCTTAATCAAATTGCTGGCAGATTGCGTAACAACGGGTGCAAGTCTCGAAAGGGCAACATAAGGACACAAATTTCGGGATTCAGAAAGGGAATCTAAATCACTATCCAAACCGACGTTTGAGTTTTCATCAACAGAGTTTGACTCAGCCAACGAGGTGGATGTTGCTTCGTCGCCACTTTCAGGAGTTATTAACTCCGAAAAGGAAGAAGAACTAGAAGTTTCATCCAGAGATCCAAAGGAGTTATCACTCAGATTTATAATTGGCAACTTCAATGTCGTCGTTGAAGATGCCAATGTGTTTGAGGGCGTTGCAGTGTTGGTTTCAGAGGCCGTGGTAGCAGAAGCAGTAGTAGGTTCTTCTTCTGCAAGGGCAATTTGATCACTTTCGTCTTCTTCGGTCTCCAGCACGTTGGTGGATGCGGTTGAAGCCAGTTCATCTTCATATTCAGAAGATGACGAAATGACTGACCAATCTTCAAATAATCTTGTCATATCTGATCAGGAAGGTTGGATAGGGAAAACAGTTACTACCACTTTTTATAAAGGGAACTTTGGTGGACGGATACAAGTAACTAAAGCGTCTAATTGCTATATGAAAGGTAACTAATAGGTGGCGATGTGTCAATATTGTAAAACTGTTAGTACTAAGTTGATTACAATTTAAGGGGGGTCCCTTGATAGTTTCTCCTTATTCCTGTGTGCCACCATTTAGGGTGTGATCTTATTGTGGTCGTGTGGGTACCGATAGATAAAGCTTCATTATGCCTCTCTTCAAATGGTAGCTGATCTCGGTGTTAGTAAGGAGTACATCTATATACTACAAGTCTATCTGTAATTAGTTGTAATAGGGTGTAAAGTGGATAAAATTGTCTGGTTGTCTGAATTCTTATACTGGGGTGTGTGCAAAGCCGGATTTAATGGCTCCAACCTGCTAAAACTTGAAGATACATTAAGTGATAAATGAACAAATGAACGTTGTACGTATTTTAACTTTGTATGTGTACTAACTTTGTATGTGTACTAACTTTGTAAAATTGTCTTATGTACTGCAAGCAGGTTCTTTTCTCTACTTCTTTGTCTTCATCGTATCTGATGACATGTGCAATAATGTTTTACCAGCAACAGCTAAAGCAATTTGTGGTACTGCTGTCACGGGTTGAGTACGTTATAGTGTAGATCCTGTTTCACATCAAAACTTCTGAAACAAACAACAACCCAATAATGATCTTAAATTTACTGCTGTCAGCTTTACTACTTCCCAAACTCGTACTAATATACGGCATTCATTTATAGTATATTTAAACAAACACAATACTCAGGGGCACCGTTCTGTATATATACCCTTCTTGGAAATACTACTCTTCTACACTATCACTATAGTTTGCTACAATTGCATTCAATATGTTCCAGATTTCTGTCTATAAATAAAACGGTTGGAGCATTTGGCGGAATGGATTGTCGTTCCCCTGGCAATTATCGCAGACATTGAGCTCAGATGCAGGATATATGCAACTATGAAAATCCCCACGTTATGTCGCAAAATTGACGGCATCTGGATTACAGACAAACGAAGCAACAACCAATCCTCGACTCCCATTTTCAAACAAAAAGAATCTTGTTAAGAGACATTTGGATGTGCAATCCATCGTCAAGAAGACCTGCCAATGAAAAGGAAAGGCTAAGATTTAGTACACAAAAAACTACATTTTTATTAATTGCACTCTCTCGTGTCAGCCACACCCATCGCCCCCACGTTCTTTTCGACGATATTTGATGTCTGATTATCACCCTTTTAGTAAGAAACCCGCACACCAGGAATATGAATTGTATGTAACATGTCATAAATAGACCCGATAATAAATGTCGCACCCCCCTCCCCCTTTTTTACCCAATTTTCACTTGACTCCCCTATACAAATTTCCAACCTCCAGTAGGCAACGAAACCTCAAGTTAACCAAACAACTAAAGAAGATCTCATAACAACTTAAGAAGACGAAGCCGTAATAAGCAGAGACATTCGCCGTCTGTTATGTCGTCGATGATATCAAACAGAAAACGGCCCAGAAGGTTCTCTGATTCCTTTGAGTCGGGACCAAAAGGGAGCAACAGCGGGAAGGGAACCACTGCCAATTCCAATGGAACAAACGTTGTTGGAGGAGGACCCGGTGGAGCTGATACGACTTCTACCGCTGCCGCTGTAGCTGCTGCGACTGCCGCTGCCGCCGCCGCTGCTGCTGGGGTTGTTCCTGTAGGGCAACAACAACAATCACAGAGTTCTATGGTGGTCGATCCCTCAGATTCTCAATCGGTTGCTGATACGACGGGATCCAACACGGGACTTCTACGTGCCAGCAAAAGAACTTCCACTGTTGGTGCTAGTCGATCCGAGATAGGTGAATCGACCGAGGGTCCTACTTCTTCTGCTGGTCGGGTGTACCTTATAGATGAAGAAGATGACGATGAAATAGAAGAAACAAATCTTCTCTATGGGAAGACCAATTTGCAATCATCATTGACTCCTCGAAAATCGTATCTGGGTAACGGATCCAAACCCTTGATGAGGAGATCAGGAATAGTATCACGTAATAGAAACATTGGCTATGGATACGAGGATGAAATGGAGAACGACGTAGATTATGATAATGATGGAGAGGAAGAAGAAGAAGAGGAGGAAGAGGAAGAAGATGATATGATTTTTTATGACGAGTCAGTAAAACCACCAATGCCTCGGAAGCCTAATTCTGCGTTTCTGCTGGGGGGGGTACGGTTGGGTAAACGTAGGAGTCAAAGTTTCAGAATGTCGTCGAGCGCTAATGCCAGAGATAGAGATAGACCTAAAGCTTCCAAAAGAAATAATTCTGATCCTATGATTTATTTTGGAACTGATGCCATTGCTGCTTATAATTTGTTCAATGTTAATAATGACACTGTCCATGGTGGTGAAACAGTAGGACCACTTGATACTTCATCAATGTCTTCTGTATCGTCTTCAGGAATTAACGGCTTCAGTTTTAGCAACGGACGTCACCATCCAGTTAGCAACTCCATTCTGGCAGGTTCATCAGCAACTTCTTCATTACAGACATCTCCGGTAGCCATGATGCCCCGGAAACAACGGACCAATAGTTTGCCTCAGTTGCCTCAAGTTAAGTGCTTTTATCATAAGATACCTGACAATTATATTTTGCAACATCCCAAAGTTGGAGATGTTAAAACAGAAGTCATTGGTCCAGTTCATGATCATCAACCATGTGATGATGATGACGGGCATTACATCATCAAAGTCAATGAAATGTTTGCAAACAGGTTTGTGATTTTGAAGCTATTGGGTCAAGGTACATTTGGTAAAGTGATTGATTGTTACGATGAATTGAACAAACAACGTGTTGCTGTTAAAATCATTCGGAATATTCCAAAGTATAGGGATGCAGCAAAAATTGAACTTCGTATTCTTCTGACCATAAAGAAGTTTGACAATGAGAATTTGAATCATTGTATTCATCTCCGTGAATGTTTTGATTTCAGAGGTCATATTTGTATTGTTACTGATTTGATGAAGATTTCATTATTTGATTTCTTAGAGAAGAATAAGTATATTGCCTTCCCTGGGTCCCATATACAAGCAATTGCCAAACAATTGATTCGGTCAGTGACTTTCCTTCATGATTTAAACTTGATTCATACAGATTTAAAACCAGAGAATATCTTACTTTATGATGATTCTTATGTCAGGAAAAGATTATATTCCTCTACAATTATTAATTCATTTATACGTCAGGCTTCGTCTATGTCAAATAAGACTCTGATAGGGAATGGGAATGATTCCGGTGCTGGCACCAGAGCTCGCAAGGTACCAAAGACATCCAAAGTACTTAATAATCCGTCTATTCTGATTATAGATTTTGGCCTGGCAATATTTAATGATGAATATCATGCTGCAATTGTCCTGACACGCCATTACCGTGCACCTGAGATTGTTTTGGGAACAGGCTGGTCCTTTTCCTGTGATATGTGGAGTGTTGGATGTATTATGGTGGAGTTGATTATTGGAGAAGCTTTATTCCGCACACATGATAACTTGGAGCATTTGGCTATGATTGAACGGGTATGTGGATATCCTATAGATAGAACCATGGTTCGAACACTGAAGCAGAATGAAAATGAGTGTGGATTAATGTATTTTACAGACGAAGTAAGAGGTGTTGGTAGGATGAGTGATGATGAATATGATGAAGACGATGATGTCTTGAACGATAGTTCTGAAGATGACAACATTTTGGATTCTCAAAGAGATGACGATGATGACCTTGTTGATGACGAAACGGATGATATACTTGATGATGATGACGAAGAAGCAGATGATGATGATGATGATGGTGATGATGACGATGATGATGATGACATCATTATTGATCAAAAGAAAACTCGGGAAAATTCCCTTAAATTGATATTCCCATCATCACGGACCCCCAAAGAATTCGTTACTAATGTTAATCTTTTGAAACGTATTGATTTGTTCATTAGTGAACGCATAGGCTTGCACATTGACTTTGACTATTCACTCTCACATAACTACGACGTGAATAAAGACAAGATTGAGTTTGGGAACTTTGTTTTCTGGTGGTTCTTATTGGATTTGTTACGCAAACTACTTGTAATCAACCCAAATGAAAGAATCACCGCCCAAGAAGCTATGAATCATCCATGGTTTAATTTGGGTATTGTTGATGAGGGAACTACCTAAAAAATTGTTTATGCTTTTTGTTGCAATATTGTACTTGTTTTGTTAATTAATGCTACTTGGAATCAAGTCAAGACTTTGTGTTGTGGTTATGATGTTCTCTTATCCCTTTTTTTATTTCATTTCATTCAGTTCTTTTTGTAGGACGTTATTATTAATTGGTTTTGTTTGGTGATTGGTGGCAGGATATAGCATCACTGTTTTTAGTGAACATTGTATATGAGTCGATATTGAATAATTGTTGGGTTAAGTAGCACGAGCAGTTACCTATTTTGCACCCATAAAGTTAATTTGTAATACTCCTGTATCGCAGTTCCATGATAGTTGCTCAGCTTACTGGCACATGATGGCGTACTGTAAGATTTTCCCAAGACACTTACCGAAGTCAAAAGCCCATACCAAAAGTCAATGTTAGCGAACACGAACCTCGGAGGAATCTTGTACCGATACTGCAATATAATAGCGCAACTTTATATGAGGTACATATAGGTCATGTAGTATTTGATCCGATCTGCATTTGAAGAAAGGGGTACTTACTGTGACTATGTCAAGGGATCTAGAACTAACTACACAATGGTAAGGCAACAAAGCTAAGTGAAACGGTTATTTTTTAAGCCGTTTTTGCCTCCCTTTATTGTACTTCCGTAATAATATTTTCCGATGGCTACCAAGTGAAATAAGTGACTCTCGGGGAAACTTGTCCATTAAACTTACGTTCTATAGAACTAGTCTTGACCTTGAAATTCAACTGATCATCTTGAAACCCAGAGAATTCCTCTCTATTGCCTGCACTACGGTTTATTTCTTAAGTCGTACAGCTGATGATGTGCATACATCGTGATACTTGAAAAACCTTACATAAGACTTCCGTAGTGTATGGAGATGAGACTTTTATTTGATGTCTCCTATTACTTTACCCAATACGGTAGTTTTTTCAGTTAATTAAAGAAGTCGTGTGACGGACGAACACCGTTTCTTTATTGTGAAGAGAAGAAAAACTTTGTTCATGCTTTGTGATGTATAAACAAGGTCTAGAACGATTACGTAGTTGCTTATGTCACCTCATCACGTTATGCAGTGCTGCTCTCGCTCGGCACAACTTTTCAATTCTCGGGATTGTATCTTTCCATAAACACAATGTAAAATCTTTAATCCTGTAAGAGTTCACGTCAAATTTCGGGCTATATGGTTTACCTTTTGATTGGTTGCGGTGTTTTGATCATGTGAAAAGATACAACATCAAGAAAAATCAATGCACTTAATTTGTGTGCAACCTTTCTGTGGTGTACATCAAGTAACATAAGCCTCGGAGAAAGCCTCTCGGGATTAACCAAGGTAATAGTAGGCTAATTATTGTTAGAGTAAATCAATGTAAGGAGAGGGGTTTGAAACCATGTCTACCAAGTAACACAGTAATACATCAGAGACTGAGTTTCAGACTATGATGGGGTTCTTGAGAAAGTTTTTAGTCGTTGTCTATAATCGGATGTATTAAACCCCCTATTCAAATTGACCAACCATTCTTCATATGATTACTGTTGTAGGAAGGATTCGATGGGTGTAAGGTTCAGGAATGTACTCAAAAGGGTATTCTAATGACATTCGATCAATTCTCGTATCGTGCCGTAAATGCTCGAAGGACTCTACCCTGGTCAGTAGCAATGCCATGAATAAGAGTAGCAATTGAGGTTACAATGCTTATTATTACGTTTTAAACATTCCAAACCTGCCGGGGGGAGGTTGGCATATGCCATACAGCATGCTACATTGATTTGCAACATTTTCAAAAGTTGATCTTGTGATGATTGGATGGTAGCAAATAACTACCAATATCATTTACGTTAATCCCAATTATTTGATTGGTGCAGCACATCGGTAATACGTGCTAAATCAACTCAGCACAGGCCCTATCCAAGATGGACGGCTTTTAGGGGCATCATCATCAAGTGTCGCTTATATAACATCGACAACAACTATAGCCTAGAGTGGGTCGTTCCTAACACAGTATATGTCGTGGATAGGAAGTGTCGTTCATGGCACAAAACTTCTTGGGCAGTGAACGCAAGGACTTACTTACGAAACGCAACCCACAGCACATCACACACACAACAGATCTACCACTCTGGTTCTTTAAATGTGGAGAAGAAGAAGAAGAATCTCCTGTTGTAAATTCCATGTAAGGCAATGTGACCAGTCTAAGGAATCTCCTAAAGTGGGTACTCGATTTTTAGAATCCCAAGGTTGAAAATTTTTGGGTCGAATGGCATTGCCCACCTTCCCGATTCGACCAAAATATAAGAGTGGCTGCATTGTAGTATTGTTGCATTTTCTCGCCTATATTGACGTCGTGCGAGAACCCTTTATTGTAACTGGAAGAAGAAACGACGGAAGAATGGCATTCACCAAACGGTATGGAAAATCGACAGGGGTATGCAAAGAGCATTATGTAGAGTAACGTTACTGCAACGGTTAGGACCTGTAATTAATTCCTGCTGTAACAATAGTTACTACAATTACAATTGCAATTACATTCAGTAGTTTTATTATTTACCCTTTGATGCACTTTGTGTATGTAATGACAGAATTCCGACATCTACTAATTATGTGCAGCAGACCAAACAATTCTAAAACCCAATCGAGTATACACAGGTCTTCTTTGTGCGGCCTGCAGTTGCCAACAACAGTAGGCCAGACTATGCCTGATTCGGGGATTAGTGTCGAGGTCAAATCCGGCATGTCCCATTAGCTTATTCCCCCTTTGGACAAATGGCATACACACGATGTGCGTGTTTGGTATGGTGCATCGGGACCTACTGGAAACAGTAGTATTGAAAGAAAAATAACAACAATAGTGCCATAATAAAAATATTAATGTCAAAAATTCAAGCCGTTATGAAAAAAGAAAGGAATGCCTGATCGGAAATCATATATATGTAGCATTGGTTTTTTCTTCCAAGTCATTCGTTAGTAAATTTTTGTTAATAGTTAGATTAAAATAATATCCCATCGCCAACCGATTTTTCATTCATTTGATCGTTTTAATAGGTAACTTTTAGAAGATTTTATCACTACCAGCCAACTATCGTCTTTCCTTTTAATTGATACGTTTGCCTATCTTCTATTCCTTCCTTTAATAGCTATTAAGATTAAGATTATTATTTTCCTGCTCAAATATTTCTATTTATTATGAAGTACTCGTCTATCCTTTTATCCTGTTTGGCAGCTGTTGCTGTCGCAGCTCCTTTACCTCAAGATAACCATCACCACCATGATCACATGAAATTCCACAAGAGAGTTTCTTCTTCCAACAGTATTCTTGGTGATTTATCTGCCTTTTCTAATCCTACAGAAAAGTTTGAAGATGGTGTTCACGATTGTGCTTCCGTTCCAACTGGTCAAGGTGTCATTGGTGTCACTTGGATCGATGGTTTGAACGGTGGATGGTCTTCCATTATGGACTTGAATGGTAACACCTCTCCTGATTGTAAGGATGGTTTCTACTGTTCTTATGCTTGTCAAGCTGGTATGTCAAAGACCCAATGGCCAAGTCAGCAACCTTCAAGTGGTGCTTCTGTCGGTGGTTTGTACTGTAAGGGTGGTAAGTTATACAGAGCTAACACCAACTCCGATTACTTGTGTGAATGGGGTGAAAACACTGCCGACTTTGTCAACAACTTGTCTCAAGATCTTTCCATCTGTAGAACTGATTACCCTGGTTCCGAAAACATGAATATTCCAACTTTAGTTGGTGCTGGTGAATCTCAACCTGCTACTGTCGTTGATTCCGATACCTACTTTACTTGGAGAGGTGGTAAGACTTCTGCTCAATACTATTGTAACAATGCCGGTGTCTCAGTTGAAGATGGTTGTATCTGGGGTACTGCGGGTTCTGGTGTTGGTAACTGGGCTCCATTGGTTTTGGGTGCTGGTAAGGTTGGTGATCTCACTTATTTGAGTTTGATTCCTAACCCAAACAACAAGGAAGCTCCAAATTTCTCCATTAAAATTGTTGGTGATGAAGGTGCTGCTGTTGTTGGTGACTGTAAATACGAAAATGGTGTTTACACTGGTTCTGGTACCGATGGTTGTACCGTTACTGTTGTTTCTGGTAAGGCTCAATTTGTTTTCTACTAAAATTAAAGGTTTTAGATAGAATTTGAGAGTACCGTTACTCCTTCTCTGTACACTAGGTTGATTCAACCGGATGAAGGAGCTACAATGAACTTAATTCGCCACTTACACTCATTCAACACTGTTACCTTATCATCTCCCTTTATTTTACAACTGGTTTCCCTAACAATTACTTTTTTGTTATCCTTTTTTATTTTGTTTTAATTTGCTATCTTCGTTCCTTTTCGCTGTCTGGAAGTTTGTGCCAACTTAACTGTCACTAACTGTTATTCGAAATGTTTTAGTTCAAGGTGCCTTTATTGTCAGTGTTTGAAACGTAAATGTTTCTGTCTCTCGTCTCGCAAAGAGTACCTTGTGTCTTCTGGGTTTCCTACTATGTTGTTAAATTTGCTGTCGTGTGAATCTGGTGTCTATTATCCTTGTCGTCTCCGATACCCCTTGTATTATTTTATATATCATGTTATTTGTATGTATCCGTTTGAAGAAGCCTGAAGGTAACTAACTAACTAACTATCGATCCTGTATTGATTGTATTTATCCAAATGCAACTGTATTGCAATAGTATACTACTAATTCATCATTAGTCCTGAACATCTCCCATAAATCGCCTAATCTTTCATCAGGATTGGGAGAAAACAGACTATGAAGATACAACCATAACTGGTCCACTACTTTGAGCCGTCGACGAAGAAACACTGCTAGAGAAGCCATGGTTTGAGTAGCAGATATCTTGAATACTCTAGGACTAATCAGCGGTGTAGACCCAACTGGTTGGAATCTAATCTGAATCTTTAACTCTTGATTTTTCAGTCGAGCCATCCCACTCAATTCTTCTCCAACGCTCTTTAATTGAGCTTGGGCTCGGAATGGTTCTTTGGATATTGGTTCTTTTTCTTGGTCTTTATCTTGTTCTTGATCGTCAGTAGTCATAGCCGGTGTTATCAAGGATGTGGATAAGTCATCTGGTGACGTGCGTCCTACTCTTTTATCTTCAAACCCTGGTTGTTGCTTTTCTTCTACGTTTCTGTCGTCATCACCATCATCATCGTCATCTGAGTGGATCATAGTATTTATCTGCGATCTACTCATCCTCTTCTTAACTTTTCTGGCTTTAGTAAGTATCTTAGCATGTTAAGGTCTTACTCTGAGTCTTAAAACGAAATCCGATAAGTCACGTGATCTGGAATGATTAAATTTGTACCCCACCTTCACTGTGTAAAATCCATTCTTTTTCCTAGCGTACATCTTTAACTCGTTGGCTATGAACTACCAAAAAAATGCTTCAAGCCGCAGAAATCTCCAATACTAGTAGTGAAACACCAGATTTACTCATGTTGGATTAAGCCAAGTGCTCTGGCACCAGAATGTTTTCACAATCAGTTTTATATGCCACTACACTATTAGTTTTGGGTACCTTTAGTTAGGAGGGTTCACCAAATTTTGTCCAATGCACTTTCTACTAACGAATTAGCTTTGTCCCCGGTGCATGAATTTGCAGCCTCCACTTCCTAAAGATCATTATGTTACAATAATATTAAATAATTTCAAGAGTAATTTCTATAAGCAGTTACCTGTAGCACTCGGAAATGCTTAATATACCTTTAATATGATGTAGTGATACTCTTTTCATTTGTTCCTTTAAACGAAAATACGAGTTTTACGACCTCTAATTAACAATACAACCGTTAGGACTGCTGAAATCAAGCTAACAAGTGCTAGACCAGTGAAACACCAACCGTAGCCCATTTTTCGTACAAGAATATGGATAATCGCAGAGCAAATAGCTGCCCCAAGGTTTCTACCAAAGTTCCCTATAGAAACATAAGTTGCTGGCTGTTCAGTAGAGCATTCAGAAAGGTAGGTTGTGTTACTGTTGAGAATCCAAGTCATACCAAACCCACAAAGAAATATAAAGCAGAATATAGATACAACATGGACTCTCTTCTGTGCGCACCAACCGTAACCTAAGAGACCACTGATTAAAATAAAGGTTCCAATTAATTGAAACGAAAGCCGCTTCTCGGGGCAATAATAATCAGGATGTCTTTGAAGTTGTTTTTTTCGAGCAAAATCGGATAAATGGCCCCCAAGTATCGAACCACAAATTAAAGATACCCCAGGACAGATATACGATAATGAAACTTGTAATTGAGTAAAGCCATAAAGTTCCTGAAGTACTTGAGAAAATATAACCAGAACTCCATAGTATGCAGCAAAAACGAAACTTCCACTAACTGTGGTCATCCATACTCTTTCTTGTCTAATAAGTTTAACAAAGTTTGCTAAACTCGGTTTAGGTGGATGTGGAAACACAGCGTCAACGGGTATAATCTTCTTTTGTTTAAATACTGGATTAACAAAATAAGTTTTCAGTTTCTTCAAATACTCGCCTTTTCCTACTAGTATTCTTAATGTTTCAGGAAGAAGAAAGGTTATCATGAGAAACACTGTAAATCCAAATATGGCTAACATCCCAAAGGTCCATCTCCAGGAACCCAGGGCTCCAACAATACTTAATATCGGACCCAAAATTGGTCCAAATTGGGGTCCTAACATATAATAAGAAATAGCTCTAGCTCTAATACTGGGTTGGCAGATATCTGCAACTACCCCCATTCCCACTGTCATAGTGGAAGCACCTACTGCTTGAATTATTCGAAAGATGTAGAGCACTGCCAAATGTTTGGGCGCTGCAGCCAACACTATATTGGCAACTACAAACACAACTTCAGCAGATAGTAATAAAGGACGTCTTCCCCCAAAGTCAGATATTGAAGCCCAAAAGATTGGAGCAATAGCAAACACTACCATAAAAACCGAAACTGTACCATTTATCACTGAAATGGTTGTTTTAAACTCTTGAGTTAGCTTGGGAATAAGTGGAATATAGATATTACCTGCTAAAGGCCCAAGAAAACTGTTCAATGTTACTAGCAATATAATGATGTTTCTTCGACCAGAAGGGATTTCAGAGTAGGTACTGTTTGGCAGAGAAAGAGTGGGTTTTGTAGTTTGCTCTTTCTTTATTTCCAGAAGCTTGGAATCTGGATTCATATTTATGAAAACTTTGATAATTATAAAACAAATGAGTTCATTAAGCAAAGAAAACTATTTCTTCTTATTTGTACATTATTAGAACTTCCATTATCATAATATTTTCAATATTTATTTGAAGCATAGTAAAAAAGAATTTTAGCATAAAATAATGATCAGAACTTTTAATTATCAACTGTTTGTCAGATTCGTCTTCTTTATTAATTTAAATTGGATTCGAAGCGCTAACGGTGATACTGGACCCGATGGTGTAAGTTTCGTCTCCCAAGTTGGATCAACCTCTAAGGTAAAATTTGTTACCAATTGAAGAACAAAAGTTTTCGCAACATTAAGGGCAAACTTCTCTCCAATACATGCCCTTTTTCGACCGTGAAAAGCAGGAAGTGTACATTTAACCTTTGCAGAACTGTAGTTTTTCTGTATTTGTTCCGTAGTTGTGCCCCATCTTTCAGGTTTGAACTCATTGGAATCCGGTCCCCAAACACTGCTACTTCTTTGGGTAGCAAAATTATTATAACCCACGTAAACTCCTTTAGGGATATTGATGTCACAACCGAGAACTGTCGCCTTAGTTGTACATCTATTAATGATCTGTCCCAAGGGAGGATACAACCTAATTGTCTCGTATATAAAACTTGTAACGTAAGAAGAATTCAAACCTAAGTGGGCTTCATCTCGTATCTTCTGTTGGAGTATCGGCTTACTTGCTAGCACAAAAAGAAGCGATGTTAGTAGAAGCTGAGGGTTCTCATGGCCCGCAATTAATAGGATCATCGCATTATCTTCAAACTGTTTAGGTGTTAGAGTTCCATTTTCTAAAGCCTCGCAGAGTATGGGTGCTGCTCTTTCCTCATTTTGAAGAGATTCATCTTCATTTAGAAGTGCCGTATATGATTTCTTGAAATCTATGATGACCTTTCTAGCTTTTATTCTGCTGGGAAATGGGAACCAATCCAAAGTAGGAAAAGACATAAAGAGTGGCTTAAAAATTTGACTCTTAACATAATGAAGTTGTTCGTGAAACGATTTAGCATCATCTGATTGTAATGTTTTGAAATCAACTCCTACAATGCAATCACCAATGTTTGCAATACAAAACCTTTGAAGTATATCGTTGACAGATATTGTTGCAACTTCCTGTTTCATTTGTGACTTTATGATTTCAAAGAACTTGGAGCAATTCTTCTGGAGTGGCTCCATGTTAGGAAACATAATTGGGTTGGTTAACACCTGTCTATAGGTTTTCCAATTTCCTTCATCAGCGCTTATAACATTGTCTCCAGTATATTCTGCTAGTAAAGAGTGTGGGTTCTTTTTGTGGTTTCCACTCTTTGCAAAAGTGTTGTCTTGCCGAAAGATTTGCTGCAAATATTCTGGCTTTGTAACTAATATGTTCCATCTTGAACCGAAGAAGATTTTGACTGCTCCGTATTTCTCTAGTTTATCTTTCAAGTAGTATTCGTATATTTGTTTCTGGTCCAAGTTAGTGAACTGGCTCAAGAAGGAAACGTAAAAAGGGATTGTAGGAATGTTCTTTGGGAAGTTCCCTGGAGGAAAGATAACATTTCCAACAAATATTACAAACAAAATTGTTAACAATAAACATATGTTTGAGATTTCAGAAGACATTTTTGCTATAAAAAAAAGCCGAGTACTCGTTGATAATTTTGCTAATGTAAAGTGTTTAATAAAACCACTGGAATTTTTATATATATCAATATCTATTTTACTGATATAAACGTTGTTATTTTTTTAACTCTTAAGCAGGAGAAAGTTGACCTTCTGTGATTTTTCGTAAATTAGCATCATTGACCTTGAAATCATACGAGCTTCTAAAATTATGTTTAAAAGAAGCCGTAAAATACAGTTAAGCATAATAAATATAAACAATTTAAATACCCTTATGACTCTTTTGGTATGCCAGGATAATTACCTATGTTCTGACAGAACATTGCTTTAACAAAAATGACTTTGAATAAAACCATGGAAGATGCTACGCTCTATAAAAAGGTTAAGTGCTTGTATAGCAGAGATAACATTGACATTCTTTCAATCAGAAACCAAGTTGTCCTTGAATTTTCTGCTGATGTATTGATTAGTCAGCTTGTCTCTACGGTAGGTCAGAATATTCAATTTGGCATTACAAAGAGATGCATTGGAGACAGTTTGTCATTTGAATTGAGTCTTGAAGATAGTAAAAGAGTTGGTTGCTTGACTAAAATATTTGAACCTACTGAATTTGATTTATGGTTTATTCTGGTTATTCTCAGCAATGGGCAGATATATTTTGAAGAAGATGAGCTATTTGAACAGTATGAGGGTGCAACTGATAAGATTACTGACCTTTTTGCAAAGACAATTAAGAATAAGGCTAGTGATGATAGATGGGATAATGTTGGTATTCATGTTTTCAAGCGGAACGTTGAATTTTTCACTAGAAAAGGTTTACCTGTTGAAGCTGTTCTTCCTGCCTTCCCCTGTAAATCTTCCAACAGTACTAAGGTTGCCTCTGGACTTCCTGACAAGGGTGAGGAACTTGCATTGAGAAGAATTATGAAGTTTGTTAGCGATGTCGCACTTATATATCCGCCTGGTTTGAAGTTTTATATTGTAAGTGACGGACATGTCTTTAGTGATTGTATTAACGTTGATGACGACATTGTTGACGAATATACCACGCATTTGATTGAACTATATGAGAAAATCAAAGACAAGGATTTTGAAGGTATATACTTCAAAGGGTTAAATGATTGTTTCCGTTCAGAAAACAAAGCTGCTGTTGAAGGGTTTTTGCAAACAATTTCAATTGATCATCATTTACAAACAAAATTGGACCCGTTAACTGAAGACAACCGGAAGGTATTGATTTATGCTTGTGATAACGATAATGAAAAGCTTAAACAAGATATCAAAGACAAGAACCACCCACGTCTGTTTTTGCATAGAGGGTTCATGAAGTTTATGTGTGAAGACTTGAACGATATTCCGATGGTGAAAACGTGGTCGAATAAGAAGTTCAAGAAGGTTGTATCCCATGTAGCTTTTGAAATGATTAAAAGAAATGATGCTTATTCTAATTTGGTGGAATTGGTTTTCCCATTTCACGTTCGCTTATCTATCCATGCCCACCATAACGATGGTCCCAAGTTTGGTATTAAATTGTTGGATAAAGAAGAATGCACAACAATAGGTCATATTCAACTGAAGGAAGATGGCATGCTTCATATTCCAACGCCATGGCACAATGCTATTTTCAAGCTTAGTGATTGTGAGAAGTACATTGTCTCCTTTCTGAGAATGGCCTCCGAGTTAATTAATGATTACCAAGGAGGTTGGTCTGAGATTGAACGATGCTACGTTTTTACTAAGTAATTAAAATGTTTCTAATCATTTTGCCAAATACTAATAATATTTTCAATAAAATAGCTGGAAAAACCAGGATTATACATATAGCTTGTTATTTAATAATATGATACAATGAAAACAAGTTTCAAGACTTCAATTATGTTAAACAACCATTAATGTCGTATCGTTGTAGTGTAAATATATTGGCTGTAATTTTTCGCAGCCAAAAAAAGAATAGACACTGATTCGCAGCGTACGCCAATCGTGAGCACCACAAAATGAAGCGAAGCAAGTATAACAGGAACAAACGGTCCTTATAAATAAGAAGCCAAAAATATATATCAAATCAGAAATGGGTTTATCTGAGTCGTCCTTTATGTAGAGGCTAATTTATATTGGGAACATTAAGAAAATGTCGGAACATCAGGGAAATGTCGTCCATTCAAAATTGTAATAGTCTTTTCATTTATCTAAAACTGGTTTAAAACTTAATATAACCTATAATACTTTTAGAAAATGCCATGTTAACCATTCGCAATACTATGACTGTCATTGCTACTTGAAGCTTTAAGTCAGATAGACCATTGATAGTGAATGAACACTTTCTTTGGGTTACCCGGTACTCAAATGGTACGAGCACGACTGTTCAAAACTCTCTATCCCCAAAACATTATTAAAGTATAGTCGTACCTCTCTATGATGTGAACAAGACCCAGTACCTTGAGTAGCGGTTTTGCCAGGGAATCAAAGTGTTACAATGTCGGATACAGAAAGTGCTATTAGTGACTCCACAATTGAGAATCTTCCATTTGAAACCATCATTGAGAACATCCATCTGGCAACCGAGGATGTACTTAAAGGCGAGGACTATTTATCCTACAGTACTCTTTGGGATATTTATTTAAGTGACGTAGATAGATATTCATACGATGAACGAGAGGAGTTGTTGGGACTTTTACACCAAGTCTTGAAGGACAATCCTGTGCTAGCATTTGAAATTGGTTGGGACATACCGGCTTTACTTATGCCATACTTTGAAACTAATTTCCAGTTCGATTCCGGGATAAGAAATAGTCCGGGTTTGTATAAGTTGTTAAAAATATTTGAAGTGCTTGCCTTAGAGGGAAATCCTAAGGAATTGATTCTTAAATCTTGTGAACTTTTAAGTAGCTTATCCGTTGATGATATTGTCGAAAACGTACAGTTTAAAGAGAGATTCTTCAATTTGAAGCTATACTCACTCTGTGAGTTATTGGATAGTTGTTTGAAGAAAGTGGATACTTATTACCCCTCAAGATTTCTTCTGATGGCTGTTACGTCTTTCATCAATATGATCTATTCCAATGTGGATGCCAACTTCACTGAGTTACCATTTATTTTCAGAAGAATCTATTCCTTTGTTAGGAATTATGAAGGTCCCCAGTATCCATCATCCTCAACAGAATATACTGCGGAAGAACTAGCAAAGATAAAACAAGATGAAGAATTTTTACAGAGAAAGTTGTTGACTTCCTTTTTAACTAATGCTGTTGATTTGTCTTTCCGTGATAGAATGGAAGGATATACCCTTGATTTTTTCTCTTTCTTGCAAGAGCTGAAACAAGAACAATTAAAGAAGATATTGATTTACCGGTTGGAGTCTCCACCTTTCGAAAGGTTATCTGAGTTGGCAATTTCCATGGATATTTGGTTGAAGAAAACTTTTGATACATACATTGAGGATTCCCATAAATTATTCAAACAATTTGATTACACACTGACGGCTGGTGATGATGATGACGACTTGATGGGAGAAATCTTTGAAAAAGTGGTCATTGATTATCAAAAGAACTTGGCTACTTCAATTACTACTTCGGATGCTCAAAAGATTACAAACTCAACTATAGGAATACTTGAATTGTATTCTTACAAAGTTGTTTCCGATCGTGACTATAATAATGTTTCTGTTTCGTTATATGATGCTATTGTGTTCACTATTCGATTACAAATTCCAACCATGATTCACAAAACCTTCCTTAATAGAGGTACTCAAGATATGTGTGCCTTTTGGTCTTGGTTGGCAATTAATCAATATAGTGATTCTTGCAGAAAACTTGCAATTGAATTGAGCAAGATTCCTAAACAATTGCTCACAATTTATTATCAATCGTTGTTGTTTATCTATTTGACTGAATATTCCATTGAACCAAAGTTTGGCTTTGCTACCTTGACTTTATTGCTGAAGGTATTATCTGAATCACCAGAGGAAATAGCCTATGATTTTATTAAGGATTCATTGGTGAATTGCCCACATCAGAGTTTAAAGACAGCACTTGTTGGAATATTGAAGCATTTATTGACAAGGAATAAAACCGAAGCTTTAATGGATAGTATAACCTCACAGCTAGAGAAAACGGAGATCTCCGGGAAGAAGGACAATGAAAAAGTTGAACCCAAAGCACAAGATTCTCAACCCAAATCTGAAGATGATGAATCCAAATCAGAAAACAATGAACCAAAACCTCCTGCCCTTCCTGCAAGAAATGTCACTGCCAATGCCAAGTTTATGCTGTTGAATGACTCTCGTACAAATGATATAATAAGTCTTGTACAGAGCAGTGTGGACGAAACGTTCGCTAATAATGATTTAGATCTGCTGAAATTACCCACCCTTTCTGCTTACTTGAACCTCATTATAGTTATCAAGAGTCATCCAAATTTCACCTCACATCAAGAACAACTTGCTAAGATTTTGACATCAATCGAGATGCAGATTTCTAGTATTAAAAAGAAGGATTCCTTGGACCCTTCCTTGACCAACTTTCTAGATGTCTTATTGCTTACTATTGAAAGGATCCGTGAAGTTTAGTATAATACAATGATATTGTTATTATTATTTCTTACTCTTGGAGCTTCCTTTCTTGGTGGTTGCGTTTCTATCGTCAACCAAAGGACCCCAATATACAAAGAACCCTTCCTTTGTACTTGTGATTTCCTCTTCCATTTGTAATTCTTCATCATCAATGAAAGGATCTTCATAGTCATATTTACCCACTTTCCTATTCATTTTAGTTTGATGTCGACGAGCCAATTGCTCTGGAGTTAAGTTTTCCTCTTCCTTCTTTCTAGCTGCTGCTTCAACTTCTTCATCTTCATCTCCACTTCCATCTTCATCATCATCAATTAAATCTTCCATGTACTCAAAGGCATTTTTGGCCTGAGGATGAAGAGCATTCCAACCATATTTATCCTCTGCCATTTTCAAGACATTAATTACAACTTCAGATCTTCCTGGTTGAGGCTTTTTAGGATCAATAAGTGGTACATTTAACACTATGGTGGGCATCTCCACAGGCTCCTTCTTTTTATTATCCTTAGCAACAACGCCTTTATTAGTCTTGTCTGTAACTTCTACTATTGTAGGCTTTGTAAGCTCAGCATCTTCATATTTCAGAGTGTCTCTTTCTGCTGCAAGGGTAGGTGTTAATTTCAGTAATGCGGAATCACCACCAGTAGGAGTATCGTTCATCATTTCCTTGATAGACATCAGAGATTGCTTAGATTTTGTAGCTGGAGAATCTGTTTTTAGCTTTTTCAGTTCCCCCCCATCCTTCTTGGAGTTAGCTTGTTTCCTCTTTTTAGGTGCTGGTGTTGTGGAAGTAAAACCTGGTGCAGATGATGAGGTGGTTGTAGTTTTAGTCAAGGATTGATCTGCCTTTTTACTTGCTTCCTCATCATCTACGTTTATGAGTGAAGTGATGGACGTTTTGCTCATAGGCTTATTCGGTATTGGACTGGGGTCAAAGTTGAAGTTAGTTTGGAACCTTTTAACATGCTGATTTACAGGACGCGGTTTGGAAGGAGTAGATCCATGTACAGCTTTGGAAAGAGGAGCAGGACTCATTGACAGAGCTCTTGAATCGGTTGATTGTTTTTGAAGAAGCGTGCCACCACTGTTGCCAATGCCCATACTATCTATATGGGGTTGAGGATAATGATCTGTTGGACCGGTGGTAGTAGAGCTAGCACCCGAGCTAGTGGGTGGGCCAGTAGCCGAGCCAGGTACCAGGCCAAGTCCATTTCCAATAGCAGTATTAGTAGCAGTAGCAGTATCGTTACCACCAGGCACTCCAAAGGATGTTTGGAATTGACTTACTAAGGTACCTAAAAAAGTACCTCTGCTTGTATGGGACCTTGTATCATGCTTGGGGGCTATCTCCACCACAGATGACTTGGGCTCGTCGTCGTTGCTTCCTAGCAAAGACATGATCAGGAGGTTCTTGCTCATACTTTGTTGATGATGAAGCAGCACAGCTTTCCTTGTAATTGTTGTATTGACGTTTGAATTTTAGTGCGAAGTATAACTACAACGGTTGGGTTTACGATACGACTATACTCCACAATGACAGACAATAAGACTACGACTGAGTACGACCGACGCAATTGACCACAGCGGGCATAAATCACTACGACCTACAGAGGTGACTACTGGACGTATAATTATATTGACTGACCTCGATCAACCGTGCGTCGTGATCACGCTCTATCTAACTGCACAACATTCGAATGATAACCCAATTTCGATAACGTCAAACAAGTATCTGAACCATAACCTTCTAAGCTGTTCATTTGTAAGTCACCATTCCAATAATCAGTGTACACCTTACACACAGGCAACCCTAACCCTAACTTATACTTGTAGGGTCTGTTGAATAACTGATCTAACGTAGACTTTTTCGACTGACCAACAAAGTGAGAATCACCTAATGAAGTGTTCTTCAAGATTTGAGAGGTGGCAGGTACTGAACCAACCATTGAAGACCCACCTGGGGAAACTTCGTTCCCAGTATAAGGAGATAAGCCTGGGATTCTATGGAAATTGGCTAAGGATTCCCTGGCTAATTCGGGTCGTTTCCTAAAGGACCATATACTTTTCAATTTATCATGAGGCATTCCACCACCACGATCACTAATTCTAAAGATCACTTGTCGTTTGGAATCAATGATGGTAACTTTGACGGGAGGCAATTTCTTAGAGGTATGCAGTCCATGGGTCATGATGGTTGCTTCATAGGAGTTCCGAAGAATTTCTCCAAATAGATAATGTAAATGAGGCTCTATGAATTGGAATGTAGTTTTGGTGTCACCATCTATTTCTAATTCGGGCATGTTGTCTTTATTAGGGAAAATATCCACCATGGAATTCTTAACAGCTTCACTAACAATTTTCAATTGATCAATGGCTTTGCAATTGTGGAAAATCTCTCCAATATAATGAGGTGGTTTAACCGAATTAGGTGAGTCCTTATAACTTTGAGTTAAAGATAAATGTTCCTCCACGATTAATCTTCTACTCATTCTTGATCTCAACATTTGCGACATAAAAGTATCAAGCTCAGATTGGTTGATATCTGTAAGCAAACTCACTTCCAAAGAACCCATCATCAAATGAGCCAAATTGGTTAAATGATCATCTAATAATTTAGAAATGATTATACAAAACTTATCATTTTCTTCTAGTGATCTAATCGAGGGGATCTTTCTAAACGCATTAAACAGATGATAATAACTCTCATAAATATGAGCTAAATGGAAATTATTAACGATCCCAAAGGGTAAAGTCTGTAAATCTCTAATTCTTAATGCCAATCTAATGGGTAGCTCAATTCGAACAAAATTAGCTGAATCAAGAATCTTTTGTTTCGAAAGTTTCTTACCATAACCAGCTAATTGTCTTAATGAAACAGGATGAGGGTCTCGTTGCAGATAATCTAGTAATATTTGATTCTGATAGAAGTGTTGGGGATTTAAGATATTGGAATAACTAGGGAAGGGACCCAAGTTCTGTAAGTGACATGAGATTTCCTTCTTGTTGACGGTTGAAAGAAAATCATCATCAATATAAGAAAAAGAGGTTATACTTTTGTACCTCCTGGTACTCTTAATACAACTTCGAAGCATATCAATATATCATAGCAAAGAAGGAGTAATGAGATCAGATTAAAGTTATATGCATATAAAGCTATCTTACATCGAGTAGGCAGATTGTGTTTGCTTACGTAATAAAGCGACTTCTATCTTTGATTTTGTGTAATGTGTGTTCCTTAATTTCAGTTCTGTTTTCGGTTAATATCATGTGCCAGCCTCTTGTTTACCTTAACTAGCACCTACCCCTGTAGATCAATATCTTTTATTATAATTTGCTTTCGCTTCTTCTGTTTTCTCTTCAACGACTCAAACTTCATCTATGGGTTCCCAGAGTGGGTACTACACTTCTCGGTACTTGAGTGAGAACCGAGATCGATTAGTGAAAGAAGCTAACGCCAAACCACAGCAAACGGCATCAGCATGGCATACTATAGACACTGGAAGGGCATACGACACTTTTGTTGATAATAGCAGTTATAACAGTAGATACGACTATAATAACGACGCTCGAACACCAAGCTCACCTACATATCAAGGGTACGGGTATAGTAACAACTATAACTATAACAACAATAGTAACTCACAAAGCCCATCCTCAAATTATTCCAATAAACTGTTACCTCCAAGACCACCAAACCTGGCACCCAAGACAGTCAAGTTTAGCAGCCAGGAACAAATCCAAACGTATACTCGAGAGCCAAGTATCCAATCGTCGTCGGTACCTTCTGTTCGCAGTCCAGATTATAGAGATCGTCATTTTAACTATAGAACTGGGAGAGTGCGAAACATAAGTGATGATAATCGGTATGGTCTACCTAGTGTGGAGAAAAATAATGATAATAATTATGGGATGCCAAAGGAGATTATACTTGATGTTGAAGATGCAAATGATTTAAAGGCGGAGATAACTCCTCAAGAACTTAGTTTACTACAACAAGGAAACTACGCCAGTGGTGATGCTGCTCCCTTTGCAGTGATCCAATCAGAAAATGATAAATCAAGATACTCTGGGTATTACATGAACCAGAAGAAAAGGTATGATGAATCGCAGTTTATTAAACCGAATCAATATACTCCCAAAACGTTTCGTGAAGTGTTTATTGATGAAACTGCCAATAGTAACAAGTATAACCCTATTGAGGTAGTTTTTGATTCTCCAGAAGAACCTTCCAATGAATCAGTGATGAAAAGAACAACTAGAAATGTTCTGAATATATTCAGAAGCAATAAGAATGATAATAGGAATAATGCTGCTAATTATAAACCAAAACAAGATAGTTCTGCTAAAATTGTGTTTCTAGATGACCCTGATGATTATATTACTGATGAAGAAGATGAAGTGGTACTGGTTGCACCAAAAACTACTGAAGCACCAGTTGTAGCTCCATCTGCAGCACCAGTTTTAGCACCAGTTGAAACTCAGACTGCTTTGGCACCAGCAGCTTCTATTTATTCTGCTGATGCTCTTTCAACAACAAACCCAGTAGTTTCACAGCCCGTGGTAATGCCAACGACTGTATTTGATAATAATGCAGTACAAAAACCATCCAAGACTTCCAAATTCAGAAGAGCCATGAGAGAGAAACTTAGTAGAGCAAAACATGATTTACATCAAGATCATAAGGAATACATGATCCGTCAAGCAATTCTTGAGGATCAATTGGATGATGAAGAAAAGCTCGCAAAAGTACAAGAAGAAGAAGAAAGAATGATCACGGCTGCAATCAGTGATGAAAACGATAAGAGTGATACAAGGTCTATATCATCCGGGAGATCTGTTAGGTCCACGTCTTCTGCCACTTCAGCCAAATCAAATAGGTCAGATAAATCTGCAACATCAGCAAAGTCTCCCAAATCAGCCAAGTCGTCTATGTCTACCAGAACAATCAAGACATCAAAATCAACTTCGTCCAAAGGATCTATGACGAAGCTGAAAGATCTGAAGCTGAAAGATGGAAAGAAAATTGTGGCCGAAAAGGTTTATAAAGCAGGTCCTAATCCCGAATTTTCTCCAGCTTGGAATTATTTGCTTTCCTGGATAACATATGAGCAGCCTAACCTTGTTGAGATCAAGGAAGGCAAGGAAGAAGGCAAGGACAAGGACAAGTGGAAAAAGAAAGAAAAGGTTAAAGAAAAGGATAAAGAAAAGGATAAAATAATTGAAGTGGTGAAGTCTGGTGATAAAGTGATAACTGAAACAAAAGAAACAAAAGAAGAAGAAGAAAGACGAGAACGGTTAACTCACAAAATGGCCAAAGCTATTTTGAAACCCAATGTTCCTTCTCAATATGATTATGATAGTAGGAAACGATATGAAGTGGTACGAAAGAACTTAACTGCCATTGGAAGATATTGGAATGAGCCTGTAAATAGATTTGGTGTAAAGAAAGGTACTATTACACCAAAGGTTAGAAGAAGAAAATCTCAACGGGTTTTAATTGAATATCCTGATGGGACATCTGAAGAATTTGTTATTGATATACCTGAAGGAGTTGAAATGAGTGATGAATATATTACAAAATATTTACAACAATTATCAGCAACTAGAAGTCGTTATGATCCAATTGATACCATGACTCCCTTGAGTATGGGTATGGGTATGAGGGGTGCACAAGTACCAATAGGAGGAGTCATTCCACCTAATGGAGATATAGTCGAACCGATTGTTGACGTTGGAGGAACTCCGGTATTATCTCGAAGTAATTCTTACGGGAGTGTACCTCCATCACCATCTATTAGATCAAGAAAATCATCTTATTCAATCTATAACCCTGACCCAAGGGTTGCTTCCATTAGATCAGGTACTCTGAATGATTCGTATTATTATACGCAACCGTCTTGGTGGCCTCAAATTGGAAGTTTTGGTGGTGGGCCTGCAATGATATTTTCCAACATTGATCAATTAATAAAGTCTGTTAAGCTTTTCCGAGTGGTGTTTTCACCATTAGATGATATTTTAATGTCATTTCCTTTCCCAGCAGTACAAGCACTTGTGGTTTTAGTTGAGTTATTATTTTTGGCATTCATGGCTTATGAGTTGATTATACTTGTTGATAGTGTTTGCATGATCATAAAATCACTATGTTCTCCAATCATAGCCATTGGACTGGTATTGACTACTAGAAAGGAATAAAATAGGTTATAGGTTATACTGCCTCGAGCTTACGTAATAGATTACGTACTCATATCACGTGATTAGTAAATGAAAAAAAATAGTATAAGCTTTTTGATTCCAGTACAACTTGTATTCTACCTTTCTTATTGTGTACATTAAGATGCTTACTAGACGAGTGATTCATAGATCCTTTCGAGGATTGGTCTCTGTGCCCAAGCCCCGGACACCAGAGGAAATGGCTCAAGACAAAGAAGAAGCAGCCAAATTAGCCATGCAATCCATTAAAGATATAGGCAGTATGTTCAGTAATTCTGAAGGTAAAGGAGATGATACAGAACCTATAGACAGTAGACCTATATTCAAAGAGCCTTCTAGGTTTGCAACATTAAGTTTATTACATCAGGGACAAGTACTTAATGAACTTCAACAAATGTATGATAAAGATTGGCATAAGTTGACCTTAGAAGCCAAACAATTGGGGTACTATATTGGGTTTGGGAATTGGGGTTCAAGAGACAAATTTGATAATTGGAATAAACAAGAACCACCATATGATTTGCCGTACCCTACTCCTTCCAAGTTACAAACCAATGATCCTAAACCTCAAACATTAGTTCATCCCATAGATCCACCAGTTAACCTTGCGTTACATCCTATTAGAGTTGATCAGTTCAATCCCAAGAGACTTGACGGGGTGACCAAGTTCTTTATCTATTTGACGTTGGTTGTGGCTGCGATAGCTCTGTATCGTGACAAGTTTATTGGTGAAGCCGGAAGACCATTGGAGATTGTGATTGTGGATCCTTATGAGGAAGAACGAAAGGCTGAACAGGCAAGGGAGCGGATTGAAGAGGACCTCAAAGCCCGTTTGGAATTAGAAAAAAGTAAAAGTCGGAAATGGTATTATCTTTGGATAAAATAACGTAATTAATATTATTGTTACTGCCACTATTATACTTGTATATACCCATAAATTACATCTATACACAGAAATATCATCACCATCTTAATCTTCTTCAATATCATCGTCATCGTCCTCATCGTCATCGTCATCGTCATCGTCATCGTCATCGTCTTCAAGCCAACTATTCTCTACTGTTTCTCTAACTCGCTTTATGTACTGTGATCTGTGGTCCTTGAACAAATTAGCTGCCTCGACATTGGCAGGAGAACTAATGTTAGGATCATTAAGCAAACTCTGAATGGACGTTAAAATACTCGACACGTCATATGTGGGTGACCATTTGTTCTGAAGAATATCTAAACACAACTCTCCCAGAGCATATACATTTGGATGGAACATCTCACTAACAAATTTGGCCAGTGGAGGTTTATTGGGGTACTGTTCATCAAACTGAAGAACAAGGCGGAATGTACCATCTTCAAAGGGAGTATCACCAGGTCCTATAATGACTGCATTCCACGTCATCACGTTATCAGCCAAGGGTGAAGCAGATACTCCACTTGGAGCATCCAGTTGGATCCGCTTTACATTGTTAGTACTAACTGGATGTACGTTGCATTGCTGTACGTTGTACATTGAAGTACGCTGTACATTGTTGTACGCTGTGCATTATAGTTCGCTTAGTACATACCTTGAGATCCCTCATCAATCTCTTCTTAGCAGGAGTAGACATCGTTACTGTTACACTATATGACTGAGCAGTGGGTAAGCCTATGGCTATGGGTGACTCTTTATACTTTTCGTCGTTTGCCACATGGTATATGCAGGAAAGATAACTGTAGCAGAATGACTATGATATGACTACTTTACATGACAAAGAGTTATATTATATCCTGATATATTCAATAAACGCAGTACAAAAGGGTAACCATATATATATATATATATATAAATAGAAAAACAATGATAAAACAAATAACAGTCTTAGTTATTTAAACAAGACTCTTTTTGATTCCACTAAGAAAGTTACCAACCAATCCTTCAATCTTACCTTCAAGTTGTTCAAATTGTTCATTCAAATGAGTTTCATCAGCAACAACTGATCCAGAAGTCGTAGTATCTTCACCCCAGAAAGCAGTCAAATTATGGCCAGCTCCATTGAAAGCCAAAATGTTTGGAGTTCCGTCATCTGGAATATCAGACAACATATTCTTTGAACCAAAATGAATCAAATTCTTCTTCAATTGAGCTGGGGTAACTCCCTTATCAGATGTAAAGAATTCAGATCCAGCTCCAGGCTGTAAGGAAACAAAGTATGATAATAATCCGGCAATATGTGGAGATGCCATAGATGTACCAGATAAGACAGCTGTAGCAGACTCAGATCCAATATAAGTGGATAAAATATTTAAACCAGGAGCAAAAATATCAACACACTTACCATAATTGGAAAAGTATGCTCTAGAATCAGAAATAGTGGAAGCCCCAACAGTAATGGCTAATTCAGCTGCAGCAGGTGAAGTGTTACAAGCATCTTGATTTTCATTACCAGCCGCAACAGCAAAATGAATACCAGCCTTAACTGCTGCATTAACAGCCAAATCTAAAGCTGGAGATTTACCACCACCCAAAGACATGTTAGCAGTGGATCCCTTGAAACCCTTCTTACCTGATTTAACAGCATCTTGATGGGATTTGGCTGCAAATTCAACACCCTTAACAACATCGGACATAGAACCCGAACCATTGGATCTCAAAACCTTAATTGCAACTACATTAGCCTTCTTTGCAACACCATAAGTATCAGAAGCAATGGTACCAGCACAATGAGTACCATGACCATTACCATCAACATCTTCATCACCAGTAGGAATAGTAGCACCCCAGGTGGCTCTACCAGAGAATTCAGTGTGCTTGACATTAATACCAGTATCAATGATATATGAGGTAACACCTTCACCACCTTCAGAATCATACAAATATTGGTTGAATGAGTTCAAAGACAATGGTTCTCTATGAGAAACTCTAGCCAAACCCCAAGGAGCACCCTTTTCAATGTCAAATTCATTAGCACGAACAATTGAATCTTGTTCAACAAATTTAACATTTGGATGTCTTCTAATCATTTCAATAGTGCTTGGTAAAAAGTACCCAGAATAACCAGACATAAAGTTTTCAATATCAAAAACATGTTCAATACCACCTTGAGTACTGATACCTTCAGGCACAATACTCAAGAATTGTTGAACATGAGGAGCAGAATCGTCAGCCAAAGAATTAAAATGTTCCAAAGCAACCCATTCTTGGTGGAACAGCATCTCTTCTTTAGAAGTACCATCCTTGAAAACAATAATGTACTTATGAGGCAACACATCTCTGTTTTCTTGAACGTGTAATGGAACAGAGTTTGGTAACAAGTCAATCTTCAACTTTGCCAACACTTCACCAGCAATACCGTTTGCTTGTTCAGCAATCTCACCAACTTCGGTCTTGAAGATATCAACAACTTGTTCAGCAGATGGAATGACCAAAGCTTGGACACCCAATGCTGTCAAAATAGAAAGAGCAACAGCCTTGCTTAATAACATAATGTAGTTATAGTAGTTTGTAAGGTTAAATTAAAAAGTTCTAAAAGTACTGGTACTTTTTCCAAATAGACTATTGTATAATTATCTATACGTCTATTGAGGTCGTGATAATTAGATTGTAATGTCGTAGATTACAGTCACTAACAATAAGCAAATGTAAACTACAAACTTGATAAAACAGAAAGGAAGAGTGGTTATAAAATTGGAGTGGCGACCGATAACATTTTATACTCCCACAATTTCCTTAACTTCCCCCCCTCAGTCTCCCTAACTATGGCTCTTGTTCTGTACACTACCTTACGTTCCAATTGGAGTTCCCGGGCCAGCCCCCGCGTACGGAGACACTCAAAGTGGACGCCACTATTAAAAGAACGGTCGTGCGAGTGCAACTGATAAGGTCATGTCATACATTTGATGACGAAGCAGAGCACAGTGAACAGAGCACAGTGAACAGAGTACAGTGAGCAAAGTACAGTGAACAGAACACAATACTTAATAGTATGAGCTTATAAGCATAAATTCAAGAATACAACAGTCTACCTGAGTACGTATGTATGTCTTACGTATGCCTTGCATGTCTATGTATTCATGTATTTCTGTATATCTATATGAGTGCTTTGGGTACTAATCTATCTATATTTGTTGGGGGTGTATGCCATTTTCTTATCGTCACGTGATCTTCGCTCCCGATAAGAAATGATCATCCTCGGTGAGTTTTACACGAACACCATGAAGTCTGAGCCACATTCGAATATCTTCTTCATTACTACTGCATTCATTAGCGGCTTTATAGATGATCTCCATGTCGTATTCACATTCGGATATAAGCATTTCAATCAATACCTTTTTCATCAGAACTGTCTGACTAACACAGAACCAAAAAGTATTGCAGCTCTCCTGTTGGTGTAGAGCTTTGTTTATAGGTAATACAGGAACATTGATATTGGTTAATAAATTTTGAACCATCTCTAATTTCTCCTTCATGGTCATCTTTCCAATTGAACCGTTCTTCTGTGCTGTCAAACAATACTCATTATCACACCACAGGTTACCACAACCTCGTGAAAGTTGCATTACATATCTTCTCTCGATCCGACCTTGAAGTTTGATCTTTGTAGGGTCATCTTGAGTCATATACAAAGGTCCATAGCAAACCCCACAAAGCTTAAGCTCATTGAGATTATGAATATCAAGTAATTTCATGCAATTAACATTGCAGCATTTGAGGAAGTTACTTTTATGCAATGATACCTTTTCCTTCTTCTCTAGTTCGTGCATACCAAGATGTTTGGGTAAATCTTTCAATCGCAACACTTGATTGCAAAGGTAGCATTCGGTAGTTCTATTACCACAAGTATTCTCATGGTTAGTTAAGTTCTCAAATCTATCTTTATAAGTAGTTTCACCTTGAGGTAGTACAAGATGACAAAACTTACATTCATGTAACTTCAACTGACAAACAGTAGCTTTATGGGTAGTTACCATTTCAATAAAGTTTTTAAACTGAGTACCACAACATTGATAAATATGGTGGTCCAATCGTTCATGCTTGAACCTCATAAGTTGTCCATTTCCATATGTATCATCATCATGAGGACAATGCCAATGAGTCAGAGGAATCTCTTTAAGAAATGTCTGTCCACAAATACATTTCTTGATATTTCTTAGACAGAAAGCCTCGTGTAGACTGAACTTTGATTTGGCAATGTATTTCATACAATTGTAGCATTGCTTAGTATCTACTGAAGAATTATTTCCTGGTGATGGTTTTGCGTCTTCATTGTCTTGTATTATCGATAAGACAACTGATGTTGGTTTTTCCCAACAAAAGGGAACCAAATAAATATACTTATCAAGAATTGTATCATCTTCATTGCTTTTCTTTGCCAATTTATTCTTTATCAAATCACTGTTTAAATCAACAGCAATCTGCTTGGACTTGACGTCCTCTTTACCTTGAAGATCAAAGTCGTCCTTCATCGTAGTATACGAAAAGTCTTCCAACCCAACAAAACGATCCAATCCACATACTAAATCAATATTTACCAAAGACTCAAACAGATCATCACTCGTTTCCAAATTATGTAATGCAACAACAATAGGGTTATCACCTTTAAATTTGGTGATATCAAGTTTGAAAACTCTTGCTTTCTCTGGTACATTTCCCAATAAAGGCTTCAAATTGTCCACCACTATTGAAGAACTGCTGGAAATTTCTACTTCAGCCTCTTCTTGTTTATTAAACTCCAATTGTTGAGCAGCAGTCATATTATCCAAAGGTACAACTTCTAATACGACATCAGTGTCCACAATGGAACACACCTTTGCATTCATCTTCTCCACAGTTAACTCTATCCTTAAGCCATTATGCTCTATAAATAAGACTTCACCTTCTGTTAAAATCGTATAACTTTTCACTAACTTATCTTCGAGGAAGAACTTCCAATTGGGTACTTCACTATAAAAGTATCGAGGTTTAAGCTTTAGCAGTGTACATTTGGGTATACTCTCCATCAATTCTATGCTTATAGTATCGTCATCTTCATCGTCATCACTAATCTGCAACTTATCATATATCGTTCGTGGTAAGCCAATGGTATCTTCATCCAGGGTAAACTCCCTAACACCAATATATGTAGTCTTGGTCTTAGTCAAATTGTCCAGTGATGGACTTATAGCCTTAAATATAAGGGGTCGGGGAAGCGTATCATACGTATCCACAATTTTAGAAAGTATGGAGGAAGGTAAAAGGGCTTTATCAGAATATGAAGGTAGTGATTTTGCTTCTTGAGGTTGAAGGTGAAAAGTTAATGGCATCTTAGGTAATGTACAATGAGCAAGACCCAAATAAAAGACTTGCTTGATTCTTTTTCTTGTTGCTTCAGCTTCTTTTTCTGTTTCCGTGTGTATGTATCTGTTTTTCTATTGTAATAAGAAGGCTTCCGTTTAACTGGTGGCAACTTACTAATATGGAGTAGACTAAATCTGACATTATACGAAAACATCCTTTTGGTAGCGCGGTTTTGGGGTTATATGTTTTGACCACCTATACCCATTTAAGTTCATAAGTATTCTAAGCATCTATTCTATTATTAATTAGTATATACTCATCATTCATCGTCATCATCATCTTCTTCTTCTACTACTTCTTCTTGTTGTTCTTCTTCACCACTTGAAGTTTCTTCCTCCAGAGTCGAAAATTCATCATCAAGTTTCATTGAGTCTTCTTCTTCTTCACTACCAGAATCAATAGCAGCATTCACGTGCTCAAGATGAACATCATAGCCCTGAGTATGCAAGAATGATTTAAATTCATCGGCAGTTTCCAATGGTAAACTGCAAAAGATTACTGATGTTTCTGCCGAGAACATAGGTGCAAAATATTTCTTCAACGCATACCGAACATCATCAGCAGTCAACTGGTTCATACGTTGTAAGAATGTCTTAACATAGTGAGGTCCTCTCTTACGGAAGATGTTATCTGAAATCTTTGAAGTGGCAGCTTCATAACTATTGGACTCCCCATTTGCCATTTCATTGACAAGTGAAGCAATAGCATTCTCGATTATCATGGGACTAATTTCAGCCTTGCCATCAATGTGCTCGTCAATTATCTGCTTAGCAACATTAATAGCTTGTTCTGGAGCGGAACCACGATAAATGATAAAACTCAAAAACCCAGTATCAACATTTCTCCGAATCAGGGCTCCATATGCTAAACCTGTTCCACGAATTCCTCTCCAGAAGGGACCTTCCACAGCCGTTAAAATGGCATTGGCTAAAGAAATCTTAAACATATCTTCGTGCAAGTAATCTGTTGGAATGCGGACTGATGTTACAAAATGTGTAGACTCGGTACCAGGGATCACAATTAACGATGCATCCTTAGAACACTTTTTACCTACTTCGGAAAGGAACATATGAGAGTGTGGTAGTTCATCAATGGATTGAGCCTTAATGGCTGCATCGCAGCCCTTTAAAGCATTATAAAATGGAACCCATGATGAAACCGGGTTTTTAATGTTAGTTATTCCTCCAACAATGAATAACTTTAAGTTATCTAAATTGAATAATTGATCTCTCAATTTATTGAGATCAGCTTCAACGTCACTGTAATTCCCTTGTTCGATTTTCTCCAATAAATCTTTGTAAAATGTATCGGTATTTATGAAATCTTGCGCCTTTCTAATAGAACCATCATTGAACAATGTTCTACCCTCTGCTGAATACATCATGAGCTCTCCACTTCTTTTTTTCTCGGGTGTAGAATTGATGATCTTTTCAATTATAACTTTGATTCTAGATTGTTCAAACACAGAATATTTCAAGACATTTAATAACCATTTGATTCCCTTTTGGTAATTAACACAAGACAATTTGATTCTAATGTTCAACAATTCTAGAAATTGACTTTCAAATCCATTTTCAACTTGGAACTCAATCAAATCATCATTAATTTGAAATACAACTTCTTCATAAGGGATGAATTGTCCATCAGGGAGTCTGATGGAAAGTGAAAAGATCTCTTCCATAATCGACAAATATTTCAATAATTGAGGCTCAACACCAGTAGATGAAGTAACAACGTTAATGGAAATAAACTCAGATCTGTACTCTTCAAAGTGGAAGAATAATGGGAAATTCTCAGGTGTATCCTTTTTGATGAGTTTACTCAAAGCATCATCTTCAACATATGTTGTTTCAATGGTATTAAGACCAGCTTTATATGATTTTGTGTCAATGAAAGCTATTTTAGAAGGATCTGGCTTACCGAAATTGGTTATGACAGAATCTGGAATGGGTTTATCATTCTTCTCTTGTGCAAGTCTTAATTTTTCACCCAATTTAGCTAAACCTTCTTTTCCATACTTCTTCTTGGTTTCCTTCATCAAGTGTTTATGCTGACGCCTCATTTCTTCTTCCAATGAAGCGGAAGGACGAGCAAGTATTGTTGCTGAATGGTTGTCCACAAATTGTTCCTTAATTACCTGACTCCATTGTTCAGCTGTCCAGGAAGCCAACTTGTCGTACTCATTCAAGTCCTTACTCCATTTAGCCAAGTCTGAACCGTCTGTATTACCATATATAAACTCTGAAATGGCAATGTTGGAGAAGGTTTGAGGAGACTTTTCAGTTTGAGAAACAAATTTCAACTTTTGCTGCTTCAATACTTGTGCCATATATTTTAGATCAAAATTCTTTGGGTCGATTTGACTCTTGATCAACTCTTTTAATTTCTGATCTACGAACTCTAACTTTTCGGTGGGGACACCACTAACACTGAAGTTAAGAGCTGTTCTCATGTAATCGTCTGTACTGTAGTCTATTTCTGTAGCCAACGGGTTCTCTATTTCCACAAGGGCCTTGTTAAACAATGAAATAGGACTATCTGTGAAATATGACCCAATGGAATCAACTGCTGTATTCATCAAGACATCCTTAGAATCAGGACCAATCCAAGCTATATAGAACTCGGCTATAGATTCATCCGTATCTGGGAATGTAATGCTTTTGACAATAGTCTCCTTTAAAGGTTCATCCAAAGGTGAATCAACAAACGGACGTTTTGCACGGCTTGTTTCAGGAAGCAGATCCAAGGTCTTATCAAAGTCACTCATCACTTGTAATAATTCCTCTTCATCAATTGAACCTGTGATTATGACACAGAGGTTATCAGGACGGTACATGACTTTATGAAAGTGTCTTATTTGATCATTAGTCAAGTTTCTCAAGTTTACAAGCATCCCCCCAGTTTCAGATGAATAACCTGATTCAGGAGCATATAAGGTTTTCTGAAGCTCTGCATACGCCTTGAACCAAGACTCATTTTCAATGCCTTGGATCTCACTAAACACTACACCCTTTTCATGGCCCTTTCCATCGATATGGTAGACTTCTGTGAGACAAGCTTCTTCGGTCAATGTAGGATAAAGCAAGTGCTCAAGATAAATGGGCAACAATATACGGAACCCCTCCCAGCCAGCAGTGGTCAAGGTATACACTGTTTGGTCAACCCCTGTCCAGGCATTGGTAGATGAGAACATCCGGTTCCCCAAGTTATCTAAAAGGCCTTTGTAGGGGAACGTCTTTGACCCCATGAAAATCAAATGCTCTAACGTATGGGGACAACCTGAATCATCTGCGATCTCAGTAGCCACTGCGAAATATCCACTTACTATGGGCGATGGTTGATTAACATATGTGAGTTGTAAGCCAGTTCTTGAGGATCTCCATTTGGTCACATGTGCAGGAGAGTAATCAACAGCAAAGGATGTTTGCTTGACGAAATGAGATGACATTATTGAGTGGCTTCTTCTTCTTATTCCAGCAAGATGATGCCTTCGAGTCAAATATCGTAACAGAAAAATGGTTCTGAGATTAAGAGAGTGACAGCAGTTATTGGGGTTTGGGTAGTAATAATGGTAATGATGGTATCAGCCAATGGAAGTGGTGTGGTGATGATGATGAACCCCAAACAACAACCTTTTTAGTTGGTGGAAATAACTTTCATCAACTACTTAAGGTGGTGATATTTCAAGACCTTATAGTATCGCCAGTGTGAAAATTTTCACGAACACGAACTTGTTTTTTGTGGCATTGAAGGGAAGCTGTGAAGGTGGACACGATCTGGGGATTGCAACTTTGCTTATGTTACTTGATGAGCATTGGATAGACTACCTTACACAGGTAGAATGAGATGGTGATAGATATATGAAGGCGATTAACGATGCAAACAAAGTTCATACGCCTGTTTGCATCAATGGTCAGCTACCGCTATTGCAGCCAAGATCCTAGTGGAACACACAAGGTCGTACAAAAGAAAAATTCTACTTCGTCTAGGACTATATAGTAATAGATTGAACTTTAGCTCAGATGCATAGTGGTACGTATAGAGATCACACTATCATGTATATGGCTAGATCATGTGATTGACGAAATACGTGATAACATAGATAGTAGTGTATTGACAATACAAACGTTACTTGTATACGCCATAATTTACTCTTCACTAACAAACAAGCTGTGCTTTAGGTAGCATAAGGTAGTAGTTAACGCCTACAGGATTCATTAATATGTACCATACACTATAGTACAACAACATCTACTCCACACTACTGGAACAAATACAGGAGTAACATCAAACAAGTAGAATCTTAAAGTATGCTTAGCGGTGTTAGGGAGTAAAGATATATCTGGTTAAGATCTAAAGCAAAGTTCTAGCCCTTCTATTTGACTACGTAATAACTTTTGCTTCTTTTGGTACTGACCGTTTGCTTTATATTGGATGGACAAGTTATAGAGCAACGTATGGTGATTAACGGAAAGGTCGAAACCGTTATCGCACAATACAATTGTTTTCGAGTGTGTATTGGTTTCCAAGTTGTACCTCTTGTCGCTTATTACCGCTTTGGACAATACTACTTTTGAACCAAATTAAGGAGGATAAGTAACCGGAATAGCATGTATGATATAGCTACAACTTTAAGTTAGCAGATCTGGGGAATACGCTACGACTCAGTACGAGATTCATAGTGAGAGAATGGGATGTATTCAATCGTAACTCCCGATAAGAAACCTATTGATTAAACCTATTTATAGCATTAAAGAGATCTCGTAGATCGATCTCCGTTTAACGGAATGGGATAACGGTTTAGGAAACTTTGAATTGATGATATCTCCATATCATTATCCTATCATAAGGTACAACCTAATCGCATTATCAACAAACTCAGGCCATCTTATCTTTCCGTACGGCTCCAAGATAAGGGAAAACAATTTTGAAGGATACCGACGTCCGAGTTGGCGAGCGTGGGGGGTCGCGGACCCACTTCCTATAAAAGGGTTAACGAATGTTCCTGTGACTTTATCCCTGTGATCGTGAGGAAATATGCCACTAACATTTAAAGAGTCGTCCATTGACGACTTTTCGCACTGCTCTCTATTTAGTTTGTTTCCCCACAATTCGAATCATCGCGATAACGACCGATAAGCCAATTGTACTGCTAAACTTACCTGCTACCACAAAAATAGTGTCCCTAATAGTTAAGTATGACCGTAAGTCAAGGATACAAGGAAATAGCCCAACAGAAATTGGCTGAAAGAGATGCAAAATTCTTTCCTGAATGGTTAGTACCTGAAGATGATCTCCCAAGTACTGACTTGATGGATGTCACGGGTTGGCTCGCTGATACCAAATACTTACTGGATTTGGAGAAGGAAATTACTACTTCTGATGCACCAACTATTGTTTCCAACATTAGGAACCGCAAGTGGACTTGTTTGGAAGTGACGAAAGCTTTCTGTCATCGTTCTTCTATTGCTCATCAATTGGTTAATTGTCTCACGGAGATTTTCTATGATGAAGCAATTGCTCGAGCAGAAGAATTGGATAAGTTCCAAGAAGAAACAGGTACCACATTGGGTCCGTTCCATGGATTGCCCATTTCTTTGAAGGATAATTTTAATGTTAACGGCCATGCATCTACTGTTGGTATTGTCAAATATAGTTTTGAAAAGATGACAGAAGATGCTGTATTAGTTGGTTTGTTGAGAGAACAAGGTGCCATATTCTACGTCAAGACCAACGTTCCTGTTGCAATGATGATGCCTGAATCAACCAACCATATTTGGGGTACGACAGTTAATCCATTGAACCGTAATTTGAGTGCTGGTGGCTCTTCTGGGGGTGAAGCCGCTTTATTGGCCTTACATGGACTGCCTTTAGGATTGGGTACTGATATTGGTGGTAGTATTCGAATTCCTGCTTCTTTCCAAAACTTGTTCGCTTTGAAGCCTACCTTGGGTCGTTTCCCAACTTATGGTTGCAGAGCTGGTTTACCTGGACTTGAACTGGTTAGTAGTATCAATGGACCAATGACTACTAGTTTGACTACATTGGATTACTATTGTAAGAACATTTTGACCCTTGAACCTTGGTACCACGATCCTAACTCGGTCGCGTTGCCATGGCGTACAGTCGACGTTCCAGGAAAGCTCAACATTGCAATTTTGGAAGATGATCTCGTTGTACGTCCCACACCACCAATCCGTCGTGGGTTAAAAATTGTTCGCGACGCTTTAACTGAAGCGGGCCACACTGTCATCGATTGGGTCCCAGAAGATCATTTACGATTATCGCAAATCATTACAGCTTTCTTCCTCAGTGATGGTGGAGATCATGTTTTGAAGGAAACTCGCGCTACAGGTGAAGCACTCTTTCCATATATGAAAATGTATGGCCAATGTAAAGACTTGCCTACTCTGGAATTAAGGGCTCTACACGTTGAACGTACCGCGTTAGCCAAAAAGTTTTTGGATCGGTGGCGTGCAACTAAAAACGTTACTGGGAATGGACGTCCTATAGATGTGATTATTGCCCCCACAACACCATTCCCTGGTTCTGTAGTGGGCAAATTTGGAAATCATGTTGGATATACCAGTCCCTTCAATGCGTTAAACTTTTCAGTAGGAATCTTGCCCGTTACTCGTGCGCACCAGGATTTGGATCCAGCCGATGCGGAACCCGCAGGCCACAACGAAGGAGATATCCAAACATGGGCCGATTACAATTCTACGGAATCACACGGAGGTGCAGTAGCACTTCAGGTGGTGGGTCAAAAGTTTGAGGAAGAAAAGGTGGTTGAGATAATGAAGGTAATCTCAGAGCTTATAGATAAGAAGCAGACGTAAATGGTTTCCTTTTTAAGAAGGTGTATCTTTATCGTGGGGGTTCCCAAATCTGAGGCTTAAAGTCGACTTGGAGTTGGGAAGCCGCATGCGGTTTTGTTCCATTTACATTAGGGCGACTTTTTTTCTTTAGTAATAGACAGTAGTGATAGTGATTCACCAGTGTTTGTAACAACAAAGTGACTATTGTATCTTAATAGCATGCGACTAATCTGATAACGATATTATTTCAGCCTAAATAAGCAGCGTTTCTCGGATCCCGGACAATTGAGTAAAGTTTTCTCTCATTTTATATATAAGTGCGGTGCCATCCATCTGAATCAAGACCATCATTTTAATAATAATACTAATAATCAATTGTCAACTTTATTAAACACTTGCTTATTATTGCTTGGGAATATAATCAGAAGAACTGTTTTACTCCGTCGAATACTTGTTTAATATTTACAAACACTTTGTCTACGTTATCTGCTGGGTGTATTTTGTCTTCGTTCTATTATGATCGTTTCTGCTGCGAAAAAGGTAAGGAACCTCGTTTGGGGTGTACCACCAGAAGATCCTAAGGAGAGAGCATTATTAATGAAGATCGACTGGTTCGTCTTATCATTTGCTTGTCTCTTATATTGGGTCAATTATCTTGATCGGTTGAACTTCACTAATGCCTATGTTCTGGGTATGCAAGAAGCTATTGGGATGAAGGCAGATGATTTCAATGTTGCCAATACTTGTTTCACCGTTGGTTATATTGTGTTTATGATCCCCCATAATCTTGTGATTATGAAGATTAGACCAAGCTATTGGTTATCTTTCTGTTGTTTTGCCTGGGGGTTATTGACCTTGGGGACCTACAAGGTGTCTCATGTTTATCAAGTGTTTGTGATTCGTTTCTTCATGGGTATCTTTGAAGGTGCCACGTTCATTGCTATCCACTATATCTTAGGTTCTTGGTATAAAGACTATGAACTTACAAAGAGATCGGCGGTTTTCACTTGTTCTGGTTTGGTGGGAAGTATCTTCTCCTCAACCATGCAACTGGCAATTTACACTAATATGGATATGACCCATGGAATTGAAGGTTGGAGATGGTTGTTTATCATTGACTTTTGTATTACCATCCCAATTGCATTGTATGGGTTCTTTTGTTTCCCAGATACTCCAGAAACTTGTAAGGCCCTTGTGTTCTCAGTGGAAGATCTTGAATTGGCTAAATCCAGAATCAAAAATAAAGAAGAAATCACTCGTTTCGATTGGTCCATTCTTAAACGGGTGATTACCAATTGGAAATGGTTTGCCTTTTCCTTTTTATGGGTTTTGGGTGGTGAAAATGAAAGTTTCTGTTCCAATGCCTTACTTGCTTTATGGTTGAAATACTTTAAGTATACTGTCCCTCAAAGAAATCATTATCCAATGGGTGTTTATGCTATTGGTATTGTTTCTACGTTTGGAGCGGCCCTTTATGTTGATGCAACGGGGGCTCGTTACCATTATAGAGTTGGTCTATTCATTGGTATATGCATGATTGTATCTGCCATCTTATTGGTCTCAGGTCCTTTGAATAAGCATGTCTTTTTTGCAGCTCAATATTTGGCTGGTGTTTCGTTCGCAGGCCAGGCTTCGTTCTTTGCCTATGCTAATGTGCTTTGTAAAGACGATAGAGAATTGAGAGGCATTGTCATTGCTTCTATGAACATGTTCAGTAATGCAGTGAATGCTTGGTGGTCTCTTTTGTTTTATGCAGCAGATGATGCTCCAAAGTGGACTAAAGGTGCTATTGCTATGTTCTGTACTGCTCCTGTCAGTATGATTGTCATTGTGTTTATCAGATTCATGCAAAAGAGAGAAGAATCTAAGGGTCCCACTACAGTGGACCCTGAATCAGAGGCTGATTCTGCTTCCGATACTAAAAATCCTGCTACTATTAAAGTTCATCCTGTTGAAAGTAAATCTTCATAAGAAAACACAAATAGTTAATCTTTAACCTTAATCTATGTTCTATCATATTACACTCTATCCCTTCTATCCTTTACTTGGTGTCTTCTTTGTCTTAATTGATATCTTCTTTGCTCTCACTTGATGTCTTCTTCTGCCTCTTCAAATAGCTTGAACATCTTATTGACATCGTTCTTCATACTCAATGTAAGACTAACAAGGTCTTCGTCAGATCTATTGAACATAATGCAATTGGCAAACATTAAGATGATATCTCGTTCCAATTGTTTGATCTCACTATATGTTGGAGGATCCTGCTTCAGCTTGATCGACTTAAGAATGTTCTTCAAGTCCTTGGGCTCGTAGATGACATCATTGTAGTCTGGAGCATCCTTCTTACTAACAGGATGAAGGAAAGGTGAAGAGAACCGATGTTCCAGAATACTATTGATTAGGTTTACAGCAATGTTCTGGAATCTCTTACGTTGTGATGCTGCATTGGAAGGTGATCTGGATCTCTTTCTAAGTGTCTGCAAACGTTGTTGTCCTTCAACATCAGAATTCTCCTCTGAATCATCTTCTACTTCTTCTTGTTTCATAATTGGCTCCTCCGAAGTTCCCCCACTTACACTGACAGAAGCTTCACCATGTGATGAGAATTCAACTTGGTCTTCGCTATGGTTACCATCTACTTTTTGAATACCCTCTTCGTTTTGGTTACCCTGGTCTCGCTTACTAGACTCTTCATTCTCATCTTTGAAACTTAGACTTTCATTCACATTCTGAGATGCATTATCTGCTTCAAGTATTTCCTCCTTATCCAATTTGATCTCAGACTTATTATGCTCCTTCTGTTCATTGATTTCGACTTCTTTCTGAATATCGACATGACCGTCATCGATAACTTCTTCTTTTTTCTCGTCTTCTTCTCCAATCTCCACCACTTCTTCATCTTCGCGTTCATTATATTTATCTCTTTGAATTTCTTTAATCACATCCCCTTCCAGCTGTATCTTATTTGCTTTTATTTTCTCTCCTTCATTGTCTTCTTTATCTTCCTCTTCTTTATCTTCCTCTTCTTTATCTTCCTCTTCTTTATCTTCCTCTTCAACCTCTTCCTCTTCAACCTCTTCCTCTTCAACCTCTTCCACTTCAACCGCTTTCTCTTCAACCTCTTCCTCTTTAACCTCTTCCTCTTCAACCTCTTCCTCTTCCTCTTCAACATCTTCCTCTTTAACCTCTTCTGTTTCCTCATCGGTGTTCTTGGTCACATGAGTTTCTTCAACTTTCTCTCGCCCTCTTTCTTCTTTCTCGCTTTCAGAGTGTTCTTCCTTTTCTTCATCTTCTACCTCTACCTCTTCGTCGTCCTTCTCCTTCTCCTCCTTTTCCTGCTCTGCTTCTAGTTCTTCTGGTTCGGCCATTTGCGAGTCTTCTTCATCATCTTTGTTCTCTTTTATATTTGTTTCCTCACCAATGCTTTCACACTCTTGGGAACTGGAAAGATCTACAATATTATGCACATTATGGTCAATAGTCGCTTCTTTGTCAACTTGCTCGCTATCATTTTGATCCAGGGACCCATATTGATGTACAGAGTCTTTAACAGAAGAAGATTTACCTTCTTCAACGTTGGAAGAATCATCTTCAGTATCTTTTGTCTTCACCATTTTCTCGAAATTATGATCCTCTAGATCTCCAATAGCATCCTCTTGGCTTTCTTTAGTGTTGACAACAGGGGAATTTCTTTCCGATTCAACATTATCATTCTTCTTCATTTCAGTGTTCTTCACATTCTCGTTCTTGTTGTCTGGGGAAACATCTTCCATTTCAATATCGTCACCAATCTGATTAACCCCTTCGGAGTCATCTGGTGCAGACTTGGGTTCTTGTTCCTCGGTTGATTGTTCTTCTGGGATAACGTCAAGTTTGTCCAGTCTCACTTCTAATGTATGAGTAGGAGTCTCTTGGATCGTAGTAATATCTGAAGTCTCATTCTCTGTAGGTCCATCGGTACTTTCAGCTCCCGGGTCTTGATCCAATGCAAGCTTCTCTTGATGATATATATGCAGCAAGTCATTGATATATTTAACCAATATCTGGGAATACTGTTGTGTAGACGTTAGGACTATATCGTTGATCCACTTCTCGTAGGCTCCTGGAACGATTTCCACTATTAAGTTGTTATTGATGATGGTTACAAATTTAGAAAACCGGGCATCTGTGGTGATCAGTCCCACTATGCGATTGATGCTTATGTCTTCTGCTTTTGAAGGGAAGTGACGGGGTCGATGATTGGTCACGTATTGTGCTGCTATATGATGGAAAGTTTTGAGGAATTCGGTGATACCAATATGTAATTTAGAAGACGTTATCTCTTTACTATGAGCTTTTAATAATCTATTGAGCGTAGAAGCTACAAACAACGCAAGAAGCTCACGCCCTCCTTCGTCATTCTTGTCTGTCATAGCTTGGTCTGATGGAGTGTTTTTGTATGAGTAGTGGGTGTAGAGGTTGTTGATATCAAGTGTATGTTTATACGGTAGGTGCGAACTTTTCAGTCTAACGCAGTAAATTACAGTACAGCAGCGTACTACACATACACTGTTTCATGGTAACAATTACAGTCAATAATACGCTCAAATACCATAGAATTAAATATATACAAAACACCTGCGGTCACGAGCGACCCTATATATACGTAGAAGAATGTTTGGAGTGTTTCCAAACATCAAATAAATCCTTCAATCCAACTTAACGACCTTGAAAGTTGTTCTGCAACATAGCATTTTGTTCTTGGTATCTTTGACCAATTCTTTCACTGTGCTTCAAGAACTTTTCGGAACACTTCATCAAACATGCTGACTCCTTATTGGTCAAACTGGCAGAGGTGAAGTCATTAACACAATCATCAAAACATCTGGCAACCAAGTTACTGTACAAACGCATGAAATCCTTCATTTGCTTTTGTTCCACAATTTGTTGGAACTCTTGTTGTTCCTTAACGTTTAATTGTTCCATCTTTGTATATAGGGGGTTTATTGGTTCCTCACTAAGATTAGAGCTGCTCAAGCAATACTAACACTTCTTTGCCTTCAAAAAAATTTTCGTCCCTCGCCGTTACAGAACTTGGGGCTGTTTGTGCAGGAAAAGTTGATCCTCAATTTTGGTGTTGGTGATAATCTAATGTAGTCAAAATATTTACAAGATCTATTGCTATTTACAGTGTTAATAATTTTAACAGTCACACGTTAGTGGGGATCTGGGAAATGGAATAATATCCTTAATATTCTCTACTGCTCCAAGATATGCAATAAGCCTTTCAAACCCCATTCCAAATCCTCCATGAGGCACGCTGCCATTCTCCCGTGTACTCAAGTACCATTGCATGTCGTTAACGTTCATTCCCCTCGATGTCATTGCAGCCACAAGCTCGTCGTAACGATGCTCTCTTAAAGATCCACCTATAAGTTCACCAATTTCAGGGAATATGAGATCAAAACATGCCACTGTAGGTTTCTCGCGATCGAAGTTCTTAGATTTAGGCATGTAAAATGGCTTTTCTCCCACGGGATAATCCGTTATAAATATTGGTGATCTGAAATATTCTCCAGCTAACCATTTTTCATGTACTGTTTGAATCGATTCACCCCAACTCAAGCGATTCTGAGGTTCATCTTTGTACATGACTAAGTTTATAAGTTCACATGCATCATTATAAGTGATGGAGGGCCATTTTTTATCGCTAAGAATGGTTGCCCATCTATTCTGCATTGCTTCGACTTCTTCCTTATCGAATCGAGATGACATAATATCTGTTGCAGCATTCGATGAGACAATCTTTTCAGTCACAGACCGTATCATATCTTCACAGAAGTCTGTCAATTGTGAAACATCGTCTACGTAACAAATTTCAGCTTCAAGCATCCAAAACTCACTTAAATGACGGTTGGTATTGGAATTCTCGGCTCTGAAACACGGAGTTAATGTCCAAACTCGATTGAGAGATAAAGCTAGCACCTCAAGATGAAGCTGTGTAGATACTGTAAGAAACGTTGGCCTGCCAAAGAAACCTTGTTTATGATGAATTTCCGAATGACCTTTTGGTGGTGCTTCGATTTTAAACATATCACCAGCTCCTTCACAATCGGAGCTTGTGATTATTGGTGGTGAAACCTTGCAAAAGCCCTTCTCCTCATAGTATTCAATGAAACGACTCTCGACAAATGAACGGAATCGTAAAACACTGGAAAGCAAATTGGTACGGTGTCTAAGCGTGGGTTGAGTTCTTAAGAATTGTAAGGAATGCGATTTCTTTTGCATTGGGTATGAATCAGGAACATCACCAATAACAGAAATACTTGAAGGGTCTGTTGTGGTGCATTTTAATTCAATAGTTTGTTCATTTCCTTTAGACAAAGCCCATTGACCATTAACATGAATACTTTGACCCACTCTAAGATCTAGTTTGGGATCGTCTGCGTTCTTCTTTATTACTACCAGCAACAGATTTGGGCTTGAGCCGTCACTAATGTCAACAAATTGAATTGACTTCATTTGACGGACTGATTTCACATGACCAGAAACAGCACCTTGGGATCCTGGCTCCAAAGTACGATTGAGCCATTGCTTTATGGTAGGGGTTAACGATGGAGAAACATGATTCTTGAAATGGCTCATGGTAGAAAGCCACCGTTGGGAAATGGTTGTTTTTCCATTCATACCGCGTAGCATGACGAAGACTTGATCCTTCTGGCAGCAGTAGTAGTTGCTTCTGGATGTCAAAATGAATCATACCTTAAAGACTATTGAAAAGTCGTGTGTTTACCACTTATGGTTCGGTGTCTTCATGATGGAGCCAATTGCACCTATTAAAGTATAACTTTCCCACTATAGGTATAATATGACATAGCTTAGTTTGACTGAAATAGGCTAACTATAAATATAATTCATTGGGTCATGAATGTTCTACAATTGAAAGTCTAGACTCGACATTTGTTCGATAACGATAACGTTAAACCTTTACAGTCTCTGTTCATCATAAGTATATTCTGTACTGTTGAAAATGGTTATATCGTAACATCACTTGACTGCTGTTATTGACTACTGTTATTGACAGCTTTAAGCTTTAAAGGCTATCAAATCACGTAGAAGATTGCCTATAGTGGCCTTATCCGTTATGAGATCTCCATTCCGTATTATGTGCAGTATAATATAAACTCATGCATCTACATATATATAAGCCATGTGCCAATATTATTTTAACTTATATGTTTTTCTTCTTTGCTGTTCAGTATGTACTCTCATCACTCCCATAGTGGAGACTACGTGTCGCACGCGGTTGACCACTTAGAAGAGATCGTCAATGAGGCAGACCAAATGGGGTTCAAAGGGTTCTGTCTAACTGAACATATGCCCAGATTGCACCATGAGTTTTTATACCCTGAAGAAACAGATAAGGCCTACACCACAAAGTCGTTGGTTGATGCATTTCAAGAGTATACAAGCCATGCTAAACGAATCCGGAATCGGTATAACTCTAAAGATAACGGAATGAACATATTGGTGGGGTTCGAAGTAGAGGGCATTGATTTAGAGCATATAATGTATGCCAAAGAGCTCTTTGAAAGTGGCAACTATGATATGGTGGTTGGCTCTGTACATCATGTCAATGGGGTACCTATAGATTATACTACCGAGATTTGGAATGAAGCAGTGGCCAAAACTCACAATCAAACAGTCCGTCAATTGTATAGTGATTACTTTGAACTTCAGTATACGATGATATCAACACTACACCCCCTGGTTATAGGACATTTTGATTTGATCTCATTATTCATGCCTCTAGATGATATCGACCCGACTACAAATAAGAAGTTGGCTGACGTACATATCGAATCTGATTGGCCAGATGTATGGACTAAGATAGAACGGAACATACAGGCCGTTACGGAATACGGAGGACTTTTTGAATTGAATTCTGCGGCTGTTAGGAAAGGTTGGGCTACTCCTTATCCCCGAGAACCTATAGCCAGAGCCATTGTGAGCCACGGAGGTCGTTTCTGTCTCTCGGATGATTGTCATGCCATTAAACAAGTGGGTATGAACTTTCACGTGACTTGGAAGTATGTTAGAGATATCTTGAAGTTATCTTCAATATACCATTTACAAATTGATTCACTGGGGAAAGTAAGTGTCCTAGAAGATAGCGTTAGCGACTTGGACCAATCAGAGTTCTGGAAACAATACCAATAGACTTGTTTTGTACGTTAATTCATAATAACTTGCACTTATAAAATTACAGTATAAATTAGAAGAAATCCAAATCTAATAAGATCTACCAAACATACAGTAAGTGGTAGCATCCTTGTCACACTTAACACACTTTTGACCAGACTTCAAGGCAGGTTGTTCAAATGGAATACACAAGGACTTAGCACCCATAGATGGAGCCTTTTCATCAACTTGTTCATCTTCACCATTGTTCTTCTTAGCAGAGGAGTCCTTGATATCGTCTTCACAATCAGCATCACCACACCATGGAGCAACAATGACATTCTTGGAGTTCAAGGTTGGAACAAAGTCTTTCCATTCATGAACAAAGACTCTATGTTCATCAAAGTCCTTTCTAGCCTTATCTAACAAACCCTTTTGCATATCGTCCAAGATTTCAGGAATCTTGGTTTCCAACTCAGCCAACTTGACAGTAATCTTCTCACCGTTGTCTCTTCTAACAGCAGTAACTTGTTCAGAAGCCAAATCCTTTGGACCGAATTCCAATCTGAAGGGAGTACCCTTCAATTCCCAATCGGCAAACTTGAAACCAGGAGTGTAAATATCTCTGAAATCTCCAACAGCTCTTACCTCAGAATCCACTAATCTCTTGAGGATTTCAGCAGCACCATCGTTGATAGCCTTCTTTTGGTCTTCAGAAGTCTTAGAGGTAATACCAACAGGAATAACCACAACTTGGTTTTGAGCAACTCTTGGAGGTAAAACCAAACCCTTGTTATCAGAGTGGGTCATGATCATAACACCAATGACACGGGTAGATAAACCCCAAGAGTTTTGATAAGCAAAGCATCTTTCCTTATCAGCACCTTCTGGGTTTTCAACTGAAATGTTAAACATTTTGGAGAAGTTTTGGCCCAAATGATGAGAAGTAGCACCTTGAATACCTCTACCAGTAGCAGCAATAAAACCTTCACAAGTGGTTGTGTAATCACCACCAGCAAACTTTTCATTTTCAGTCTTCTTACCCTTAATAACTGGAACAGCTAATAATTCTTCATAGATACCAGCATACAAATCTAAGATATCACGAACTTCCTTTTCGGCTTCGGCCTTTTCCAAAAAGGCAGTGTGACCTTCTTGCCATAAGAATTCTCTAGTTCTTAAAAATGGCTGAGGATGTTTGAATTCCCATCTGACAACAGAGTTCCATTGGTTCAATTTCAATGGAAAATCTCTGTGAGATCTAATCCATTTGGAATAGTAAGGGTACATGACGGTTTCAGAAGTTGGTCTAATGGCAATTTCTTCTTCTAGTTGAGAGTTACCAGCCTTAGTAACCCAAGCGACTTCAGGAGCAAAACCTTCAATGTGGTCCTTTTCCTTGTTCAAAACCTTGGCAGAAACAAACATAGGGAAGTATGAGTTCTTGACACCCAACTTCTTAATCCTAGCATTGAACCAATCTTGGATAGTTTCCCAAACTGTATAAGAGTTCGGTCTCAAAATATAGCAACCAGAAACATCGTAGTAATCTAACATTTCACCCTTGGTAACAACTTGAGTGTACCAAGTAGAAAAGTCCTTGCTCTTATCGACCGTAACACCGACTAATTTAGCATCGTCCAACTTGGAAGCTTCCTTTTCCTTCTTGAGAGCTTCCTTCTTTGAAGTAGCAGCGGCATTAGCATTGGCAGATGGAGTAGCAGCAGCACTGGCTTGTAGAGCAAAGTCGACTTCGATAAGCTCAATGTCAGTGCCCTTGAGGAATGCATTAATGTTCTTAGCAGAAACAGCTACTTTAGCAGAATCAGAAGAAATTTCAAACACATCTTCATCCTTAGCATCAACAATGGCCTTATCAATTATAATCTTGACCTTTCCAGCTTGTTTCTTGTCCAAGTTAGCAATGGTGAATTCCTTAGCGGAGGTAGCAAAGAATTCTTGAACCAAGTCATCCTTAGCCAATCTAGGTTCCTTAACTGCCGCAGCCTTAGCAATAACACCAGATGGAGTTTGGGTTTCCTTTAATGCAAAAACAATAACTGGAACTGGTTCAGCAGTCTTTGCAGTCTTTGGCTTGAAAACCAAACTCTTGGTAGGAATGGCCTTCTCGTTGGTCTCTGCTAATGATAACAAAGCTAATGATTGTTCCAATGCCATGGTGGTCTATGTTCTATTTCTACTATTAACCAAACGATATTGACCGGTTTCAGCCGTACGTGTATCGGAAGTACTTTTATACGGGACTAATAGCTTAATGCACCAAATAAGTAAGTAGACGTCACTCTTCTTTTCGTCACAGACTTATGATAAAGATAGGTGAAAATTTGGAATGGCATGTCCGGGTAACAGTCGCTTAGATCTTTTACCTTTGTCTTGCGCTACCAGGTTATTTACAAGATCTACCAGGTATCGTGTAACTTTTCTGTACCCATAAATACGCAGTTGTATGCGTAATTATGAGTCCTGTTCAAAGTATGACTCAAAATTTTTCAACTAGGCAGGACTAAAATAAAGCATAGATAGTCGAGAATAAAGTTTCTTGTTCTTATCTACACTATATCTATACTATAACTATACTATACTATACTATACTTAAGATATTCATATTGTAAGATGAGTAAAGTATACGTTAACGAAAAGACCGGAGCGGACTCTGCCAGTGCTGCGGGTTCCGAGGAACAGCCATTCCAAACTCCAGCTTATGCCTTATTTGTGCAACCTGAAGCTACTGTTTTGGTTTTCAAGCAATTGGAAGATTCTGAAGAATTTGGATACGTGGAGATTTCTGCTTCTGCATTAAAGAAAGCCAAGAAAGGTGCTGAATCTTTAAAGAAGAAACAAGAGAAACAAGCCCTTTTGGATGCTCAAAAGCAACAAAAGGAAGCTGAAGCCGCTAAGAAATTGGCTGAATTGGATTTGATTGAAATCAACGAAGATGCATCTTTACCTGCAGCTGTTCCAATTAAAGTTAGAAACGTGCAAGATCATTTGGAAACCAGAGTTGTTGTTCAAGGTTGGGTTCATAGATTTAGATTGCAAAAGGGATTGGCTTTCCTTACTATTAGAGATGGTTCTGGTCTTATCCAAGCTGTTTTGTCCGGTGATTTGGCCAAATGGAAGGTTACCCAACAGTTAACATTGGAATCAACTATTGCTATCAAGGGTATGGTTCACAAGTTACCAGAAGGTAAGACTGCTCCAGGGGGAGTTGAGTTACAAGCTGACTTTTACCAAGTAATTGGTTTGGCCCCAGCTGGTGATGACTCCATTACTAACAAGGTTCCAAGTGATGCGTCTCCTTCATTGTTGATGGATAACCGTCATTTAGCATTGAGAGGTGATGCTTTGTCTGCCGTTATGAAAGTTAGAGCTGCTTTGTTGAAGTCTGTTAGAAGATTCTTTGATGAAGAGAACTTAACCGAAGTTACTCCACCTTGTATGGTTCAAACTCAAGTTGAAGGTGGATCAACTTTGTTCAAGATGAGTTACTATGGTGAAGATGCTTTCTTGACTCAATCTTCCCAATTATATTTGGAAACATGTTTACCTTCTTTGGGTGATGTCTACTGTATCCAAGAATCTTTCCGTGCTGAACAATCTCATACTAGAAGACACTTGTCCGAGTACACTCATATTGAATCCGAATTGGCGTTTATCAGTTTCGATGACATGTTGAACCATTTGGAACGTCTTTTGACCAAGTCTGTTGAATATGTGTTGGCTGACCCCATTGCTGGTCCTTTGGTTAAACAATTGAACCCCAACTTTGTTGCTCCTAAGCAACCATTCAAGAGAATGGAGTACATCCAAGCATTAGAATGGTTGAACGAACACGAAATTCCTAACGAAGAAGGTGAAAAGTTCAAGTTTGGTGATGATATTGCTGAAGCTGCTGAAAGAAGAATGGTCGACACAATTGGTGTTCCAATCTTTTTGATCCGTTTCCCAGCTGAAATTAAATCTTTCTACATGAAACGTTGTAAAGATGATCCTCGTGTTACCGAATCTGTTGATGTTTTGATGCCTAACGTTGGTGAAATTGTTGGTGGTTCTATGAGAATGGAGGATTATGATGAATTAATGACATCAATGAAGAAGGAAGGTTTAGACCCTACTCCTTACTACTGGTTCCTTGACTTGAGAAAGTATGGTACTTGCCCTCATGGTGGTTACGGTTTAGGTACTGAACGTATTTTGGCATGGTTGTGTGACAGATTCACCGTTAGAGACTGTTCTTTGTACCCCAGATTTACCGGAAGATGTAAGCCATGATTTCATTTGTGTACAATATTCCTTCCTGTAACTATAGATGTTAATATATACTTAAGGTGGTACAATAGAAGAAGCCATTTGACTAAACACAAGAGTAATTTTAGTTTGCCTTAGGCCATCGCATCTTATTTCATCTCATCTCATCTCATCTCATTTCAATTTAAGTCATTTCAAGTTTACTCATCTCAAATTTGCTCATCTCAAGTCGACTCAGCTTCTGTTTTTTAATGTTATCTGTTTCCTCAGATGCTCTTGCAAAGAGTTTAATGGGTAACTCGTCAACTTACCTGCCGTTTCCATGGAAGGTGGTATCGCCGAATAAGACTGACTCATGTCCCAATCGGGAATGAAAAATTTTGCTAAGCGCGGTGTGAAATCTTATAAATTGGGCATGTATCCACCCAACGTTGATTAATGACGCACCTTTCTTTTATTAGAGTTTTTACCTTTACTACACTTATACAGTATAAATATGTCTACTGAAAAGCCAGCAGAAAGCAAGTTATGGGGTGGTCGTTTCACCGGTGCCACTGATCCATTGATGGACTTATACAACGCTTCGTTACCTTATGATAAGGTTATGTATGATGCTGACTTGACTGGAACCAAAGTTTACACTCAAGGTTTACAAAAAATTGGATTGCTTACTGAGAGTGAGTTAGAATCCATTCATGATGGTTTAGAGAGAATCAGAGCTGAATGGGAGTCTGGTCAGTTTGTTGAGAAGCCAGGTGATGAAGACATCCACACTGCTAATGAAAGGCGTTTGGGTGAATTAATTGGTAAACATATTGCTGGGAAAGTTCATACTGGTAGATCTAGAAATGATCAAGTGGCTACGGACATGAGAATATATGTTAGAGAAGCATTAGAAAAGTTGAGTGGGTTCTTAAAGACATTCATTACCACTATTATTGTTCGAGCTGAAACTGAAATTGATGTTTTAATGCCCGGTTATACTCACTTGCAAAGAGCTCAACCAATCAGATGGTCTCATTGGTTGTCGTCCTATGCTACTTATTTCACCGAAGACTACAACAGATTACAAGAAATCTTGGCCAGAATTAATAAGAGTCCTTTAGGTGCTGGTGCTTTGGCTGGTCATCCTTATGGTATTGATAGAGAATTTTTGGCTCAAGGCTTAGGTTTCTCTGCTCCAATTGGTAATTCTCTTACTGCTGTTAGTGATCGTGATTTTGTTGTTGAAACATTGTTCTGGTCTACTTTACTTATGAACCACATCTCTCGTTTCTCTGAAGATTTGATTATTTATTCAACTGCAGAGTTTGGATTTGTTCAATGTGCTGATGCTTACCTGACTGGTTCATCATTGATGCCCCAGAAGAAGAATCCAGATTCTTTAGAATTATTACGTGGTAAATCTGGTAGAGTTTTCGGTTCTTTAGCAGGATTTATCATGTCCCTTAAATCTATTCCTTCAACTTACAATAAGGATATGCAAGAAGATAAAGAACCCTTATTTGATGCCTTGACAACTGTTGAACATTCTATTTTGATTGCCACAGGTGTTATTTCCACTTTGAAAATTAATAAGGAACGTATGGAAGGTGCTTTAACCATGGATATGCTTGCTACTGATTTGGCTGATTATTTGGTTAGAAAGGGAGTTCCATTCAGAGAAACTCACCATATTTCTGGTGATTGTGTCAAGAGTGCCGAAGACTTGAAGTTGAGTGGTATTGATCAATTAACTTTGCAACAATTCCAACAAATTGATTCTAGATTTGGTGAAGATGTTAAAGATGTATTTGATTTTGAAGCCAGTGTAGAAAGAAGGAATGCCACTGGTGGTACTGCACGTTCGGCTGTTTTGAAACAATTAAATGCTTTAAAAAACTCTTTATAATATTACATATATTTCCTTATATACACAACTATAATAATTCTTCTTAACTATAATAGTCTAAAACCAAAACCCAACCATCTCTATAAAGAATTAAAGTCACGTGACCGTCTACACACGATTCCCACTAACCACACAAAAAATTACTGTACTGTCCCTTAGCTCAACTCAACTCCATTCCACATATGTGAACCAATAATCTTACCTTGTGCTATACTTCTTCAAAAGTTCAACGGAAGTAGGCGGGAAAAGAGGAACAAAGCTGTACTGTATCCCTGATTTACTGCTCGTAGAAATCCAACCCGTTGAAGGCTGTGTACTGGCAGCACTAAGTTTCCGCTCGTAGGCTTGCTCCGTGCGAGTGACATCATCCAAATCAATTTTAGGGTAAGAAGAGTCCGAACTCTTCAGTGTATAATCTCTAGAGACTTTTATAAAGAGCGGATCAAGATCAACAGATCCACGCCTTTTATGTTCGCAAGCACTTTCTCTGGGATTTTTGAATGTAAAATCGTTAAACATAGTGTTGTGAAGTCTATATTGTAATGTAATTGTAATGTAGTGCTAGGAAAGAAACGTCTATAAATAATAACAACAGTAACAATAATATGGCATTTACTGATGCAGTGATCTAAACTTTAAATAAAAGTATTTAAATTTTTGACATCAACAAGTGTATTTATATATAGTCATTTTGATACTTTGTGGGTTACTGCGTGTCCATGTATTATTCCTTTTTCCTACTGCTTGGTTGCTTTTCTCTTCTGTGTCAACGCCCCTCGAGACCATTAATTCGGTAGTTAGACTTTTCCTCCTGAACTACGATACCCCCGCTTACTTAGATGTATGTTTTATGTTTTTGTGGATGACAAAATGGCTCAATAGCTCTCGAAGGTCCATTGTCTGGGCCATGTCCACAGGCCAAGACAATCATGCACAATGACTTAAAATGTTTAGAAGAGTACGAACTAAGTCCACTTAAGATAAGACATACAATTTAGTGGGGGACAAACAATAAAGGGAAGAGCAGTAATCAATAGAACAAAAGAAGTAAATGACACAGGATGGAGCTAATAATGTGGTAAACCGCTGTTACATTACACTAAATTGAACGTACTTTAATCAAAACATACGAGAATATCAAGCGGCGGAGGGTATTAAAGTGTGTGAAAACTACTATTCTACTTTCTCTCCACACTGACCAAAAGTTCTAAAACTGGAACATTATTCAGGGAGCTTTGTGACCTATACTTTGGTCATGCGTGACTACTCAGTGCTACTTATCTGCAAGTTCACATTTAGTTGCATTAGATGGAATGCTGTACAAAGTTCATCTTCAGAACAAACAATTGTAAATTAAAATCATCTGCTGATATTCAATCGTACATTATCATCAACATGATCTTTAGCTCTTCTTCAAAGAAAAACTGTTTCTGTATTGCTTTAAATTTAGTTCAGTTATATTTCCATTCGCTAAACTCCCAACCATTTTGCTCCTGAAGATTACCTCATCTTGATGGGGTAAGATTATTATTATTATTATTATAAAGCATTACTTCTTTTGTTGTTGTTAAGCACACATTTTGTAGTAGTGCCGTAATTGAAAAATGTCTTCCTATTGTCCTATGCACTGTCCTTAACACAATGTGGTTAACCTTCCCTTCCCTGCAAAAGAAATAATCTTAACTTGTAATTCATAACGGTCGAAGGACTGGACCAGTCTCTAATTGGCTTATGTAAGCATATTTTTCAACCTTTGTGGTTTGTTTCAGTTTTGTGTGTAATTTGCAGCTTTTGATATACTTCCTTCTCTCTACTAACTAAACGGTGCTTTGATATTCACTCTATTAAGCTGCTGCCATCACTATAATCTAGAAGTCGTATTATTATACTTTTAAGTTATAAAGCAAGCATCGAGGTCACTTTGAAATTAGACCTGTCACTTCAGTATCTCTTACTAATAAAGTTTCAAAAGCCTTTGTGGTACCACCCCATAATGAACTTCTCCCTGCAAGAAGCACGTCAGTTGCAACCAACCAATCTGTTGATGACGACTATGGAATTAAGTCGGAATGTTGAAAAATCCATTGAATCATTCATGCAGCCTTCGTCCATCAGACTCACTCCTCAAGAATTGTCAAATTTTGTCAATTCAATCTTGAAAGTAGGTGTATGTGACCTGTCATTTTTGACTGATCTAACTCCTCATTTGATCAATTGGATTATCTATATTAAGCAAGCTTATCCTGATCTCACTAAAGATGATCCTTGTGTAATGTCTCAGTTGATTTTACTTCTTCAAACCATCTTCTCTACTCCTGTTGCAGCTTCTGTTGTCATTAAAGAAATCAGAAAGGGTGCGTTTGCCTCCAAAAATCATGTCACTGCTCCTTTATCGAAAACAGCAATTCCTGGTACTCCCTCTAGTAAATCCACTACTTCAAGTATTGAAACTGCAACCTCTAAAGGTACCAGTAGTGTCACTAGGTCTTGCTCAGCTTATGGTTCCCTTATTGGCCTGGACTCTTTTTTGGTCTCGAATGACCTAATACGTCAAGTGGTCTTTTTGGACAGTGCTATCAACTATAAAATTGGGTTTGGATTTGACACTTTCCTTCACTACGTTTCAGATGTTGTTTGCGCCGCTTTAGAGGCACTAGACCTCTTAAGGTCAATGAGAACAGAAATTTCCAACCAAAGAGTTATTGAAACGCCTGATTCTGTCAAGGCACTCTACTTGCTATCAGATTCTCTTCGTTACGGTAGTTTCTTTGGCTGTATGGCCTTAGCAACATACAATGATGCTCCAGATTTATTGCGCTTTGTAACAAAGTCAAACCATACCGGATTACCTTATTGGGATAGTTTTGTTTGCAACATAATACGGATAGGGAATTCCAAATCAGTTTATGCCTGTATCAAAGAAACAACAAGTATCTCTCAGACCCAGAACTTGAGGTTTTCAAACTGCTTCCTCTTACAATTTCTTGATCATGAACCTGAGTTTGAGCTTGTATTTTCAAAGTGCATTCCCACATTGATGCTCCTTGCTGTACGTACTGTACATGAGGCAACTCCAGAAACTCGTAATTTGTATCAAGCATTTAATGAAGCTCGATCAAAATTATCAGTTAACTCCTTCTGCTGCATGTTGAATTATGCTGTCTGTAATAATGTGATGCGAACTTTGAAAAGTAATCTTCCATCCGTTATTGTTTCTGAATTTTCAGGGTTCAAGTTACCTCCTTTAGCTAAATGGGATTATACTTTTAGTGAAGAATCTTTCATTTTGGAGGGTGACGACGCCAAGCAAGTTAACATGCGAAGCCTTTTTGAGCTATTGGTTATTAATTTGGACACATTTATGGCAACTATGGAACGGGAGCTTATTGTGTTATCATCATTTGAAGTGGATTCACTGAAATTTCTTCTCGAGAAGTTAATTCAAGCTAAACTTACAACGTGTATGCATTCTTTGGCCGCAGCATTGCTTTTACTAAACGTTTTCAAAGATTCCGAACCAAAATTCTTGCACCAGGTACTTGAGCAAAAAGTTTACCAAGCGTTCTGGTTTCTATTAAGCTTACCAACTTCAAATCCTGAATTGGTATGGTTGCTGCTTATGAACTTGGTCAATGATATTTGTAAAGATGATTTAAAGTATACTCGTCTTTTCGAGAATTTACTTATCTCTTTGGTGAAGAAAGATAACGGAATTTTGAAGACTAATTCCATCATATCCTTATTAAGTAGGTTTGCAACTACCTTTGCATGCCACTTACTTCTTTCAAACCTTGGAATCTCAAGCTTCAATACTAACCATATGGACTTGGTAGTTCCTCAATCCGAGGTCGCAAGATTACTTGGAATTCAGAAATCTTTACCTTCTCAAGTTCCCTGTAAACGAGCCCATTAGATTCGGGATTATTATCAGTTTTCCTTAAACACTTGTCAAGTGTAACTTTAGGACGAGTGCGTTACTTGAAGAAGTTTATTCTCTGTAAGGGGTTATTTTAATACGCTTGATTTAGGAACTCGCGTTTGGTGACACAAAGTCGGAAATAATTAAGATGCTCATCTCTGAAATTTTTAAAGTCAAGTTCAAGCCTTCTGCTACAATATAAAGGTTGATTAAACGAGTAGATAAAAGATGGTGTTAAAGTCACTGTCAGCTGGTGGTGTTTCAGTGTATCAAGTTGCTGGAGCCAATGTTTCCAGATCGTTACCTGATTGGATAGCGAAAAAGAGAAAGCGTGCTTTAAAGCTTGACTTGGAGTATCAGAATCGTATTGAATTAATTCAAGATTTTGAATTCAGTGAAGCTTCCAATAAGGTTAAAGTAACTCCTGATGGACAGTATGCCATGGCCACAGGTACTTATAAACCTCAAATACATGTGTACGATTTTGCTAACTTATCTTTAAAGTTTGATAGACATACTGATACAGAGAATGTGGATTTTGTTATACTTTCTGATGACTGGACTAAATCTATACACTTGCAAAATGACAGATCTATTGAGTTTCAAACTAAAGGTGGGATTCATTATAAAACTAGAGTTCCCAAGTTTGGGAGGTCCATTGCATATGATCCAGTCAAATGTGATTTCTTGGTAGGTGCTTCAGGCAATGAAATATACAGACTTAATTTGGACCAGGGCCGGTTCCTTAATCCCTATGTGTTGGATACTTCACAGGGTGTTAACTCAGTTGGTATAAATTCAGTACATGGATTAGTTTCTGCTGGTTTAGAAGATGGTACAGTGGAATTTTGGGATCCAAGAAGTAGGCAAAGAGCAGCTAAGTTATTCATTAATGATCAACTTGGAGAATCTCTTCTGGTCACGGCTACAGCTTTCCGTAATGATGGGTTAAATTTTGCTTGTGGGACACTGACTGGGATGTCACTTTTATTTGATTTAAGAAACTCTGTACCTTATTCTGTTAGAGATCAAGGATATGGTTTTGATATCAAAAAGATCATATGGTTAGATGAAAATGCTTCAGATAGTGATAAAATCTTAACTTCAGATAAAAGAATTGCCAAAATATGGGATAGGAATGATGGTAAATTATTTGCATCTATGGAACCTAGTGTTGACATTAATGATGTTGAATATATTAAGGATTCTGGTATGTTCTTCATGGCTAATGAAGGAATGCCCATGCATACTTATTATATTCCTAACTTGGGTCCTTCGCCAAAATGGTGTTCATTCTTGGATAATGTCACTGAAGAGTTGGAAGAGAAACCTTCAGACTCAGTTTATTCGAATTACAGATTTATTACTCGAGACGAAGTTACCAAGTTGAATTTGTCACACTTGATAGGTTCCAAGGTTTTACGATCTTATATGCATGGTTTCTTTGTTGATACCGAATTGTACGAGAAGGTTAACTTGATTTCCAATCCTGATTCATACAGAGACCAAAGAGAAAGAGAAATTAGAAAGAAGATTGAACAAGAAAGAGAATCAAGAATCAGAACCACAGGGGCTATCACCAACACTAAAATTAAGGTTAATGAAGGATTGGCAAGCAAATTACAACAGAAACAAGGTACTGAAGCTGCTGAATCTGTTATTAATGATGATCGTTTCAAGGCATTATTTGAAAATCCTGATTTCGCAGTGGATGAAGAGTCTCATGAATATAAGCAATTGAATCCAGTTAAATCAGAAAAGGATGTGGAAGTAAATAGATCTCGTGGATTAACCGCTGCTGAGGAATCAGACGAAGAAAAGGCTCGTGGAAGTAACAGTGACAGCGAAAGTGAAAGTGAAAGTGAGGAAGATGACGATGACGACGATAATGATGAAGAAGAAGAAGAAGCCAAGGCTTTGACTAAACAAAAGGTTCAAAAAGAAATGGAAAGGTTGAAACGTAAGAAGGAACAAGATTTAGCAGCCTCTAGGTTTATGAACGAATTAAAGGTTCTGTCCGATGCCACTACAGAAGCCAAATCTAATCAAACATTTGGTACGCAAGTGAAGAAACAAAATAGAATCTCTAAGAACAGACCACTCAATGATGTACGTGTTCGTCGTCATGCAAAGGGAGAGGTTGAGATGACTTTTGTTCCTCTGGATAAACCTGAACCAAAGAAGAGGGTAGCATTTGAAGACCAAGAAAAGGGAGATGACGCAGGCTTGCGAGGCAGAACTAAGCAACGGTTTGAAGGTCGTAGAAGGGCATCTAAGAACACATTCAGGGGTATGTAGTAAATACAGATTAACATATAATGAACTTAAAGTACATCCTCGTTGAAGCAATGAGATGAGCATATTTAAAGTCACGTTTGTTATCACGTGATTGTGTCGATAAAGATAAAAGTGAATAAAGAAGCACACATCTTTAAAGGACATTTCTCTTACTTTAAAATTTATAACAGATGTCTAGGAATCTGGAGAAATCCCAATCGGAACTCCATCGGTTTCAACATCAAAAGAATCTTGAGGCTGGAGTTCTTGAAAGCAATCCCAAGCTTCGGCCTAAGAATGTCAAATCAGTTTCGAATTTAGCGCAAGCTGAACGATGGAGAACCGTTATCATGGGAGAGATCTCTCAAAGACTCACAAGGATCCAGGATCCAACTGCAAGTGACGAGACACTTCGGGAGCTTAACAATGAGTTGGCTCAGTTCTTCAAGGAAAAGAGATCTTGGGAGTATCATATCAAAGAACTAGGAGGTATTGATCATTTGGCACAACGAGATAGTATTAAGGGACAGATGGCCAACGGGATACGGTACTATGGAAGGGCACGGGAGCTTCCAGAAGTTCAACAACTTCTTAAGGCCCAGAAGGAGGAACGAGATCTTCAACTCAAACAACAGCAAGGGAAGCTGAAACGTGCAATGCAAATTAATGAACGACGGTTGAAGATTACTGAAGACTACTATGGGTTGAACGAGCCTAGTGCGAATGAGGAAATGGTTGAAGATGAAGATGATCAAGGGAGGACCCTTAATCAGAAGTATAAATTACATGCATTGAAACAAAGCAGACGAATAGGTTTAATTGGATACGAACGAAGAAGAACTAAAAGATTAATGGGAGAACGAAATATATAGAGTATTTTATTCTCTTGTGAACAAAGGATCATCATAAGCTATTTGCTTAACCCCAGCATCCTTATAAAGTTTATCGGTGTCAGCTTCCTTTTCAGGATAAACACTTTTGGTACACAGTTTAATGACATAAGTATTGAATCCAGCAGCAGCACAATCGACAGCAGAATTAAGTACACAGAAATCATATGCTAGTCCAACAAACACAACATCTGTAATATTTAATTCCTTTAAATAGTCTTCCATTTCCGTCTTATGTAACTTCCAACAGTCTTGGAAACAAGAGTAGTATTCTCTATCCTTTAAATACCCCTTCTGGACGATTTTCTTTGGAACATCTTGGGTTGTATTGAATAAAGTGAGGAAGGACTCTTCAAGGGTTGCACCATATGATTCTTGAACACAATGATCTGGCCAGACGTATTGAGTCATTGTCTTGCTGTTATCGTTTAAGGGATGCTTGAACTCCAATTGAGTGTAGGGTGGTACTCCATGCTGAGATGCAAATGAGCAATGATCAGCTGGATGCCAATCTTGAGTAGCTATAATGGCCAGCCATTTGTATTTCCTCGCATCTACTAATCTGTTAATACTGGTGATGATATCTCTACCATGGGGTACTGCTAGGGAGCCTTTATCTGGAAGGAAATCTTCCTGAAGATCCACAACTACCAATGCGACTTTAGTCATGATAATAATAGGCGTATGTTTAGTTTGTAATAGTGAGGGTTCATTGGGGTGGGTTTAAATGGTGATTCTTTACTCCACGCTATTATATGCTACAGTGGTAGTGTAATGTCCTCAAGATATCAGGTCACTTTAAGGTTATGTGTGATGGTGTGTGGTAGAATTTCGGAGAGGTCGCATAGACCTGTATTTCGTACAATTGGGTAGGTTAATGTCTAAATGTGACAATAAATCATTAACGTCCAAGAATATACAGTACTTTTCAAGAAAAATTTACTATAACTACAATATGATGATATAACCAAGTATTGTAACAGTTCAGTAATGATATTAAAATAGTGCAAGATATCACTAAAGAAATGGCAGTGATGTTTCAGATTATAAATTTGAATAGAACCGTCAGCTTTTTTCTTTTGAGAGGTATAATATATTCGTATGGGAAACTGCCTAGATCTAGATAATACTATAGAACACCCTAAAGCCCAAGAGAATACTGCTGGCATGATATCCTACTCACCAGATGTAAGAGAGGTCAGCCTTCTGCTTTGGTAGGAAAGGAATTGAAAGCCATCTAACATTTATACGTATAATTTGGTAGCGCCATTTGATGGTATTGAGTGAGTTGACAACATGGTTTGTCCAACTAACATTATTGGTTGCTACTGGTATAAATAATTTCTACTTCAGTTATAACAATCTGCAGCATTACATATATTAAGCATATTTTTCTACTTCCTAAAGAACGTTGACATTTAATTATACCATTGACTCAGTCCCTCTTCTTGGACGCAATTTTGCAACCAGTTTTTGATTAAGTAATGTAGGGCTCATATATGGGATAACCCAGTACTTCATAGGTATTAATTCAGAAATCATATACAAACAAATTGAGACACAAGTGATCTGAATAGAGCCGATCTATGTTACCAAATTACTCGTTTCTTTTTCATTTGCAATGTATAGAAACATGCCACTACTAAAGAAGCCCTGTATTACGTAACGACGTGCCAATACATGTATGAATAGGTCAAGTTTTGAAATCGGACTTCTAACGGGACGACTAACAGGGTTAGTATCAACCACTTTAGTAATTGTTGAAGGGCCAGCAGACTGCTCACAAGTGAAGCAATCTGAATTGAAATACTTGACTTGGCGCTTGCCTTATTGTTACCTCCAGAGTAACGGTCACGAGAAGGGTCACTGGACATACGTAGGTATAATCTAAATTAACACAAAAAAACCTATTTTATTTTCTTGGTGGACTAACTAAGAATGAATCGGTATAATTAAAAGAAAAGAAAAGAGAAGGTATAACTATGACTAGGATATCTGTGTCAAAAGACGTAACTTTTAAGCAGTTAAACAGTCTTTTTATGAAAGATACCATATAACTCCTGGGAGACTAGAACGTTTATTTCAAGTTGTTTTAACAAACAGACACTTTACTTACTCATAGAAAATCCGATATAGTGTAACGGCTAGCACGGTTCGCTTTCACCGAGCAGACCCGGGTTCGACTCCCGGTATCGGAATCTTCTTTTTTTTTGAGAAGATAGAAAAATACATCACGTGACTAGTTTATTGGTCTTTACACGAGTCCAAATAATTGGAAGCATACTGTAACAATTTTTCTTTTTGAACTTACATATAAAAGCTTCGTACATAAACGTTAACAATTCCTTTCGTTTTTTCTTTTTCATTAATCTTGTGACAACGATGTCCAAAAAGCTTGGATCATCATACGTGGTTTATATGGGACTGATTCCCTTTGATTGGGATGATGCTGTAATCAAATCTGTTGTATGTGGAACTGGCAGTGTAGTTGACGTCAGACTTGGATTTGACTACGTAGGGAAGAACAAAGGATTTTGCTTTATTGAGTATATATCTCAGTCGGACGCGTCAAGAGCTATGCTGTTATTGGAGCAGATGAAGATTGTAAATCCTCAGACCAATCAGATCAAGAAGATACGAGTTGAACTCTCTAAAGAATCATTAAAGGTGAATCAAGATAATGACTTTAAACAACCTTTGATGCTTACGTTTAATAATTTACCAGATAACGTAATATTAGCTCGGGAACAATATGTCAATGGCCCCCCCTTACCTTCTACAAATATGGGGCTCAACAATACTACTACCACTACTAATCCCAATCTGTTTCTTCCTAATATTCCACCTCAACTTCCTCCAGTTCCTCAGTACGGATATAACAATGGATACAGTAACAATAATAACAATAATATTAATAATATTAACAGTAATAATAATCACAATAATAATATTAACAATAATAAGAACAATATTAATGTCATAAATAATAAATTGAATAATTCAACTCAACCACAGTCCAATTCCAATACTTTAGGCCCGGAATTTACCAATGCATCACAACGACTTCCTCCTCAACCTGAAACGTTACCGTTTGACGTTCTGGGTAACATTAATAAGACCCTTAGTCAAATTCCACCGGTACTGTTGATTGAATTCATTTCTAATTTGAAAAATACTCTCAATGGACCCAATGCTGGACAAGCAGTCAATGTGCTTCAGCTTTCGCCCAACTTGGCTTCTTCCACGGCCCAAGCATTGTTGCTTATGGGGTTTATAGATGAACAAGTGATCAATGAAGCTGTTACCAATGTTCAAAACCCAAGATCTGCATCTCATACTCCAGTACCACTTCCTCAGAATATCTTACCACCACCACCTCCACCACCTCAACAACAGCAGCAAGGTTATGGTGGATACTCCATTCCTGGTTCCAATAATTATGGAGCTACGGTGCCTAATTATCCTCCACCACCAACAGCGGTTAATCTTAATCCTAATTGGGCCCATTTTTCACATTCTACGCAATCGAAGTTGGCAGCATTACCATCAAATGAAGCAGACGTTATTGTTCAAGTCTTGAATCTTCCTGCGGATCAAATTAGTTTATTACCAGCGGAACAGCAGGGAATATTCACCAATATCAGGGCCCAGTATCTTGGATAAAATGAGCATGTACATACAGTATCATATCAATAACAGTACCATATATAAACGTATCATATTATTGTTTTAATAGCTTAAAGTATATCCGGTCGTTGACACCTGCCATTTTGGGAACCTATAAGATCGCATTAGACTATAAAAATTTGTTCCATAATACTGGCCACGCTTTCTCACACACTTTCTTCCACAACATATACCGTAGACTGTGGTCGTGTTGAAGTCCGCTATATATATTGTGTTTAGTCCTTACATTCTTACTGGTTGTTAAGTATTGGCACTGCAGTCAAACCACATTGCAGTTAGTCTCATTCAGTCAGTCGCACTGTCATATTATACTCAGACCGATCCAGTCAGTCCCGGTTGATCCCACTCAAACTCATTCAGTCACGCCAACTTGAGATGGATCCCAGCGCTAATCCCTTTAGTGGGTTCCCCAATATCTTTGGCGGTGGCCAACAGCTTGAAGGAGCCGCTGTGTTTGACATCAACTTGGATTCATTGGACGACCTGAACCAAAACAATATCTTGAGAGATCTTGTTGATACTGCTCTTACCAACTCCGGAATGAGGCCACGGAAAAAGGTTGCTAGTGCCGAGGCCATTGCTAGTTTGAAGGAAGTCAACAGCGAAGATGTTGAAGCCAATGAATGTCCCATTTGTTATGAGAAGTATGAGTTTAGTGATTCACAGAATCGAAAGAGTGACCAGGAAACATCTTCTCCGGAGTCGACTCCAGAATCTTTTGCTGCCACAGAACAAGATTTCTATTTGTGCTTTTCCAAAGCTGTGGATAAAGATGGTACCTTGCCAGTTCCTTACATGGAAAGTCGTCAACAGAAGTTGAAGTTTAATGATCCTTCACTCTTCTTCCCCGGTGATGAATGTAGTTCGATCTACTTTCGATTCCCCCAAAGAAACTTAGCTACTTTAGAGAACACTACCATGGAAGATATGTTTCCCCGATTCAAGACAGGCGATGATCAAGAATCAAAGAAGATGAAGAAAAATCCCGACGGCCATGTGGCTGTTCGGATGCCCAACTGTCAACATATATTTGGCAGAAGTTGTATTGTAGAATGGCTTAATGGGAATGTCAGCTGTCCGTTGTGTCGGAAGGAGGTTGAGATTGCAAAGAACAACAGCCTTCTCAACAGAAGAGAAGACGTGAGAGAGAGAATGTTCCCTTCTAGCTCAAGAGAAGTTGATAATAACGAGGTAATTGATTACATTACAAACCATACATCTGATATTTTCCGTCCTTTAAGAAGACCTCACATGGGTGCTAATGTTACCCCTTTAGCAGATCAAGCAGTTCCTCAAAATTGGGTGACTCCAAGTGAATTGAATACCAATGAATCCACTAGAGATCCAAATATCATCATTCCAAGAGACTTCACCTTAGCAGGCATTAGACCAATGAGTACAGCTGCTGCTTCACAACGGATTGCATCAATGCAAGCATTCAGAAGACGGTTTGAGCCTCGAACAACTAGACGTCCTACAAGACAAAGAGATGCTAATAATGAAGCTTCTCAACCAAATACTAATAGATCAAACACTGATCAAACAGGTGATAATCAACCCACAGTTGCCGAATCAAGTGGGCAAGTTAATGCCAATGAAACTCGGACTGATACCCTATCTTCCAGACAACTTAGAGCTGATCTGGCCGCTCCTACTACGACTTCAACTATTAGAACTAACCCCGAAACGAGACCGGGGCCCATTTTATGGCATCAATCGTACGGAAGAGAACCAATGCCTGTTTCGTTCACTGAAATTCACGCGGTACAAAACCATCGATCTGACAATGACATCAGCCAACCGTCTAGAACTCGGGTGGTTCACAGAACTGTCATCCCCCCTCATGGTACAAACGGAGCGCCCATAGCAACTCGTCCGTCCACCAATATCCCTAATTTGAGCAACAGACAAGGCGCAAGCGGAATTCCGTCACCCAGACCCGGTACGATTCCACGTGAAGTTGCAGACCATATGAGAGTCCACTACAATAGGCATCGTGCCAGTAGTCCTCGACCTTCACTGCTGCCATTTGATGCAATTCCGAGCGATGAGGGAGAGGCTCCGAGTACTGTAAGAATCGGCCGCCCCACAGTCACACAAGGGGTAATGAGACGATCTGGAAGTAGCAGCAATGAACGCACTCATCCCTACAGTCGGCCCTCTCCAGAAGTATAATGTTTGCTGTAGCAATGATGTCATTGATTTTCGGACTACCAGAATGTTCGTGGTGGTGAATTAGTATGATTTATAAAGAGTGAAGATGCAGATTTAACCTGAAAGAACTGCTAGTTTTCCATTACAATCAGAGATCAGCAAAAATGCTTAGAACAATCCAATTGAGACAAGCTGCTATGCTTAGAACTGTCTTATTAAGACAGACAAGAGCCTTTAGAACTACAACTCCAATTAGATACAGTGTAATTGGAGATGCCTTGCACAAGGTGAACATGAAATTGGGGAAGGTAGCTGCTGAAGGCATTGAAGAGGTTGAAGAAATCAATGAAAGTGTTAAAAGTACTGTCAAAGACACGGTTGACAGTACTTCGGATACTGTTAAGAGTGGTAAAGAAGTTGCTGAAGATGCTGTGGAGGCAGCCAACTTAAAGCTTGGGAAAAAGGCCGCGGATGGCATTGAAGTAGTAGAAGAATTGAATGAAAATGTGAAGGAGACTGTTCAATCTACAGGTGAAACAATTAAAGATACTGCTGCCGGTGCAGTAGAAACAGCTAACTTGAAGCTTGGGAAAATGGCTGCGGATGGCATTGAAAAGGTTGAGGAATTGAATGAGAATGTAAAAGAGACAGCTCAAGCCACTGCACAAGGTGCAATGGATGCCACAGGAAAGAAATTACAAGAAGGTAAAGAGATGGCTGGAGAAGCTGCTGCAGCTACTGGAGAGAAATTGAAAGAGGGTAAAGATATGGCAAAAGATGCCGCTCAATCTACTGCCGAAAAGAGTAAGGAAATGACCGACGACGCAGTGGATGCCACAGGAAAGAAATTGCAAGAAGGAAAAGAGATGGCTGAGGATGCGGTAGATGCCACGGCCGAAAAGGGTAAGGAAATCGTCGACGGCGCTAAGGACACTGCTGAAGATGTCAAGCAACAAGCTTCAGACAAAGTACAACAAGGCAAAGAGAAAGTCCAGCAAGCTACTGAAGAGGTTGAAGTAGATGAAGAACTTCAAGAAGTTGTACGTGAGAACTACGAAGGATATTCCAGTCTTCAAGAGAAAGGAGCTCAGGTTGAGAAGGAACAGAACAGACCACCTGATGGTATTTAAAATATAGTAATCATAATATACTCTTTTAGGTAATTCGTGACGATGTATTAGGTAATACTTAGATATTAATTGTAAGATTTATCATGGAAGTCTTGAACCATTTTATCGGCCTGCAAGTTATTGTTTAATGGTAATTCGCTGATAGTTTGAGCCGACTGGTTAGTTGGTTGGGTTGAGGTTGATTCTATGGCCTTCGTTTTACGCTCAATTAATGCCAAATAATTAGAAGGAACATAACCAACTTTTCCCAGTCTTGATCTCACTTTCCACCATTTAGATTCATTTCCTAGAGGATCACATTTTGATAAGATAGCCACCAATTCGTTGGGCTTCAATTCGATTTCGACATTTGGATTCTCTGGATTAAATTCATAGATTGCCTTAGCAAATTCAACAGTATTTAAATCAACATTCAGTGGTCCCCCGCCTTGTTGAGGGTTCATCATATTACCCCCACCATTTAGTTGTTCTTGACGTCTTCTTTGTTCAACTTGTTGTTGATTAAGCTTTTGAATGGCTTTGCTTAACAAATAGGGGAACCCAATCGCAGCCGCAAGGAAGAGCAATAAAGGCTTTAAAGCTAATTTGTTACCACCACGTTGTTGTTGATGTTGCTTCTTGATATTCTCTTCCAATTTCTTTTGAGTCTTTTCAAACTTGTTGAACTCTTTTATGTTCAATCCATTGTTATAATTTTGACCAGTTAATTTGTAAAAAATCTTCTTTAGAAACTTGATCAAGGCAAAAATACCCAAAAGAGACCCTAAGGCATTCTTTAAATTCCCAAACTGTTCAGCCAATGAAACCATAGTAAAGAATGAACTATGTGTGGCCATATAAGTTGCTTCTAACATTTGTGCAAAGCCTCCAACGGCTCCAATTATGCTTTCGATCAAATGGAAAGTAGCTTGAGTTCCTTCTCCTAAGAGACCATTTGCTCCAGGTCCCATACCTTGATTCATCATTCCATAACCACCTCCATATCCCCCATAACCTCCTCCGTATCCTCCACCATACATGGAACTACCATAACCTCCATATCCCCCACCATACATCGATCCCCCAAGTCCACCGTATCCCCCACCATACATGGAGCTGCCAAACCCCCCACTGCCGTACATAGAACTTCCATACCCACCACTACCATACATCAGACTACCGTATCCTGAGCCTCCATAACCAGAGGTTCCATAACCTCCCGTTCCCAATGCCGAGGTCCCATACGAAGACGTTCCTAGTGGTGTCGCACTAGACGCACCAGCCGTTGTGCCACCACCTACATCGTTTAATGAGGTAGGCCTATCAGGTAATGCTATGGTGTTGGTGGATGCTGCTGCTGTTGCTGCTGTTGTAGAAGATGCTTCCGGGTTTAAGGATGCAGCAGAAGTTCCCGAAGCTACTTCCCATGGTTTAGGTCTGGGTACAGACATCTTATTGGTTGGTTGTATTATGTTGTATTTGAGGTGTGACTATGATTTGGTATGATTTGATATGCTGGTCAAAATAATGCTCTATTCTCTCGGGGAAAAAAACGTTAATATACTAATAGCGAGTTTTAAAACGTTCCAGATACCTTCCTACACCGATATAAGGACCCTAGTAGTGTTAATTCTTATGTGCTTGAAGAGAAGTAGTAAGACCCTTACTCAGTGGCTATATATTTTTTCTTGTTGCTCATGACGGATTTACCAGTTTCGGGTATAAGTAGTGTACTGACCGTATAAAACAGATGTGGGGGAGTAATGTGATTCGCATCGACTGTATGCAGTACTGAAAATTGAGTCATTAGCCTACTTACCTGTGAATAGGTCTAGGCTTCACATCTACAAGGGTAGGTATCACAGTGAAAGAATACAGTTAGGTGGTAACCGACAATCCAATTGGAACGAGAAAGTACTGTTTAGTGGGAATAACTGAAAAAACCAGCGAGAGCCCGGGTATATTCATGGATACACTCGGGATAAAAAAGTATGTAAAAGATAACCGAGGATGTAGTACAGGATTAATTCCTTATGTATTTAACTAAGGTAAGGGTTCCAGAGAAGATGATAACCGATTCAAATGTAAGTAAACATCTGTACCATAACCTTCCATGGAGATTAACTTCAAGTCACCTCCAAAGTATTGAGCATATAACCGAGAAATAGGTAACCCGTACCCGAATCCGGCCATTGGAGCTCTGAAGCTATTATTATTACCATCTTGTTCTAAGGTGGGGGCTTCTTTAACTGTTGTGTATAAGTAAGTCCAAATCAATGGGACTTCTGAACGAGCAATGCCTCCTCCTTCATCACTGACTTTGATAGCTATGTCTTCATAGCCTTCAGAGATAATTACCTTTATAGGAGGGAACTTGAGATCATTTAAATCTATGGAGTTTGCATCTGTTCCAGGATTCTCTTGTAGATACTGCTGTTTCAATTTAGGCGTATGGAACTCAATGGTAGCCCTAAGGGAGTTCTTTAATGTTTCAAACAACATATGAATCAAATGGCCAGGAACATACATGAAGTTGATATCGTTGTTTGGTGTTATCAATTGTATTTCTGGGGCTTCAAATAGTCCGTAATGTTCTTCACAAATGTATGAAGCAGTATCAATGGCATCCTGTGCAATGTCTGAAACATTACAATCAGTACATATGACACCAACGTAGTTAGGCTTGGAAAGTCTATTTGACGAGCCATTAGCAGAACCATTTGATGATGATAACGAGGATGAAGATGATCCATTTTTACCATTGAAAAAAGTTGATAATCTCTGTCGAGTAGGTGAAGCCTGCTGCATATTTAAAGCAATGTGCTGTCCAATAAGCATTCGAATCCCAATTCTAGACATGTAAAATTTATCCAAAAATGCCTGGATCTGAGAATTAACAAACACCAGTTGATGCTCTGATTTCCATTCCTTCACTCCTTGTGCCATGGTGGCCACAGTGGCATCATGACGTTTTTTGATCTTGGTTAAAGCATCACACACCAGTTTATTGTAGTCATACACCTCTTTGGGCCATACAATGTTTGTAGGACATGGGTTGTAGTAAGATTTATTAGCCGTAGGAGAAGACTGAATAGATGTGGTAGTAGAAGTATCCTCGGTTTGTGCATATGGAGAAGGCAGGTACCTTGAACGATAAACGATTCCATCATCATCGGAAAAATCAGAAAATGGAGTATATTCTGAATTGGAAGGAGGAGCCGAGGTATTGGATACTCCACTAGAAGATCCATTAGTAGCCACTCCTGATTCATTGTTAATACTAGATGACGTCCTTGAATCATCAGAGCGAGACTCTTCACTGGACAGAAGCATCTGCCGTAAGTTCTCATCAATGACTGGTTTTTTCAACTCAGTCAATTCTTGAAACGACTGAGCGTACCAATTCTTCACCTTGATAGTGGAGGGCATAGAATCAAGACCCAAAGGGGCATTTTCAAGCGATTTCACCTTCTTCGCCAATCGAATAGGCAATTCTTCCACTATAAATTGTGAAGCCAAAAATATTGATCCCGGTGAAGGGTTTGGTCCAAATTGAACCATCAGTCTTAATGAGATCGGTGTCTGATCGAAAGCAGCATATTTGTATATCTTTTCAAGCAATGGCTTGGTTAGTTCCCAACCTGTTCCCATGATTGAAGGGAGTCAAGAGTCCGGGGAAAAAGCTATCTGGAGTAAACTGGAGCTTCTAAGAACGAATAAGAACGAATCTGTTCTCGTTTTCAACTCTAAACTTTTCGAATGTTGATATCGGTAGGTCGGAAGGGGAGTAACTGGTACTGGTAGTTGATTGGATTTAATTTTGGAGAGTGAAACCCAAGTTAAAATCCGGAGAAACTTACACAAAACTACTGGAGTTCGAAAGAGCAGCTTCTGATCACAGTCAGTCAGTGATTGAGTCAAAATCAGACAAAACTGTTGCAGGTCCAGACAAACAGACACAAACAGAATAAGTACAGATTTCATTTGACTTGGTGTACCCAGTGTCACATTACAGTTGATGATTAAGTAAAGTTAACGTATAAACCATAAAAGCCGTCTGATAATGTCTTAGGACTTAATGGTAAACCCGAAACCCGTAGGTATATGGTGGTAATACTACTAAGTTGTTGTTAATGCCGAGGAACACCGCTTATATAATCAATTACATAATTGAACGTAAAGTTCCATTCTTCCTTTTAAGGACCAGCGGAAGAGCTAATTTTGAAGGCTAGAAACTAAAAACATTGTTTTGTGTGACTTTTTGAATCTTACCCCTGGTTTTTGGATATACTGTCCAGGATAGGCAAGTTCCTTCTATCCTTACTCCGACAATTTCCATATGGTTCGATCTTATCACGAACGCACATGATGGTTCGATATTTGTTCAGCTCAATTCCAATGTAGAAGTCATCACTTAAATTATTGGTGTCTTGGTGCTCATTACTTGTGTACGGTCATGCTCTATTCTATGTAGAGGTATAAGGTAGAACGGAAGTACGTCAGGTCCTCGGCTCCGTTGCCCGTAGCTCTCTCTGTGTTGCGTCATAGGTGAGTACCCCAGATAAACATCCTGTATGGTATACTCCGTTGGTCCTGTTGACTCATCCAATGATTCAATACTGCACACTGGGATTACTCATTGCTCGGATCTGGGGAACTTCGATTCAGATACCATATATAAAGGCACCCTGACTTCCATACAGTTTTCTATCACTCTTAATAATCTATATATTTCAAGTAATACCTATTCATATTCACATATTAAACGCGATTTCAATCCTTTACTACAATGACTTCTAAGACCGTGTTATCTATTTCGTCTTTTAAGACTGCTGCCAGACACTGGATACCAATAAATTCCCGTTCTGCTACTGCTACTGTGGCCAAAAACATCAAGTTCTATCCCACAAGTACTATGCACTATATGGCTTCTAACACTGCCTTTACTCCAGCTGCTGCCTCCCCAATTGTACGTCATTTTTCCACCCGTCATAGGGCTGTGAACACTGCCAATTTGCCTGGGGATGTTTTATTGGTATCTAATGATGATGTATTATCATCCAGACTGATATCGGGTGCCAATTCCCGTAATGGAACAAGAAACATCCCTAGTCGAATCATGTCTTCTATGGAAGAACCCGACTTGAGCTTTGAACCAATGGTGTCGTCCAACGAAGAAATTATGACTGCTGGCCCAGTCATTAGAGCTTAGATAATTTGAAATATAGCTTACTCTTTTAACGTTCACGACGCGACATTACTTGTCTTTTAGCATACTCTTGTTATTATTTATTTATTTAATTGGTTAGTTTAGTTACGGTATAATGAATTTTTGGTTGCCACCTGATAATGTAGGAATGTCTGATTTAGATTATGAGATTACTTTGTTGTCTGTCTGAAAAAAGCATGTGGGTTAACATGATTGCTTCTTCCACATGTCCGAGGTTCTTCCCCGGGGAACTATATTTTTACATGACTAAGAATCTAATTTCAATATCCACATATTCCTGCATATATGTCATGATTATTATGCAGGAATACAATATACACCACATATATCTTTGTGGAAATCTTTTTAACAAGTAAGGGCTCTGTGGCCGAGCGGTCTAAGGCGGCAGACTCAAGTTCTGTTATCGTAAGATGCGCGTGTTCGAATCACGCCGGAGTCATCATACTATACTTCCTTACTTCTTTTTTTCTATTCAACATAAAGACTGGACTTGCTCATACTAACGATTCTTTTGTACGGCAACCCTGAATATTATATTTTTCTTTTCTTCTAGAGTCATAGGTATACAAATTGTTGTGTTCTTCGGACTTATATAACCGAAACAATTTTGTGACTATCTTTAACCCAACTAATTTGTGAGTTACTATCTCCTGATTTGAGTGCTTTTCGGCCGTTCTTCCATGAAGCATTCAGTTGCTCCCGGAATTTTATGAGCTTACATGTTATTTGTGTTACGTATATTGTATTTGTATGAGTTCTCGGATCTGGGGAAGCATTGTCTGGGGTTAAGAAAATGGTAGTTCCTGTATGATGAGGAAATCATCTTGGAACCACTTGAGTCATTGGGAGTTGTAAAACCCAACGTTCTAACAATATAAAAGAACAAATTAATCCATTAATTATCCCTCCTCTATTTCACTTTCAATTTCTCGTTACTCATTTTCAATCCTTCTTTGCCATGTCTAGATTTTCCTCATTCAAATCCTTAGCCAGAGCTAGCAAAAGTACTTCCATTACCTACCGCTCCTTCGCTACTAGACAGATTAACTTAGGTAACCTTCAGGGCGATGCTACCTTAGTATCTAACGATGATGTGTTGCACGTTTCACATCAGCAACAACACCAAGCATCGTTTGCTAGTGGTGAGGATACGTATTTTGAGCCAACCATTGTTTCTCACGAAGATGTAGTAACTCCGGCACCAGTGAACAGAGGGAAACCGATAGAAGAAATATAACAGTGCCATGCATACCATTGATTGGTAGTTGCGATTAGGTTAACCGAGTTATTTAGGCTCTTGTATCATATTTATAGTTTAATGTCATTTGTCAATCAATGAATGTAGGATGAGATCGAATGATCCGTGGATCTTTAGTCAGTGCGCTGCTACTATAGTAATGCTATTTCGATAGCAGATTATTAGCAAACTCATTAATTCTCTAACCGTCTCTCTTTACTTTTAATTCGGTTCTACCGTACCCAATTGAACTAAAACTTCCTTCGTATACCTCTTTAGGACTATATATCCTATAAAAATTAGACCTGCATATACCACTGCAATAGTTAAAGGGAAAGCATTTCCTAATGCGGAACAGATATCCTTCAATCTGCTAAATCAGGGCATGGTATACGACTTGATTTGATAAGATCAGCACTATGGTAAAAGAGGATCCCAGATGAACATATATAAAAAGAGCCAGTAATCCCAATTCACTAAGAAGGTTCAATTACTATTATTATCATCAATTGAATCCAATCTAATACCATACAAAATGCCAATCACCTATTTGCCAAAGGAAAAAGCCTACGATGTTAAGCCAGCCGGTATTCCAACCCCCGGAAACAACTCATTCTTAGGTGATGTTGTCAGCAACAAGGGTCCAGACGGTAAAGAAATCAACTGTGGGTTCTACAGACAAGAAGACGGTGAACCATTGGTGTACACTTATGATTATGATGAAATGAAAATCATTTTGGAGGTTGAAGGTGAATTCACTTTCACTGATGAAACCGGTTTTACTGTCTCCGTTAAACCCGGTGATGTTTTCTTTATCAAGAGCGGAACTACTGTTACCTTCAAAGCCACTGGTGGATACGGGTTAGCTTTCTACACCGCCTTGAGACCTGCTATTGCCTAAAAACTGGACTAATTAGCTCATGTATAGAAGAAGTAATAGATGCAAATTGTCGTGTACGGACTTAGTTAACTCTGTGTATTTGACAGCAATTTCATCGCTGCAAAGATGACAAATAGGCTGATTCGGAGAAATCTCCGTTTATGGCCTGGGTGGGTGCGAAATTTCACCGTGTAACTATTGTACGGTGCGTACTCAGAGACAAAGGTTAATAAACCAGTGGCAAAAGACGGGAATAAGGTTATTAATCACGTCTATAATCCCAAGGTATATAAACAAAGGGACCTTACTTAAATTATCAGTAGTATCTCTAGCATCAAATAACTCTCAACACAAATAACTCTATCTAAGTACATCATGACTTCATCAACAGTTTTCGTCACCGGTGCGAACGGTTTCATTGCCCAAACTTTGGTCAGCCAATTACTTGAAAAGGGCCATAAGGTCATTGGGCAAGTACGTTCTGATGCTAAAGGTGCTCAATTGGCCGAGTTGGTCAATAACAAGAACTTTAATTACGTCGTTGTTCCTGTCATTGAGGCAGAACATGCCTTTGATAAGGTCTTGAAGGACCATCCTGAAGTGGAAACGTTTTATCACACTGCTTCTCCTGTTAGCTTTGCTAATGATGATGTGGAAAACAACATTCTTATCCCTGCAATTAACGGTACCAAATACGTTTTACAATCCATTAAGGAACACGCTCCTCAACTTCAACACTTTGTCTACACCTCTTCAATTGTCGCACTGGCCGATCTCCTGAATGCACCTCTGGGTATCAAAGAAGCAGAATGGTCTCCTATGACTTACGAACAAGCAAAGACCAATGGTATGCTTGCTTATGCTGGTTCAAAGAAGTTTGCCGAACAAGAAGTATGGAAGTTCCGTGATGAACACCAACCAAAGTTTACTATTGCAACCATCTTGCCTTCATTTGTCACTGGCCCTCAAGCCTTTGCTGCTAACCTCAAGAACTTAAGTTCAACTAGTGCTTTGTTTGCTGCTGCCATCAATGCAAAGACTAGAGAAGAATTGGAAGCTTGTATTCCCTTCCCTCTTGCAATCGATATCAGGGATGTCGCCAGAGCTCATATATCTGCTGCTGAGAATGTAAAGGCAAACGGTCAACGTCTCATCTTGTCCAACGGTACTTTCAATGCTGATACGGTGCTCACCATCTTAAATGAAAAGTATCCAGGAAAGTCTAGCCTTAAACCCAATGACCCAGTTACTCCTACCATGCCTGATATTGTGGACAACAAGCTTACCAGGAGTTTATTGGGAGAATGGATTCCCCTTGTACAGTCACTTGCTGATGCCATTGTCCAGCATGGTGAGAGTGGATTTACTCTTGAACTGTCACTCGCTGATTCTATTATCCAACAAGCTAAGAGTGAATTGTAAGAGTAGTGACCTTTATTATTATTATTATTATTATTATTATTATTATTATTATTATTATTATTATTATTATTATTATTATTATTATTATTATTATTATTATTATTATTATTATTATTGTTATTATTATTATTAGTATTTAGTGAAATAGAATGTTAGTTATACTTGTTAGTCACGTGACCATTTGCTGCAAATTTAATGTTGGAGTGGAACAGAGCACGAGCAATTAGACCACGAAAACCCAACTCAATTCGGGCTGATTAGTTCAGCTTTCAGTTTGACTATGCTTATTTATAGAAATAATAATAGTAGTAGCTCTAATACTATAGTAGTAAAAGTATTCTCATGAGAAGTTAGCTGGAATACAGTAATAATACTTGAAGGTATGGAATTGTGTAAAAAGGTTATATACTTATACCTATTTTGTTGATGGAGGTTGAGAATTAGTTTGAGCTAGCCATAGATTTGTCTTCAATATCATGAACTATTGTTAAGGATCCTTTTTGACTAGTAAAATTACCAACTTCATCTACAACACGGACAATGAAGCCCGTAGAAGCAAGTACAATTGGGGTTCTTACCAATAAAATGTGAATGTTTTCCTATATGATAAAAATAACTATTTTGATGTTCTCACCTCCGATGACCAGCTAAGCGCAGTGCTCTTACTGTCCACTTATCCACTGATTCTCTTTATGCAACTAGCATGCGATTCTACTGATTGAGTCGTGATTTGATCTGTTAGTGGTTACAGTGTTATGCCACTCAGTGCGGTAAAAAACGTCCCAAAATACACTCTACCTTTTGATTTAGAAATACTTCTTAATTTTCTAAGCCCTACTGTTTACAACGTGAAGGTGAAGTAATAAATATACTTCATTATACTGTGTCTATCTTTTATATAACCGAATACATGTAGTGCACCCTCGGATTTCAATCGCTTTCAGGTGACTACAAAGTCGCGGAATTTTCCAGATCCAAAAATTCACAGTCAAACTCAAATCAACCAACGCTACTACTTCTTCTTCCTTTTCTTCTTCAGCACAACAATATTAAAACAATGCCTATTGATTACTCAAAGTGGGATAAGATCGAGCTTTCTGATGACTCGGACATTGAAGTCCATCCCAACGTGGACAAAAAGTCCTTCATCAAATGGAAACAAAGAGACATCCACGAAAAGAGAGCACAACGGAATATAGAGATCAAAGCTGCCCTTATCCAATTGACAATGTATGCCAAGTTGAATGAGCGTGTTGATTATATTTTGGAGCAGTTGTCACCTTCCGAGTTGGTGGATTTGAACAAGGTGAGTCAAGTGCTCGACCAAAAGTTTGACAAGAAGGAGCAGTTTGATTATGAACAGTTGAAGAAGTCAAAGGGCAGTGACTTGAAGAAAGGTCTTCGGGATTTGACCTTTGACGAGGAAGAAATGAAGTCCATGCCTCCTTATAACGAGATGGTTGAAGATTTGTTTATACAAATCAAGGAAGACCATCAAGATGCAGCCAATGATGGTGAAAAGTTGTTGACGTATTTAAAGGAACATCGGTTGAAGATTGTAGATGTCTTAAGCAAGCAAGCCACTCATTTGGACGAGTTGTTGTATCAGAAATCACTTCTTATCACGTCTGATGATGTTCATACCGGTTGGGATAAGTCTTTCCTTAATAAATATACCGAAGAAGAAGTGAAAGAGACTCCCAAACAAACGGAAACAGTAACAACTGTGGAAACCATTAATTCACCATCTGCTGTTGAGCCTAAAGATATTCTTGATGATTTACAAGCTACTCCAGAGACTCTTGAGTTTGGTAAAATCTCTCTGAATCAAACTGAAGAGTCCCAAAAGTTTCTCTTACAACACCCATTCATTTGTACTGAGAACCAGAAAGATGCCTTGATCATGACAGCTTTCGATGCCCAATTGGAAAGTGACTCAAAGAGAGCAAAGAATATCATCCACCAATCACTTTTATTACAATATGTGGCTACTTTAGCTGGCCCTAAACCGGGGAAGGAACTGATTCTTCGTGCCATCAAGCTCTTCTTCTCCAAAGTTGCAGATGGAGCAGCCAGAGGTCCCTTCTTACAAGATGTCGAGCAAACCTTTGAACATATTAAAACAAGATGTAAGGTGATTGAACAAGAACAAGCTGAAAAAACCGGAGGGAACGAGGAAGAACAAATCATTCAATTAAAAGCCTTGGACGACGGAACAGAATTGTTTGTGAACATTCCAGAAGAAGGAACGACGGAATATTCTGTCTTCAAAGAGAAGTTGACTCCGGACATGCAAGCAGCCATTCTCACAGGTAAAATGGATCAGGTCAACAAGTTGTTTGCTCTGATGAGTGTTGAAGACGCCGAGCATGTTTTGGAGGTCTTCAATGAATGCGGAGTCATTGGTATTAACGGAGTAATGGAGAACGAAGCCGAATTTGAAGAGCTCAAGGAAAAGTATGAACATGAGCATGAGCATGAGCATGAGCATGAACATGAACATGAACATGTTGAACAAGGAGCAGAATTATCAACAGTGGATACTGTGGATTGAATGGATAGGAATGTGTAGATTATAATAATTATAATATTAATAATAATAATTAAAGTTCATTTTTTGGATAATCTTGCCAACGTTTCCATCAATGACAGTGCATTCGTTTCTTGGTTGTGGTTTGGGTCGGAAGACTTCAATTGTGATAATAACGAATTCACCTGAGTATTAGATTGGGCTTGCATTTGCCCGTATTGACCGCCATACAGCTGAGGAGGAGGCATACGTTGTTGTTGGAGTGGTTGTTGTGGCTGTTGGGGTCCCAGCTGCTGTTGTAGCATGTTAATCATGCTCTGCATGGATTGAGGATCAATGTTTTTGAGTGTGCTCAAGAGGTTATTGGTGTCAGGCTCACGGCTTCCACCACCACCATATTGGTTATAGTTATTATTAGGATTATTATATGGTGGTGCATTATTGTAAGCGTTATTGCCGTATGAACCATATGGCTGATTGTATTGCTGTGGTTGACCGTATGGTGGTGCACTCTTATTACTATTGTATCCTCCTCCATAGCCCTGTGGACCCATATTGGGATTATTATCGTATCCAGGAGGATTCCCATAGTATGGCTGTTGAGACGATGACCATGGCAGAGAGGAATATGCTTGTTGCTGATGTTGCTGACGCTCATAGCCTTGTCTTCTATCTCTGTCTCTCTTTCTATTTCGACCCCCACGGTCTCCACCACGATAATTATCACCACCACCGCGATTACCACTTCTACGGTTGCCTGCTCCTCCATGGAGATCGTAGCCTTTATTACCTCTGGGATCGGGATATGCATCAGGCCCGGAGCTATAAGAAGGATTTGGCTGATGTTGAAGAGGTGAATGCTGCTGTTGCTGGGGGTAACTCTGAGGTGGGATAGGAGGAAGTTCTGAACCACCACCATACAGACTAACACTGCCACTCTTCAACTCCTTTGCCTTGACAAGAATATCTGCAGCAACCTCGGGTTCAATTTCCGTATACTCATCAAACTTCACACCTCCATCAGAAGTTTCCTGAAACGTCTGCAAGTCTACCTTCATGTCTTTGATGATGCAAGCACCAAGAACACCGGAATAGGCGGCTTCTTGAACCACCTCATTGATGTCATTGTGAGTAACATCTTCTGTTTCAATGGAAAGATGTGCTGACGTCAAAGCCTTCTTTACCTTACGAATGTAAAACACTGATGACTTCCCTGTACTGTAAAGGAAGCAATCGGGTACTATTTTTCTTCTCTTGGAGTTAGAGTCAATATCAAGTCCATCATCTCTTTCTCTATCTCGACCACCACCCCCACTTCTTCTATCTTTGTTTCTCGGAGTTTGCGGCTTAGAGGCATCTAAACGCATAATCTTGTTGTGTAATGGCACATTCGACTCCCCTTTAATACATGATAAACACTGTTCGGCAGTCCGGAACTGAGCAAACCCAAAGCCCGCCTTAATGGAGATCTGAACCACTTCTCCGTATTGACTAAAGATTCTAAACAAATCTTGTTTGGAGATGGTATTGGCAGGCAAATTGCCTATGAATAACCTCAGTTTATCTGGGAACTCATCCCATTTTTGTGTCCTCATGTAATACGTTTCCGTCTTGATGAACTGCTGATAAGCCTCTTCTTCTTCAGCTGTCATGGGAGCAGTGATGTTTGGTCGACGACAATATTCGTTGACGGGAATTAATGGGATCGGACTCTTCAAATTCTTGAATGGCTTGTTAAAGGAATAAACTTGGTTGAAGTTGATGTTGGGGTTGTTCTTGATGTTCGGGTTCAATTCAACGTTTGACTCCTCGAGTTTCTCCATGATCCGCTTCATTTGCTCTTGAGCAGGCAATTGGACAAATTCGGGGTCTTTGACCAAACCACTGTTCATGATAGTATCATAAGCTTCGTGCAATTGCTGGTTAGCCATGTCTTTGAAATCAGCATTGGTGAGGGCAGAAGTCGATGATACAACGTTCAATTGTGGTTTCGGAGGAAGTCCAATTGGTGGTGCTTTACCTTTTAAAATTGAGTTACCAGAAGGTGGTGATGCTGATGCTATAGACTCAGTGGGATCATAGTCATCATCATCATCAGCACTAACTTGATCTTCTTGTTGATGATCCTTTTCTTTAACCTCAATGTCATCATCATCTTCGTCATCTTTTTCGTCACCTTGTGAAACGCTCAAGGTCTTTTCAGGATCGTAATCATCTTCATCTTCATCACCAGCTGCATCTTGTTCTGGCTGCTCATCCGTCACTGAGTCATCGTTGCCATCTAACATCTCAGTGGCTGTTGGATCGTAGTCATCTTCACTCTCCTCGTCCACAGCTTCATGCATACGTAACTCTTCAGTAGGAGAATCTTCAGGATTAACCTCCTTAGCGGTGGCAATGCTGGCTTCGGTTTGTTCAGGCAGTTGATTGGCACTTGACTCAGACAACAACAGTTCTGACTCGGAGTCAATCAACAGATGTTTATCTTTATCATTAATATTATTATCATCATCAACACTTTCTTTGCCGCCCAAATGGATTGGAGTCACTTCCATGTTTCCGAGTGAAGAGCGGAATGGTACAACGTTCAGTTTGCCTACACTAGCTTCAGGTAAAGTTCCTGCTCTTTCCCTGGTCAAACTTTTGGTAATAGTAGTGTGTATACCACATCACATGGTACATCACGTGATACTATATAAGTTCCCTTTGCAGTTTCAAGTGGCTTATATTAATATAGAATAGAACGATGTGGATTGTATGATTAAGACTATCGTGATAATAGGAATACTTACCAGTACTTCTAGTAATGATAACGTTAGTATTGGTCATTAGCAGCAAACATTAAAAGTTTTTGTCTATCCATCCATCATCAAAGGAACTTCACTTCATTCCTATAGATTCAACTCATCTCAAATTCAACTGAGAGTTCATCATAGGTCGACTCTTACTAAGTACCCCACTGGTCCGTTAACAGCATATCTTGGTTGCCTTCAAGTATAAGTTGAACACGGCACGACTTGAAAGAAAGGTTTTTCTTGATTATTCCCCCACACAATGCGGAGAAATATCAAATGTTTGGGGGAGTGAAATGTTCGCCTATTGTACGTACACATTGCCCCTCTTCACCCTTATGGACTCGATTGTTCCGCCGATTTCACCGAATGTGTATTACAAATTCGTGGTCGGATCAACTATGGATTAATGGGTGGATAAATAACATGGAAAAACAAATTCAATCCATACCACATTCTTCCAGTCAAACTAATCCAACTCTTCATTAGCTTAACTTAATGTCGTCTTCTCCACTTAAAGTCGCCATAGTGGGCACAGGACTCTTTGCTACAGCCACACATTTGCCAACTCTCCAAAAGCTTGAGAACGTTGTTCCATATTCATGTTACAACAGAACCAAATCCAAGGCTGAAGAGTTTGCTTCCAAAGCTGGTATCACTAAAGTGTATGACTCTCTTGAGGAAGTCTTCCAAGATAAAGAGGTTGATGTTGTGGACGTGTTGTTGCCAGTCCAATACAATGTTGAAGCAGTGAAATTGGCCGTCAAATACAATAAGCCAATCTGTTTGGAGAAACCAATTGCTGCTAATCTTGAACAGGCTAAAGAGATTGTTCAATTGGATGAAAGCTCCCCCACCTTACCCATTTCAATCTTGGAAAACTGGTCTTATATGAATGCTATTGATATCTTAAAGAATGAGGTGTTACCAAAGATTGGTGACGTCATCTCCTTTACTTATCGGTCCACTGGTGCTTGGAATGAAAATAATAAGTATTTGACTACCAGCTGGAGACAAAACCCTCAACATATTGGAGGTTTCTTAAGTGATGGTGGGGTTCATCAATTGGCACTTTTAACAGGAGTTTTAGGAGCAGTAGATCTGATTTCCGCTTTAACCAAACAAGTGAGAAAGGCAAGTGGTGATGATGACATTGTATATTCCACCGTTAAAATGTCCTCCGGTGTCATTGGAACTTTTACTTATGGTTCTGCTTTTGGTGCTACGGATAAGTCCTCTACTTTCCTCATTATGGGTACTAATGGTTCAATTGAATTTGATTTCTCTCCAAGCTTACCTAAAAAGATCATCAAATATCAAACAGGTGACTCTGCTCAAGCTGCTTCTGCCAAACAGATTATCGAAGTCGATTCAAATGATACGTCTGCTGCAGAGTTCTCCAACTTTTTTGAAGCGGTGGCTCAAAAAGATAAATCATTGATCCTTACTAAACCAAGATTGGCCTACCATCATTTGAGTATCGTTGGTGCTGCTCTTGAAAGTGTAAAGAGTGGGTCTTTTGCAACGGTTTCTTCTCCGGTTTCTTCTCAATAATCAATGTATATGAAAACTTAATAAACAATATTAAAGCTCATCATGAACCGGACCCACTTCTGACAAACTCCAAGTGTAGTAAGTGCTGGGTTCATCATTCTCAACATCAAATACTTCAGATTCATATGGTTGTTCAGCATTGTCAACAGGACTAGGCACCTCTTCAATAATCTCTGGTACTTCTTCGATAACATTTGGTACCTCTTCAATAATCTGTGGTTCTTCAACAATAATTTGTTGTATTTCTTCAATGACTTGTTGATCCTCTTTAACCAACTCTTCTATAGGTTGTTGCTCTTCCATAGCCTTTTCTTGTACCGGAATTTCAACTTGAGGAGGCTCATGTATGATATTCCCCTCAAAAGCAGGTTCAGAAATAAACCCTTGCTCTTCGATATCACGACTTTTTTGCGTTGATATCTCTTCATCATTTGCTTCCTTAGCATTTTCTTTATGTTCAATTCTTACTACTTCTATTGGTTGTTCTTCAATATCCTGCTCGTGTACTCCAACTTCAGGAACAGAATGTTCTTCAAGATCTTGTTCAATAGGAGAATGCTTATAATTGGCTTCACTATCAGTTGGCAGCGCTTCATCAGTTTCCTCTTTTTGTTCAGAGGAATTCTCAGCAACCAGTTTATCGTTTGCTTGCTCTTCAGATGATTGTACTTCCACTTCGTCAGCAATGGATCTTTCACCGGCATTCTGTTCTTCATGGTCCAGCTCGTGGCCAGGCTCCTTGACCACGTTAAATGATTCGCCAATTGGTTCTAATACAACAGATTCACCAGCATGATCCTCTGCTGCTGGCTCCCAAACTTCGTCAGCAAACTTCTCAGACTCTTGAACAAGATTCTCTTCAACACGAATCTCTTCCGACTGACGTTCAGTAAAGCTGTGAATAATAGGGTCCTCACTCAGAGCTACCACTGCGTCCACGTCAATGGCGGCTGAAACATCAGACACTCTACTCTGAAATGAAAAGTCCTCTGAGGATTCAACCATCTCAATTGATGAAACAACTTGCAGCAGTAGTTCAGAAATAGAACTTGAAACCAACGAAGCCAAAGTTATAGAGCTTGCAATGACAGATGTCACTGTTGCCACTACAGAAAGAGAGTCAACATCAACGGCCACCTCTTTATTATTAATATTTTTGGAACTGACAGCCCAATTTACCAACCGAAACATTTTGAACGTGGACCAGAGGAAGATTTTTACAGGAGTTTTGAGAATACGCTTCCAGATCACCCAAGCACAGCACGAAGCAAAAAAAAATATAGAATAGTATATTCTTCTTTTATCTTTCCTGTCTTGCTTCTCAATGAACTTGACTATCTTACCAGACTTGTTCAAGATATCAGACACTGTGAACAACTGGTCATTTAAATTGGATAAGTCCTTTGTTTGTTGATCCAAGGACTCTAAATTAAGTTCTGTTTGAACAATACTGGTACTCATAAGCTGTCGAGTGCTTTGAAGACTTGTGGTAATCTTTTTATTATGAGCCAATATCTGGTGTTCTAGGGTCTCCTTACTACCTTCACCATTTTTATCCTTCCGCAGTCCAAAGAGAGCTTCTCTGGTGGACTTCGACGTTTCACTAGCCAACTTTCTCCGTTTAACGGCCTCCTCTTTTTCCGTTTCAAACTTGTGTATCCTGGCTCTGTGGAGAACCTCTTGTTCTTGTTGTTTCACATGAAGTTGTACTTGTCTAACCCTCTCTCTTAAATAGTCCAATCGACTCAAATAGATGCCATGCTCAACATCCACTAACCCGTACTTCAAACGGAGATATTGAACATAGTTTCCGTATTCAACAAGGAGATCCTGACATCGTTTTATAATAGACTCGTTGTCAGTACTGGTGTCCTTTCCTGCATCAACATAAGTCTCTAAAAGACCAAAGACTTGTTCCTGGATGCCATCCAACGGTTTTGAGTCAATTTCCATCACGAAGTCACACTCAATAGAGTCACAAAAAATGGCAATTAGCGTAATGTTGGCCACCAATTAAGGCAAACCTTATGCATTTGTCTGTTGTATACTTTTAACATCACCAAAGTCGTGCATTAACCATTCGCGAAGCAAGTTTTTCCGTCGTAGGATAATTGTTCCATGAAAAGTCTGGGGTACTTTTCACCAGCAACAATTGAATCAACTAATCTCGTTTCTCCTCATCGATGACTAACAAACCGTCTCATAAGAACGCCCGCGACCCGGCAACAATAACTCCGGAATACATATTGCAGCAACGATTACTCCGGGAACAGCGGAAGCAACGTGAACGAGAAGAAAAGGGACTTAATGATAGCACCAAACAAGAAGCAACGACACCACCTCATCTTCGATTCCAAAAGAGAGAGATGCTTCAAGTTAATGACCCCATAGAGGACAAGCTTAAGGTAAAGATCATGTCGTACAATGTTCTTGCACAATGTCTTATTCGAAGAGAGTTATTCCCCACCAGTGGAAACATCTTGAAATGGAGCATTAGATCGCAAGTTCTTATGTCCGAGTTCAAGCACTACGACGCAGATATCATGTGTTTGCAAGAGTTAGATCATGTTCAGTACAAGAGCTTTTGGCACTCGGAATTAGAGAAACTAGGTTATCAATCTAAGTACTACAGAAACACAGCCAAGGGCCATGGAGTGGCTATTTTCTTCAAGAAATCAATGTTTGTATGGAAACATCAAAGTGCTATAAACTACGATAACGAAGAAGTCCCCCAGGGTTTAGAACCACGGACCATAACTCAGAACATTGGACTTATAGTGCAATTGGATTTCACTTCGATCATTCGGAAAAAATACAAACTATCAAAAGCCGGAGTAATTATCGGAACAACTCATCTCTTCTGGCATCCATTTGGAACCTTTGAAAGAACAAGACAGACATATTTGGTTTTGAAGAAGATTAAAGACTTCACAAGTATCTTGAATAGCGTATCTGGGACCCCACGTAGTGGGTATTATACGTTCTTTGCAGGTGACTTGAACTCTCAGCCTTTTGATTCACCTTATCTCTCAATCACTGCTAAGCCAATAGAGTACTCTGGAAGATCTAAGCTTGTCATTAGCTGTTCTTTGTCATATAGGTTTTCAAAGAACCGAGGAAAGACTTCAAATGAGTCCATTGAAGGTGGGATCACCCACGTCGAAGATCCAGAAGATCCAGAGTTTGGTAGTGATAATAATGATGATGACAATGTTCATGATGAAAAGCATTATGAAGGTCAACCAAAGGACCCTGTTCCTGAATCCTTTGAAGCATCGGAAGAACAGCTTGAATTGGTTCAAAAGATCCAAGATGTTCATAATTCATTGGATATGAGAGCCATATCTGTTTATGCCTCAGGATATCGTCATGTTCATCCAGAGAATTCAGGTAGGGATAATGATCGATTTGAACCATATTTCTCTAATTGGGCTCATACTTGGAGAGGACTTTTGGACTATATATTGGTGGTTTGCCCTTGGGACAAAACAAGGGAAGATCATTCTAAAAGAGTTGATACCACAGAAGAGTTACAAGAGAACCAACTGATTAGATTATTGAAACTATTACGGTTACCTCAACCTGAAGAAATGGGGTCCGAACCTTCAGGTCAACCCAGATCAGGTCAGTATCCTTCTGACCATTTATGTTTAATGGCTGAGGTTCAACTTTTGTAGTAATAGTACTAGAAATTGCATAGTTTCACATATAAGCCACTAATATCCTTTAACAACAATGATAGTAATAATAACAACAAAACATAACCCACTACCCTCCCCTTAGTTCATTTATTTAACATAGTGTCGACTAAATCTTCTAATGGGCCATAATCCTTTTGACTAATCAATCGAAACTCATTTGCAAAAAGAACATAATGTTTCAACGAAGTATTCAAATGACTCTGTAAGCCTAATTCACTAATTTCATGGAAATGATGACAATAAATATGAGCATAAATCCGGAATAACCGTTTGAAAATAGTTTTAACCAATGTTTGAAATTGATTTGGAAATGGTGCACCGATCTTGGAAGGGAAAATATTATCATTATCAAAAAAGTTTTGAATCCAGTTCATCAAGTTTTCAATATATTCACAAGCCGGTAAAGACAAGGGTTTCTTCGGTGATTGAATGTTTGTAGGATTGTTCTCTTGCCATAAATATTCGTATTCTTCAGTTGCAATCATTCTAGGACAAGTTTTAGGAGAACAAAATTCGGTTATAGCTCCATACAACATATTGATTTGGTTATAGAAGTCAACAACATGAACTGCAAGCCATTCATTTACATCTTCATCCAAAGGTAGCTTGACTGCCAGTTTTAAGGCATTATCCGATTCCAAAGTTTGTTCAGCATAATTTCTAATATCTTTATGTGTTGAAACTGATTGTTGGCCATTATGAAGATTAATTGTTTGATATTGACTTTGATCTTGATTGTTGAAGGGAGTTACAGGGAAAACAGACGATGAAACTGGCTGAGGTGACGAAATAGGTGAGCCTTGTTTCAACTTAAACCCTCTGGTGGACTTTAGGGAGTGAGTGTTGAAGTTCTGGAAAAATGAAGTCATCTTGATACACCAACAGCAGCAGCACTAAGTATGAGGAAAGAAGGAGATCCAATAAAGTCACTTTGGGTTCCTGTTTCATTTAACAAAATAGTTGACTCAATCCTTTTGATTTCTGTTTACAAAAAGATTGTTTTGGGAAGTGTGTGCACGTGACAAACTCACGTGCACACATCCATAACTTAATGTATAATGTCACTTTCACCATTATACTTTCACAGGTGATCTTCACCATTCAAACAGATATACGGAATGTAGAATTGAAGCAGATGCACCCTTGTTCTCCTTTAATCCTCTGATTTTGGCATTAGTGTTGAAAGTTTTCCACATCTCAATTGTAGTTAGATGTACCTTAATGTAATTAGCCATTCTTGTAACTGCTGTAGCCAACATGGTACCTCTATCATTATTGTGACGTTTGAAGTAGCTACTTTCAAATCTAATGATCTCATCAATGGTTCTAATAGTTGTTCCGTAGTTGAGTTTAAAGAAGTCTCTCCCATACACGGAGAACACCAAGGGGAATCGATACTCCCAATGAAGTAACAACGACACGAGTAGTGTGTGGATTCCTTGATAGATATCGTTCACATGGAAGATATCATCGCTATATATACCAAATTTAACTTGGATTTGATCAAGTCGTATAACTTTGGTGTTAGGGGCTCCCTGGATATCAATTGACTGTTTAATATGACATGTCAATTGAAGGGTACTAGCACCATCATCTGTCACTACCACAGTCAAACCATACCCTAGACGGCACCATAGGGGCATTGCTGATATCTTTTGCATGATGGTTGCGGTCAACAGGTTGTATTTATCTTCGTTTAAGGGATGGTTGTTGATAGCCAAATGCATTTGAATCTGGTTGCAAAAGGTTAGTAAATGGGTGAACCTGAGGGAAGGGACTTCCTTAGGGGGTGTAATATTATACATACGTTTAGATTATCTGCTGGTAACACGGTGATCTCGGTTGGAGTATCAGTTGTGTAGGATACTGAGTAGTAAGTGCTATCGTGTTGTAGGAGTAAGTGATGGTTATTCATATGGGAGTAATCGTTGTAGTTGAAGTAATTTTACTGAAAGCAGTAGCAACAGTAGTAGATTTTTACAATTATAAGTTCCCCCAATTGCTAATTGAAGTCTATATATATTATACAAGTTATACTTGTTGGTGCAGTAAAGAAAAGTGGTCATAAATATAGTCGTTATACTAACGGTGGTAATCAATATGATGATCTCCATAATCATTAGCCATACCTTGAGTTGGTCTACCGATACAACTGTTAGCTCATTCATACAATTTACAGCAATACCCATAGACTCTCTAGTTCACTCCAATCAATAAAGCTTGACTATATGTCATTATCACCAATATAGTAGTGCGAAACGAACTTCATGTGAACCTCGATCTAACTCATCTCATCTCAACTCTGATCTCGTCTGATCTCATTGATCATGAATAAGAATGTCCTATCATTGGTGTCGTGTGTTCCCAAAGTGACAGTACCTACGCAAGCATCGTTATCAGCACTTCCTACTACGACTTCCCGTTACAAAGCATTTTACAAACGTTTCTACAGACTCCGCAATCATTTACCTTCAGACATCACCAGTTGGTATAAGTGCTATTTAAGACGACGGTTTGTTCAAAATGACTACGAAGCAAGACGTCAACGGCTTCTAGGACTCAATGATTCATTATCAGAGTCAGATCTTCTCGATAGATGTCGGAACACCTTAGCCTTTGTCTTCAATGCCACAGTAGCAACACAACTGGCTGCTACTGCTGGTCGACCTATATTCTATGATGATCTAAAGACTCTCTATAAGGATCGACCAGAGCTACAAGTCATCCGAACCATAGTAGAAGTTGAAGCAAGGAAACCAGCTGTCGTGTTAGCTGATACTGAATGGGCTTGGGTCACAGAAATACAACATCAACTAGCGCAGAATGACACCAAATGGACCAAGAATAAGAGGAAGACCATCAAGGCAATCAACATAGGCTTGCTAAACCATGATAGGAACATCATGCGTCTTAATGAAACACTTCAATTATGTTTATAGTATCAAATATTGGTGTTCGGGTGTTTCTCATAGCACAACTCAAGGGAAAAGTTGAGTTTTGAATTCCAGTAGCGTTTTCTTCTTCTTCTTATGCAATAAACATGGGTTGGTTTGGAAGAACAGAAAAGCCCCAGGAGACTACTATCCTTCCAGGAGATCAGATTCATCAAAAATCCCATCAACCTCTACAGATTGTTCCAGAATTAGTTCAGACCATTGAAACGTTGAATGAACCAGTGACTCTTCATCAACACAGCCAAGACATAGAGGGATTTGTCAACGAAAGACCTGCCAACACGTTCATCATTGATGGAGATAAGGATGGCAGTCAAAGTATCATTTGTACTGACAATGGCAATGGAGGCAAGACATGTTTAAAGTTGGGCTTGTCCTCAATACAATTGTTTAAGAAGATGCAATCATTGGAATACTTTTGTTCATTACCTGATGACATTAATGCTACTTATTTTGAGTGTCGGAAGATTACATAGTAAGGTTATACTAATATGTACTTAATGTTCATACTGAATTATATATTATTCTCTCGTTATCCTATTAAACCCATTATATCCTGTTATACCATGAAAGATTCACCACAACCACAAGTACCCTTTGAATTGGGGTTCTTAAATATAAATCTAGACGATAATTTATCATCAAGCCAATCCATTTCACTACCAACAATACTAAATAAAGCCTTGGAATCAATGTACACCTTAACACCATCTTGTTCAATCAACTCGTCAAATTTAGCAGGCTCAGTAACATACTCTAAATGGTATGTTAAACCTGAACACCCTCTGTTTCTGACTCCAATTCGAATCAGTTTGGGCTCAGGTTGATTGAGTAAGTCTTTGAGATGAAGAACTGCATTTGGTGAAAGTGAGATTAATGCTTTACGTGGTTTGAGTACTCTTCTCTTCTTAGGTTTAGTCTCAGTCGACGCAGTTGATGCAGTTGTACTGGGTTCTGTTTGTGTTGTGGTAGTTGCTGTCTGTGTTATCTTTGGCTCTTCAACTGTTGCTAATATTGAACTGTCTTTGGTTTCTTTGGTTTCGGATTTATTGAAGCGACTTCTTCTACTGTTCTTAGTCATTCTGTGGGTCTCGGATTCAGGGATTTCTATCGATGCAAAGGAGAACTGGCCACTACCGGCGTCGGTGTTAGAAGTGGTAGAAGTGTCTTCTCGGGGAATCGGCACAGCCAATGAATGTTTAGCCCATTTCATTCCAGTTCTTTCATTTCCATCCATCTTCATATTGGAGTAGAAGTCTCCTCCTTGCTTCCCTCCACCATTAGACACAACTGTACGGATAAACCTCTTGCCTTCTCGATGGGCTTCCAGGGATACAAACCGTCTTAATGTGGACGTTGTACAAGTTCTATTGGTTCTAAGTAGGATATTCATTATTACTAATGTTAATAGTTAATATGGTGTGATCTAATGGGGGAGTATCTAATATATAAAACTTTTCTATTGCTAATATTATTATCCCCAGAAATTAATATGATGCACGCGCTACCATCCACTTAGTAATTAAAATATAAACTGATTTGATTGGTCCGAGAATGCGCGGCTCCGAGTCGGTAATACATCTTTTAACTATCAAGCAAATACGTGAATGACTGTAGTGAATAATCAGATCTATCAGTAGCAAAGGTCTAATCTTGAGGCAGAATGATTTGGCACAGAAAAGTCTTCCATTTGTCAGTGATTTCAAATAAATATGTTTGGGGGCGATTCTCTAGTGCGCATGCTGACTTATAAAATGATATGAACTGCCTAAATAGGATATATAAGACTACTCCTGCTCCATTAAAGGTAACAATTTTAATCCACCATTGCAATTAACTACCACAGTAATGTATTAACTACTATATCACACTATAGAACTGGTTTCCCTCTTTAACCAATTATATTCAAGCGAACCCTTGGTGAAACTTGGACTTATTTCCTCCCAAATGACCTTATGATAATTGTTAATTAATTGAATCTCATGAGCTGTTAACAACAGTCTATTAATTAACTTGTGACAATATGGAACTCTGGTGACAGTTTCGAATTCAAAGAATTTCTTACCATTATATTCAGAACCAGTAGATTTAACAAACATGACATTCTCAATTCTAATTCCATAAGCTCCATCTTCATAATAACCAGGCTCATTAGAAATCAAATTACCTTCCTTTAAAACATTGAAGTTTGATCTCGGACTAATTCCTATAGGACCTTCATGGACATTCAAAAAGGCGCCCACTCCGTGTCCGGTACCATGGCCGTAATCCAAAGCCTTACTCCATAAGAATTGTCTTGCAATTGAATCAATGAAGAATCCATAAGTTTCCTCTGGGAATTTAAGATCCCCTAATGCAAGATTACCCTTCAATACCAAAGTATAATTATCCTTTTGTTCTTGAGTTGGTTCGGTGAAATGAACTGTACGAGTTGTATCAGTAGTACCATCCAAGAATTGAGCCCCAGTATCAACCAAGTAAATCTTAGAAGGATCTATTACTGAACACAGTCCCTTTTCCGGCTTATAATGTACTACAGCAGCATTGGCACCAGTTGCACTGATTGTAGCAAACAGTAATCCCTGGAAAGATTCTTCCACTTTTCTATAAGAAGTTAAAACATTATCAGCTTCAATTTCATCAACTAATTCATTGTTAATAACCAATTCATTCTCTAACCAACTTAAGAATTTGATAATTGCTCTTCCATCTTTAAGATGGGCTCTTTTAGCTCCTTCCAATTCCACTGGGTTTTTAATAGCCTTCAAATCAGCAATGGGAGAAGTATTGATTTGGTGAAATGGACATTTCAATTGCCTTATAACTTCCCAGCTGGTATTTTTGGAAATTAAAAGCTTTCTGTTACTCATGTAAAATTCTTTGGAAATAGGTACTAAGGACAGCCAGAAATTAGTGTATGGTAAAACGGTAATATTATTGGCAGCCATAGCATCTTGTACTTTAGTATCAAAACGGTCATTATCAGCAAATAATGTTATCTTTCGATCATCGGAGATAATTAAATGGGAATAGAAAACAGGGTTATAATCAATATCTGAACCTCTAAGATTCAAAAGCCATGCAATATCATCCAATGAACTTACAATAAGTCCATTAGCCTTACATGTAGTTTTAAGCAAGTCTAAAACTGCATCGATCTTTTCTTCAATAGATTGTCCCGTATATTTATCATCCAATGATTTGATTATATCACAAGGTTTAGGCGAAGGGTCTTCAAAGGAGTTCCAGATTTTATCAACCAAATTCTCGTTAACAGGAACCAATTCAACAAAAACCCCAGACTTCTTTTTGGAAGCAATAACTGACTTAAACTTTTCATATAACGAAATTGAAATCAATTTAGGATCAACTCCAATGTTAATCTTGTCCCCTGAATCTCTGGCAAGTTGCATAGCTTGGTCAACCGTCCATTCCTCCCAACTGGGTTGACCAGGAGCACCTTGTTTCAATAAAAGCCAATTGAAGTCTAATTCATTGGTGGCTTGGTTGAAATATCTAGCGTCAGTAGATAAAGCAGCCAACCCATCAGGGATTTCATTCATACTAGTGACATCGCGAGTAATAATTGCAACACCAGCACTACCTTGGAATCCAGAAATAAATGCTCTTCTTTGATCAGCAGCAGAAACATATTCAGAATGATGTTGATCTTCCGAGGGTACTATATAGACAGCCACTCCATTTTCAGCCATGACTTCTCTCAAGGCCTGTAATCTCTTGCTGGTGTTGATTTCCTTGGTATCAGGAGCACAAAGAGATGATGCATCCAAAGTCCAGATCCCACTGCTTCTTCTGGAATCAGGTCTACTGCTACCACCACTTGGTGATCCTCGTCTTTGTAAGTGAATTTGCTTAACCATCATGGAAGATCTTCTGTTGGTCCGGGATAACAACCCGGGCGAACACGTGCAGTTGGCACACTGGACCCTGTTGACTCTTCTAATCGAAGCAGACATGATAATAAATCGTACTAAAAAGAAGAAGAAGGTTGGTGGTGGAAATGGATGTCATTTTTTACTTTTGTCCATCCTGTACCTGTTGGTCGGAAATGATCACCTCATACGACTGCAGGTATGGTTTAGGTGTGTCTTAAGATTAAGACCATAAAGGAGTGCTGTTTAACAAACAACAGTATTGGGGAGCTAAATATGTATGAATCACATACACGTTTGTATAAGATACTAATAAAGTATCAGTGATAGTAATATGTTACACCGTGTATTACTATACAAGCTCTCATATCGCCAGTGTCATACCCTCGATATATTACCGGTTTTACCCTCGTATATCCAATAGAAGAGAAAAACTACACCCATATAAAATCTATCTCCATACTTTTGATCGACTCTTTCTTTAACACCTAACTAACATTAGTTGCTTTTCTTGTCCCCTAACACTATGGCATTCTATGTTGAAGTGGCAGCTGTAAGTATACTCAATTCCATTTTACTCGATTGCGTGTGTCCACAACTAACATAGCATTCCTTTAGCACATACAACAATTATACCTGTCACAAGATGCAAATGAAATTAAACATCTACAACATCAATTGCAACAAGTCCAAAAGAGTCCAGAAGCCCATATACTAGCCAAACACCTATTAACCAGTCCTATTCCATCAGTTCGTTATTTTGGTGCTCTAACCTATACTGTCTACATTAACCAATACCGAGGGCTAGGATGGGACCATTTCCGTCCCTTAGTCACAGATATGCAATTGTTTATTTGGGAACAACTAAGAACTGGTACTTCTAATTGGAATGTAATCAAGAAGCTATTGAGTGGTTTATCTTTGCTTTACATTCAATTCTACAAAAGTGGCTATGAAACTCCGGTTGAATCATTAATGGCTGGTGGTAGTGGTCAAATTGTAACCTGGGATCAATTCAATTCAGAGTCAAAAGATGTATGGCAATTGTTATTTACTTTTTTACAAATACTAGTGGAGGAGATCATTAGAGCAGAACCAGACTCTAAGATTCATGAGTACGTTCAAAACCATATTTATAGTGTGTTGAATGGACTCTTTGGACAACAATTACAATGTCATTCAATTGACTTACAATTGACAAATTTAGAATGTCTAAACTCGTGGATCCCGTATTTCACCTTTGCAGAATCAAATTCCAATGTCCGATACCCAGATCTCAATTTAATACTTGATTATTGTCTTCAAGAGTCCAGTAGTTTGGATTTAGATAAGTTGCAGGTTTCTGTCAAAGCAATGGCCAATTTAACAGAAATATTAGAGGGTAACCGTGCAGTTATATCTGAACCATATAGAAATACGCTTGCACATAATCTTTTTGAAGGATTTGGGATTGATTTTATTAAACAGATTATTCTTTCTGATGATAAACAGGATTACGAAGAAGAAATTACGGCGTTTGTCAGTCTTGTTATGGCATATTTGGATTTGGATATTTTGAAATTAGCAAGAGATTTTCTATCCCCACAAAACCAAGTTATACTTAATATTTTATTGGAGCTTGTGAAAATTGATTTGGGTTACAATGATAGAGTAAGTGACCAATTATTGAAATTCTGGGAAGATTTGGCAAACGTATTCTTTGGTGATGATGAAGTACTAAGGAATTATCATAAAGTGAATTATTCTGGATTTGTCCGTGAACGAAATAACCTTTTTGCAAAACTTACAACCATTTATTGGTCAAAATCAGTGATTAAACCACAACTATATGAAGAATATAAAACAGAAATCCATGATTTCCGAAGACAAGTCGCTGATTTCTTTATTGTGGCATATGAACTTTTAGGCATGGAGCTTTATCATATTCTTTCAAACAGTGTGCTTAATAGCTTAATAGGATTGAATACGTTGGCGGAAAATGAACAAGAAGAAGAAAACATATGGAAATTGGAAGGTTCCTTATGGCTTCTTTATATGATAACAGATGATTTAACCTTTTATGAAACAGGTGTATCTAAAGGTTTACAAGATGACATTATAAACCTATTAAACAATGGACTTATTCAAACGGTTTATAAGCTTAGGTTTTCAAGCAGAAATTTGAATCCTATTATCTTTTCGACCCTTTTAAAGTTCACGTCTTCAATATCATTCGTCTACTTATTGCCTGATGCCAGTTATCATCTTCAATCGATATTGGAGATGCTTTTTGGATTTAGTTTGGAAAAGGGACTTGATTTATCTTTAATAGCTTCTAAGACTTTACTAACAATATGTCTGAGCTCAAGATCAATATTAATTCCATATCTTGGTGACTTTGAAACTTCTACGTTCCAAATTATTGATGATACAACTATGGATCCACTAATTGTCCAGAGAATGGTGAATGCCTATATTTCAATTGCATTGGCAGTCAAAGATCCTTCAAGATTTGGAATGATAATTTTGAACTTGCTTCAGAAAATTGAAAGTGCATTCAAAGTTCCCCCTGAAAACTTTACTAGTGAAGAATTGTATTATGAATATCATTCATTGATGCCATCCTTGGTATTTCAAATGGCTAAGGCTTCAAACTTACCTGGAGAACCTCATGATTTCTATACAAAAGATCAGATTGTTGTAGTGGATACTTATTGGCAGACAGATATCTTACAAATCAAATCATTTATCTTACATTTAGTAGGACAGTTCTCTCTTGTGGATCAAAAACTTGCCTATGATGCCTCAATCACTGAAAAATGCTGTCAAATACTTAAAAGCGGATTAAATGAAGTGGTAGATGGTCCTTGTAAGTTCCCAATATCATATTGTGCTGATTACTTATCTACAAAAATTGAGTCCTGTGATCAAAACTCTCTACCTTATTTATATGAACTTGTTCAAGCCATTGTGGATAGCAATTACAAGGCCTTGACGTCTTCAGAATTGGAATTGGTTCTCAATAAAGTATTCCTAGAGAAGTCGACTCAATTAATGAGTGACTCCGACTCTATACAAACAGTGGTGGAATTATTTGCATCAATATTGGAGAGGAAACCTTCCCTTGTAATTCATTTGTATATGATGTCAATTGTTTTAGCTGATTTTGCCTTACCATCAATTACTGCTAATGAAACTCTCACCTTAAGAAGTGGGATGAAATTCTGGAATGCCATGATAACTTTAAGACGAGGCTCTCAACAAGATCAACAAAGAGCAAGAGAAATGATCACAGAAATCGGACCCTCTCTTACCAAAAATCTAATGACAGGCTTTATTGGTACTACCAGATCAAACTTAGAAATCTTTTATCCTGTCTTCAGAAACTTGATAGCAAAGTATCAACTTCAGATGAAAGAATGGCTACAGGATGTGTTGATACAATTAAAGAAGTTTGATCAGACTAAAATTGATACCTTCATTAAAAGGCTTTTGTTAACCAGAGGTCAACATGCTTGTAACCAAATACTTAAAGAGTTTTGGCTTGAAACTAATGGGTTGGTTGACTACAGTTCAAGATAAACAGAGAAAGACATTGATTTGATAATTATACATCCATATTAGGAAAGTACTTGCTCCAACTTTTGAGTCAAGTACTCGGCTTCATCATTATAGTTGAGATCATAGAGGGAAACACATTGGTATCTTACTCTTGTTTCATCATTGAAAGTTTGTTGCTTTGCTCTAACTCTGAAAGCATATTCCTTTCCTTCAAAGGAAGACATTATTTCACTAAATTCACTGAATGGATCATCCTTCAACTTCAATAATTCATTGGCATTCATCCCTACCAACTTATTGGCCTCTTCATCAAACAATGTTAACCACATTTGTCCACTGGAATCAATCACCGACACCGAGGCAATATATCTATGGTTTGGTTCGCTATACTCTTTATCACACCTTTCACATCTGTACAGTCCAGTATTGTTGACGTCAATAAGCTTACGATTACATTTAAGGGTTTGGTTTGGATTGTTGGCACTAGGAACATCATTGGGACAAGCATTATAACAGAAATTGTCCGGCTTGAAGAAACTAATAGTTGCCTTAATTGTGAAATAATCAGCTTTATCAGATTTCCCCAAGTTTTCTGAATCAGCTTCGGCAATTAATTTCCGATTTTCAATCCGACTTGTGGAATTGGATTCTGTCTTCATGGTTTTGAAATCTTGATGAGATCCTTCATTATCGTACCATCCTTTCAAGGTATAAGCTTCTTTAACATCTGGATTGGGGATCATTGAACCTGAAGGTGTCATAGTTAAAGATCTCCCATTGAATTCTTGGATTTTAACTCCTTTGAAAGCAACAACTGTACCTTCAGGTTGACTAAATTCTAAGGCTGCAGTATTCCATAAACCAAGCTGTAAGGCGAACCCGGTGCTATCAACCAAAGTAAGATTTCTTCTATCGAATGATTTCCCGGTGGTTCTAGCAGTGACTTGAAAAACAGGATTAACCTCTTTGATGACCCCAATAACATCAACAATTGAATTGGGTTCAAAATTTTGGATTTTATCTAAAGATACAAAGTTAAAATGGACTTTTGGAACTTCTGTTGTATCCATACATTCGGAGATTTCAGTATCTTTATCTAAAGTTAATTCATAAAGATGTGATAATCTACTGAATTGAGGTTTACTTTGTTGCATTCTCGCCTTGGAAACATAATAGACTTTATCTTTTTCCAACATGTTACTGAACTTGTCTGCCCATTCGTTGAAAGCAGTAGCTCTAATCTCATCAGATTCATCCAAAAAATTGAAGTTCACCAATTTACCTTCACCTCTTTGGTTGGACCATGTTCTCATGTCACCTTTATAACTAAGTCTTGCTTTGATCTTCCAGTTATTTTGGTAAGGAGAGAGTTGATCTATTGGAGTAATGAGAGATTTTTCAATTGATCTTTGAGCCTTCTGGTTCAAACTAGAAGCTGTTGGTGCAGCTGGTGTTGTTGATGATGGAGCTGTTGCTGCTGCCTTTGTTCCGGATTCATCCATTGGAGAAGGCAGATTACCTGCACCAGTACCCATTTGGAACTCTCTTAATAAAGCTTGACCTCTTTCAGTGACAGCTTGATCTGAAAGATCATCTTCAGGATGTTGTTGGAAATAAGTATCGATATCAATTAATTCCTGGGGCAACTTCTTCCCGTCTTCTAAAAGATCTAACCCACTGATTAACATGATATGTTTCGATACATAGGTCAAAGCATAGTTACCTGGTGTAAGCTTGACATAACAATATTTTTGTAAGTTCCGACGGGATAATACATCGGCAAAACTTGGTGATACCAATCCATGCATCACATACATTCCATCAGTGAGTCTTACTCTGTATCTTGGACCGAGTTCGGTAGTATAAAGTTTGAAATTGGTGCATTGAAGAGTCAAAGGTTTCCCTTCCCATTTGGCATGATCTGCTTTGGAGAAGAGTCCTTTTAACGCGCCCGTACTAAGTTGAATTGCAGTCATGACGCGTGTATCACGTTAATTGACAGTATATATGTCCAATGTACGCGGTGATAAGAAGAGTGAAGAGTTAATTACAAGGTTTAAGTAAATGATTGCCACGAACTTTAATGATACGCGTTGTGCGCGCTACCATGCTTTTCGCGCTACCACGGTATGTTAGTCGTATATCCTGTCATTGTTAACTACACTCATATAACGTTAATAGTTGGATATTAATATACAAAGAAGTATGTGTTGAACATAGAAGAATATAAAAGTAAAACCAGCCCTCCAAATGGGATGTTGAAATCATGAAAATATAGTTGTCTCTCTAATAATAAACTTGTATCAGTTAATTTATAACTTGGCCTGGACTTGAACAGAAACGGCATTATACAATTCGTCTTTAGAATTGATCTTGACAGCACCAGCCTTTAACAAAGCCTTGGTCAAATCGTCAATCAAATCTTCGACATTCTCGATACCAATACATAAACGAATCAAGTCTTCAGGTAAAGCTCTTTCCTCTCTTGTCTTAGCATCAATGGATGCATGCGACATTTGACAAGGCATGGAAATCAACGAGTTGACACAACCAAAGGAAACAGATATACCAAAGATATCTGTCAGCTCACAAATCTTCTCTGAGACCTTGATGGACCCGGTTTCAAAGGATAAAACAGCTCCATGGCCACGACACATGCTTTGATGTAATTCGTGTTGGGGATGAGATTCAAGTCCAGTGTATCTCACTTTGAAGCCAATCTTTTGTAAAAACTCAGCTACCCTTTGACAATTTTGTTCTTGTCTTTCGACTCTGATGGCCAATGTCTTTAACCCACGTGACAAGAGCCAGCAATCATAAGGTGCCAATCCACATCCAGTGGCATTGATCACATAATAAATGCGCTCGGCCAACTTACTGGATCGGGTAGCAATAACTCCGGCCATGATGTCGTGGTGTCCATTCAAATACTTTGTCGCACTTTCGTATTGAATATCAACTCCCAAATCTAATGGGGTCATTAACACTGGTGACATCATGGTGTTATCGAATACAATAATACAATCTGGATTAACTTGATGAGCATGGTCTGCAATGGACTTAACATCAACCACTTTAATCAATGGATTAGTGGGAGATTCCAAAAATATCATCTTGGTGTTGGTGGTGACTTTGGCTTGAATCAATTTGGTATTGGTAGTATCATAATGGGCAACCTTTAAGTCACCCTTATCCTTTAAATATGTCAATAACCGATGGGTTCCTCCATACAAATCGTCTCCCGCAATTACTTCATCTCCAGGACTTAACATCTTGGTGATAACATCAAGACATCCCATACCACTGGTGACTGCAAACGCATCATTGGCCTTCATTATTCTGGCTAAATTATTCTGTAAATGTGTTCTTGTGGGATTACCTGATCTGGTGTAGTCATATTCACCCATCTCTGTTAAGGATTTTTGTTTGAAGGTGGCTGTTTGATACAACGGAGCTACCGAGGCCTTGTGGGGGTCATCTGTGAATTTTGAATGGACGATTTCCGTCTCTAAGCCATACGATTTCTTAGCCATCGTAAATATAAAGGAGTTTAATAAGGAAGTAAGTATTGAACAATTCATTGACTCAGACTCCACCCCGAAAATTTAACCTATTGGTTATCACCAGTTCCCAAAAGGGGAATCGGTGTTCCATATACAGGATACACCGGAGTATAATCGGGGCTACTACGATACAACATATAGTAGAAATGACATAGTAAAATAACATAGTAAAATGGCATAGTATAAATAAATGTCTTATTTGATGCGTACGTGTACATAAGGAGTAGCCATATAAATTAAGCCAATGCTTCTTGGATTTGCTTTCTAACATCATTAGGTTGTTCTCCTAATAAAACCTTAGGGCCAGAGAATGGCTCGCAAGATGCTCTTCCGGAAACAGGCCCGATGGATTTCAAAGCTTCACCAGATTGTAATTTCTTCAATACGTCAACGGTTGCTTCGGGAGTCAAATCTTCAATGAAATCGTCATTAACAGCGATCATAGGAGCATTGACACAAGCACCCAAACATTCAACTTCATGTAAAGTGAATAAATTATCTTTAGTAGTTTGACCAGGTTTGATTTGTAAGAAATCTGTGACAGCTTTCATAATACCATCAGATCCACATAATTGACATGGGGTAGTGGTACAAACTTGAATATTGTACTTACCCATTGGTTTCCTATTGTACATGGTATAGAAGGTAGCAACCTCATAAACTCTCATAGGAGGCATGTCCAATAATTTGGCAACATAATTCATAGCACTAATGGAGGTAAATCCCAATTGACGTTGAGCTAAATCCAATAAAGGCATCACTGCACCTTTCTTATATTGTGGAGGGTATTTGGCAATGATGGATTTGACTCTTTCTTTGTTTTCGGCATTGAACTCAAAGCTAATTGATGGGTTATCTTCTTTTATGTCTCTGTGGACGGAAATGATAGATGAAAACCGTTTACTAACGATGGTGGATCTAGCTAATGATCTGGGGACAACGTATTTGAACATTATGGATTGTTATATATATGTGAAAGTGATTCTGACTGTGAATTAGACTGTATTTGTCTTCCTTATGGCTTAATCACCCTAAATTCTTTAAACCACTAAGGCCGACTGGCTAATGAACTTGAAAGTTGTAGCAGCTTTTCGTTATTGGTCTGCACACCGAAAATTTCTCGCATAATAGTATAATGGTCGAACATGATTGGCTGGTTATATGTCGGACTTATTTAAGTTAGAAGTATATAGAGAATAGGTTTATGTTAAGAGAAGTAGCGGGTATAAGTAATCTAATCACAGTATTCAAGATATTAGACTAAATAGGGGAATACTAGTATAGAATTTAGTACTGAAAAGTAGCCATATAAATTGTGTACTGCATATAGTAGATATAGAACTAGTATACCACCAGGTGAACAATCATACAACGTTACTCTCGAATAGCATTACTCTGTTGTAACTGTACAACCATGTCATTGCACAACTATGTTGGTATTGCATCACTTTGTCTTGTACTGATAACTCTCTTTTAACATAAAGTCTAGCATACTTTGTTCAAAGAGAGTCATACCAAATTTTTGCAGCTAACTTTGGTTGACACCGATGGCAGTTTCCAATGAATTAATATAGATCTTAGAATAAGTCGCTGAGTAACTGGTAGCAGCAGAAGTGGCTACTGGATAAGAACCGCTTTTAACGGCCTTAACAGTTCCATCACTACCAGCATCTTGTTCAGTAAAGAGAATCTCATTGGTCTCCATATCTACCACCACACAATACTTTTCAAAGATAATATTGGGTAACGAACCCACAAGGGCTGTAGGAACATCAATGACCTTATAATCCAAGGAAACATAGACGATACCGTTTGAGGTTAATTCACCGTTAATAATGTCACCTAAAGAGAATTGAATGTTGTATCCCGTGATACTTGCTGTTAGCATAGTGCCTAATACTCTACTCTTCAAATAGTAGGTGACCCCATTACTTCTAACTCTTTGTGGTCCCATAAGCAAATCAATGTTGATCCAAATGGAATAAGGAACGTTCAACAGACTACTACTTGTATCCAAGTTCATGATAAGCTTTTCATTGCTTACAATGGTATTGTTGAGCATTAAACTGTTCATGGTTACTGCTGTATATTGATAAACCGTAGATTGTCCTTGCAGAGTTGCAGCCAATGCTACTGGAGTCTTTACCAATGGTCCAGGGCACGCTAAGGTATCAATGCCTCCAAATACAATTCTACCATCAGCAATTGAATACATAACTGTTGATATGGCCCCTTGGTCCTTTAGAATCATGGGGAAGTTAGAATAAGACGGTTCAATCTCTTCAGAAGCAGGATACCCAATACCCAAAATACCTCCGACAGATCCTGTGATAGCATCCAATGAGGTGTATCCAAAATTGAGTCCAGTGACATTCCAATTGATCACATATGGACCGCCAAACATCTCTGTTCCGACATCAGCACTAATGGAGTAATCGTTATCGGTATAAGACGATCCAGTGTCAACCAAGGTCGAAGATTCAAAGATGGAATACACAGACAGACTAAGCAACAAATCTCCAACAGAAGTATCGATCATAGTGTTGGAGACTTGTTGCTTAGTCAGACCTATCCAAAGTCCGTCTGTGATCATGAGCATATCGTTTATGTAGTCGTAGTGAAGCATAACATAATCAGAGGGCTTTCTGCGAACGCATACAAGCGCACCAGAGGTTAGGCCAAAGAACATTAACACTAACCCTGATAAACGAAGAAGAGAATTCATGATGTTGATGATGCTACTGCTACAACTATTACACTTCTACAATATCTATAGCTTTATATATGTCGCGATCAACAGTTGAGCTTGTAGAAGAAAAGGTGATTGCCTAAAAAAGCAGACAAAATTGGAAGAGTATCGTTAACTTTATACTGGGATTGTTTGTTTTAGTCACATTGTAGTTACCGCATTTAGATATGGGTACAGAGTCAAGTGTGTTGGTGTTACAGGGTAAAACAAATAACACATAGCACTACACACGGACATATATACTGTGGAACAGTGTACTTTTACTCTGGACACTTTGCACTATACACTATACACTATACACTACACTATTCACTATACACTGTACACTATAAATTATACACTATGCACTATACACTATAAATTATACACTATGCACTATACACTATACACATGGCACAATGTTATGCTACGTTGTACTCTGTACACTATACGCTGAGCACTAATCAACTACCTGGTTCATACACATTCATATACTGTTCTATTGATGTTTCACTGATAAGATCATAAAGTTATTGTGTCATTCTCTTCTAAAGTAACCTTATTAATTGTAGTACATCCAAACCCCCCTAAATGTAGTAGTCCAACACTATTACAATCCTAGACTATCATACTATTCTACTGTAAGCATATAATTCATATTACAAGTATTCATACATAATGTCTTATGTATCTTTAATGACTTTTGCTTAAGGGCGTTGAAAGGCAGACCATAAATGGTTGCCAGTGTCGTGTACGTTTGCCAAATGTGGCTTCCTGTCTGGTCAACTAGTGTTACCTTCACTTGAAGAGCATACCCTTAAAGTGAAAGTCATTTACAGAACATAATTCTTGTTATTCTATTCTATTTCCTAATTGGAGCTGTTTATGTAATATTATTATTATTATTATTATTATTATTATTATTATTATTGTTGTTGTTTATAAGAGACCCGAATTCCTCATTTTACTGCTAGTTCATCACATACGACAAAGTGTTACGTTACTATTAGGTAGTACATTATTAAGCTTTAACTTCATGAACCAACGTACTTCAAAAGGAATCTTTGAGACTCCAAGGTCTCCTTCAAGATCTACAAGAAGTCTAGAGCCTCCTAGACCCGGAGATGGGATCCCTTTACCTTCAACTTCTCCACGACGTCGTCAGGTAATCTTTAGTGACAGACATATACCCAACAGAACCGGAGTTGATCTTCAAGCAGCTTTCAGTTTATCAAATCAAGATGAAATAACACTGTCGTCTCATTCCAGAAATGCTGATAACGAAATTGAATTACGTAAAGAAGAAGAAGCTAATCGAACATTTTCCACAGTATTAAAAGCAGAATTATTTGGTGATAATGTTCCAATGGCTATGGCTAATTTGTCACAACTGAGTCTTCTTTCAAGTTCCCCGATTAAGGCTCCTCCAACCAGAACAGCTCAAAACTTGTCATCCAGCTCAGCCATACCTACATCTCATAATATACCTGGTGGTGGGGGTGAAGATGACTTTCTTGGAGGAGCTGGTTCCTTACTTGGTGGTGGTGATTCTATCAACACTGGTATTATTGGAGGGTTGAACTCTGGTAGAAGAACTCCTCCATTGGATGAGTCTAATAGTACTACAGCATTAATGACATCTGATCAATCAGTGACAAATACTCCTAGAAGGAAAACAAATTTATTTACCTACCAATCTCCTCAGAAAACAAGGCCTATTTCAAGAGACTTACAAAGCGAATTGTTTTCCCTAAGTCCAGTACGACAAGAGTCTCAAAAATTATTATTGTCACCCCAAAAGAAGCCTAGAAACATCTCCAAAGTTCCTTATCGAGTATTAGATGCTCCAGAGCTTCTGGACGACTTTTATTTGAATCTCGTGGACTGGGGCCAACAAGATATTCTTGCTGTTGGATTGGGAAGCAGTGTATATTTATGGGATGGATCTACCCATTCCGTTGAACAGTTGTGTGACTTTGAAGATGAAGATAAGGTTACAAGTTTAAGTTGGATAGAGCTGGGGACTCACCTTGCAATAGGAACAGGAAAAGGGTTGGTGGAAATATGGGATGCCACCAAAATGAAATGTGTTCGAACTATGACAGGACATAACTTGAGAGTAAGTTCACTTGCTTGGAATGAACATGTTTTAAGTAGTGGATCTCGAGACCGGACTATTTTGAACCGTGATGTTCGTATTGAGAGTCACTATGTGAATAAATTTGAAACTCATAGACAAGAAGTTTGTGGGTTGAAATGGAACGTAGAAGAGAATAAGTTGGCTAGTGGAGGGAATGATAATAAGCTTTTCATATGGGATGGATTGAACACTAAACCATTATATTCATTTTCTAATCATACAGCTGCTGTGAAAGCCATAGCATGGTCGCCACATCAAAGAGGTATACTTGCATCTGGTGGAGGAACAGCTGATAAGACTATCAAGACCTGGAACACTTTAACAGGACAAATGATCCATGATGTGGATACAAGCTCACAAGTTTGCAATCTTGTATGGTCCAAGAACTCCAATGAATTGGTATCTACTCATGGATATTCTAGAAATCAAATCATTGTTTGGAAGTACCCTTCAATGCATCAGGTTGCACAATTGACTGGCCATACTTATAGAGTACTTTATTTGGCACTTTCACCTGATGGAGAAACCATAGTTACCGGTGCCGGTGATGAGACTCTCCGGTTTTGGAATGTTTTTGATAAGAACCGGAACAATCAGCCACCGTCTTCGATATTACTCGATGCATTTCTGCAGCTCCGATAGGACACAATCAGTAATAATAGGTTTTCTTACAGCCGATTCGCGTTTAGATACCGTATACAATTATACGCAATGGTATAGGGTATTGTCCGGTAACTATATACGTTACTCTAAGCGAATCCACGTGACATTTGATGGGGACAATAATGGTGATGCTACACAACTGCTACACGTACATTTTGGTGGTGATTAACTCCGTATTCCCCACTTGAAAACCGTTAGGCAATTGCAGTTGTTCCAGGAATGTGCTGTACACTAAAGTGGACGCTTACGGACCTAGTGTTCTGCTAGTACGATAGTCGTGCGGTCGGTCACCACGACGCTTATCGCAGCCACTACCCAAAATAGATGCCGTTCCCGTTGACTCACCGGGGAAGGTGTGCATATAGTACGGTAGTTTTGTCAGACTCATAGTGGGATTTTTCATTATTTAAAGAGTTGATAAGATCCGGTTACTGTTTGTGCGAATCAGCGTCAACTTAATCTTCTATTCCAACCTACCGACCGACTATGACACAATCTCCCAAGGACTTGACACATTTACTTTCTGCCGAAGCTAAGAGTCGAAAGAACTCTCCCTTAAAGGAATGCTTTGTGTACTTTGGCCAACCTGGGTTAACTTTCTTAGGTGGTGGATTACCATTGGCTGATTACTTCCCATACAATAAGATTTCAGCTGAAATCCCAACTCCTGGGTTTGAAGGTGGTATTGGTGCACCAATTACCGAGGCCAACAAAACAGAAATTGAGGTTTATAGACTGAAGGAAAACAATGGTCCTAATCAAATTGAATTGGCTCGTTCTTTACAATACGGTTATACTGAAGGTCATAAAGAGATTGTTGATTTCTTAAAGGAACATACCAAAATGATCCATAAGCCGGTTTATGATGAATGGGATCTTATTTGTACTGTGGGTAATACTGAGGCTTGGGATTCTACTCTCAGAACCTTTACTTCAAGAGGTGATACGATTTTCGTTGAAGAATATACTTTTAGTTCTGCCTTGGAAACAGTTAATGCTTTAGGGGTTCATACATTCCCCGTACCCATTGATGAACATGGTTTAATTCCTGAAAAGTTTGCTACGATTTTGGAAACTTGGGAAGGTCCAATTCCTCGGTTATTGTATACTATTCCAACTGGTCAAAACCCAACTGGTTCATCTGCTTCATTAGAAAGAAGAAAAGCCATTTATGAATTGGCATGTAAGTATGATTTCCTTATTGTCGAAGATGAACCATATTACTTTCTTCAAATGGAAAAATATACCACTGATCTTGAAGCTAGAAAGGCCAGACACGTTCATTCTCATGAAGAGTTTATCAAGGCATTGGTTCCCTCTTATATATCCATTGATGCTGAAGGTAGAGTACTTAGATTAGATTCGTTCTCCAAAGTCATTGCTCCCGGGTCACGTTTCGGGTGGATTGTTGGACAAAAGAAGTTATTGGAACGGTTCCTTCGTTTACATGAAGTCAGCATTCAATGTCCATCTGGGTTCTCTCAATCATTGTTGAATGGGTTATTACAGAGTTGGGGCCAAACTGGTTATTTGGATTGGTTGATTGGCTTAAGAGCTGAATATACTCACAAGAGAGATGTTGCTATTGATAGCATTCATAAATACTTTCCTCAAGAAGTTGTGACTTATGATCCTCCAGTGGCAGGTATGTTTTTCACGGTATCAATTGATACCACTAAGCATCCAAAGTTTGCCACGGATCATAACTCTGATCCAGCCAAGGTTGAAGAGGCTATCTTCCAACAAGCCATCAAGCAAGGATGTTTGATGATACCTGGTTCCTATTTCAAGGTTACTCCACCACCAGACCATAAGTTAACAGTTGTTGATGCTGGTAGTGCGAACCAGATCTTCTTTAGAGGTACTTATGCTGCTGTTCCTTTGGATGCCTTACAAGTTGGATTAGAGAACTTTGGGAAGGCGCTCAGAGTTGAATTTGGTCTTAATTAATTATACATGTCACATTATATATTTCACGTTATATACATCATACTGTATTATTATATATCATATTGTATCGTTGTATACATCATATTGTATCGTTGTATACATGTTATTGTATCGTTGTATACATGTTATTGTATCGTTGTATACATGTTATTGTATCGTTGTATACATGTTATTGTATCGTTGTATACATCATATTGCATCATTTTATACATCATATTGTATCATTGTATGTTGTGTAGTGATAGTGAGAAGTACATCGTGAGAATTATATACACATAACATACAAACATCAACAGGTACCATACTACTAACTCTTGCACCACAATAATGAAGATCATAAAGCTACCGTGGCTTGGTCATAGAGGTACGTATATAATAGTACATGCTGTATCACTGTATCACTGTGGTACAGGATATCTGTATCTGCTACTCTACGCCTACTGTATAGCTCATACTAACGACTTTAGCGGAGAATAAAAAGGTGGAATGCTACTCCATCAGCATCAACAACGATGGAACAAGATTGGCCAGTGGAGGATTGGACGGCACAGTTAAGATGTGGGATACTTCAACAGTTTTATCGTTTAGTAGAGGTACCAGTGGTAATACTTCCAATGACTTATATCGACCATTATGTTCTATGAGTAGACACAATGGAGTGGTCACTAGCGTAAAGTTTTCTCCTGACGGCAGATTTCTTGCCAGTGGATCTGATGATAAGATAGTGTTGATCTGGGAAAAGGATGAAGAACAACAAAACAGACCCAGGCAGTTTGGTGAAGCAGAACAAGATTTGGAGCATTGGACAGTCAGAAAGAGATTGGTGGCCCATGAAAATGATATACAAGATATCTGCTGGTCACCTGATGGGTCCTTATTGGTTACTGTGGGGTTGGACCGGTCCATTATGATCTGGAATGGACTGACGTTTGAACGGATCAAGAGATATGACATTCACCAGTCAATGGTTAAAGGTGTGGTGTTTGATCCAGCTAACAAGTACTTTGCCACTGCTTCGGATGATAGAACAGTAAGGATCTTCAGGTACTATAAGAAGTTGAATGACTTCAATAGTTATGAGTTCCAAATAGAACACATAGTCATTGATCCCTTCAAGAAGTCACCCTTGACATCTTATTTCCGGAGAATGTCTTGGTCACCTGATGGTCAACATATTGCCGTCCCCAATGCTACCAATGGTCCTGTTACGTCTATAGCTATTATCAATAGAGGTAATTGGGACACAGATGTTTCATTAATTGGTCATGAAGCTCCTTGTGAAGTTTGTTCCTTTTCCCCGAGACTATACGATACTTGTACTACTGCAAAGAATAACGAACGTCAACTAATAACAGTGGTGGCTACTGGTGGTCAGGATAATACCCTAGCTATATGGAGTACTAGCTCAAGCAAACCATTATTGGTGGCAGAGGATATTGTTAGTAGCTCCATAACCGATATCTGTTGGTCTCCTAATGGGTTGGCCATGTATCTAAGTTGTTTGGATGGTTCAATCACTTGTATTGTGTTTGAAGCGAATGAATTGGGTACCGTTGTTAGTCTGGAAGTAAATGATCTTCAATTACATCGTTATGGTACCGATAGAGAGTCTACGGTGTTTCCTGAAAGTGTTGATCAACTTATATTAGAAGAAAAGGCTGGTCTTATGGAGAGAAAGAACCAGGAAGACACAGGTACAGCAGTTTCTGTATCTGTTCCCGTTCCTGTTGCTGTTGCCGCTAGTAGTACTCCTGCTGCACCTGCTACTGCACCCACTGCCGCCCCTGCTCCGGCTCCGGCTGCTACTTTGACTGCTAAACAAGTTCAGAAACTTACCCAAAGTATGGTCATCACCAAATCTGGGAAGAAACGAATAACTCCTATATTGGTATCTTCAACACAAACACCTTCTTCTTCTTCTTCAGTATCATCAACTACCACTTTTTCAAATAAGATTACCAAGAATGGAGTGAAAAAACTCTCTCAACCTTCCTATTTCCTTCCTAAGTTTGGACTACAAACTGCTGTCCATGGATATAAACTAAAGAATGATGGCAACGAACAAAAGAGACCAGAAGATGATCATCAAGATAACGATAACGAAGATATGGCTATTGACGAAGCAAATACCAATTTAAACCAACAACAGCACAACTATATCTCTGAATCTACTTTGAAGAGACAACGAAGCAAATTAAAGCGCATTGCTATGGAAATGAAGTATCCTCAAGTGTTTAAGCAAATCACCAATTTACCTGAAGGGTTGTTCAACAATCTGCAATTACTCAGCAATGAAGTGAGTAAGTTATTGGAATCTTTCAACAAGGAAATGGTTGTGGAGGGTATCAATCCCTTGATGTTAGAACTTGATGAAGATTTACTCTTTTCAGTGGTATTAAATAAAGTTAATCATAAAACCATTGATTCCCAAGAATGGATAACTTCTTCTATTGAAGTCAGAAATGGTCAATCTTGGAGCAGCTTTGATGAAAATGAAGATATCATTGATTCAAATGATCGTATTGATTTCCAAGACCCTACAGTTGTGATGGTATCAAATTCAATCGATAAGATTAACCGGAAGTTTGTGCTACATTTCCCCTATAGAATCCAACATGCTTATCCTGTTGTGGTTGAAGATATACTCAAATATTATGTTTTAGTTTCCTTTGGAGGGAGTGTTCAGATCATTAAAGCTGATAGTGGGAACTATTTGTGTCCCAGTATTGAGCTTGGTGATAATGTGGTTTTAGTCAAGAATAATGGACCGTATTTGATGTTGGTTAGTGGTAAAGGGCTTGTGTATTCTTGGAAACTTGATGATTGTCAATATCGAATTAAAAAGGTATGCAATGGAGTTTCCTTGGCTACAATTGTTAACTATTCAATGGATATACCCACCTCTAAGGGCAGCACCTCATTGATATCACCGAATATAAAGGGAATCAGTATATGCTCTGATGGTTCACCTTTGGTATTACTTGATTCTAATTTGAACATTTATAAGTTTAACATTGGGATGAAATGTTGGACAAAGGTCATTGATTCATGGTACTATCTTGGGTCCAGAACCACAACCATAGCCCCAGATGGAGTTGTCTTACCACGAATAGTGAATAATCTGATTCGAGATCATAGTGATCGTATAACCAAAGGACTAAAGGTTCCGTATACATTTACTGAAGATAATAAGGAATTGAAAATTAGTATGGAACAGAGATTACTTGAGCAAAAGGAGTTCTTATATTAACCTATTTGTTATTTTTATTATTGACGGCTTCTTCTTTAGATGGAGCACTGACTGATGGCTTCAAAGGAAACGACACCAAGAAGATTACAGATGAAATCACCTGGTTAACAGCAAACATCCATACCGACATTCCAACCGCACCAGTTAACCCAAAAGGTAAAGCCAAAGCCCATTCCAAAGGGTATGGTAAAACACCTGAAGGTAAATAAAACAATAAGGATTTCCGGTACCAGACTCTACAGAACCAAATGGGGATGGTTATTAAAATGGTGAATATCCAATCGATCAACTTGTTAACTTTAGTTCTGTCTATATTCACTTCCAGTTGTAATTGGGTGATTTCGGTGGATAACTTGTCGGCTTTCCTATTCAATTTGGTCCATTTGGCATATTCATCTTGGGCGCTAATGGCTTTCTTTTCCTTGTTGATAGCAATCAATTCTTGTTTCTTATCGTGCAACTTGACATGGGTCCCACCCTTGACGGTTTTCATATAAACCATCCATGCTAAGTTGTGGAGGGACGGTTTCCCTGCGGTTGACACTATGGCTTTGGCCGTGAGGAACCACACCACAAGAAGAAGTATGGAATAAGGTGTCATCGTATGGTAGTAGTATGACGTACAGAGTGGGATACGCCAGTAGTACTCTACTACTATGTCACTACTACTACAGCACTTTAGTGAACTGTCCCGCTCTTTTGATTCGTGCACGACGAAAACTTTTCATCAACAGTTTAAGGAGAATCACTTAATTAAGTCGTACCCTTATCGTCTCAAAGCATCATCATCATGGCCAGTGAAGGAGAAGAAGACTACGTACCATGGATCCGACAATTTTGTAAGCTGTTTGGACACGATTACTTTGTTGCCGTATCGCATGAATTTATTGAGGATGACTTCAACTTGACGGGACTCTCATCACAAGTGCCTTATTATAAAGAAGCTCTTTATACGCTTTTGGATTATCAAGTTGACACCATTGAAGACGTTAAGAACGGAGGAGATTCGTCTAATAATAATAATAATAATAATAATAATAATAATAATAATAATAATAATAATACCACCACCACTACTACTTCGAATAATAGTAATAATAAAAATAATAATAATACCAAACCGGGGAAACCAAAGCATGAATTGCCCAATCGGGTTATCTTGGACAGTTCAGCTGAATTGCTTTATGGACTTATTCATGCTCGTTACATTGTGACCAAGGCTGGATTAACGGAGATGGCCGGTAAGTTTGAGCGCAATGAGTTTGGAAGTTGTCCGCGGTACTATTGTGATTCTATGCATTTAATCCCCGTGGGACCTCTGGATATATCTGGTCAAGAAACAGTCAGATTGTATTGTCCATGTTGTAATGATACATATGTACCCCAATCACTGAGGTTTTTAAACATTGATGGGGCCTTTTTTGGAACGACATTTCCAGGGTTGTTGGTACAAATGTTCCCTGAGATTGAGAATCAATGTCGCATACGGTTGAATAAATACAAGAATGAAGAATTTGGTTTACGATTATTTGGGTTCAGAATCAACGAGAAAAGTATGAGTGGGCCTCGGGTAAAATGGTTAAGAGCGGTCCCGGAAACGGCTGATGAAATAGCTGAATATGATAAATGTGAATTGCGATTGCCCTGGGGTGAAGGTGATGATGCGGATGAAGAGATTGAAGATGACGAAGAAGATGATGACGATAAGACCATGGCAAGCGAGTAATACATAATTCTATGTAGTATAATTAGTATTTAATGAGTTAAATGAATAGATTTCCCTGGCTCCCAATCACGGATGGCATTACTAATATTGACCCAATACTTCAAGGCAATGGCTTCCATTATCAAATGGTCCCAATCAATGGGATTAGCTGCTAATAACTTGTTGATGGTGGTTTCACTTTGATTGATCCGTTCATTATTCTCTTCACTCAATTGGTCAAGATCAGATTCCGTGTTGGCCAACTCCAAGGACTCGTGCGCTTCCATTACTGCCATTAGCATCTCCTTATAGGCAATGGATGCTTGAGGTGATGTCCCTTGAACCTCGGCTATATATTTTTTGGCAATGTCGTCTTCGGTAATGTCGACTTTGGAGGGATGATTTAGTTGTATGAAATGAGCCACTCTTAAATAGGGGTTCCTTATGATTTGATATGCTCTATTGATGAGTGCTGAAACGTCCTTATCTCCATTGGCCGCAATGTCAGGATGGGATTGGCTTTGAATGGATCTGAACTCTCTTCTGAGACTTCGTTCGTTGATCGAGAACCCATCGGCGGGAGGTCCTCCTTTGGGGAAGGATTTGGGGAATAAAGCGAAATACGATGGTGGCAGCGTGGTGATCGCCATGGCCAATCGTCTTATATTCATTCGAATCATGATATAACAGACGGAACACTATGAGAGAGTAAGAACAGAAGTACTTATCATAGTAATGTCGGTCACACTAGTTGAGTTCATTGGGGCTGGTGCGACATTTCGGTCGCTACTGCATATACCCCACGTTTTGGCGATGACTCAAATCAAATGGGCTGTACATTATTAATAGAAGGACTATCATGAATGTCATAAAGTCACGACATTTATCCATACAATGGTAGAGAAACGAGGCTTTAAGAAACGGAAGCAGTTGGGCAAAGGCAAACGACATAAAGAGTTGGCAAATGATGACCATAAAGATCCGGAGAAAGAAGACTATCTCGAGTCGGAGAATCATGACCTTGAAGACGTTACCAAGGACGCGATAAAAGATGCCCATAATGATGATAAAGACACTGATCCAGATGCTCAACTAGTTAAGAAACGGAAACCAAATGGACCCTCTAATATTTCCAGTTTCTCTTCCGATAGCCCTGGTCCAGAGATGCTCGCGTTAACAAATGCTCATGGACCAAAGAATATCCGCACCACTACAATCACAGACTTCCAACCGGATGTATGTAAAGACTTTCTTCAAACGGGCTATTGCGGTTACGGGGACACGTGTAAGTTCATTCACGTTCGAAACGAATCCACTCAGAAGAAGCCTGTGCGAAGAGATTGGGAGATCTCCACCAGCAAACCATCATCAGAGGGAGACATTGGTGGTAAAGAATTACCCTTTAAATGTGCTGTGTGCAAGAAAGACTATGATCAACCAGTGGAGACTAAATGCAGTCACGTGTTCTGTAAGAAGTGTTTTATGGATCGATATAAGAAGGGTAAGACAAGATGTTATATTTGTCAAGAAGAAACCAATGGCATAATATCACCGTATAAAGTAGACAAGTAATACATAGGACTTTATTCTATGCTCATATATACGCTTTCGTGCTGAAATTTACGTTGACTCATATATTATTTTGAATCGGACTGTATAGATTTCAGAATGGTAATCAAAGTGGTTCTTTAACGATGTATGAAAGACCAAAAGGCATAGAACAGTGTAAGATCTGGATCGATGGATGCTTTGACTTTGCCCATCATGGTATGTGCAAGTGTGAAATGAACTGATCGTATACTGAGCTTGTACTAACTTCTGTCCAGGCCACGCTGGTGCAATGCTCCAAGCACGTCAATTAGGTAAGGAACTTTATGTTGGAGTCCATTCAGATGAAGACATTTTAGCCAATAAAGGGCCTACGGTTATGCGGTTAGATGAACGTATTTGTGCTGTTGATGCCTGTAAATGGTCTACTGAAGCTGTCCCTGATTCCCCCTATGTAACTGAACCCTTATGGATGGACAAATACGGATGTAAATATGTCGTTCATGGTGACGACATTACTACTGATGCTAATGGGAATGATTGCTACCAAGAGGTAAAGGATATAGGACGTTTTGTTGTTGTCAAAAGAACTCCAAATATCTCTACTACTGATTTGGTTGGTCGTATGCTCTTGTTATCCAAAACCCATCACTATCGTAAGCTTATAGGAGAAGGAGACATTGAATCTCACCCGTTATTGTCACGTGACAATATCATTAGATTTCAACAGTATGCTACTGATTCCACAGGGTTGGCTCCAGGAAGTGGAGTATATGTGTTTAACGGCACTAATGTCACTAAATTGGTGGCACCAAAAGATGATCTCAGTGCTAATGTTGCTAATGTTAATTATGTGGACGGAGGGTTTGATTTATTCCATCCTGGTCACGTCGAAGCCTTACATGAGATAAAGAAAAGATACCCAACCACGCCTTTGATCGTGGGGATACACGACGATGCTACCATTAACTCTGTGAAGGGCTTGAATTACCCCATCATGAATATGTTGGAAAGATCTTTATGTGTGTTACAGTGTAAATATGTTGATGGAGTGGTGTTAGGGGCTCCGTATGAACCAACCATTGAGTTTATTAGCATATTAAAGGATCAATTGAACATTAATGTCGTCAAATTGTTCCACGGTCCAACTCCAATTAGAAATCATGCCTATGATAAGCTTAAAGATCTTTTAGAAGAAATTGGTCCTCATGCTTACGATGAAATGAATACGGAGTTTATTGTCCGCCGTGTTCTTGATAATCGTAATGCCTATGAAGAAAGACAACGGAAAAAAGGTTGGAAGAGTGAACTAGAGTTGAAACTACAACAAGAAGAAAAGTCAAATATGTCGTAATATTTATGTCGTCTAAAAACTAAATGTCGTGATATATTTATTTCGTTATATTGATTCGTAGCTATCGTATATCATACTTTCGTATCTTTCGTAATTTTAGTTGAGCAACTTGGCATCAACTTCCGTTTCAACACGGTCCATCATATCTTCATGTTCTTGATGGTTTGAGTTTCTTCTTTGTGACTTGTTATACAACAAATCATCAACATCAATTTCATCACCGGGTCTTCCCCAGTTGTGGTTACCAGCACCTTCCTTCTTGGTCTTGGTTGGATCGGTGTTTGAGTGTCCGTTATGGGTGAACCACTTGGGCTCGGATTTAGATTCATGGACTGTCCATTTGTTGGTTCTGGACATATTATAGTTTAATTGATAAATTTGAGTTCGTTTGTTTATATTACTAAGTTCTATAAAGACAAAAATGTATTGTTGAATTCAATGGTGGGGAGGTTGGGGTCCCCTATTTATACCCCTTGTGAATCGTGGGGTAATTTCACAGTCGTGCGACGCGCAAATGGTAGCAATGGCCGTCTTTTTGAAATCTCACGCGATTAAAGTGTTAGTCACCACTAATTATGAATGACATTTAGTGTCGTCATGGAAACCTACGACAATAGTTAAAATTTAAATATATAGGAGTTTATTTTGGTACTAATGGTAGTCACTGCTGCACACATTATATACATATACAAACTCTAGTGTGCTTCATAGTGTACTACTTAAAGCGATACTGCGTTGTACTCGCTTACTCCAGTGTGATCTGATCAAATTATATGCATGAACTGGAACTCCTGCTACATTCAAGTGAATGGTTCTAGAACGTTCTAATCAATAGATTACTTCTCATCATGGATGGTTGATCTTCTTTCTGCTCATTGACTTGTTCACAGCCGTAATCAGCCATAATACAGCCATCAATAATGTGTCCCTATCCAGAGGTCCCAATCCCCCACCATATATAACTGATGTTCGTGACCTGTATATAATCTCCGTCCAAGTATATAAACGAATTGCTGCAAAAGTTTACCGCTCAAAAATAAATGCATACTCTTCTTCTCCTCTCTGCATCCTAATATCCTACTGATTGACACGTGTATAGATCATGAAGTTCACTACACCACTCAGCGTTGTTCCAATTGTTATGGGAACAGCTATGGCCAGTCAAGCGCCTAAAGTATCCACCAATCCCGACAAAGCAATTGCTATTGCTGACTTCCCACAAGGCGGCAATAGTCAAAAGACCTTAGGGAATGTTATCTTTTACACCAAGAAAAACAATGAGGTTAAGGTTCATGTTGATATGACAGGGTTACCTGCTATGAATGGGCCCTTTCAATATCATATCCATGAATATCCCATTGGCGCCAATGGAGATTGTGAATCCACAGGACTTCATTTTAATCCTTATGGAGCAACTCCAGATTGTAGTCTGCAACCAGATGATTCTTATTGTCAAGTTGGAGATTTATCGGGTAAACATGGTTGGATTAATACCACATGTTTTGAAACCAAATATTATGACCCTTACTTATCTTTAGATCCTAATTCTCCTGCTTATGTTATTGGTAGATCTGTTGTGTTCCATTATGCAAATTTAACCAAATTTGCTTGTGCAGATATCGTACCACTCTCCAAGCAAAAGTTGACGTCCCTTGATAATGCCGCCATGGAAAAAGCCAATGAATACATGGCTGGTCAACTTGAAGGAGTAACAATTGGTGATGATAAAAGTCCACAAGTCCAATTAGAGAGAAGAAATTTGGATACTTTTGTTGATGATGATATGACTTCTTCAAAGAAATGGAACCCAAAGAATTCAACCATTCCAAAGCATAATTATTCTAATAATTCAAATGCTTCTTTAAATCATTATGAATCTTCAATTTATGATGATAGTGGTTCAAAATCAGGAAATAATGCTGGTATCATTCCTTATATGATATCGGGTATTCTTTTTGCCTTATTTTAAAAGTCTCACGATTCAAATCATGACTTCATCTCCTTTTCTCTTGGCTAAAACTTCTTCTCTTTGCTATCTTAACTTAACTTGCTAATAAAGTGACATTGTAGACCGCAGTAGTATACTTAGTCCAAAAGCTCTTATAGCATTTATAACCATTCGCTTACCTTCAATGGTCAACTCCATGAACCTGATTTCATAGTCTTCTACTCCTAGTCTCATGATGATGGTCAAGGTATCAAATATACCTTCAGTAGTGCACTGATAAAGGTACTCCAACGTACCAAATCCAGGCGAAACCAAGGGAATTTCTCTTCCAGATATCAGCAGATCCATTCCAAGAATACGGCATATCTTTTTATGTAATTCATCAGCCTTCTTATAGGTTTTTGGGTTCCCATAAACATCTGTTGAAGATTCAATTAATTCTTTACCGTTAAATTGTGATTCTTCATAAGTCTCTGGGAACTTGCTATAATCAAGAACTAATGATGATGATGGTTTAATGCTAAAGAGTTTCCCATCAGAAACGTACTTTTCAATTTTATTCAATGGGAAATAAGTTTGAGTAGTCAAGTCTAAGATTTCTCCACCAAATTTCAGTTTATAATTCATTTTCACACAATCAGCAATGTAATACCCTAAATAGTAATACCCTAAATCCAATGCCTTACAAAGTAAGATATCCCTTAGACCGGAAACGGTTCCTAAGGATAAATGTGCATAATCAGGATCCCAAATGAAATATACTGAAGAGATCCCGGTTGGAAGGAAATCTAAGACAGAAATAGCTATAAGCTTATCATGCAAGTAATAACATTCATGAATTGCGCCCAAAGGTTTGATATTATTAGGATTAGGAACCTTGCCTGTTGTAAGATCGTAATTCTTTAGCCAATTGTTTAAGTATTCAAATTGAGCAGCCTGGTGTTCGGGTGTCCTGTTAGTTACATCAGTGAAGGGTTTTGTACATAGAAATCGTTCAAATTGACTAGTAGAAACGTCTTCTGGTTCGTCATTATGAACATGGATCTGATACTTCTTGTAGAGACGATATTTCTCTTCGGTTAAGTCTGCTTCTTCAAACACCGTATGGAAAGTATCATCAAGATGTTGTTGTTCTTGGTATGCCAACCACAGTAAAGTCAAGGGACCCTTACCTCTTTTGGAAGCTGAATCATCATCACCAGAAATGGTTTTGACAAACTTATTGAGTGCTTTACGATGATTCTTGTGCATCTTCAAGTACTGTGAGTTGGTTCGTATGGTGTAAGATCGACAACAACTACGAAGAAGATCATTCTTATAAAGGTAATCCCCACTTCTTCTGAATCCCTTATTGATAAGTTCATCATAGATCTGACACGTCATACCTCCAGTCACCATGCCCAAAGAGGCGTGCTCTGGTTTATATACTTTGGGGTCTCGTATATTCTGTTGAGCCTGTTCTGATTTGAGTGCACCAAAGTCCTTCTTGGTTCCTGAGCAATAGCCGCATCTTGGAGACTTGTGATATACAGGGAAAGAGAACACCGACATAATGGAATCACTCTGATAAAGGAATCACTCTGTTAGAGGTAGTACACTAGAAGTACCTTACTGTTTAGTACGTATTTGTATGGTAAATCCTGTATATATGAGTATCTCCTATCTGCAGTACACTTACCTCAGTCAAATCAAAAGACCATCCGTGCCTGTTCTTAGCAACAGTGGCATACTCTGTCAACTGTCTGTGATGAGCACTAAATCCGTCAGTCCAAAGAAGACAGACAGACCGCTTAAGACGGAGTCTGAAGTGAGCGTTAATGCCGACACCAACGAAGACCAAGACCATGCACTTCTTTCAGATCCCGAAGACTATCTTGAAGATAACGAGTCCCTAGATATGAACCTAGCCAATGGTGACCAGAAGATATGGTTAGTGCGGTTGCCGCGTTATTTAGCCGATAAATGGTCCAACACTGAAGAAATGTCCGGGAAGCAATTGGGTCGAGTCAAGATTAGAAACGTTCCAAGCAGTAGCAGTGCTGGTGCCAGTGCCAGTGGTAGTGGTAACGGCAAGAAGTTACAAGTTAAACTTTTGCTTAATAATGAAAACGGAGAATACAATCAAATACCTCAAGAATACGACATTTCTATTCTAAATACTCAGGTGAAGAACTCGTATGTCTTTAGTGAAGAGAATTTAAAGAAGTTCAAGCAAGAATTGACGGAAGTGGCTCAATTACCTGAACAACCTCAATTACAACCCACAGAAAGTAATAAGAAGGGACTTAAGAATAAACCTCAAGCTGGAGGTAAGAAGCCGTATAGATTTTTCAGAGTTCAAAAGAATCGCTTGGGTGCTGATGGTCAGCCAGTTAAAAAATATGTACCATTTGTCAAAACTATCCCCAAAAAGACTGCTTTAATTGGGAAAATCTGTCATGATTGTCAGATTGTCCCCAGTAAAAGTGATTCCAAATATTCACAAATGCTTTTAAGAAGACAAGAGATCCAAACCAAGCCTCGACCAAAAGTTACGTTACTCGATGAGACTCCTGGGGTTATTCAATCGCAAACTGGACCTTCCATTAAAGGTAATAATACTTCTGCATTCCTTAGATCCACTTTAACCAAAGATAAGAAAGGTGGAGAAGGTAGAGCTATTAGAATGCCCAAAAAGGATTTATTGGATTTATTATTCAGATTATTTGAAGAATATGAATATTGGTCTATGAAGGGTTTAAAGGAAAGAACCAGACAACCGGAATCTTATTTAAAGGAATCATTGGATTCAATTGCAAATTTGATCAAGAAGGGTCCTTATACTTCCAAATATAATTTGAAACCAGAATATAGAAGATTAAGAGATGCAGAAAGAGCTGCAAGACTTGGTTTAGAAGACAATACTGGTGAAGATGAAAAGGAAGATGAAGATGAAGATGATATTGAAATGGAAGATGTCATTTAGTACCTACAGTATAATATTACAGTATAGTAAACTCAAATTGAATTAATATTATGTGTACAAACTCATAAACCTACATGAAACCCAAAACAATATGCATGTAAAAACAGCAGCATTTAGTTCAAAGTCTTGATGGTCAAGCTTGGTGGTAAGGTTTGTTGAACCTTCTTGGCCTTGGAAGCATCGTTGACAACCAAAGTGTATTGGTACTTGGTACCTCTAACCTTGAACTTGGTTTGCTTGATAACCTTACCGTTGGCGTTCAACTTCTTGTTGACCTTGACAACAGCAGACTTGATGTCAGATCTTCTAGCCAATTCGACGAATTCCTTAATGTCCTTGATTTCTCTCTGTTAAATAAAGTTGTTAGTATAATGAATCCAATGATTACCAGAACGATGTATCAACTGGGTTACTTGAAGTTACTTGATGTTACTTGATGTCTTCCGTTATGGAGCCATTTCCTCTAATAATTTTTCACTTGGTTCAGTCGTTCACTCTGTTCATTCGTTCACTCGTTTGCTGGTCCTGGTCCTGGTTCTGTTCCATTCAATCATCTAATACATACAGCCATCTTTGATTATTTGGTTATACAGCGATATCACCAGAATTAGGTACGTGTTAACGAGTTCCTTTTTACTTGTGGTAAAACAAACTGCTCGTCCCACCATCGACAGCCACCACTGGATGGGAACCATCGCCAGAATTTTTTTCACATAATATCCTGCACATCCGTGGAATATTCCGCGAAAGTGACGCTGAGATTTTTAGGGTAGGGCTATTTTTGCTGTCAGTTCACGTGATTAAACGGTACGAAGTACCTGCAATAGCCCTTCAATTAAGTGAACTATAACGACGTTCAGAGAATGATATCAACCGTTTAATTGCAGTGATCCATTTGCGTGTTGTATTGGAGATCATAATATTAGCCGATTTCCCTTCAATTCTCAGGCTAGCACTTCTAGCATGGATACCCACATTCTGTACGCCAATAGGCCATGCAACATTTCCAATACTCAATTTTAAATAGCTTTCATTTGCCTGTAGAAACTGATGGTTTTGAAGTTGATGCACAATTGTTCCAAGAGTTATGATCATTTCTGGTTTCAAGCGATGGGTTCGTAGCTTATAAAGTAATGGAACCATATCTCTTTTAGTCTCATAAAGTATACGAGCTTGCTGCCTGTCAGATTGTAGATCGTTCTCCCATTGGACTATGAGACTTTTGAAGTATTTCCGAAGTTGTAGGTATATTTTATCTGTGTAATTAGCATCTGTTACTTGTTCAATGATCACCGTAACGTCGGTTTCAGCTTCCAAATCCAACTGGAGTTTATAGGCATGTTTCTTTTCTTCACTATGGATCTGCTGACTTAATCGTAGTAACTTTTCCTCTTTAGAAAGTTTATTGAAATTGCAGTCACCATCATTATCAGTATTGTTATTATCACCACCAACCATTTCTTTCCATGTTTTCTCAAGGACATCGTTGTCTATAGCTTCAGTAACTAACAATATCTCCTTGGCTTCAATAGCATCGCTACTGGACTCCTTTAAAGGTGATGCTTCAGGTTCATCTGACTTCTTGAACTCCTTCTCCTTCTTCTTCTTCTTCGTCTTCTTCCGTAGCTCCTTGCCAAAGAGTGCATCAAAGTCCATGTCGCCACAGTCACTGTCACTTATCAGATGTCAATCTCGTACAGCGATCTGGGGCCCCGCACTAATTCGGGTTTTCCCTGTTTGGAATTTTTCTACCAACAAACCAAAGGCAATTATCGGTAGTCGTCACCATCAACAAGACCGGACTCAATTAGACGTGACACATCAAGCTGCTACTAGTAGGTGCTAGGTGTTACATAACATACACCATTGAGACAGTGCTATAGTATAGTACTTATACACTGTGTGCTAATACGAACAAAGTACTACGCCGTGCTATACCCCTGTGTGTGCGCTATACCTTGTGCGCTATACACGTCCTGATATAAGGTATTACATCCTGTTAGATGTCTACAGAAGGTTTAGACCTTGGGGTCAATGTCGCTTCTGACCCCCTGAAAGCTCCACTTTCCTCCACTGCAAAGCTGACGTCCTCGGGCAAAGAGGCCGAAACCGGTGACATCGCCCCCGTTGTGGAGGATGATCAACACTCGGTAACAGCAGAATTAAGAGCCAAGTTTGCCGATGATATCCATTCCAAACCAATCACTCAACCGCAAACATCACCTTTGCTTCTGTCGACTCCCCCCACCGTCTCCAAGTCGTTGGTCAAGTCATACCCCTATCTTTTGGTGCTAAACAAGATTCTATCGATATTGACATGGACAAACGATGATTATTGGGTCAACATCACCATCTTATCGTTATACCTGTTGTTTATCATGTACTTTGAGAATATCATAACTTGGTTTGGTCATTTAATCATCGTGGGTGCAGTTGGTGTCTATGTAGTGTTGAATAATCGGGTTGTGGAAGAAGCAAGTTTACATCCCACGTTAGATGACGTTGTTCAAGTGCTAACCACTACATGTGTCAAAGCAGATATTCTTTTAAGCCCAATTACTACTCTTTCTTTGACTGCTAATGACATCAAACGGTTACTTTTCACCACGGTATTCTTAACTCCAATTTACTTAATTGGTACTTTTCTTATAATAAGGCCTAGGAACATCGTCCTTATCACGGGACTTTATGTTTTATCTTATTATTCAATGTTTTCCAGAGTATGTCGTCGTGTCTTGTGGAAATTGAAGATTGTTAGAGCCTTGTGCTTTTATCTAACTGGTTTAGATTTCCTGCAAGCTAAGAATTCCAATTTATTCTCAGCAGCTTTAGCCAAAGTACAACAGCTGAGTGGTCTTAGCGTTGGTCTTAATAGTGGGAATGGATCTATTGGTAGTGGTGGTGCTAATCCTGTACGGTTTACCTATGTAATCTATGAGAACCAAAGACGTTGGCTAGGTGTTGGATGGACCCTGAATTTATTTTCATATGAAAGAGCTCCTTGGACTGATGAGTTTCTTAATGAAAGTTCATCGATTGAAGATTTCGAATTACCTAATATCGATGATTTACCAGTTGATTCACCTCAACGAATCAGTGGTGCCAAATGGAGATGGGTTGATAAAACTTGGAGACTTGATTTAACTAATGATGGAGCTCTACAATTACCCAGTAATAAAAGATCTAAAACTACTGCTGATCCATCTACTGATGAAGGATACGTTTTCTTTGATAACACGTGGAAAAAACCACTGACTGAAGACACTTTTTCCAAGTATACACGTCGGAGAAGGTGGATTCGTACTGCTGAATTAATCTTTGATCCATCTAGTCCAACTTCAATTCGTCAAACTGGCAGTGGACGTTTACTGAGTCCTGGAGTTAGTCCAACTCGTAGGCAACGTAATTCTATCGATGAAGAAGAAGAAGAGCATCATGGAGATCATGAAGAAGATCATGAAGAAGAACAAGTATCAATAGTTGAAGAACGTAAAGAAGATGATGATGAAAGTAAACATGTTCATGAGGAAGTAGCTACACTTTTATCACAAAACTCCCGTACTTCGACATCATTTTCATCACCCAATGAAGAAGGAATTGGATCTACTTCGAGAAAGAGAAAGAGTTTACGGTTTGATGAAGGTCCGGTTTTAAAATCCGACTAATGCATTCCGATACACACATGTCAATGAATTTAATGTGATAAAGGTTATCGATATCAATGTACAATTTAATTTCAATTTAATAATATGACTGCACAAGATCTGCTAACAATGTTCATAAGAGACCGATACCGGTTTTGTGGATTCGAATAGATTGTTAATTTCTATTGTTTAACAATGGATCAATTATGCTAAAGCCAACGTCAAGGTAGTGTTGCATTGTAGTACATACTACATTACACTATAGTGGATAGAGCATTAGTATAGTATCGTAGAATTGTACCATGGCAGCTAATTAGCACTGTTGCATATAGTACAGTAGTACATATCAAATGGATCCTGGACTTGGTCTTGCTAGTTGTACCTCGCACTTTGAGATCACGGTCCCTGTAGTCACGTGACCTGGTTTCATCATAAGCATGTACTAGGAACTCCATATCTTGATGATGATATCAAATTGTCTGATTTCCTCTTGAGTGTATCTGATCACGTAGTCCTCATAATCGTCTACATGCGTAAATGCACACCAGAAATAACCGGAACAGCCCAAAGACGGATTCTTCTTAAAGCCTCGGCTAGGTTTCTTGAGGAACTTATACTCCACATTATTCGGTATAATGGCACCATTAATCTGCATTGAGCTTTGGTAGTTTTCCTTTAACTCTTCCACAGATTTGAACGTCTTTCTCAAGTGCTTTTGTTTCGCATAGTCCCGTTGCCATGAAGGTTTCTTGCATACCTTCAAGCCACCATTGAGCCATAATAAAGTCTTGTGACTGTCGAAATGAGCTACCTGGGTAGAACAGATCGAATAAAAGTCTTTGTAAATATCGTCTTTTACTACTCCCACGGCACCAGCGGAATTGGAGTTGAATGTGTAATCTTCATTGCCAGCAATTGATTGGCCTAACCAAAATAGCTCTTTATCTCCGTAAATAGGCGAGCTGGTCGCCTTCTTCAACTGTAGGACGGTGGATATTAACAATCCTAACAAATGAGTACTACGCTGTAATACAACCACTCCGCTTTCCATTACATGTTTCTGCTTATGTTTGAAGAAAGCATTGTCCATGGTTATCTCTGTAGCCATCGACAAATTAAATAATTTCCATTCTGCAACAGAGGGAAGTAGTTCTTTATAAAATGATACGTCGCTGGAACTTATGGTCTCACCAATGGCTCTGTCCTTAAAAAAAAGTGCACCTTTTAGTTTACGGCTTTCCATATTCAAGAAATGCTCGGGGGGGACAAAGGGAACTGTGTCGCTGTCCATTAACACCATTTCGTCAAATGAATTGAACAAAGAAGCAATCCATTTATTCGAGAACCGTTTGAACACTTCGATATACAGTGGATGAATAGCCTTAGAAGCGTCAACAAACCATATGTCCTGTAGAGAGTCATCGATGAGAAAGTCCTCACTGATAGTTATTGTCGTTCTCGATGTCCTTATGATCCAGTCTTGTGAACCTTGGGACAAGTCTCCCTTATGTACAATTTCAATGGGTAGCAGGTTTTTCAAGTATCTCAAAACCTTGATCAAGCGTACTACGTCTTCCACTTGTCCTTCTCCCACACTTATGACTATCCCTTGTCCATTTGCTTGATGTATAAATTGGTTCCAAAAACAAGTGCTTATACTATTCTCTTGCAGAAGGTTGTCCTCATTATTGCTCATTATGGGTATCTGCCGAACAATTCCATCCCACCTTTTGTACACTGGAAGTTCTTGAGAAAAGAATGGAAATAGTTTATACTCCACATCATTACACATTCCAATATTTGGAAAATAGTTGTCAACGAAGCATCTCCCATAAGCCCTCAAATAGCCTACTGAAGTCTTAATCTGTTGCTTGGACAAAGTACTATATTTATTGCCTTCAAAGCTATCCAAAGACGTATAGTTGTCTTGCACATATAGTCTTTCAAAGAAGGCTTTGCATTTTTCATTTAGAGACAACTCCTCTAGCTCTTCAGCTGTATACTTCTCTAACAAATATCGATGGAGCGCTTTCGAAGACTGTCGCAGAAGAGAGGCTTCCTGAGGCGAATAATCAAAAATGTATATCAATATCAATAACTGGAGAAATATTCCTATAGCGAACAGCGTCCTTCGCAACGTTATGATTTTCAAAAGTGCCATATTGAATTAATGAAAGTATCTATCCCAAAATTTGGGGGGATTTCATAATCGAGTACTTCTCAATTGCCCAAGTTTTCTTCAAAGTATAGGTTCGGCACGCCTATACTAATTACTTCAAATTGAATCTACCTCACAAACCTTTTTCAAGAATACCAAGTGGTGTAGATAGAGTAAAAATATATCAGACAAGTTTTTCGTAAACAGTTTTGTCATAGAGCTTGAGTACACTGGTAGTACTGCCGATTTAACCGACCTTACGAACTAATGTAGGTCAGGCACCTCTCAACGTAGTGTGAGACTCGATATATGGATTGGGTCTTGTACGACTTGAGGTATTGGTTCAAGTTAGGCGGTTTAGATTTGTAGACTGTCTAAGGATGCAACTGAATTTTATTGTGTAGTAAGTGTTACCTTTTTTGTGCATAGTAGTTGGCTTAATTCTCTAAGCCGTTCTTCAATTAGGAATTCTATTAATAGATGAGAGTCACACCTCACGACGTCTTTTGATACGTCATTCAGCCTTGTTACATTGCTCCTGACCACTCGTGTGGGCACACCTCAGCTCTTGGTTACTATTAACTTAACGAGTTGAATAAAGCTAATCTTCTATTCGGTAACTCAAAATAACAATAGAATAAAGTAACTGTCACTTGGTTATGTATCTGCATATAAATCGCAGGTCCAACTGGTTTATATGAAGGAGATAATATACGAGTGCTTCTTAGACAGTTGTGTCAAAGTATTTGACAGCTTGAAATACGAACAACCAGACTATCACACTTAATTGCATTACCGCTAAGTGAATCGACCTCACAAAAATTATTAAACAATCCCGAATTCGTGTGTATGTATCTCGTATGTTCACTACACCATATTAGTTGTCTTACAATTTGAAATGAGCAAAATTTTGTGTATTCTTTTAAAGTAGTATATCCATTAGGAAGATCATAATCTGTACTACAAAATGTCAGAGTAAGATTAGGAGAAAACCAAGATTGCCCCTATATGAAGGCTTTCTGTATGAGTGTATTTCAGAATCTTCCAGGCGTAGAAGGGAGCTTTATCAAACCCCAAGGGATATCCAACACCACCTTGTATAAAGTCGTGATTACTCCCTTATGTTATGAGTCACGAGGGCCGTCACCAGTTGTTATATCGCTGATCTCCTCCTGTCCCGGCATTTTCAAACTTCAAGCTAGCGTTGGTATTGGATTATAAGCTTCCTTCATTGATTTCAAAAACATAAGTAGGATCTCTTAAAATGATTACATATGCATTGCTAATGTCAATATCCAACATAGCGCTATTGTGAAACTATTTAATATTGGTTTCCAAAACTTTATTTGAACCAATTCGAGTTACATAAAGAAAAAATATACACAAGTCTCTTGAACAACTGTGTCAAAATACTTGAGTTACAATTTGAAATGGGCGAGTTTCTGGCGATCTTACTTATTCACATTACTGCAAATTGAGTCGACCACGAAAGCCATATTTAAGAAGACAAAAGATGCAGTGTGTTAAGCAGAAAGCATACGAGTATCTCGTAGACGATTACGACACAGTGCTTCAGTTACAATTTGGAGTAGGCAAATTTTTGGCTATCACACTTATTGAACTGTGATGATGACCTAATAAACCTCTTTTTATTAATATCAGTGGGGTGACTAGTAAAGAATGTGGTATAGTATTTGGTTACAATCTGAATATGTAATTCTTTGACTCCCTGATATTGTGGCTGTCAATTAGCTGTGATTTGATTTTAACAATATGTACTTGTAAGATGATGGAGATTCGCATGAATTTTCTTCCTTTCTAGTTAAAAACCAACATTGCAAAAACTCAATTGGTAGCCAATTACAACCTTGAAGTTCCAAAACATTGTCTTAGTTTCTCTCATATCTTTAGCCGCGCCTTTAGTTGCTGCAGATGGGGTTATTGGAAAGATTCTTTGGCTAGCTGATGAAGCCAAGGAAGATGAGAGCTCCGTACCAAGTGCTGCAAAGAGATGCACCTCCTGCATTGGTAATTGTGGCCTTTGTATCCCAGGTAAAGGTCAGTGCCATAATCCTAAAGAATGGAGGTCCAAGAATGGAGGTCTCTTCGTAGGCCAATGTGCTGAAGGGTGAATTTAATTTTGCTTGCTAAGCATCCATCGTCCTATTTTCATTGGATTGTCTACCACATTAACCGACTACAAAGTTTTTAGGTATCTAGTTTTCAACAGCAAGCAATCAGGATAAGAAAATCATTTTACGTAGTACAAGTTGATGACATTGGGCGTAATTGGTTTTAATGTAGAACTAGGCGAGATCTAAAGAGCCACTGAAGAGTATGCAGGTGTACACCAAAAGACAGATAATACATACCTTTGCTAATAATGTTGTGTCACGGTAGAGTGCTTCACTGCACAAAGTCGGTGATATCAACTAAGCCCACCCTAATATTATTCTGGAGTTAATAATTGGGTTTACAGTTGAATGTCTTCTCTTGACTGTGGATAGCTTATTTTAGTTTGTTAGGCTCAAATGAACAATATTCTAAGTACTGTGATTAAGGAGATTTAGCACCCTCTTCTTTTTCATCATCTTTCCTACCTTCTGATGATATTTCTTACCTTTTCGTCATCGTTCTTACTTCCACTCATTCTATATAACGCAAATAGTATGTTTTTGCTTATGTAATCATTGGTCTTATAGATTGTATACACGCCGGCATTACCGAACTGATCCGAAAGTATTCTTTATCAATTCAGTCTTTATTGTACCCATATCAACTTCATACTAATTCATATCCGCTTTACTCCTTATCAATATCGTGATCTATGGAGTTCCATGTATTTAATCCCTTAATTGCGTCATCCTCTCAATATCATTGCTCTGATAAGAACTTTAGCCAACTATGCATTATCCTTAGCTCGTAGATAGCCGAATTTCCATAATAAAGTTATGGATTATCATAATATTACTTCCACCATCGTCAATCGTACCACTTTTATATTGACCACCATATGAATATGTTGCCTTACGTCTAATTGGTGATTGGAATTGGTTGTTGGAAGCAACCAACTCGGACATCTCCGAGATAAGCTGTGTGCAGGTCCAGATAAGGGAAGAAGGAGGATGGGTGAATAATGACGTGAACTCGAGGAAAGCCTATGATATCAGGACATAGTATAAATAGAAGGGAATCACCAGAAAATTATTATCGGGCTAGTCATAACATTTTATTTATCAAGAATAATATGAGTACATTAATCAATTCATCATATGGTAAGGCCAATGTCAAGTTTCTTAAGGTGAAGAAAGACCCTTCTAATCCTAAAGTTCAAGATGTCCTTGAAGCCAACGTTCAATGTCTTCTTAAAGGGAACTTTGATGTTTCTTACACTGAAGCTGATAACTCGGTTATTGTGCCCACAGACACGGTTAAGAACACTATATTAGTTGAAGCTAAGAATACGGATGTTTGGCCCATTGAAAGGTTTGCTGGTCATTTGGCTAAGCATTTCACTAGTAAATATTCTCATGTTGATGGAGTGGAGATTTCCATTGTTCAACAAAGATGGAACAAGTACCCTGTTAATGGTAAATTACACGATCATTCGTTTGTTCATGAAGGTCCAGAAACAAAACAAACCTTTTTAACTTACAATAAGAAGACTCAAGAATTATCATTGAAATCATGTATTAAGGATTTAACAGTTTTGAAATCGACCGGATCGATGTTCTATGGTTTTAATGTTTGTGATTACACCATTTTGAAACCAACGACTGATAGAATTCTTTCCACTGATGTTTTTGCCTCATGGGAATTTGATCCTAAGAAGTTGGCTACTTTAGAAGATATCGCTACCTATGCCGATGCTGGATTATTTGAAGATACCCTTAAGACTGCTAGAGATGCTACTTTGGAGTTGTTTGCATTGGAAAACTCCGCTAGCGTTCAAGCCACAATGTATAACATGGCCGGTAAGATATTGGCACTGGTTCCTGAAGTCAAGACAGTTACTTATGAATTACCAAACAAACATTATATTTTGTTTAACTTAGAATGGAAGGGTATTAAAGATAACACTGAATTGTTTTACCCTGCTTCAGATCCAAATGGGTTAATTAAATGTACCGTTGGGAGAACTAACGCTAAGTTATAGTTTTAATATATCTCATACATATTCAACAAGCTTTGTATATTTCATATCGAATATTAAAAAACGTATATCATATATCGTATATTATAATTAATCCGAACACTAGCACATTAAAGCTCGTACTATATACACAACACTTCAAAAGTAATGCGAACCAAAATCAATCAGATTCATCTCATCTCGTCTCATCTCATCTCCTATCATCTCATCTCGTCTCATCAACATGGGTCGTGACACCTGGTTAACAGTGGTATCTACTGCTGTGGCAACAGTAGGCATAATAGAGTGTCTCCGTTACTTTTATCATCAACAGAAACAACAGGGACGACAACCATCACTTGATGCTAATCAAGGCTCGCGCCATTCTGAAGAGTTGATTCAAGAACAATTGGCTAGAAATTATGCTTTCCTTTCAGCCGAAGGAATGAGTAAAGTCCGCGAACAGCATATTGTGGTAGTAGGGGCTGGAGGAGTTGGTTCTTGGACCGCTACTATGCTTGTTAGAAGTGGAGTATCTAAAATTAGAATCATTGATTTTGATCAAGTATCACTTAGTTCATTGAACAGACATGCAGTAGCCACATTGGCAGATGTTGGTACTTCCAAAGTTGAATGTCTTAAACAGCATCTATTAAAGATTGCACCTTGGTGTGATATTGATGCTTGCAATCAACTTTGGTCATTAGAGACTTCGGAACAACTCATCTTTGGTGATGATTTCAAGCCTACTTTTGTGGTAGATTGCATTGATAATATCGATACCAAAGTCGACTTGTTACACTACTGTCATGAGAATAAGGTACCTGTCATTAGTTCTGGAGGGGCAGCATGTAAATCTGATCCTACTCGGATTAATATAGCGGATATTTCAAAGACTGAAGAAGATCCCTTGGCTCGATCTGTTCGGATTAAATTAGGTAAGAAAGGTATAACCCGTGGGATTCCAGTTGTATTTTCTGCAGAGAAACCTGATCCTAGAAAGGCTAAGTTACTACCATTAGATGAAGAAGAATTGGCTAAGGGGGACGTTGATCAATTATCGGCTCTTCGGAACTTTAGAGTACGAATCTTACCAGTTCTTGGTACCATGCCTGGAGTTTTTGGTCTTACTATAGCCACATACATATTAACAGTGATCAGTGGGTATCCAATTGAACCGGTCGAAGGGAAAAATAGACTCAAAATATACGATAGTGTTTATCAGTCACTTTCAGGACAAGAAGCTAGATTGGGCAATTTGGATAATAGAGTTCCCATCGCATTAAGAGAGGTTCCATATATAATAGACGAAGTGTTCAGAGGCAAATCTCCAATATCAGGATTCTCCACTCGATTAACCCTTTCAAGATGGAATCCGGATAAACCTCTTAGTTTCCAGAACATTGTGGTGATGACTAAAGATGAACAAAAGACTCATGAAGAACGAGTATTAAAGGGAGGCGAGCGTCTTGAAGATGTTTATTCTGCAGAGGTCATTGAGAGAGTTAAGGGTAGGTTTAAAGATGAAGAGTACTTCTCACAATTTAGATAGTTTATACATATATATTGTGTACCCCATCTACTACTATAAACTGTACTTACCGCGCTACCATTTGTTTGGTATGCGTACACGACTGTGGTAGGTCGGTTCTATAGCACATCTACTGTCTTCTTCTTTGCTCTTGTCTGTTCTGTACAGTACATGTGAAAGTTATACTGTTTGTTATGATCCAATAATTTCTTGTTAATTCCATTATCAAATTATGTCACAGTTCTTTACAGTGTAAAATATATCACCATTAGTACAAGTCAAATTATATACTATTCTGATATATACGTCGCCGTGCTGAAATATACGTCGTCGCCGTGCTGAGGTTTCGCTGTACTAAAATATTTATATCGCCACCATGCTAAGACTAAGAAGCATTGGTCTAGGGATGAAACTATCCAGAGCTCACATGTTTAGAAGATGTTATTCAGGTGCTAGGAACGTCAATGGTAAAAGAACCATGAAAGACTTGGTCAAAGAATATGGTTACAGTGCATTGGGTATTTATTTAGGGCTTTCAATGATTGATTTGCCTTTACTTTATTTGGCAGTTCATTCAATGGGAAAAGAGAAGATTGAGACATATGAAAACACTTTGAAGAACACTTTTGGTTACGGAGTGACTCCTGAAGAGTTGGAAGCCAAACAAGCAGAAAGAAGAGCAAAAGAAAAACTTGAGTCGGAGTCAAACACTGCGTCGGAGTCAGCATCGTCTGAGTCTTCGAGTATATGGAAAACTATCTATGATCAATTTTCTTTGAGTGAGTTCATTATAGCTTATGGTATTCACAAATCATTGATCTTCATTCGACTCCCGGTCACTGCAGCTATTACTCCAGGAATTGTTAAAGTGTTGAGAGGTTGGGGCTTTAAGATTGGGTCTCAATCCGTTACGCAAACGGCTCAAGTGGCTAAAGACACAATTAAAGACTTTACTGCTTCTAATCCAAAATTCGGTACTCGTCCGGGTAAACGGAAGTGGTGGTGGTTCTTTTAGACATGTATATATATAAAGGAAGTAAATTCTATATGAATAAATAAATAAGTCGTCGTAAAATGTTCATGTTATATAGTTGTTTTATATTCCTAATAACTTCTTTGATCTTTCATAGACATAAAATGAACAAGCAACCATCGGAATGACTTTTATATAACCAATGTATAACCCCACAAAATAACCTCTCACTCCACTCTCTTGATATATCAACTTCACTGTTTGTTTAAAGGATAAGAATTGACCATCATTCATGACTCCACCAACTTGCATTCTTCTCCTGATAACTTCAAAGGGATAGGCAGCCGTTTGGCTGAATAATCCTGCCAACCCACCTGCTATCAATTGTGCAAAGGCTTTTAAAGGAGCTCTGGAGTCTCTGGTGTTGACTTGATTATGAGATGATTTAACTATAGGTTTCAGGGCATGGTAGTTCTCCTGGACTGTAAGTTTGGAAAGGTATTTTGATCTAAAGATATCATGAATCAAATCATGAACATAAAAGGATACTCCAGCATAGGGGATCATCCCTAATATAGTAGCATAGAATCCTCTATAGAAATTAGATATTTGAATCACTGGTTCCGGACTGATATTTCTCATGAATTTAACCCATCGAGGATCTTTCAGATGATGAGGGGGTTTCTCGTGGAATATGGTGAAGACTGTCAGGGCCAAACGGCCTCTTTTATGAGTGATGTATTGATTATGATGATGTAAGGATTCGTAAGCTGAAGAATGGGGTAAATTTCTTGTTTCAAAAGCCATTCTAACTCTCACCAAATCTAATGGATATGTGAAAAACACTGAAAGAAGTCCACTGAAAGAACCGGCTAAGAATCGTCTTCCAGCAGTTTCATAGATATCACTTGGGATAAGGATGCTTCTTATTTGTTCATAGGCCACGAATTTGATAGCAGCATAGGGAAACACTCGAAGTAAAGTAACCAGATGACCTTGGAACAATCCCCAGATTCCATCTGATCTATAAATTGCTCCGGATGCTAAATAAAGTCCTTTAAACAGACCTCTATACTTGAGAAACTCCGGGTTACTGGTTTGGAATAAGATTTTAACCCTATCTAACGGAGCAATCAATGTCTTTGCAGATGATCCAGCAATACCTCCAGCCAACCCACTTTTTATAACGTATTCTATTGATTGTTTATCTATGATCTTAACATATTCCATCGGCGTACTTTGATCGTTGATGGCATCCAAGTTGGATCGGCTCTCAGATGTTGTGGTCGACATGATGGTTGAACCTCGGCTCGTGCACCCCCAGAGACGTCTGATGTTTAATTCCTTGTAGTAAAGAGTGATGTTGATCGACAACTCCGCAAACAACACAAAAGGGTTCCCCAGACTGCGGAATTTATGGAGAGCTTACACCAAAGTGATGTACTAGTGGCAGTAGTGTAGTACACAACAGAGGGTAACCGGTGGCACAATATACTACTGTGAAATAAGGCACCAGCGTCGTTACAGTAATATGGTACAGTATACATACATTATTGTGACCAGTAGTGTGTGCTCGAATGGAAGCTGAATCCTCACCAGCAAAGCAGTAGTGATCTGTACAGCAAGAGAATACTGTGTGATGTGTAGGAAGGCAATGGTGAGATGTGATGTATATATAACTAGCAGAATATAGTTAGTAGTTCGGTAGTTTGCAGTCTAGCAGACTAATACTATACCAGTATATACTGTTATATTCCCGGTATATACAGCAATGATACCTTTAATAGCACCTGTAATACACTGTACTATGACCTGCAATAGATTCATATGACCTGTCACTGACTGCAAGACGCCAGCAACCAGAATACTACCCTAACTTAAGACAACCGTATATTTACACTATACAAACAAAAATATATATACTCATCAATTGATAACCATTGACCATATTAAAAGAATCAGCAGGCTTAAAGAATATAAAATGAAAACAACAAAAAAAAAAAGGGAGGGGGGGTAACTTTCTAGCCCCAATACAATAATAAAACACAACTATCCATATCAAATACAAGTCGATGATGGTTAAATTCATCTTTTTTTATGGGTGGGTTTTCTAAGCATCTCAATCTCAATTCTGCATATGTCCTCTATACCCACTGGTTCTATCTTTATGGTAGTTTGAAGGTGAACGACCTCTAATAATTAAAGGTGGAGTTTCAATGCTACTTAAAAGAATTGGTTGGATTTGCAGATCTTCGTCCTCTAAAATACCCAATAATTCAACATGTAACGTAAAATATCTGGAATTAACAGATGTAGCTTTGATTCGAATAGAACTGGTGAATTGAATCCGTTCAAATCTAGCCACCCGGGCAATTGAATCAGACGGATAATTCTTTAAAATAGTCATATCCTTTAATTGGTCTAATCCATTCTTACCATAATAATCTCCTCGATCAAAATAAAACACCTTGTTCATATTTTCAATCTTGGATCCATTCCGTTTGTTACAACTGGCCTTAACCGTTTCATGATCGGGCAATTCAGCTGGGACAGCAGGATAAATAGGAGGTGGGAATTGAGGTTCTTTATCTCTCTTGGGTGTACGTTGAACTAAACTTATAGCAACATCATCATCAGAACATTTGGCAACTAGCCGAATCGCAAAATAACTAATCTCAACTTTTGATTCTCCAGGGCCTCCATTACCACCATTGTGCATATGATGAGGATGTAATCCATGTATATGATGGTGTTGCGTATGTTTGCCGTGTTTTTCATAAGTATAATACTTGTTCATAATAAATCGATCAAAATCAAAGTTTTCCAAATGGAATGATGCCACAAGAGTGAAGTAATTCCGTTTATATCCAATCCATGTTCCATTCTCACCCATTTCAAATCCTCTATCAATACGGGCTTGTAAAATTGGGGTAACATCCATATCATTAGCTTTACAATAAATATCCTGATGATGTCTGGTCTCCAGGAAATGAGGTCCAACACGAAACAAATCTGCAGAACGGGGAGCTACTTTTCGATTAGAAGCTGGCTCCAATAAATCCAGATGATCATGAGCCATTAATTCCATAACTGTAGGATGTGCAGCTGTGGCGGCGGCGGCGGCTGCTGCTGCTGCTGCTTGAGCTTGTTGGTGTTGTTGATGTTGAGCCAATTGATGGTGCAAGTGTTGTGGAGGAAGTTGTTGGTGCATTTGTTGGTGATGATGTAACAGTTGTTGGGCCTGTTGTTGATGTAACAAATGGTCTGGATTGTTTTGATGGTGCATTGGAAAGTGTGGAAGATGTTGTTGAGCTTGCTGAGCTTGTTGTTGCTGTTGTTGTTGGTGTACTTGTTGTTGTGCTTGTTGTGCTTGTTGTGCTTGTTGTTGTTGATGGTGCAGGGCAACCACAGCTGCTTGGGCAACTTGGGCTGATTGTTGTTGAGCCTGTTGTTGCTGGTGATGTAGAGGCATGTGAGATTGGTACTGTAAAGCTGCTGACAGTAATTGATGTTGTTGTTGTAACAAGTGATGGTCAACTGCCAGTTGCTGTGATTGTTGAGCTGCCTGGGCTAAATGAACATGGTGAGGTTGGTGTGACTGATATTGTAATTGGTGGGCTTGAATATGATGTAATTGTCCTTGTGGTTGAGCAGAACGAGTACCATTAGTACCATTATTATGACCAGACCCTTTATTTTGCCCACCTGGATTACCGGCAACAGAGTTTCCCAACACCAGTTGTTGTAATTGTTGTTGGTAGACATCAGCAGCAGTTCCACCGTTGGCAGTATTGACAGTTATTGGGTTACCTTGGGCGGAATGTCCGGAGGGTCCTTGACCAGGAGGTGCTACAGCCCCAGCACCACTTTGTGAAGCAGCAGCCAACAATGGGTCTTCAGCTTTGAATAAATTCAGCAGAGTGGAATATTGAGGAATAGATTCATCTTCCTCCTTAACACCCATTCCAGCAGCAACGGCCACAGAGGCAGCATCATCAGCCGAAATAGTGTGTTCATCATTAGGAAGGGTCATCATCTTGACTTTGAGAGAGTTTTGTGGTGGTACTTTAAATCAAAGGACAAAATCAGTTAGTTGGAACACAAAAGGCTCAGGTACCGATACGTTGAATTTAGTGAATGATTTAAAGTTACAAATCAAAGATGATAAACCCGAGACAACAAATCCAACTAGTTGTGGTGAGTATTGATAGCAGATCTAAATTCTAGTTCACGGGGATGACTAGTAACTGGAGACAATCTTCCTGAAGCAAAATGCTCACGTTTAGTTAATCAATTCAGTGGGCAAGTTTGTAGCTGAGATTAACAACAAACTAAAACCAAGTCAAACTAAAACCAATAAAAGCCAAACCTAAACCAATATAAGCAAATTAAACAAGATTAGACAAGCAATATGGCTAACAGTTAGTTAATTCAATGGAAGGAAATGAAGGTTAAGTGTCAACGAGGTTAATTAAACAGCAATGAGAATAGCAAATCAATCTCTTTCTCTTTCCCTTAGAGTCGTTCGTTATCGACTTGACCGTCTTAATCAGGGGGAAGGAGACTCAGGATAAAAACGTCAAAGTGTGTTTGTTCACTTTGCTTTTGTTGGGGAGAAGTAGAAGAAAAATGACACCGAGGAAAAGCACGAGTAATGTTGATGCCAATACTACTATATATCCCCTGTAGAAATAGTATAAGTATTACAATGTTCTCACTAAAGCTTCGACACCCTAAAAAGTAACGATGTTTGTGTAGAGACAGTGGTAGTAGTAAAAGGTTGTTGTTGGTGTTGCTTTGATTTTTTTTCGCTTTTTTTGTGGTGATTTTTTGCTTGCTCCATACGGCCCCCTATACAGTACCGCGCGAACATACAGACAGACAGAATGTACAGTAAAAGAGGACCCACCAAGCAGAATTTTGTAAGTTGCAGTGGGGGTGGCAGAAGGCTAAAGGAGAGATTAATGTGTGGTTAAGAAGTAAAGACATAAATTAGCAATTTTAAATCTGACAATTAATATTAATTATGTTATTAGTTTATTGTTTTGTCAGAAACGTAGTCGATCGGATTAAATTTTACTGGTACGAATAAGTGGAACCCGTTTTTACGTGGTATTCCAGTGTGGTATGGAATACCGCGACAAACTCAACGCATATTACCATACTGACCGGCCGAGCCACGTATAGCTACTAATATATATGGACTGGACTGGACTGGACTGAACTTTACACACTTATGGCTTCCACAACACTACTATACTGTACTAAACTACACTATGCTATACTGTACTATACTATTCTATATTGTACTAGACAATATACTACAGTATACAACAGTTATGAATATATATCCCTAATGATAAGGGTACGCCATGAAATGAAATCAATATAGCCTTTGCATTGATGGTGGCCTGGTATTTCATCGGCTCGTACTTGGTTACTAGATAAATGTGCAACCAAAGTATCCATAAATAGTAAGGTATCATTGCACAGAATCGCCAATGAAGAATCCTAGGCGACACAAAACACGGACGACAATTCAATCTAGAATAAGCTATCTAATGATGGTACCCGCATACGCAAGTGTAGTGAGATCATGAAGCATGGTTCTATTTCCAATGACAAGTATAGAAAGCCATTCAGTGTCATAACATTTTTCTTCGGTGGCTAATTTTCCTGATGGTAGGAGTTCTTCCCTAGTAGGTTAATAGAAGTTTGTGCTGGGCTTTGAGATCACTTTCATGTTTCGTTCTATAAAGCGAACCACTAATAGCTCTACTATTACTAGTTGTTATAGTATTAGGCTCCATGGTCTTGTTGGACTTTGGCTTTTTTTGCATTGGCCAATCATCACGTTCAATAATCTCAAGTGTCGGCAGGTCAATGCGAGTCCATTGCATCAGACATTTAGACGCACATAGATCGGATTGTTTTCTGACAAAAAACACTTCCATGTCCGGGTAACCTGTTGGAACTAGCCATTCAGGGTTGGAGAAATTATCTCTATAATTATTCACAGTAGAACCAACAGGTACAAGTATCGAATGTCTCTATAAGTTATTTTGGTAGTATGGATTATTGTTTTTCTCCATTTAAGCCTCCTTCGCTCTTAATTTTGAGATCCCCCGCAGTCATTCTCACTTCTCAATACTGCAGACTTCACGTTTCGCTCACCCTTTCTCAAACGCCTTTTCAGTCTCCTTACCTCGTTCGAAGTCCTTCCACCTTTACTGGATTTACATGGTTGTAAAACAACGACTGTTATTTTCTGGGATTAACTGAGTGCCATAGAGAAGCATACCATTACGTATTGGCAAGAATTCTACACTATTATTACTTTTTTTTCTTTATTATAACTCAAGTCGTATATCTCTCTTCCTATCATTCGCAAGTGTTTGGAAACCTGCTTAATTTTTCCTGCGTACAAGTTGTTTTGTCAGCTTTTCTTTTCTGTCTGCTTCATTACATACATTCATACATAAATCCGTTTACGCATTTCTCTCTGTTTAATTCTAACACTCAGCCAATGGAACTGCAGTCGTGGTCTAGACCAATAAAAAGAATAACAATACTAATAAAAATAAAACCTACTTAGTTGGTTAATTGTACGTATAATCGTGTCTTCAATTAGCTAGTTACATTGTGAGCCCTGTTTCCTTTCACCAGACCTGACGTGTTTTTCGGTTGAAAAATGTTGCGGTTTTTTCACCCACAAAATCCATTATTCATTAACTTGAAGTTGCAGGACCGAGATCCTTGACATCACCTAACGATTGAGTGAGGCTGCGTTTAATACAGAGCATTCCTACTTTTGGTACTTTCCAAGCATCATGCAATTCGAAAGTAATTTTTAAGCAGATTGAATAAGCTATCATTGGTGGTCCCCCTAATCTGAATGACCAAAACGCCATTACGGGCGCAAATAATTTCCGATGTGCAGGATGGTTGGCATCCTGCGTTTTAGATAGGCGTAATTACGAAGGCAAAAAATATACTAAGCCTTTATGGCCAAGTTGGTAAGGCACCTCACTAGTAATGAGGAGATCCTCAGTTCGAATCTGAGTGAAGGCATTTTTTTTCTGATGAAACAGTCTCAATTCATTATCAAAACATTCACAACTGAATAATAACACTCTTTTTTTAAACTCCCGGTTCATTCGCTTGCTTTGAAAATCTGTTCAAACTTTCCATTGTTAAAAACTTAACAGGAATCTTGCATTTGAAACAGAAGTCGACAAGTTATTGTTTAGAAAGCAACCTCCTGAACCCTTCTTTGTGTTGGCGTCTGTTTGTTACCTGTATTATTTTCGCAGCCATTAGTGCTATTAAGAAGCAAACTATGGAACAACCCCCCAACACCAAGGAAGAAACTATGGATGATTTACCGTCCTCAGACTCTATAGCGTCTAACGATAAGGCCCTATATCCCAATTGGTGCCACAGAAACCAAGCTCCAATTTCAGCAGAGGCTATTAAAACTCAGTTTGAAAATTTGGCTCGTCGGTTTCAATTCCAACACTCCAACGTTGAAAACATGCATGAGTATCTCATGTGCCAGCTCAACTCAAGGGCGTCTCGTACTTCTTGTCAACAAGCACTTTTAAGTATTCACCGGGATTATATTGGGGGCGATAACGCCAATTATAAACGGTGGTACTTCGCGGTATGGAGTGCCTTGGAAACCAATTACTCAGTGAAGGACTGGACCGAATACAAATCATTCAAGAATCTGCAGACTCGTTTAGGTGCTGTTATAGCTGCTACAGCACCAGTAGAAGAAGAAAGACCACAAAGTAAATGTTCAGATATTTTCAGTGAAGTCTTAGATGGCGGTACCTGCAATCCCCTATTACAACTAGAGTACAAATGGAAGTTTGATTTATACAACGCCAGCGAAATAGAATATATTCAGCAGATAGCATTGTATCTTATGATATGGGGAGAGGCCAACAACGTCAGGTTTTTACCGGAAGGTATTTGCTTTATTTTCAAAATTTGTTGGGATCACTGGAAGAGTGAGAACAAGAAGGGCATACTGTTGCCAATTAATTACTTTCTAGATCAAGTAATAACGCCCTTATATCAATATATAAGGAGCCAGAAATACCAAAAGACTACCAGCGGGGTGTGGAAAAGAAGAAACTTGCGTCATGATAAGATAATCTCGTACGACGACATGAACCAGTTCTTTTGGCACCCCGATCTCATAAGGAACATCAAGTTAAAGAATGGTGATATTTTGTACAACGTTTCGAAGGAAGTACGGTTTCTTCACCTACATCTTATTGATTGGGATAAGTGTTTCTTTAAGACATACAGAGAAGTCAGATCGTGGAACCATTTGATAACAAATTTTGGTCGAGTGTGGATCATCCACATCACGATGTTCTGGTTCTTCACAGCTTATAATCTGCCAACCTTATACACTGTAAACTATTCACAACTACTCAATAACCCACCACCACCTCAAGTTCAATTATCGATGGTTGCACTAGCTGGGGTGATACCTCCCATCATGACTATCTGGGGAATTTTTTTTGAGTTCACATTCATTCCTATGAGATTCCCAGGAACACTAGCTTCTACCTTGGGAAGACTATTCTACTGTGTTGTAATCTTGTTAATCAACCTAGGACCAGGGGTGTACACGTTATGGTTTATTCCGTTGACGGTGTACTCTATTCATGGGTATTGGATTTCGGTAGTGCAGTTTTTCACTGCAGTTGCAACCCTTGTATATTTTGCAATCACACCTCCTGCCAAATTGTTTGGTTCATTGCTTCGTCAGAACATGAACTCCAATAGAACAAACGAGTTTGCAGCCACCTTTGCGCCTCTTGACAGAAAGGGTCAAATAAACTCGTTGATACTATGGATATGTGTGTTTGGAGCCAAGTTCACAGAATCTTATTTCTTCCTTACACTTTCATTTAGAGACCCTATACGAGTGGTGGCCATAATGGCGACCAACAGATGTCATTCTGATTCACTAATCAGCACTAAATGGCTCTGTGCGAACCAGCCAAAGATTATATTGGTGCTTCTAATATTAACAGATTTCGTCTTGTTCTTCCTAGATACTTATCTTTGGTATATTATCTGCAATTGCTTGTTCTCCATTTTGCTATCGCTTCATCTGGGAATATCAGTATTGACACCCTGGAGGAACATCTTTTTAAGATTACCGGAAAGAATCTTGAGTAAAATCGTTTACAAGAAGGCACCCGGATCTCCAGCAAGCTTGATAAGTTTAATATGGAATGCCATTATAATTTCAATGTTCCGAGAGCACTTGTTGTCTGTGGAGCAAACACGCAAACTATTGTTCATAGATTTGTCTGATGGTAACATTCGACCTCCGGTGTTCTTTGTATTCCAAGATGATGCCTCCTTTTCTTTGAAGGACTTCTTCGTATGCGGTAAGGAAGCCGAAAGAAGAATAACATTTCTTGCTCATTCAATCTCCACTTCAATAGAAGAGCCTTTACCGGTGAAAGCTCTCCCGATGTTCACCGTGTTAGTCCCCCACTATTCCGAAAAGATTATACTTAGTCTTAAAGAAATCTTGAAGCAGCCCCACCAGTCTCGCATTTCGTTATTGGAGTACTTGAAGCAGCTTCATAGAGAAGAATGGAATGTCTTCGTAAAAGATTCTAAAACCCTTCACAAATTCGGCGAGGGCGATTTCGAAGAGTCACATGAAGCAAATTCATACAACGATATAGCCAAGCTACCAGACACAGAGGGAAGAGATATTTATGCTTCTGTTGGATCGGGGAAGGAAGATTTAAGTCAGTTCATGCAAAACGAAATTAATGATATTCCTTATTACTGTGTTGGTTTTAAGGATTCCGACTCTTTCAAACCGCTTCGAACGAGAATATGGGCTTCATTAAGATGCCAAACGTTGTACAGAACAATCTCAGGTTTTACCAATTATCAGACGGCATTAAAAATATTGTACCAGGCGGAAAACAAAGAGGAGATTCAATATCTTTTAGCCGAAGAAGTTGAAGAGCACTTAGACCAATTCAGTCGAACAAAGTTCCAGCTATTAGTTTCAATGCAAAAGTTTCAAAGTTTCAACGAAACCGAGTTAGAGGATGCCAAATCGTTATTCCAAGCCTTTCCTCTGCTAAAGGCGTGTTATTTGGAAGAGGAGAAAATGTCAGTCGAGGAATCAACGTACTACTCGACGCTTCTTGATACTTCCAGAGTCAATGAGGAGGGTAATTACGGAGTGAAATATCGTATTAAACTATCAGGAAACCCGATTCTTGGTGACGGGAAGGCAGACAACCAGAATAATGCCATTATTTTTAGTCGAGGCGAATATCTTCAAACCATTGATGCCAACCAAGATAACTATCTTGAGGAATGCCTCAAAATAAAGTCGGTGCTAGCAGAGTTTGAAGAACTTCGAATCGACGCCCTGGTGGAGTACCTTCCTGGATCGATCGGATGTGTTGAGCAAAGTCAAGTGGCTATTGTTGGAGCCCGAGAATATATTTATTCGGAGAATATAGGGGTGTTGGGAGATGTTGCAGCTGCGAAGGAGCAAACGTTTGGTACCCTTTTTGCCAGAACTTTGGCAGCCATTGGAGCTAAACTTCACTACGGACATCCCGATTTCCTCAACTTGATTTTCATGACTACCAGAGGAGGAATATCTAAAGCTACGAGGGAACTACATCTAAACGAAGATATATATGCTGGGATGAACGCCATTTCAAGAGGAGGTAGGATCAAACATAGCGATTTTTACCAATGTGGGAAGGGAAGAGATTTAGGCTTTGGAACTATTCTCAACTTCACAAGCAAGATTGGAACAGGTATGGGAGAGCAGTTACTATCCCGAGAGTATTACCATTTAGGAACTAATCTACCCACTGATAGGTTTCTTTCTTTTTACTATGCACATGCAGGGTTTCATGTGAACAACTTGTTCATTATATTCTCTATAAAGCTTGTCTTAGCTTTGCTTGTGAACCTAGCAGCGTTGGTTCACGAGACTGTTCTCTGCAACTTCAACCCCCAGAGTCTTATTACAGATCTACAAGAGCCGTTGGGGTGCTACAATTTGCAGCCAATCATACAGTGGATATCTCGATTTGTTCTTTCCATTTGCATTTGTTTTATGATCTCTTTCTTACCGCTTATCATCCAAGAATCAATGGAAAAGGGTATCAAGAGAACGGCAACGAGAATTTGGAAACACTTGGTCTCATTAACACCGTTATTCGAGGTTTTCGTGTGCAACATTTACGCTGAATCGCTTCGAAGAAACATCACTTACGGAGGAGCAACATATATTCCCACAGGCAGAGGGTTTGCAATAAGTAGGAAGTCTTTCCTGTTTCTTTATTCAAGGTATGCAACACTTTCAATACATCTGGGAGCCGTTCTGGCACTTTCGCTCGGATTCATTTCCACTATCATTTGGCAACCGGCTATTCTATGGTTCTTCATTACCGTGATATCACTCTGCTATTCTCCATTTCTATTCAACCCCCACCAATTCCTTTTTAAAGAGCATATTTTGGACTACCGCGATCTCATAAGATGGTTCTTCAAAGGTAACAGAACGTACAAGGCCAACTCTTGGATAAACTACCAAAAAGACGAACAATCGTTGGTTCTTGGAAGGAAACTGAAAGCCGCTTCAACAAAGCAAATAAGTCCCAATGCGTTACAACGTCCCTCACGGTGGAATTGCTTCTGGGATAGGATCTTGCTCCAATTGCTAAAGTTACTTTCATATTTTGTGTCCTACGTCTTCATTAATTCCCAGAACGGGGTCAAGAGCCCAACTAGAGCCAGCCCAATTCTTAGGGTTATATGTATCGCTCTTTTCCCATTAATAGTCAATGGACTTATTCTTGTTGTGGCTTTGACATGCTCATTTACAATATTTCCATTCTTTCGTTTACTACGGCTTGATATTTCACCAGTTATTACATCGACTTGTTATCTACTTGGCGTCATAGTGCATTTGCTTTCGTTTACCGTGTTGTTCTTCTGCGAGAACTGGAACGTCCCTCGTACGTTATGCGGAGTTCTTTGCATAATTGCATTCCACAACTTTGTTTTCCAATTACTACTCTTTTTCGTCACTCGTGAACCTCGGGACGATGACACTGTCAACCAGGCGTGGTGGTCAGGAAAATGGCTTGGGAAGGGGTTTAACTTGTTCCAGATACTTGGACTATTTTTCCGGGAATCGTACGTCAAGGTCTACGAAATTAATATGTTCGCATATGAGTACATTCTAGCACACTGGCTCTATATATCTATGATCCCCATTACGTTAATTCCGTTTGTGGACAAAATACACACCACGGCATTAATGTGGCTAAAACCGTCCAAACTGTTCCAGTCGCCAATATTTTCACGAAGAGAAAGAAACCGTAGAAGAGTGAGAAGTTTCAAGTACGGTTTATTGCTTGTTGCACATTTGATAATATTGGTAGCAATGATAGTCGTACCACCGATCCTTGATGCTCAGTTTAAATTGGTAGACAAAACTAAGGTACGTTTGGGACCACAAATATCTACATTGGTTTTTCAACCAGTAGGTCAAAATTACAACGACACTGGATCCAATGCCCCGTTAAATATTCCGCGGCAGAAACCTTCATACACTATGACTACCATTCGGTAGACGGAAGCCACCATATTTTATGCCCTTCTGTTCATCCCTGTCAAATCTATAAATAGCCCAAACTATATGAAACCAATAACTTGCATCATCTGTTTCAGATCAAATATGTCGACCTCAACTTGAAACAAACAGTGCTGATGATTTTGTGGCGCGAAGGAAAGTTTCCTTCGTTAACACAAAGTTGCTTGTTTGTAGTCAGATCACAATCAGTAAACAAACCAAAGTCACAGAACAGAACACTTGTGGAGGTCAAAGGCTTTTATTAATTCGATCCTCTCACCCGCCGGAGTTCAGAAAGAGTTACGTTACAGGTTTTACCAACTGCCTTCTGATGGCCTTAGCTCCGCTTAGAGTCAATCAACCAATCAATTAACAGTAAGAGCTCATGAGTGGGAAACGGATCCGTCCAGGTCTATCGCCTCCAGTAGCAGAAGATGCAGCAGGGGAGGACGATATATTATCAAGGAAAGCAGAGATCTTGAGCAGGTTTTCGGAAGATGAAGACATGAACCGGATACTTGATTTCGACGACGATGGGAGTCCCGAGAAATATCAACATCAACAGGATGATTATCACACCATAAAGCTTTCTGAAGGATTGGACACTTTAAGACTACAAGATTTTGGCGGTGGTAGTGGTGGTGTCAAGACACTTTTAGGTGGATCCTCCATTAAGTTCAGTCCATCTGATTCGATATCCACGTCGTCTCCAATTAAGAAGTCGTCCAAAGGACAACGTCGGTTTCTCGATAGTGGTGGAGGTGGTATGGTTGAAGACGGTAGACTATTTGAGATGAACGACACCGATGTGACTTCCGAGTTGAGTGATGCAGAATTTGAAGACGTGGACAATATATTTGGAGACCAGGAAAGTGGTATATATCTGAAGATGCATGATAGGTTGAACCAGAAGAAACAGCTGTTACAAGATCAGTCGAAAGTTGAAGAATTAGAGTTGGAAAAGTTGCACACCACCAGACAACAGCATCAAGCTGCTGCAAAGAAGCGAAGATCCAATTCTCGAATCAGAAATCCCAATGAGCAGCAGCCTCATGAACGCACTATAACGTTTGAAGAAAGCTCTATTGAAGATTTTGCGAATGGATTTGATAATGATATTGAAGAGAAAATGTCCATATTACCACCTCCAATGAAACTGAAGCAATCATTACCAAATCTTCAGTCTTTTGGGAAGAACTCTTTAAACACAGTGAAGAAGTTTAAGTCATCCATGGAGTTAATCTCCGAGCACCCCAAGTTCAACACAAGTAACCATATATACCGCAAATTGAACCGAATACCCTCTTTCTATAACCAGGAAACCGCCCACCCACAAGATGAGGAATATGTGAAAGCTCAAGAAAGGAAACTTGCATTATTAAGCAAATTTAAAGAGAGTACAAAGCACCAAAAGAGAGGAAATGCAAATGGAAATCCACAGGAATATCACCAAACTCATTTGCAAAGTAATAATGTTCATCAGCACCTGCAACCTATAAAGAACAATAGGAATGCAACTCATCAATACCCACAGCACAAGAAACGGGTGAAGCATCAAATTAATTTGGAGCAATATCAGAAACAGCAGTCACAATTGAATATCTACCATGGTCCTATGAAGTTAAACTCTCGTACACAAACCTGGGAGGGTAATGATTTAGATCTACTTAAGTTTGATACGCTATCAAAACCATCATTGATTACCATGAATGATCTCAAAGGTCGTAACATCAAAAAAGAGGGATCAAAGAAGTTTCTAACACTTGCACCTGATATTGAACCTTCCAGTAACGAAGAATCACCTATGGTATTTGATTCCACCAATTTAAGATGGGTCTATCCTGGCGATGAAGCCCATACATTATTCAATGTACCTGATTTGGACGATAATATTTCTCCTATAAATGTCAATGCTGGTGGTGGTTACGTCGATGTGCTAGCAACCAATAGTAATCCTTCTTTGGCTAGACTTCAATCACCTATGAGAGGAGCATCTACGTTTACACAGCGGACCACTTCAAGTACCACCACAGCCAGTACAAGTGATGGACCACTTATCTCCACTTCAGGTGCTTCTTCTTCTGTTACGGGAATTGTTCCAGTTGAGGAGTTTAATTTGTCAATGAAGACTATCAATCGTTTCCTAAAAGAAGAGGCTAAAATCAAAAGGAAAGTCGACAATTGGTTCCCCTCTGGGTCCAAGTATCTTATTTGCAACAGACATCAAGAATGGAATGGTGATCATTTATGGGAGATTCGCAAGTTGGTTGTTGACGAATGAATTAACGCTTACAGAGTGATTTAAGGTCCACATAATGAGTATATATTTGCAACAGGTATATTTACGATTCAGTCTAAAAAGGAAAGAGATAATGGCTTACAAACACACGAGACCGGCACCAAAGACCATGGAAATGGCCACAACAATGACTTGGTACTTGATGTTGAGGTTGTATGAAGCAATGGCACCTGACAGCTTGGTGGATGTGGAAGAACCAGAAGCTGAGGCTGAAGCTTTAGAGCCAGAGGCAGAGCCAGAGGAGCCAGAACCCTTAGTGGTGGAAGCTGGAACCACAGTTCCCATACCACTTTCACCAGCAGCAGACAAAACTGAAGCACAAGAACCAGCAGTGGAAGCAGACTTAAGAGAAGCAGAACCACTAAAGTCACAAGCAGATGAGGAAGAACCTTGAGCTTTATAGTACAAATCCAAGACAAAGTTAAGTCTTTGCTGGTTGGAACAAGGTGAGTAAGCACCGTAATCACCACTGGTACCGTTGGCATTGATACCTGAACAGTCGATATGATAACAGACATATTCGAACAAAGATTGGTAGTCGTCAGAGGAGACAGAGCCATCAACGACACAAGAAAGAGACTCATCCATACATTCACAAGCCGACTTATCTGGAGTAGGAGGGAGAAGAGTGGTAGCTTGCCAGTTAGCACCAATGGCAGGACATGTGGTGGCAGTTACATTGGCAGCTTGAGCACTCTTGATCAAGGTTGGACTGACGGAAGCGATTTGAACAGACAAGTAAGAGTAATCAGGTAAAGTGGTGACCTTGTCGTTAGAACCAATGGTAACCAAACCATAATCATTTTCTTCTTGGAAGTACATGTAAACAATGGCACCAGACCAAACACCGGTCATTTCGGAGGAGTAGATGGTTCCTACATCGGTGAACTTTCTGGGTTGGACCAAGTTACAACCGTATTCGGAGAAGAAAAGTGGGATGCCCAAATTAGCGTATTGTTCGGTGATGTTTTGGTAACCAGAAGACTTGAAAGTAGCAGAGGTACCACACCATGAGTACATGTTGATACCAAAGAAATCAGCAGCAGAATCTTCGGAACCACAGGCAAAGTACTCAGCAAGTTCCAATCTAATATCGATATCATCATTGGCAGAGTAACCAACTGGAATCAGACGGTAACCTTGCGACTTGATGTAAGCCTTGGTATCTCTGACAGCAGCCTTGACGAAAGCGGAGGCGTTAGTGTTGTTGACAGCGTTGGTGACTTCGTTACCGGCGAAAAAACCTAAGATATTGGTATAGTTTTGGAAAGCATCAACCACTGAAGTGTAACGGTCGTACAATTCAACAGTCCATTCCGGGTCATCTCTGTTGATGGACAAATCAGGAGTTGACAAATCGGCAATGACATAGATACCTGCTTCTTGTAAAAGGTTCATACAAGCAGTGTGATCTTGGGTGACATCGAGAGAGTAAACTCTGATGACGTTGGTTTCCAAAGCAGCCAAATAAGGAACGTCTCTAGCACAAGCTTTGGCATCAGCAAGAGGATCAACGAAGGTAGCGTTGTCAGTGGAAGACAAGTTAGCAGTGTTTTGTTGGTAAGCGACACCCTTCAAAAGGAATTGAGAACCGTTGTTGGAGTAGAAGAACTTGTTACCAACAATTTCTAAAGCGGGCAAGTCTGCAGCAGATACGGCAGCGGCACAGGTGGCCAAAACCGACACGAGGTTTTTGAAAAGCATGGTTCTAACGATTGCACTGTCAAGAAAAAGAGACCACGAGAGACAGAGATAATGTGCTGATTTGGGCGACCAAATCTACTCTTATAAAGGAAATGGGCCAACCGGGCAGTGTAAGAAAAAATTGAAAAATAAAAATATAAGACAATGGACGGACGTGATAGGATAACTTTTGTGCGGTATAATTATGTTTATGAATTGGACAAAAGTGGTATACAGGTTGGGGATCGTGCTTGCGTACATGACGGGTTATGTTTTGACAGTTTGGTTCTACATCTGTTATAAGGTTCATCTCAATCTCAAGGTGTGCTGTGCTATTGACGTACAATGTTTAAATTTGCTTTCGTTTAATGCATGTGTGTTTTTATTTACCTAATAGAATACGTATGTATCATGTACGTATAATGTTGGTCTGCATTTTTATGCTCACTCGGAATAGATTTTTTTTTGTTGTCGATTCCGGTATTATTGTTTTTGTCTGCATGGGTGCAAAAGGATTTTGAGATTTGCTAAATCAAGACCTGGATCGCTAAATCTCGATCTTTGCTCAATCCTAAATCGAACTGGTTTGTGTAATACTGTCAACTGTCTCACATTAGAATGTGATCTTGTAACGTAGTCATCTTACAGTGCCAGTGTCTGTCATTCCAAGTCTTTCAATGGCCACTTTCTTTTGGGTGTACTTGTTTTTCCCTCTTCATTAGTGTCACCTATTTTTAGAATCGCTGGGTGAACGCGTACCTGTCGACGTTTTCAGCCCCTATTCCTATGTCATAACCATTGTTGGGCTATGAAATATCTGACAATTTTACCTATGTGGTACTTTAAAAATCGACTTCGGTATCCCGTTCGATCATCTTAAGGATAGTCATCTGAGTGGTGACAGATCAAGTTGGAACCATTCAGTTTTTTTCTCAACTGGGCGTTTGTGTCTGATGATGTGCGTTTATGATGTACCTTTGACAGGAGTCTGTGCATTTAAGCATACTCCTTTTCAGATCCACGCGTTGTGCTATGCACAGAATGCCGCGTCTCAAATCCGGAAAATATACTAAAATCTTCAATTTTTATAGTTATACTCCGCTGCGACATCAAACATCTATTACAGTCTTAACCGCGGGGTCCCATGGTTAAATTAGCAAGCAAGTAAATATTTTGTGACGATTAATGGGCGCAGCCCAATAACGGAGGTCAACGTTTGAATTTAAATCGGCACCAATTTACATATTCTTAAGGGGCATAGTATACAAGCGCATAGTAGTATAGTACGGCTTAGAGGTGCTCTCTAGTATTAAAATTATGTATGAGACAGCATTAAAGCAAGATCAATGTACGTTGTAGACAGAATTATGTGGTAACCCATGATTACATAATAAACTGTATAACTCGAAGTATACAAGAGAACGGTGGGCGTAAATTCCAGTACGCCTAATATCTCTGCAATATACGGTTACATCTCCATTCGCGGTAGTGCACTACATAATAATTAGGCAGACACAACTTCTCATTTTATTTAGCCAGCCCCTCATTCCCCACATCAAAAGAGGGTGGCGTGGAGCGAGCGTTCGGAAAATTTATTTTGTGGTAGCGCGATCGGGGAGATTTTTCTTAACGTTAAAAGCAGAAAAAAAGCTATAAGGAGGGGCTGCTGGCAATTCTCTAGTCAGATCAAATTGATTATTCTTCTATTAAGCAATGAGTGAAGAAGACAAGAAGATCGAGGAGGTTCCCGAGAAGGTGTCCGAGCAGGAACAAGTGGAAGTCAACAAGGAACAAGTTGAATACATTGAGATTTATATCCGATTCAATGACGACTTTGAAAAGGACTATTGTTTCCAAGTTCTGGTGAAGGATACGTTTGCTGACTTGTATAAGATCTTTGAAACGTTACCACTTTCACTTAGACCTTCAGTATTCTATCATCATGTTCCTAAGGGGTTCCGTATGTCTGTGGATCCAGGTTATCTTACTGAAGACGGGGCCATTTTGTTTACTTACGATGCTGCTAGAAATACCAGGTTGGTTAAGGATACTGATGTTATCGCCGAGACTGTTTGGCCAGGTCAATTGATTGTTCCAAACTGGGAAAGAAACGATTTTGGGTTCTACGCAACCGTTACCTTCTTCTTGGTTTGGTTGTACACTGATTTGCCAGACTTTATATCCCCTACTCCAGGTCTTTGTATGACTACTTATATGACTGAATTCCTTTGTTGGATTCTCCGGAAATTTGATTACGCTTACTTATCGGATAAACTTCTCGCTGATTTGTATGAAGAGGTTGGCATAGTGCCCCAATTGCTTTTCTTTACTATGCACATCTTCAAGACGTTGATTTTCTTCAGTATCCTCTACTTTGGTTCCTTTAACCCCTACCAACCATTCAAGTATTACCTCAGAAATGTTCCTCCTCCAGTTACCCCTGAACAATTGACTGAGATAGGCTGGACCGGTGCGCGCAGAGCAACCATGGACATGTACCGTGACCATTACCGTGACTACAAGATCAAGGAGCACGATGGAATGGTCCATGCTCACAAGATGGGTCTCTTTGACAAGTTGAAACATTTGGGTGTTGTTTTAGGCGAAGGTGAAGGCTTTGATACTCCAAGACGCGGACCTCGGAAAACTCTTGCTGATAACGGGAAGAAGTTTTATATTTCCTTTGACTACTTGATCAAATTGGGTGATTTCTTTGAACAGTATACTGCACAAGAAGATGTTGATTTGGCTGCTTCAATCAAAGAGTACCGTCGTTACGGCTTGTTGCACGGTAGTGATGAGATACATGAAAAGGTTGCAGAACGTAAGGCCGCTGTATTCTCTACCTAAACAAACAAAATTTCAATGGCCGTGCGTACAGTTCGGAGTCAATAATGCTTTTTAAATATTTTTTCATGTATATTATCAGTACTATTATTGGCGTATGAAAAGTTCATATGTATGTATGTATACTCTATTCCGGTTTCCGGAACCGGTGAGTCGAGAAAGTGACTCACTTCAAAACGGCGCTACCACATTAAATACGCCGAATATGATTACTTCCACTTTAACCAACCATATGCGGGAGACTAATCCCACGAGGCCTGCTTTGTGTAATTGCACATATTCACGTGCATACACATACTAAATGTATGTTGATTGTGTCGGGTGCTGTATGCAGTGCGATTATAAGACAACGTTTTATCAAAGTTAAACTGGGTCCACGGGAATCAAATGATATAGCCAGTATACAGCAATGAAATCTGAGATATCACTTCAATCAAGCAAAGCATGGCCACTCCGTAGTACTGTATTATATCTGTGGAGAATTGTATCAATTGTGGGTTGAGAAGATCGTCAAACGTAACGATCTTATCTATGAAGTAGTCGTATCCAAATCAGTCGTGCACACACCGATAAAAGTTCAATATCTGAAAATTTTTTAGTATCGCGGGGTTACCCGGCACCTTTAAAGAGCAAAAAGGTATAAATTGACCTTTAAATCCCGCCCAATTGTATGGAGGTAATAGAAAATCTTATCAAGTTTGAAATTGTCAAAAGTAATTATCAAGCAACAATGGTTCAATCAGCTGTTTTGGGTTTCCCCCGTATTGGAGGACAAAGAGAATTGAAGAAGGTCACCGAATCTTACTGGAAGGGAGGTGTCTCTACTGAAGACCTTTTAACTAAGGGTAAGGAATTGAGAGCTCACAACTGGAAGTTACAAAAGGAAGCTGGTGTTGATGTTATTGCATCCAACGATTTCTCCTTTTACGATCAAGTTTTGGATCTCTCTCTTTTGTTCAACGCCATCCCAGAAAGATACACCAAGTTTGATTTGGCTCCTATTGACATTTTGTTTGCCATGGGTAGAGGTTTGCAAAGAAAGGCCACTGAAACCACTGCTGCTGTTGACGTGACTGCTTTGGAAATGGTTAAGTGGTTTGACTCTAACTACCATTATGTCAGACCTACTTTCTCCCACGCCACTGAGTTCAAGTTGAATACAGCTGCTGGTGTCAAGCCAGTCGATGAATACTTGGAAGCCAAGGCTTTAGGTATTGAAACCAGACCTGTCATTGTTGGTCCCGTCTCTTATTTGTTTTTGGGTAAGGCTGACAAGGACTCCTTGGACTTGGAACCAATCTCTCTCTTGGATAAGGTTTTGCCTGTTTACAAGGAATTGTTGTCTAAATTGAAGGCTGCTGGTGCAACTCAAGTTCAAATTGATGAACCTATCTTGGTTTTGGACTTGCCTCAAGAAGTTCAAGACAAGTTTGCAGTTGCTTACAAGGAATTGGCTTCTGCTGACGTTCCTGAATTGATCTTCACCACTTATTTCGGTGATGTCAGACCAAACTTGGCTGCCTTGAAGGACTTGCCAGTTTCTGGTTTCCATTTCGACTTTGTCAGAGGTGCTGAACAATTTGACGAAGTTGTCGATGCCTTGATTGTCGGTACCAACAAGACCTTGTCTGTTGGTATTGTTGACGGTAGAAACATTTGGAAGAATGACTTCTCCAAGTCCACTGCTTTGATTTCTAAGGCCATTGAAAAGGTTGGTGCTGATAAGGTTGTTGTTGCTACCTCTTCTTCTTTGTTACACACTCCTGTTGATTTGGAAAACGAAAAGAAGTTGGATGCCACCATCAAGGACTGGTTCTCCTTTGCTACCCAAAAGGTTGATGAGGTTGTTACTTTAGCCAAGAATGCTTCTGGTGAAGATGTTTCTCAAAAGTTTGCTGCCAACGCTGCTTCCATTAAATCCAGAAAGGAATCTTCAATCACAACCAACCCTAAGGTTCAAGAAAGAATGGCTACCATCAACGAAGCTCTTTCCACCAGAAAGTCTCCATTCCCAGAAAGATTGGCTGTTCAACAAACCAAGTACAACTTGCCATTGTTCCCAACCACCACCATTGGTTCTTTCCCTCAAACCAAGGATATCAGAATCAACAGAAACAAGTTTGCCAAGGGTGAATTGTCCGCTGAAGATTATGATGCTTTCATCAGATCTGAAATCGACTTGGTTGTTAAATTCCAAGAAGAAGTTGGTTTGGATGTCTTGGTCCATGGTGAGCCAGAAAGAAACGATATGGTTCAATACTTTGGTGAACAATTGGATGGTTACGCCTTCACCACCAACGGTTGGGTTCAATCTTATGGTTCTCGTTATGTTCGTCCTCCAGTGATTGTCGGTGATGTTTCTCGTCCAAAGGCTATGACTGTTAAGGAATCTGTCTATGCTCAATCCATTACTTCTAAGCCAATGAAGGGTATGTTAACTGGTCCCGTCACTTGTTTGAGATGGTCATTCCCTCGTGATGACGTTTCCCAAAAGGTTCAATCCTTGCAATTGGGTTTGGCCTTGAGAGATGAAGTCCAAGACTTGGAAGCTGCTGGTATCACTGTCATTCAAGTTGACGAACCTGCCATCAGAGAAGGTTTACCATTGAGAGCTGGTAAGGAAAGATCCGATTACTTGAACTGGGCTGCTCAATCCTTTAGAGTTGCTACTTCAGGTGTTGAAAACTCCACTCAAATCCACTCTCATTTCTGTTACTCTGATTTGGATCCTAACCATATCAAGGCCTTGGATGCTGATGTTGTCTCTATTGAATTCTCCAAGAAGGACGATGCCAACTACATTCAAGAATTCTCCAACTACCCTAACCACATTGGTTTGGGATTGTTTGATATCCACTCCCCAAGAATTCCTTCCAAGGAAGAGTTTATTTCTCGTATCGAAGAAATCTTGAAGGTTTACCCTGCTGAAAAGTTCTGGGTCAATCCTGATTGTGGTTTGAAGACCAGAGGTTGGGAAGAAGTTAGAGCTTCTTTGACCAACATGGTTGAAGCTGCCAAGTACTTCCGTGAGAAGTCTGCTTAAAGTGACCAACTGTTTGTTTCTCCACTAGACAATTAGTTTCTGGCACTTTATACTACTTTATTATTGTTTTACACTAATTAATTTTTATTCAATGCCCCATTTTGCTGTGCTGGGGGAACTGTTGTTTTTAAAGGGGAAGTTTTTGTTTGCATGATGATTCAATTCTACTATTGTTGTTGTGTTGATGCTGTTTGATTACATTTATTCAACATTAATGTAATTTATTAATAATTATTCAATTATTAATTATACTAGGGCTTTATTGCTGTGGTTTATGATTTTTTTTATTTGTTACGTATTTAACGTGTTTATAGGGGTTTAAAATTGGGATTTCAACATCGGTTATTAATACTGTTAGTGTAAACTGTAAAGTACAAACTATAATGAATATAGAAAAGGGCTCTATGTAGGGGTGTGCTAGTGTTCGGGTCTATTGGTGTTGGGGTCTCTCGATTTTTCTTAGAAAAAATGCAATGTTGAAATTGTTAGTGGCAAGTCGACCTATCACTACTTAGCACGAACCAATTGAGTATAAATATGAGTGAAAGGTCCATCAAAGAGTTCATGCGCGTGACCCACGAGTCCAAGTACATTGCGGAGCAGTATCTTAGCCGGAACGGTGACGATGTTGAAGGAGCCCTTGAGGATTACTTTTCGCAAAAGGGAGCCTTCAAAGAGCCCAATGCTCCAAAGCAAAAAGCCAATAGAAAAGCCGGGTTGCATCTGCTTCTGGACTACAGAGGAGAAGAGAACGACGACGAAGACGACCAGACCAATTTCTTCACGGGTGGAGAGAAGTCTGGGTTACAAGTGGAGAACCCCAACAAGGATAAGGACGAAGGAGGAGACGGAAAGAAATCGGGTAACTTGATTGAGCAGATCTTCCAGCGAGCAGAGCAACAGATGAGTCAGCCTGACGACCGACCATCAGCTCAAAGTCATATCAATGATGAAGATGACGGAGTGCCTCAACGGACGTTCACTGGTCGAGGCCATCGTTTAGGAGACGAGGAGTCCGCATCACAAGGGGGTGAAGCTGATGAAGCTGAAGACGCAGATTCTGGTGTTGGGGCGTCAAAAAGACCTCTTAAGGTGTCCAGAAAGATTACTTTCTGGAAACAAGGGTTCACTGTTGAAGATGGTCCATTACATAGATACGACGATCCTCAAAATGCACATGTTCTTGAGGACTTGATTCAAGGAAGGGTTCCTGTGTCTTTGTTGGACGTGGAATATGGACAGGACGTTGATGTTTCTGTTTTCCGGAAGACCAATGAGGACTATGTTCCTCCCAAGAGAGCTGCTACTGGGTTTCAAGGTGAAGGTCTTAGATTAGGTTCCCCAGTGCCTGGGGAAATATCACGTGACACTGCGGAAACATCAAGTGATGTTCCCTCTGCTCCCACTGGTAATACTGCCCCCACTGCTTCTAGTGGTGATAACCCAACTGATGTTACTAAACCTGCAGGGAAGTCTGAAGACGTTGCACCTATTCAAATTCGGTTTGCCAATGGGAAAAGAGTATCACATAAATTTAGAGTTGATGATGCCACTTCAGACGTCTATACGTTTGTAAGAAACCACGAGTACTCTGAGCCTCGACCATTCATATTGTCGTTGGCATTCCCTGTAAAGGCCATTGAAGACTCTGGTGAAGTTACGGTGACTGAAGCAAAGTTAAAGAATGCTGTAGTTGTTCAGAGATGGAGTTAGATAGAGTCGTATATTATGCTTGCTATAGTATAATATAGTATATCATAGTACAACAGTGCACTGCAGTGTATTACAGTATAGTATACTGCAGTGTATGTTTATGGCTCTATCTGGACTGAGATATACTCTGTACTGAGATATACCGCGATACTGTATATATCTACAACTAAATACATCCCCATGAATGTGATACATCACTTTTCTTTACCATGGAAGGCATTCTAAACAGACTCAATAGAACAAGACGACTATGGAGGATTCATCGATCATTTTCAACTTCCTCATCTGTCAATATTACAGGCCGTTTTTGGCGTTCAAACGTGATAGATCATAAACCAACACCAAAGGAAAATGTAACTGCAAAAGTCCAGTCACTTATAAAGAACAGACATGTCTGCATAGACCCAATGGCAGTATATAATAGGGTAGCAGCATCACAGCCATCATCGTCGTCGCTGTCATTATTGTTTTCAACGTATGGCTATGAGGCGTTTGACTCCGTAAAGGAGATTATCCATCTAAGTAACAACGCTCAGTTAACTGCGGGTTCATATGTCGAGTTCTATGATCCTCTTACGTATAAGCTGAATATTGGAATGGTTGTAGCGGGTGCCGGTACGAGGTTTGGAGTTGACCTGTCTCAAGCCACAGTTCTAACTGTTGATGGCGATGTGGTCGGTGTTGACGGGTCAATGGTGTCGTTCCATCTTTACAAGCTTTGGAACGATGAAGAGATCAATGTAAAAGATCATCAAGAGGTACAAGGGATTTTGAATTCGTTTATAGTTGAAAGTATGGATATGGCAAACGAGCTGACCTTGGCTTTAGATACCATGTTCTACCAGTTAAGTCTGTCACATTCCATCAAGGGGATACAACTACATCAACTCTATGACGACTTGATGAAGTTGAATAAGGAAGAACCATATGAGTATTATCATCAGCAAGCACGGTTACTCTTATGTATCCATATGAATCTATGTCGATCTACCAATTGGTTGGTCCGGTTCCACACCAAACACTCGAATCTCACCCTCAACCAAAGCTCCAACTTACTTGCCTCCAACTCTACATACTATGTAAATAGTACCAGGAACGTTGATTCCATCACCAGGTTTGTCAGCGAGTTTCCCAAACGGAAAACGGACTTCAACAACCATCTTGGGTACATGCTTACCACGGGGTCAAAGGGGAAGAACTACGAGACCATCATGAACTACTATAACATTTGGGAGGGTAAACCATTTCGACATTTGATTGAAACGTTGAAGTTTGCTGTTGTTTATCCACATCCACAAGTCATCATCAGACTAAACAAGTTGAATATATTCAAATCTTTTGGGGGAGCATCACCAACGAATGTATATCACGTGTTGAGTCAATTGAGGATTTATGATAATAAAGCCAACCAACTAACTGATCCGTTTATTTCTGCTAATATGTTGGGAGAAGTCAAGTTATCGAATTTGGCAGCTTCAAATTTATCCGAGTTGAATCAACGTCCTGAAATTGGGGGCAATCTTATGGAAGATAAAGTGTCTATTCTTAGAGACAAGTTCCCTCATTTAAGAGATCAAGTTCCTACCAATGATAACAGAATTTATGCTGTTCCCTTAGCAGAGTCCTCGTCATCATCATCTACTTCATACATCTGTTTATGTTTGTCTACGGAGGCGACCGGTCTAGACTTCTACATTCCAGATATTGCTTCCAAAGTATCACCTTCTACTATAAGCTTTGAAAATATAGTTTCTGGAAGGTCTTTAGGGAGTACCATTAGGAATTTACCCAATAATCAAGAGGCTTGGATGATAGAACCACAAGTTGCAACCAAATTGGGGTTCGAAGGCTCAAATGAGACGTTTAGAGTTTCATTCAGATCTTCCAGCAAATTTGAACCACTTTTCAAGGATTTGGCCAAGAAAGTATCCGTTTCACTAAAGACGATTTCTTCTTCCAAAATTCGAGTGTTGTCTTTGGAAATGCTTCAAGCTCTCTTAGAAAAGGGGAAAGCCTCTGCTAAAAGAGTGGGAGTTTTCAAACAGTACCCTGACCTTGAAGAGGAAGACGAAGTACAACTCAAACGGATTTATGAGGTTCTACATAATCATTTTGTTCACCGAGTTAAGAACGGGGCATCACCCATTCTGACAATGGACTACGATCCAAGTGGATGTGATGGTTCCAGAATAACCATCCAAGGTCGTATTAACCACAAGCAATTGGTTGATACAGAGATCAGCGAGACCTTAAGTCCTCCCAAGTCTTTAAAATCCGAAGCGATGATCTTTGTAGATGAAGTGGATAAGATGTTGGGACACATGCTTTCAGAATACTGTATGGAGCATGAGATTCCTGTCATTCGTCAAACACAAGACCTTTATTTAACTGACAACAGTTCCAGTTCCAGTGATGATCAAGCCATTGTTTCTCATGATAATAAGTACTTCCCTTCGTTTGAAGCAGATTCTTATTATCATACATTAATGGTTAAGAATCCTCAATGGTCATTATCCGTTTCTGCATATTTAATAGGTCGACACTTTCTTCTGAAACCTGCAACCACTAACACTACTACTACCACTATTGCTGAACCTCATTTGTCACTAGGAATGAAACATGGATATGTGAATATATCTGAACCGTTGAATGAGTTTTCCAGCTGGGTAAATCAACTCCAACTCGTCCAGCATCTTCAGAAAGAGTACACTGAATCATGGACCGATGCCAGTCGATTCAATTATCTTATTAAGCTTGGCTATGGGACCCCCATCGACTTAACCCAAGCACGTGACTCAGTAATAAACACTCATCTGGTCAGTCAATATGTTTCCAGTTGGCTCAAGAGGTACTGGTCCCTCAAGAGACTCGAACAGGATATGCTAACCAAGAAGCAGGCCAAGCTGTATCACTGTGTGGTCACTAGAATTGGGTCTCCTGTTGATAAGATCGGGTCTAGACCTAGATTGTGTATGGCCTTCTGTAAGCAGTTGGACTTGGAGATCGAATTACTTACTACTGAAGAACCAAAGATAGGTGCACAGTTAGTTGGAAAAGAAGTCGTGTATCTTAATGTAGTTGAAGGTGATTGTATTATCATGTAAATAGAGTACCCGTATAGAATAGAATATAACTAATGCAAGCGTATATCAGTTGTAATATGCAGGCCTAGAAACGTGCCTTGCCTCTTTACGACACAGCACTGATGGAGCAGTAGCAGATTACTGTAGTTGTAGACGACATAGCAGATTAGAGGAGTAAGTAGTAGTACTAGTAGTAGCAGTAACAACAGGTCTCCTACTGTAATAGGACAGTCGTAAGTATATCTCATACGCTCCTGCGTATTGACACTGACTCACCGCTTCCATGCAGATCTGAAAAATTTGAACCACTTAAAAGATAAACCAATTCACTCAACTTACCATAGAGTTATCATCATCAACAATTACCTATGAGTGTATGTATATCTCATGAAAGTCAGTCGGACGGACGGGGGGACAGATAGAAGTAGATACTAACCCCCTTTAGGCAACACAGCCCGATCTTCCGCTGTTGGAAGCATACATCAAGAGTGATAGACAAAAGTGTACTGGAAGTGAGAATCCACCAAATTATTATCCAGTGTTTAAATATGCTACTTCTGATATCACAGTAAACCAAGCATATTTAAAGTTAGCTCAATTGAATGACCCTAAAAGAGGTCCTTCATATCTTTTAGAATCTGCTTTAAATGGTGATACAGTAGACCGGTTTTCCTTTATCGGGATCAACCCTCGTCACGTGATCCGGACCGGAGATGACCCAAAGTTATATGCTCCACAATATTGCAACATCGATCCTATAACGGTATTGGAGAATGAAATGAAGCAATTCAAGCAAGCAGATCTCCCGGGGTTACCTCCTTTAAGTGGAGGTGCTGTGGGGTACATCTCGTATGATTGTATCAAATACTTTGAACCCAAAACTAAAAGACCTCTTGAAGATACCTTACAATTACCAGAAGCAGTGATTCTTTTCAGTGATACCATCATTGCCTTTGACCATGTTTATCAAAGATTCCAAATCTTACACAATATAAGAATTGAAGACGATACAGACGACATTGCCCAAGAGTATTCCAAAGCTAACGACATAATATCAAATATTGTTAGCATCTTAACGGATAACTCCATTGATTTAGAATCCATTGAACCATTCCAGCCTCCAATTAAACAAAACTTGACCTTTACCTCAAATATCGGCCAGCAAGGTTACGAGAGTCACGTGACCACATTGAAAGACCATATTCTAAAAGGGGATATCTTTCAAGCAGTTCCATCCCAAAGAGTTGCTAGACCAACAAGTTTACATCCTTACAACATATTCCGTCATTTAAGAACCGTCAACCCTTCTCCCTATATGTTTTATTTTGATTTACTTGACTTCCAAATCATTGGAGCTTCCCCAGAATTATTGGTGAAATCAGACAAAGATGGACGTGTTGTCACTCATCCAATTGCTGGAACCATGCCTAGAGGGAAAACCAATGAAGAGGATGACAAGAATGCCGACATTTTACGTGCAAGTTTGAAAGATCGAGCTGAACATATTATGTTGGTAGATTTGGCTAGGAATGATGTTAATAGAGTTTGCCAACCTAAAACCAATAAAGTTGACCGTTTATTACACATTGAACGGTTCTCTCACGTGATGCACTTGGTTTCTGAAGTTAGTGGGATCTTAAGGGATGATAAAACTCGATTCGATGCCTTTAGATCGATTTTCCCCGCTGGAACTGTTAGTGGAGCTCCAAAAGTTAGAGCAATGCAATTGATTGGTGAATTGGAAAAGGAAAAACGTGGAGTATATGCTGGAGCAGTTGGAAATTGGGCATATGATGGTAAAACAATGGACACTTGTATTGCCTTAAGAACAATGGTTTATAAGGATAATGTTGTATATTTGCAAGCTGGTGGTGGAATTGTGTTCGACAGTGATGAGTATGATGAATATATGGAGACCATGAACAAAATGCGTGCAAACAACAATACCGTTGTTCAAGCTGAGGAAATTTGGGCTGCTAAAGTTGGCACCGAATAAAACTGGCACAGTATCATAAATAGATCAAATATTAATTAATTAATACTAGAATCTTTTCACCCTCGGTTTTCAAACAGCGACACGTGACAATAATTTCGCCCAAGTCGTGCATTTACCGATAGCCCTCTTTATGTCTCGTCCAACCGACAAGAAATCCGATGATCATCAAGGTTTGGGATAGGTACACCACCAAACACCATAACATCACAACAGCATCACCAGTTCTTGGTGCAAAGACCTATAATCTTATTATAGTAGGTGTAGTTGTGGTTTTGAAACGGAACAACTTAAGAAATCAAGTGGTTGTGAACTTCCCCATTTAAGTCATCGACTCTCATCAAAAGCCTGACTGGCATTATTCTTATTCTGACTCCGACTCGACTCTCTGACTCCGTTGGAAGAATAATTAGCAGCATAACATAGCGCAGCAGACGGAGTTCCTGACATGAGTGGAGCTGGCCTGATGGCCTTTGAAGATAATAATCATACAGTAGATACTTCATTGGACAATGATGCCAATAAGAATAAGAATAGAACTCCAACATCATGGGAAGCGGAAGATGATATTTTGTTGATGCATTTAAAAGATAACCAAAAATTGGGTTGGAAAGATATTGCTAGTCATTTCAACAATAGAACTCCCAATGCATGTCAATTCAGATGGAGAAGATTGAAATCTGGGAATTTGAAGAATCCTCCTAAATCAGCAGCAGCATTAGGTACTTCCACAAATAACTTGGGTAAGTTGGTAGAACAAGCCAAACTCAAGAAGGTAAAGGATGATAGTGAAGAACCAAAGGATAAGAGCCACAATAATATCAATGGCCACAACAACGATAATGAAGATGACGAGGATAATGATAATAATATCCGTAACGATAACCATAATAACCACAATAATAATCATGATTCATCCACATCATCAAAAAACCGTGGATCAAATTATACTGCCCCGTCTTCATCTTTTAATAATGGAATAGGGGGATTCTCATATACTCCATTATCAAATGCTACATTCACAGGATATGATAACACTATTGGCAATGCTTTAGCTGGATTAAATGCCTTGTCAAACACTCCATCATCTATCAATAGTCCCATGCCCAATTATAGTATCAGTTCTCCTGGGTTGGTCACAGGTAATGATGATGGCACCACAATAGCCGACCAAGATGTTAGTTTAGATCCTCTGAATCAAAATGCTAGTAATGCTGTTGCTGGTGCTAACACCGGAGGAGGTTATTATGCAGATATTTCCATTGATCCTACCATGAACTTGCCTCATAATCAACCTCATCCTCATCCTCCCAACTCCTTAACTCCCCGAAATTCTACATCCCATGGTAACTCCGCCTCAAATACTTTACCTCATTCATATCGGAACAATTCTATCATCCAGATTGTTACCAGTGATCGGAATTCGATCTTTGATCCCCGAACTTCGGTGTCTTCCCTTCCTTCTAAACTGATGAACATTCCTCACCATCAACTGAGTGGGTCATTGGCCCATCTTCCATTATTTGGAGGTACTTCAATCAGTGGACCATCAAGAAATCCAAGTATTAGTGGTCCTCCAGGCATTACTCAACAGCCAGTGGCCAGTTTACGGAATGGTAGTGTTGGCAGTATTACTAGTAGTAGTGGACCAGGATATTATTCTCGTTCTGGATCAGTGGTTGTTCCTCATAATTCAGATAAGCCAGAAGATATGAAGGCTGAGACGGAGAATGAACTGAAACCATCATCAAAAGAGAATAATGAGTACAATAACATCAATAATAATAGAGATAAAGATTTTGGTAAAGAGAAGGAACCCAAAAAGGCTCTGACACCAGTGATCAAAATCCCATGGTCTGTTGAAGAAGATGAATTATTGATCAATAGAAGAAACCGAGAGTTACTGTTTGCCGAATTATCAATCTTATTACCTCAAAGAACCGAGGGGGAGATTTGGGCTCGAATAGATTATTTGGAGAAGTTGAAGAATGGCCATAGAGCTTCAACTTCACGAGAGCATCGTAAAAGAAGACAATCGTCTCTTGGTTTAGAAGTGGATGATTTCTATGATGTTGTGGATGACGTTATCTCTGGGATTGTTAGTGATGATGATCATGACGATGATGATGATGTATTGGTTGAGGTGGAAGGGTTTGGATCAAATAGAAGAAGACGCAAAAGAAGAGCAAGTTCTGCTGTTAATCCACTAGCTATGCCAGATCAGCTTCGTAGAAGAATAAGATAGTGTGTAAAGTATCTTCTTATAGTGTACAATATTATGTAATATATGTCTTGTCACGTGCCCCAGTTCACTAAAGTTAATTTATTGTTACTGTTACATACAATTGAAGTCGTTTAGTACTTTAGTTTTTTTAGTATAGTTTCAATGAATGAGTTATTTCATCTATGACAACTTTTGGAGCAGGTCCGATTCCTAATACAGTGGCACTTCCAGCAGCAATTTGGGTTCTACCGGCATCATGAACAATATAAGCATTGATACCTAATGACATGGCTTGTGCAAACAATGTATCCATTTCTTCCTGGTTAGGCACTTGTAAAGTGATTTTAGCTTGACCATTGCCGTATTCCCAACGTTTAATCATTTCTGGATTATAAGCATTACTTGATGGATCTGTCATTTTTCTATACAATGCCAATGTAGCATGGGAACATTGAGCAGCAGCTTTCCCTTTAGTCATTTTCAAATCCTGACGAACTATTAAAGTCATTCTTACCTCGCCAGGGATACTATTCAACGCCTTCGAATCGATTTCCACATCACTATCTGACTCGTCATATTGTGACTCGTCATGTCCATCATCATCTTCAACTTGTTCATGTTTGGTAGCGACCACGTTCCCTTGATCAACAATCAAATGGACACCATAGCCAGCCATAAAGGAGGCTATACCAACTCCTAGAAGTTCCCAAAGACCGAACCGAGGACTCATGCTTGGAAAGAAGTAGTGGTGTAAAAGGTTTTTTTCGCACCAAATATAGATGGCTATATTATCAACTGAAGTATCACCCCAGTGGTACGAGTACCACGACAATGAGCGTAGATGATTAGTAGCAGTACCACAAGTTGATATTAGAAGTCTAAAGGTATGAGTACCGAATGTAGTGGTACTGTTATTAGTAGCACTATGTTTATGCTAACTTCTTTAACTTACCAGTCTTCTTCTTCTTCTTCTTGTCAACTTTCCCTATAAATGATCTCCAATTAGCCACTCTATGGTCTCTATCATCTTCCCATTGTCTTTCCGATTGCCTTTTATTTTGTTGGATCTTTCTGTGTCTTGTTTGTTCAGCCAATCGTGAGGCTTCCTGATGCTGTCTGGCGAGTTTATCTGTTTCTTGTTGATGGACTAACTCCTCCAAAACCAGGGCTATCCGACTTCTGATATCACTAAGACCCTCATGGTTGTTGTTCACCACATCCTTATAGATATCTATTAGTCTTGTACGTTCTTCTTCGTTGTTGTCAGAGGTTATCACCAGTTCTGCCTTCTTAAGTCGAGCAAACGCTTCTGGTGCCTCAACATGCTTGTTTCTATCAGGATGCAATCGAAGCGATGTCTTTCTAAACGACTTTTTAACTTCAGTGACTAGCGATTCAAGGTCATTGGAAACAACCCGTTCAGGCTCAATGTCTAGTATGGTGAAATAGTCCCATTGGCACGACGAAAGCACTCGCTTAACTATCTTGCTGTCTTGTTCAGCTCTATCCAATTGAGAGTCTAATATGCTCTCCTCGTCCATAGTATTAGGTTCACCTTCTGTATAATGAGCTCCGTTACCCTACCTTTGACGTCGCACTCACTAAACTTTATCCACTAAAAAATTCACTGGTCTAACACTTCATCACCACCGTCAGTTCTTATATGAAGTCAGTCTACAGAATGCTGCGACCATGGAAACCTCGGTACTTCGATATCGGCGTCAACTTCTCCGATTCAATGTTCACAGGAAACTATCATGGTTCCCAAAAACATAGTGCCGATTTAGATATAGTCATAGCCAGAGCTAAAGCCTTCAATGTCAATAGAATGCTCATCACCGCTAGTAGCATCAAGGAAAGCAAAGAACATTTTGATCTCGTCAAAGCACATCCAGAAATCTTCTACTCAACAGCTGGCGTCCATCCTTGTACAGTAGCCAAGGAGTTTTATGCCCCTGTCCCCTTATATGACACTAAATTGGCCACCCTAAAAGATATCATCGAAGAAGGGGCTACTAAAGGCTACATAAAGGCTATTGGGGAAATCGGCTTGGATTATGATCGATTGCATTACACTCCGAAGGAACAGCAGCTAGAAGCTTTCGAACGTCAATTGCAATTGGCTGCTCTGTTGAAACATTTACACTTACCTCTCTTTTTACATATGAGAGCTGCATGCGATGACTTTATAAGAATCTTAAAGCCGTTCATCGATCGCGGAGATATCGTCGGAGGTGTCATCCATTCGTTCACAGGGTCCCTTGAGGAATTGACCAAATTGCTTCCCTTGGGCCTTTTCTTTAGTGTCAATGGTTGTTCTTTAAAGACACAGGAAAACTTGGAAACGGTTAAACATATACCCATCAATAGACTAATGATAGAAACTGATGCTCCATGGTGTGAGATAAGAAAGAGCCATGCGGGCTACCACTATATCCTGCGCTACCCAAATATATATTACCCTGAAACGGCAATCAACACCATGGAACATAATACCACCGAAACAGATACTGACCCAGCAAAAGTATTAACTTCTAACAAAGTAATTGCTTATACCAAAGGAAAATTAGATGATAATTTACCCTTCTATTCAGTGAAGAAGGAAAAATTCAATGACGTTGTGGCTCTGGGATCTCGTTACGAAGAAGATACTGGTACCAGCTTGGACCATTGGAAATACCCATTGGTTAAATCCAGAAATGAACCAGTTAATGTAGGACATGTGGCTCAAGTTGTATGTGGAATCCATGGTTTTACAACTGAAGAAGAAATAAAATCTTTTATAGATACCGTGTACGACAACTCGTGCCAAGCATTCAATGTGCAATAATAAATTAATGAATGATCTGTCTATTCCGGACTCTTTGACCGGAGCTTTCTGGTGAAGTTGTGAAAATTATTATACTGTACGTCCCTAATATCATTATCAATGTCAATACCTTCGTCTTCAACTTCTTGATCTTCAATATCTTCAATGTAATCTTCTTCATCTTCAACATCTTCAATGTAATCTTCTTCAATTTCGTCTTCTTCGAAATCTTCATCGATATCTTCTCCTTCTAGTTCCATTGCACTTGCATTGTCATCATCTTCATCGTCGTCGTCGTCGTCTTGAATAAGAGGAACAGCTCGTTTGACCTCATTGGGCTGCTTTACAGGGGTTTTATCCACTTTCCCTTCACTATTACCTGGAAAACAAGTAATATAATCCTCATTGAGATCTCCGGTATCCCCCATTTTGGTATGAACATCACATATAACTTCAATTTCCCGGTAAGCTTCTTCTTCTATTTTATAAGGATTATTTATATCATCCTTAAGGAAACTGGTGATCAGGGCTATAGTGTTCTGGGGGTGTTGAGTAGTAGTGGCTGAATGCACATGAACAGCTGGTGCAGAATTGATCCCTCCAGAAGGACCAAATAACATTGGCTTCCACATAAGTTTCAGAGGATCTAAAGTAGCATAATTCTTTCTTTTCCAATTGTCTATAACTTTCTTGATCCGATTTTGATTTATGCAAATGGCATACTTCCCAGTACTTGGTGATTTCACCAACGCCCTATTTTGTTCTAGACCCACAATGACGTCTGAGGGAGTCATTCCTGTTAATTTCGATAGTATTTCAACTGAAATTACCAAAGATTTGTATTTGTCTTTATTGAGTTTATGAAATTCCACCAAATCAAAAAGTTTCATAGCCACAGTTAACTTCCAATAACTTCGATAACTTAAAAGTCCCAAGTCACTTAAAGGTTTCTCTGGCGTACCACATTTGAATTCAGTTCGAGAAAGTAAGTAACTGAAATCAATTAATAGATGACCATAACCCTTTCTTTGGTATATGGGAAGAGTTAGAATGCATGAAACATTATACTCAGAAGCATTTAGTTTCTCTTTGGAAAAATACCCCACGAAATGGTACTTCAAAGGATCATCTTTATCAATCTCCGTCAAAATATAAAATATGAACGGTTCCACATCATAATATAAGGTTTTGGAGTTTAAGAATAGTTTGGCTAGGAGACACAAGTTTTGACAGTAAGTGATGTTCTTACGTCCATCGACCTCCCATATAGCGATGCCGTTTACTCTATCACGATATATTTCCACTCCTGGTGGATGGTTATCTATGCATTTCTTCAATTGGTGTCTCTCAAATGAAATAGGTGAACTTATATACTTGAGACAATGTTCGCATATGTACAACTTCTCTGATCTTGTGTACTCTTCCGGATACGGAGCTGTATACCAAGTTTCGATCTCATAATTTCGAAACTGAATCGTGGCAAGTTTAGACTCGGGGTAAAACGTTGAAGGACCAGGTGTTGGTGTTGAAGCTTTACGGATTTCTTCAGTAGTAGAATCAAATGATTGATCTAAAATCCCATTGCTACTAGTAGGAACACTTTTATGTTGTAGATTAGACCATTTTAACTTCTCTCCCTGTTTGTGAAGATCATCGAAAAGAATCCTATCGTCTTGTGTTGGTTCCGTTTCATTAACTATGCAATCAGGGTACCCCAATATACCTCGGTACGGGAGATCACTCACATGTGCAGCCACAAACCTAGTAGGGTCATAAGATAACCTTACGACCATCGATCGAGGACTCGATCTGGGTCTAGGTATACTAGTATTGGATCTAGCTGTAGAGCTGGAGTTAGCAGAAGTAGTACTGGATCTATTATTATCGTCATCTTGAACGCGTACACGTGTAGCCTTGATAAGTTTTTTAAGAGAATAGTCCTGATTGTTCTGATATCGTTTCCGTGGCGTTCGTTTATCAAGATCAATATTCTCTGGTGATGTCAACTTCTCGTATTGCTTGTTGTTTGTTATCTGAAGCTGTTGGAGAAGCCGGTCTCTAATGCCCATTGCCAAAACGTTTCGTGTGTGCACTACTGTGTTTGGCTCGCTTCATGTGTTTCAGGCCACCCAATTGAGCTGATCACTGAGATTCTTATTGATAACTACCTCCACAGAAGTTATGTCATGTAGTTTTAATACCTAGTAATGGAGGGTGCTGTGGGAGTGCATTGTTGATAATTTTGATCTCAAACGTTGGAACTGCATATAGATTAATGGCGCTACCGTATATATACTAATGGCCTTGCTTGGAATCGAACTTGGTATAGTACAAAAGTATAACAGTATAGTAATTTTATATCTTATCATAAATTATACTGCACTGCAATATAACGTAACGTGAACTATCGTAGCATGGAAATAATAATAATAGCAGTAGTAGTAATAAAAAATAATAATAACAGTAGTGAACACTAATACACAACTAGAGAAACATCAAATCATAGTAAACAAATATATAACACAGTTAGTGTTAGGAAAGAAGGAGAAGCAAAGGATAGTTTGTGATGTTCTTTAACCTTCCAATTCTTCAATTTGATTCTTTTTATGAACCTTGGTTTGTTGTTGATTTTGTTGTTCATTGTCGTCATTATCGTCTCCATCATCATCTTTTTTCTCTTCTTCTTCATCTTCTTCATCTTCTTCTTCTTCTGCTTCTCCTCTGTCTTCTTCATCTTCGTCTTCTTCCTTAACACTGCTCATCCCACAAAGTGCTAAAATAGATTGGGGAGCATTCTTATCTAAGTAGATCACCCCATTCTCACTAGTTATTCCAGAAGCTAAAAAGTCTATCATGCTCATACCTCCACCAGAACCACTTCTCTTCTCACTACCTTCTTCATCCCCTTCATCATCTTCACCACCAGCACGATAACCTCTAATCCCCCCATAAGAACCAGGACCATCACCCATATCTCCATCATCGAACTCGTCTCCAGCAGTACCGATGGAATAGTTACGACCAAACATTTGCTTGTATAATTCATCATAGGGTAATGAAATAGGACCATAAGTAGTTGATTGTGGGTTTTTGATTCTGGATTCAATTCTTTCAATGATCTTATCATACCATTGATCCAAGGTTTCATTCTTAGTATAATCCAATAAGGCAACGATGGTTATAGACATATTGTCACATCCAATACCTGGACCATCTGAAGTTGGTGCACAACATAAATCCATAAGTTCTTCACAAATAAGTTCCAATGGTTTACGGTTATAAATCCCGTATCTAATACATTCAACACAAGTTTGAGATGTCAAACAATCCCAAATTCCATCACAAGCCAATACTACAAACTCATCACTTTCAAAGTCCAAATTATGTTGTATCACATCAGGATAGCATGTCACCACTTGTTCTTCTGGAGGTAAATCTTTGCTACGTTTGAACTCAAAATCTCCAATACCTCTGGATAATGCCAAGTTCCCATTGACTCTACCCATTTCAACATACCCTCCGGCACGAGAAATCCTGGTTTTTTCTCCTTCATTCAGAGGTTTATGGTCGTAAGATAAAGGCTTAGCATACCCATTTATAGACATGATAGTTCTAGAATCTCCAGCATTACCACAAAAGATTTGGGTAGGAGTAATTATCGCCGAAGTGGCCGCACAACCGGAATCGTCCGGTTCCGTCTTAGCTCTATCCCAAATGAATTTGTCACAATTCAAAAACCCATTTTTCAAAGCATTGGAGAAGTCACCTTGGGAATATGCTTTAGTGTATTTGACCAAGTTATGTAAATAGATTCCGGTTAATTCCGCGGTTTTGGCACCTCCATGACCATCATACACCCCAAAAAAGGCTATATGATCGTCGCTTTTCAAGCTTCCTTTACCTTTACCTTCGCCATCATCATCAATGGCATCTCTGGCTTCTGAGTCTTCAGCAAGACCATTCAAGTCCAAGATCATGGCATGAGCATCCTCCATATTCGTCCGCCAGCCTTGCATGCACGAGAACCCGTACGCAAGATAACCATCGCCATTCTTCTGGGAGTCCTTCTGGACAATGGGCAGGGATAAGATCTGACCCATAAGAATACAATCGATTAGTAACTACTACTAGAAATATTCTTCGCCACCCTGTGTGTCAACTCTATAAGATGTCGATGTGTCACCACCGTCTAATTGTCGGATAAAAAGAACAAGAAATTGCCTATCAATTCGATAGGTAGAACTTGTAAAGCTTAGCTGATAAAGAACACACTGTTGGTGGTTGATATAAAAAAATCAACAAAATTTTTGATGAGAAAAAGAAACGGAACACCTGCACACCAATACACCTCAACACCCTCACAGTGCAGAATAACCGTTGTTTCTTCTACCGCCTATTGCCAGTCTGCAACCTCTAAGACTACTTCTTTTAACAGTCATATTCATTAAACTATGCACATTAACATAATCTATATACTTGCATAAAAACGTCGTGAAATATCAATAATAGTCATAAAACATACATCAATCATTAATAAAAACTCATTTCATTTAGGTCCCCATATTCCACTGTTGGAAACATCGTACGAAGATCCTCCAAGGTTTAAGGACCCAAGCTTGTTGATGAACGTGCCATTCTTATCTTGTCCACTCCCAAGTGAATACTCCGATAAATGTGTGGCTGAAGCAGAATGCTGTAACGAGCTGAAACTCATGTTCCCATGCTGACCAAAGGGATGGAACCGAGAGTTCAACTCAGAGCCCCCGTTATTCAAGCTTGTGCTAGTTGCAACATTCGTATGCGTGGCCAAGGGGGTACCTGGCTGAGATCCAATATTGTTAGTGTTATTGTTATTATTGTTCTTGTTGTTGCTGCTGCTACTGGATCCTCCTCCATTGCTAGAGAAATATGATACAGAATGTGGGGTGGGAGAATCCATCAGCGAATGATGCTGGCTCAGGAATCCAGTGTTATTATTATTGGAATTGTTGGAATTGGTGTACGTAGAACGAACATCAACAAAGGATCGGTTGGTACTCCGCAACAACGCTGCAGCACTTGAGTTGGCAATTGTAGGGGCAAGTATGCCACTTTGGCCTGATGATTGGGAATTCAAATGCATATGACCAATTTGAGGTGAATGAACCAGAGATGATTGGCCAGAGTAAATTCCCTGAGATTGCTGCTGTTGTTGTTGCTGCTGTTGATGCAGATGCTGTTGTTGCTGTTGAGATTGTTGAGATTGCTGTTGTTGTTGTTGTTGTTGTTGTTGTTGTTGTTGTTGTTGTTGTTGTTGTTGTTGTTGTTGTTGTTGTTGATGTTGTTGATAAACCCTTGCTTGGGGACCATGACTTTGGAAAGAAAGACCTGCCAATTGAGCATGTTGGCTCTGAGGTGTTAAATGTTGTTGCAGAGATTGTTGTTGTTGAGTCAGAGTTTGGTACTGGGGAAATTGCAGTTGAATTGGAGTATTGTTACCCTGTTGCCTCAATCTAGGTAAAGGTAAAGCAGATTGGGAATGAGATCTTAGTAAATCCAGATGAGATAACCCTGGAGGTCCAGAAGATCCACCACCACCACCCCCACCACTCAGTTGGTTGTTTGTTCCTACTCCTGAAAGAGATGGTACCATGAATTGATTCAAATTCATCATTGATGAAGAATGCTGTGGGAGGGAAACAGGAGCATGGGGTTGGATCAATTGGCTAATTAATGATTGAACAACATAACCGGGCTTTCTTCTAACAATAATAGATCCGTTATCGTAGAGCTCCAACAAGTTCAAATAAGAACATAACATCGACAACACTTTACGATGAGTTAAAGTCAAAGTTGAGGACGATAACGCCAACTCGTAAACTGATTTGGATAAATCGTCACGATATAAGACCAATTGAGTGTACAAGTCTAAAGTTTCAGGATCATTAAAGTTTAAATCAATAGGTGGAGACATCAAACTATTGTTACTAACAGGTAATGAAAACCATAATCTTTCAGTAGCAGGTTGATTTGATGATGAAGCACCATTAACACTCATATTCTTAGTAGCTGCCGTTGTCGAAGCTGCAGACATCAATGATGCCAAAGATGCGTTGGAAACTGAACGATGTTGTTCCTCTAATTGACCTCTTTTCTCTCTCTTTTCTCTTTCAATACGTTCACGTTCCTGTAACGGAAGCATTTTCTTGTACTCAACACGTAATTTACGTCCACCAATCTCACGACCATTTAATTGGTTCACTACCAAGGATGTTTCATCTGTAGAAGTAAAGTTAGCAAAAGCTAATCCTCTAAATACTCCATTATCAAAATGATAATTGAAAGCATATGGTAAGGGCAAGTTCAACTTTGTCATGACTTCTAATAATTGTTCCTTCTTTATAGCAAAAGGAATATTTTTGATCACAATTGCCGTGGGAATTAATTCGTCATCATCTAAGGATGAGTTCCCTTCAGTTGGACCAGATGATCCCATTTGAGCATCTTTATCGTTCTGATCATCCGTAATGGGCATGGAAGTGAGGACTGAACTTGCATTGACCATATTGACACTCTGAGGTCTTGAAGATATCAGAGATGGAGAACTAATGGGTACAACCGAATGAACTTGAGTCACCACGTTGGAACCCAAGCTATCATCATTATCAGCCACCAGTAATCTATGATTTGAAGTCAGGTCAATTGTTACTTCAGGGTCTGAAGAGCCTGAGACACCAGCTGCTTCACGGTCACCCAAAATCACTGCAGACACAGAACCAAGAGATTGCAGTGTTGGGAGTTGTTGTTGTTGTTGTTCAACCCATGGACCCACATCAACATTTGAAGGGGGGATCCAGTTGTTTCTGGCTCCAGATACATTGGTGCCTACACCACCTGATGTCACTGGAACAGTATTAGTAGCCAAAGACGATGCAGAAGCCAACCTTTGGTTGGTTAATTGAGGGGTGGTACTACCAGTGTTGCTAGTAGTAGCGGAGATAGAGGATCCGACAACTCCACCTTGACCATCAGAAGGTGCATTTACTCCTCCTGTTCCGTTATATGTTGAGCTTGAGTAACCAGATGTCGACGATAAAGAAGAGATGGACGTTCTTCTCTGCAAGTCCAATTGGTTTGGAGTAGTCGATAAATTTCGCAAGTCCATGGTAGTAGTCATCAAAGGAGGGAATAGGGTCAACAGATTAGATGAGCAGACAAAGTCAGTCTAGCTGTATTATGACAAAGAAATACACTAAAGTGATACCAATCAAATCAAATGCTGAGCCAGGACTATAAATATTATTACTATTATAGTGGTCGATACTGATTGGCTTTTGGCAATCAACACGCAGTTAATTTGGATGGACGGATATAAAGATCTGTTAACTAAGCAGTTACACCCACAAAACAACTGTTATAGTTATTTTCTTTTCTTGAGCTATGAATCCCTTCGGAGTTAAGGGTGTGTTGTCGTTGTCGATAATGTAAACTCAAGATTAGGAAATCAGTGCCTCTAACTTTTTTTGAGTCCCCAAATTTTTTCCGGCAGAATCCTTGTTCCGAGGGTAATTTAGACACGTGATTATTGCTACCTTAATCCGGAATTGAGGCAGGGGTGGAGGTGAGGTTAGGATGTTAGCAGGAAAGAATAGGGAAGAGGAGGATAGTAACTGTTGAATTTTAACAAACATATATGTTCATATATGAGTTCCTAGATGAGTTTATATGTTTGTTGATCTGCTGAATGAATCTTGATTGTAGAGTGTCAGACATGGACTTTTGTGTAACATAGTTGTAATCCAACATAATAAATTTACCTTTGTTACACTGATGATGCATTAAAATAGTTATACAATAATATACAACGGCTTGTAGTGATGTACTATTGGTATACAATGCCTTACAGGTATCAATGTTATACAATAATACACAGTGACAACCCATACCAAAATGACATCCGAAAGTAGTCAATCATGCGCTACCGTTAATATATTACACAAAATTTATTTCAAACAGCACACCTGTTGGTGAAAAAAAACTATAGTGATTATCAAGTTGTTAACTTCTTATCATGAACTAACCACAACATTAGAATAATATATCAAGAAAAAAATGGTATGTATCACGCGTCTGACCAACAGTATCACTTAAATAAGCATGTTACTAACATTCCACAGTCTTCTTCTTCAGTTCAAGCACCCGGTGGGTTAAGAAGCGCAGCTAAGAGAAAGAACACTGCTGACAAGAAGGCTCAACAAGCCAATGCTACTCCTGCTTCCACCAGAGCTGCTGGAGCTGGTGGTTCTTCTTCTACAATGTTGAAGTTATTCACTGATGAAGCTCAAGGATTGAGAGTTGATCCTTTGGTGGTATTGATTTTGGCTGTTGGGTTTATTTTCTCTGTAATCATCTTGCACGTGTTGGCCAAGTTGACTGGTAAGTTCATTAGTTAAGTAAGAAAGAATGAGTTAAACTATGTACAATATAATAATAATATAAGAAGGTATTTTTAAGAGTTACTTTACATGTCTTCCAATAATGCTTCAATTACTTGAATCGCACCCTCCAAAGCTACGGTATGTTTGTGCACATTACCATCACCATCTTGTTCTACTTCCCAATGAAAAGTATGCTGATGTTCGTATAAGTGTTTCCAGTGTTCCATGCTTGTGGTGTACCTTGTTTCAATTTCAACGTATTGGGGGAAACGCTTACCTAAGATAATCACCAAGGGTATGCCTACCAAATTAGAATGGTGAACTTTACTTCCCAAACGGTACTTGGAACGATCATCTAGTCTGTAGTCGATACCATTACTCTCTAATTGTTTGCACAATTGTACCACATCATGGTTCTCACTGTAATGGTCGCCTCCAACGTTCTTTCTAATGTCAATTAATGTGGCATCCCATGGAGCTGTGACCCGGGGCCATCTCAAGCCTTTACCATCACGATGTATCTCTCCAAGTGCGGCAACGATTCTCAGTAGCCCAATGCCATAACATCCCATCTGAACACTCTTGGAGTCGATAGTAAGCCCGAGGGAAGAAGAGTACTTATCGCCCAAATAAAACGTATGGCCAATCTCAATGGCCTTGGCAGGCTGCAACGTCCCTTCATCACATACAGCACAAATCTCACCTTCTTCTGCACTAACTAATGGCACATCGAATAAGGTACTGATCAAAGACCGACTAATGAACGGCACGGGGAAATCAGGTAACGGCGAACGATGATTCAACCTGGCATCCATCAATCGCACAATCCGTTTATCAATTAACTGGTCTTTGTCACTGAATATGGCAAGAATCTCTTCTTGGGATAACCGATTAGACAAGTCGATATCTGGAACCTCCAAGGCAACAAAAGACTCTTGTAATTGTCTCTGAAGAGAATAATAAACACAAACCAAAGTCTTATCATCCTTGGTTATAAAATACTTGACTCCTACTTCAGTTGTTTTTGCTGATTCTTCTGTAACTTCAGCATAACTTAATGTCTTCTCTACATTGGAAACATTGCCACAATTGGTACACGTGAATACTGTGTCCCCCCCTGTGGGATGCAAATAGTGCCATTCGTGACTAAGAGACCCTCCAATGTCTCCGGTATCAGCATCAGCAACCACATAGGGAGTCTTTAAGGCTTTGAAGATCCGATGGTACGCTTCCGTAACTGTTTTGTAGCTCTTCATTGCCAGAGGTTCATCGATATCAAACGAGTATCCATCCTTCATAACAAACTCTTTGCCTCTAAGCAACCCTCCTCTTGGTCGTAATTCATCTCGAAACTTGTCATTGATTTGATACACCAAAACAGGATACTCCTTGGGACTGGCAAAAGCAAACAGCTTGATCAACTGGGTCATATCTTCTTCGGCAGTAGCAAGCAATACATAGTCGTCTTTAGTCCCTCCAGCGCCCCGAACCTTATAGAGTTCAGGGTTGTTGTATCTACCAGTGGTACGCCATGACTCCAGCAGAGATAGGAGTCCCAATTGAACCTTGTCAAAGTTCGCACGGGTCATGCTCTCATCTATAACTCCCTTGAGCTTGTCTAAGACACCAAGTCCCATTGGCAAGTAGTTGAAAAGTCCAGACCGTGGTTGATGGATGAAGTTTAGTTTAACCAATAAGTCTGTCGTTGGAATAGACGAAACCAGGTCAAGCTGCTTGATACCATGACAGTATAGCTTTGGTACCCTCTTCAAGTGGAACTGTCGTCTAAACATAATGGACAGTAGCAAAAGTATAAAGAGTGGAAGGTTACTAGTTGGTGTGAAAAGTTGAAAATCTGGGGGACCATAACACCAAAATAGCCCTACCTGTCTACTATATGCGCACCACTACACCACTATTCACTAGTGTAGTAGTCCACTACTTCCTTTACATTCTTTGTAGAATAGATGCGTAATACTTATGATGATACTTAATGACAATTATACAATATTGTTCTGCGTCTACTTAAGCTTATCAAGCTTGTCATTGGCTTCCTTGATAACGTTATCACCAAACAGTCTAAGACTAGCATAGGCCAGGTTCAACTTTTGCTTAGCTGCTTCGACATCTCTGGCCTTAGCAGCGTCACCTTTGGCCATCACATCATCCAAATCCTTCTTGGATCTGTAGTAGTCATCAATGGCCTTCTGCTTCTGAGCTTCAGCTGCTGCACTGGCTTTGTCCAATTTTTGGTTGACATTCTTCTTAGCATCTTCATACAGGTCGCTGACAGCCAGTTTAGCTTCGTAGTACTTTGCGTTTGCTTCCTTGGCCACCTTGTCCCCTGTACGTTTAGCATCGTCGCCCAAGTCCTTGAGTCTGGCATTCAATTGTTCACCCTTCAATTCTGCTTCGCTCTTGGACTCGCCAAAGAGTTGGGCAACCTTGTTAGAAGCATAATGGAGTCCACTCTTGTCATACAAGTACAGAGACCATGATTGACCTTGAGGCTCGTCAATGATGACATACTCTTCTTGCATGACATAATCTTTACCTGTAGCAATTTTATTGACCCAGTCAATGTATCCAATCATTGCTTGTCTCATATAGGACTTGTCTTCATCAGGTTCAGCCAAACGTTTAGCTTCAGCGTCAACCTTATTCAAATAATCGTCTGTGTCTTTGTACACTTTGGACTGCTTGAATCTGTCAGTGACCGACTGAGCCTTGTCAACCACTTCGTCCTTCAAGGCGCTTGTTTTGGCCGACACTTGGGAGCCAAAAGTCTCGATTCTGGGCTTAACATCTTTATTGTACTTTGAGGAAATGTCCAGGGAGAATCTTTGTTGTTCCTGGTGAAGTCTGTGGGGGATTTCCACTTCCTTTTGACGAACCCAATCAGGGAAAATTGGTTGGACATTCTGATCATAATAGATAGCAGAACCAAGGATTACAGCCCCAGTAAGAAAGTATCTTCCAGTACTCATAATGTTAATGATGCTTATGATGTAAAAATTAACTTTACTTAATTAAAGTTATACCTCGAAAGAGCATCATGCAATTCTGTAAATTTTAAGGAGACAATTTAGTATTTATACTCCCGAAACTTTAAACTGGGGTTCTGTCCGAATACTCCCATTACAGGTACATGCTTGCTCTAGACCGATTGTCAAATCCGAAAGGTAGGAATAACACATTACACAGGAAAGAAGGCAATCAGACAAGCATGACAGCAATTGACAGACAGGAAACTATGGAATCCCGACTGTAAGTACACTAAAAGCATCCCCACAGTCAGCCCTGAAAGAATATTTTGGATTTTCTAAAGCTGTGGTTGTTACATAGCATTGGAGAGTGCATATTCACCTGAAATAATCGATGCCACGTTCCCTAAAGAAGCAAGTGACCACTAGTTTGATGCCCTAAACAGCAATCGTAAAAGTCGGGTGGGTTTCCTTTGCTGTTACGTCATCTTATGCAGTTAAAATGTAATATATACTGTGGGATGGAACGGGATGGTATGCACTTCAGAATACAGTTATGACTGTGATAAGATGTCAATTGGCATTTGAGTGAGTGCTTATATTAGTTTGACAACTGTGTTGGTTTCAGTGGATATGGTCACGTGATGTTTTATGGTTAACTAGTATTGGTCACGTGATTTACACTAACTAGTAGAATCAAAGTATTTGATGTATTGATGGTATATTTATGTTGTATTGTACTGTTCTAGAGCCAATTGACTAACTATATACATAAATTCATATACAAATGTATGTATATAGTTAAATGATTAGGTCACGTGATAACTGATAACGCTGATCTCTGATTACATAATCGATCATTCATTTTAATGTGACACAAACACCGGGTACGATTTGATGATGAAAAACGTCAAAATCAAACGGGTAGTAAGGACCCTACTGGATATCGTTGATCATAATACTATTTATTCAATCTTTTACGTTCCGTTAACCCGTGGCAGATTTCTGTTGAATGATCTGTACTTCTCGGGCAAAAGGACATTAATAACAAACAAGGCCAATACCATTTATCAACAGCAGCAAGGCTTATACCATCTACACTACTATAACTATTATTACCGCAGAACATACAACAGAACTAATTGTGAGTGAGATTAGGGGGTTATTTTTCAAAGATATCAACATATATAAAAGAAAGAAAAACTCTCTATTCCTCAAATGACCCATGATATTCAATTTAGTTTTGCTCCAACGTCAAAAGAATCGCTTTATGACCTTTTCAAGATCACCTCAAGTGATCATCTTCATGCAAGCTTTGCAGTAAATCGTCTACACTACCGTTCGTGGAGATTATGGTCCTCGAAAATGAAAACAGGCACAAAAGATAATGATAATGATATTGTGACCATAGTAACCAATCTACTGGAGGAAGAGGTACATAAGAGTCGGATTACAATTAGTGGTAAGAATGCGAACAAGTCTGTGGCATCATCAGCTCCCACACCTTTCCCTATTACCCCCACATTATTTAATCATAGTCACAATAATAATATCAATCATATGCCTCATAAGAAATACTTTGATGAAGGCTCGGATGATGATGACTCTTATGTTTCTGATATTTCTAGTGATGATGCTGATGACAACCATAATGGTGGTGGCTCGAACGATGTTAATCATGATCATAATCTCAAGATAGACCAAGTCATTATGGAATTTGATAAGACAAGTGAATCTTCCTCTCAATCCATCGCCAAACCCAAGGCAGTAAATTATTCGACTGCTGGCTCAGAACTGCTGGCAGTTACTAAATCGGTTTCACCAAATCATAGAGTGGAAGGAGGTACCACCACTAACTCCCATTTGGCTTCGGCCTTTAAAGATAAGCGGATTTTTTACATTGAGAATTCCCCTACCCCCGTTGATCCCCCATTGCATTCCAATTTAACGACACCACAAGTCGGTGGTGATGGTAGTTCTCAGCGTACTTCATCTTCTGACGTTGGTGATCCACATCAAGCATTGAAAAGACAAGACTCTCTTTTCTCTAATTATAGTTTTAGATCGGAAAACGGAAAAGCCAATCGAAATAGACTGGTTTCCTCCGTACTTAATCCTAATGGGCTTCCACCACCAGAAGAACATTTTTCGAGTGAAGACGAATATACTTCCACCGATATTTCCGAGATGGACGACGATGATGATGACGATGATGGTGATGATGACGATGATGAATTCGATGACACTGTGGAAGACATCAAGTTTAAGAGACGCGTGATTGAGGATGTAGAAGATGAATCTGAAGCAAGTATCAACAATACAAACAACAACTACAGCAATACTATTAACAATCATCTGAATAACATTAACAAATTCTTACCTTCAAGGAAGAATAGTCAAAGAAGTGAAGCTAATAGCAACTATGAAGATGATTCAAGTGAATGGTTATCTATTACAGCCTCAGAAGATTCACATCATGAAGATCAAGCTCCACCACTCGTATTTCAAAAGATTAATCCTGAGAAATCATCTTCTACGCTTAATTATATGGCAGAGATAGATGAGAAGGAAGAAGAGGGAGTAGAAGTGGCTCTGTATGATAGAGAAGATACTTCTTCTCCCAACTCTCCCAAGGCTAAACGAAAACCTAAGTCACTTTTATCCGGGTTATTTCTTAATGAAATGGCTCAAACTAATGGAGGAGCTTCGGCATTCAAGTATCCACCTAAAAAAAATGATGGGAAACCTATACTTAAAAGATCTTCAACCACTGGAATCATTACTATTGAACAGAACCCCAAAAATGATACCAAAGTGAAGAGATCTTCAATTATCTTTACCAAAAAGCATATGTCACTCAGTGATATCTCAAGAAACTATCCCCATTATGCCAACGAATTGGTTGAGAATACATTACTTTTAGATAATCCACCTCCCAGTTCAAATTCCCTCAAACCCTCTTCCATACTTGAGAAAGAAGGCTCAGCACAGTCAAGAACTACTCAGAACAACCAAAATCTAATGGAAGACCCTAATGAACTGCTTATTCGAAAGCAAAAATCAGTTGTGGGACTTTCAGATTTCAAGGTGACGATAACCAATAGTCATACTAATGGGATGTTATCGAGTTCATTAAGTAGATACTCGCCAAGTTCTAGAGTCAGTACTTCGTATGATGATACTCATGGGAACAACAACGACTCAAATGGAGGTGGTGGTGCTACTACTACTACTACGAATGAGAGTAGTAATGGAAACATCAAGTCAATGCTTTCAAAGTCATCGCGAAGTCTTTCTGGGCTATTTAATGTTTCTAAGATGAAACTATCTCTTACACCCTTGAATAGACCGGAACAGAATGTACTGAACGACAATGTTGTTACACTGGCATCTAAAAGAGAGGAGCCTTTTGCTGTCGATTCACATGAGAAGTCACCAAATGTTGTCAATGTTTCTACTCCTCCAAAAGTCATTCTACCTCATAGCCCACAAGTTCATTCGCTATTATCATCAAAAGATACTACACAATCTAATGCCGACCAACCACTGGGTGTTCATTCCACAACTGCCCCAAGATTATCGCCAGGGACACTACGGAAAGCTATGATCCAATCTGAGCTTTCGAGCCTGTTGAAAGAATCGATCATTAAAGATTATAAGTTGGGTAAGGTGCCAAAACCTGATCGCGTTGTCCCAAATATTGGACCTGAGTTGGTGCGGGCTATCTCTGACAATAATGAGGAGGAGGATGATGACTATCATTCCAAGGGATGGTAATTATATATCATTTCTAGAATATAATTAGTAAAAAGTTTGGGATCCAATGGTATAAGATTAATGCTTTCAAGATTATAGCCTTTTTAGTCACGTGATTGGTCATGTGTATTCCTTGATAATGATAAAAACAGCGATGGGTTTACGTAAAATGTGTTTGTACGCCTTCTTTATCCACCACGTAAAACATGAAAACATGTTACTATGAGCTTCTAGGAGTTGATACTGCTGCATTAGAAGCAGATCTCAAGAAGGCTTATAGGAAGAAGGCTCTTCAGTTGCATCCCGATAAGAACCCAGGGAATGTAGAGGAAGCCACTGCACAGTTCAATCTTGTACGGGCAGCTTATGAGGTGCTCAGTGATCCTCAAGAACGAGCGTGGTATGATTCGCATAAGAACCAGATCTTAAGAGACGATGATGACATAGGCTTAGACGGAAATAACTATGATGGTGATGAGATGGTGATACCTCTGATTTCTGTGGAAGATATCTATCGATACTTCAACCCAAGCATGTACACTACGTTTGATGATTCTAGTCATGGGTTCTACAGCATAGTCAATCTTTTGTTTGAGAGATTGGCTCGGGAAGAGGTTCAACATGGTAAGTACCAGAACCTACCCAAATACGACAGATACAAGGATGATGACTCTACTGCCAATGTGACGAGTCGCGAGTTCTTACTCTTCCCCCGATTTGGTAACAGTAATTGCGAATTCGTAGAGGTTAAGGATTTTTACGGCGCATGGGGAAATTTTCAAACGGTCAAGACATTCAATTGGATGGACGAGTATCGGTATTCGCATGCGCCCGATCGTCGCACCAGACGGCTAATGGAGCGGGAGAATAAGAAGCTTCGAGACGGGGCGAGGAAGGAATACAACGAGACCATCCGGAAATTTGTAGCGTTTGTGAAGAAGAGAGATCCTCGGTACAACGATGGGTTGAAGAATTGGGAGAAACAGAAACGATTGCAACGTCAACAGGAGATTGAAAAACAACTACTCCAACAACACCAAGCCAACTTGGAGACGTTGGCGCGGAAAAACAACTATGAGGTCCAGGACTGGCAACAGTTGTCGGCCAAAGAGGTTGAGGAGTTGGAAGTGTTGCTTCAAGAGGAATATGCTTCTGTAGACACTGATCTGGAGTTCGCTGATAGCAATGACGAAGGGGACCTGGCCACCGAAGAAGAGAACATTTTTGAGTGTATCATATGTAACAAGTCGTTCAAGATGGAACGCCAGTTTGAGGTACATGAGAACTCCAATAAGCATAAGAAGTTGGTGAAGAAGTTGAAGTGGGAAATGAGGAAGGAGGGAATCGAACTTGGCATTGATAAGGACGACATTGATTTGGACGAGTTTGAGACAGCGGAGGAGGATAATGATTATGATAGTGAAGAGAAGAATCATGGTGATAGTGAAGAGGAGGAAGAAGATGCGCATGTTAAGACTCAAGATGAAGGTCTTACATGGGATATTCATGAAGAACATACCAGTAGGCTTGAATACGAGGTTGATGACGTTATTGACTCAGATATAGAAGTAGAACAAAGCTCGTTTGTTCATACACCAAAGCCAAAGAAGAACAAAAAGAAACCAATTCCCGAAATGGATCTTGGTCTTGAAGAAGTTGATGATGAATTGATCAAATTGGCCAAGGGAATGAAATTGGAATCTGATGATGATGAGGACTGGAGTGTCGGATCCAACAAGAGGAAAGTTAAGAAGAAGAGGACACCTAAGGAGTCAAGTACAAGTACAAGAGAAGCTACACCACTTGAAGCTGAGTCTAAAATTGATATTACTGTATCTAACGGTGCTGAACTATGTGCGATATGTAAACAGGTGTTTGCTTCAAGAAACAAGTTGTTTCGCCATGTTAAGGAAACAGGACATGCTGCTCCTCCCCGCGAAGTACAAGGCAAGAAGAAAGGTAAAGGGAAGAAGAGTCGGTGATAAGAGTCGTTATTATTGTCGACGTCTTACCTTATACCCATCTTTGTCTTCTTATACTTGGCAACAACAGCTTCATTTATTCCCTTGTTACTTTCGTGACCTAATCCTTCACCTTCTATCCATCCCATCTTCATGAGTAGCTGTCTACCAAAATTATCTTTTTCAATCAGTGGTGCATTCTCTCCAACAACTTCTCCTTCACGATAATGAACCTTGGGTCCTTTCTTTTCCTTTTCTGGTCCACTTTCAGGGACTTCTGGTCTTAGAATTCCCTTGACATCTGTTCGTTTGAATATAGGTCTTTGTCTCAGAATACTCTTGATGTTACCATAATCTGGCAAGTATCTAAACGATTTTTTGGTCTTTGAAACCTTGATAAACACCTTCTTGCCACTTCCACAAGTGTCCGTTCTCATGTTATAGAATCTGGCAAGCTTGGATAAAGTTCTGTTGCCATGGGGATCTAATGGAGGGAACGAAACTGATACTCGATCAACAGCATTCAAAAATGAATCAAATTCTTCAATCATCTCACTTACCTTAATGGCATATGGATATTTCACTGATAAGTCACCTTTACTCAAGCCTCTTTGTTGTTGATCTTGTTTCCTTTGAGCTGTTCTTAACTTCTTCAGTTGCTTTTGTATTTGGTATTGGTCCATTAAACGTTGACGCATTTCAGTATCCAATTCCACTTGGATTTGGTCAACATCCAACATCTTCTTACGTCCTTTACCTTTGGTTCGTAAGCTTTTGGTAAGAATCATATCTTCTGGAGGTCTGGATAAAGAGCTATGGGCAAATGCTGCCATTGCTCGTATGGATTCTAAATCTTCTTCTTCTTCTTCTTCTTCTTCATCTTCATCTTCATCTGATGAGGATGAGATATAGATATCAGAATAAGAATCATCGTGTTGAGCTTTTTTGTCCTTCTTTGGCAATTCTATAAGGCCATTGGTGATGTGTCTCATGAATTGAGTCAATCGATGTTGTGGAACTCCATTATCCAACACATATTGGTGAACCTCAGCTTCGTCTATCCATGCAAATTCACCACATGTGAGCTCCTCGTTGCAAACATATACTTGATTCTGGATTCCAAAACGAACATTTGATATCTGAATCTTTGAACAATCAAACTCGAAATCCTCTTCAAGGAACCCATACGGTTTCTCGTCATCTGATTCTGAATTTGAATCTGATTCTCCTTCATCGTCTTCTGAATCTTCCTCAATATTGGCGATGTAATCAGCAATGGAATCATCTTCCGAACTCGAGTCATCCGTACTTTCAGAGTCATCTTCATCTTCATCAACAAATCCTGTTGTTGACATGCTGTTCAAAGCTGCAACCGTGTACATATCAGCAGTTGTGTTTCCTCTACTGTCTTTCGAAGTATGCAATGTGACATTACCAATGGTGATGACCGGATCATATTCAATCGCAGATGGTTCTTCGGAGACCGCAGCAGCAGCAGTCATCTTTGATCGAACTATATCAAGAATCTTGGCAGTCTTAGACTTTGAATGTGAAGTCAGATTATCACCAACATTATCAATTTCAAAATCATATAAACTTTCACCTTCATCTTCTGATTCTTGTACCAGTTCCAGAGAAGAGTAATGCATCTTACTGTCAACTTCATCCTCAACTTTATCCTCTTCAATGGCCTCTTTTTCCTCATCCTCCTCTTCTTCCTCCTCTTCTTCCTCCTCTTCTTCCTCCTCTTCTTCCTCCTCTTCTTCCTCCACTTCTTCCTCTTCTTCCTCTTCCTCTTCTTCCATCTCCTCAAGCACTTCAGCTAGTATGTCGTCGTCGTCCAATGTCGTCTTCTTCAACTTTGATATCAAGTCTTTCAGAGGATCATACTTCTCCTGAGACCGGACAAACTCAATCGGCCTGAACCGGAACCCATTGTGTTCCATATCATCTTGCTCATGTCTTATAGTATATCTTATCCCATCCATGAGCGATGTGCCTGTCTTGGACGGAACATACAATGTCTCATCGAACTCTTCTAAACCGGGAAATGACATCCGAGGCTGTCCAGAGAACCTTGGACGTCTATTAGAATTCATTTCACTGCCTCCTCTATCTCTACCTCCTCTTCCACCACCTCTTCCACCACCTCTTCCACTACCTCTTCCACCACCTCTTCCTCTGCCTCTTCCACTACCTCTTCCTCTTCTGGTACTCGACCCACGTTTTCTATCGCCGTGATCAGCGGCGTTCTTCTCATCATGGGACACCTGTTCGTTCTCACGGCGTCTCCTACTCTTCTTGGAATGTCTCGCCATTTAAGATTTTGCTTTAGTATGATATATATAGTGGCTAACATGTGCCCTTAAAGCATAGTTCTTTCTTTATATTACTTTTGAACTGAACTGTATATATCAGTTGGTAGCGCAGAAGAGATTAGCTCTATGTAATTGTATGCAGTCTTTTGTAGTTGCTGATAGTAATACATTCACAACCTAGTAAGGGGAAGTCTATTACTTACTCTTTTCTTCTTTAAAAACGTTGACAGGTTAACCATTCAAGTTAATTATGGATCAACAACCTTCTAGCACTAATGATCTGGATACTGTACATTTCTCAGAGCCGAATTCGGATAGCTTGGTCGAGGAACAGGCTGTCAAAGTTGATGTATTATCAGGGGCAAACCCTCCACCAAAAAGTAGTGATACATCTATCGTGATTGATCCTATTGATAGTTTGGCGGTTAATGGGTCTGTGGGTGGTTCTAGACCCACTTCTGGTGGTAATGGAGCTGTTTCCGCTATTAGCTCGTTTTGGAACCAATGGACTCAAGCTGCTACTGCTACTGCTACTGCTACTGCTACTGCTACTACTCCTCCAGTAATGATCCAAGACAAACAATATACCGAACTCAAGGACTTTGAAAGCAAGATCACGGGGATCATCAATCTTACGTATCGATTTGATTTCGAGCCTATCCCCAAACATCCTGATGGTCCTACTCCCATGGGGTTCATCCCCAACATGATCTTGACCAAAGGGATGTATCACAATTTTACTCGTAATGTAGCCAACTTAATAAGCTCTGAGGCTTTTACCAATGATGTTGGATGGGGTTGTATGATCAGGACTTCTCAGAGTCTACTTGCTAATTCTTTAATGCTGTTTGGTGGAAGATCAGTTGATGAAGCCACGGTTCTCGGGTATTTCCGTGATAAGTCTACTGCTCCATTTTCGCTTCATAATTTCATTCAGGTAGCTGGTGAATCGCCCCTTCAGGTTAAACCGGGCGAATGGTTTGGTCCGAACGCTGCCTCTCTTTCCATTAAACGATTGACTAACGGCTTACAACAGTGGGGGCCACTCCCTAAGATCGAAGTTATGATAGAGGCAAGTGATATGTACGACGAAAGAGTTAAAGCAGTGTTCGCTAAACGAGACATTTCTGGATTATTAGTGCTATTTCCTGTCCGTTTGGGAATAGATAAAATACATTCGGTTTACCATTCAAGTTTGCTTCATCTTCTTTCAATTCCTCAGTCTGCAGGCATTGCTGGGGGGAAACCGAGCTCTAGCTTTTATTTTGTGGGGTTCCAAGGCACAGAATTGATTTATTTGGACCCCCATTACCCACAAACATGTACTGAAGAAGATATAAAGGTGTTGAACGAATCTTACCATCCCAAAAATTATCATCGTTTGGACATCACCGGCTTGGACCCTTCAATGATGATTGGTGTCAACTTGCGTGATTGGGATGATTATGTTGCCTTCAAAAAAAGCTGTGCGGCGAATTCTAACAAAATCATATACTTCCAAGAGCATCCACCTTCTTCTCAATCGATGTCTTCCGTTCCTACTGCTACTCTCAGACCGAGGAAGAATTCAGAATTTGTTCTGATAACGTCTAAGGATTACGAAGAAGATTTTGTAACAATAGACAATGATCAGAGTGAATTTGTTGAAATTAATAATGTGGCGGCGGTTCACGAAAGAGATGCTGAAGTATTAGTTTCAGTTCCTGCTGAAGAAATTGTTATCGTTGATAAAAGTTAATCAAACTTGCTGGTCAAGATTGAAAGTACTACACATGGGCGATCCTTTTATAATTGTACTACCATCAATTTAGAAAAAGTCTTTCGGACTGAGTTGATCATTAAACTACGTTGTAACTTACTATTATATTTTTCAGAGAGGCCTCAAGACCCTTGGTCATATGATAGGATGTTATTAGTCTCCCTGCATTATTCATCTCAGTACTTTGATGGTTTACAATACCTACTTCAAGTTGGTACTATTTAGAGCACCACCCCAGGATCCAATTGGAGTGCAACTTACTATAAAATTTGGACCTTGTGTTGTTGGATAAGCTGGAATCTTTTCGTTTTGGATGAGTAGCCCTGTGAATATAGTTTGAGGATGAAATAATCGTTTGTTTGAGGTTTGGATTGTAGGGATGGATCGTATTATGCGTGTGGTAATACGTGAATAGAATTTTTTGTCCTCTAATCTTTGTTAAAGTTGGACCAACAAAGAAAAATACGTTATATGGTACATGACCAAAGAGTTCATTTGCAGATTCCAGAGGCTAAAGTTTCTTTGCATAATTCCGAACTGGAATGTAGTTGAAAATGAAATATGGGATTCATTGTTCAATCTCATGCTGATTGCCACAAAGAGCTGGCATTGAATCATTATGAGGGACATCAAGTCATGATACATTTGAAAGCGACAAAGGACAGTCATTTTTGCACTCCTTGTTTTTTGATCAGTTGGAGTTGTTAAGCCTGAGACACTGAAAGTTCCATTTTCTGCTGTTCTCTTCCTATTGTAGATGGAGAAGATGGTCATGTGAACTGAAGTCGTGAATAATACACTGGGGTCATTTCCTTGCCGAGCCAGTTCGTGATGTTCACAAGAAGTTTTAAAACTTATCATTGATTTCACGATTAATATACAGATCAACTCCTGGATAAATTCATTTTACATGTGTTCATTATTTTGCAGACTTCGTTTGCAACCTGTCAAATAAGTTGACTTCGATATTCTTATTCCTGCATACGATGAAGTTGCAATCTCGTATTTTATTTAATGACATGCAAGTGAATTTTATCCATAGATACAAAGATGTACCCACTTGGAGCCGTCCCCTAGTAAGCTGTAAGATGACTTAAGTCATTTACATCAGTTATTACATTCGCTATAACCTGAATTATTGTTAAGTACACAGAAAACACCTTTGATTAGCGACATTCTCAAACAAATAAGTTTCAGCAGAACTCCTCACAGTTACTACTTAAGATGATGCTGTTTCCTGCAGTAGAAGCTGCAATAGAAGCTCCACTAATATACGAAATAATACTTTTTTTTGTATAGTAATTACAAAGTTAATTTTACTACAATGATTGTAGTCAAATGCCATTACATTTGGTTCAAATGTTCACCATAAAGAGAAAAATTATAACAGCCTTGGTACTGTTTCTCGCTATTCTAACAACTATTTATAAACAGTATAAGAACTAAAAGGGAATAGTAATAAATCCAACTGGAAGCATTTTAAAATGGTGTTTGGGTCTTCCGATGTTTAGGTCCATAAGTAAGTATTGTACCGAACACGACCAAATAAAAGTTTGGAAAGTTAAAGGCATACTAGTATGACTTAGAACAACCTATATGTCTCTTCCTACAACAATAATATGATCGATGACAGTTTGAAGATATGTACTGTGTGTGCATCCAATAATAACCGTTCAATGGAGTCACATAAGCAGCTCCAGGATGCAGGATACAACGTGAAATCGTTTGGTACTGGGTCAGCCGTTCGATTACCAGGTCCATCACAAGACAAACCCAATGTTTACGAGTTTGGTACACCATACGAAGACATTTACAATGATTTGATGAACCAGAGTGCCCGGAAGATGTATGAAGCCAACGGATTAATTCATATGTTGGACAGAAACAGACATGTGAAGCGAGCACCGGAGAAATGGCACAACAATAAATATGCGGGTAAATTTGACTTAGTGATAACATGTGAAGAGAGGTGTTTTGATTCTGTGCTTGAAGATTTAATGTATAGAACATACAGCAAGAATGATGATGGAGATTATGATGTGAAGACCCTTGTGCATGTGATCAATGTGGATATTAAAGATGATAATGAAAATGCTATAATTGGAGGTAAGGGCATTCTTAAGTTGGTTAATATGATACATGAGTTCCGTCGAAAGAAAATTGAGGATGGAGGGGATCCATCTGAGCATATTTTAGAGGATCAGATGACTAAGATCTTGACCCAATGGCAAACAGAACATGTTCATTTGCCAACGTTATATAGCGTGACATATTATTAGGGATTAAGGGAAATTAATACATCTACAGGTACATACATATGTATATACATTATAATAATGTACGCATGCAGATATACGAAGACAAAAGGTATAGCACATATGCATAAACCTGAGTATACATGCGTACAAACTTACATATAAACGTACACACATACAAATATACTGGAAACGATTTATCTCATCTCCGCGAAAATTAAATGTATGAATAAACGCTTCTTCTCTTCCTCTAGCAATGAGCGGCACAGGGAACCTGAGAAAAGCTAAGCTCTACAGCAGTCGACAAATCCGAACTCAAGTCAATGATAGTTCGTTTTCTTCTGAAGGCGGGAAGCTTCTGATTCCTCAGTTTCTTCAATCGCGTCAATTTGAGATCGAATCGCTTGAACGAGCACAGTTGCAATCCAAATACAGCGGAGCCGCCAGATGTTTCCAAACACTTCCTCGGACTTTAAGACGGCGTGTAGCATCGCATAATGTGAAGCGGATCCCCAAGAGACTTCGAAACCGAGCCATTCGTGAAATGTCCGAAGGCACAGTGAGTGCCATGAAGAAGCAATGGAAGTCGCCTCGTATTCGTAATTTAAGAGGCAAACAAAGATACAGATTACTTATGACCAAAAAGCTACTCCTGATACAGACAAGAATGAAATATATGCGTAGTTTTCCCAAGAACTATCGGTTGACTAGTAACACCCAGAAGAGGCTGTTGCGTCACATTTGGAAGGGGTTGAATCGTGAGCTTCGCTTGCAACGACAGGAGAAAGCGAAGGACCCCCACAACCGCTTAAATAACAGAGTGGGGGCGTACGATAATTATGGCAGGGGAGGTGAATTGGCAGAAAGACCCACTGGTAACATCAAATATTGGAAACGTCAACGTGATTACGTATGGTTGACCAGTCATATGTGGCATGTGAAACGGTTCCACATGCTTAAGATTCATGGGTGGCAAATCCCGTTGCTGCCCACCCAAAAGTGTTTCAAGTCCATGAATAGAGCGAAGAAACAGGACTGTGTTATATTTGATACGTCATATTTGAATCATATGGTTGTGAGGACCAGGACCAGCTCGTCTACGTCTTCAATTTTCAACGACTTCGTGGTCCCATTGGCCAAGATCACACAAGAGGAGGCGGTACGTTCAAGCGGAGTCTATGAAGGATTGGTGTACTATCGTCGTGGCAACAGTCCTTACATGCTGACAACGCTCGTGTTGATTTATTGGAATGGCGATACGGCTATCGTGCGAACATATCCTTCTGCCTACGAGGAGTTATTTGCACATGTCGTGGCCGAGTACGCCAATTGTGTGGAAATAGATGATTGTAGATACGCCATCGGGAGTCTTGAACTTCGTGGACCGAAAGCTCTTGAATTGCTTACCAAAAATCTAAGTGTGAGCGAAGAGAGTGAACTGTTGCAGTTGTGGAATTCAATGGCAAAGTTCCCGGATACATATCCGACAGGGTCTTGTTTATCTATTAAAATGAGCGATCCTCGTATTAAGAAGAGGAAGACCAGCGGAGTGAACTCGATTGCTTCATTGTCGTTTATTGACTTGTTGAAAATGTTAATTTCTCATCGTCCTACAACCACTTTGACTGACCACGCAGAACGATATGCAAGTTATGAAGAAATGAAGTCCATCAAAGAAGTTCAAAAACAAAATGCTGCTACTCCTGCTAACGTGCCAATATTGCTTATAAAGCTTCAATCTAGTTCCTGGACCCTTTTGATGCCTTGGTATTGGATTCTTCCAACGTGGCATGTACTTGTGAAATCACCCAAGGCGAAACCCGGTGGTCAGAAACAGATTAGACAGTTTAACTTTGAAGCAGGGATTAAGAGTTACCCAATAGATTTCCCATTCACACCAGATGGATGGCATTGGCAGCAAACTCAAAAAACTATCAAGGCATTGGTATATTCCAAATTACCCAAAAGCAAACGGATTAATTTCGATCAATATGAAGGTCCTTTGGACCCCCATGGAAGTGATTGGGAGTTTCTCCGTCGTTTGCATTATGAACTAAAGGAATTGAAACAACAGAATAAACTTCCTTTAGACACTGGATCGGATTTTGCTAAGTTCAATTACGAAAGAGATATCACCACGAACGAAGAGACGGTACAACAAGTTATTTCACGAAACATTACTCTGGTGCATGATCTTGTGGTTGTAATAAAATCTGGAATGGCTATGAAAAAGTCTTTTCCTGCTCGTAGCATTTGCTTACAAGATCCAAAGTCTACTACTACTAACGAAGAAGACGAGAGTACTAAGATACCTATTTTACCAGTTAAGTCAATTGGATTAAAACTTGGTACGGGATTGTTGAAGGATAACGCACGTATTTATCGTTGGTGTGCGGATCCTTCAGACCATAATAAAATGATTGTGGAACTAATTGGGTTCATCAGTAGTGGAGGAATGAACTTAGATTTGGGGAAGCTGCTGGGTATAGGGTGTGTTGTGGGAGATGCTGATTTGACAGGTGGGAAAGTACTTGTAAGAAATATTGGTCAAACAATATTTCATGAGGCCACAGTAAAGGAATTATAGATCAAAATAAAGTAATGTCACTAAATATAATTATTGTGTGAACGATGTCCATCACAATGTCCATCCTCTTCTCCATTATCGCATACAAGTTACCCGGACAAAGTATTTCAGTATAAAAAGACTCGGTTCGCACCAAAAATGAAATTTTTTCACTTCTTTTAAAACTTCATACTTACCTCGAGATGTTATGGGGGATCAAGTAGCCCCATAACCTGATAGATCTGTTGTGGTGTCTGGCATAGGACACAGGCTTTTTATACGTTTAAATGACACAATCCTCTGGAGTGTGTTGTTTGCTTGATATCGTGCTCGTTTATGATGCGAGGTGGATGTTAGGTAGTATGAATTGCCTTGGGCATTGCACGGGAATTATATGAGAGTATGGTTTCTGGCTCCATCAACGTTGCATCTGTCTGCCAACGCTTGTTAACTGTGTTTGAGTTTTAATGTATGGTGTTACAGTCTTGCATTATGCTCAAATATGGGAGCGTGTGGGTCTTTAAATTTTTGATTTTTCTCATTTAATAACTTAAACAGTGTTTAACAATGAGTGGTATTATGAGCATGCTCTGACATCTCGTGCCAGCAAAACCAAACCCCAAAAGGGATGTAAAATGAACTAAACTATGATGGTTCATGGAGCTGAAAATAAACCTAATCCATATTAGTCACGTGATCATTAGAATCACGTGAAGTATTGAATTTGGAAACGAACCTTTTCAGGAACACACATGCTGTGGATGGGGTTATTTTCCATGCAACAGTTGGTGCGAACAGATACATATGTTGTGCTAATCAACTTCCGATACACGGCATTTATGTTCACTCAATAATATTTCTAGGCATGCGGTGAAGAGTCTGTATTAATGTAATATCACATGTTGGACCATTCAAATATCCACACTTCCTATTTGAATAAGCTCTTTATGTTCATCCGAACAAATTCTTCGTACTCAATGTTTTATTTAGTCACTGCTGATACCAGTTCATGTCCTTTTATTAAGTAATCTTATGTCAAAATTTAAACCATCGTGTGCTTATCAAAACTATTCACCTCTAAATAAGTTTTATTGTCTCCATTCTCTTGTAACCTCACTTTAGATTTGACTCTTCAAATGACTTTAGACATTTATTTTGTTTATTTCTCTTTTAGTCTTCAAGTTGACATAGTAACTATTTCATACACTTACGTTCGAGGCATGAGGTCACGTGTCGGGTAGAATTTAGTTTATCTCTGTTATCGTAAATCCGAATCGTCAATGTCGATATGAGAATAGGGGTTTTACTAATGATTAACCATTGTGTTGCATTGGGGTGGAGATGGAGATTGGCGAAAGGGTGAATAATCTTGACACCCAATAGCAGCAAGCCTCAACTGGAGAAAATTAAACTGTGGGTTGAAGATATTACACAATATAGTAACACTGTACAAATTACAAATTAAGGTGATAGAAATTGGAATAAATCAATTGTTGGCCCTGCTGGTAAAGATAAGACCATTAAGCAAGCCACTTAATGGTCTTATACAAAAGTAGTTATTTTATTATGGAATGCAACAAGGTTTGTTTGTGAGGGCTGGTGAGCCAGAGGGAAGCCCCATTTGCGTTTAGGTAAAAAAGTTCCACTTTAGGACGATAGTCCCAAAGTAGAAGGTTCTTTCCCATAAACAGAGCTGGCATGTAACTCATACAGGTCATTTTACATGAGTATGCCGGAGAGGACTGCATACCAGTTTTTAGATTGTGAAGCGTATACACAGGTTAGCTAAAACTTAATTGTGTTAAACAAACGACTAACGGTAGCACCAGCCAAGAGCTTATTAACTACATTGTATGCTATCTATCAGCCGTCCTGTACTTGGTTAGGGAGGAAGTCAAAAGATTATTAGTTATGGGATTGAAGAAGAAATAGATAAACAAACAGAGCAGCCATATGTTGGTGTTGAAATTTGAAACGGAATTAGTTAAAGATAGAAAAACAAAAGTGTGGTGTAGAAAGAGTATTAATCCGTGCGTATGTAGGTGAGTACATTAGAATGTAAATGCACAAGTAGAGAGACGATGTTTACATGAAGTGGGAAATTCTTTCTTTTCTATCATTCGGTATAAAACATGTATGGAAGTCAAATATCGTAATGAAGAACTTTCCGACAGTGTTTGTATAATTCTGGAGTTCAAAAAATGTTTTGCTTCAATTCAATTGTAGAATACGCAATACAAAGAAATGCCGGTTTAGTATAGGCATTTCTGCTTATTCTTACTATTATGATTGTGATAATTATTGTTGTAGTAGTAATAATCAACTACATTATTATTGTAGACACAACCCTGTGTGGCTGCGAAAATTTGTAATGCCACAATAGTTACATTAACAAAAAAGAAATACTTGCATTGTGCAGTTAGCCTGGTAACACCGCCCGAGGTGAAGCCGTACAGGACAGAAAGCTTATAATATGCATTGTTCTGCATGAAGGTCATCTTGTGTGGCAACGGTAACGCTCTTGTGAATAATTTTTGAGAATGGATTTCCACTCCGATGACTCCAGTACCAAAAACTATTTAAGTCGCGGTTTCTCCTAAGTAGATAACATTTTCGAGTTTGGTGTTTTTTTTCTTTTCTTTCTTCTTTATCCTATAGATCAAGTCCTTCGCTTATACCCTACTATCGCTCAATTTATAATGCAATTCTCCAAGGTTATTGTCCCAGCTGCTTTGGCCGTCGCTGCCTCTGCCTCTGCTAACGTCACCGTTACCACTGAAGTTGTTGTCACTGACTACACCACTTACTGCCCAGAAGCAACCTCTGTTGTTGTTAACAACAAGACCATCACCGTTACTGAGGCCACCACTTTGACCATCTCTGGTCCTTGTACCATCCCAACCACCTACGTCACTGTTCCATCCAGTGTTGCCCCAGCTCACTCCACTGTTGCTAACATCTCCACCACCTACGCCGGTGCTGGTTCTAAGGTTGCAGCCGGTGCTTTTGCTGGTGTCGCCGCCGTTGCTGCTGCTTTGATCTAAGTTTAGATCAAAACATCTGTTTAATTTAACTTAATTTTGTATACGGTAGATAAATAAATTGGCATACGGTTGTATGGTTTAAATTTTCTTGTAATTCTTGTGTGGTTTTTCTTACATTCACATCGTTGGGTTTTGCACGACCTTTCTACTCAGCGTGGGAGGTTTTCCCTTACGTAAGTTTTCTGTTATATTCCAAACACAAGCCATAAACATGTGGTATGCACATATAGTGACATGCTCATTTGCATGTGTGTGTACATAGGTGTTTGTATATATGTGTAAACTTAGTTTGCATAACTACAATGCACATAAAACATTACCAGACATATACTTATACAAATATGTACGACCTCCGTGTTAGGCTCTTGTAGTTTGAATATGTATTAGATATAGAGAGCAGTTCTACAGTTATCAAACATGTCGCTAACTGACCTTGCACAGCTGTAAATTCTGCGTCTTCCCAAAATTCTCAGCTAGGGCCACTGAATCTTGAGGAATAAGCATTATCTTAATCTAATGTCTTGTCTAACAAACTCATCTAAAGGGATGCTTTACTATTTGAAATTATTCATATTAAGTTCTTGTAGTTTGAGAATACATGGTATGACCTTGGGACTTTCTATACTAAATGCTTGCAAATCAGGCTAGGAAAAGGTATATATCGCAGTTTGTGGTTTCAATTTTGTGGGACGTCAAAGTGCGTAGTTTGTCATTCAGTACGATGTTCATGAGGTTTTCGTATAATAAAAGCCACAATTCCTTATTCCAATATGATTGGGTCGGAGTTCAAATATCAGACATGTATTACAAGATAGAAAGGAAAGTGGGCTTGATGTCAAGAGGGCTTAGTAGCAAGGGCACATGGGCGGGGAGTGTGTGTTAAGACCAAAATTATACGTAAGGAACCAAACCAATGTTATCAAGAGAATTGAAAGAAAGCTTCCAGCATACATGACTACTTTTATGATGCCGACAAAGCGAGATAGCATAAAACGAAGGGTGAACGGGTATGAAATCCATGTTCCCTTAACACTAAGCCCCTCTTCCTTTCAATCTTGAAATACATGCCTCTTCCGTGACGAACCCAGGTTCGTATTAGCTCCTGCCTGGATTGAACCTAGCAATCACTATACATACACTTGCACATACATGAAGTGCCTCCGGGTTAGGTTCTTGCAGTTTGAGAATACATGGTTCGTATAAATTAACATAGGATTCTCCCCTTGGGGCTTTATATTCCAAGTATTTGCGAAGCGGGTACTGGAATAGAACCTGGGGCTACGGAGTTATACCACCGCCGAAGGTAATAGCGATGTAGTCATATTGGAGATTGGGTTGCCTATTTGAAGAGCGCCAGTCTAACAGCATATAAGTATGCATGAACATATGTGATACACATGCATGATTTTATGCATGTATGTATATATGCATGTACAACGATAAATGTAATCAAATACTTTCACTATATACAACTAATCTCAATCGGTATTCCAAAGACCTTTTAGTTCGTCCCATACTTGATCACCTTCTTTAGGTATCACTTTGGCTCGGTCACTAAATTTAAGTGATTGAATCTCTCCTTTAGTTCTTGGCTCCAATACCTTATGTTGATCTAGACCTAACTTGATTCGTACATTAGGATCACATATCTTCATAGCCGCCAAGAGTGTATAGTAAGCATCGTTCCCTCCATTATGCATCCGACTCACAGGTATGTTCAAGGACCTGCAAGTTTGTTTCAACGTGGCATATCGGTCAAAACTCATAGAATATAACATATGAGTATCCACAGTAGCGATGTCTGTAGGAACTAAAACTCCCATCAGTTTGAGAAACTTTATATCTGATCCAACTCCGTGGCTAACAAAGACATCGTCATTGGCTCCAGCGTTGGCCATCACCTTCTGTAAAGTTAGCTTGATGTCTTTATGATTCATCAAATACGATTGACCTCCATTGAACCCAAACTTGTGATCTGGAACAAACTTCCCATTGACTTTATGCTTATGTTGTTTAACAATGAGATGTATGTTCTGGATATGAGGGACTATCGCATGTTCCATAGAACGAGGGTCATATATCGCTATACCTACCTCCGTTATGGTCAGCTGACTTCGTTCGTATGCCTCTAGGTCAATCAGTATAAGCCGTCGTTTCCGAGGGTATACTAATGCCATATTCCTTTTTAGACGTTCTAGATCGTTCTCATGTTTGAGGGAGAACTTCGTGGTCTCAAAGTATCGCTCAAGCTCCTGCTCATATTGGTCGACCCAACTACCAGAAGTGAAAAATCGCCTGTCTCTCCATAACAATAATCCCCTTCTTATGATATGTGGTTGTAGCATCTTGGGGATGACTTTGATGATGATGACGAATTAAATTTTCACTTCGCACTCGGAAAAACTGTACGACCAATCATTACCCGAAACGTAAAGCAAATCGTTTACACAGTACCAGCACAACATATAATTCGGAAAAACACCTCGTATCTACCTTATGTGTTGATAGAACAAAATATACGCATTCCTCGTCGATTCATCCACATTCAATACATCGGAAGCAGAAACAGCTTCAATAAGAGTGTCATCAATACGAATCCACTCTTCCTTGCCTGGCCCACGGTCAACACGAACATCACATGTATAATGTCCACTTTCCATGGAAGATCCATGATGATAAACAACTCCGATCAACCGATACCGGGGCCCTTCAACTATATTTGCTTGAGGGGAAAAGATTTGGGGGGGTATAGTCAATTCATGTTCGTATGTGATTTTCTTCCTAAGTTTATTGATCCCGGATCCATATCCGTATCCACCGTAGTTACTGGAATATCCATTAGACCGTCCATTGGAAGGAGCGGTATTGTTTGAGCTTGTGGTTGATGCAGTAGTAGTAGATGTAGTAGCAGTTGTGGCAGTAGTGGTTGCAGCTGCCACAGAAGTAAAGGAACTACTTGATCCAGCAGTGGGTGCAGGAGCAGCTATATTGCTGCTGAAATTATCATGACCATTGCCATATCCGTTAACACCTTCAGAACTGTTATCGGAAAATGCAAATCTCTTCAAATGAATGGTCAAGACCTGTGGCAACTTGTCAATAAATGTTTGCTTCAGAACAACCAACTCTTCCTTATTATCCAGAGGCTTGTAGCTTATTCTTTCGATCTTATTTAGGTGAATCAAAGCATCTTCAATGGAATTGCTCTCACTCAAATCTAATTGAATATTCCTGAATGGATCCAACGAAATAGACTTCAGATAACTTGTATTTTTCGATGATTTAGGAATTGTTAAAACACTTCTAAATTGTCCTCCAAAAATATCTGTCAAGGGTGAAGGTTCTTCTTCACCATTGCGTCTAACACTAACATTATTTTTCTTGGATCCAACTTCTGACCATCCATTCTCACCATCATCATCCTCTTCTTCATCACTATCGACTTCGGAAGAATTGTTAGGATTGCTAGTGTTGCTGGAGATTCCTTCCTTCTTAACTAACTTCATTGTGGTCTTCACCTTGTCCAGAAACTCATTGATGTCATCACCAGGGTACAGTTGAATCAACGAATCTACCTGGATAGTATTTAATTCGCCAATACTGCCCATTAACTCTTCCGTCAAAGCATCTAAGAAATATCCCAAGAACTCCTCTGCATCCTCCTGTTGACCCCATTTCAAATGCTGGAATTTTTTATGGGCAATCAACTTGGTATAAAAGGGTTCAGGAGAAACAGACTTCAGAATGTATCCATTGGTAGTACCATTGGTGGGAATCTTGGCTTGAAATTGACTGAATAAGTTTATTGTGGCATCAAGCAAAGGTGTTTTAGATTTGGATTTATCCAAAGTGCCAACGGTCATTTCAGAAACTAATTTAATTAATTTGTTAAGTGGTTCACAATGAAGTAAAACTTGCAAAATCGAGTTCATGTAGCAGATATTTCCTGTATTTGTCAATCCTCTAGGATGTATGTCAAATAAAGGAGTAGATGAGTTGAATATGGAATAATTTGAGTCAAACATCACTCTCAACAAGAGTATACCTAAAGGTTGGGTAGTTTCATTGGAAAGATCAAATGCTTCTGATGAGTGGACGTTTGAGACAACTTGGGCAGGAACAGGAGGGGTTGGTGCAATTTTTTTGGGCTTGGTACTGGTGGTGGAAGTTTTCTTCTTAGCTGCTGGTGTGCTTTGCAATACAGCAGCCCAATTCCGTTGTACTACCAGTGGGCTCGTCACAGTTGACCCAAGTTCCAAACTCTCTGAAGAAATTGAGGTTGTCTCTATTGGATCTTCTTCTTGAGCTATCTCAGTAACAGAATCCAGCTCTTCGCTTGGTTTGGAGAAATATAATGGCCCTGCCCAAGAATTGGGCAATGTAACAACAGTTGAGTTATTACAATAATCTATAATTTTTAAAATTGTGTTTGGATAAACAATTAACCCAGTATCGGTATTCTTTGAACGACTATAGGTTACAAATTGATTCAAATGATCAATTTTAGCATGTTTCAACTCAGTTCTGAATGATTGATGCAGTTTTATGGCTTTTACGGCTGAGTCTCTGGACGTGTTGAAGAAAAGGGGAGGGGTTATGGCTTCGTGGGACTCACTTGGGGTCTCTATTGACTCTTTAGGAGTACATGAAACATTGGGAATTGCAGTAGTAGTAGTGGTGGTGGTGGTTGTGGTAGAAGAAGCTGACACAGGATCAGTTGTATTAACGGGTTCCTTCTCAGATTCCAATGCAAGAGCAGTAGCACTGGTAGAGTTTGATGTAGATATTTTTGAACCGTTTCCATTTTCCTCTTCCATTGGCTTATTAGTGTCATTAATTAACGAAGAAGACCTTGTGCTTTCATTACTGGCTTCCTCGTTTGATTTAGTATCCAATGGAGTATTAGTTTCTCTTGTCGTATTATGCTCAACATGTTTCACCTTATCGTGTGGGGTGGAAGTTTTTTCTTCATTGGTGTTCTTTGCCGAACTAGCTGATGCAGATGACGATGTCGATAAAGATTTACTAACAGCGGCAGGTGTGGATAAATGATTATTTTTTGGAGTTTCAGGGATCGAAACATTAGCTTTCAAACCCCCTGTAATGCTGTCATTAGTAGTAGTATTATAAGTTGCACTACTATTTGTCTTGGTGTCATTATTATCAACAATGTTATTATTATTATTGTTGTTATTATTATTCCTTTTAGTCTTGATTCTGTTGCCGTAACTATTCATACCAGAACCATTGGGTATATTGGATGGTTGCATTGGATAGCCACCATTTGCGGCCACTGCCATGGCAAGTGGGTTGAAGTGATAGAAATTGTAGTATGCATCATATGTTGGGTTTGCCGCTCCACCGCCTGGTATATTCCCCGGAGGCGGCACGGGTATCATGTAGGGATATGCGTTATAATATTGGGGCATTGGTGGCATGGAATGAGGATACATGTAGTTTTGAGCCGAGTACATGGGATATTGCGGGCCGCCAGCACCACCAACGTTATTATTATTATGATTATTATTATTATTATGCATCCCATTCATATTTGTAGGCACATACGGTTGTTGACTTGGATTAAAGGCAGCAGCATCAACACGGAAACGATTTGGACCTGTACTCCTTATACTTGGTTTAGAGTCGTTGCTTTTGGATGAGGTTGTCTTCGCGGAAGAGGAAGATGGTGCGCCGCTCCCACCGCCACCGCCGCCAATAGAGGACGAAGACGACGGAGAGAGTCCAGATGTGGAAGAAGACAGGGCTGTGGATGGCGCTGTAGAGTTCTTGCCACCTCTTATGCTAGTATTATACAGCTCATGCTGTTGATGTGGGACGCTGTGGGTAGTGGACATGTATATGGAAGTGGGGCGAAGCTTGACCTAATAGTGTATAACAATGGTAGGAGACAATAAGATATAAGACACAGATCAGATAACGCTGAACATCAAGTCTTTTAAATGGGTATCGCTTTTTATTATGGAATGGAAAGCTCCGCTAGATGAGTAATACAAAGAGACACCTGCAATGTAAATTCTAAGCAGTATATTAATCTATACGGTCACAACACTTGCTGACCAAATTATGAACTATGTAATGGAAATCAACGATTAATGTTTGGTTAAGTTGGCCGACTGGTGATAGGGAATTTTTGTTCCCACTTGCTGTGATTTCCTTCAAAAAATTTTCTCTTTGTCACGTGACACAAATATAGCCAACTTGACCTCCACCACTCTACACTACGCAGTTGTTAGTAATATTAGAAAAAGATAAGGACGAGGGATAAAATATATGAATATGTATTTGTTAAAGTACATGTATTAGGTACTCTGCAGATGCAATGCTATGTTATGCTCCATCAATATATGTTTATACATTAGCAAATGCTGCCCTGGAGTTAAGGTAACCAGATTAAATTTGTTGGTCGAATATGGCGGTGTTAAGCGGAAAATTTAAAATTTTCAAAGGGCACCGTTGTAGCATATCAAGTACTATACTTGTGGTGGGTATTACAGACATTGGTAATACGGATACGGCTCATAAGAATTCGGTAGTTTGGCCATGGTATAAGCAAATTCTGACCTTCTAATATTATCACTTTTGTCTTTAACTACTCATCATCTAGTTTGTGACCATCCTATTTTCATGATCTTCAACGCTCCTTTTTTTTTCTTCAATTTTCCAGGGCAAATTACCACCACTTGCGTACAACGACCCTGTTCCTGTTGTCTCCTCAAAACCGTGGAATGATGGTATGCATAGCTGTAAAAGAATCAACTGGTAGCACGAGTGCTTTCGTTGTAGATACAATAAGGTTGCCTCTTAAGCGGGTTCAATGCAATAATTAGAAGGGCAAGAAGATGGCTACACATCGGTAGAGACTCTTGAATTTCGGGGTAACTTGGTCGCAGTGTGGTAATCGATCGCACGAGTCGTTGTATAGTTTGGTTTTCAATTGAGGACACCATATCATTTGGTTGTGAATTATTATTTGTTGATCCATATCTTTGCTGACTCATATACACAGCACAAGAGCAGTACCACGTTCTGAGGTCAACAGCATAATATTGATTGGGATGCCATTCCTTTAAGTACACTGGTGTAGTGCTCAGTGGTGCGAAGGTGATCGATTCATTTGTTGCGACTCTCAACCCCACATTGGCCAATATCGCAGAATAAGCCAGATTTTCTTCTTGACGGTGGTAGCACGAAACTAATTGTTTGCGAATGGCGATAGCCACACGTCGACCTGGTTCAAACCACATACTAAAATAGTTCTCAATGTTTCGTGTGTCCCAAGTCCGCACCACGATATTAGCATTATGAGCCAAGATGTCTAAGGCAGAAACAAAAACCTCTCCATACATTTGCATCATTAGTATACTTTGTTCAGGGTCCAATATTGTTATACCCAAACTGGTTTCAATTGGTTGTTGTAGTGAATGATCTGTTGTTCTATTACTCAGTTCCACTTCACGTAATGACTGTACCACTTGATCTCCATGTTTGAGATGATCGAATCGAACATCTTGGGTGCACAGGGCCACCAAATCCTTGTAAATAGTCACTAACTCATTTACTGTAGCCTTTCTGTATAAGGAAGTTGCAAATGCCGCAGTGAAGTGTAATCCCTCAAAGAAATTCGTAACACCCATGAACAGGAGTGAGCAGGTGGACAGTAGGACTAATCGCAGGGTGTTGTTCTACGAGATATATCACTGATACCAATTCCAATGCAAACACTTCGCCCTAACTAACAATAGCTTCAATCGTAGTTGACGTGCTAGACAATGTACTTCGAAAGAAAGTTGTAGTGCGAGTATGTATATTGTTGAAGACGACTTGTGAAATTTGGCGGTCGACCTAAATAATGAGCAAACCTCGAAAATAAATCTAACGGACTGAACGTAAAGTCAACAAAAAAGAGTAACAGCTACCGTGGGAACCCCGTTGAAACAATAATCTTGCTTGGGAACATGGCTAGTTGGTTGAATGACATCACCGAGGAGGTTCTTCGTAATGACCTACACTCGTTGATGCAGACCACCCCGGATGCTATACATGTGATCAACCGTCTCTACGAGTATCTCGGAGGTTCTGAAGTCAATAATAATAAACGACGTAAAATCAGCTCTGAGAGCAACGGCGGCAGTGGCGAACAAGAAAGACTGGACTTCGGACCACCACCGACAATCAGTGGCAGTGGAGGGAACGTTATTAACATTGAAAGTCCGTTAAACCCTGAAGAGATTATTTTTGACATACAACAAGTAAGTTTCTGGTCACCGTTAAGAAAGAAACTTAATTTGACGTTTCATTTGATTGAATTCAATGGAGCTCCTACGCCTATTCTTTCTATAGTGAATCCGTCGACTATGGTTCCTGAGTTTTCACTCTTTAATCTTTCACAAGCAGTCCGTTTGTGTGTCATATTACCAATATTGGGGAACTCCACCAACCCACAGAAGAAAAACGTGGTATCTTTATGTTTTTGGCTTGTGGATGGTTTGGATCCCATTGTGCTACAGGTCAATCTTGACCAGATCAAGAAGCAACTGATCAAACAGGGCAAAATCCCACCTAACATTGAAAATAGTCTTAATGGGAAGACCACAGAAGACGACAATAATCCTTTAAAACTATCACCAGTTCAAGATTTAATAATGGACTACTTTGTAAGACAGTTTCAACTTATTGGGATAGACTTGGTGAATTATTTACCATCATCATCATCTGCGTTGTTCTCTAATAAATATGTTCTTAACACCGACAACGCCATAGCCATGTCTACCAAGGAGAACGCTTCAAGTATGGTCATCATTGAGGCTCATAAAGGTTCCAAAGATGGTTCCTTGGTGTGTTTGGCAGCCAAAGGTGACAGTCCAGCATATATGATCTTTGGGTTTAAAAAGCCTATCATGATATTTGAACGATCAGAGATAATGTCTACATCTTATGCCAATATCACCAATAATACTTTTAGTATTATAATAACTGTTTCTGTTAATGGCGAGGAAAAGACCATTGAGTTTGGTATGATTGACCAGAAATATCACCAAGTGTTGGATGATTTTATCAAGAATGAAGGCATCAATGACGACTCTTTTAACGATGATCTTCGGGAGAAATCAGAGAAGGAGCAGCAAGCACAAGCACAAGCACAAGCTGCGGGAGAAGGAGAAGGAGAAAGAGAAGGAGCAGCTAACGAACCAACGGGTGCTCATGGTGCTGTTGGTGCTGCTGATGATGATGACGAAGAGGGGGATGACGATTACCACAGTGGCCTTGAAGAAGAAGAAAGCGATGTGGCCGAAGAATACGATAGTGACCATCATTCAGACGATGCACACGATAAGGGCAATGAATCAGAAGACTTTGAAGTCGTTGAAATCAGCAGTGACGAAGAGGGAGTAGATAAAATAAAAGAAGCAGAAGAGGAGCAACCTACTTCAGAGACAGAGACAAGTCCAGAAGGCTTCGTATTCACCAAAGCCACAGAGTCATAACAATGATATTAATAATATTGACAATCTCCTACATTATTCTGTGTGTTTCCGTAATAATAAGTATATATAAATTGTGTAAATAAATACAGAAGGGGGAAGGATTCCCTTTTATAAATTTAAGATACCACAACGTGTGTATCATCCCAATAAAAAGAATAATTCTGTCCGATTAATAGCAAGCCTTGAAGCTATTCATTCATAAAGCACCTCATTTGTATGGAGCACCATATCTGTCAAACAATTCAAAGAAATAGGCCTTTTTATCAGCAACATGTCTGAATTCTTCTTGGGTTTCTATGCTAAGATCAAGGAACGCAGCTCTGTCAGCCCTTTGTTCGTTCAATGCACTCAATCTTCTTTCCAACAATTGCCTGTTCAGGTCAACATAAGAGTCAAAGGCTAAATATCCTCCAACAAATGTTCCGACACTCAACAAGTACCCGGGAATTCTATTGATTGAACGGGGGTACACTTTTCCCACAATGTTTACTTGTAACTTTCTGGTCACAAGTCCTAAGAAAGCACTGAATAAAAGTCCTGATGATGATGGCATGCTTTATGTTGTGGGGTTTCAATTTGTTCAGTTCAGGCTTAGTTAGTGTGAAGTTTGGAGTTGCATTTACTTGAACGCTCATTTGCTCAAAATTTTCAAGAAACGCGCTACCGATATATCGGTAGCGCGGACCAAAATAACGTAGTAGTCGTGGATCAACATATGGTGTAGTCGTTGTAACGCAAGTAAGGTACTGTCCTCTTGCAACAAACCCTGCCTCCAGCGATAAACATGGTTTTATGTGATATCCAAAATTATAAGTACAATATTCTTAACCATGGGCTTTTTTTCTTATCCACCCACGAAGACGTATCTTTTTCTCTATGATGCTTTATTGTTATCATTTGTTTGTATTGTTAATTACCATTTGATTAAAACATTCTTAATAAAGCTAAGATTATGATCCTTGCTAGATCCGTCTAAACTCGACTGATCCTATTCATAGTCCCCTAAACTCCATAAACTAGTTTAACTTCCAATTCATATTATAATTGTGTAAGTCACGTGATAATATCATGTTAGCGCACGGACTCGATTGGGAAACGGAATTGTGTACTTATCTTGGTCCAATGTATATTCCGGTCTTATCTCCACAGTTATAATTCCAGTTATAATCCCCCAATATACTTCTTCTTCTTCGTCCCTTTTCTTCTTCATTATCATCACTATGGCCCCAATTAACTTCTTCAGGGGTCACCCCACTACGACGCTTTTGCCTGCACAGGAAATAGCCAAGGCATATTCCCATATCTTGCTTAACAGTTCCTATTTGGAATATGAAAATGATCCACTCAATCAACACCCTTTATCATATGGAACGGACCCTGGAAACTACGATACTCGGAAAGCTATTGCACAGTGGCAGGACAAAAAGTTTGGGCTTGATAAGACATCTCCTACAGACCCTAACACCATTAACTTAACTGCTGGAGCATCTTATGGAGTAGCTAATATTCTTGCTAGTGTGACCAAAGCAGGTTCAATAACCAAACAGGCGTTCATAGTGAGTCCCACTTACTATTTGATCAACAGTTCGTTCTTGGACGTTGGATTCCAGGGGAAACTCACGGCCATTGACGAAACTCCTGGCAAAGAATCCAAGTACGATATCGACTTGGAGTATTTGGAACAACAGTTAAAGAAACACAGTGAAGGCAGCGAACAAGCGTCCACTGTTGATAATGAAATCAATATTGTAAATGATAATTCAAGAGGCGATCGGAAGTACTACCGATTTGTCATTTATTTGGTACCCACATTCTCTAACCCCGGAGGTCAAATTTACTCTGTTGAAACCAGATTAAAGTTATTGGATTTGGCAAGGGAATTCGATATGCTAATTATTAGTGACGATGTCTATGAGTTTCTCGACTATACCGCAAACTCTAAGTATCCCATACCAAGATTCGTTCATTTGGAGAAGCAATCTCCTAATCCCGCCAAAACTTATGGTAATAGTATATCTAACGCTACAGCATCAAAGTTGATTGCTCCAGGATTGAGGTTTGGTTGGCAAGAGACTTCAACCAATAAGCTTTCACAACAATTATCACTCACAGGACCAAACAAATCCGGAGGAACTCCTGGCCAATTAGCTTCTGCTGTAATGCAGCATCTAATTGAATCGGGAAAGGCAGATGAGATTATAGAGCTCTTTAAAGTTGAATATGCTCAAAGAGCTCGTACTATGCTTGAAGCTCTTGATAAACATCTTCCACCAAATCATACACAAGTTTACGGAGGTCAAGGTGGGTACTTTGTTTGGGTCGTTGTAGGTAAAGGAGATCCTTTAGTTAAGTTAGGGAACGTGGTTAAAATACTACAACAAGAAAAGGGAGTGATTATTGCAACTGGATCCAACTTTGAAGTTGATGATGATTTTAAGGACTGGGGCCATTATGCAGTTAGACTATGTGTTAGTTATCTTACGTCAGAAGAGATAGAGAAGGGGATCGAGATCTTTGGTGATGTGCTTAGAAAGGAGTACCCTCATTTGTATGCATAAGCATTTATACCCATATCCAACTGCAGAGCATACTGTTGCCTGATCGGGATAATAAACTGTGATATCTTGTTAAAGAGATGTCCAAGTGAGTCTTCATATAGTCACCTAATATGGAATAGCTACCTCCGACTTTTGACATTATTTCCTAAAAGGGAATACTATCTCCGGTGCAAGAAACTCCAATTAATTGACAGATGTCGGCTTTACGTAATTACTTTGTACATTACGGAAGATAATGCTACATAATATTTAATTCCCAATCAAAGAATGTTCCGAGCCTTAGCTCGGGCTTTAGCTAGCTTATCAGAAGAGACATCTAAATCCGAATGCAACATATCTAGCAATTGGTTCTGCTCTTCAACCTCATTATAGATGGCTGTGCTTATCTGCTTCTGACGAGCAATGGCTCCTCGTAATTGTAAGACCTCTTGATCTTGATTATTCTGAATTTGCTTTTGAAGTTGTAGTAGTTCCTGGCTATTCAATGCCATAGTCTGTTTCGTTTCTTCTATTGGTCCACCTAATACTCTTCTGCCTCCAGGTCTTGATCCACTCAGCAATAATGTATGTCTATCATTTAAATCTTTTTGCAGTGGCTGTTGTGGCTGGAAGCTCTTGTTCAAGTCTTCAGAAAGCAACTGTACGCTTTCCTGTAGTCTAGTAAGCAACGCCTTACGTCTTCTGTATTCATTGGATGACAACTCCTTTTCGACCAAGGTTTTCTGTAGTTTCTCTATAGTAGGTCGAATCAGACGCATCATCTCTTGTCGAATAGATATGGTGTACAGTGTGTCGGTGCTAGTCTTCAATTCATTACCAATGGTTCTTATACGAGAATCCGTCAAACGTACAACCTCTAACCACACAGAACTATCTATATTTATAGAATTGAGATCAACAATATCATTATTATTGCCTTCCCTATTCTGTTGCTTGAATACGGCAGCTGTGAATCTAAAGCTTTGAGGTAGTCTAAGAAACGATCGAACATGGTCGTTGTTCTGGAACTCTGGATCTCGGATCAACAGATTCAAAAACTGTGCTAATTCACGACGTCTTTCTTCTATGAGCAGTTCTGTGTTTAATTTGATCCATCTCTTTGGGGGTAACTTATAAGGGAAATCCGAGCTTTTAATGCCTGCCTCGCTACTGAGTTGTTCCAATAGCTGTTGGAACTCAGAGTACCTTCGATTGACATTGATCTGACGTAGTGGTACCTTCAATTGAATCAGATACTGCACGACTCCGTCTTCTGTTTCCACCGAGGGTATACTAAGTATATCAGACATAATAAAGTATAAGTGCTCAGTAAAGTATTGTGTTCTATACTTTTAATAGTGTTAACAAACCTTGCCGTTACCGTTTGCTTCTCGCCTATCTATTGAGCTGGGCACGACCTGTAAATAAACGGCAACTTTATCTGCAACCCCTCTACGACGGTCACTCAATGGAACTCCACGGGGTAGCAATACAAATGATTAAAATATCATCGACGAAGACTATTACGTTTTACACTCTTATACTACGTTAACTGACCATAAAGATGACACCCCAGTCAGAACAACCCGAGATCGACTCGCGAATGGCTGCAGACCAATTGCACCCAGCCACTCCTCAACCAGTGCGCGACACCAGCAGTAGTGAAGAGCTGCCATTGCTTGGAGATGAAGAACAAGATCAAGTTCGTGCTAGTGCCGCTCGTCGCAGGCAGGCGTATGTTGATCCCGATGACCCCATAGTCTCGCCCATGAACCTCAAATGGATCAGAATCCTCCATTATAGCGTTGGAGTTCTCATGATGGTAAACTTTATAGTACTTCTGGGGATTTTGATTTCTCAGTTCATTGCCATTCCTGGCTTTACAGGAAGAGGGTTATCGTTCACGTTGTTTGATTTGGTAGTCATATGTTTGGTGGCCGATTTCCTTGTGTATTGGAAGTTTACTGTGGCAGGAAAATGGGAAAGAGTAGGAAGTTACATTTGTATCTCTCTATTGGTAATTGATTTGGTGGTGGTATTGACTGTTGGTGGGATCCGTGATGTATATGGATTTTTAGGTGCTGCATTAATTCTTTGGACTCTTGCGACATTTGTATTCACGACTATATGTGACTATAAGGTAGAACAATCCAGGAAGGCTCAAGAGATACGGTATACGGGTAGAGTTGAGAAAAGACGGTCTATAGGCGAGTTATTGGTTCTCTTTTTGAAAGCTATATTGAAATTGGGGTTGGTGTGGTTGGTATGGTGTTTGAGTCTAACATTATATCTTCAAGCATTTGATACTCACATCAAACCTTGGGGCAAATTGATTCCTGTTCACAATAATGAATTTAAGGTTCATTTGGCTTGTTTTGGAGATGTCCATCTGAATAAAACTTTGGTGGAAACTCAATATTCTTCTTCCAAACTCCAACCTATTGTGTTGGTTGAAGGAGGTCAATTGGATTCTAGTGAATCGTTTCAAGAATGGATTGAAGAGTTATATCATTTGAAAAAGATTCAAAGATATTGTATATGGGACAGACCAGGGTATGGGTTTTCTGAAGGAGCTCCATCACCTCAATCATTCAGTATTATAGTTGAGTATCTTAATGAGGCCTTGAATAAGGAAGGAATTGAAGGTCCATTTTCATTGGTGGGATTTGATATTGGTGGACTTTATTCTAGAGTGTTTGCAGGACGCAGACCTGGTAACATTCATTCTATGCTTTTAGTTGATAGTTGGTCTGAAGACTTGTTGAAAACCAGACCATTTGCCGGACTTAAAAACGAAAACAAAAAGGACTTTAGAGGTGTTTTGGAATTTATGGATCCATTGGTTGGTATTAAACTTTGGTTTAGAGGTCTTGCTTCTCCATTTGGAATTCTTCTGAACATTCATTGGTTCTTCCATCCTAAGAAGTACTCGTCTAATTCCAGAATCTTTGGCTCGGAAATGGTCCGTCAACCCAAATACTTGTTAGCAAGATTACAAGAACAAACCACAGCTGCCATCCTATCATACAACGAGGTTGTTGTTTCTGACGTCAAGAGTATTCCTCTTAGTGTTGTATCTTCCGAGTACATGATCAAGAACTCCATCAATTGGGGTAAATGGCAGAGACAATTGACTAGACTAAGTGACCAACCAGTCGAATGGGAAATTGTTGAAAGTGCATCACATTTCTTGTGGAAGAATGCGAAGGGAAGGAAACAGTTACAAGATGTGTTGATACGATTGATTGAGGTATAATATGCTACGATATACTTCTATGTATGTTACGTTAATACTGTGCTTTATATTGTAATACTGTGATTTGCTATGCTTCATACTGTCAAGCAGTAGTGGAATGCTAAGGACTACAGATCGTTGACATTGTGTTGGCGCTACCATGGAAGGCCTTTTCTGCAGAACAATTTAAGCTGGCAAGGGAGACGACAATTCTTGATGTTGATAACACCACTACATCCTAAACATATTCTATATCTGTCGTCTAGAACAATAATAATACTACACGTCACATTCATATCTCTTTATTGGCTACTGCAAACAGTAGTAAAATTATACAAAGGGTGAGCAAAGCATCAAACTTCATCTTCAACTTCATCGTTGGTGACACCTGTCACGTTAGTCATTACTAAATAAGACCTATCACATTGTTACAGGTAGTATGTTAAGCGAAAACGAATCGGAGATGGTTGAAACTTACAGTTCCAAGTCTCCTTTGAAATCAACATCTGGCCGGTCGTCTCCAGCGTTATCTCATTCGCCTTCTCCAATTTCCAAAGGGCCCCCCCTTGGAGTAGAAGGAGTAGAATCAAATACCGTCTCCAACACGAATAACAATATGGACACTGACGAAACCTCAACTGAAACAAACAATAGGTCATCTTCTTCGGATGATCTGACTGAAACGGGTAATGATACGCCGTTACCCTTGGCAGCACCAGCACCAGCGGCACCAGAAGCGCAAACAGAAGGAACAGCCACAACAATATCATCGACTTCAAATGGCAATACTGCGGAAGAACACACTCCGGTGGTGCAAGCTACTTTTGTTGAATCATCATCGGAATCGTCAGCTACACGCAATGTTACTGGCGGCGGATCCAGATCCAGATCATCCAGTAACGTTGCCCATGGGGCCCCCTTGACGGCATCATCAACAGACCATAGGGGTAGGTCAACTAGCATTACCAATATCATATCCAGTACTGCTTTTAGTCGTAGCTCTAGTGGATCCAAGATCAACGGCTTATCAAGGTCAAATACCGCATCCAGTAAGAATGGTTCTCAATCGACCCCAAGAAGAACTTCGTTTGGTAATCTTTTGAGTTCCTTCGCCAATAGCATCAGAAACTCATCTCAAGCTCCTCCTACGAGTGCAGATAGTGATTCACATTCCAATAGAGTCAATTCTCTGTCTTTGTTATCCAATTCAGCAATGAATAACAACGTTGAGGTGGTACCTCCTCCTTCTCAAGGACTGCTATCATCAGGCAACAACGGTATCAACCATATTAATAATGATCACTTATTCATGTCGAATAGTCCTACCATTGCAAATTTGAGTACCTATTCAGCAACTGCTGCAGCAGCTGCTGCCACTACAACTGGTACTAGTACTGTCACAACAACTACTTCTACCGATGGTGTCAATAGAATAGATGAGGAAGCCAGTGTTTCGCCAATTGATGGAACTGATCCAGATGCCACTAGAACTAATATTGACCTCGTTCCTTCTTCTAATTCTAATAGTACTTCGGGTCATCATGTAAGTGAGGGAACTCTGGAGCTTCCAGTAGCTACAGATACCTCCAGAGAACAACAAGATGATAAAGAGTTAACTGATAAAGATGGGTTTTTTTCTGTGCGGTTAACCCCATTAATTGATCATTCATCATCATCCACGGGACTTTACTTTGCTCCAGTGATTCGAAAGATAAAGGCATCTCAAGAGATCCCCATTGGTCGTTACACTGAAAAGAATCGAGCCGCAGCTCATGCTCCTCAAGGAAGCTCTGCACCAATTGTATTCAAATCCAAGGTGGTTTCCAGATCCCATGCTTTATTTCAATGTAATCAAGATGGTCAATGGTTTGTGAAGGATTGCAAATCATCATCCGGGACATTTTTGAATCATGTTCGGTTATCATCGGCATCACAAGAACTGCAACTAATGCCATTAATTGATGGTGATATAATACAATTGGGTATGGACTATCGAGGAGGTACTGAAGATTTATATCGATGTGTTAAAATTAGATGTGAGTTTAATCGGAGTTGGCAACGTAATGTGAATAACTTCAACTTGGAGATTCATAAGAAACTTCAAAGCTTACAAATCACCATCGAAGGTGAAGAAGATCCAAAGAATAATGATGAATGGAATGAATGTGCCATTTGTCTATTGAAGTTGGAGCCTTGTCAAGCATTATTCATCAGTCCTTGTTCTCATTCATGGCACTACAAGTGCATTCGACCAATTATCATCAAGAGTTATCCGCAATTTTATTGTCCTAATTGTAGATCAATGTGTGACTTGGAAACGGATATCGAAGATGAAGAGGAAGAGAATTGAGGTTTATTATCATCATTCATTATCAAATCGTTCTATATAGTTTTATTTCATCTCTCCAAAGTGTATATTAATGGTTCCAGGTTTTTTTGTTTTATCCATTTTTTGTGTACCTACCCTCGTGTTCATCCTCGATATTCCCTCGGAAGTGGGTTGCCTTTTTCATCGCAGCTGGGAGGATAAGAATATGCGGAAGCCACTTGAAATAATGGGTTGCCCATATCCATGTTGGGATCATTCGAAACAGCAGAAGTGTAGCGTTGCTGTTCTGGTATTGCCGAGGCACCAGGAGTCTGAAGAAGTTGTTGTTCACTGAACTGTTGGAATAAAGTAAACGGAGAAAGTATCAGTTTTGAACCATGAAACTGTTGAATACTATTTTGGTCCACTTCCGGTTGAAAGTATTGAGCATTTGACTGCTGTTGCTGTTGCTGCTCTACAACTTGATTTTCAAAAGAGAATAAGCTATAATTAGTGGCTGGTGGTGGTGGTGGTTGATGAGAGTCCATAATCTGTTCTTGTTGTTGCCTCTTCTCTGTTGTTGTCTGGATTTCTTCTTCCGTTAGCTCGCTTATATAGCCTCTGGTTGGCAGCACTTGGTTCTGGATCACCTTCTCGACTCTTTGATATAACTTCACTGGTAAGGTAATATCGTTCTTTAATTTGTGCACCAACATGAACACTTTATATAACGAGGCGAACCCCTCGGAACTCATGGTCGTGGTTAATGAGTCCATAAGACCCAGCGCAATCTCCAAGAGCTTAATACAAACTCCGGGTCCATTGCTTTCAAATGCAAATATCGTTAACGAAGACGTTTCTTCGATGAAGTCACGTGCGATCTTGATGGGGTACATGATGCTAAAACAGTTATTGTCGTTTTCATCACCCACCAAAAGTCCACAGCGTCGGGTCACGTGCCATGCCAAACACATCATCCAATATTTACTTAGTAAGATGTTAAGTTTTTGGATTTCAGGAGTTTGAGAGGTCACCAGAATGTTTGTGAGTTGGTCTTGAACTCTTTGGATCCAATTAGGTCCAGACGGCCCACCATCAGAACTGGCAGCAGAGATGATCGAAGACATGGAACTATTGGCCAAGGATTTAGAAGTAATCATCTTATCAAAAAACCGTTTATCGGGAATCGCAAACACCTTCACCAACTCCGAGAACCCTCGAAGTAAGGCAGAATATTCTTCGTCTTCCAACTCCGGGTACGGGATTGCTACGTCCAAGATCACGGGCAAATTATCTGAAATACACATGAACCTTTCAGTAACCAAAAGCATATAGTAGATCTTTCGTAATCGGTGGCCCTCTGCCGTTGGTAAATCGTCGTAGGTTTCAGGATTATGTAGACCCATGATTTGTGCCATAGTTATGGCTTCCCGTAAGTAAACCATTGAAGTAAGAAGCCCCAGCTTTATGTTCACATAATGAGCATACAAAAAGAAGGAAGTCAAGAGGGCCTCCGCACTAGGACGTTCTCTAAACTCCGTCATGGACCTGGACCTAACACATTCTTCAGCAAATTGGCTTCCGGTAATCTCAGTAGGTAAATTCAAGAGCTCTGCCTTGGTGGTAAGAAAGGTCACTTGGGAATCGATAGCTGCAGCAATGGCACAACTTAAAGCGTATGCTGGAATGTTACTTTGAGTAAGCACAATCTTAGTCGAATCTATTTGGGTTGTCTTTGTTAGCTCAGCGACCAAGTGAGCCACAGATACCACGGGCCACACCCCGTAGTACCATGTTTGAAATACCTGGAGAAACGGAAGCAACATGTCTATCGTCAAGGGCAGATGTACTGAAGCGGTACTCTCCGCACCAAACAGCTGCAGCAGCAGCAGGTTCTGATTGCTGAAGTGGTCAGACGAATCGTCCCTGGTCATCATGTCAATGACTTCTCTTGTTTTCCTACGCAAATGTTTAGGTCCACACCGTTTCCGCATACGGTTATTGGTACACGGAATGCTATGGGCAAGGCACTTGGAACAAGGCCTTTTCTGGTCACATTTGACCTTTCGAAACGAACAAGCATCGCACGGACTAAAATACTTTGATCTCGCCTTTCGGACTCGCTTGGAAGGAGGAGATTGTGATGACAAATCTGAGCATTCTTGATTACTATTATTTGCTTCGACTTGTGGTTGGCCCTGGCTTTCATCGGGAGCTTGGCTCAGTTCCGATCGGCCAGTACCAGTCGGAGACGTTTGTATGGGGGGCGATACAAGTTGGTGCTGATGTTGATGAGGTTGTTGATGCTGTTGATTTTGGTCTTGTCGGAGAAGATGATGCTGATGCTGTTGTTGATGCTCGTATTGGGGTTGCGGCTGTGGTTGCGATTGCGGTTGCGGTTGCTGTTGCTGGTGCTGCTCAAGCTGGTGCTGCCGCTGTAAATGCTCCTGGTGTATTCTGTTGAGTTGCAGTAGTTGGTACGGCTGTTGCTCTGCCAAACGTTGCTCATGTTGATGCAACTGTTGCTGGCGGAGTTGTTGTTGTTGTTGTTGGAGATGACGGATCCGATCGTTGTGTGATTCAAACAGCATTTGTAGTTCGTCCAACTGATTCTGGTTCTGGTTTTGACGGCGGTGTTGGATTGTTGGATTTGTCCGATGAGTCCGCACTGCGTTGGAACCGTCCTGGCCATACAGTCGTTCGCTAATACTTGAAGTGGTTGAGGGAGTCGAATTCGCACTATCCGATGAAGTGTCGTTCCTAAGATGTTGAACCATGACGACTCAAATTATTGTATCAGGGACTAACTAGCTTTATCATGGACTAGCCTACGGCTCGTTCCCACTGCTATACGGTAATAGAGGGAAACCAAATGTTAAACGTAAAAGCCGTCCCTGTGTTTTAGTATTGTGTGAGACGGAGATCAGAAATGATTACACTTTAGTTTTTATTTCAACTTTTTGACCAAACTTTCTATTCGCACGCCGCAAGCAATCCGGGGGAGGGGGAGGGGGAGGGGGTATATATTATGTGTGGCTGAATGGACTGAACAAACGTTAAACGGAATTCCTCTAATCTAGTATATATTCTGAATGAATATAAAAGGAGACTATCCAGTTTAAGATAGCGGTGCCAAATTCATTAATAGAAGGCTAAGCTATTTAGCCTGACCTACAGCCACTTATTCTTCATGGATACCTACACTCCATATGAATAGTTAGCCGCATATAGCAAAACTTTTGGTACGAAGGGAGGTTTACAAGTGCAATGGTTTTCAATTCTTCTACTAACTTGGTCCCGTCCATAATTCTTATGGCTACCATTGGACTGAAGCTAGTTAGTGTAGATTCAACTCCTCTAACGATTTGCAGTTCAATGCTGGAGCGATTTTGTGATGGCTTGTAGCCTTAAATCATTCGCTATTATTAAGGCCTTACATTATGTTCGTAATCGTCACATGATTCACGGAACTCAAACTAGTCTACGACCGTATATATATACGTATCTCCTGCATTAACGTTTAAAGCCTTGAACCCACAATTAACTGCCCGATGTACGAGGTACATTATGCTAATTTACGGGTATGGAAGTGCACTCATAACCAGTATTTTCCACACTTCCTTATTTCCGTTAATGAAGTTAGGTGCACCTGTAAACTGGAAATGCTCCTATTGGTGGTCTGTTGTTGGCATCCACCAATGAGGGGAATTGAAATACTTCCTTTCAACCATCGCTTACTTCTAAATCCGATGAAGGGGTTTGTGCGCACTTTTGTTGAGATTTTACGCGCGTCTTTTGTGCCTGGTGGAACACTTTTAGGTGCAATAGGTCTAGCCCAGAATATTCTTAATAACGAAATATCAAATAGTTGCCAATTAACTATGCTGGATTATACTACGTTACATTTTACTTCGTTAGTTATCAATTCTTACTAATGGTATAAGAGGTGATAAGATGTCAATAATTGTAATAGGTTTGTGAGACTCACAAATTATTTGTTCTGGTTTAAATAAAGTATCATATTATCCTTAAACTTATCTGAAGTGCTTGAAGGTAAAAAAAAAAAAAGAAATAAAATTGCCTGGTGGAATACTGAGTCAAGTTCTCTTTCTTGTTGTCTTGTTGATTTTGATAAATCTATTGATGATTTTAATAAAGAGTACGCACAAACGATTAACTTCAGAGAAACCATGAAACCCATCGGCTGACCAAAAAAGAAACAAAAAGGAAGTTTATACTAATGGTTACCGAGTCTTAATTTCTTTCAAGTAGATTTTGATATTCAAAGTTCGTTATTCTGACAGAATGAGGAGAAAACTCAAGTGACTAGTAGTAAAAGAATACTTTTTCTAAGTCTTCTGATAAGTATTTCGAATATTAACACAAAAGTTAATCAAGACTGATTATTCCGATAACAAAATTAGACATGAAGAGAGGGTGATCTAGCGGCTGATCAATAAAAGTATTGAGATGGGTTTGGTGTAGCAAAACAGATGTTCACAATCACAAACTATTAGAAATTTTATTAGGACGATTATACGTTTCGCTAACTGATGAGAAATTATCAGTAATCACAATCAAGCAATTGCTAGAATGAATAGATATTAAAGTTTTCCTTTGCCAAAGTTTATGCTGCAAAGCTTAAACTATTCCGGAGTGTGCGATATTCCACTGAAATACTTCCCAACCCTCTTTATAAGTGGCTCAAATAGCGCTACTATAAAACCTCTTATTGGTATCGAAGATTATTAATAGTATATATAGGCATAGTGCCTCTAGTTAATTTATGCATCGTGTATTATATAAATTGTGAGTTTCACAATCAAATTGAAGCGTTCGAATTTAACCAACTGGCACAAACGAGTCGAAAAGAAATCTAGAAGCAGGTAGTGGGTCGTTAAATGTTTAGTTAAATTGGTAAAATATGCTCAATGTAAGGAAATTCTAAGAAACTCACAACAAGAATGACATAAGAACAAATCCAATTGATGATAACCCTACCTTCAATTTAGAACTGGAATTTGCTACACTGATTGGTGCAATACTGGAAGGTGTTCCTGATGAGTTTATAGCGGAAGAAACAAAAGTGGTAGATCCAGTTCCAAGGCCACCAGTAGAACCACCAGTAGAACCACCAGTAGAACCACCAGTAGAACCACCAGTAGAACCACCAGTAGAACCACCAGTAGAACCACCAGTAGAACCACCAGTAGAACCACCAGTAGAACCACCAGTAGAACCACCAGTAGAACCACCAGTAGAACCACCAGTAGAACCACCAGTAGGTCCTGTAGCTCCAGTACCATTGGCTGCACCAGGTGTACCAGCTGCACCGGTATCATTGGCTGCACCTGTTGCACCAGTACCATTAGCTGTACCTGCTTCTCCACCAGCAGTAGTTCCAGTAGGCTTACCAATAACAGCCATAGGTGCAGTTCCTTCACCAGCGCCATTACCCTCAGTTACGATGGTACCAGCAGTGGCACCAGCAGCACCAGTTCCAGTAGCAACGGCGGCAGTTCCAGTTGCAGCGCCAGCAATTGTACCAGTTGTACCTCCTATGGTAGCTCCTGCAACAGTACCACCATTTCCAGCACCAGTACCAGCGGCACCATGGCCAGTAGCACCTTCAATGGCACCTCCAGTAGCAGAAGTATCGAGAGGAACTGTAGTATATAATGTGGTCATCTTACTCAGTGTGTAAGTAACAATTGGTGATACAACAGCAGTGGTAGGTACGACAGTACATTTGTGGTCCAGGCACAGAGTAACAGTCATTGTCACAGTTGAAGCACTAGGACATGGAACAGTAGTATAAATTGTGGTTTCTTTACCTGAAATGGTAGTAGCGATAGGAAGAACTGTTTGAGATCCAGTTTCTGTTTCGCAAGGAATTGTAGTGTATAATGTGGTTATCTTACTCAGTGTGTAAGTAACAATTGGTGATACAACAGCAGTGGTAGGTACGACAGTACATTTGTGGTCCAGGCACAGAGTAACAGTCATTGTCACAGTTGAAGCACTAGGACATGGAACAGTAGTATAAATTGTGGTTTCTTTACCTGAAATGGTAGTAGCGATAGGAAGAACTGTTTGAGATCCAGTTTCTGTTTCGCAAGGAATTGTAGTGTATAATGTGGTTATCTTACTCAGTGTGTAAGTAACAATTGGTGATACAACAGCAGTGGTAGGTACGACAGTACATTTGTGGTCCAGGCACAGAGTAACAGTCATTGTCACAGTTGAAGCACTAGGACATGGAACAGT